CCCTGGTCTGCTCAGATCACACAAGCCAAGCCACACATCCCCCTTGAATACCATGTCGGACTAGAAAAGGCTGAAGGGTGCACTATAGGGACCAAGAGCAACTCCCCAGGAGTAGACACCCTCACAGTACGGATTCTGAAAGCTTGCTGGCCAGTCATTGTGGAGCATATCAGAGCCCTTTTCCAGACCTGTCTACAGATTGGACACCACCCTAAACCATTCAAAGTAGCTGAGGTAGTGATGATCCCAAAGCCAGGCAAGAAAGACTACTCTAACCCCAGGGCCTACAGACCAATATCGCTATTATCATGTCTTAGTAAAGGCCTAGAACGACTCATTACAAAAAGAATTGCCTGGTTTGTTATCAAACTTAGAATTCTAGCTCCACAACATTTTGGAGCTCTGCCAAAGCGCTCTGTCGCCGACTTGGTAGCTGCACTCATACACGATATTGAGCAGGCCCTTGACCAAGGCCTTGTTGCAACAGTAGTCACAGCAGATGTGACAGGGGCCTTCGACGCTGCCCTAATGGGACGGCTGGTGGTTCGCATGAGAGAACAGGGCTGGCCAGACTTTCTCATAAGATGGGTCCAGTCATTCATGTCTGAACGGTCTGCAAGAGTTCAGTTTGAAGGTATTGTGACTGACATAAAAGCTCTCACTTGTGGGCTACCACAAGGCTCACCAGTTTCTCCAATCCTTTATATGCTATATACAGAGCCAATCTGTGCCCGACTCGGTATGAAAAGGAGACACTTTGGATATGCAGATGACCTAGCAACTCTCTGTATTGGAAAGGACCCTAAAGAAATAGCCAAAGAGGCTTCTGAAAATCTTTACCTGCTCAATCAATAGGGACATAACAATGCTATTGAATTTGATCCCGACAAAACCGAGATCATGCACTTCTCACGGAAAAAGAACTCAGACAATCCTCCGGTCCGCCACGGGACAATAAACAGAACAGCAAAGAACTCCATGCGATGGCTGGGTGTCCTTCTGGATAGGAAACTAAACTTCAAAGACCATGTTTCTCACTGGGCCAAGAAAGCTAGTAGGGTAGCAAATCACCTTCGAGGACTATGCAACACAGTCAAAGGACTTCCAGTAAAGTCAACCAAGAGGGCTGTGAAAGCTTGTGTTATTCTTATTCTCACACATGGCCTGGAGGCCTGGTACCCAGGAATCGAGAAAGCTGGGAGCTTAGGTGGGACATCAGCATGTCGCATTAAGGGGCTTCTTGGAACAATAGATGCCGTACTACGAACGGCGATCAGGGCTATCTTGCCAGTCTAGAAAACACACCCTGGACATATCTTACACTTTGAATCGCAGATTCCCCCAGCAGGAGTTCTTGCAGAGTCAATAAGACGACGTCACGGCCTCCGACTAGGACGAATAGATCAGAGACACCCTCTGGTTGGCAGGCTCCAAATACAAGCTCGCAAGGATCCAACAAGGCTACAAAGGAGCTTCCAACTAGTCCCTGACTTCCAGAGACCAATACTTACCAGGCCATCATGGAAGAAGCGCCTAATCCGCAAAGACAAAGACAAAGAAACAGAGCTCTTCAAGCAATGGCTACAAGAGAGAAACATGAACACTGACCTTGTCATCTACTCAGATGGATCACAATTGGATGACCAAGGCGCAACCCGCACTGGATGGGGTTATACCATCAGGAAAGGCGGCACTACACAAGAAGTATACCGGGGAAAGGGCAGACTTCTCCAAGCAGAAGTAGTAGATGCTGAAGTCCATGGTGCTCTCCAAGGTCTTGCAGCAGCCAGGGCAATTGGACACGGAAAACAGCTATATGTCTGCCTGGACAACACATCAGTGGTAGATGGGCTCAATGGGACTCCACCCGAGACATCACAGAACATTTTTCTACGATTCCAAGAACTCGCTACAGCACACACTCCTGGGGTAACCGTCAAGTGGATCCCTGGACACAGAGACATCGATAGCAACGAAGCTGCTGACGTACTAACAAAAGAGGGTACTATGCTAGAAACGTAAGCAATAAACCTTCCCACAATCTCTTAAATAAAGAGAGATCTCAAGAGGGAGGGCAAGAGAGGATTCGATCAATGGTGGGAAGGTCAATTAAAACCTAGATATCAAGAAGTATACTCACATACAGTAACCAAGAGGAACTTCATATCTTTCGAAAGGAGCACTTTACACAGATTTTTAGCGGCCAGATCTGGACATGGCGACTTTGCTGGATACCATGAACGTTTCGGGCATACAGACTCGAATGACCATTACAACTACGGTAAAAAGAAAACACCACAACATAATTTTTTTTACGAAAGGCTTAGGAAAAACTGACTGCTGTCCAGGTACTCGCCTAGGACAGCCTGTTTACATATTTGGGGAGAGGAGCGCGGAATGGACAAGATTTGTAGAGAAGAGCAAGTTCTTCTCATCAATCTGCCCCCGATAGATAGCTGTTTTTAAAGGATCAGATCGACAGGGGCGCCTTTCAGCAGTCCGCTGCAAATTCGAATTCCAGTATATAAACTGGCTGCTGGTGAGCTGCCACCATTCGTGAGCTTGACGCCCTTTCCGCCGTCATGGAGGCCGTTGTCCTCCTCGGTCACGGCTATGCACCCTGCCGCCGCCGCCCCGTTGCAGAGAATGGGTTCCGCCACCTCGATGCTGATATTGGTCGTGTGGACTTGGGTGGAGATTATGTTAGTACTTGGGGCGGCTGTGCCGCGGTTTTGAACCTGAGACACTGGCATGGAAGCCGCAACAGCCAGCAGGCTGGCGAAAATAAAGGCTGACTTAGGGATAATGGAACCAATATTGAGCGACTAGATCTGAAGCATGACAGTAGACCGGCACCAGCGGTTAACGCCGCCTTGAAAATCGGGAGGGCTGATGTCGAACAGCTAGGTGTTGGAGCATCGGACACGACCACCTTATATATGAATTCCTTTTGTCCATTGAGACCGAAGACCGGCGTTAGGGGGGAGCGGTGTTGGTACATGATATCGGCTTCCAGGTCCGAGTGACGACGACAGCCCAGGGCCAGGCCTCGACGCGCAGCTTTGCCACATGTGAAATATCTCTCGTGGGGTCAGGTATGATGTTTCCAGACGATATGATCTCATCGAGCGACGAATAGACTCGTAAAATCGAAAATCCAAGTCGATCTGTTCCCCTCTGGTGGTAGTCTCCCTCGTGGCAGCTGCAGGTGCTGAGGTTGCTGTTCCTGACGGAGTCCTGACCAGTCAGAATCAGAAGGCTATGGATTGCTTGATAAGGATGTCGACTATTCTAGAGGTACTCGCCAGCCCAAACTGGTCCGTCGAACGTCTATCCTTTTAGACACCCACGATGACGCGTTCCCCAGTGAATGCCCCAAGGAAGACGTCGTCCTTCATTGCGGAGACTTGATCATGATCGGCGGGCTGGGCAACTACCGTTGATATCAATCGAAAACATCAGATCTGTAGGTGCCCAGCTGAAGCCGGTCATCGCCGGTGACCACGATGTCTCTCTGGATCCAAAATGATGGGCCGAGAATCTCGACGAGGACGATGACCTTGAAGAGCCCGCGAAGGCGGAGGAGCTTTCTACACCACCGACTTCAATGGCTATGCTTTTCCTTATTCTGCAGACGAGGACCGATTCAACGACGGACAGAACCCGGTACCACAAGGAGTCGACACACTTATGACCCATGGCCCACCACTGCCGCCATCAACTTCCGCAGATAGCTACCGCCTCGAACTAGGCCACAAGGGTGAGAACTGTGGATGTCGCATGTTGCTCAATACGATTGAGTGCACACAACCCAAGCTTCATTGCTCTGGGTACACCCACGAGGGCTACGGGCCGCAGTCGATCACCTGGCCCGATCGAGGCCTTGAGATAAGCGACAGGCTAGCAGAGGAGGATGCTGTCATTGAGGATGGCAAGACGCCGCTGGTGAATGCATCGATCATGACACATGGGAAGCAGCCGAACAGCAGGTCTTGGGTTGTAGATATGTTACTAGACGGACACAGCTGAGTACTACAAGGCCAACTTAATACGGGAGCATTGGAGGAACCTGTGCTGAGGCAAAACTCTTGCTATTGTTGTGGTTGGAGGCATCTTTCGAGTCGATTCAGCTCGCAGCTGCCGCCTTGAGGTCAGAGGTCACCGCACAGCAGTCTAAGATGGTAGGAACGCTCGAATGACTTTCCGTGCGAGTAGCCATTGAGGTACTCATCATGACATCATGACATATGGGTACATCTAGTAGAGAGTTTCCAGCCAAAGTATCTTACAATATGCGGTCTTTGTGGTGCAAGTCTATTGTCAGCTGGGCGAGCACAAAGGGCCATGCCATACCTGAGAAAAGGTGCCCAATCATGCAAATGAGAGCGAAGTGTTCGATCCGAGAAACATGACCGTCCAGCAACAATCGTATCTGAAGCAAGGACTTACAAATCAGGAAGTAGCTCCGAGTCTTATTGGCACATCATATGGGTAGTGCCCTTGAGCGGCGTAGGGCAAACAAGTGAACTGACCTGATTGAATGTCTAGAATCATGCTCGAAGGACATTATCGCATGTAGTAACATCTAATGAACAACACAATGGACCCCAGCCTATACTAGCAACGACAAAGCATCATATTCTTCAGCTTCGAACTCTCAGCACTATCACACAAAGAATTAACAACTTCACACTAAGGACTACGCCTTGAACAGAAGAGAGGGAAATTATTACTGCAGTAACAAAGCCTATTGTTCTCTTTGGTTCCCTTTGATCCCGCACAACCACATTGTTGACTATAAGACCTATGGCATCCTCCTCCGTCTACAGATACTCTCGATCCCAGTTCAGCCTACACACACTTGTCTGCAACGTGTAAGTATTACCGTGCAGTTGAAGATAAAGGATTATTTTCCTAAGTCCCCTCCAATCTTCAACTCCACGAATTGTTGTTCTGCTTCCCTAGCTCTATCCTTATTTTCAGGCTGTCTCCAGGTCGAGATGGACTACTCGATGTCACCTCCACCATATGAAGCATCCTCGTACTTTCCGCTCCAAATTGGTATGAGGCCCTCATCCCCCCCAGGCGTGCCGTTCCACGCCTACCATGTAAGCCTGCCATCCGGTCCCCCTCCCGGCCTCGTCCGCGTCGAGCGCCCAGCGCCCAGCCCCATCTGCCGACTGACCAACAGCGAAATCTCGCTTTTTGGCGATATCGCGCTCTACTTTGACCACCCCTACGATCTCAACGGCCACCCCGTAGTCGTCGACCTCACCTGCACCATCTGCGCTGACTGCACTCTCGAAATGCCGGCAAATGAGTCGGCCCTGCGACCCGGGCTCGGCCCCGATCCAGTGGTTGAGAGCATGGTCGAGCCCCTGGCGGTTCTACCCTGCGGCCACATGTTCGGCAGCCGGTGTCTCGACACCTGGTTATCGTCCAAGGACGTCTCAGGAGAGGTCCCGACATGTCCGCAGTGCCGGTTCGAGCTTTACCACCCGGCTCGGAACTGCGGTCACTACCTGGCCCCCAAGCAGTACAGCCCCCAGCTCAGCCGCTCGGACCAGATACCTTGGACGATCCCGGAGGGCGGCAGTGTGCCAGGTGAGTGCGAGGCCTGCGTCCGGGCCCAGACGGACTACCAGATCGAGCGGCTCGAGGAATTGCTGTTCCCGCAGGTCGGGTTCGAGAACTACCGCTCGGATGACGACGAGCGGCTAGTTCAGGGCGCTAGGCTGATGTTTGCCCGCAACGTTGAGATCATGCGTCACGAAGTCCGGGAGCGGACGTTGAGGTGGTAAGTACATAGATGAGCAGGACCCGGCCGGGAAGTGAGTCGGTAAGTGTACGAGGTCTAAAGGAATACATTCGCCTAGCATCCCTGAACCTAATTGACACAACTTGCTCCACCCTTTTTATAGAAATAGCACCTAAGGTTAAAGGAATACATTCGCCCCTACAATGAGTCGGAGAGCGGACCGATGGGAGGCCGATACCCTGATAATTGACACAACTTTCTCCACCCTTTTTATAGAAACAGCCGACGCAGGCACGGAAGAATAGGGCCTCCGAGCGCCGACGTGCCCCCGGACCGCGTAGCCACATTCAGGGGCTGATAGGGGTCACGCACGGCTCTCGGAAGCCCCAATTTGCCCGCAGGTGGTTTTCGCGTAGACTAAAGGAATACATTCGCCCAGCATTTGCCTGAAAGGAAGCATCGAAGCTGCCGGGCCTCGCACGACGTTGAGGTGGTAAGTACATAAAGAAGCAGGACTCAGGCGACGGGAAGTGAGTCGGTAAGTGTACGAGGCCTGAAGGAATACATTCGCCCAGCATCCCTGATCCTAATTGACACAACTTGCTCCCCCTTCTTGATAGAAATAGAATTGAAGGAATACGTTCGACCCGCATTCCCGATCCTAATCGACACAACTCGCCCCCCCCCCCCCCCCCCCCCATTTTCCTGTAGGAACAGTACTAGAACTTAGATTCGTCTAGCTGGATGGGGTTATACCATCAGGAAAGGCGGCACTACACAAGAAGTATACCGGGAAAAGGGCAGACTTCTCCAAACAGAAGTAGTAAATGCTGAAGTCCATGGTGCTCTCCAAGGTCTCGCAGCAGCCAGGGCAATTGGACACGGAAAACAGCTATATGTCTGCCTGGACAACACGTCAGTGGTAGATGGGCTCAATGGGACTCCACCCGAGACATCACAGAACATTTTTCTACGATTTCAAGAACTTGCCACAGCACACACTCCTGGAGTGACCGTCAAGTGGATTCCTGGACACAGAGATATTGATGGCAACGAAGCTGCCGACACACTAACAAAAGGGGGTACCATGCTAGAAACAGACACAATAAACCTTTTTATAATCTCTTAGGTCAAGAAAGATCTCAAAAGAAAGGGCAAGAAAGAGTTCAACTAATGGTGGAAAGACCAATCAGAACCTAGATAACATCTCCCACCCCCCTGCGGACCACCCCCCCGCGGACCAGCGCGTTCTGACCCACAAACGCGTAATTCACCAACCACCAGGATTATGGTGATCCACCATCTACACCATCACTTTTGCATCTTTTTTTTCACAAAGCACACTATTTGAATCCTTATCCACTGCTGAATCTCATGATGTCATTTTACGACCGTCAAATAAAAGCTGAAGCCGCCATTTTGGCTATCCAACGCGGAGCTCCAGTCCGCTCGTCAGCCCTTGAATGGCAAATCAGTCGCTCGTACGTCAACCGACGAATCTCTGGCACCCCAGCGCGGAATGAGACCAGCGCTCTCCAACAGGCTCTCTCACCGTATCTCGAACATAAGCTGGCAAGCTGGGCCCTGGGGCAAGCACGGCTAGGGTATTCTCTGGCGGTCTCTAAGTTCCGTCTCATGGCCCAGCGGATGCTCCATGCCACCGGGGATGCTCGAGAATTAGGGGAAAATTGGGCATCCAAGTTCCTGTCTCGAAACCCGGAAGTCAAGATAATGAAGTCTCGTGTTATCGACTACAACCGAGTGAATGGTACTATAGCGGCAAATATCAACATTTTTTTCGATCGGTGTGACGCCCCTGACGTGGTTAACCTCATGCCAGCACGCTGGTACAACGTCGACGAAATGGGAATCGCCCAGGGGGTTGGGGACTCCCATTGGGTGGTCTCCGAGGCCTCCGGCAACGTGGCTATGAAGAAAGGGGTCGAGAAGGGTGAATGGATAACTGCCCTAGAGTGTGTGAGCGGATCTGGTGAGACCTTGCCGCCGCTGGTGATTCTTAAGGGGGTTAACGTACAAGGCCAGTGGTTTAGCAACCAAAACGAGGGCAAATTCACCGACTGGAGGTTTATTATGTCGCCTAATGGATGGACCTCGAATCCCATTGCGTTAGAATGGCTTCAATGTATCTTTATTCCTCACATTCGGGAGGTCCACGGCAACACATGGGTGGTTTTAGTGTGTGATGGCCACGACTCCCACACGAATAACGAGTTCCTAGCCACCTGCTTGAGAAACAAAGTATGGTTGATCTTTTATGAACCTCACTGTTCCCATGTAGTCCAGGTGTTAGATGTGGGAGTCTTCAATTTGATGAAAAAGAGGTTGAAGACCTTACTCCAGGAGACGCCCAGCGGCCGTCTGGGACTCAGGCCATCTAAGGAGGAGGTTTTGGAGTGCTACGAGCAGGCCCAGAAGGACACAATGACGCTCCTCAACATCAGAATTGCCTAGAAAAAGACTGGGATTGTTCCTCGCAACAGAGCGGAGGCGTTGAAGTCAAAATATGTGATTCTGGAAGACAAGGGGGTGGCCAGGGCACGCCAGAGGGACCCTAAGGCTTCCGAGCGAGTCATAACACCAGATTTTCTCGAGATGGTAGCTAAAATCATTGTCACAACACCCTCTGGAAGCCGGGCTTTGCGGGAGAGTGCTCGAAAGCTCGAAAGAAAGGACCCTTCCTTTGGGGGGCCCTCTGAGCGCTTGTTGGTGCGGAAGGCTGGCAAGGCCATGGATGTTCAGGCTGCTACCATTGCAAATCTACGGGCCAAATGTGAGCTGCTTGAGGCTCAAGTGGCTAAAAAGGCTAATACCACTCGAAAAGCAGTCAAACCAACACCAGGGGAACGATTCGTCACAATGGCTAATATAAGGGAGGCCAAAATAGAGCTGAGGAACAGGAGGGTCTATAGGGACTCCGCTGCAGGCAAAGAGGTCCCACAAGAGGTCCCTGGTAAAGATTTAGGGTCGGAATCGGATTCTGGGAGCTGTATTATGGTTAGAACACCACGACCTTAGTGTATTTAGCAACTGTGGTGGTTGTAGATGGCTTCATCTGAATGAGAGTGGTGTGGTGTGGAGTGGTCCGTGGGGGGGTGGTCCGCAGGGGGGGGTGAGATGTTATCAAGAAGTATACTCACATACAGTAACTAAAAGAGACCTTATATCTTTTAAGAGGAGTACTTTACACAGACTTCTAGCAGCCAGATCTGGACATGGCGACTTTGCTGGATACCACGAACGCTTTGGGCATACAGACTTGAATGATCACTGCAGCTGTGGTGAGAAGAAAACACCACAACACATTTTCTTTTGTAAGAGGCTGGGGAAAAATCGGCTGTTGCCTAGGTACTCGCCTAGGACAGCTTATTTATAATACTTAAAGGAGAGGAGCACAGAATGAGCAAAATTCGTGGAGAAGAGCAAATTCTTTTCATCAATCTGCCCTCGATAGATAGCTGTTCTTAAAGGACCAGATGGATGACCCAAGGTCATACCGCCGCAACAACAGGGATGGGCCCGTGAGCGGGACTGACTGTACTTATTATCTTGAGACCTCCACAACCCTGCGATACAGAGGCTCTGGGAGGCGTGGTTTGCACTACTGAGGAGCTACCCCCCACGTTAAATACAATCAATCAATCATTAGATTCGTCTAGCATTCCGGATCCTAATTGACGTAACTTGCTCCGCCCTTCTCACAGAAACAGCACCAGCTAATATGATCCGTTAAAAGTAGTATTAAGATCCTGTCGTTTTGGTCGTTGTGGAAACCTAGCTGGTACCTAGACCAGGGTTTTTGTTGGATTCTGGGCTACGTTAGCCCATCCATAGTCATCCTTCAGGATCAACATCTCCATCTGTGACTCTGTCACATACGTGGCCAATATAAGGCCACGTATCCTTTCCTTTAGTATCTTGGATATATAGGGCCACTCTGGCCGCTCCAGAGTAGCTGGAATTCCTCTCCTTAGATAGAACACTTTGAAATCTCACAGTTTTCAGTGTTGCTTGAAACAGCCGTTTGGAGCCTGTCATTTCGTTCGGTGTAGAGGTCTGGTCATGGGGTATTGCTGTTGTCTGACGCTTACTCGGTACCGAAGCATGGGTTCTTTGTCGCTTGAAACAATACCCCATAAAAGCTTGCAATCCTTACCTTTTCCCCTGCGTCCAGAACAGTACAGGTGTCTAGGATGGTAATGGCCAGCGATTCCACGTAATAGGGGGTATGGGTCCGTCTATAATAGTAACTGCTATTCTAATACACATTTTATAATGAGAAGTAACGCTAACCATTACCATCCTAGACACATGTAAGAGGTCGTGAAGGAAGCATCGGAGCTGCAGGGCCTCGCATAAGGGATAATCCCCTTGACCACATCGTCCACAAGTTCCACGTATCTTTGCCACCATGTGCTAAGCCACTTAATTGCATGGTTACATGAGCGAGACTTATATAGAAAGGGCATTCTGCAACACGCTCCTCTCGGGTGCTCAGCCTACCCGTCAATGTGCCCGACGCGTCTGACAAACCACTATGAAGCTGTTCAGTCTTGCGTTCTTGCCTTTGTTGACCGTCTCGGCAATCCCGACCTTGCGAGGCATACCCCAGCCAGTGATACTGGCCGACACCAACCGCGACGGGAAGGTGGACGACGATGATCAAAAAGGCAGAACCGAATGGACAGAGAAGAGCGGTGCTATTTTCCTGCCGAATATAGGAGACTCAACGAAGCGATGCCCAGAGTACAAATCCATTGAGAGGACCAGCGACTACTATAAGGAAATGAATCGATGTAACGACGCAATGGACGATGAGCTTATAGAACTAGCCTACCTGGCCCCAATGAAGACCAACCCACTAAATGCGCCGGACGGAGCATGGGCAAACATCTACGCAACCCCGGACGAAGCTGCCTCACGCGTTCGTGTGTTCTATCAGGAACACGACAATTGGGAGTACGTCAAGCCAGATTTCAAGTTCAATGAGGAGATGTTACGGCAGGGAATTACTTTGGGCCTTGATGGTCGCGAAACGGTTAGGTCTGCCGATGGCTGGGATGGCCAGGTCACAGTACATTTCGACGTATTCCTCGAGGACCATGCCCAAGCTGGCTCCGACAAGGTCGTCCTAAAAATTGCACCCATCATCCTTCAGCATAGCCTACAGGACCTTCAAGAGGTCCTATCTCCCGCAACTTCGATATTCAGCGGAATTTATGGCAGGCGGCTCAGCTACTTCACAGAACAGCTGAATAACGCCTTCAAGGCCATCGGCTTTAGCAAGGTCCTTACCCCTATACAAACTCAATGGGTGCAGGACTTAGGTTTGCCAGCTTATGCTAGCATGCCTGGACCTGAAGGTCCTGTCTCGATACGACTCTTCATCGTATCTCCAAATACCGAGGAGAGACTAGCTGTGCCGATCTACGACCAGATACGCGGCAAAGGAGTTGGTATTATCCATCCCACGCCCGACGAACGTAAACTGGAAAGACTAGTAACCGTTGCTGATGGGGGATTTGACCCTCGGCGGGGCAACTTGAGTAAAGGGGGCAATCATGTCACGATTCCTCCATATACATCGAAAACGGGCCGTCGTTACCCATTCGGTCGTACACTGATGGGTTAGTCCTCCTTCTCCTCTTCCTCCTCCGCCGCCTCCTCCTCCTCCTTCCCCTATTTTCCCCTAGCACGGTCTCTAAGTGACGGTAGGCGAGGATACCGAGCACGAATTTCAACCGTCGGGAGACCTGATGCGCCTTCTCAACGCACAACGGCTGCAACCACTTCTTCTGCTCAATAGTGGCTGGTTAGAAGTGGGGCATCTCGACGAGTTCCTGCAGTTCATCCCATCGGAAAAAACAGACACTGGCTTCACAGTTACCATCGCGGATGCCAAAGCTGGAAGGAAAGTTCTCCAGGATCTGGACGATAGTGGCGAGGGTGAGTTTTTCTCTAATACTGAGTGCACGCCTAAGTTCCAGTGCCTCCTAGCTCTTTTTGTATACAATCTAGCGTTATTGACTGCCGCGTCTGTGACGGCCTGCACAGACCTTCCCACATGACAAGCGGATACTTCCCAATAGGGGAAGGATCTGACCAAAGGATCCCCTTAAAGGGGCAACCTCCCATTGTACCTATCTCTCTCTCTCTCTCTTCCTTTCCTCTCTAGTCTTGATATTCTCGTCAATAGAGTAATAGCTACTTGCTGCCGGCCATGTCCCAGCTCCTCAGTACGCTCGCCGTGACAGCGTCGTACAGGAGACCAACATGCGATGACATATGATCGGGCCGCCTTCGAGAAGAACCCGGACGGATATGGACGTGGGCCCGAGGTAAGGACAATAAAGGAAGTTTTGGACGACGACGGTCTGAAGAAGGTAAACGAGTGGGCGCAGGAGCAGCTCGACGCAAACCTCAAACTACTACTGGACGAGATACCGCTGAAGGAAGATGATGTCGTCCGTATTCCCACTGTGTTCCGGGAAGACTCCTACCACCTTCTCATCACAATGCACCCAAACCCTCTCAATGGTATCGTCGTCGGGGATAATTTCCTCTCTGCTGATCCTAGGGGGCCGACGGTTGATGGCGAGGACAAACTCAAAACGGCGGTCACGGAGGCCTACGGGGACGCGGGTATGAAGGTAGCGTACGTCGATACCCTAGAGATCTTGCACTATTACGGGGGAGGCTTGCATTGCGCCACCAACACCTGGAGGACGCCGGCTGCAAAGTGGTGGAGCAGTAGATAGTTATGTTGTGGCGTCTCGGATATGCGAAGACCTTGTCGAACAGTGTAGGATAGTTATTGTAGTAAAAGAAAATGTCAACCCTGCTACGATGGGAACCCCCTGGCGAAAGATGCCCCTGCAGATCACTTTGGGCAAGTCTCATACCTGATGAGAGGGTGAAGTCGCATGTACTTTGTGTTTTAGACAGTGCATTTTGAGCATACAGCATGGTTACTTTAGGTTGAGCAATCCATATCTAGATGTCTCGTCCTCGTCATTGGAACGCTACACGACCCTCCATTGCCTCTCCCCACAGAGGCCAAGGTACGCACGACACATCGCTTGCCCTGCCCGCCGTCCTTGATGAGCCAGTTTTCTCCGTGTGAAGAATCCTACTTGAGAATAGAAGTCAGTTCTCTGTCGCACAAAAGCATGAACTACCGCTGGATACGAGCGGGTTTCGACTTTGCTTACGTTTGTTCATATGGCGATGGCTTTGAACAGTCCGATGCTGTCATATTCTCTCAAACTCCGATGCCGTGAAAGACTTTGTACTACCTCAGGGAACGACCCTTTACCCAAATGAAATGAGCTGAGAGTAAAAGCCTCCCAGGATATTGTTAGAGAGGTACACAGGCGATTAGCACCGCTCGATGCTCGCAGATATGCGCTGTGGGAATCCTTGCAAAGGTCGAAGATGTTATCCCTGGACACTGAAACGATTTACGCCGAGGTTTTTTTAAAATAAAATAAAATTAAACTTAGGTGTTCGACCGGAAGGGGAGAGCCAAACCCAAACGCCCTAAAATGCAACAAACAGCAGAGCCCCCGTGCTGTACGCAAAGTCTAACAGAATAAAACGCCGTCCTCCTTTCTAACTAATGTTGCCTGATTATGATCGCACCCAACCCTCTTCACAAATACAGTCTATACCGGTACACCATCATCGCCACTGCCCTATTCTCTCATCGAGTTGGCTAGCATCAATCATCCCATCACCTTGTTGAGAGACTCCAGCATATCCTCCTTCTTAGTCTGAAGCTTCTCGTGGAGATAGTTATTCAAGTTGTAATTCATCGGATCGTCCTTGTTCATCCCGACAACGTACATCGCACTCTTGTCGCTCTTCTCGAGTCTTACAAAGTCGACACCCAGGTACTCCACCGACCGGTCCTCCTTGTAGTCCGCGGCGATCGCGGCCGGGAACAGATCGGGCTCGTAGGCGTAGACGCTGCAGAACAGGTCGAACAGGTTCGCCTGAAGCCCCGACCCGCCGACGAACGACTGCTCCAGCGAGTACACGGCGCTGCCCTTGCCGAACGCTTCAGCCATGGTGTCCGGGTTCCTGAACGTGAAGGTCCACGGGCTGACCTTGGCGATCTCGGTGGGTATCAGCCACAAGTCCAGCTTGTCGTTGCCCTGGATGGCCTTTCCCATGACGAGTTTGGACGCGCCTGGGTCGAGGAAGTGGTTGTATTGCACCTTGAAAAGGTTCGATTTGGGGTCGAAGGACTGCAGCATGACGACGGCCTGCTCGACCGTGTGCTCCTTGTCATTGTCGTCCGCCGTAAGATGGTGCGCCAGCGATGTCAGTGGGCCGCCTACCAGGTATCGGAACTTGTTGACGCTGAGGTATTTCTTGATGTCCTTTTTGATATCGCTGTCTGGGATCTCATTTTTGTACGTGACAAGCTCGCCGACGTCGCCGTTCTCCTTCACGAACTCCTTGCCCATCTTCTGCAGGGCGCCGCGGATGCACGTTTCCCTTTCCTTGTCATACGGATTCTTCCGATTCATCCCCTTGCATTTCTGGATCGATTGGGTTGTGTCATCGTCCAGACCCCATTCATAGTCCGTGACCTGCTTGGCGAAGTGGATGCCTTTTTTTAGGCGCGGCTCGCTGGCGCCAGCCTCAGGCTTGCCGCCGCCCTTGGTGACGATCTTGTATCTTTTCCTGTCGATCTTGAAGGAATCCAAGAACCTCATGAGGCGGATCTTGGAGACTTGCATGTAGAGCTCTTCGTCGGCAGTAGTCGAGGTTTCGTGTAAGTAGTCGTACCAGGCCTGAAACTCGGTTGAAAGCTTGGGGACCGCTTTTTTCTTGAAATCAGCGGTCCCGTCGGAGACGATGTAGAATACGGGAACCTCGGTCATCCAGGTTTTAAACTCAGGGTTGTCGCGCTTTATACGGGCAATTTGCCTCCAGGCCTCGATGAAGCAGTTCGCTTCTCCGTAGTTTTTGATCAAATCCTTGGCGATCGAGCGCCATGTCTCATCCATGGAGTCGTCGAGGGCATCCTTTTGCGCTTCTGCTGTGACCTTTTTCAGGGCTTCGTCATCGAGGAATTCGTTGAGCTTGACGGTGCTGATCTCCTCCCATCCGTAGTTGACCTCGCGGCCGTACATTGTTATATGGGCCTTTTTCTTGTGGTTCTTGAGCAGACCGTGGGCGACCATGGGGAAGTTGTCACCGTCGGGAATGTCCATGCTCATGACGAGGCCCCAGTCGTCGTCATCCGACTTCCATTGCTCGATAGCGTTACCGTCGTTCCCAGGGATGGTCAATGCCAGGCAGGCTGATGCCAGGAATGGAAGGGCGGCGAGCGCATGTTTTAGACTGAACATGAGCGCGGCTGGAGATGCTCGGTATTCTCGTTTGCCTTGACGGTCTGGTGATCAAGGCGATTACCTGGTTCTCAGAGAGCTGATGGATGGGTGTTTCTGTTGTATGGATTCTAGTCAGAACTTTTAGGTATGTGTAGCTGGATACCTATCCTACTTATGCAAGTCGACAGGTCAGTAGCAGGTCCTCGCGTTCAAAGATCCACAGTGTCGCCTCCCTGCCAGTGACGATGATGTGTCTTCCCATCTTCATGACATTTCTAAGAGACACCTTATCGGCTCTGGTTACTTACGAGGAATGAAATAAGAAGGAAGTGGCAAAAAAAGAGACAAGCATCATACCGTGGTGGTTCTTGCTGGATGTATCCAGCCAGCCGGCGGGCACCTCCGTCCTAATGGCGATGTGTCTTAAGAGACACTTCATCGGCCATGGATGCTCGCCAGAAATTACATCATCAGGAGGCGGCACTGCGATGGGAGAACGATGTCGTGCCTCATGTTGCATCATAGAGAAGCGGCAAAAAAAAAAAAAGAAAGAAAAAAGAAAAAAGGAATGCACGCTGTGCCGTGGATCGGTGGATGCTGTTCCGTGATGGCTGGGTGGAGGCTGTGCCGTGGTTGTTCTTGCTGGATGTAGTAATTTTACCGGCTTAGTAGGCTCTTAGTCTTTACAGGTGTTCAGGATGGTAATAATTGGTGGTTCGTAATAGGTAGAACCTTACGCGATGGGAACTTTCTTACAGGAACGTTCTCGTTGGGTATTCCTGTACACAAAAATAGCCAGACAACAGCTTGCACCAAAGAAAGTAACATTGAAGTCATCGCTTGGGTCCCGTGGTGGTTCCTATTGCTACAAGATGCAGCCAGACGCCGAACGGTGAATCACATCATCGCAGTCGTCGGCGTGGGGCTAGGGATCATCATATGTACGGCGGCATGTTCCTTGCTTTGCCTGGTAGGTAACAACGATTGCAATGAGCTGAACAATGACACCACGGACGAATTCTCCGTCAGGTCCATCATGATTCTGTTAAAATAGGTGAATGTGGATTATACAAAATAACATGATGAAGTTGGCCATCCTGCGCGATCGCCAAAGTGTCAGCCAATCGCCCCTTGGATCTGACCTACTCCACATACGGTTAGGGCAGATCGGCGTTCGGGGTCCCTATCCTTCCGTGCCCAGCCGGGGCCACGGGCAGCCCCATCTTTCGGCCCCTCCGTGGGACAATTCCGAGCTACAGTATTACTACATACGGCTCGTCGTATTCCAACCCAATCAGTTGGTTAGAAGAAAGCAAAGAGTGGGTTCCCGAAGGACTCCCGGTTGGAACATCTGGATCTTCCTTTAGTTCGAGCCGCCAGGTAGTTTAAGCTTTGACTGAGATAAAAGGTGACATTTGATCCCTAAGGATTGTGAGTGCCTTGCGCTAGTGCTCCATGCGGATGTCCACTATGGCATCGATGCGTAGAGGAACTCTCACCGAGGCAGACAGGCTTGACAGGCTTAGCTGAAAACCTTCCATAGCCTTAAATCTAGATGCTTGAGTACATACCATCCTCATGTCACCAAGATTAGTAATAATCAAACGAGCAAGCAATTCTCTACAATTCCATGTGCATGTTAACATTTACTTGATTTTCTTTCATTTAATTATAAAGCGTGTAAAACTAAAGTGGTGGAATCACCACTAACAACGTGCTGGTGATGTAGCTAGTGGCTATGGGAGGTTTTCTGCTAAGCCTGCCTGCAAGGCTCACATCGAAGCGGCCCACGGCACTCAGACCTTCTCGGTAGGTACGTGTTCGTTCCCTGTGCCGCTGTTCGGCCTGGCATCCCACGCGTGCTCCGTCGCATCGAGCTTGTTCATCTCGGCCTCTTCGCTGTCGTACTTGTGGAAGATGCCGTAGAACCCAAACGACGTCACCACCGCAAGGATAGCGACCCCGGTGTACATCCACATGATAGCTGGATCGCCCGTAGCCGGGACTAGCGCCTCGTTGAGAGCCGATCCGATGGCAGACGTGAAGAGGTAAAGGGACTGCACAAACGACTTCATGCTCGGCGGCGCCTTGGTGTACGCGTACTCCAACCCGGTGACCGAGATGAATATCTCGGAAATCCCGATGAGCACGTAGGCGGGCGTTTGGACCGCGATGTGGACGTGGTTTGGCAAGGGCGATTCCCCGTCCATGCCGGCAGGACATGCGCCAGGCCGATCGAAGCAGGGGCCAGTGCTATAGATGATGTGCTGGACGATGGCGGCATAGGCGAGACAGAGACCGGCGAACATGAAACCGATGCTGATACGGGCAATGGGTTTCAACTCGATGTTCATCTTCCTCAAGAGCGGGTACACGATGCGGTCGAGAATGGGGATGAAGACCAGGATACTGATGGGATCGAAGTTCTGCATCAGATCGTTGGGCATGCCGTGGCCCTCCATCTGTGCAGCCTGGGAGACGAAGTTGGAAGAGAACTGGCCGTAGCAGATCCTATCATGCCATTGTCAGCATACAGCATACAGCAGTATGGGATCGAGGCTTACCAGAAGATTGGATAGAAGCAAAAGACTTTGCAGGCACGCAGCGCACGCTTCAGCTCGTCGACAAAGTGGTCGTTCCAAGGCACCGGCTTCGTCTTGCCCATGGCAGCGCGCCAGGAGGGCTTGGCGGCATCGGTGTTGCGCGAGACAATCATCATGCCGATGGCCTTGAACGAGTCGGTGATGATGGAGCCTTGCGGAGGGCGAACAATGTACCGGCCGCGGCAGATGATGAGAACCACGACGGCGACGCAGAACATCAGCCAACACAGCAGATACGCGCTCCAGAAGCCCACGTATCTCTCCATGAACGGCGTGGCCAGCAACGATAGACAGCCAACATTGATACAGAAGTAGAACATCATGTAAATACGCTGGTAAGTAATGGCGGGATCGATGATGATGCGCTCGCCAGTCTTCGGATCCGTGCTGACGGCCATGGTGTGGCGGGTGTCTGGTGTATAAAATGGTCCCTGGTTAGTTACCGTACCCTATGTCTCTAGAACCGCTTAGCAGAATTACTTACTGCCGAAAAGTTAGCAGAAAGTTCAAGTGTATTCCAAACCCGGGGACTTAGGGTCTGAATAGGGATGTATTTATACATGCCATTGATCTGCAATTAACGGAGCGATATTGGATTTTATCCCACCAGTGCCGAAGGCGATCACGATGATGGCGGTGATGAAACCACCAAGCGAAGCGCCGCTCTCAATTGCCGCTGGAAGAGCAGTCGTCCACAACAAGATCAAACCAACAAAGTAGACGGCAGCAAAGACTAGAATGGTCTTGTACTTTCCGAGGTACTGGTCGGCGATAATGGCGCCGAAGATTGGCGTGATGTAGCAGGCGAATTGGAAGAAGACCTATCACTTTGTCAGTCAGGTGCTCGCCTATGCCATGTCACATGTGGCTGGGCCGAGAGGTCCGTACGTTCAGACCCGTGGCACCAGCGTGACCTAGACCGAGACCAGCTGCACCGTCTTGACCACCGGGTCGGTTGCTGATGTAGTTCTGGAAGAGACCCTGGCAGCCGTAGTCTGTCGCGAAGTCAGTATGGCTTCATTATTTCAGGTACAACACGCCGAACCCTCCCAAGTCATGGTGCAATCCCCGCTCAGGAGCATGGACATTTAGGGGTAATCATTGATTCAAGGTGATAATTCAACAAATCACGAATACATAGGAGTTATGCAGGTGTAACTGTAAGTAGGATTCTGGCTTACAAGTAAAGCGCTCGCACAGCTCGACGACGGCAATCAGGTAGGCGGCCTTAGGAAAGGCATCTCCAACACGACGCAGCGTCTTGATCTCGTGAGCGTTGGGCTCCTCGCCGTCGGCCGTGTCGGCTGAGTGGCTCTTCTCAACCGAGATGCTAGGCAGCCTGCCGCCAGTCATGTCCTTGCCCTGGTCCTTGCTGTCGCCAACAGCGCCGCCTTGCCGTTGTTGGAGCGTGGCGTGAAGTTCTGCCGCGGTATCCTCGTGGGCCTGTGCCATGGTGGGCGGTCGAGGTCGGGGTTGAGATTGAGATTGAGGTTGGAGTCAGAGTCGGAGTGAACCCCAAAGTCAAAGTTGCAAGGAACTGCGACTTAGAGAACGTGTTTGGATTGGTCTAGTGGTTGTAATGATGCTAGAGAGCTAGAATCCCCAGGGCTAGCGAGACGTTGACTTTTGTACCCCTCGAACGCTCGAGGTGTGCTTGCCCGTCCTACCTTGCTGGCTACCGGTTTGCTCCTGCCTGCCTCGTACCAGCTGCTGTGCCGTAACCTTGAGTAGATTAATTATTATTATTATTATTTTGGTGGCTCATGGCTGAATTCTGTTCATTATCTCGCTCAATTTCAACGCTACTGCTTAATAACAGTTCGGCTCAGCACTAGCGACCGTTCGGGCAACTCTTCCATTGGAGGGGGTTACGGTCGGGGAGGGTCAGTGACACTCAGTGTTCACCCATCTGTCAGACACATGTTGCCCGGCGCCCCAGGGTACAAGCCCCGGCCGACTCATGCATATGCTGTCATGTCACGCTGCACGGTCAACGGCAACTCTTACGTTGCCTTTAGACGGACGGCGGGTTGCCGTACCCGGCTACCAATAGGCAGGCGATCAATAAGGAGGCGGGGGATTCTCATCAATTCTGCGGCCCGTCAAGGTCCATGGTCCCCGATCCATGCTCAGACGTGAACCTTGTGCTCACCCACGGTTGCGCTCGATGATGGCCGCTGGGCGCTGGCCACACTGGACATGTTTAGACTTTGAAGCCGTGGCCTGACAGCCTGATGATGAACAGGGCCGAAGTAAGTTGGCTTTGGGATGAGTTGGTGAGTGTGGGGTGCAGACAGCCCGCCGCCGGCAATGATCTCGATGATGTACATGTAGCCAATGCAACATTACCGGGAAAGTTTCCCCAACCCCCTCGCACAATATGCCCTGTCCGGAGCCAGCACTACCAGGATGATATCATGGGGATGAAACCTACATACGGAATGGGCTTCCAGAAGGCAGACAATTTCTTCTAGCCTCGGGCTGTCTGTCGCCCCAATCCATCAGCATACGACCGCCTTCCGCGCGTGCTGCCGCATAATAGTTCCTGCTGGTACAAATGAGATCGAACTTCATCATTCAGGTAGGTAGTGGGTAGGCAGGGAGGTAACAATGATCACTTCGCGCCGATACGCATGCGAAGCCTTTCAGCGGCCAACAGGCTAGCAGCCCGGCTGATTCATGTAATCGCGGGGCGAGCAGTTGCCGAGGTCATTGTTGGGTAGTAGGTATGGTATTGACAGAGGGCGAAGCTATCGCAACAGTGCACTACTCACGGTGGGACTCGTTATATAGTCATCCGTAAGTATGCGTTTAGACTGGGTCGACGACTGATAAAAGAAGGCAACTTATCTTGCGTACTTATTACATACTTAGTCACGAGTCGCAATGCCATATTACTACATTACTACTACCTTGCGTCTCCAATACGAGTCAATAAGTCCTGGCGCAACGGAACATGCGTGCCGTCCTCCGCACCAAGATCGGCACGAATCCGTCTAACATGTGAGGATGTTACAGTACTTTGCAGGTATCGTGTCACGGGCGTGAATGTGCAAATCTAAGCGGTCATGTGGTCGGTCTGGTGCATCTAATCATGCCGTCAGCTTACAGCCTTATCGAGGACTTTTTCTCTTTTGGCATATCTTATCCCGGGGTTCGACGATCTGTGCAGTCAGTCATCCAGGGGCTTCAGATGGACTCGGCTTCGGATAAAGCGCCACAAATGGTAACTACACAGATCAGAGCAGTCTCGTGTTGGCAAAGGGACGATTCACGACACCCCCATGCACTCATAAGTTCCCCCAGAGGAGCTCTTTCTAACAATAGCGAAAGAAAGAAAGACCAGCTCTGTACTAGGCCGATGTATGACTTCTGCGCGATGAACATAACCCAGGAACATCATCCCGTGGTTTGGATGAGCACATTCACGGGCCTCATGCATTGCAATAGTCTGGATTCCGCCTGTTCCGTTCTATAGCCCTACATAAGTTACTCATGAAGCTGCCTCCTGGGCGGCTGCGTAGGTATGAAAGCTCCCCGTCGCCCTCGGGTACGCAATCTTGGCCGGGGTCTCGCCATTCACAAGCGCGCCGTCCATGACGCCGTTGGCAGCGCCATCTACTTCTCCATCCACCTCATCATCCTCAAACGCACCCCAGCCCCCACCGCCGGGCGTATGGATAACGCAGCGGTCGCCCTCCTTCATGTCGACCTGGCCCCGCGACCCGATGTTGATCCAGCGCTCGCCATCGCCGTCGTCGGTCTTCTGGACCCAATAATTCGCCCCCGACTCGCCGTTCTCACCTCTGAGCATCCCGTACGGCTGGTGGACTCTGCGCTCCGTGATGAGGCCGAAGGTGAGGTCGTGGCGGCACTCCCAGTCGCGCACGATGCCGCACCCGCCCCTAAACCTGCCCCGGCCCCCGCTGCCCTGCCGGATCGAGAACTCGCGCACCAGCACCGGGTACCGCTTTTCGATGATCTCGACGTCGGTGGTGCGCGTGTTCGTCATGTGGATCTGCACCCCCGAGGCGCCGTGCCACGTCGGGCCCGCGCCCTCGCCGCCGCAGATGGTCTCGCCGTAGCCGAAGCCGAAGCCCAGCTCCTCATCCTGCGGCTTCTTCTGACCCTCGACGCCGTCCTCGCCGTCTTTCTTCTCGACCTTGCAATTACCCATGAATCCGAAACAATTCATGCAGCCCTGGGACCCGCTAGCCGCGCGGAACGCCTTGAGCAGCAGGTCGACGAGCCGCTGCGACGTCAGCGTGTTGCCGCAGCACACGGCCGGGCCCGACGACGGGTTGAGGAGCGTGTTCTTGGGCAGGATCACCTTGGTCGGCGCCAGGCAGCCCTGGTTGAGCGGGATGTCCGAGTTAATAAGCAGTCGCAGTGTGTAAATCAGCGCCGAGTAGGTGATAGCCGGCGGCGCGTTCATGTTCGACAGCATCTCGCAGGACGTCCCCGTGAAGTCGAATGTGCCGGAGCCCTCCTCGTCGACCGTGATGGCCACCTGCATCATCGAGCCGTTGTCGAGGTAATCCCGCGCCTTGAACGGCTTCGACCCGAACCGCTTGAAGGCGGACTTGAGGTAGCCACGGACAGCCACCTCGGCGTTCTCCTGGATCTTGCGCATGTAGAAGTGGACGGTATGCTTGCCGTACTCATCCATCAGCGCGTTAATCAGGTTGCTACCCTTGGTATAGGCTGCGACTTGGGCCTTGAGATCTGACAGGTTGTCTCCTAGTCGTCGGGAACCACTGCAGTTAGGATATTTCCCTGGCTCCAGCAGAAGAGCGACAATTCCCTCTTCGTCGAAATGGCCATCCCGTACGAGGAAGAAGGACTTGATTGCCGCACCCTCTTGCCATAGTTCCGTCGAGTCACTGCTAACATATTAGAGCTCAGCACGACAGGCGGATACACCAGGGAACACTTACGGCGGCATCGAGTTACCTCGGAATCCTCCTATGTCTAGGTGGTGGCCCCGTGAAGCTGTGTAGAAACAGATCGACTTGCCATCTCCGTCGAAGACCGGTGTAATCACCGTGATGTCCGAGGTACCAGATTAGCATTGGATGCCAAGACAGGGTTCATCACAGCGTACCTGGTAGATGAGTTCCTCCTGACTCAGGGTGGTTCGATACTAGCACGTCTCCAGGCCGTAACTTTCCGTGGTGGAGGTTGTGTTGGTATTTGACTGCATAGCTCATACTTCCCAAATGTACCGGAACCTGCGGCCGTGTAAGTGCATATGCCAATGGCCTGTCTGGCTTGGAGATGACTCACATGAGGTGCATTAGCCACCAGCTCGCCGTCCGGACTGAATATCGCACAGGAAAAGTCAAGCCGCTCTTTGATATTGAGCGAGATACTGGTCTTCTGCAGAGTCCGTCCCATCTGCTCGGCAATACTCATGAATCTGTGGCCGAAGATACTGAGCTTGATGGGGTCCACGACAAGTTCGTGCTCGTCCTTATACTGCTTCGACTTCCCGTCGGCGAGGTCGATCACGACATGGGAAGTGAGGATCTTGGCCTTGGCCGAGGGTACCACCACGATGGTCTGGGTGTTATCGATGATGATTGCCGGTCCATCTACAACGCTTCCTGGAGCCAGATCCCCGAGGCGGAAGATCTCCGTGGGTTGAAGACCACCGGCCTCGAAGAAGACATTGGCCTATGAGAAGTTAGATGAGGGACTTTCCGGTGGAATAATTCTTGACCTACCACTTTTCCTTCGCCTGAGGCGCTTGCGAACGTGAAATTCTTCAACTCCTTTACCAGCTGCTCGTTGGCATGGCTAGCCTCGCCACTCTTGCCGACACCCCTGACTCGGACATCGTCGACCAGGACTTTTCTATCACGCGGGAAGGTGAAAGACAGCTCACGGAGATGTTCCTTCTCCAGTGCCGACCGCCAGTCGCCGTCCGCAGGCTCGGTGATCATGAAGTTTGTGTCAGTCCCGTGGTACCGCAGGTTGAGGTAAGGCTCGTGCGCGATTGCGGATGGACTGGTACCCTGGGCCAGCAGGCCCTCGGTGACCTTGTTCCTGAGCACACCGAGCCTTTCGTTAAGCCTAGGGACCGATTCGTCCGACAAGATCTCCGAGCTTGGCTCTTGCGCCTCTTGCACCACCTCGGCGAGGGCCATTCCGTACGCCGACAGGATGCTGGAGTATTTGTGGATGACAGTCCTGCGAATGCCCAGCTTCGACGCGATCTCGCAGGCATGCTGGCCTCCGGCACCACCGAATGTAGCTAGGTTATGTTCTGCAGTCTCGAACCCACGGGCTTCTGTCAGCGCCCGGATCGGGCGACTCATCGACTCGTTTGCCACGTCGATGAAGCCGTGAGCAACTTCTAGTGCGGTCATCGACCGGCCGGTGTCTGCATTGATCTGCGCCGTGAGCTCTTCGAATTTCTTCGCGACGATGTCGGAGTCGAGCGGAAGGTTTTCATTTGGGCCGAAGATTGCTGGGAAGAACTCGGGAAGAGGTCGACTGAGGCTGCGGCTCATTGTCAGTAATGCACATTCTTCTGCCTTTCAACCCCTACTTACAAGAGATTGGCGTCAGTGACTGTCAGCGGACCGCCCTTGCGGTACGATGCTGGTCCTGGATGAGCGCCAGCACTCTGTGTCAACGTTAGTATTGAGTGCCGTTCGCGAATCTGCTGGTAGTAACTAACCTCCGGACCGACTTTGAAAAGACCATCGCGCCAGAATAGCATTGAGCCACCGCCAGCAGCTACCGTATTGATGTCTAATTGAGGAGACTGTATCGATACACCAGCAGTGGTGGTTTCAAAGACGTGCTCAAAGGCACCTCCGTATCGACTCACGTCAGTCGAAGTACCTCCCATATCAAAGCCGACAATGGGCGACTTTCCATCATAGGACGTCCTGGCATGGCCGACAACACCGCCTATCGAATATCATTAGCGCGTTTCCATGACCTAGGTCCTGCGAGCCTTACCAGCTGGCCCACTCAGGATTCCTCTTAAGCCACTGAAGGTCTTGTGATTCACAAGGCCTCCGTCGGACTGCATGAACTCGCAAGAGACGCCATCCAGGTTCCCATTCTCAAAGCCCTTGGAAAATCCAGCAATGTATCGGGTGATCTCCGGGGTCAAATACGCATCTGCCGAAGCAGAGCCACCTCGGGAAATCATCTTGATCATGTTGGCGCCCACGCCGGACGAGGTTGAGACGTGGGTGAAGCCGAGCTCCCTTGCGATCTCGGCGACTCGAAGTTCGTGGGTTGGGTACAGGTACGAATGGGCCAAGCAGACGGCGATGGTGTCAATGCCATTTGCTCGGATGGTAGATAGCTTCTGGCGGACCTCGTCTTCGTCCAGGGGGCGAATGACTCGCAGGATATCCCCCGTGGTCCCCTTGACAAGCACACCGGGTACCTCTTTCAGTGGCGGACGACTGTCCTTGTTGATATCTTCGTCGAATTCCTCCGGTGTCAGCCTCTCGGAAATTTCGACAACCTCATCATACAGGAGCTCGGGTTTACGAATGCCCAGCGCGAACAGCTTCGGTCTGGACTGGTAGCCGATGTCTAGGAGATCACGGAATCCCTGGGTGACGACAAAGGCGTGTCTTGTCCCCTTTCTCTCCAGAAGAGCTGTAATTCCTGTCAGTACTATAAACTCTCGAGGCGGGTGGTCGCGTCACTTACCATTGGTGGCGACGGTAGTGCCCATTCGTATAGAATGAATCAAGTCCTTCGGGATCGGTGAGCGCCTGGGTATGGTCTTTCTGGAGACCAGCTCCAATACACGGCGTATACCCTCGGCTGGCGCATCATCATAGTTGCCAGGGTCGACCGACAGGAGCTTGAGCACGATGTCCTCTCTCCCCGGTATTGCGGCCCAAACATCGGTAAATGTACCACCGCGATCTTGGACGTGATGTCAGCCACGGGCACGCAATCAGAGGCACGGGGTCCCTTACCGATAGCGAACTTGATTGCTCTTGGGCTCAACAGGCGGAGTTATCGTATCTACTGCCATGGTCGGTGGTGTTGTCCGGCTCTTGGTGCCAGTGTTGGATACGTGTCGCAATTCCTGATAAGCTCGAGCATTCAAGGGGGCTTGCTTTGATATAGGAGTATTGCCATATCGGTTCCGTGATTTTGGCCCGATGATAGGAGCTTCGCTGTACTCGTCGTCGTTTCGGACTGCCTAACCATGAGCTGTATATCAGGCTTCCGGTTCCGGCTCTTATCGATCTTCCCACACAACGCTATGGGTCAACGGGCCTCCTGCGTGAGGACAAGGCAAGGGGGAAGCCCGAAGATGGGGAAGAGATCGGGTTGACAGTGCGAGGTCTTGATACCTCCACTCTCAAGCTCTGATTGGCCAGTTGTCGTCGATTCGAACTTCCTTCTCTTTAAACCCTTCTGGTATAGGACCGTTTGGGGCCAATCAGCTTGGGCCTCGCCAAGCTTCGGTATGCCCAGCGATGCTTCACGTCTACAGAATTTCTGGAACTTTGATATCTCTGGGATAAGTACCAAACCTGGCCGATAAGCCGGTAATTTTTCACCAGACGACTCCCCTTGGAGAGCGTGCTAGATAGTGAACCTGAATATGCAGGTGGGTAACGCGATAGCGACCGTGTCCACACCTGCGGAGTCATATGCCGGGGAAGTAGCACAGCAGGGTCCAAGACACACGAGGCGTAGCATATCCTGATAAGATACGTCCCTGGCTGTTCGGACGAGATACGATGCCTTGTATATAGTCGGGACTGTCGATGTAGACACGGTCTGACCTGGCGGTCATCATCTTATCCATCGACAAGCCATACTGAGCTTCTCTTGACATCGCGATTATCAATGGCCGATTCCGACAAGATGAACGACGACAAGACGGGCGACACGGTTCAGCCGGTCACATCCACCTCCCCTGGGGAGGTGGTCAAGCCCGCGGACGAACTTGTCCTCGATGAGGCAGCTAAGTATCTTGCCAACACCGAGGAATTCTCTCCCATGACCCCTGAGCAGGAGAAAAAAATCGTCAAGAAGATCGATGCTTGGATGATCCCTTTGGTGAGTCAATGTCCTACTCTTCCGGAACTCGCGGTCTGGTCTCTCGCTAACCATGTTCACCTTCTAGCTCCTATTCGCAGCCACTCTTGGAGCCGTGGACAAGGTGCAGATAGGCACCGCTTCGCTCTATGGCTTCCAGACGGACAACCACATGGTTGGTCAGGAGTACAGCTGGCTCGGGAGTATTCTGCCCCTTGGCGTAAGTGATGTGATCCCAAGTGCCATTTGGACTATGGACTGACAACGGCAGACCCTCATTGGGCTGGTCCCGGCTTCGTATCTCGTCCAGCGAGTCCCTCCGGCCAAATTCCTCTCCACCGCTTCCATTATATGGTCGATCTTGACAATCTGCTATGCACCAGTCAGGTCGTGGTCTGGGTTTATGGCCCTGCGGTTCTGGCTTGGCTTCCTCGAAGCCGCTATCACCCCATCGCTGACGATGATCGTTGCTAGCTTCTACAAGAAGAACGAACGTAAGCAGATCTCAAGTCCATGTCCATTCTCCCCTCCCCCATCCGCTCCCCTTTATTTCTTCCCTGTTGGAGACCGGACCGCCTGACTGGCCGCGGTTTGGGCGGTCGAGAGCCTTAGGTAGATTCACCACTGACACTCTACGCCAGAACCGCCAAGGAACGCAATCGTGTTTGCGTATTTCTCATCGATCATCAACGGCTTCTTCACGTGGGCCGTCGGCCAGATACCCGCGACTGCCCCGCTCCTCACATGGCAGTACCTCTACATAATAACCGGCGCCATCAACGTCGGCTACTCTCTCGTCCTCTTCTTCGTACTGCCCGACAACCCAATGATTGATTGATTGATTGTATTTATCGTGGGTGCAGTCCCTCCATAGGGCAAACCACGCCTCCCAGAGCCATTGCATCGCAAGGTTGTAGAGGTGTCAGTCTAGATACATTCAGATCCGCGCACGAGCCCATCCTCGCTGTAGCGGTACCAACCTGGAGTGACCAGATGGTTTTAGTCAATACCCAAGCACGATTCTGTCAGAAAAACCTCCTATCCAGTGACAAAGCGACCCAGTGAACCTCAGTCCTCTGGTGTACACATCGTTCCAGTAGCCGTTCGATATATGTCGTATTGGTGGGTGAAGTAGGTGTTTGTTATCTGCTGGCGAGGGAAACCATAAGGGGAAAACCCTCGCAGGAGTGGGTGTTGTGGAGACAAGCTGTTTGGCTATCGGGCTCTGCGATAAGGGGCCTCTCCACTGTCGTGTGCTGGTTGTCGACTCGCACAAACGAGAACACAACCAGGCGCATTTGACCATTGCGCCATAGGGCCCGACAACCCAATGAATGCCCGCTTCCTCTCAGCCGAGCAGAAGTTCCACGCCGTGCAACGCCTTGCCGAGAACCGAACAGGGATCAGGAACGCGAAGTGGAAGTGGGATCAGGTGTGGGAGGCTCTCCTCGATGTGAAGATTTGGATCATTGTTGTGTTCAACGTCGTAATCAACATCCCCAACGGCGGTCTTGTGACGTTCGGCTCCATCATCATCAATGATCTAGACTTCTCGTCTTTAGATGCAAGCCTGCTCACCATGCCATTCGGTGTGCTGGCGACGTCTGGTGCGTGGTTCTTCAGCTACATAGCGGCGAGGTGGCACAACAGACGAACATTAGTCGCCTGCATCGCCCTGCTGTTACCAATATTGGGCACGTCTTTGGTGTACGGCTTGCCGAAAAGCAACATTGCCGGCCAGATGGTCGGCTTGTACTTCATGTACTTCTATTGGCGTAAGTGGGAACCCCTGAATCTTGGAAAGGGCATCGCTGACCATCATAGCCCCATATGTGATTGGTATCTGGCTGCCTCAAGCGAACACTGCAGGTCAGACCAAGAAAGGCGTCGCCTACAGTCTCGTCACTATTGGCTAGCGCCCTGGGAGTCAAGATCCATCTCGGCGAGGAGGTGAAGTCGCTGCTATACACCGGAAACACTTGCAAGGGTGCCACAACGGTGTCAGGAAAGCAGTACCAGGCTCCGCTCACCATCCTGACGCTCGGTGCCTTATTGGCCGCCGTGCTCCCGCAGGTCGGACCGCAGGTGACGGCAAAGGCCTGAGCGGTCGCTCACATACAGCTGACGCCCGCCGAAGCGGATAAGCTGCGCGGTATACCGGTCATGTACGCTCGGGACATCGGGTTCTTCTTCGAGCCGGACCCGCGCACGAATCTGTTGAAGCTGTGCCAGCCGGCGCGGGCTACACGCATTATACCCAGGTGGCCGGTTCCGATGCGAAACTGTCCGTGCCACCGGAGAACAACGCGTTCATCCCGGCCCAGGACGAGGCTGCTATCCGCCGGCTGCTGCGGGAGACATTGCCGGCGCTGGCGGATCGGCCCTTGATCAATAGGACGATGTGCTGGGTCGCGGATACCGGGGATACGGAATACGTCATCGACTTCGTACCCAACAAAAAGGGGGTAATGGTCGTATCGGGCGACTCGGGACATGCGTTCAAGATACTACCCGTGGTGGGAGGATAGGTAAAGGAGGTACTGGAGGCCGGACGACAGGATAAGGATCGATGGCGCTGGAAGCAGGGGAAGCATGGGGCAAATGCCGGCAGCGGCGATGTGAGCTGGCGAGTTGGGAAGATTGTGGACTTGAAAGATGTTGAGGTGGGTTCCAAGCCCAAGGCTCGATTGTGAAATCCTCTATTGCCATGACAGTGTGGCTGCGGAGTCGGCGACTGTGGAATATGTTTAACTTGGTCAATCGTTCCAAAGGGGCACGGTGGAGAACGATGAAGGCCCGAGGGATCAGCTCGTAATATGGTCTGCAATTTTCCTGTTTGCTTCAATACCTTAGGTATGCGACCGTGGTTCGACGGTGAGCCTCCACCAGAGTATGCGAGTTTGAAGCCACTGAAGCCTCCGCGGATAGGAGTAAAAGCAGTAACGCTTACACTCATGTAGTACCTACCCAAACGTAGCCCCTGAACTGATTCAACTGAAACATATACTCCATCCTAGCAGTAATTGCGGCATGACATCTCTACCAGTCACCAGTCACGTATATCAATTTGTTTCTCAACATCGCTCACCTGCCTCCGTCAAAGCGCCCACATTGACATAGCATCACTGTGCCAGGCATACATACATACATCAATATACAAGACTGAGGACCATGACTTCTGGTAGGCCATGTCTGCTTTCCCGCCATCCAGTTTATCACAAGCTCCGGGTACCAGGCACAGACGCACGAATTATGGTGAGAACTCGCACGGGCAGCAAGCTGATCTATGATCAGAATTTGATGATGCCCGAGTGCCGTATTGATGGCTGTATCGCCTTTTGACGAAAGCAGGTCCTCTCCCAGGTGACTCCTGAGTAAAGTCTTCAACTGCCTTGTTTTAGCATTCTCAGGGGCACCGCGTGGCCAGTATGACCTCGGGCATCATGAGGCTAGACAGAGTACATACTGGTTGCTGCCGTCGCTTCAGACTCGCCGTCATCATCATCTAGGAGAGGACACATCGCCCCTTTGGCTCCAGTTGCATGATCCAATTCAAGATGCATCAAAGACTGGTATGTATTGAAGACTTAACGAAAACGACGTTGATATATAGCGCTCGACTCTGCAAACGTAGGGGTGTGTGCACTTATATCCAAGGAGCCTGTCCAGGCGCTGCTTCCAACCTACTCGTATAACTCCACCGCTTCCCAAAAGAGACCCTTCTATTCCATATCATTACCAAACATCATATCGTGATGGGCCCCTATATGCTGTCAGCTTCTGCAGATGCCCATGGCGACTTGGGGACAAACGGGGGAGGATGAAGGAGAGTATAAGGTGTCTTGAGCAGGGTCTGGGTCTATAGGCAAGGCTTTGCGTGCATGCCGCTCGGCGTGTAATGCATGGCCTGGTCTGTAGACGCTATTTATATTTATAGGTTTGGTAGATTGAGATGATTTGCGGCGTTTCATTTTGTTAGACTTAACGTATAGCACGGGGGCTCTGCTTTTTTGTATTTCAGGGTTTTTGGCTTTAGATGTTCTCTTGCGGTCGAAGAGCTTGATAATAATAAATAAATAGATGTCATACCAACCAAGAGTCGAACCGAGGTGGCGCTTCAGTAGCACTTCCAGATATCCTCATGAGAGAGTCGTGATTTTGCGTAGACTGTGTAAGAGTCTCGGCGCATCTGGTTTTGGTGAGTAGATCGCAGTCAGCTTTTCGACGGAATGAATGCCTACCTCGACAGTATAATTATCCCCAAAGCGAGCGCATAGTAGGTTTTCGAGCTTGGATGGATGAATGTAGCGCCCCGGGATGGTGGTGACAGCCTGGCTTTTTAAAGAAGCGTACCGAGGCCTGCTTGAAGTCACCCCACCGCAGCTTGTTGTATATGGACGAGGAGTCATTTGGGATGGCAGAGGTTCAGAGATTTGACGCGATAGACGATGGAGGAGGCCTTCATGAGTATCGTATGAACAAGATGGCGAAATACTCGTGTGGGAAAGATGGGGCAAGTAAAGGTGCGAAGATGGTCGATCCCGAGGTCTCGACAAGAAACCCGCAGGAATTCCGCCCCATGCCAGCCGATAATGGTGGCGCCGTCCCTCGCAATATAGGGGTGTGTGGCATCCAGTGGTGATTCGCTGTGCATGCAGGACCAATGTTGGAGCGGGCACACAGCCCCCTTCAGGCACTTCATAAAAAAAGAGCCTTGTGACTCGGATGAGGCACACTTCTCATCTAGCCGCCTAAATGACCCCTTGTGTCGCAAATCAGCACATACCTCAGATACGACAATGATGCATAGGCAGAGCTTCTTGACCCAAACGATGATCCTGACGAAACAGGTACGGGATTTCCGAGTCAAATATTCCCAAGTACCGTGTCTAGCACGTAATGGAGGCAAATGGAGAAGGTGGCATTTTGCGTGACATGGGTGTATGCACGACGATGATGGTTCTTCAGTGCGAGTGCCTCCATTGGCTACTTTTAATACCGCCATCTTCGCTAATCCTACCTTAGGTCAGAGATTATGCGACGAACGTATGCAGTCATTGATTTTGTTGATGGGAGGTACCAAGGGGGAAAGCATCTCGTTGAGCCAGAGTAGCCGCTCCATACGCATTCTAGAAGCCATAACCTCGGGAAACACCGCGGTTGCTTGCTAGATACTTACATGCTGAAGGTCTCCCCAGTCCGCCCGCGTTCAGGAGAGTATGAGGCTGAAAGCCAAACCCACCGCAGGGGTCTGGCTAATCATCCTGCAATGGGACCCTCGGCACCTCTTAAATAGGATGTCGCCCTTGAGGGTCGAGAAGAGGCTTCTGCCTGTCCATGTGTCACTCGGTCCTGACTCACATTGGATATTGCCTGCCGAACAACTGTTGGCCTCGGTAGGGCCGATAGCAACGAAATAGCATCATGTCGAGCTCATATCCACATACGCCTTCGGCTGAAGTCAACGAGGCTGGTGCGGTTAACGAGGTAGGAGCAATCTGGATGGGAAAGCGGCGACTGGCTAACGAGAACTCTGGCAGTTCCTGACGGCATACAATCATCAAAGGGCTCCAAACTCCTTGACTGAGATCTATGGCCCCGATCTACAGCCGCAGGCATCCAATGAGAGGCATAGACAGATAGAGTCGGATACAGAGAGTCGTGTGTTTGACTATGGCATCATGGGTCGCGTGGAAAGCCTGCGGAACCGTCGTGAGAGCAACATCCCCGAGGACCTCCTGCTGGGCTTGGGGAGCTCAGCGCCCAGAGAACCAATGCCATCGATCCTGGAAATGGAAGTTGAGCTCTCAGTTCCTCGTAAGGAATTCGCAGGGACGTTGCGGAAGGCCCTCGAGAGCGCCGTGGTCGAATATGCTTCTGATGATACCAAGAACTTCCTACCTCTGGGCCAGCTGGATGCCAAATGCCACAAAGTTGCTGTGCGTAGGGAGCTTTGCAATACATTTGGAGACGACTCACCTGACATTGAGAGGTATGTTGACTACATTTTTGGCAACCCAAGCGATCCGAAGAATGTGGAAAACTCGAGTCGCAAGCTATTCGCTATCTTGGTCCTCATTGAGCAAGTCAGCAAGATCAGGGACTTCGCGGACGGCGGCATCATGGACAGACACTTGCCTTTTCGAAAAGAACCTAGCCCAGGGGGCTTCAGCCTGGTCAGGAGAGCCACATGGAAGAGGTCAGAGTCTGTCACGATGTCTTGCTTCGATGACTGGGAGCCAGTCCCCAAGAGACACTTCTGGGAACGGCAATGGAGTCTTCTCGCTCCTTACATTGCCAAAGCACAAGACAGATCCGTCGCGCTTTACGAACTCGACCCGCAAGCCATCATGCCCTGGACAGGAATGGACGAGACCAAGGCTGAAGAGTCCTCGGCCCATGATCAAGTTGGTGGATATTCGACGGTCTCCCGGGTCGCAATACATCCAGATCATCATGACTTTGCTGTGAGCAATCGCGTTTCTCCCTCTTGATCTTGTTGTTCCTATCCACCACGATGATATGAATCTTGACCAAGTCACTGACTTTCTCAGCATGAATGCAACTGGTTTGCGATCAAAACTCTCAACTCACCAGATGAAATTGCCTTCAAGAAAGAATTCAACAACCTCAAGAGGTTTGAAACGCGAGAGCACTTGCTACAGTTATATGCTGCCTTCAAACGCGGCAAGAAGTACTCGTTTTTGTTCCCGTGGGCAGATGGTGGAAGTCTAAGAGAGCTGTGGGCCAAAGACCCTCGCTTGCTGGCACTGAAAACTGAACGCGAGGACACCGAAGTCGATGAGTCGGATCGAAACAGATCAGCCCTGCTATGGGTCGCACACCAGCTTGTCGGATTGACAGGGGAGACCGGACTTGCTGGCTTGCATGAAACCAAACGACTGGGGCCATCGCAACCCGGATTGACCGTCTCTAACAGCCCAGAAGAATATGGCATCCACGGAGACATCAAGCCAGAAAATATTCTACACTTCGAGCAATTAGCCGGATTGGGTGTGCTCAAGATCTCGGATTTTGGCTTGACCGCCTTCCACTCAGTCCACTCGCGATCACGCCTACCACCGACCGGACCTATGTCACCGACTTATCGGGCCCCGGAGTACGAGGTCAAAACGCAGTATCTATCAAGGAAGTACGACATCTGGTCCCTGGGCTGCGTTCTATCTGAGTTCATGACCTGGTTCATCCTTGGGACAGCGGCTATTGACCATTTCGTCAAGCAGCGTTTGCAGGAAGAAGACGAGGGCGTCACTAAAGGGAAATGGAAAGAAGATCGGTTCTTCAAGATAATTAATGGAACAGAGAACCAAAGAAGCACGGTCTCGAAAGCATCCGTTGAGTCGGTATGTTTGTTGCATAACCCTGAAATTCCACCCCCGTCCAAGAAGACTCAAGGTGCATTACAAGTGACGATAGCTAACTTGATGATAGTGGCTAGATGAACTTTCTGATGCCGTTAACGGAGATAACTTCCTTTACGACTGTATTCAGTTCATAAAGCATCGGATGCTAGAGGTCGACAGTCAGAAGCGCGCTGACTGTCGTGAGGTCCATACATTCCTGTCAGGTTGTTTGGATCGTTGTGACCGAGATATGCGCTATACCGATATAAAACTACCACCTGTTGAGCCTCATGTGGAGACCAACCTCCCTATGGATCCCGAGGTAGAGGAAAACCATTCCATGAACCTAGCATCGCCACCGTCGATACAGGTCACTAGTTTCGAGACGGCTGATTTTCACAAAGAACGCAAAGCGCCTGGAGCTGATTTGAACACGAGTTTACAGAACACTTCAAGGAATTCGTCGGGTGTGATAGGTATGTGTATAGGGGGGCGTGAGCCGTGGCAGGTCAGCCGATTGGCTGCGCTTTCTAGGCCCCTTCCGATGCGTGCCTGGGCCCTTTTTCAGGCCGCTTCCGATACGTCCTTGGCTTATGGCCACGATACTAGCTAACCTGCAATTGCCTACTATAAAACAAAATCGAAATCAAAATCACTACCCCGTTTTTGACTTTCTTTCCTAACTAATGTGAACCAAGGAGGCCGGCGAGCAGATTTTGACTCGATCACGGAGCGCGAATGTTCTTAAAGTTACTATTGTAGGAAGAAGGTTCGGGTGTGGACTCATCTGGCCTGTAGAACCATTCAGCCACAAAGACACCAGAGAAGCGATGATTCTGGATTATAGAACAGAGAGGTAGGATTTTCTAGGAGACTTTAAGCTGATACAGGTCTCTACTTGAGAGACCGCGTCTTTCAAACCGGGCACACACTCTCCTTGTCCACTGCCGATACTTGTCAACCATTCCACAATGAACGCCCAACCCCTGAACGGAAACCATATCGCGTCCAGTAAGGCCCAAAGCATCCTTGCAACGCGCCCCTCTCTATGTTGTTGCATAATGTTTACGCATCTTGGTCTTCAAGTCTTGAACGTCGCTCTGAAGAGACGGTTAGTCGACATCTCCGAACAGCCAGCTGAAAGCTTACCTCGGAGAGTCGGTTCGGCACCTTAACCCTCCACTGATTGTAGAGAAACTGTCACAACTTCAGTTAGCCCATGTTTAGTCGAGTCGGAAGATGTGCAGACAAGGGACGGCATACCCCCTCTATCTCGAAATCATCATTCCCAAGGACTTCTTTCATGTACCTGGCGAGTAGCTCTCCTGAGTTGTAGCTGATCGGCAAAACTTGGATCTGATAGTGCGACATGTTGGCAAAGCAGAAGCAAGTGGAAGAATACCCGGCCAAAGGGGGAAGCAGGTCAGGGGAAAGTTATGGTGGCTGGATGCATGACGTTCTGCAATCGGCTCTTCACGTCCTAATATACCAAGTCTTCACCGGCTGCAGCGAGGCAGTGCACGAGGTGCAACTTGGCGCCCGACTCGTAAGAATGAAGCCTAAACGTACGCGCCTTATCACTTGACAGAGGGTGGACCACAAGACCACATCTATTGGCGATTTGATCTGCAGGCTGAGAGCATCAAGGCAGGCTGCGGTGCCCTTGCAGGAGTTCAAGCAGGCTAGGGGCCGACTCTACAGCCTCTGCATGAACGCTGCCACCTCGAAGGGCTAGTCATGCAACTCTTATTGGCAAGGCAGATAGATGCCTTCGACGCATGCGAGTGCGCCCATGGGACAACGGGGTTCAGAGCTTCGCGGGAATCTCCAATTAAGCTCCCGACATCAATGGACTGTCACTGCTAAAGGCACTCAACCTTACCCCGCTGGCTCATAGCCTTTGCTTGAGGACGTCGCTTGATTTTGAGAAAATATCATCAACTTCATCAACATCTCATCGATACCGACTGTAAACACTACTGAGTGGTAAATAGAAATGGACTGGTTACGTTCCGACACCTCGTTATGGGAACAGAACATGGCGGTCTTCGAGTTTCGTCGAATGCCAAGTCAAGTCTTGACCGTCTCGCGGCAGCTAGATGTAAGTCCATGAACCAGGAAACATGAACCTCGAAGAGCATTGCTTGAGGTTGGCTCTAATACCGCTAGACACAAGTGCATACAGAGTCTTATACACTGGGGTCTGATGAACAGTGGCAAGAGTGGTTAGACCAGGTAAAGTACACCAACGAGTCCTTATAGAGGCTATGCCGAGAGATCTAACGAGATATCAAGAAACATCCACAGTCGCAGCCGGGAGCTACAAGCAGTATCAACTTGATGTATGAGACCAATGTGCTATGAGCTTCAAGTTATCATTGCTGACTAGTTCAAAAAACTTAAGATTATGCGGAAGGGCTCAGAGTAGGTTCCCCGACGGTGCGCTGGTATCATATCTACCGTTCTCGAAGTCGATATTCCGACAGATCATCGGCTGCTTCCAAGTGCACGGCTCGATTGCCCGCGTCATCAACAGGAATACAAACTGCGCCTTCACAAGGAAGAAGCAGTCGTGGGACTCGTCATCAGGCGCGCGATATATAGGTATGCTCCCACCCGCGCGCCACCCCCCTATCAAAGTAGCTGTAAAGCGCACCAGGAACTAAGCAAACAATACATCATCACAGTCTACAACTGCCGATCAGCCGCATCCTGGCCGGGCGACCTGGCCCTATCAGTGACCTTCTTCCCAGAGACCCTGGCCACAAACGCAATCCTGTACGGCTGCGACGAAGCAACAGCAGCCCAGATAGCCAAGCGTCTGTCCCTGTCCGAGCTTGGCGACTTCCACCCCATGGTTCTGCCGACCATCTTCGCCGAGCTGGAGCGCAACAGACAGGTGGCGCTGGTGCAGGAGAAGCTCACGCAGCTCATCCAGCGGATCATCGACATCGGGTCCAACGCCGCCATCGCAGCAAGCGCAGACGGCAAAGAAGACGGGTGCTCGGTGTCATCGTCTTCGGTAGACAAGCCGTCGATGATCCTCTGGGTCGAGATCAGCCACCTGCGCAACGGGCTACTGGCGTTCAGGAAGAAAATGGTGGACATGGTCGCGCATGTCGACGAACTCCAGGACTCGCTATTCGGCACGAGTACTGGTACCAACGCCAGTGGGTTTCCTGGCATGGAACCGCGGCGACTGCAGGGCCTGAGGGACTCGGGGGCGCAGATCAGGGATCGACTGCAGGAGCTTGTGGATGAGTACGACGAGCATATCCGGGACTGCTCGACGATGATCGATGGGATGAACATCGCCTCGCAGTTGGTGCGTAGCGCTGTCATAACTACAGTTTATACCAGAGAGAGAGAGAGACCTTGCTGACAGACATCTGCAGGAATGGAACCAGATCGGCCGCCGGGACGCGCGGACGAACCTGGACATCGCCAACAATAACCTGCAGGTGGCACAGCGCGCCCGGCGCGACAGCAAGCTGATGAAATCGATCGCCATGCTGACCATGATCTTTCTGCCGGGGACCTTCGTTGCGGTGCGTATGTCCAACTCCAGGCGTGTCTTCGTACTCTAATGCCCGGGTAGACACTTTTCTCCATGGGTTTTTTCAGTTGGGAGGGTGGGACTGGCAGCGGCATGACGGTCTCGTCCGATATATGGATATATGTGCTGGCGACTGTACTGGTGACGTCGATGACGCTTGGGTCGTGGTATCTTTGGGCGCTTCGGCGGAAGGAGGTGGGCGATGTTGAGAAACAGATGGCTACTGGATAGTTACTTCAGAGGTGTTACGCCGCAGGCATTGCTAGGATTATAGATGGGGTATAGCTTAAAGGGTACGTTTGGGTATTGTATGGAGCGAGTGTCTTCAGCGAGGCATGATTTGATACAAGGGTCGTGGGTGAAAAACTGCTGCTTCCAACCATTCGTCGTGGCTCTTCTAACGACGGCACAAATCTACCTACCCATCACCATGGCTCTCGAGCTGATTTTCTGGCTCGTCCTGTAATTCTACGTTTCCGCCGTCGTCGTCTCCCTCCAGGGCTTTTCCCTCGGCCCAATGTTTTCGGGTGCCGTCATTGCCGCCAAATTGACGTCTGCAGCGTGTACGAGTACCAAGTTCCTGGTACCAGGCTGGAGTCGACATTGGTAGCCATTCGGATTCCCGGTCAAGTAGACCAGATCTCGTGTCACGCATCTTGTGGTAAGACGATTGGGTGATTGTGGTCCGGTCCCTCCCCTGCACCCATTCGCGAAACGACAGCCGACTGGTACGGATACTACCTCCTTACCTTATGTTAGTCAGCCATAGCCCCTTTTCTCCACGCCTTTCCACGCCTTTCCCCGCCTCCCCACCTGCCCGGCTGAATGTCTGCACACCGCCCTTGCCCCGCACTTGTGCGCCCCTCCGCATCGCACCCCGACGTCGTATCCGCTGCCGGAAGATTTCACCCCGCCATGTTCCTGATCGCCGCGCCGTGGGACGTGTGGTGGTGAGGCCAGCATTGGGAGGCGCAGCAGATATTTCGGTGTCTGCTGTCGCGAGCACTGGGGCCTGAAGCCCGGCTGCCCGGGCTGGGAGGGTTTAAACTTCGGGTTGTCTGCCGCGTCGCGACGCTTTTGTTTTCTTGTCGACTCTTCGTCTTTGGATTTGTACCTCGAGACTGAGGACTGAAGGCTCGTCATGGTTGCATTCGGAGCGTTGAGAACGCTGCTGCTGTCGTGTTTGGCTGTGCAAACAATTGCGCTGGCTACTGGTGAAAAGTCGACACAGTTCATCAAGCCTTACAAAAGGGAGGTTCTGCAGGACATTGTGAGTTATTGTTGATTGATGTGCGGGACATTGGGATAATTCATCAAGCTTATTGCAGTCCTAGGTGACCTGGGATGAGCACTCGTTGTTTGTACGCGGTGAGCGCGTTCTCTTCCTAAGCGGCGAGTTCCACCCGTACAGGTAAATTACGCTGTGTTACGCTGTCATTCGACATGGACGAGTTCGCCGGCTAAGCATCGCTTCAGACTTCCGGTACCAGGCCTGTGGCTGGATATCTTCCAGAAAATCAAGGCATTGGGCTTCAATGGCTGCTCCTTCTACATCGACTGGGCCTTGCTGGAAGGGAAGCCGGGAAACTTCTCTGCCGAAGGCGTCTTTGCCTTTGAGCCTTTCTTCGAAGCGGCCACACAAGCAGGAATATACCTCCTTGCAGTAAGCCATTTCCCCAAGGGCTGGTCTGAATGTCTAGGAGGCTGATGGGACGCAGCGACCTGGGCCGTACATCAACGCCGAGGTCTCCGGAGGCGGCTTTCCTGGCTGGCTACAGAGGATCAAGGGCATCCTTCGGACTGCTGATCCGGACTATCTTCACGCAACCGATCTGTGAGTCTCGGGGAGACCCTGCATCCGAACCCATACTCACTCTTCAATCCACAGCTACGCAAAATCAGTTGGAGAAATTATTGCCAAAGCCCAAATCACCAACGGCGGACCCATCATCTTGATGCAGCCTGAGAACGAGTACACTGGAGCTACAGACAACGTCAAGTTCCCTGACCCGGCTTATTTCGGCTATGTTGAGGATCAATTCCGAGATGCGGGAGTCGTAGTGCCCTTTATTAGCAACGACGCGAGTCCCGCCGGTAACTTTGTGCCTGGTTCTGTGTCTGGTGTCGACATTTATGGCCACGACGGATACCCGCTTGGGTTCGACTGCGCGAACCCGTATACTTGGCCCGATGGTTCATTGCCGACGAATTATGGGACGTTGCACCTGGAAGAGAGCCCTACTACACCATATTCAATCGTCGAGGTACGTTTCGTACACCGGTGCCTACGCAAGTTGTGCTGACTATCTGTAAAGTTTCAAGGTGGTTCCTTTGATCCGTGGGGTGGCCTAGGGTTTGATCAATGCGCCGAGCTGCTGAACTACGAGTTTGAGCGTGTCTTCTACAAGAACGACTTTAGTTTCGGAGTGACGATTCTGAATCTCTACATGGTATATATGGCCACTGATAGACTTGCATTCGAGAGGCTAATATTGAATCAGATTTTCGGCGGCACCAACTGGGGAAACCTTGGGCACCCCGGAGGCTATACGTCGTATGACTATGGATCGGTTATCCGAGAGAACCGGCTTGTGGACCGCGAAAAGTACAGTGAATTGAAGCTGGAAGCCAATTTTCTGATGGCTTCACCGGCATATCTGACTGCTACCCCGGGCGGCAATGCTACAAATAGCAGCAGCTATACCAGCTCGCCAGCACTTGCAATAACGCCGCTGTTTGGCAATCCTACCAATTTCTACGTCGTTAGGTGAGCCGTCTTCAACATTTCACACTTTGACTTTTGTTCAAACTAAACGTGTGTTCTTCAGGCATGCGGCTTACAACTCGCTCGACTCTACGCCATACAAATTGATTTTTCCAACGTCGGCTGGAAATATTACCGTCCCGCAACTCAACGGCACCCTCACACTGAACGGCCGCGACTCGAAAATCCACGTGAGCGACTACTCAGTCGGTGACTACAATCTTCTGTACTCATCTGCTGAGATATTTACCTGGTAACTATCTCTTCTTTGCCTCCAAGGTTTAGTAAGCCTTGAAGTCTTTCGATGAACTAACAGCCTTCAGGAAGAAGTATTCTTCCAGTACCGTGCTCGTGGTCTATGGCGGACCAGGCGAGCACCACGAATTGGCGTTTTCCAATGCTACACATGCTGCCGCGGTAGAAGGGTCTGGCGTCACTATTGCTTACAAGAGTGGCTTGGTGATCTTGAACTGGGCTGTCTCGCCGTCCCGCAAGGTAGTCAAGGTTGACGAGGACCTCTACGTCTACATTCTTGGTAAGTAAAAGGCGTGCAGTCAGACGCCCATTCGCTGACCAAATTCAGACCGCAACTCTGCATACGACTACTGGGTCCTTGAGACGTCGTCTGTCGCCGGGGCCACTCCTTTGGTTGCCAGCAATGGCAGCAGCAGCCATTCGGGCGTGATAGTGAAGGCTGGATATCTGTTGCGCAATGCGACAGTCACTGGAAGTACTCTGGCGCTCTCGGGTGACCTCAACACTACAACTTCCCTGGAGATCATTGGCGGTGCGCCAAGCTCGCTGAGCAAACTGAGCTTCAACGGAGCGTCCATCCCCTTCAACCAGTCAAGTAAAGGCTCAGTCCTGGCCACTTTGGCTTACAAGGAACCGGTCGTAGAACTTCCGGACCTCGCTTCACTCGAGTGGAAGTACTTTGACAGTCTTCCTGAGGTCGGCTCAGACTACTCCGACGAAGCCTGGACACTCGCTTCAAACACATACACCAACAACACGGTCCGCAACCTGACAACGCCAACGAGCCTTTACGCTAGCGACTATGGCTACCACACCGGCACTCTGCTCTTACGCGGCCACTTCACCGCCATCGGCAATGAGTCCAGCCTTGCTCTCGAAACGCAAGGTGGCTCTGCCTTTGGTATGTCTGCGTGGCTCAACGGTACGTACCTCGGCTCCTACGCCGGCATTGACGCCGCCGCCAGCGCCAACAGCACCTTCACACTGCCCGCCCTCTCCGCCGGCGAGTCCTACGTCCTCACCGTCGTCATCGACAACATGAGCCTCGACGAGGACTGGACCGTCGGCACCGACGACATGAAGAACCCGCGCGGCATCCTCGCCTACAGCCTCGCCGGTCATCACGCCACCGATATCGTCTGGAAGCTGACGGGCAACCTCGGCGGCGAGGACTACGCCGACCACGCGCGCGGTCCGCTCAATGAGGGCGGCCTCGCCGCCGAGCGCCGTGGCTACCACCTCCCAGCGCCGCCCGTCGCCGCCTGGCCCGCCGTCGCTGGCGGCCCGCTCGCCGGTCTGGACGCCGCCGGCATCGCCTTCTACGCCACGGGCTTCGACCTCGACCTCCCGGCCGGCTACGACATTCCGCTTTCGTTTGTCTTTGCCAATGCCAGCGCCAGCGACAGTGTCAACGCCAGCACCGCGTACCGCGCGCAGCTGTACGTCAACGGGTGGCAGTTCGGCAAGTACGTGCACAACGTCGGGCCGCAGGACGCGTTCCCGGTGCCCGAGGGCATCCTCAACTACCACGGCACGAACTGGGTCGCGGTGAGCGTGTGGAGTTTGGAGGCCGGCGGGGCGCGCGTCGAGGGGCTGGCGCTGGTGGCAGATGCGGTGGTGCAGAGCGGGTATGGGGTCGTGGCGACGGTGGCGGGAGGCGCGTGGGAGGAGAGGGCGGGCGCGTATTAGTATGGGAGGTCATCAGCTAGGGAGCGTGGAGAGTCAATGGAAATGGACCAATTTCCCCGTTGCTGTCACAGTTGCATTGAGATATGACACCGAGCAGATTGACCATGTTTTGCTCCAAACAGATTATAGCTTACCGAGGAAGTAGGCTGAACTCTTTTGAACTCCTCCCTCAACCTCAACCATGGCCGCCAGATTGACGGAAAGTCAGGTGCCGTCCGCCAAAGGGGTCTGGATACATGTGATACCAAGGGGAGAGAAATAGCTACGATTCGAGTAACAGTTCACCCAATGCCGAGGTACAGATGAACAATAGGGGAATGAACCTGCTTCTTCTGATATTAAACTGGTGTATAGCTCCAGCACTATTTACTCCCCGGCCCGGGATCTAGAGCCTGACCATGTGAATAAAGACCACAAGCTGTCTTTTCTGTCATTTCCCCAGCCATATAAAGATCTCTTCAATTTTCCCAACACGACTTCGAGATTTTCAACCAAGTAAGGTGAGCGATGTCTCATCACCCTTTGAACCATCGCAGTTTCTGGCGTGAGCCTTAGCCCAACACGATGCGTTCTAGGTTGTGCTAATGACTCGAGTGGCTTGCCCTACCGGTACTTCGAGGGGATTCTGAGTATCTGACCATGAGTCTTTGGTTGAGATCTTCTCTCGAGCGAATTGTTCTCGTGAGTGGACAGAAACCTGAACTCCGTCAACGTTTCGCCCCAACCTCAACGCCACTGGTATGGCTCGAGCAAAAAGCCTAGAAGAAGGGCAACAAGTGTTGGTCCTTACTCCGTCTCTCATGTAAGCATGTGCTGATACTCAAGTGCACCACGTGCGCTTGCAGCTTCCTCCAGAGGCACCCCAGCGCAAGATCCCGCATGGTGCGCTCTCGCGCGGCCGCGTCCATACACACGAAAAACAATGATAAGGACAAATCAAACAGGCGCAAGCCCATGATTCAAAGTTCCGTCCGTCCATGTTTGAAAAGGGCTCGCGGTCCACATGGGGAACACGGCGTCTATAAGATAACATTGAGGACCTCGGGATACTCTTAGCTGTAAAAGCACGGACCACCTTCAGCAAAGGTAGGTCCCAGCCTAAAAAGGGCCGAGGCTTCCAACCTCGCAAGCTTCCCCTTCTCCTCTTCCTCCTCATCTGTGTGTTCTTGTTGTCCACGACATCAACATGGCATTCTCCCCGCTTCTTCCTCGTTGACCGGAGCATATACTTCCTGCATCGAGATGCATCCTGATCCAGGGAATGGTCCACAACCAGCCCTGAAGCCCTCGAGGCCGCAGGGCTAGGTGTCGTCATCCTCCGGTCACCCACGACAATGACATGGGCCCGTCCGCTACGATCCCCTCATCCCAAGGGCAGCACGTCGAGAACGACCGATCACCTTAAACGTCAACCGTCGACTCAAGATCCGGCCTATCTCTCGCCATGGTCGTGTCTCGTCTGCCCCGACGGCGAGGCGCTGCCTGGAGCGATTTGAGCAGTCGCTGCGATATGACATTATGTATGCACTGCCCTTGCAACCCTGTATGCACAAACTTACATGTATCTTGGCAGACTGGTTGGCGGGCCGTACCTTTCGGCCTCCATAAAGCATCGCCGGTTTCCCTTGATCCTGCGGCCGATGACGTCAAGACCTCAACTCCGACAAGTTGGTCCTGGGTAGGACGGTAAAAGGCCTGTTGCTTCGTGTGGATTTTGTGATAATCCCCGGCATCATCGTCCTGGGCAGGGCGGAAAAAGGGCCTGGCGTCGGTGGAATACTGGTTTATTTCCCGGCATTTTGGTCCCGGGCATGACGTGGATAGCAAAAGGCCTGTTACAGCCACGTAGTTCGTGGCTTGTTCGTCCTGGGCAGGACGCGTAAAAGGCCTACTGGGTCGGTTACCCAGTTGAACGGCGGCACGAAACGCGCGGATGATCTGTTGAACGAGCTTGGATTCTTGCATCGAAGGGCATAGAAAAAAGTAATCAATCATAGGTTGGCGTTTGTGTTGCGGTCAAATACGGTAAGCATCCCACAGCTGTGTCCACGATCGATACATCTGCTGACTTGCGCCTTGTCCAGGTGTATGATCTCGAAGTCTTTGACGTTTGACGGAACTCGGAATCGACACGGCGCTTCGAAAACAATGAACGGGATGCCTCAATCTAGCATGGGATTTGGTACGGCAAGGCGTTCATCTTGTATGAGGAAGCAAGCATCCGGTGCAGGTGTTTTCCATGGTCTGGTCATTTTCAGGCGCCAATGAATGTGAGTCTGCCGTGCCCGTCTACCTGTTCGGAGCATTGACGAAGTCGCAGTCTTCGAGACATTTTACACGGCTGTCGTCCTGGGCAGGACACGAAAAGGCCCTATCACTCTGGATTGCTTCCAACTATACGATTGTGCATGTGCGTTCTCCATCGTGGGGAGCTCCATGCACGGCTCGGTCTTGTCAAGACCCATTCCACCCCTTGGAGTGGCACCGAGCCTGCGATTGGCACACCTCCACAGGTATGTGGGAGATGGCCGAGTGAAAGCCCATGGCAATCTGCTATAGCGAGAGAAATAAAGACAACAGCACAACAGTACAACAGCAAAAAAATTCTGCTGCGGATTTTGAGAGTATAGCCAAACCCCCTTTGGTGGGTAGGTATGGAGTTTTTTTTCCCCTCCCGGGCGTATTCCCTGGAGGCTCGAATTGTTATTCGCAGTCGAGCTGAATCACACCAGGTGCGGCGTCGTGGCCTCGCTTCTGCGCGCACTTGGGGCCGGGCGCAAAGTTGGGTTTTGCGCCTGGCCGGTGGCCACCAGTTCTTGGGTTCTTTCTGAAGGAGATAAGCGCGATAGTAAGGGCAGTATGCCGGATGAGAGAGGGCGCCCCGTCGGGGGCTCAACTCACCAACCTCTCTCGGCCGCGGCAGAAGCTACTTTGCTCTGGAGCCAGCGTCTCGGACTAGGCCGAGGAGAACCCCTCCCACGCTGACAACCACCTCTGCCACTTCTCGATTCGCCGATTGCATGGGCCGTCGAGAAGCCACCCGGAGGCGTGGGAAAGAGACTGGAGGATCAAATGGTCCCAACTTGAAGCTCACATTGACTGAGGGCTTCACTTTGTGTAGTGACCTGGGGCTGGGCTGGTCGCGTCTCTCTGCAGACAGGGATCAAGTGGGGCCCCTCGGGGCTACTTTTCCCTGTCTCAAAAGCCCCCGGCTCGACTGATTAACAACGACTATCCGGGCTTTACCTGTCGTGTACGTCCTTCTGGTGGCGGCGGTACGGATAGGCAGACACCATTATCGGCAATGGAGGCAGCTGGTGCGGGATTTCTGTCCAAGTGGGACGCCACTGGGATTCCCTTGCTCTTGTGAATAGCTGGATAGCACAAATTCAAGCCGGACCTTGCCTTCACTTGTCTCACTTCTCTGTTGATGTGCCTGCTGTGATTGATGTGCTTCAATCTGCCAACAGCGTGTTGGTATGGTTTCTATGATTCGGCAGGGCTTACCGAGGCAACCTTGGAAGAGACGTGAGAGGAGAAGGGCTTCTTCCTAACAAGGTCTAACTGTAATTGAGCTTCATACGGTCCTGAAAACAGCATCCAGCTTGCCTTCTATTGCTGCGCATGAGTTATTAAATGCTCAAATGCGTCCAAGTCGTTATTTATATTGCGATGCGAAAACCGAGTCACGATCCGGCGGTCAGACGCAGCTCCGCGACTCCCTACAGTATGGTGGTAGAACTCAAGGGACATGATCGTAGATCTGTGGTTTCTCATTCATCTCAGTCATCTCTTCTCATCTCAGTTGCGTGCCGCGCCGTACGCAGGTGCAATGCTAGTATACGACAACCACCCGACCAAGCAGGGCCAGCTCATATATCCAAAAGATGCAAATGCATGTGTGCCCGATGTACCCAAAAAATCAGGAATGACTGACTGGTCATCCCGCAATGGTACTTCTTGCCCCATCGCCCAACGCCGCCCCAAGAATGATTTCAATTGATAATAGTCACATCCCACATCGCTCCAATCAATCGCTCAAGTATGCCAATGGTATCATCAACGCTCGTATTTCGGTAAAGGCTCATGACCGCCTGCTGGGGCCGAGGGCCCGGGTATTCCGTGGTAGGGATCCCGGGTTCCGTACCCATCGTCTTCGTTAAGGACTGGCGCAGAAGGCTCCTCAGGCCTCGACCTCGATGACGGCCCCGCGATGTCTGGACCGGGAGCTGAGGCCGCCGCTTCGTTGTAGTCCTCTGGGATCTCGGGAGGGGCGCTTGCTTCAATCATCAGTCGACGACGCTCCACTTCTTGCTTGTCGTCGGCGTGGGAGCTTGAAGATGGGGACTGCCCGAAGTCTGCTAGTGTCGGTGCCGAGGGCCCCTCCCCGGCATTATCGTCGGCTGTTGACCGTAGTATAGGACTGTTGGTCTGCAGATTTCCATCTATCTGCATCTGTGGTGCGTCGTCTGGAGCTGATGGTTGAGATGGCCCAGCTTCTGGCTCAGAGGACTGTTGAAGGGGCCGACTTGGCAATAACCTCTGTTCTGCTTGCCGCAGGCGTTCCTTTTCTGTGAGCTCAGTTTCTCGAGGTAACTCTGGCGGTGGGATGTAAACTGGGATTTGAGGCTCATGGTCTTGGTAATCGTAGTAGGGTGTGTGAGGTGAAATGGGCGGTGGAAAGTAGCCCCGTGGAGTTTGATGGATCTGGCCCGCGTCGTGATCTTCGCTGTAGTCATGATCACCGTTGTAGCCGTTCTCCCACTGGTAGTCCAGATCGCCCTCAATGGGAACATCCTGGGAGGGAGGTTGCACCGTTAGGGATGGCCGGATCACCGCCTTCCCGTGTGATCGTGTGTTGTCCACGGTGCCAACGATGATTTCAAATGATACCGAAATAACTCCTTTCTCGCGCCTCAAATGATCGGTGTCGACTATTGTGCCATTCCAATTCGCAAGCCGGTTCAAGTCGAGCCGGTATGCGCCACCTATTGTAGCGGGATGGCTGACAGAGCCCATCCGGGTGGGTTGTTGTGAAGTGCCTGCCGAGGGACCAGCGAGTCTTCCCCCGAGGTCAACGACAACCTCAACATGGTATTTGAAGCTGATGAGACCACCAGGGACGCCCTTGATGCTGGGAAACACATCCTCTGGCACTCTAATCGAAGTTGTAATGTTCGCTGTGAGGGTGGCAGGATCGACGATAAGGGGAGCGACTGCTTGCGAGAGGTCCTTTCGAAATACACTGCAAGAGCCGGCAGACGACAACGACAGTCCACCCAGACCAGTCCTCGACTTGGGATAGTATTCTTCCCGCTCCATCCGCTTGGCATCTTCTTTGGAAAGGTCAGAGAATAGTGATATCGGCGGAGCGTAATCGACACGGCCCTGCCGGTACAATGTGACGATGATGCCATGCATGCTCTTCATGTAGCGATTGTGCTCGACTCTGATTTTCACCGGCAGCAAGTCCCCAGGTAGACAACCCCCCTTCGTGAGCTCAACGGTTGCGGTGATTTCCCTATCATCGTGCCCAGAGGCTTTACTTGCAGCAACCGACTCGCCACTGGCATCAGCGCCTCTCCCACTGTTAGAGCCGCTGTTGTTGCTGACAGCGCTCTCCCCACTGATCTCACTCTGTAAATCGATCGGCACTGGAGTGCGCGGCATAGCCATCCCACCAGGACCAGTCGCTACAGTCTCGCCGACATTCACAGAGCTCCCGTTTGAGGTCTCCTGCGCCCTCATCGAGTCTCGGTCTGAAGCAGGTTCTGATGTTTCCGTATTTGTCGGACAGCGCTTCGCAGAAAGAGCCGCCGTCGATGTTGCAGTTTTCCTCCTCTTCGGCTTCTTGCGCATGGTCTGCATAGTGACCTTACGTTCTCTCGGTGGAGAAAGTAAGCCTATATCGACCCTTTCGATGAGGGCGACTTTCGTCTCGCAGCTCGAAGTCGGCGATATTGAAGTTGGGCGCGTCAAGGTGGCAGTGACCATGTACGATATTGTACCTCTTTCGAACTAATACAATCGTTAACAGAGCTCCTTGCGTCGAGAGTAAACGCCCAGGGGATAGTCGTACGTCGATACTACTAGGGAGCTCTTTGCACGGAAAGATAAGATCAAATTCGAATTCGAACCTCGTGGGCTTGAGTCTTCCCTCCCCACACAAGACCTGTTCATCCTGAAATAGGGACGCGTGCCCATTGCCATGGTATTTGAAATCGCGATTTCCATCATGTGATACCACGGCAGGGTTGACGGCGGCGAGCTGGGCGCCAGAGGCGGCATTCTTGTAGACGCGGACGTATCCGTGTAAGGCGACGGTCAGATGGGTTATGCGAAACGGCTTCACGACGTAGAGGACAACGGAGCCCTTGACGTGGTCGCCGGCCGAGTACTGACGGTGAGGTTCCTGCAGTCGGACATGGAAATCGGCGAGGTTGCGGGTTCGGGAGCGAAGGGGGGATGCGAGGCGCGAGAAGAAGGACGTCTTGGGTGGCGGGTCGTCGGGCGACAAGTTGGCAACATTGTCGAGGTTGGAACCCATCTATTCAACGTATATATATCGACGACAGCGTGCGTGCCTTACATTGACACAACACGACATGCGCCGCCGACGTGTTGGCGTTTGCTACAAAATTAAAACGCGACGATTCAAAAGGCGAGATGCCGGTGAAGCGTGAACCGTGATGGCGCGCGGCACTTGCGGGATAATGGCGCGGTTCAGGGGCGCTCGCCGGTCGGCCAGCAGTCTGGAGGCGCGAGACAGCGTCGAAATAGTGGTGGGTGCCGAAGCCCCTACTCTCTCCTAGCAAGACGGCTGCACGGCTGGGCGCCGTTGCGAATGTGCAGGTAATAGAAGGTTTGGAATATTCTTTGGTGGTCGCGGTAGTCTCGGGCGCTGCATATGCCAAGCGGAGAGCGGCTTGGTATAGACTTGGTATGAAATGCTTGGGACTCGGGAGAGTGGGTGCCAAGAGATATCCTTTTTATAGGTAGGCAGGTAGGGAAACCTTCCCGCGGGGCTGGCAGGCTGGCAGGTCAGGCTGGCAGGCACGCTAGACCGCTAGAGGACCCCGGACAGACGGACACACGGACAGACGGACGACGTTTCAACCTTCGGCTGGCAGCACTGCAGCAGCTTCCTTCAGGCTTCGACGAAGAAGAGACGAGACGGGAAGTGACGAGTCAAAGGGCTCGAGCGTCGAGACTGGACTTTAAGGTATTTAGCCTTTCGTGGTTGCTTGCATGCAGTGGTAAGATAGGGACACATGGTCACACATATCTAGATCTGGGCCTTGGTGTGCTGATGCTTGACCTCGACGACGTCGGTCTACGGTCTGTCTCCAGCTGTCTCCGTCTGTCTGCCTGTCTGTATCTTGTCATGGTTTTCCCCCAATCTGCTGGCCTACCTACTCGCACCCCGAAGCGACGACTCAGGGCACACGCGCGTACACACACATCTCTGCAACGCGCGTCTTAGGGGCTGTGACCGTTACAATACGCCACGGACGAAACGCTTTCAGCCAGAACCTACACCCCGCCATTGGGTAACAAGCTAGCATGGCGGTAAGCCCAGCCGCTGGCTGGGAAGACAAATATCCAAGCACCCGAACCCATCAGGACTCGGAGTATCGGAGTCCAGCTGCTTACGTTCGTAGTAAGTAGGAAGCTGATGGACCAGGAGAATATATTCATGGTCGACTTGGGATCTCAATTGATCTGGGCACACTGGAGCCTCCCGCGCATGATCTCTGTCGCATCAAGATTCCGAAAGCCGAAATTGAAGCAGCAGTCGTTGATCGTAGTAAACAGCGGCTGCAGATACGAATGTCTGTTGCATGCTGGAGACCTCGAGACCTCCAAAGTTAGGTGGGGGTTCCAAATTGTCGGACCACATCACCACGACCTGCACTGTCAACAGTCTCGCCCTGTCCCAAGAACTTCGAGGTGACGGCGTATTACAGTTTGGCCGTCTCAGCCCCCCAAAGCTTAGCTGTGCTCGGCTCGACCTTGCCGGCGCCTGCATGGGCGTTACTTGTCAGGGCTCGGCGTTTGGGGCTCTGACGAGAGTCATACACTACCTACTAAGCACTTGCTTTCCCTTTCCACCAACCAAAGGCACAATATGCCCAAGAAGCATTACGCAGTGTGCTATGGACCAGTATAGTTGCATGAGCGGCTAGGTAATGGCACGCACTTTTGGAGACCAAGTGTGGAATATGGCTAACTTGGTTCCTGGCTTTGGAATTGCAGGCAAACGAAGCCCCTTCCCACTCCTTGATGCAAGCGCTGAGGCTCACACATCCACATGATGCGCCTATAATACGTTGTATTATGCTCGGAGTGAATCTACAGGCAAGTACAAAGTGTACATAGGCATGTAGGCCCAGCAGTTGTTCACGTATCAAGCAGCTCGATCTTTGTCAAGGAGGAATGAATTATTTGCGGTATATGCAAGGTCAACGTCCACGATCGTGACCAATGCACCGCGGCGCTCCGTCTCGGCCTGGTGCCAGTATCAAAACACCATGCCTACATATAACCCACAAACGCCCAGCAATGCAACGCCAGCTATGCCATGCCTGTACAAATCCTATACAGATCGACTGTTGGTCTCTAATCCAACGCCTCGCCGCTCAAAATGCTTTTCAAGATATCTGCTCCAAGGCCTTCGATAGCCTGTCCCAACTCTCGCTCTCCTACACAACTCGCAACCTTCTTCTCGTCCGCCAATCCAACGCCGGAAGCGAATCCTGCTCGCTTTCCTCTCTTGCTTGGCGTCTGTAACACAGCGAGAGAACCTGTTTTGCCATCCACGGCAGAAACTAATGACAATGTCTCGAGGCTGCCTACAACCTCCCGGAACTCCGAACTGGATAGAGGATGCAGTACCGAGTCGCGTGTGCAAAGTAGGCTGTAAGTACCGTATAGCGACTTGATGCTCGGTGCAACGGTCTGCGATTTGGATGGCGTGGACAAAAATGACGATCCTCGGGCCACTCTTTTTCGATTCTCAAGTGCCATCAGCGAGCATAAAGCAGCTTTCTGCTGGAGATTGAGGGTCTTGAGTCGCTGGTTCGTTCCGTTGCTGAAAGCTGCTGCAGTGATCCTGTTGAGATGTCCAATAGTCACTCGCGGCGCATTCTCCATTGTCAAAGTCTTCAATGAGGCCGCCAGCATGGTCGACACGCTCTTCTCGGGCGATCGTTTCGATGGGGAACTCAGGTTGCTGTTCTCTCCCAATGGCTTCCGGGAAGGTGTTGCGAGGAGCATCTTCTCCTTGACCTCAGCCTCGTGCATCTGCTTCGTTTCCGCCTCCACGAGGTCAATGGCCCTTCGGCAGATCTCGAATGCCTTGCGTAAATCGCCCGTCTGACTGGACACCTTTCGGGAACAGAGCTCAATCGCCGCGGGGTGAATGAATGGCAGAGGACTCCCTTCAGGCACAAGGCTCTTTAGGCGAGTGGTGATTATGGCCTTGATCTGCGCTACCGAGTATGGGAGGAATGGAAGTAGTTCGGGTTTGAGGTTTCGAGACTTGAGCCGTGGTAGGAAACGATCCGTCAGATCCAAAGCATTGGCGATTCCCACCAACACGAGACGCGAAGCCTTTTGCATGGACCACTCGAATAGCCCGTACAAACTTTCCAGATCGAGCGTGAGGATGTGGTCGATCTCGTCCAGGACGACCAGGTAGACTTCTGACGACTTCTTTCGTGGCATGAAGAGCTTCTGGAGAACCGTGGCAGCATCTCCATCGGAGGCATCTAGCCCATCGCAGAACTGGTCCAGGAGTGTCTCGTACAAGTCCTTGGATGACTTAATGCTCATGCAGTTGATGTATGCCTTCTTGGTAGACGTCGCATCGATCAGCTCTTGGGTAACTTCGTTGACCATTGCACTCTTGCCAGTGCCCGGAGGTCCGCTGACGTAGATACAACCACTGGGGCTGGGTTGCGCGCATCGCTGCAGGAAATCCTTGAGATGTTCTCTTTCATCGTCTCGTCCGATCAATTGGCCCGGGTTGGCGCTTCGGGAGAACAGTTGTCGTGCGTGGTGGTATACGGTTTGGATGGCGGTAGGGGTGAGAGGCGTCTGTGGTGCGAGTCTCTTGGAGATCCTCCCTGCAGACATGACCCGATGCCGCGGGGTGACGGGCACTTTGGCAAGAGCATCTCGGAAGCGAGGCGTGCTGGGGGTGATGGGCTTGTAATCGACTGTAGCGACCTGCTTGCTGCTTCTTGCAGTACTGGTGCGCTCTGGAAGGGCATCGGGGAACGACTCCTCGACAATTTCGTCGGCGAATGCTTTGTAACTGGACGACTCATTCCGGATGACGACGACTGCCGGGTCTGCGTTCTCGTCATTGACAAGGGAGTTGCGAGTCTGGCGTCTTGTTCGTTTCGCGGGTAGTTCGACCAGGTCTGGAAGTCGACATCAGTTGCTGTTTCCTCAAGTGTTGCAGGCGCCATTGCTCTTACCCAAGTCTTTCGAACTTCTCGTCCGCTTTCCCAACGTGCTTGCCGCCATTTTCTCAAGTTCTCGTACAGTATACACAAAAATGCAGAAGTCTGAATAGCAAGAAATACCAAGCGATGCGCATATACAGACAATGACCAAGTGGAAAACCGAGAAGGTGTGATGGAGAAGATTGGGTGGGTATAAGGGAAATGAAGGCGCGTCTACACGACGCGAGGAAAGTCGCGTAAAGTGGTACCCGCTGGGCGGTTCCCATCGAGACCCTGGCATGCCTGGCCGCCTGCCCAGGTGGTGCAGGGCGCGTTATGGTACCTAGAAAGGTGGCTGGCCTTTAGTGGGACCCGGCACGTGTGCCTTTCACCGTGTTCTGCCCCATTTAAACTGGAACAGGGCGATCTCCGGCCAGGTGACTGATAGCGGCTACAGTGACCCGCCAAATTATCCGACCTCACTGTCCGTGATCGCCACCCGGCATTACATTCCACTCTTAAGGTCTGAGAAGCATTGTCTATTTTACCTCCTACCTAGTCTGTACCTACACCAAAATCCATAATGCTTTCTTTGCTTCCTATTTTTCCACGTGAACTGTGTATCACTTTTAGAGTGGGAACTTCATTATTACTAGGAACGTCGGCGTCCATGTCTGACGTCTGATACCATCACCATCGACATGACCGACGGTGGAAGCTGGGAATACAATGACCGTATCGAAGCCCTACGAGATTATGAGTTTCCCATGCTCAAAGGTCAGCATGATAGAGATGATCCTTGCTACGTTCAGTTCAGTTGACCTTCGCAGCAGATAATGTCTATCTCGACCATGCTGGAACAACGCTATACGCGAAGTCCCTCATGGACAAATTCGCAACAGACATGACCACGAATTTGTTTGGCAACCCTCACTCAGCCTCTGCGTCCTCCCAAGCATCTATGTCTAGGATAGAAGACATCAGAGTACGAGTTCTGCAGTTCTTCAACGCCGACCCTTCTGAATTCGACCTGGTCTTTGTTGCAAACGCGACGGCTGGCATAAAGCTTGTCGCCGACGCCTTCCGGGGCTCGCCAGGAGGCTTTGATTTCCTGTACCACCAAGCATGTCATACCAGTCTAGTTGGTGTCCGACAAGAGGCTGAGAACAGCCTCTGCCTGGACGACGACGCTGTCAGGAATTGCCTTGAAAGTGGTGGGAAGAACCCCTTGCAGGACCTTGAACGTCGCGCCAAGTCAACTCTGTTCGCTTATCCTGCACAGTCGAACATGAACGGACAGAGATTCCCCCTATCCTGGTCCGAGAGGATGCGCAAGTGTGGCGCGGCATCGGGTGATCGGTTCTTCACGTTACTGGATGCTGCGGCATTCGCGGCCACCTCTCCGCTAGACCTAGGCAACTCTGAGAATGCGCCGGACTTCACTGTCTTGAGCTTCTACAAGCTTTTTGGCTTTCCAGACCTCGGCGGCCTCATCGTGAGACGTCAAGCGGCACCAGTCTTCCAGCATCGTCGATATTTCGGTGGTGGTACTGTCGATATGGTAGCTTGTGTCAAGGAACATTGGCATGCTACGAAAACGCAGAGCTTGCATGAATCCTTGGAGGACGGAACACTGCCCATTCACAACATCATCGCACTGGACTCTGCACTCGACGTACACCAGAAGCTGTATGGTTCGATGAAGGATGTCAGTTCGCATACTGCTTTCCTAAGCCGAAGGTTATATGACGGGTTCGTGGCACTCCAACACGGCAACGGTGAAGCTGTATGCGCCATGTACTCGACTTTCTCAGAACAAACAGATGATGATATAGGGAACGGTCCGGTCCTAGCGTTCAATCTGCGAAGTCATCTGGGCGCCTGGGTCAGTCTGGCTGAATTCGAGAAGCTTGCGGTGCTGAAGCAGTTTCATATTCGCACGGGAGGTCTCTGCAATCCAGGAGGTATTGCGAGTGCCCTGGGACTTGAACCATGGGAAATCAGGCGGAACTTCTCTGCGGGCTTTCGATGCGGGAACGACAACGATGTCATGAGCGGCAAGCCAACGGGCGTCATCCGAGTGAGCATGGGAGCAATGAGTACCGCGTCCGACGTGGACAAATTCATTGACTTCATATACGAATTCTATTGCACTCGCATTACTGAGTCGGAACCGTCACTCTGGGGGGAACTGCTGGTCCAACAGGATCCGTCTGACCTTTACGTGGAAACCATCATGGTCTATCCTATCAAGAGCTGCGGAGGCTATCGCATCCCCATTGGATCGCCATGGGAGGTGAGGCCAGAGGGACTGACCTGGGATAGGGAGTGGTGTCTAGTCCATCGAGGGACCGGACGAGCATTGAGTCAAAAGCAGTATCCTCGTATGGCCCTCATCCGACCGGTTATCGACTTCTCGACTGGTCATTTGCGCATCTCATATCGCGGGCCTCCTTTGCGAGATACCCCTGGCCAGGTCTTGGTCCCTTTGTCGGCAAATCCAGACTTGTTCCGACCAAGCACTTCAGGCCATGGTATGACATCACGAGTTTGTGGGGAGGAAATATCGGCGCAAGTCTATCGATCCGATGAGGTCAGCAACTTCTTCTCACGTATTCTGGGGGTTCCATGCGCCTTAGCTCGTTTCCCTCCCGGTGGCTTGGGCAAGGGTATGCGTCATGCGAAGGCTCATCTCCAAAACCACCAGAAGGTCAGTTCGAGCGGACGAAATACCACGCGTTGCCATCTTCCCAGTGCAGCGACGCCTCCAGACTCGGACTCGGAGTCTGAGCAGCGGCGGATCCTGTTGTCGAACGAGAGTCCGATCCTTGCGATAAACCTGTCGAGTCTCGAAGCTCTGAACCGAAAGATTGCGCAGCGCGGAGGCAAGGCAGTATCTGCAGAGGTGTTCCGCGCGAATATTGTGATTCGTTCGTCGACTCCGAAGGGCGATTCTTTTGCATACTCTGAGGATCATTGGTCGAGGTTGCGGATCGGGAAGCAAAGCTTCAAGATGTTGGGGGCCTGCAGGAGGTGTCATATGGTCTGCATAGATCAGGAGACGGCAAACAAGAGCGAGGAGCCCTTCATCACCTTGACCAAGACGAGGCGATTCGATGGGAAGGTCTTATTCGGGACGCATATGTGCCACGTACCTGTGCCAGGTGTTGAGACCAAGGAGGCCCAGTTTCCTACTATTGCGGTGGGGGACGAAGTGGTTGTTGACCCGGTATGAGTGTATTGGTACGGATGGTGCACTGAAATAAATCACTTTGGATGCACGGGGTTCTAGTTGCTGGGGCTGCACATTGAAAGGAGGCACGAACAATGGTTGCCTGGGGGGCGGGTACGGTCAGGGTGCAGGTGGTTGGTTGGTGTTATATGTTGAAATAAAAATTTCTGCCTCCAACAACCGAGGTGCCAGTGGTGTAGTGGTGAGAAGAACTGGCATGTAGTCTGCACAAGATTACAAAGCTGGGGGTTCAATCCCTTCCTCGGTGAACTTCAGGTAACCAACCACCGTAGAAGGCACCGATAGGTGCACCCTATTATTAACGGCCCCTCCCTTACCCAAGTCCGGGAGACCGGACGAGGGGATGGACAAAAACAGGTGGATAATGTCGTTTAGGCGTGATGAAAACACTGAAGTATGAGTATACACAGGAAGGGAGCCTAAGTTCTATTTTTTATTTTTTCCCAATTTCCTTTTAGCATAACTGTGGGGAATCTTGGTATGTGTAGAATAGGGGTAGCTGCCTTTTATGGTAGCATATTTGTAACGGTTGATTGATTTAGTTAGAGCTTAAAGACTGACTTGATCAACAGATCAGTGGCCCACCTAACGGCCGTTGCTATCACGGCGCGTGCCTGAAGCTTGGAGCGCTTACAAGAGCGCTGACAAGGGCGCCAGTAAGAGAGACGGCTTGAAAGCGCGTCATCCAAGGCGTTAAACGAGTGAGTGTTCCCTTTCCGCGAGAATCTCACACCCCAAGACCATGGCGCAGACCAAGGCCCGTGGCAGTGCGAGAGGGCGCCGACGAGGGACGGACGGCTTCCAGTTCGGAGCACGTCATCCAGGGCGCCAGCAAATAAGTACCCTCTTTCACCTCACCCCCAAATCCACCGCACAGATCACGGCGCGTGTAGCAGACCCCCAAGTCCACAACGGCGCTCGCAGCAGTTATCTGCAGCGCGTGGCACGGCGAGCCTGAGGGCACTGTTCTAATTGATACACCCCAAGCCCCTTGAACCCATTCTCCCCTTGCGCTCCGTTCTTATCCAGACGAGGACAACCACCTCTAGTCGTTATGAGCATATACAATCTCGGATCTGCCACGTTAGATTGGGCGACATCGACGCAGAGTTGTCGCCGTAGAGATCACGCAGCACGCCTGCTCCGCTGGGGACAAATCTTTTCTAGTCATTCAGATAATTGATACGAGAGGCCCATGAATCACCTGCATCCATCGCGACACCCTCACTTCAAAGTGGTCCGACATACCACGTCTCATGTAACAGCTAACACTAACAAGCCTCGCCACCTAAGTTCCTAACAAGAGCAATCCAGCTTCGTCGTGGACACGGAACAGTATGAGAAGTACGGGATTGCCGAGATAGCCAATACCACGTACAAACATTTTCCTGCCCTTTAAATAAACGCATATGACTCCAGGGCTTCCAAACAGACAAGCCCTCCTCTGAGAGAGAGCTTTGTGGAGAGGCTCTGATTTATGACGTGATTAAGACCTGCCTCAACCCAAGCTGACTCCATGCCATCCAGCTTCCTCAACAGGCCACCGTCTCCGCCGGGTCCGGGTTCAGTAAGGGACCTCAACAGCTACTTGCCAGGAGCAATCACTCCGTTGGAATGGGGGTCAAATCCCAGAGTGGTAGGCTACTGCTGTAGGCTGTGGCAGGGCAGTTGAAGTGAGTCTCAGGGGTTGTCACCGCCAATCTTTGAGATGCTCAGCAAACCATCTCAGGGGCATGTACTAAAGCCCAGCAAGCATGGACAGAATGACGGTGAATAGACCCAGCCTTCTCAACCAATCAGCAGAAAATACTGCAGTAAGTATCCAGCACAACCGGTGTGTAGTCTGGCTGCACTGTATTAGTTTGACCTGTGCCCCTGTCAACCGTCACCTGGGTGCTGCACGTGTTGGGTGATTCTGCTTCTCTTCCCAACCCATATGTTGCCCCATCAGTGCCTCCACTTTCACATAAATACCTACTTCTCCTCCATCTCAACCTTGACTTGATCCCAATCTTCTTCCACCTCAACTTCCACATCCACTTCCATCCCTCTCTTCTTCACTCATCCACGCATCACCCAGCAACATGAAACCACAAAAGAACCTAAAGAAGGCCGTCAGCCTCCTGGCAGGCCTTACCTTCGAGTCCGGTGCCACGCTGTTCGACGCACCCGTCGACACCTACCAGGCCCTCGTCTCGCATACCGCCCGAGACCTCGCCCCCGAACAAGCCCGCAATAACATCGAGAACATCATGGCCAACCTTCTGAAGGTCTGCATGCAGTATGAAGATGTCTACCGACGCATCCGTGGTGATGATGCATTCTGGCTCCTCATCCTCTCGGCCTGGAACGCCAATCATCTGATGCAGCCCGTTCATATTCAACAAGTCATCTCCCTCTTCGTCGGTGCTCGACGACGATTCAATGCCGATGCCCAGCCGTCCCAGAATGTCAGCACTCTCTTGACAACCATCCTCGACCGCTACATTGCCATGGTCGACGATGTGCCGAGGTACACGCAGCCTGACCTCTCCCCCCAGCAATGCCAACATCACCCAGCGACTTTCCGGTATCACCCTTGGCGCGCTCATCTGGCCCGAGGCATTCTACAGCCCGATCGATGTCGCCGTCCTGGGCGAGGGAACCATCCGCACGAAGCTATTCGGCATCAGTCCTGGACGCTCTGCCCGAGAGGACGACCTGATCTACCCCCACCGACCAGTCCGACCCCATGGACACACGCGAGTTCTTCTGCTCATTGTCCCTCTATCACAGAAAGGCGGACGCAGACTGCTCCCTGTACCTTGCCCCTGTCGCGTCCATCGACCACGAGGCGCGAAACCACTGGCACAAGCCCACCGGATACAAGTCTCGATTCTACGCGACCGTCGACGAGTTCCTCACCTATGCTCGTGATGAGTTCCACAAGACCGGTGCAGCCGCCAAGAGCCATGTCGTCGGCCTCCTCAACCCCTGGTTCTTCGAGAAGGACGCCCTCACCGCTGAGGCAGCGCGCCGCAATGACGCCATTCCCAATGTCTGGAAGAAGACTGCCTTCCGTGCTGGATTGATGCTCGGTCTGAGCAAGGTCAAAAGACGAGACGACAACTAGGAGTGTCGCCTCACCTTGTTCAAGCCCGGAAAGCCCACCTACCCGTACGCAGCCGAGCCCTCTACTCGACGCAACTTGCAGGACGCGTGGATTCGACAGATGGTAAAGCTGGTTGAAGCGCGCTTCATGATCGTGGAGTCATGGACCGACGGCGCGGTTGACCGTGGTCAGGATGGTGAGAAGCTGAAGGCAGATAGCCAGGTCGGTGCCGATTCCGTGGAGGCATGATGCGAGGTGATCGCCGAGATGATGGAGGATGTCGCATGAGTTCCTACTTCGGTGAAGGAGTACCTTGCCAGAGGCTTCAAGCCTATGGATAGACACTAGGTTGACTCGGCTGGGAGATATTGCCATGTTTTCTGCGCAAAGTATAGACCGGCGATCATGGTACATGTAAATGGAGGTCTTAGAGCAGCTCATTGACTTCAGAGTCGCTTTAATTCCATGGATTTCCCGCAAAAAGTCTTCATTCGTGCTTTGAACTAACCAGCCGGCTGGCATATAGCTATTCATGTAAGCTAACCCAAGTCTTTTTGTGAACGGCAAAGGATGCTACACCACATTAACTAATTGCTAGAAATGCTTTAAAAAGTTTGACCGGGCCTCAATTTCACAATCAACACTACGCATATGCTATAGGACGCGGATAGAGATGAGGTGAAAATTGACAGTTGAGGTAGATGATATGGTAGGATGAATGGGAGGGAGAGTGGGAGGAAGAAGGGTGGGAGAATAGATACCCACTGCGTGCAGCACCCTGACTGCGGTCAACTGGGCTACGGATCAAGCTCGCACAGTGCATCGTCTACCATATGGACCTCTCTAATCGACTACGTGCTTGTTGGGGTCTTCTGATTGGTGCTAAATGCGGAATTGTTCACCGTTATTCTGGCCATGCTTACTTGGACTTGAGGTACGTACCCCTGAGATGGTTTGCTGAGCCCCTTAGGGCTGCCCAGTGGTACCCCCTATAATCCCCTCTAGCACTTCCAGGGGGTCCTGTAGCCTGTCGATTCGCCCTGATTACGGAATACCGTCTATATGGCATGCTATCAGGCTGTAGAGCATTGTTCCTCCGCCTTTACTTGCGAGGCGTTGCGGTGGCATCCCAGACTGGCGGTGGTGAGCATCGTGGTCACAGCGCCTTGGAAGCCTCCCTGCAACTCATACTGCCGCGAGTGCCATGGTAATACCCTCAACAGATCATGGATCTGTTTGTTGACCCTTGAGTCATATGCTAGTGCTTAAAGGGCGGAAACTGCTTGCGCAGAACGGCGCTGGCAATCCATTCAGGGGTTGATTGGTAATGTCAACCCCACAAAGCTCTTATTGACCGCTCATTATGGATAACTGTACCTATCAGGGTCTGTGTCCCATTAGGAACCCATCGTGTACCTATGTACAGATACTCCTGTTGTTGAGGTACTGCATGTTAAGAACTCCTCAGAGCGAAGGTGTCACGCTTTACTTTTGCTGGGAGGTCGTCAGGCTGGCACTCTGGGAGTCTCTAGTGACTTGATCCAATACGGGTAAGCGGTACTGATGACGGGCCCTCGAGATGTAGGAACTATCCTCACAAATGACCTTCCAGTCCTTTGGCAGCCCCTATTCCGGTGGAATCTCTCATATACGTAATCCACGTACATCGGCCGAGGCAATACCGTGTCTGGTAGGCCTTGGACATGACTGTACCTATGAAATCCGGACCTTGCAACAGGGGCAACCAATACGGCACCACCAAGGGCGACATGGACACGAAAGATCGGATGGTACGTCACCTTGGCAAGCAGAGTCTCGTCCTCACGAGACTTTCCCTACCGCATTATCAACATATCTTCACCCGACACGGGATACTCATCTATGGATGTAGGTTTGGTACGATCATTTGCTCCATCTCGAGGAAAACATCTACAACCCTGCGGCGGCAGCCGTCAGGATTGACCAGCCCCAAGATGGCCAACACGTCCGGCAGCGCTACATCCACCCCGAATTCAATCGACTTATGCCCGAGTAGCACGTATCAGGGCGTCACCGAGCCGTCGCAGGTATCTCCCAGCTTCACTGGCGCACACGCAATTGCATGCTATCCTCCTTCGCTCAAGCTACTGGCCTCTGGCCTTCACATTCCGGAACATCAGGCGTACTCTCGTCGTACCCAAGCAGTTGCAATTGGAAGTAGCCACGAGTTCAGCAATCCTCGCCTTCATCATGTATTGCCAGAGTGGTTGGCTTAAGTAGGTAGCCATGCTCGAAGTACCCTCTCGATATCTCTCACAGTTCGGAGGCTGTTCACTCACCATTAACCGGCCTCCGAGGCGATCGCCATACCATCATCGTCGACATGTGCACCAACTAGACAATTAACATGTTTTACTTTGAGTACTTGACCTTGAGTGTTTTATTCGGTTTCATTCCCCTCAAGACACGGTGCGTCTTGAGACGAGTGGCACTTGCTAACATGCGTCTGGGTCCTCAGCATGCTCACAGACCCTGGCCAGTAGATACCCGCCAACAAAATGTATCGTACTGGCTCTGACATCAGGAGCGTAAGACTAGGTGCCCAACTGGAAGGACTGGGCGGCTTACTAACAGGTGCCGAGATGGTTGCTGACGCTGGGGCAGACAATCCACCGACCAAAGCACCGTGACACTCACCACGAAGACACCAAAACACCAAGACACAAATGGCCCGCGTGCGATGTTCAATAGGGCACCTGCCCATAACGTAGATAACAGGATCAATAAATACTCGTCACAGTCACCTGGGTCAGACAAAACATCGATACCAAACTTCGTCAATTCTCACGGCGATGCTATAATGCTACAACGTGATACGCAGGCCATAACGTCACAATGCGGCCAATCTCACGGCAGCGGCAGCCCAGTCCTCCTCAGCTTCAATCCAGCCTGGACCCTAGCCGGTATGTCCCTGCTCCTTCCAAAGTACACTCTATCGTACACATCCAATGTTCGAACGGCATCTACTTCGTAGGGCTGGACGGGCCTCGCGTGAAGCTATCGAAGAAACACATCGTGTCAGCTACTGTAAAGAGAACGTACGCTATGCTATTTGGCCAGGGGATCAGGTATAAACTCACTTATTCCACATCGTACCGAAGAAGCCCGCCTGAGGCTTCTGATCGTGAAGACTGGCCCGTCGTGCCATACACTCAGGGTCATTGGATCGCTTGTGGGCCATCAGGCCGTCGAAGGCAGGTCCGGAGCTCTGTGGAGAGAGATCATGTCAGTCTTGGACCGAGTCTGCTGGGGGTTGTTGGTTTACTGACTCTTCGTCGGGACGCAGTCGAGCCGGTCTGGGGGTTGGTTGGGGTCTTTGAGCTGTCCATGTTGTGGGGTTGGGTAACTGTGTGTTGTTTCTTGATATCTTGTGTAGTGGTGATGATCTGGTATGGGTCGGTATCACGAGATGTCGAAGATGGAGATGGGCTGGTGATCTGAATTCTAGGAAACGTCCACAGGTGCAAGCGGGGAGTGATCCTTTTATCAAGCTACGAGGCACATCGAATTGAATGTAGGGACCCGGCTGTCAAACAGCTGCTTGGAGCTCTCTGAGCAGCTGCAACCCTTGCCGAAGCTTGATCGGCAGCTTCTTGCGTGTGCGAGCGAGACCGTCAGTGGTCGGATGGTCTTTGATGACTTCACCGATGAGGTAGTACGTCAGGATGATCCCAGGAAGCGCGTAACTCTAATCATCACTGTGGTACAATAGCATGGATCGGATGGCCGCCAGACTAATAGCCTACCTTAGCGACTGCGAAGTCGTATCTTGATGGAAATAGGTACATACAGCACGTCAGGCAGCCAATTGTTCTGTGTCCCAATTGCAATACCTTGGTATTCGATTATAGCCAGACTTGAATGAAGCCGTATGAAATCAGCAGCTCAAGGTTCACAAGTACGAGGTACAGGCGAGTATCTTTGCCGTCTGCGTGACCGCGTCATAGTCGAGGAGCTCGGTCTCAGCCGGCTTCCCCAGGGGGTTACCCCGCAAGGGAATCGAGACTGGTGATCGGGGAGGCTCATATCGAGCATCGAATCAGGAGATGGCGATCATTACTACCACCCGCTAGCTTGTCTGGGTGGCATGAGCATGGAACCACTGGTTACGACTGGCTTCGATCGGGCTGGGGAAATAGACGGGCGTTCTGAAAATATGAGGCCGTCATTCAAGCCGGCTCTCGATTTGACATGGCGCGAAGGGCCGTACAGGCGATGCAGAACAGGGGTCAATACTGACCGCGTAGGAGGTGGAGAGCGTAGGGTCTAGACTGCGCACAGACCTACCGCACGTTAGCAATCGGGGCATCATGGCGACTGGAGGCATGGTTCAGGCACAGGACAGCATAAAAGCCTGGTAGGACCGTCGGCTGCAATTGACACATCGCCATCGCATCAAATCAACATTCGCAAACGCATACTTGATGGTTGTATTGAGACTGCGTATTACTGCATAACCTCAGTGTTCGCCTGCCGGTCACTCTGAGAGACCAGGCCAAAACCAGACGACATCCATACGGACCAAATACAGTTGGACCCCTGAATTTGGGCACATCCTTTTTGTACATGTACATACCTGAAGTTCGCGATACGTTAGCATCCCTGACGTTCTAAACTCATCAAGCAAAACACGTCGTGATGACCTCCTCAGTTCTCCAAGGTGATAGGAATAGTCTCGTCATGAAGAACTCCGAAATACAATGCAGGAAATGTGATCATCCGAGAGGCTGTTAATCCAAAACGAGCAATCAAAGACGACTTACCTTGCGTGTGAATCGGCGAGCATCCTATCGCGACCATTATATTACCTAGCCAGCCAATGCGTTAGCGAGTGTCGCCACGGTATGAATAGCTGATGAGGGTTTGATGCTAGTTGTCAGGCTACATAGCAACGTCAGTGGAAGTCCTACGACCAGAGAGCTAGAAGACCACGACATACCTCATTAAATCAGAATTTTTGTTTAATGTTCATTTCCATGCCCGAAGGACAGGATCAAACAGTGTGAATAGTGATCATCATATAAATGGAGGTGCCAGATAAGGGAGAGTGGTGTACCTAGCGAAGGAACGTTAGTCAGATCCGAGAACGACTGGCCATGGAATATCGCGGTGACAGAAACACATTCAGTTGACGAATTATCAACAAGAATCCCCCGTGGACCTTCTCCCCAAGGATTGTACGTCCTTGTTTGAACGAGAGAAGGCACGAAGGTTCATTTATGTCCGCCCGTTCGTTCAAAATATCGTCATGTGAAAAGGTCGTGCGGGAAGGAAGCGATCGTATGTACCTGTATGGTGGACATGTTAGATAAGTGTGCATATGAGGTTGCCAATGGATAACAGTCTCAAGATGTGAGGTCAGACAAGGCTGAAACTAACAAATCTACATGATGTATTCGGAAAGAGGAATTCCTAGGTTTGTCGGATTTTATCATCACTCCTCAGAGTGGGGGAAGATGCATGGGAGCGGTATTGCGAGCGCAATCAGACGAGACAGAACATACCTTTTGAAGTGGATGATGCATTCTAGAGGGAGCAGCATGCTTGGCTAGCAAGCAAGCAGGCATTCAAGGATTCTATGCGCATAATGTTAGCATGGGCCAGTCGACAGTGACAGCTTGACAGCAATGGGCTGGAAGGTTTGCTCAGGGTAATTCTAGAGTCTAAGGATCCCCATGTAGGTGTAAGATTTGGATTGTTCAATTGTTTCTTCGTCATGGCAAATTGGGCAAGGTTGTATGGCTGAGGAGGAGTGCAGAGACTTACCATGTCACTGGAGAAGGAGGGACTGGAGAGATGGCCACGAAGGCATTGTGGCTCGGAAGCAGAGCTGGTGTCGTGTGCGCGGACAGCTCCAAAGTTTGAATTGGAGGTTGAGAGGTGAAGAAGGGAAGTAGAAAATCGCGAAAGAAAAAAATATTAAAAGAGCCCTGACGATTGGCTCCGCTTAGGACTTTCGTGGATAAGGCTGCAGCCAGCTGGCAGGGCTTTAGCGGGCAGCCAAGCGGCCGACAGATCCACCGATTTCAATGCTGGCTGGCCTGTGCTTTTGATGTGGCAAAAGCTTGCGCCACACCCACCTCCGCATGGTCCACTGGCTGGCATGTTTAAGGGTCCCCAGCCGTCATCGCCCGCATTCCATCTCTCTTCTTTATCATCAACCCCGATTGGTATCTCCTCTCAACTCCCTCGCACATTTGTTGCGAACAAGAAATCACGATGGTCGCCTCGTCAGGTGGCATATGGGGGCCCGCAGCCATACGGATTGCCCGTAGTGCCGTCTACAAGGCGAGCAAGGTCATACGGACCAAGGTCATCAACGCGACCCGTCCCGTTAACGCCGCACTCGAACCCGTCTTCGTACGAAACAACTCCCGACAGCCTGTCCACCCCTCCGCTTTCCTGCGCCAGCAGCAGAGCCGGAGATGGAATTCGACCTCCACATACCAGAACATCAACGACGCCGTCCGCCGCTTCATCACCACCGGCCGACTTGAGGGTGCCGCGAAGCTTGATCGCTCCAAGTTCCTCAACACGCAGACGGGCCGTGCCGTTGCTCAATTCAGCGGCCGGGCACCATTCGCCAGTGCCCTGAGACCAAACCTCACCGGCGGTGCTCTGCCTCGCACTGCCGGAGGCTACGGTCTCGGATCCGGCCGTGTTGGCGGAGCCAGATACTTTTCCCACGCCCCGGCGGCTCAGGCACAGGTGGTTCAAAACGTCTCATCCGCTGTGCGCGCATTCTGGATCTCTGGCCAGAAGGCACAGTTCGACGGTTTGACCCCACAAGGCGAGAAGCGTTACCGTGCCGTCTCGGCTCTGCAAGATGAGACGGCTCGCAAGATGGCAGCGATTCCCCGTGCCCCAGGCTCCTACGTGGATTTCCGCCTCAACCCGACGGTCACTGCCTTGAGCCCCCTGACAGCCGCATTCCCCTACCCGTCGGCTGGTGTCAAGGTAGCCGAGTTAGACGCCGCGACTCTCAACACCGACGGCTTCCTTGACGTGCTGTCAGTGGACTTCGCCCGTGCCCTTCGCGACCTGACCACAACTCTAGCAGATATCAAGAAGCTCTCTTCATTAGGCGATCTTCCAATACAACTTGAGAAAGGCCAAATCCTGCGTATCCGGTTCCCGGGTGTCGACGCCGAAACGGTGGAGACTCTCTGCGATGATCTTGGCTTAACAAAGGGCTCAGTGAAGCAAGACCCAGACTTCGATGCGGAGACCGGAGTAGATATGGCGCTACAGTTTCCTTACGCGCCCGATGCCAACGTCAACGACGCGCAGTCTTTCACCTCACCCGGTGGGTTTCTGCGCTCTGAAGACAGCTTCCCAGAGGAACACGAACTTTTCGAAGGTTTCAGCGAGAATCCGTGGCTGTCCTCCCCAGAACCAGAGGGCTACGAGAGTATGTCACCGCCGATCAGCTCAGGTGAGCACTTATCAGAGGAGTTCGAGGGCCTGGAAGGTGTATACCGCTTTTTGGAGGAATGTGACCGCGCTCGCGGAAGATTCTGAATAGTATAAATGGGTGTTTGCAAGGCGTTCTGAGGTTATGGATTCCTGGAGGATATGGATGGAAATAACGGTATATCCACGCTCTTTTGTATGAACAGTATATAGTTTTAACCCCCCGTGGCCAATGTGCCAGCTAGGTCACACGAGATGAATTCCATATGTTGTCAAAACACTTTCCACTTTCAACGCAAACTCGAATCGTGAACTCTCCCGCCACACATTTTTGACAGTTCTCTCAGAAGCCCCCATGGGTATACAGCATCAGCTTGCGTGCTTGGCCTGGTCCAAGCGAGGATTCCAGCTAACCTCGCTGAGCTGCGTGTTGACATCGTGCTTCTGGCTTTTGCAGCAATCCCAACGAAACACAACCCCTGGCCATGACTCAGTCGCAAGTCATTAAGCATCATCTGACTGGATGAATTCGTTCAGCATTTGCATCGTTTGGGTATCTCTTATAGCCAGAAGCCTCTGACTCCTCAGGTGATGGATGTCAACATCACGGTGCCCAATCCATTTGCGAGCAAATAACGAACCCTGCCACCGCGACTCGGGCCCTGACCTGCGTATACTCTCAGCCTGACAGCAGTCCATCGTACCAAGTCTCACGTATCAAACCGCGTCTTCCGCTTCCCAGCCGCCGGCGCCTCCTCTGCCGGAACCAGTAAAGGCGCATCACCCTGCCCAGCCGCCGTCCCCGAAGCGGCCACAAACTCCACCGGGGCGCCCTTCCCCCTAGCCCGGGCCTGCGCGACCTCGACCTGGCTCTGCTTCAGCTGCTCCTTGTACGCCCAGCGCGAGAACCCAGCAGGATCAAACACATCAACCGGCAGCGTAGTGGCGTACTGGTCGCGCTGGTCCAGTCCCACAAAACCCAGCAGTTTGTCCATGAGCGCCGGGTTCCGCATGGCCGGCTGCTGGGGTTGCGCGATGCGCGAGTTGAAGTGCACGCCCTGCTTCTTGAGCTCCAGGAAGTGCTCGAATTTCTTGCTGGTTTCCGGCGGCGGCGAGCCCGGTGGCGACGGCGGTATGTCCATGTTGGGCAGCGTGGGGAGGGTGAGGTCGCGCAGCAGGGCGCGGTTGGCGGAGTAGGGGGAGCCGGAAGGTACCTGGCCGGGAGCTGTTGCTGCTGCTGCGTCGTCGTCGTCGTTTGCTGTGTCTTCCTCCAGCGGAGGGAAGCTGGGTCCTGCTGCTGGACCCATCTGCGGTCCGTAGACTGCTGGTTGCGCATCTGCCTTTGCCGGCGGCGCTGCTGGTTCTTTAATGGGATCTATGCGTTCGTCAGAAGGGGATGATCTCGTATATGTCATGAGTGGACCTACCTGGTCTCTCACCCGCATCAGCTGGGACTCCTTGGGTCGGTTTCAATGGCTGGCCTCATCAGGATCAGTGCTGCCCACCGTTCATTCGAATGCAGTTTTGTGGTTCATATCGAGTTCTCACTCATACCTTTAGTTGGGCCACAGCGGGTGTGACGTCCTGTTCTTCATCGCTACTCTCGTAGGCTACCAGACCAGCCATATTGCGCCGTGGTCCAGGATTTGGCGAGATTGGCAGTAGAACAAGTAGCGATTTGCCGATTGGCTATTCCACCAAGATGCCACTGAGAGTATGGCTGGACTTTTGTGATGATTCAAAATAGTTCTCAACGATGAGTTCAGTGCTTCTCGTCGGTCTTTGACGATTTGAGACTCGAAGGTTTGAGGTGGGTCTAAGGTCTAATAGCTGCCAGCAGCTGGTGGCAGCCGTCATTAGCGACCCGAGAAGGCAGAACTGACGCGCAGCTACCAGAGGTACGTACCTCCTAAGCTCCAGAGCAACGTCGGAGCTTCAGCCTGCTTCAACTTCACCATCAACCGACGACCATCCACCATCCACTATCCGCGATTCACCACTACACCAGCTCCCATTACATACCTCAGATCGCATTCCGGCACCTTCATTCTCCTCCAAAGCCAACATGGATCACCGTCCGCAAGCCTGGGGCCGTGTAAGTGAAAGCTCGACCAGGAAGACCTCCCGAGACCAAACAAGCTGACCTAGCTCCTGCTGCCAACAGCCCCGAGACGACGTCTACGGCGCCTACGATGCCTCATACATGAACACCAACCTCCCGAACCAGCACACACAGTCGCCGATCGTCACAGGAACGTCAGTAGTGGCCATGAAGTTCAAGGACGGCGTGGTCATGGCGGCCGACAACCTGGCGTCGTACGGGTCGCTGGCGCGCTTCACCGACGTCAAGCGCCTGCGCACCTTCGCCGACACGTCGGTCATCGGCTTCGGTGGCGACGTGTCCGACATGCAGTACCTGGACCGCCACCTTACCGAGCTCGGCATCGACGAGGCCTACCAGTCCGACGTGGGCGGCCACAACCTCAACGCCCGCAACCTGCACAAGTACCTGTCCAAGCTGCTGTACCACCGCCGCTCCAAGTTCGACCCCCTGTGGAACCACCTGCTGGTCGCCGGCATGGACGAGGACGACAAGCCCTTCCTGGCCGCCGCCGACCTGCTGGGCACCACCTTCACCTCGCCCTCGCTCTCCACGGGCTTCGGCAGCATGCTCGCCCAGCCCATCATGCGCAAATACGTGCCCGACGAGGCCTCGGTCGAGAACATCACAAAGGAGAAGGCGGTCGAGGTCATCAAGGAGTGTATGAAGGTGCTGTTCTACCGTGATGCGCGCTCGATGGACAAGTATTCGCTGGCGATCGTTACCAAGGACGGCGTCGAGTTGAGCGAGAACAAGCTGGAGAACCAGAGCTGGGCCTTTGCAGACCGCATCAAGGGCTACGGTACGCAGACCGTTTGAGAGGGCATTTAGAGGACCACGTGGAGGTTGTTGAGGTCGAACTTTAGAGTCTATGGAATACGCAGGGGTGATGGACAGTCACCCCGAAGCCATAGACGTGTAATAACACCAGATTCGTTGACTCTTCAACATGGAAGAGCGCGGCAAGTCTTCAATTGTTGCGCCCTTGGTTTCGGCTTCTAGATGAGCGTGAAAATGAAGGTGTAAGCAACAATCGACTCGTTGCTCATCCTGTCTATATGGAAATTCCATCTATTGTGAGGTAAGGCTGTGTCCCCCTTATCATCTGTCAACATGTGCCCAAGGACGGTCATTCCTAGACGAGGCGAACAGGAAAGCCAACACTACAGGTCAGCCGCTCAGGGGAGCTGAGAAAACCAACACAGACGAGGAAAACCTGCTTAACCCAGGCGAGGCGACTGGTGTAAGTGACAACATGTTCGGCCCGGGAGATGGGAGGTAGCCTGGGATACTGAGTAGTAGTTCGTTCGACGACTTCAAGTAAATCCCTACTTCGGCAATAACGAGTCAGGTACAGCGCATTTCAACGGTGCGTGATTTGGCCTCCAGGTCAGGGGATGAGCTGTTTCCTATCGTCTTCGCAGTTAACAACAGCCACTAGTATCTGATGTCCACCATGCTACCCCTTTCCTCCTTTCCTCTCCGGGAAGCTTGTCTCTTCCCGGGGTCGTAGGCCCGTGAAGACCGTCAGTCCAGCGGGTCTGTAACTTCTCTGCCGCTGGTAGAACAACTGGGTTTCAGTACACGTCGTGTGTCTTATACAAGAGTGTTTGCAACCCCTTCTGCAATGTTCCCGTGACTTGGAGTCGGTGCCGGGTAGTGCTATTCAAGGTCAGCCGAGCTCATAGAGTCAGTCGTGAGGCTCTGCTGTTTGCCCGTGCAGAGGTTATCCTTAGGCAAGTACACACAGGCCATTTGCAAGTTACAAATTCCAGATGGTGTGTATATATGACCTGCACGCATCCCTCCCTCAAGCCCGTTGCGCTGGAACTGGGCAGGAACCACGTGGGCACCAATTTTCCCCATGACCTGTCTGTACACGTACACCAGCGAGTAGCAGACTACGATGTCGTTGGAGCTCTAGAGCCAACCAACCTGTGTAACGTCGTTGGGTCTCGCGAACGGGAGTTGGGACGAACCTCTTTATTCCCAACTGCGATGTAGTTTCACATGTGATCACGAGAGTACATTTTTCTGTTTCGTCTTCCTCCTGCATTTGCGCATGACTCTGCGTGTGACGGTTGGGTCGAGGAGCTCCTGGCTCGGCTTGTCCACATAAGTCGCATGGAAGGCTCCCCTTCTCGTCTCCAGTCCATCCCATTTCAATCTTTACTACTCCACTACTTTCACTCTTTCTAGTAGGAACTTCTTTAGTCATTATCATCATGACATCCGGCGAACAGAATGCTGCCTCGCAGCCAGCTCCCACGCAGCCCCGTGTAGCAGTCACCCACTCAGGCCCAGAACCGAAATCGATCGAACAGATCGCGGCCGAACACCGTGCCGAACTCGGAGATATCATAAAGGCGCAAGGGGAAGCTCATAACAGAGCCGAAGTCAAGCGAGGAGAATTCGACCCGCAAGCTGCCGCCAGAAGTGCCGGTCATGCGAGCGACTGGGTGTACGGGTAAGCATAATGACTAGATCGTCCCTGAGAATACCATGCCTCGCTGACCAAGCACCGAAACAGCGGTCATCAGGTTCCCGCGGAGGCGGGACCCAGCGTGTATATCCAGGCTCCTGACCTGCCTGTGGACACAGGTCCAGAACCGGCTCCGGACTCGAGACCGTTCCTCCCCGAGGGGATATGGCCCAGAGGAGAAATTTCAAGAACAGCAGAGGAAAGAAGAGAATAAAGTAGTGGTTCCGCGGAGTAAAGAGGAGAAAGATCGCGAGAGAGCGCAACGGCGACAGCGCAAAGGAAGGTAGATGGGGGATATTTGTTTGCTAGTTATCCATGTGTCAGGGGAAGGAAGAAGACGTAGGATGGGAGGTTCAGAGTGCGAGTGAGGGAACGGGGAATCGTCACGGAGGCGTAATATGGGCGGCGTTCGGGGTTTCTAAATAGGAACAGGCATGTCTAGGGTTTTCATATGTTATATGGCGGGGTTTTTTTCTTTCCTTTGCTTTTCTTATAAAAAAGATCTGGTGTTTATACAGCTTCACATAAGTTCTTGGTGCGTGTGTTTTGCAGGGGCTGGCTCGAAGGCTCGATGAGTTGGCTCCTTATCCAACAGCTCGGAATAAGCTGGGGACTGGGTGTCACATACTCGAAATGTCAGGCCAAACGTTCATAAGCACCGAGTTTGGTCTACAGCAGATCAGATAACCCTTAATCAGGAGAGTCTCTGAGGTACTGTTCCACCCACCGGCGATAGAGCACTCCAGCATTTCCGTGTTACTCAAAGCTTGAGTCTGTTGTTGGACCGAGGCAGGAACGTGATTGGAATCTGGAGACATACATATTAACATACGAAAGAGAGTTCCCCTAAGGCGGAAGGATGAGTTGGACTACTCAACTCGCTCGGGCCAAGGGCAAAACAGCAGCTCCCCAAAGAAAAAGGACACGAGATAATGGACGGGCCATCAGTGGTCAAGGATGAAGCTTCCCGCCGCTGCTTATGCGCTGTCTGGATTGATTGGCTTCACTAAGACCTTGCTTGGCGGGTGTTCCCCTCGGGTCGCACCTTATTAGGCTGGGCGGGTAGCTGGCTGTTGGATATGTCAAAGGCAGCGAAGAACAAAGGTACTCTTGCGCATTCCTTACTAGGACCCAGTAAAAGTAGCGGCATGTTTCTATAATTAGAAGAGCAAATTTGTAATGAATCACGAATACTCCATGGAATGGCATGTGTAGTAGTGTCAAGAGTCCTGGCTTGTATTCCACATGGCTATATCAGATCGCCATGACTGATACGTGAATCGAGGTGCTTCTGTCTACTGCTTTCTGTACATCGCGTTCGTAAATGCTCATGTACCTAATGAAGCACTGATCGGTGACCGCACCACCGTCTTGATAGTGGGCAAAAAGGAAGGCACATTCTTCCAATCCGGTTCCCCGCCATCTGATGCTCTCCCTCGCAACCATGACAAGACAAGACGCTTATATGTAATCCGAATCCAACCGCCGAGCATGGAAAGCGAAACCCATTTTTCAGCCAACGCCGGTCATCGTATCATGTAGCAAAACCGCCGGCAGATAAGCTTCTACTGATCCCATACAGATAAACGTGCATTATTTACTCGACAGTGACCGACTTGGCCAGGTTGCGCGGGAAGTCGACGTTAAGACCCTCGGCGACAGCCAACCAGTAGGCCATGAGCTGCAGAGGGATGACGTTCAGGAGACCCTGAAGGCAGTCGACGGTTCTCGGAACCTCGATCTTCTCGGCTTGGCTGGCCTGGAACTCCTCATCACTTGGGTTGCAAATGATGATGGGCTTACCGCCACGAGCAGCAACTAGTCAGGGGTTAGCTTTGGTCACATAACAACAAGCAGGCAGGAGTCGGGCTGAAATTACCTTGCTGGTAGGCGTTAAGAGACTTCTTGAAAAGGTCATCACGGGTTAAGATCATGATGATGGGGAGGGCCTCGTCGACCAAAGCCAACACACCGTGCTTCAGCTCACCAGACATGACAGCTTCGCAGTGCAGGTAGGAAATTTCCTTGATCTTCAAGGCACCCTCGAGGGCGGTGGAGAACTGGCTGCCACGTCCAAGCAACAGCAGGGACTTCTGGTTCTTGAAAGTCTTGGCGCACAGCTCCTTGATGGGCTGGTCCAGCTTGAGGATCTCCTTGATCTGTGCAGAGACATTGCCGAGACCCTCGATGATCTCCTCCCGTCGCTTTTGCTTGGAAGCTCGGTCCTCACTAAGAGACAGAGCAAACATGACCATGGCGATGAATTGCGAGGTGTAGGCCTTGGTGGAAGCGACACCGATTTCCGGACCGGCGTTGACGTGGACACCACAGTGCGTCAGCAGAGAGATAGAAGACCCAACAACGTTGACAATACCAACGGTGAGGGCACCACGCTCCAAGCAGTATCGGAGGGCCATCAGAGAATCGGCGGTCTCGCCGGACTGGGAAACGAACACGCAAGTGTCGTCACGGAAGACAGGAGCCTCACGGTCGAGGAAGTCAGAGGCCAGCTCGACAGCAATTGGAATCTCGGCAAGCTCCTCGAAGATACCTCGGACGGCCATGCAAGAGTGGTAACTAGTTCCGCAGGCAATAAAGATGATACGTCTGCATCGGCGGATGGTTGCGATGTATGACCTCAAGCCACCAAGGGTGACGCTCTTGTTCTCTATATTGAGACGACCTCTCATGGTGTTGACGACGGACTCGGGCTGCTCGAAAATCTCCTTCTGCATGAAGTGGTCGAACTTGCCCTTCATGATCTCCTGGAGCTCGAGTTCCAAGGTCTGGATGCTTCGGACATTGGAGCTACCGTCGGCCTTCTTCAGACGGTGGATGTTGAGCGAACCCTCGTGGATGTGGGCAATATCGTCGTCCTCCAGGTACATGACCTTCTTGGTGTGCTCCACGATGGCCGAGGGGTCGGAAGACAGGAAGAACTCGGCGGGCATGGGCATGCCATCGTCGGTCATGAAAGCTCGGGATTGCGAGCGGTGGAGCAGGGATTTGTCGGGAGCGCCAAGCAGACCGCTGGGGGACAGCAGGCTGCCTGACTGCTTCTTAAGGGCCACATTTTGCGAGGCAGCCTCGGCAGGCAGAACACCGTTCTCCTCAGAGTACTCGACATCGACGAAGTCAACCTTCATGCGCTTCTGGGTCTTCACACCGATAACCAGGGGCGAACCCTTGCGAGCAGCCACAACCTCATGAGGGTAGTGAACCGACTTGATCAGCAGACCGTACGCACCCTCAAGCTCGGTGATAACGGCCTTGGTGAGGTCGACGAAGCCGATCTGGGGATGTTGGTCGTACAGGTACTTTGCGAGCTTCGCAATGCACTCCGTGTCGGTCTCGGTCTCGAACTTGAAACCCTTGGAGCCGAGCAGAGTCTTCAGTTCCTTGTAGTTGGTGATGATACCGTTGTGGACAACTGAGAACTCCCATGTGGAGTCAGATCTGCGAGCGGCCTCGAGTTAGCAAGGGGGGCCTCGTAAGCGGTGTATACAGCGATGTATTTACCTGTGGGGATGGCAGTTCAGCCGGGAGGGAGGACCGTGGGTTGCCCATCGCGTGTGTGCGATACCGGCATGCGCGTCGAAAACCTTGGTCAGGTCGGGCTTCTCGTCCTCAATGAGCTGCTTGAGCTTGGCAACCTTGCCAACCTCCTTGAAGGCAAAGACCTCGTTCTTCTTGTCACCGTCGACAGCTAGACCGGCCGAATCATAACCTCGGTACTCGAGACGGGAGAGACCTAGCAAACACAGGCAAGGTCAGCTTCCAGCGCCTCTTGTTTGTAGTTGTATGGATCGGGGGCGGGAGGAAAAACGCGGGCTGTTGCAGATTTGTAGTGTGCAGGAGGAGCGAGTCTCACCGTTCACAAGCGTGTCGAGGATGAACTTCCTGTCCTTCTCGACCAGGTAGTTGATGTAGCCGAAGATTCCACTGGTAGAAAGCGCGAGTTAGCATTGTAGAGTCCAATTGCATGTTCTTTGAGACTTCTTTGTGCGTGCTTGTCATCCCGGGCACGCAGAGAAAGGGGGGATGCAATGGCAGAGATGCCGGCTTCAAGAGTCGAGAGAGTCAAGGCGCCGTCCCAATGCGAATGCCTCAATGTGCCGGTGGGAGGCAGCATCTTGGACGTTGGGCGCATTAGGGGGCAACAAGGGCGGTGGGCTCTGGTCTTTTCTTCGTCTTACGTACCACATTGTGTTCTTCTGTGTATGCTTGGTGGGAACGAGCGGTGTCTGTCTTGCCAAAGAATGGGGATGGGTATCTTGAGGAGCGGTGGAAAACAACAGTCAACTCAGCAGCAGATGGGATGAGGACGGAGGACAAGGAACAGAGCAGTGAGTGTGGTGTGGAATACTAAATAGAGGAGGGAGAAGAAAGAAGGCCAAGTTTCGGGAAAATTGGAGGGTCGAGCTGGGACTTAAAGCCGTTTGCCGTTTGGATGGAAGCTGTGCTGAGCCTGCGTCTACGGTGTGCGGTAGGAGGTACCTGCCTCCTACCAAAGGAACTAGGTGAAGTGCACATGGCGGTACAGCGGTGCAGCGGTGCAGCGGTGCAGCGGTGATGGAGGGGCCGGCCAGTTGCCAGTGCAGCAGCCAGCGCCGGCCTGGCCGCCTGGACAGCTGGAGGACCCACCATGGCCACCCAAGCCACCGTATGGCACCTAGTACAAGAGGTGTACCTTCCAAGCACCCCGCCGTTTCTTGACAGTCACATCATCGACAAGATCCATGCAATCCTGGCTGAAGAGTCAGTGTTTCTTTGTTGCCAGGTCGCTTCAACTACATACCTACCCAGGTGTATCAGATGCCACATATGCACTACCTTATGCTCTGGTCCGTACTGGCCTGCCATCTCAACATTGAATGCTGTGGTGATGTCCAGAGGTGATATATGCTTATGTTTACCAGTCCTTGTGAGTGTTGTTACTGGATGTAAACAAACGCTTGTACCTTTAAGGTACCTAAAGGTAGGCAGACACTTCCACCCGTTTACCTGCTTTGCATGGCGGCTTCCATTCGATGTCGCCTCAACTGCGATTGAAGTTCGAACTCTCTTTGGTACGGCTTCAGCCATCTCTTCAGCTTGTGCCCCAGAATATGCAGCGTTCCGAAATCTTCTTTATTCCGCCGGGACGGGCCCGTCAATCATTGCCCATCTTCAATTTTAGTCCAGTGACACACCCAAATCGCTTTCATACCTCAGGTTATTATGCTTCTTTCAACGTCGGCCTAAGAATTCTCAGCAGCTTCAGCCTGAAGGTCAGACGCCAGACCGTCTTACGGGCAATGGACCACCACCACACCGCCCGCAAAGTACATGCAGACTTCCAACCTCCACAATGTCACCAATCATCGGCGAGGCGTGCGTGTCATGCAAGTACTTGGCGGTTGACTGCTACGATGCCATGCCATGCAGGTTCCGGGGCCCAAGCCCGGGCAGCATTGAAGACGGCCAATGTCACCTCCGCTTCCCATTATTGGCTGTCAAGGTTCGTGTTCAGCGGAGGTTTTCTGGTTTCTCATGCGCGCGCATGGGGGCTCCCCCCATGCCCATGCCTGCCCGGTGCCGCGCCCCTTATTTCGGGGCTGTACCTGAGCTAATGCAGCGAGTCGTGAGCCTGGAAACTGACTAGGCTGAGCGCCCTGAACGTAACCTGAGAGCGCCAGCTGCACCAGAGCGGTCTAGCTCGATGGAAATCCCGAAGATCAGAGCAAGGCAACGCCCGAACACGAACTTCCAAATAGGGGTCCCCTTCACGGTTGCCAGGGGCCGTTCCGAGCATGCCGTCATTAGATTCATCACGAGATGTGGTGGTGGTTGATCAACTTGATACTGAGCAGCGGACAGTGAAAGGACGACGAACTTCAAAGTCAATCAATGCCATACGCTTGTGAAGCACAAGTCCTTTTTAGAAGCACCCACCTCCTACGGGTTACATCCCAGTGGAAATCGTGGGGCTTGCTTGCTTACGAGATCCTCTGCCGCCATCTATCCGCTGACCAGTGCTGAATATAGGGAGGATAGGGGTCATCCATCATCCATCAACAAGCAACAATGCCAGATACAGTTTGGTCCGTGTCAGCGTCATCAGCATTCCTCTGCTCCAACAAACAGATCCTCACAAGGAGGTATCTCGATCCTCTCGACAAGACAGAACTGCAATTGGCTAGGTCCAACTCCCCCTGTGTTCATCCCACCCGCCGTCGTCTGATGCCGTATCATGTATGTACGTCCAGCCAGTCGGCAGATGCGAAACACACGTCGTCTATCCGAAATCTTGTCTGCTGCAATCCGAACAAACGGGATTGATTGTCAGGATAGTCCGGCAGTGTCACTGCCACCAACGCCCCTGCGTGCAGCGACTTCTCATCTGAACTAACGGCTAGTCGACCCTAGCGAGGCTCGTGACGGAAGAATCGGAGGCAGGCTAGCCACAAACGCAGTTCCTAATAATAGCAGCGGCCATCTGTTGCCGGGCAGCATCCCGAAACTCGAGCCACCGAAAACCGTGTTCCCCCCGAAAATCCTCGACAGCGCTTCCGCCACAAGGCAAGACAGGCAAGGCAACCAACCCATGCATGATAATGTTAAATAAAGTGTAAAGATGGCGTTGCTGCTCACGGCATCCTCATCGGCGTTCTGATGTCAGACAGACAGGGGTCGGGCTGGGAATGTTTTCCGGAATTTGCATGTTGTCACATTGTGAAAAGTCCCATTCCAATTCTGTATCACGTGAAAATCTCACCCAGACACCTTCGGGTTTCTCTCATCCAGACTCACGTCATCCTCCGCCTCGACAATGCGACTGTATAATCTGTATGGTCAATGCTTATCGAACGCTCTAACGATTACCATAAGCATTGATGCACCCTACATAAGCAGCTCAGCCGCAGCAATGGGCTAGCAGAGGTTATCTTTTCAGGCCTCCTTGGTTGCAAGCCAGTCGAATCAGCCACGGGCGCATGACACCGAGGCTGGTTGGCTGGTCAACTAACTGGCTTTCGTATCAGGCTGGGAAGCTGTCGCTGTTACATCTTGCTTGAACAGAGCCACCACAAACAAGCACTGGGCTGCGGACGGGAATCCCTCCAGGCTCGAAAAGGCTACCATGCGGCGTTTCGCTAATTGCTGGCGCGGCCGTGCTAGCGAGCTGACATCTTTCAGCGCCGGCGCCTTTCTCAAAATTCAGATGAATGTTATTATTACCGACTCGGAAGTGTCTTTGGAAGATCTCAGCGCCGCTCATACTTTCGTCTGCTGCACCACATCAGCTTTGTGCTTTCCCGAATCACCTCAAGGTGGGAATGCGTCGTTGACGGTGAAGCAAAATATTATATACCTTCATATAGCCGTCCTTGAAGAATGCGCATACTCCGATATGCCGCCTGCATTATCATACCAATACTCATTCTTCCGCCTTTCCTACTCATTGGTGAGGGCGTGACAGATGATACTCGGCTTGGTGATATCTGTATGGTCTGGCTGGGTGTGCCAAAGATGACGTAGCATGTAGCCCTTGAGCGTGTAGCCGTTTGTGTCGATATGTATGGAGTCTGGACGCAGTGTGTGCCTCAGCTTGTCAGAGCATATCCGTTGCTGGAATCCAAAAGTCGTGTCGGGCCTCGGATCGCATCAGGTCCGTGATGAACACTCATGGCCATCTCAAGGCAGCTCAGGAACTTCGCCAGTACCCCACTGGTGTGGTCTTCTAGGTGGTAACGATGTGCCGTCTTTCCTGTGGTTCTTGGCCTTGAACTTGTTCAACGCCTGCGTCGGCGTCTCGTTCTTGGTGGTCCCAAAGTACTTCGCGTACGCAAACACCTGATGCACCCAGAACCGCTGACCTCTCTGGAAAGGATGCAAGCCCGCGGCCGCCATAGCTTTCGGGTCCGCGCCGAAATATCGCACACAATCGTTGCAGCCGATCCACATCTGCCCACCCCGTTTGTCGCCATGGTAATAGTACCTCCGATAATCCAACGTCGTGGCAGATGGAACCTTGAAAGGCTTCTTCTTCCTCCCCTTGGGTCCCGTGCTACTATTTTGCACACTGGAGACCTGCAACGCGGCATTCTGCTCCTTTTGCGCTTTCAGAGCCTGGCGGAGATCGTCGTGTCCTTCCTCAGCGCCGAAATCATGCAGCCAGTTGAGGTAAGTTGGGGGGACTTCGTCGAGAGTGCGACCTTTGTACTTGCCAAAGCAGAGGTGGTACACGCGCGGTATCGTGTCCCATTCTTGGACTGCTGCCTTTAACGCGGCGTTGGTGTTGATCATCTCGCCAGCCTTCAGCCATGCGATATAGTCATCTGGAACTTCTTCCAGACGTTTGCCTGCGTGCTTGCCGAAAGTGAGGGTGTATGGCCCATCGATCGCTGCTGGTGGTGCACTTGAGCTCGGCGGCACATTCGTCTGGCTTGCGGTGTGCTCCCATACTTGGAATGCTGCCTTCAACGCACCGGTCATGACCCTGTCACCAGTCTTCAGCCATGCGATATAAGAATCTGGAACCTCATCCAGACGCCTGCCTTCGTAAATGCCGCACACGGAAACATGGAACGAAGCGATGGCAGGATGTTGATCGAGTTTGAGAATTGTAGTCGCGCCAACATACACGAGACCACGTGATACCGTCAGTTCCAGGCAAACCTTGACCAGCCGACACGGACCACCTTCTCACACCTCTAGTCATGATTGGCTTCAGCAATCCGGGGAAGCCTCGCGCATCAAGAAGTTGAGATACGCGAGGCTGCCCCGCGCTCCTAAAGCCAATGAACAGCAGGTGGCTTGTGAGGTCTGGTAAAGGTTTGCCTGAAAAAGGCAGTACTAGTATATTGGAGCTTCAATACTTCTAGGATTTCCATACTTCTATATACTGATAAGCTTTAATCATCAGTAAGTTATCACGTTGACAGGTTGACAGACAGGGTGAAATGACTATACCTACTAATGCTACTCCCTCTCACCACAACGCCGTCCTCCTCGCCTCCGAGAATTCGAATGGGCAGAACCAGAACCGGATGCTTCACGTTGTCAACAGAATATAAAATCCTTCCCTGTCCCATGCTCACTGCCCGCAGCCAACATGCCGTCAAAAGGCCCGCACATAAACACATCAAGAAGCTTATCTAACCCACCGCCTCATCTGGTAGTCAACAGAAAAGTAGCCTTAATTCCCAGATGGTCAGTAACCCGCCCCTTCTCAACACCCTCCCCTTCAACCAACTCCCTCCTATCCCTCTCCCCCTCGACCTCAACATCCATCCCAAAGGTCTCAAACCCCCTCAGCTCAACACCAGCACCACAATACAAGACCTTATCCATCCTCGTAAGGCCATACCACTCCCGGTGCTGCGTGCAGGTACCGCGCCGCGACGGCCAGCTGGTGCGGGCGCTTGGGCGGCGCGGCACGCAGGGACTCTAGATGCATCGTGCATAATCGCAGCAGTGTTGAACGCCAGCCACCGCCTGCGCTTGTGATGTTGATATCTACGAACAGAGCATCTCTCTGCATGGAAGACTGTGCATAGTGCACGCGGAAGACGTCTCGGATGACGAAACCGTTCTTGGGAATCAGCATGCAGGTCCCTGCAACTCTCCTCATAAAAGTCAGCAACAGCGTCTCCTATAAAACTCAAAGCTCAAAACTCAAGTGTTTTCAACACTATAAATGGCAGGCAGGTCAAGAAACTTAACGTAAACCTCCGACTCCCAGAACTCGGTCGTCGTGTCGGTCATATGATACCCTTTCCGAACCCAATCCTGAGACTGAATCATCAGAAGAGTCGAACTCGTCAACTCATTCAACATGATGATTTTCTGGACCGTTGTTGCGCCCGGTGGCGGTGGCGGTGGCGACGCCGTCGTAGTATGCTGCGCGAGCAGTCTCAGTCTCAATCACAGTCTCAGTCTCATCTGAATTTCCCACCAGATGCGTCCGCAAGTGATCGAGAGCCGCTTGCATACGCGGAAGAGGCAGGATGCGCTCGAAGCTGATGTTCCATGCCAGGACTTGAAAAATGTTCTTCGCTGCACAGCCTGCACTGGGCGGCGAGGTTGAAAGCTCCGGCGTGGACGTGGGCATCGTAGCGTGCCACGCCTGGTCTTCGTCGGCGAAGACATGGAATGGCTGGCGGTATGGCTCGTCTCGCGCCCATCTATTGCGTGTACGTTAATATAATATCCTGTCTTTAAACCCGTGCGGCCATGTTCTAGACGAAGAAGGAAAGAGAACAACAAAGCTTCTCGAAACCAAGGCTCAGGGTCTCCTGGTGGGATATTTCTATACGTACAAGGAATTTGGATCCTCATCGTAGACGCCCGGTTGGGTCTGAACATCCAAGTCAGACAACATCACAGGCGACGACATCGCAGTTTGAGAGGGGTTCAAGTGTAAAGGATATGCAGGGTAGAGGCGCGGGCCGCCTCCAGAAACATAGGATCGGTCTCTTCAAATGGCGAGACTATCGTCTAGATGCCGATCTGACTTTGGGGAGGAGCTTCGATCTGGAGACTGAGGCTGGGAGGAACAGGAGTATGAGCAATCCATGGGGAGTCCTTGAGATGTTCCCATGTCCCGTCAGGAGACCGAGTCTGCTCGAGATACTCCTGCATGTTGGTGCTGAGTTGCATTTTTTGAGGCGTTTCATTGCTTTATTCTCGCTCTCCTTCCATTTCCAGACCATTAGGCGATTAGAGCCTGCTTCGACTCGAAGCAGGCAGCCGGATGCAGTGAGCAACGACAGCACCTTAAGAAATTCATGCCATTTCATTGGGTGCCTTCTTAGCAATGCAGACGATATCTCGCTCGGAGACATCTATGGTAAGTACACATAGTATTACACTTAGGCTATCTGCTTTGTAGAATGGGCTTGCGATGATAGCCCGTAATTTACTGCCCAGTTACCCAACGCCCGTCGCGCCTTTCGATCCGTGAGGCTGCCTGCAAGCCACCCAAACTTATAGCTTCTGGTACTCCAGCTTGCCTTCCAGCTTCTTCGACTCCGCCAACTTCCGAACCGCCTTGTTGAAGTCGTCTTGGTTGACAGCATCCCGATAAGCCTTGATCGCAAACAGACCGCTAGGATTATCGAATTAGTATATACTCCCAAACTTCACAATGACCAGGGGGTACTCACGCCTCTGTAACCACGTTTCGCAAGTCCGCACCGTTGAGGCCATCGCTCATCTTGACTACACTCTCGTAGTCGATATCGCCTTCCGTGATAACACTTTGAGCATGAATCTTCAGGATCTCCAACCGACCAACCTCGTTCGGTAGAGGGATTTCGATCTTGCGATCGAGTCGGCCGGCACGTAGCAGCGCCGGGTCGAGAGTATCGGGTCTGTTTGTAGCCATGATAATCTTGGTCTTTCCGAGGTAGTCGAAACCGTCCAGCTGGTTCAGCAGCTCCATCAGCGTTCGTTGAATCTCTCTGTCCGCACTAGTTCCTTCCGAGAAGCGTCGTCCACCGATCGCATCGATCTCGTCCATGAAGATGATGCAGGGTTCGTGCTCCTTGGCGTAGCCGAACATTTCTCTTATTAGACGGGCAGATTCACCGATGTACTTGTCGACGATGGCGGAGGAAACAACTGCAGGAAGACAGAATGTTAGCCCATGTGGGAGAAGTAGGTGTAGAGCTCTGTAGAAACCGTACCCTTCAAGAAATTCGTCTCCAGACTGCTCGCGACCGCCCGTGCCAGCAGCGTCTTGCCTGTTCCCGGAGGCCCGTACAGCAGTACACCCTTGGGCGGCTTGATGCCCACTCTGAGGAAGAGCTCGGGGTTCTTCAGCGGCAGCTCGATGACCTCCCGAAGCTCGCGGATCTGGTCGTTCAATCCACCGATACCCGCAAAGCTGACCTGGCCGGGGTCCTCCAGCGACATGTTGTAGACGAGCGGGTCGACTTCTCGCGGCAGCATCCGCATAATGGTGAGAGTCGTCATATCCAGCGCGACACGGGTACCTTGCTTCAGCTTCGCTCGGTCGACCTTTGATCTGCAGCCGACGACATATCTAGGTCCGGAAGAGGCCTTGACGATGACTGTGACAGTCTTTGGTTAGAGCAAGTCCATCTAGAACGGGAGGTGCCAGTGTTGGACGTGGTGGCGCTTACATCTCTCTTCGTCAAGCTGTTTGAGCACTTCACCGATGATCTGACCGACACTCTGCAGCGCTTTGATGTTATCCTCGGTGAGGTTGAACTCCTTCTCCAACCCTCTGATGTCCACGCGTAGTGCCTTGAGCTTCGCCTCCCACTCTCGCGATTCGATAAGCTTGGCCCGGAGGGCTTGGAGCGCGTGCTCCCTTTCTTGATCGGAAGACATGCTGCGTTCTGTGATTCGGTTGGTCGGTGTGGTGTGGTGTGTTGTTGGGATGACGCGGATGCTCGAAGGACTCGTCCTGCACGAAGGAAAGCCGGTGCGAGTGGAGGTGGACGCTGACTTGAGGTGGTGATCAATCGGATTGCTTTTCTTGGTGATATGCAGGATTGGAGCTTGACAACCAAGACGAGGCTCCGGAGCTGGAAGCTGAGGTGACGAACAGCTTCCGCTGCCTGCAATGGCCTGGGTGGACCCGACTTTCTGCCGCCAGTTGGTTCCAGATACCGGAGCGCCGTACAGTACTAAAGATACAGCACACATGGTTATGCGCACTGTGACCTCTATGCGACACAGAAACACCAAGAGGTAGTCGCTTATCCTGTCACGAATGGTGTACGTCGTCTCTCAACTTGTAACTAATCACGTCTTCACTCTTAGATTAATCACTAGGCAAAGAAGACTCGTGTAACGAGGCCGAACCAAGACTGGTCTCAATGTCAACATCTCCAAGAATTCATGCTACTCCTGAAGACTATCTGCTGCATCAACGCAGGACGTACGGTGAGCGTACTGTACAAAAGAGACACCATAATCATTCCTGCAGCCTCCATGCTATGCTATCTCAGGAATTTCTAGAATATGCAACGCAACGCCTCCATGACTATGCTTCGGGTATATGTGTGTAAAATCGTTCAGTGGCGTCGTCGTTCTTGTAAGATTTCTTCTCCCCGGACTCCTCATCTTCAGAGGTTGGGGGCATAATCAGTCGTAAGAAGAACACTTCATCATCCATCGTTTCGGTCAGACCAAGTGCTGAGGTACGTAGCTGACAATCAGCTCTCCCACTCGGCCGTGATCTCCTCCCGTACCTTGCGGCACCACTGCCAGATCGCGGCCTCGAAGCCCTTCCAGACCTCAGGGTTGCTGTTGGAGACGATGCCCATGACGTCGACCTTGAGCATTACCTCCCACCGCAACTCGCCGGCCTTGATCCAGTAGCGAAGATTGTCTGCGCACCTGTACGGTTTCTGCGTGTCCGTGTGGAACGTGCCGATGGATCCAAACCGCCTTCGTGACTTTTTGACGGCCTCGTTGTGAAATTGCACGAGCCTGAGGCCGTTCTGCATGCTTCGCAAGAACGGCGTTGGCAGTTCCGCCGCTTGCTCGATTGGCGTCCAAGGGGGTAATGGCTCCGCCTCGCTGTCCAGCGACGAGAGAAATGCGATCTCCCGCTCGATCTCCCTTCCAGTCCAGTCGCCCTTCAGCCATGTCCAGCTAGCCCTCTCTCTTCGCTCCGTATTTTCCATCTCGTCCTCTTTTCTGAGCAGCGTGTGTATGCCTTCAATCCACGAGGTCATTACGTCGTGCTCATCGACACGAGTGCCACCGGCAAAATTCCTAGTTGCCGTGTGCTTCAACACTTCCATGACGGAGAGTAAGTCTGAGCGGATTTCCCGTTCGGACTTGATGGCGTCCAAGCGGTCTGGATGATCGTGCGCAGTATAGTACACCTTTGCAGCTCGTATAGCTAGTGTCATCACGTCGAGTACCTGCATGCCCTGGATCTCGTACCAGCCTTGCGTCGGTTTCGGTGACCGGGACGGGGATGAACCAGTAGTGGTGGTCTCCTTGCTGGGGGGGTCCCCTGATGAGGGCGCTGCTTCAGCGAGAACCTTTGAAGCGGCATCTAGAGCTTGTGTCAAGTCTGCCTTGAGCTCCTCAATTGTAGGTGGCCTTGCGACGGGTTTCACGCGATGATTGTATGTGCTCGTCGTTGGCGGCAGGATGTCAGGATCCGTGCCTTCGAAGTCGTCGAAATCGAAACCGCCTTCGTGATCATCCGTGGGTGATTCCACCATGGGGCCTCCCCCAAAGTTCGGAGCCCCCAAGTCCGGGCTACTGCCCATCGAAGCGTACGAAGAGTCGACATCAGATCCTGCAGCGTTCGGATTCAGGTACGACGAGGCGTCCAGCGACGACAGATCTAGGGTGGCCCTAGGGTGTCGCTTCCTAGACAACTGCCCGCCTTTGCCATCCAGCAGCCCCGTCCTCGCAAAGTAGTATTGAAGATGTGATATGCTCCCCAGACTCAAGACGCTCTCCCTCTGTTTCGCACTCGCGGCAAAGTCTGTTCCCTGGGGCCTCGTGTAACCTCGTCGTTTGGCGGGCCTGTCGAAGCTCATGGTCGATTGGCGGGACGAGGCAAAGCTGATGTCGGACCTCCTCGACTGGTAGCTCGAAGATGAATGTCGAGAGTAGGACTCACTACCGAAGGAGTCGCGGTAAGAGCCATCGGTGCTTGAACCGCGGGAAACTGACGACGCTGTGGACAGACACCTGGGCATCCCCATGCCCACCTTGGAGCCTAGAGCCGGGCCAGGTGTCGTCTCGGGCGAGGGGGAGTCGCGGTGGAAGGTCGGGGGCTCGTCATGACTTGCTGCCATGGTTGATAATTGCTATTCTGGACAGCACTTTACCAAGTAGCCGACTCGGGTTATATCCAAACACGTCGGTTTGGCAAGATACCAACTGCTGCTGGAGCGCAAGCTGGAGCTTTCGTGCTGGAAAGAGGACAGCGCAACAAGCAAGAAAGGGATGGCGAAGACTGCTTAACAGCTTTGGATGTACTGTTCAGACACGATGGCACGAGGAAGAGCAGCCACTCAGAAGCCCAAAAGGCCAAAGCGGAGGAGCAGCCTTGTTATGAAAGCGGTAGCGGTACACAATGTGTACAGGGTGTGCTATGGGACGAGTGCCGAGTATCGGGGAATGACAGGGGCCGTCTACCCCTGAGCTGGAGGTTTGGAGGTTTGGCGGTTTAGGGGCAAACGTGGCAGGCGCGGCAGGCGGACAGGGGTCAAACATCCATGAGTCGGCAGGTCGGGCAGTCGGGATTGCTTCAACTATTATTTAGGTAATTAACTCCGCAGAGCTACCGCGTTGGATCGGTTGCCGGTTGACCCATTGACTTTTTGGTGGGGTAAACGCGCGAAATGAAGGAACACAAGGCACGCTTTCCGCTTTGACGGCGACTCAGTAGTGTCAGTACCTATCAACAAACATCAGACGACGAGCCATGGCCCATCGGTCGGTGAATGCATGGGCCTTCCCCTGTTACCCTGTTAGATTCCTGTGTTGCGCAGGACCGTCTCCAGCGTCTCACGCATGCGTCACAGATCGAAAGCAGTTGCTGGACAGTGAAAGAGCTCAAAGAAAGCAGAAAAGCCAATGCACGGGTCGGGAGACGGCACTCATTGTTTGCTGATAAAAGTCAATAGTCGGCATTTGCGGCAGATGCCCGGGCAACAAGATTTGGCGGCATTCTTTTGCCTGGCGCACGCCAACTCCAGCATGAATAATAAGATAAGTATCTCGACGATGCCATCGTCCCAAGTGCGGAGACAGGCCAATGCCGGCCAGAAACCATTGCAATCAATCATCAAGCTTGCGACTTTGCAAACCGGATGGATCATGGGTACGCCGAGCGCCGACCTGCTGAACAGGTGGAAACACACAGAGTCTGTGCGCTTTCATTCTTCGTCTGAAGTCGGTCTCCCAAAACTCTTTTCCACGTGCGGGAATGCAAGTGTTCCGCCGTACATGACGCATGATGTCGCTTTGGATACAGGAAGGTACCCTGGCTGCCTGGAAACAACACTCATTACCTGACCCGTGGATGACATACAGCCTCATGGAAGTCCGACGAGTCTATGGGCAGCTTGGCTACTCTACGGGGAAGTGTGTCGTGTTTCTCGAAAATTCGTTGCCATCCGCTATCGACGCAAGACACAGGAGCTTCTAAGTTGCGCGGGCGCTCCAAAGGGGTTTGCCGCCGAGTGAAAGATGTAGAATCTGGTTTGCTCATTCCACGCATCTATGGTTCGATGGGCACAGCGTCGCAGTCTTCAATTTATCACGGCTCCGTCACATACCGGTAATCATCAACCCCGGCTTTGGCGCGGAATCCGATCTACATACCCGCGAAGGTCGCCAGGCCGCCAGTGCCAGTGGTCTGGTCCGGTGGAGGCTCACCGTTGAGACTTGCCGCATGGTCCAAACCTTTAAGCGAAGCTACCAGTATACCGGTATCAGTTATCACATCTTGTTATGCGCGGGATCTCGAAGTGACCGCACGAAAGAAAGGCGAATACATGATGAGATTTGGAGCCTGTCTAAGTCGGTAAGTCTCACGATGGACGGTCAATGTTGCAACATGTCGATCCCAAACTGCAGCCTGGCGCGTCGTCAACGTAGGGTTGCCCGCGACAAACTGCCCGAAGAATCGAGGGTAATCACAGACCAGCAGGGGCATATCGGAGGTTTGTGAGGTTGCTGAATAGATTCGTACCTGATATTGAAGTGGCAGACAGATGGTTGCTGGTCTGCTACTAATGATTATATCCCCAATAAGAGACGATACCTTTGGGTTCCCTGACAGATCCCTAGTTAACTTGAACATCTTCTTGTCCCATCCTTTTATTGCGGTTTTCATCAAGACGAGTAACACACGACCTGTTTTTCTTCTTCAAACACACCGCATCAGTTTATGTCATCTTGATTCAGATAGTGAGAAGGCTGGCTGGACGTGGGCGTTCCTTTCTGAGACAATTCGACTCCATCTCTTTGCTTGACTTACATATCTGTACATTCACTCGTTTCATCCACCACCCTCACTCATACAACTTCTCCGTTTCTATTTATGCGCATTACCGAAGTATAATCGATTTCTATTATCACCAGCCGGTTCTTGAAGAAGGAAGCAAGCGGCACAGAGAAAGTCTCGACTGGCTTGAGAGACAGCAGGTATCGGACGAAAATCGAACAGCCCAGTCCCATCGGTCTGTCGATACAGCAGCAAATTAGAGGGACAAAGACGGATACATCATAACTCTCTTGCGCAGCTGCATACTACTTGCAGGGGCGCTCCCGGTCCAAGAGTGAAGCTTGAGTCAGGTTTTGGCAGCTGCACCTGCGCATCGCGCGCAACTGCCTATGTTACTTTAAGTTACCGGCCAATCGTAGGCGGGCCACACCTCCAGCACTCCCCCACGGCAGACCAACCACCAAAAAGTGTACCCCTACTACGTGAGTCCTCACACGCCCGCGGCCCGACCATCTGAGTGGCCACACACCACGCCCAATAACGAATCATTCCTTGCCAGCGTGTAGGTACAGTGCTTTCTTGGAAACGGGGAGACCATCAACGGGTGGACTGTACATCCATCACAGACCGAGAAAGAGAGAAGGACGATGAGCCCGTGAGCCAGTGACGGGATACCGACAACCACAGCCATCTTCACTTGTACCGAGTGCCCAAGGTGTAAATGACAGGCCCATCAGCTCTCGCTTCACCTCACGCTTCACCTCACGGTCCTGGCCACAGACCTCCTCCTCCATCACTTGCACCGACGACCTCCGCTTTTCCTGCGCCAGGATTGTCAGAGCCAGAGCCAACGCCAGAGCCAGACCACCACCATCATGCCGATCCGCCGCGGACCATCCTGACATTTTCCGACGTACCGACCGACCTACTCCAGCTCCATCCGCTCCATGAACGTCGCATCGACGCCAACAACAACACCGCACATATCAATTCCTCGCTACCGCCCATTAAGCCGCCCACTCATCAGGCCCGCAAACCGTCGCCCGGCTTAGCAGCGCGTCTCAAGGCGTTGGGTTTCGGCTCTGCCAGGCAATCCTCCCCTTCACCAACTCCATCTCAGAACGAGCGCATCGGCCGACTGCCCGAGGACCAGCTACGATTACTCGATATAACACATCAGTCAAACTCTGCGGGGCTAGTTGTCGAACGACGCGGTCGCCCCTGGAAGGGTGCTGGCGCCCCCCTTCAGCTGCTACGATCCAGGTCGAGTCGCGACTCGTTTCGCGACTCGTTTCTGAAAAGGGACGACCAGGAAAGCGTGCCACTGCCCGAGCAGCCCGGCTCTCTGTCCAGGCCTGAGCTTCTGCCCGAGATAACAGAATCTCCGCCATTGGACATGGACACCAACAAGTATAGGTTGCCCGACCACACCAACGGAAACGGCACGAAAGCAACCCTAGATACCCGCCGCGAACACATCGAGCGAGACACGCGCGCACCAGGTCCCGAAGTCGAGACTCCGCCACCACCACCGTTGCCGAAAGATACGCCGCCCGAAGAAAACGCTCCTTCGGACTATGTCCCCGACCTAACGTCATACTTCAACCCGCTCGGCCTGCAGCGCCCTGGGTCCATCTATACCATATCCCGCGCCTCTTTTGCCAACCAGCTGGCCCAGTTGACCGCCCTGCAACTACCAGATGCGGAATTGTTGTCCAGTAAGGTTGCTGCCATACCTACGGCTCAAGCCGCCGCCAAGGCACTGATAGGTGCCGCCGAGCAAATACGGAGCTGGATATCGAAAGCATCAGAGGTCATTGGAGGCCTCGACAGCGATGATGACGTCGAATGGGCAGCTGCAGGTGGTAGAGAGGGCTACGAGGAGGTCGAGAATGCCATCACCAGATTTGAGGAACTCATCAACGTCTACGTGGGCGCCATCGAGGAGCTTCAAAACCGCCGCGACATTGCTAGCGTGTCCAACGAGGACTTACAAAGGGCTGTCATGCAGATGGAATCCATCATGAACGAATGGAGGAATATCCGCACGACACTGAACAGCACCAAGGGCCAAGTTGAGACCGCCATGGAATGGGAAGAGCTGTGGGGCATGGTTTTAGGCGACATCCAAAACGAAATGGACGAACTGAGCCGTCTGATCTTCGAGATGGAGGAACGGCGCCACAAGTCCATCATGGCGGTCTCCAATGGCGACAGTGTCGATATTGGCGATCTGGAGACCATTGTCGAAGAGACCCCTCCCGCCGTTGCGCGTAACAACCGCTTCAGCCTGCCCGCGTTTCCTCACAGTCCCAGCTCTCCGGGGACCCCCAGCTTGAACCAGGATGATTCGAGCCTGCTCGCCTTGTTTGCAAGAATGCAGCCTCTCAGGGCTTCACTAGACTTCCTGCCCATGAGGCTCTCTGTGTTCGACGCAAGGGCCTCCGGAGCCTTTCCTACGGCCTGCGAAGAGCTTGAGATGAGAAGAGAGGGCCTCGAAGCCAGCTACAAGAAACTCGAGAAGGACGCCGACTCGTTGAGGAAAGAGCTTGGCGAGGACAAATGGGTTCTTGTCTTCCGCGGCGCGGGCAGGCAAGCCCAGAAGATGATTGAGTCGGTGGATTTCAGTATGGCAAAATTGCGAGAGGGTGTGGACCAGGGCCTCCAGCTATCAAACCCCGCCGTCATGAGTAAGAAGATCGAAAGCTACGAGGCCAAGAAGACGCATTATGGGCCAGCAATTGAGCGTGTACTATCGATCATCGACAAGGGCGTCAAGGACAGACTTACTGTCAACGGCGAGATATTGCGATTACACGCCGAGATGCAGTCTAAATGGGAAGACTTGAGGCGACAGATCAAAGACATGGACATTACGATGGAGGAAATCGATAAAAAGGGGGAACAGCTCCGGGACTCTATCTCAAGCATGCTCTCGAACGACAGGTCCACCATTGCTAGCGGTAGAGACACCCCAGGCAGCTCACCCCCGTCGTCTGTTACTATGTCTACTCTTGGCCTCGATCCCATTACTCCGTCGGCCAAGGGTAAGGGCAAAGAGCGCTCCAGCGTAGGAAGTAGCCTTCCCCAGCCTTCGTCGGCAAGGAGAAGCGGGTCAGGCTTAACAGCATCCTCACGGCGAACTATCGGGTCGCGGCTGTCTACATTGTCGGGCAACTCGAATCTGTCAACTCCACCTCGGAGTGGCTCAGCGACGCCACTCGGTTCGAATATTCCAAGATCGGCTTCGAGCATGTCGGACAGCCGCCCACGCTGGAATGGTTCTACCAACACCATCAACTCCGATATTGGCCATAACTTCAAGCCTCTGACGCTGACTACGCCGAGCCCGTACGCCAAGAGGAGCCCTACGCCTGTGCGTTCTGGGTTAGCGATCACTCCAGCGTCCCGGGAGTCCAAACTGCCGCTGCGGAGTCCGCTGGCGAGAGAATCTTCAGCATCTCCTATACCTGAGGATACGCCTTCTAAGAGGGGCGTACCTGGGCTTTCCTTCCGCGAACGAATCGCTGCCGCTTCTCCCGGTCCACACGCCCAGCAGGCACTACCAAAACCGAGACAGCGATTGGCATCACAAGCGTCCACATCTGCTATCGATAATCGGAGGGCTTCGCTCCAGCCGCCTAGAGGACTGGATGTGTCCTCTAATATCAAGCCGAGGTCTGTGAGTTCCATGGCACCAAATCGACGTACCAGTATGCTACCTCAACCTAAGGCGAAGGAGGATACCATTACTGGTCGTCGAAGCGCAGCGGGATCTCGCACCACAATAAGCAGAGAAAGCACTGCTGCGGATGACCATAAACCACCACGTTGGCGCTTCTGAGCTCCGATAATGCAAAGTTTGAAAGCGGCTTACCATCGTCTCGACAGCAATGCCCACCGCTGCAAAGAAGACATATATCCACTCTCGGTGCTTTCATATATCACTGGTTCCGCTAGACGGGCTTTACCTCGTTCCTTACATTCTGTTCCAGTGATCCCACGCTTAGGCTCTGAGTCTCAGGACCGGTTCTCCCAAGACGGAACTAAGTTTCTGGAGCTCAAACCACCGATCACCAGCCAGGCAATCTCTTCGGCAGGACGCAGTATTCGAACCCAGCAATCATAGTATTACGCACTGACCACATATACCTTCGCACGCGTTGCGAACATTTTTCCAGCAGCGCGGTACATAGGGGCGGTCCAGGCGTTCTTAGGAAAGGGAATTTTCAGCAGCTGCTTATGATACCTTCATGCCTTTTTCTGTTAGGCGCATGGCCCCGGTGATGCGGGTCACCAGGGCCGGCCAGACTGAGCATGCTTCGAGGTGTAGGCGACTCGCAGCGGCAAGAGTTAGCAGAGGAAGCAATGCCGCCTTGGCCTTGATCAAGCGGCGGACACTCTGACGGACAGACTGTATATGTATGTAGTTACGTCAAAAGGAGCGCGCTTCATACCCAGTCATAGCTGTCATAGCTCAAAAAGGCAGTCGACGACATAGCCCTTAAACTCCAAGTATGACTCCTTTTTTCCGAAGGGAGGAACACAAGACTATTTGCCCATGTGAGCTTCTGTGAACTGTGAACTGTGAACATGTGATCTGACCCAAATGTCACTCGACGAGGAAAACGGGTTGGTAGTCAGTAGCAGCGTAACTAGGCATGAATGAATAAGAGGCTGGCTGCCGACAGATGACAGATGGGAATCGGACTACTCTAGTCATAAAAGGAGCTGATTATTAGGTAGCTGTCCCATATCATGCATGTCATCGGCACGCATCCAGATCAATCAACTGTCTCCTCACTGACACTGCCCACTGTCTATATAACCCATGAGTTCATTTTGTCATTGCAAATACATGGATATGGTAGTCTAGTATGTAGACAATGAACTGCTCTGCCAATCGTGCTTCCCCATGCCTTTTTCGCTACGAAGCTCCCAAGAAAAAACCATCTCTTCGTTTCATGCAAGGCTCGATGTATATCTAACTCAATAGCACGAGTGGACGTGGAATAAGACAGACGCAGCCAAAACTGCTATGACGTGCTAGCTTGGAGCAGGTTCAAGAAGAGTAAAAAGTGTTCATAAAACGCACGCCGCCGCGCCATGCCATGCCATGCAAATCCGAAAGAAAAACAGCCGCCTAGCCGTGCAATGCAATATGATAGATAGTAAGTCCCACCCTCAGGCGAAACAAGCACATCATCGACCATTTCGTTTCGCTCCTCCTGCTCTGAGCCGAGTTCGTCATGCACCATCAATAGTCCATGATTCCAATGCCGCTGTGGCCAACGCCTGGCGGCTTGCCCTTACCCCTGCTCTTGCTGAGGCCCCTCTCGGCACTCCTGGCCTGCCCAAACGACACCGACGTCGACCGCGCCGACTGGCCGCTCGCTGCCCTACGGCCGCCGCCGGTAGCACCGCCCCTCTTCTTGACGCCTGCGAATTTGCTTTTGCTAGAAGTCCCGCCTCCTGACCTACGGGCGAATGGTTTTCTCTTCGCTTTAGGAGCCGGCGAGCCTTGGCGCCCGCGCGACGACGAGCCTTGTTCCGCCTGTTCCCCTGCTCGTTGGAGCGCGTCGCGAAAAGCTATCTGTTCGGTAGACGGCTGGAAGTAGCCCGAGGTTTCTCCCTCCTCCTCCTCTTCATCGTCGTCGTCAGAGATGTCTTCCATGTCCTCCTCATCATCATCTGTGGTCACCAGATCCACGATGGATACACGTTTATCTCCGCCCATCATTTCTTGAAAGCGCCCGTGGAAATCTCGGATCAGAGGCAGGAACCGAGCACCGTACCTGTCTACTTTCTCCCTGTCGATAGTGGGAATGAAGTACATTTTTTCCAGGGTCACAGTCCATCGTATGGCCATCTCGCGAAGTTGAGAATGGGTGAATATCGGTGAGTACAAGCCTTTTATGAGCCGTACCTGAGTTTCCAGGTTTGAAGCTTCGTTGGCAAATTCCTCAACAACCTCCCTGTGGATTTGACCAACGGTGGCATCGTCCATACGAGCATCGCGCGATATTGGCGGGCCAACCGGGTCCTGCCGGCGTTGACGTGAGGTTCTTGGTGGCGGCATTGCCTCGAAATCGTCATCAAAGTCATCGTCGTCAATCACGAATCCATCGCGCGCATAGCCGTTGTCGTGTCTACTATAGTCGTCATCGTCCTCGCTATCTTCATTCTCGTTGGTCGCTACGGCCTTCCCTTTGCTCTTCTTGGCCCTTGGCTGGACAGGTGACGACACGTAGGTCGAGGGAGGCTTGGGACTTCCGAGTCTTGTAGCAGGCGCAGCCGGCTTAGCCAACCGCCTCGGGGTTTTGGACGCACCAACTTGGATACCATCGCTCTTAACTCTGGTAGTCAGAAAAAGTTGACGTCGATTAGCGAGGAAGGCATGTGCTTTGCGTCCAATCTGAGAGCTCAAGATTAGTCACTGGAGTTTCACGCATTGGACGACGACTTACTCTGAAATATTGAACAGCAATGCCCACTCTCTTGTTGATGATGTTGTCTTCCCTCAATGCATCTTCAAACGCAAGTCGATCGATGATACGGTGGATTTCATGCTTCTGCATGGTCTTGGCGATTCCATGGAACTGTTCGGCACTTTCATTGAATTCGGTCTTCTTCTTCTTGCCCATCAGGTAGTCCGTACACTGAACGAGCGTGAGTTTGCCCTGAGACCGCACACACTCCAGTGCGGCAACAGCGTACTTGGTGAAATCCTTCTGCTCGAAAACGTCTTTGGACTTGCAGTTATCACAGGTCGCGTTGCACTGGGCCCTGTCGAACGACTCCCCGAAATAGCGGAGGATCTCGACTCGGCGACAATCACTTTGGTTATCACAAAATGCTGTCACCGAGTTGAGCATGTTCCGCTGTCTCTCTCTCTGCTCCTCGTTGCCATCGCCATCCGAGATCATTTTCCGAAGTGAAGTGACGTCGCCATAGTTGAAATAAAGATAGCAGTCGGACGGCTTGCCGTCTCGGCCGGCGCGCCCCGTTTCCTGATAGTACCCCTCGAGGCTCTTGGGAACAGACTGGTGTATCACATACCGCACATCTGGCTTGTCAATTCCCATGCCAAACGCGATCGTAGCAACAACCACCTTGATTTTGCCTTTCTGCCAGTCTTGCTGGATTCTTGCCTTCTCCGGCCCCTCCACGCTTGCATGATAGTGATGAGCACTAATGCCCTGGTCCTTGAGCTTCTTGGCAATAGTCTCAGCCGACTTCCGGGAGAGCGTGTAAACAATGCCTGTCTTCCCAGGGTACTTCGAGTTGATCAGTTCAGCAATCGTGTTAGTGTTGTCTTTCTCCTTCCTCAGGACCTCGTAATACAAATTTGGACGGTTGAAACTTTGCGAGAATTCTTCACATCTCTCGATTCCCAGGTTGTGCTTGACATCCATGATGACATTCTGGGTTGCTGTAGCCGTCAAGGCCATCAAAGGTACACCTGGGAACCTGTCTCGAAAACTGCCGAGCTCTTTGTAGTCGGGTCGGAAATCGTGGCCCCATTGACTGACGCAATGGGCTTCGTCGATGACCAGACGAGCGAGTTTCTTGTTCCGATACAGCGCCTCCAGACCATTCATGAAGGCTTTGCTTTTGACAATCATTTCTGGGGTGACGTACAGAAGCTGTAGATAATGCTCAGGGAATCGATCTCGCAACTTCTCCATGATCATTGCTCGACGCGTTGGATCAGTATCGCCGTTGAACGAAGCTGCATGTATATTGAGGGCATTCAAGTGGTCCACCTGATCTTGCATCAAGCTCAGGAGAGGAGAAACGACGACTGTAACGCCCATGGTTTTCCCACTGGTGATTACGGCGGGAAGTTGGTAGCACAGGGACTTTCCGCCGCCAGTAGGCATCAGAATAAAAGCGTCATTTCCCGCAAGTGTGGCATTGATGGCCTCCAGCTGGTTGTGTCTGAATCCGGACATCCTGAACCGGTCCTTGAGCGCTCTTTTCACATCTTTAAACCATGGCATGTTCCTCTGCTCGGGTGGTATCGAGGCCGCAGACGAACTCGGGACTCTCTTGGTTGTCGATTTCTGTTTCCGCACTCCGACATTACCTGATGTCTCCGAGAGCGCAGGTCGGACGGAAGTTGGGCGCTTATTATTTGAAGACGATTGTTGGATATCAAACTCTTCTGCAAGTGCTGACATGTCAACATCGTCACTGTAGTCGCTTTGGTAGTCCAGTTGGTGACTAGGGTATCCTTTGCTAGGGCTCTTGCGCCCAGTTGCGGGAGCTGACTGGGGTACTGCTCGATTGTGTTTCGGTAGTTGGCGGCTTAGCGGAGGCTCAATATCCCCAAAGGGATCGTCCTCCTCCTCGTCCGAAAAGCCATGATACGGACGTGCATTGGATCTCAAGCGGCTTGGCGTCTTTGCGTGCTCGCTTCTTGATGCAACAAAAGACGGCGCAGCGATACGCTCCCGTTTTCGTCCAGATTTTGGTGGCGGTGCATCAGCATCGCAAGGTTGATCAAAGATTGTTTCAGAAGGTTCTAATCGCTGGGGCATTTGCGTCTGTAGTATCACTTCGGTACTGCCTGCCCCAGGGAGAAGAGTCGTCTCTCGAGACCAGTTTGGAGGGGCGCCTTGCCGGACAGGTTGAGTGGATTGTACCACTGACCCGGGTCTGGTCATTCGAGCAGCTCGGGGCTCCCTGTTCTCGAAAAGATTGCGGTTATCTATGCCCGCCTTGGGCAGTTTCGACTTCAGCAGTTCTTGACGCTCTTTGAGTAGGACGTCCAGCTCATCAAGACGGGCCTCGTCGTCTTCTGTGTCCAAATGATGTGCATAAGCGTCGTCGATTCGGGCTATCAGACCATCCCTCTTGACTTTCAACTCATCATATGCCCGATTGTCACTGGAAAGAACATCCAAACACGCCTGTTGCTCTATGAGTCGCTTCTTTTCTCGCCTAAGCCGACCTCTTGGTTCAAGATTGCTCTCCTCAAGCGACTTCTTATAGGCGTTTCTGTTGTTTAGCAGACTCACTTCGAGTGAAGCTCGTTTTCTTTCGATGATCGATGGTTGACCCAAGAACAGCTGTACAATGACAGACAACTCCTCGTCGCTTATGGACATGGGCTGCGATTCTTGAGAAGGGGCCAATCCTGTCTCAGAGCGGTAGTCTTCAATCGCTTCACTTTGAGAAGCCTGGTGTTGATCGCGTTTCCTAGGAGATCGGGATGCTGTTGGTTTCTCATTCGGCACAGCTTGCCGTATTTTCGAAGGGGTGTCGGGGGCAATATTGTCGTGCACGTCTTGCAACCTCCGAACAGGTGACTTAGTGTAGCTAAGTGGCTGGGCAGCAGGACTTTCGGGATCATTGGAACCAAGCGGAGTCATGAACTCGTCATCCGAATCCTGAATCACTCGTTCATCGCGCCCTCCAGTCCGAGACCTTTGCACTCGGCGTTCAGTAGGACTTCCCATGTCATCGCCAAAAACTGAGCCTGAATCGGGAACGGATGGACTCCGCTGCCTCTCTGTAGTCTTCAGTATTCCCGGGGTAGCATGTTTCCTAGGTGTCTCGAGCGGGGAGCGCTCGCCCTTGAGCTCGGTGACGGGCGACAATTTGCTAGCAGCATTTGTTTCTTGCCTCACTCGATGGATTGCACTGCTTCCCGCTGCATCTATGGGTTTGGATGGTGACTTGCTTGGACTGGTCTTAACCTTCCTCCTCGCTGGCGATTTGGTAGGAGACCTCTTCGGCCTAATGTGTAGTGTTTCGTCATCGGACAGGAGCTCGTATATGTCTGGGAATTCATCGGTGGTAGTTGTAGTCGGTGGCGGCTGAGTAATCTGGTCACTCTTCCGCTTTTTCCCACGCCTTGCAGGCGAGGGCTGAGGCCGAGCAGCCGATTCTTCTTCCCAGACCCTGACGCCGCTTCCAAATATGTCCGAGTTCTCTTCGGTGGATATCGGTGCTGGTCTGCTCGCATGCTCCTCCTGCCATATCATCTCGTCATCGCTCCCAAACGCTACTGATTCTTCAGTCGTAGGTGCTGGCTCCGGCCTCGTGGCGAAGTCTTCCCGCCACAGTCGGGTAGTGCTCCCAAATGCTACCGAATTCGGCGTTGTCTCGTTACTGTCATTGGTCAGGTCGATCGTGTCGAATATGTGAGTACTGGCAAGGGTGGCGCCCGGGGTCAGAAACGGGTTTTCTGGTTGGGCTTCGGAGGGTCGATGTCGAGACGACGTTCGCTTCTTAGCCGAGCTCTTCTTCAACAACGCACTATATTGACTTGAGAGTGACCCGGCGCCAGTGGTCGAAGTCGGCGTGAGCAGCTGCTCCTGGGCCAAGACAAGAGTCGGCCGTTTCGAGCCGGATTTGGGGACCAGCCGTCCCATGTTCCCCGCTAACACCTCTCCGTCGCGAACCTCCTGCGATCTGGTGCGCAACCCAGACGCCCCATTGGCCGCAGTGGTTTGCCGGTCCCGATCAGTAGGCAGGACAGGATACAGCGAGGGCCTGACAGGACCACCCGGACGCGTATCTGGAGGCAATTCGGTCGAGGGGGTGAAGAAGGGTGTCGCGTCGGAGGGTGAGGGCTCTCCAAGAAGTTGGTCGCGTATGGGCGGCAACACAGGCGCGTTTGGTGCGTGTAGGTCGATGTTAGCTAGCAGCCAGGTCAAGTGCTCGCCGAGGTTGTTTCGAGTCATGAAGACGTCTTGGAACCGTTGTCCAGCAGGAGCTCCATGAGAGTCGGACTTCGATTGGCATGAGGAGACGTTGTCGAACAGGTGCACTGGAAACGGATCTTCCTTCTCTCGCGTTCGTGATGGGCAGTGGGGTCGCTGGCCTGCAGGCAGAATTACGGAAGGCCCGCTGAAGAAGCTCGGGCCACCCCTCAAGCAGTCGCGAGACCAGGTGACTTCAATCAATTTAATGCCATTTTGGGTGATGTGGCTTGTATTCCACCAGCCACATCATATCTAAAGTGTTTCCGAGCAACGCGCCATTTGATCCATAACTGCTGTCACGTACAGGTACCAGACCTCCCGGATGGTGCCGTTGATATTCCAACTTTCGAAGGCCCTTTTCGGTAAACTCGGGCTTCCTGGCTGGGATGAGCGACACCACCAGCCAGTGTGATATTAAACATGGACCCTTCATTCATTCCGACCAGATCGTAGATGATGCAAAATGTGTAATTTATCTATCTCATGCTCACTAGCGCTCCATGCCTCCAGTCTCCTAGCAAGAATCACCACCCTCGTCCTTCCTCGGCTTGTCAGTGCTGTTGAAGAAGTACATGATCGTGACGATCGACTTTCCCACCGCTGAGACGAAGATGGCCGCAGCAGAGCCAGCAGTCCGGTAGATACCAGCACCCACAAGGGATCCGGCAATGAGCGACAGCAAGAACATGACACGCCTCGTCCGCGGATGATTCTTACGCTTAAACAATGCCGGGTCGACCACCAGATCGACCCACGCAGCCGTCGCCATGGCCGTACTGATTTCGGTCATCTTCAGAGAGCGCGATTGGACAACCTGGCTGCCGGCTGCAAAGGCGAGCAGCGCGACGACGATGACCGCAGTCGAGCCGTGTAGTCCGGTTCCGTAACGGTACTGTATCGCTGCGGCAGCGAACACCAGGCATGACTGTATGAAGTTCGAGCAGACGAGCCAGATTCTCCGACGAGGCCCGACGATGTGGCTGATCTGGCCGGTTATCCACCCGGCGCACAGGAAGAAGCCGAGGGCAGCCCCGATGTTCGGAGTGATGAACATGTTGCCGTTGAGCTCGGGTAGAACGATGGCCAACATCAGGAAAACCGTGTTGCCCGTCTGGTTGGAGGCGAAACAGTGGTAGTCAGGGAACGAGATGGCATCTTGGATGCCGGTGCAACTAGGCACGTTCACGTTAGCAGGTCTTCCGCCAAAGGCAGGGTGGGGATGTTTCATAGCTAGACGGCACGCAGTACAGCCCCTATCCAGGTCGGTACTCGATTTGTGATGTTCAGAAACCCGGGATCTGCTTACAAGGTCAGAAATAGCAGCTCGAACTCAGCAAAACCCGAAGCACGGACGGGCTCTTGCATATGTCTCCATGCCCGCGAAGCAAAGGAGGTAGGCTCCGGCTGGGACTCTGGCTTAGAGCTGACTTCTGTGACAGAGCGATCTTGCTCGTTCGGTTCGGAGGCTAGACGAGCCTCAGCCTTTTCATGCGACATAAATTCGAGGGCTGCGACGTGCCGTAGTTGATCTATCTCGCTGGTTGTTGGAGAAAGTACTGGAGATGGAATATCGAAGTGCGAATGTTAAAGGTTGCAATTCTTTCAGGTGACTGACTAGGTAAACCTGAAAGCCAAAGCAAGGCACGAGACCCATTCGGCGGCATTTTGAATATTTCATCGCCCGGTGCCGCTGTGGCGGTGAGGTACTCGACACGGCTCGGATACGCTGTCAGTCAGGCAAACTATCAGATTTCAGTCATACCCGACAGCTTGGGTATGGCGGCCGACAACCGCCATCACCAACACTTCAGAAATACGGGTCTTGTGACTCTTTTTGTCTGGGTCGTGGAGGCGGCGAGGGCGGCGAGGGCGGCAGGGCGGTTACGGCTCCTGGCCCGAGAACTGGGAACTAGTCAAAGCCTATTAAGCGGGACTCCGGCCCCGAGAGCCAGACCCCGTACCGACAGCCTAGCTCCGTCTGCCTGCTGCCGGTAGCCGGCCTGGGCTGCTGGGGCAGTCTTACCCGTGAATAGGAGAACTTGCATTGATGCAGATTGATCCCTTGAGCAGGTCAGACATAGCATTGAACCTCGCATTGGATCTCGCCCTGTACTGTTTTCTGACCATTGGCCATACACTAATAATAAGGGACCAAAAGTCTGGCACAATTGGAAAAGGGGCCCACGAACACGTCCCGTATTTGCGTTGAATACTGCCCACAATACGATGTGCATTATATCGGAGACGTCAATGGCGAACTCCTGCAGCAAATATTTGCGAATGAGGCATGTCCATCTCTGGACGCTGCTCATTCGAGGAACTGAGCCCGTGGCAACTGTAGACAATAGGATCTGGAGACACAGTGGTCACTGGACTGAACTGGATTATGGAGTCACCCCTGAATTTCCCATAGAAGGCTTTCTTCTCTAGTCGTGTACATAAGCAAGGCTTTCATGACCTTCACCACCGGTCACGGATGATAGAGTCGGAGTAATACACGCAATCCCGGTCATGAAGACATTCATGATGAAGTCCTCAGCGCTTACTTTTGCTACTGTCGCCGGCGTGGTGGGTTCCGCCAATGTACGTCTCTCATGTTCCTGCCCCCCAACGACTCAGGCCACCAAGAGAGAGTAGGTAGGTCACATGTCCATGTCTAGGCCGTACCAAAGACCAGCGAACGTGGTCTCGACAGCATCTTACCTGCCGGGTACAAAGCCCTACCGATGAAGTGGACAGGCCCGATCGAGCAACGCGGAGAGAACATGACCTTCCAGGGCTCCATCCAGGTATGTCATGTCAACCCCCTTCCTCCCCCCTTCCCAGTTCCATCACAAGCCCTGCCTGTATCTAACGCCAGTCATCTCCAACCACAGGAAATCGAGGCCCAGATCCAAGCCCTCAACCCAGGCTTCAAGTTCGCCCAAGCCCAAGCTCCCCCAACCCACACCACCAGAACCCCCATCCAGAAGCGCGACCTCTACACCCCAACCCACGAATCCCCGACTCCCACGCCAACCGTGCCGGCGCACACCTGCAACACCGGCGGCACCGGCCCCGTCGACGCCATCGCGGCCGTGTACGCGCAGGACTTGAATTCCGCCATTTTCTGGTGCAACAACAACGCCCAACAAAAAGTCGTGCCGGCGGACCATATAGCGGAGCTTGCGGATATGCTGCGCTGGGCGTGCGCGGATGAGGACTCCGGCATGGTTCGGGGCCAGTTGTTTGATTTTCAGAATGGGGTCGACCAGCGCATGAATGTGTTGATCGGTTATTCGGATTGCAATGTGCCTTTTCCCTAGGGTTGGGGCTGCGGTTGGGAGGTATGGAGGATAGGGGTATGAAAGGGGCTGGGCTAGGAAAAGGATGATGGTGTCTGCGGTTTGGTCCAGCTCGTGTCGTATACCGAAGTAACGTTGTTTCATTATTATGATCCCATGTCGCCAGATGTAGGTGTCGTGAAGAAGAAACCACTTGGTATCGTGCAGCAGAACTGTGAAGTGTGCTAAAGGTTCGGTCTGTCAGCAGGGCCTCCCACCGAACCGGCGGCGCATCTGCCTGTCAACCCAGCTTTCCCTCGTCAGAGTTCCTAGCTCAGATGATCGCTCGAACTGCAGAGCCCATTGCGTGAGCGTGGACTGCGCCAAACACCCACGTGCCTCGAGGAGGCCTAGAGAATGTGTTGTACGGCGAGCCATTCGGGAGAATCCATGTCAGAGCTCAAAATACGACGTGGCTCTGTGGATGATCGTTCCGGATCCTACCAGTCTTCACCAAGCAGAACTTTCCCCCGAGACCATGTTTCTTTCAGTGATGTGTGTTGATACTTATGTAGATTACCTCCAGCTGAGGGGGTTTGTAATCCGGTTTAGACGTGTTCACGCACACCAGTATCCCGTGTCCTTTCCATCTGTTCAGCTCTCTAAGCTCTCTAGATATTGAAGGGTTTCCTGGTACCGGTATGTGCACGGCTTCCCCGCATGCGGTCCGTCGCGTGGCCTCTGTGCTGCGTTCTGCAACTTCCAGATCTCTTTTTTCCTGTCCTGCCCTAACCAATCCAACTTCCCGCACGCTTGCTGCGCCTTGCAGATCTTTAACATATGGTCGTCCACATCGTCGTGAAACCCGTTGCACTCCCACTCGCCGTCCTGCACGTAGACATCACCTCCATCACAACCTCCATCACATCGGTGTCCATCCCATGGGTACATGCAGAGGCTGGCAAGCTCAAGCAATGCCTTCTACGCCAGTTCCGGACAGTTGACCAGATGGCCCTTTTTCAACAGGCCCTCCACGTCGGAGAAGAAGGCCGAGAGTGCCTCGGGCCAGGCGGTCCTCGACGGCTTCCTCGTATACAGTATCGCGTCCCTTTTTACTTCACAAGCTGTTTCGATCGCCCGGTCTATTAAAGCTTCACATGCCTCTGCCGCTTCAGCGCGTGAAGACACCAGTGCGACTTCCGCGGCGGCTCGAAGCTCTGACTTGGCTACCGGACCAGCACGCTCGTCTGCCAAAACCTTCATGTAGAGCAGCTTGAGACCATCAAAGGAGATGAGCTTCAAGGCAACCTCGGTTGCTGAGCCCTGTTAGCGCACAAGCGATCGCGAGAAGCGGCGAGGAAAGCGATGAGTACATAGAACTAGCCTCTTGTCGTCGGCGATGGACGATTTCTGCCGCTTTTCGGACGCGGTGTCTGATAGCTTGTTAGGCTTCTGACGGCTATTAGGAAAGCCAGAATCGCCGACCAACTTACCTGTTTGGCTGTGGTTTCTCTTGTGGCTTTCGGTCATTTTGATAGATCTGATGCGAAGAGACGCGGCGAGTCAAAAACCCGGTTGGATATGAGCGAAGACGATGAATTAAGGGGTGCGGGATGCTCTTTACCCGCGCGAAGATGGGGTCAATTTCAGTGGAGTCTAGGTACTTAACCACGCGTCGCGTTTGCGGATCTGGCGGGTACGCGACTGAACGTCATCACGGAACAAGAGTCTCTGCGGCAGGAGACACGGAGAACCTTGCCATTTCATATATGCGCCATCAGAAGGCACCGCCACGGAGAGGTTGAGAGTGCAACAAGTAGCAAAAAGCATCTGCCCGTACACGAACCCCTGTGAAGTTGCCGAACACGGTAGTGGCAACTACAACGATGTAACTCCTCTGCTCCTAAGAATGGTTGTCAGTATTTAAATTTTAAAATGTTTGTACAGTTCCGACCGACTGGGACCCGGGGTCGTGGCAGGTGTGGGGTCGGGTTGGGAATCACGATGGATCTACCTTAATCCACTGACAAATTGACAAATTCCCCCTGGTCAACGCTACCTGAGATCCGCAAAAGTATCTAGTCTTGTTTAGGCCAAGCCACCAACACTTAGAAGTGGGGGCATTTAGTTTCGACTTCCTTTGTGACTTGATACCTTCAAGTTTTCGTCTGGACCGTTTCCGTTGTCGTGAACAGTCATTGTTTCTGCCCAGGCCAAATGCTGACATTGCTGGCGGTTTATTGTCATCCTCTGCGCGATTACCATGCTGGAGGCCCTCTTGGCAATACTTATAGCCAGTTTGCCGACTCGACTCAAACCCGGCTCAAGTTCGACTTCATCACGTTGCAACATCTCACCACGACCGACGTCACACAGCATAGATAAAGGATCGATGGATCTGAATCATGCAGATGCTTCAAGACAGCGGCTATGTATCGAGCATGTTCCCGCGGAGATATTGGCCATGGTGTTGTGCAGGCCACTGGCAGTCCCGATCCTTATCTCTGGATCGATGTGGGCCACGACGCCGTCCAAGCCCTACCAGCTCCCATCCAGCCCATCCCAGTAGTTCGAGATAAGGGATAAGGGGGAGAAATATGCTTGCTGCTTGTCGCCGACCAGGCAGCCAGGCCTACAAGCCGACGAGGTTGCATGCATGGCAGCTGCTCCCACACCATGTATTTGGTATTTGACCTGGTGGCTGGAGATTTCATAGGCGAGTAGGTATTGTCTGGTTGGCATGCTCATGATTTATGTTCTCGATCTGCCGTCCCTGTCAGCGCTCGTCTAATCTCAGCGCTCGTCTAATCTGATATCAGTGACGCACTTCACATTTCCCATTTCCCGCGAAGCTGACCACCTACAATCCGGAGACGTGAAACTCGCAGACACACGTTTCTAGCCTCTCGTGGCGCGCCTTACCAGGTGTCGATCCTGCCTTTGGAAGTCTTGACGCGCTGTTAACCGGGTGACACGGCTCTCGCTGCAATCACACCACACGCCTCGTGCTCTTCGTCGGCGCCTGTCTCCTGAGTCTACCTGGCTGCATGTTACAAAGACGTTCAAATGTCCAGTTCGTAATGGTTGTTTCTGACCACTCACGATAGCGAGCGAGTTGCATTGGTGGTACCTCATGGTGTTCAGGAGAGCATCGCCTAGAACACTGATATTGATACCCGGACTCTGAGGCCCAGAGCAGAACGCCTTACAGCACAGTTCTAAACGGCGAACCTAAAGACTTCGTCCATTCGTCGCCTTATCAAACTTCTCAGACCATTCCTTAGCCGTATCATTGCATTTCATAGTTAGACTTGGCTTGGGTGGTTCGGCGCGCCTTGGTGTCTACCAGCCTGACCAGGCTACTGAACGGCTGAGCAGACGAGCAAATCACCTCAAGGATTCAGCGTCTCCGATACTCTTCTCGGCGCATTATCAAGTCGGGGCTCCACAGGGTATCATCCGCGGAAAACCATCGCGCAAACCGGTGTGGGAGAGCTCACAGTCTGGACCCACCGAAGACAACCCGTCCGGAGATGCTTCGTTGCAGCGCAAGACGCCTGGACGCCTGAGAGAAGACACACCTCAATTATAAGTGTATCGCTTCACCTTGCAAGGGCTCGGGTCCCTCTCCCAGGCCATCACCACGGGATTCAACCGACCCAGACCCCCGAGTCTTACACCCACCCACTTGACAGAAACAAGTTGAACCTCGAATAGGAAAGCTTCAACATGAAGGGATCAACCCTTTGGACCGCCCCGGAGGTCAACCCGATCAACCGCAAGGCCCGATCCATTCCAGTACTCAATGTCTTCAACGTGTACGGCCGTGTGTTCTTCTTCTCATGGTTTGCATTTATGGTCGCATTTTGGGCGTGGTACACTTTCCCACCCCTTGTAAGTGTTATTCGGCAATCACTAGCTATAGAAACTCTCAACTAATCTTCCGTTACAGTTGACACACACCATCAAGGCCAACCTTCACTTGACACCGGCGCAAGTTGCGAACTCCAACATTGTATCCCTGTGTGCTACGTGAGTGCTTTGAATCGGAAGATGCACAACGACCTCAATGACTGACGCGAGACAGCCTCATGATACGATATATCGCGGGCCCTGCCTGTGATCGTTTCGGGCCTCGCCTGGTGTTCGCCGGTCTTCTCCTCATCGGCTCCATCCCCCTCGGCCTCGCCCCTCTTGTCCACAACGCCCAAGGCCTGTACGTTAGCCGGTTCTTCATAGGCATCCTCGGCGGCTCTTTTGTTCCCAGCATGGTATGGGCGACCGGTTTCTTCGATAAGAATATTGTTGGCACAGCCAATGCCCTGGCTGGCGGTTGGGGAAACGCAGGTGGCGGCATCACCTATTTCATCATGCCTGCTGTCTTCGATGCGTTCGTTGGACGGGGCTACAGTGCTGGCACGGCTTGGCGATTGACCTTCATTGTTCCCTTGATTGTCACGTTGGCTACGGGAGTCCTCATGATTCTTCTGTGTCCCGATACCCCGACAGGCAAATGGTCTGACCGACACCTCCACGCTGAACAGAACCTCGTATCGCACGGCGTCGTCGAGTCCCCACTCAACACTACCAACGGAGTCGTCGACGTCCCTGGTAGCATCACCGACAAAGCGAGCTCGGAAGCCACACATCCCCACGAGTCAGACCAGGAGAAGAAGATGGAGGACAATGCCGGATACGACCACGAAGCTGCACTTTCCAAGGACGAGATGATGGTGATCGCTCAGGGCGAGGTCGTGAAGAAGCCCACGGCTGGTATGGTGCTAAAGATCTTGGTGTCCCCCCAAACGTTATTCCACATCGTGACCTACATGTGCTCCTTCGGCGCCGAGCTCGCCATCAACTCGATCCTCAGCGCCTTCTACGTCAAGAACTTCCCCAAAACCCTCGGACAGACCGACGCCGCGAACTGGGCGGCCATGTTCGGGTTTCTGAACGTGATCACGAGACCAGCGGGAGGCTTCCTCTCCGACACCCTCTACAAATCCACAAACCACAATTTATGGTCGAAGAAGATCTTGGTGGTAACCCTTGGCTGTCTCACGGGCATGATGCTCATCATCATCGGCACGGTCGACCCGAAAGACCTGCCGACCATGATCGGTCTGATCGCGTTGATGGCCGTCTTCCTCGAGGCCGGCAACGGCGCCAACTTCTCGCTCATCCCGCACGTGCACCCGTATGCCAACGGCATCGTGTCGGGCACCACGGGCGCGGGCGGCAACCTCGGCGGCATCATCTTCAGCATCATCTTCCGCTTCGTCGACGGCAGCACCAACTACGCAAAGACGTTCTGGATCATCGGCATCATCATGATCGGCCTCAACCTCTGTCTGTGCTGGGTCGCGCCGCTTCCGCGGGGGCAGATTGGCGGGCACTAACTAGTATTTGGTTGCTTGGAATTCCTTGTAATGCCTTCTGTAGCAGCCCGAATTGGCGTTGAGCGGGTTTTAAAAATTCCGAGTTGTCGGGTCCAAGGGGAATGTTGTTTCTGATTTCGGGAGCACAAGCGGAAATACCACGATAGATTTAGCGGAGTGTTGAAAGATATATGTATTGAACCTAATCGGACTCTTGAACTTATCACTATGTGGAACATCCATGCCATCCACATGTTAAACCCATACACCTAGCGAGGTGAGGTGAGTGTTTGCTTTCACCCTCGAACAGACATCCCTTCCCACTGGCGTATTCGTAAGCCTCGGGCTTTGACTCAGGAGTCTGCTCAAAGCCGTCATCGATCGACTCTTCTACCCCCCTCCCTATCGGATCTTTCAATATCGGATGGAATGTGTGAAGTACCCATCCCATCGATACTGCCATCCCTCATAAGAGTCCAGTCACGCATCTTGATATAGCAAGTACCCGTCTGTGGTACTGGATCACGCACCTGGAACCATCATTTCGATCCAATACAGTAAGCTAGCTAGTCTCGAGATGTCTGCCCACTCAAGAGACCGCGTTCTTCGAGAACGAACTTGTAACCGCTCTTGCTGTTCATCCCAGAATGCTCATTTCCAACACGATGGAATACTCTAATCTGAATGCTCACTACATACCTTGATCGGGGCTGTACAGAGAGAGACTTATGAGGTGTTGTCGATATACCAGTGTGATGGATGGGTTTCTCTGCTTTTCGTCCATACTACTGATATCGCACCAGACAAGTCAAGGCAAGTCAAGGCCCGGCTTGCTGGCTGGGGTGACACCGAAAGCTATACCACACTTACCGTCCCGTGTCATCCACGCATTTCCCCCCAGATGTACCACTGTAGCTCTACTAGGACGAGCTCCGAACCACCCAACGACCTTCTTGTGATGGCTCACCGTCTCCATTACTCATACTCCTCAGCCGTCCGTCCCGATCATCCATCCAGCTTCGCTCACGCCATCGCCATCGCCCTCGCCTTTGCTGCCCAGTCCAACAGCCAACCCCAAGCCATGTAGCGGCACACCGCTGCTCTCCAGGGCTGAATGCGCACACCACCTACCTGGGTTAGAGGGCGTTGCCAAGTGCGGTAGGTAGTCCGGTCGTCTGAAGAAATAGGTAGACTGGGCTCAACGGTCTCATCGACAGAGGTGCACCTCTCAACTCAGCAGCCTCTTCGCCCTGGATGCCGCCCGAAACGGGAAAACTCATGAGTTGGTGCATGACCTCTGACCGGCACATCATACGGTAGCATCCTCGCGAAGAATTCGCGCTGCTATAGCTTGTATCCATTCGTTAATAGCCGAATATACCGTCCAGTGCTTATGATTGGACTGCTATGCATACTCTACTAGTGCTCGTTATTAAATTAAGGCTGCGCTTGCGCTTGCAAATACCTGAGGTTTCCGCGTGATCGTGATCATGATCATGACGACCGTCAGCTGCTGGCATGTGCCTTCCCTCCCGCGCCGGCCTGCGTCAGGTGTTAAAATGCCTTACCGGCTAGCCTGGGGGCTCCGCAAGAGCCCCTAGGCCAGCTGCCGCAGGCATTAAAGTAGCTCGTACGTGGTCGCAATGGCTGGTGCGGTAATCGCAAGAGAAGAAACGACTAACTAGATGTGCCAAACCTAGCGATTTAATTAGTTGGTTGGTAGCACGTTCTTTTTTTCCTTTTCCCTTTCTCCTCACAGCGAAGCCGCGGCAACGCTAGCGTTATAATTGGTTAAAAAGTGGCTCTTGTATATATCAGCATCTAGCTCCGGGATAAAAATCACTTTAAATCTTTTTAAGCATTTTTATTAGATATTAAAAGGCGTATTAGCCCGTTTTTAAGGCCGGCTATACTTTATAACTGTTGAATACACGGATTGTCACGGCGAGCGTACTAAGGAGCTGGGACATGGCCGGCAGCAAGCAGCTATTACTCTATTGATGAGAATATCAAGACTAGAGAGGAAAGGAAGAGAGAGAAAGAGATAGGTACAGTGGGAGGTTGCCCCTTTAAGAGGATCCTCTGGTCAGATCCTTCCCCTATTGGGAAGTATCCGCTTGTCATGTGGGAAGGTCTGTGCAGGCCGTCACAAGTACGGCTACTAATAAACGCTTCCTCATCCTAAATGGTCATAAAAGCCACCATTTCCAGGTCTTTGAGAATTATTCCCGGAACAATGGCATCATTACTTTTTGTATGCCTGTCCACTCGTCACACAGGCTCCAGCCCTTTAGATGTCAGTTGTTTTAGCCTGCTCAAACAAGCTTATGATCGCTCAATTAAGGATCTCATCCGGCGTCATATAACCCATGTTTCAAAGGAGGACTTTCTCGCAGCGTTTTGTGAAGCATACAACGCTGCTATGACACCGGGAAATGTTCGAGCAGGTTTTAGTGCCACTAACTTTGTTTCTTTTAACCCAAAAAGTGTCATTTAAAGCTGGATGCTGTCGCTGTCATACAAACACCGTCGTAAGACACCAATCTGCCACCCATTATTTTGACTTTAAAGACGCCTACTACCATTAACAAAGCGGTAAACTAATCGATTTATATCTAAAATTAAGTCAGAAACCACTAAAGAAACTCACCTATATTAATAATTGATACATCAAGCTTGTTTTAAAAGGCTACATATGGTCTTATACATAAGGTCGCTTTGGTTGATTCCTGGGTCCGTGAATTAATAGAGGCCAGCCATTTATTAAATATATGATAAAAAAAGAAATACTTTCTATTAAAGATGCAATAGGTCTTCAGGCTACAAAGAACGGTACTGAACTGGTAAGACAAGAAATGGATAAAAGTAGTCGTTGTCCAAGAAGGACAGCAGCGCGTGAGTGACGGTGTGGCATTTGTGGCAACACTGACTATAATGCGCAAACTTGTATAATAGAGATAGAAACCTCTGGAAAAAAGAAATCCGAATAATTAAATTGAATTGAATGCGTTGTAGTGAAGTTATTTTACATGGCAGTTAGAGAGTTCATAATGAGTGCCAACTCGCTTGTCAGCTATGTTAAGCTTTATAAAAAGTGTATAAATTAATTAACTTTAGTTTTTTACGATCTGTATTAAGTTAAAATAGCTTATACTTATTTAAACGGTTAATAATACTTTATTCCGCTTACATTAAGACTGTTTAATCGGTAATGATATACTTAAAATAAATTTAAACCGAAGCCTTTTTGTGTTATAAGAGACTTTAAAGTAAAACATTGCTTAATGTCTGATGTTGGATCCCAGATATGGTGCCCTTAGGTGCAGTACACGCTAGGGGGCTGCCAGGGGACCAGCGGATCCACCCTGGCATGGTGCAGTATGATATTTAACTGTAGATTAGCCCTGCCGAGCATACTTGAGAATGACAACAACGTTTGCAGCGACCGCTCACACCCCCAAGGCTTGTGGTCCTTCTAGAATCTCACATATATTTTATTAATAAAGGAGAAACTAGATATATAACAATGGTCATTTCTTAGCTAAAATAAATGAGCAGTCTTTACTTTAATAATTAATCTAAGCATCTTAGCTAACTTTAAAATAAGAGAAATTTCTTAACGACTCGACTATTGAATAAACCCTCGTTTAAACTAAGCCTTAACACTTAAGTATCTTTTAATTAAAAAAGCCTTTATCGTCCTTTATATTAATATACCTTAAAATATAAACCTCATAAAACCTTTTAGCCTTATGAGTAAAACGGCTCGTTATAATTATTTAATAATTGCCGGTTTCTTAAAAGTAAATAAAAACTTTAATGGTAATATTCATTATAACGTTTTGATATTACGATAACTTTGAGGAATATTTCCGATAAAATCTAGCGGTAATTAAAGACTACGTAGGCGGTACTATGGTTATAAAGCTTATATTCGACGGAAAAAATTAGCTATTTTAACTTAATTTTTAAAGCTTACTTACTTATATACTGATTTAAAACCAAAGCTTTATCTAAATATATCATATAAAGTTAAGTAAAAATAGCCGCGATAATATAAAAGTCTTGTTAACGTAAACCGTACGCGTATATAACGGTAAATATTATTTTCCACGCTGCGAAAAATAACTTGAAAAGAAAAACTTGATCGGTAATCAATGCTTAAAGGCTTAAAATGCGCGATTTATAAAGGCCGTAACGAAAGGACAGATTAAACTAAACGGTAATCCGTATGCTATAAGGCTATATCAATTAAAATTAATAAGAAATCAATAGTATCAACGTATATCTAATGTCCCTGGCGGGACGATCTAGGTTGCGAGTTTTATAGGAAGGTCCAAAACGATAACCTAAGGTGCGTTGGTAGACATCTTGGATAGGAATTCAGGAAGCAATAACCACCCATATGAGCTCTGCCTTCTTTTATGGGTAGTATGGCATTCTATCCATCCTTCTCCAAAGTCAAATCAACAAAACAGGCGGTTTGAGGGTATTACGAACCCCCGGAACCATATGCGCTACACTTAGCCCTCATAAGTCTTCGTTCGTGCACCCAACGTATCAAATTTGAAAGCCGAATAAGCGCCCTCGAATAAGCAGTATCATTCATGAAGCCACTCCTCACGCTTATTACACCGTGGTTGTTCCACAGACCAAAAAAAAAAAAAAAAAAACTTAAACTCGAATATTCAGATATTGAAGACTTCGTTGACATCTGGGCTACTGTTACGTTCGCCAACAATATCAATTCGGTGTCCTGGTGTGAAATAATCCACGCTCCCGTAAGAGAAGGGTCAAGTGTCGGGTCGTACGCATCGATGCCATCGCAAGACGCATATTTCTCGCAGAGATACACCATATTATTGTAGGCTCTGTCGATATCTGTCAGAACCATCTGAGACTCAAAAGTGATAGAAACTTACGTTTTGCGCAGTTGGCTTCCAGGATGGCCGGCAGAGTAGTTGATGGCACCCTTGATGCTGTACAGTCTGTTGCGATCATCGAACTCTTCCGGGGGCTCTGCGGCGGTAAAATTTTCGACATAATGGCGGGTGTAGAGCGGCGAGCGGAAGTGCGAGCTGAACTCGCACCGCCAGTGACCTAGCTCCATCTCGTTGTAGGCGAAGTATGATCCAGCATCGAAGAGGAGAGTATTACCCGTCTCCACTGAGGTGTATTATGTTAGTAAGTCCAGACACGGTAGCTTTCGGGAGAGAAAAGGGCAGAACACATATGATGATATATAGTGATGAATAGCAAGACAGCAGACCCATGCATGCTTACTATTTATACCCATGTTTCCTTCCCACAGGTCACCATGGATGATGCTGGGCTTGATCTGCCGACCATTCTCTTGCAAGACTCCGAGTAGCCGAGGTATGACCCTGTCAGCAATCTGGGCAGTGGCCCGCTCTAGCTCTGGCTATGGCCTATTGGTGGTAAGGTCTAACTCGCAGACGCCGAGTAGAAGCTTTTTGTAGAATTCGGCCCAGCTGTCCTGCCACTCGACTGTGTGTGCCATCTTCCCATCACACGTGGTGATATGAAATCCGAATTTTCCTGTGGGCGATCGGCTTATTTGGTGCATGTTGGCCAGCCTGGTTGTGAACTCCATGGGGTCGGGTGCTGTGGTGACATCCATGTCGACGAAATCAGAGAGGTAGAAGTAAGTAGCTGGACCCTTTGCCTTGTATTTGCCAAACCCAAGTGGCGTAGGTATAAAGTCAGGCATGATGCCGTGGATATACCTGGACGATTCCCACTCGCCATACAACATAATCCGGCCATGCTCATTATAGGCTACCTACGGACGTACGCAGCACGTTAGTCCGTCGTCCTCTATCGTCATGGAATAGTCGGTATGGCAAACCTTCAAGAAGCAAAGCGTTTCCGTGCCATCCTTCTGTCTTGCGACAAGACGACCTGTGATGGTAAACGCACTGAACCCAAAGTGCTCTACGGAGACAAACGTAGCTCCTGCAGGCAGAGCTGCGATAGAGTTAGCTCTTCCAGCTATGTGGATTATACTACCGCAATGATACGAAAGGCTCACCTTCGATAACAGCCTCGTCCATCGGGAACACACCATTGAGTCGTGCGAGGACCTCCTTAATGCTGAATGGCGCTCCTAGATCAGCCACCTCCGGCGCGGGCACGGCGCTGACTTGGGACTGCGTCTCTTCTCGCGCGGCCATGTTCACTTATGCGCAGGTCCTAGGAGAAGATGTGCGAGTAGCAACGGAGAGGCTCTATCGCAAGAGGTTACCCGGCTCGGACCTTGCAGTAGAAAGTGGTGGAAACAACGTTCAATGGAAGCGATGATAGAAATCTAGGTAGGACGGGCGCCAGACATGAACATGAACCGGGGAGACAGTTCGCGGCAAGGGGTGAGAGTTAGCCGCCGACTTGGATGTTGGCTCCTGAAGCTGTCGTTACCCCTGTCTTGATTGGCGGTCCGCTCTGCCTGATCTGACTGACCGATGTAACAAGAGAACCTTGCATCGAGATCTGCCCGCCTCATTAGGACGGTAGCCGTGAGCGATCACAAAGAGTCGATCTCTTTCCCATGGTGGGGAGAAGTATGGGATCGCGCTGATGCGAAGAGAACACTGTACATCCAAGTAAACCAGAGCCTACACCTCACACTCAAAACGCCTGCACTGACGCCTCCGTCGCCACCCAGAGCCCTTAACCCGACTGACAAGCACAGAGCCAACGCCAGCAAACAGCACAAACAGTCCAAACGCCGTGAAGTACCATCCCCTGCCTATCGCGTCGATCAGGGGTTGTATCGCGGCCGCCGAGGCCGCACTCAGACCACACCTGGCCACCTGGCTCGAGGTATACGCAGTGCTGGACTTGTCGGGGAAGATGTCCACCAGCAGCGCGCTGGCGGTGTGACTCAGGAGGGTCGAGAGCACGCAGACGAAGAATTGTATCACCAGCGGGATCGCGGGATGGGCTCGTGCCTACACCTGAGGCGTTAGAGATTGCTTATGACGGTGGTTTTGAGCGCATGTCTCTGGAGTTATAGCTCTGAAGACGTCCGAGGTAGGTAGGCTGTCCTGAATCTACGTTTCCCGACGCAAGCCAAACAATGAGTTGTAGTAGAATAAACGTCCTCCAGGGCCTCACTTTAGAGGACTGTCCTCTGGAATGACTGCTTGTGCCAGATGGTTATACAATTTTCCACTCCAACCACTTGGCAAGCCCAGGGAGAAAACAGAGAAACTATACGGACCTGGACAGCCCAACCATACGCGACCACAAGGGCGACTTCGGCGACGATAAAGGGAACGATATTGCGGTATCTGGCCTCCTCGATGGGAAACCCCGTGGCAAGCTCTCTTTTCATCCGAGTTGCGTCCAGCCCATGCTTCCGTGCCGTTTTCGTATAGTTCCGATCCACAAGCTTGCCAGCAACGACGCCGCCAAGTGTCATGCCCGCAAGTCCGGGCAGAAAAGCCAGGCCGATCTGGAGCTCGTTGTAGCCGAACACTCTTCCTCGAAGACGACCGGTATAGTGACCTGGAAGGTGTAATAACGCAGTAGGAAGAGGCGATCATGGCAAGTACGGCGGCTGCGTCGGGGTAGAACATCATGCGCAAGGACGCAAAGGCATCCAGGAGCTTCCAAGAGGCAGCAGCCTCGCTCTGCCGTGAACTCGCTTCAACTACTTGCGCTGCGGGACGCGACTGAGAGGCAGTGAAGCTCCACCAAGTCCTCCAGAGCCCACGGGCCGGTACCGAACCATTGCCGACGACCGATCGGGCCGTCTCCGGGAGGGTGAAGCCGACCAGGAGAAAACAGACGGCCGCAATGCCCGAGAGCGAGCAGAACACCCAGGTATACCCGTTCGTCCGCAATGCCACGGCGCCGCCGATCATGGGCCCGACGGCGGATATGCCGTTGCACGTGGACAGCATGGGGCCTAGCATGGCGCCTCTCTCGGGGACAACCGCGACATCGGCCACGATGCCGTAGGTAACGGCCGAGGTGGCGGAGCCGCCGATGCTCTGGAGGGAGCGCAGTGCCACGAGAGCAGCATAATTGCCCTTGTTCAGAGTTAGTCCTAGGCTGGTGCAGCCGTAGATGACGGTCAACGAGAGCATGACTGGGCGACGGCCGAATGCGTCCGCCAGTGACGCGAATATGATGGGCGAGATTGCTTGGAACACGGCGTAGGTTGTTACGGTGAGGTTGATGGCTTGGATCGACACGCCGAACTGGCGACTGAGCATCGGTATGAGGGGGAAGTATACCGTGCCCATAAGGGTAGATATGATTATGACGAAGCCCAGGAGGTACGTGGGGTACGTTCTCATAGGTGCCGAGAAGGTCGAATAGTCTTCGACACCTGCGGCGGGATCCTCAGTTTCGGTCTCGATCCCGCGAGTCTGATCCGAGTCGATGGATTCTTCTTGCCCTGTCATTGTCTTGATGTGCTGCAGGGAGAGAGGGTATTCCGATGGTAGACCGGATATTGATCATCGCCTGGGATGCTGCCAGGCAAAATATCTATAGTTTCACTGACGAAAGGGGCACGAGAAGAGTGTTGACCGAGAGGCGGCCAGTCTGGAATGTGGGGGATATCCGCGGTTACGTTTTCAGTATCCGTATCTTCATAATGACCCCGGGCTCCTGCAGGTGTCTGGCTATCTCCGGTGTCCTGGTACCTGAAGCTCCTGTCACTATTCTGGCCGAGGCAAAAGACAGCGGCTCGACTCGTACATTGGCGCTTCCCACACCGAATCTAGGTCTAGAAAGACATCGTAGAGCGTAGCTTGCGGGGTTGGAGCAGAAGCTGGTGCCTTTACTTGATGCAAGTAGGTACAGGGTCCTCGATGCCGATCCCGGACACACTGCAGGGGATGGCCATTCAGCATGAGGTCAGACAAATCCATATAGGCTCCAAAATTTGCTGGATATGCAAAAGCATTCATCTCACAATGGGAATGAACATGATGTCTATAAGGATATTAGAGGGTGACTGATCTATCCAGCATGTCATATGGACACCACTTCTGTGCTCTTCTGCTTGGTCTGAATACCCGAATGAACAACTTGTAGTCTCACCACAGATATCAATCATGCAGCAAGCAAGCAAGCTTTCCAGCTAACTTATCGAATGCGGTTCATTCTCGCGTTCGTCACTCTGATCTGGTCGTCAAGTGGATCAGTCTGCACCAAAGTTAGCATAACACTCATCGAGGTGCTCTTCATATTCAAAGAGAACATACCTTTTCACCGATTCTGTCAATGAGCTTGTTGCTGTGGTCTAGCTCCTCGCCCATGGCTTGACCGATTCGCTTGAGTTTGCCAACACCGACGGACATCTGTTCCAGATCGCGCTCGATCTGCTCGTTCTGTTCATCAAGTTCCTTCGCGCCCTCTTCATCAGAGTCATCTTCGAGAGTGTACTTGGAGCGATCTCCACGGTTCGCTCTTGTGAAGGATGAAGATCCCTGATCTTTGTCAAAGCTTGCAAAGGTTTGTTCCATGCGCGCGTTTTGGCCAAACTTGTCCCTCCGCGTAGCTTCTCGTTGTTGTCGGTCTAGTTGACTTTGTGTCATGACACGAGCCTCCTCTTCGCTGCAAGAAACTTGGTTTAGAAATTGGAAGACATAAGTGTGGGAACGCAACAAATTGTTACTCACGCAGTCCGTCGCTTGGCCGTGAAGGGATTGTTAACATGTACAGCAAACATGCTCCTGTTTAAGCTCTTGAGCTTCTTGGTCTGTGCCTCGGCATGCCGGTGAGACTCGGTCGCGGTATCCAGTAACTGATCCGTGTGATGGACTAGAGGTCGAATTAGCAACCAAGCTCAGGCAGCCAGTTTCAAGGTTACGTACGTCTCTCGTTTTGCGCACCGAGGCGCGCATATGTTTGCAACCCAGTATCAATGGCTTGATTCATATATCTGGGCCCGGTCAGTAAGAAACCTCGCTAATATCATAAGGATGGGAGCACATGCCTCATGGAGTTCTGGTTGGTAGCCAAACTCGCTTTTGTCGTCTCGTGAATCTGGGCCTTTGCATCTCTATATGCCTCTGTGTCTTTCTCCTCTTCTGTGAGGTCGCGTTGTTCGCCATAGCCACCATACTTGCTGGCAGAATCGCCACCCGACTGCCCATAGTCCCCAGAGCCGCTGCTGGCCTGTGGCGCCTCGTCTCGTTGACGGGCACCAGCGAGAAGCGCTTCGCGATTCGCAGCATCGTCGTCGGCTGTCGGACCTAAGCCGCCATATCCACCGGAACGAGCGCCCGATGCCGACTCGCCGGCACTTGAGCTACCATACTTGCTAGACCCGTAGCCCGAGGATGTACCATATTTATTACTATTGTAACCAGCAGCGGGTTGAGCAGCGGGTTGAGGCTGGTAGGGAGGTGGAGCCGATGCCGATGCGCCGCTGCTGTCGTGGCGATTGAGAGCGGCACCGTAGGCACCCCGTGGACCGCTCGGGAGACCTCCGGCGCCAGGAGGGGGCAAACCACTTCGCGCCTCTCGGTAGCTAGGTGCGACGTTGGCATATTTCTGGGTGTCTTCGGCCGTGTATGGATCGTTCGGTTGGGCCTGGGCGTAGGGGTTCTCAGGCGCCGGCGAGCCTTTCGACTTCTTGCTGCTGGAGAAGCCGAACTTCTTCATGGTGGCAGTCGATCTGCTGCTGTTGCTGGTCGGTTGGTTGGTCGTTCTGCAGGTCTGAGGGACCAGCACAGGTGGGTGGGTAGAGCAAATCAAAGGCAAATGAAGAACCGTACAGGTGACGGTGCGGTGTGTAGATTGCTTGGTCGTCGGCCAGGTCTGAACGGAATAGGTAGGGTGAATGAAGAACAGAGGTGACGGTTCACCTTAAAGAGAGCGGTTGATTTGTGGGACTACAGTGAGATGTCTTAGGTTACGTTTCGAAAGAGAGGGGTCTACGCACAGATCGCCCCTAGGGAGGGGGACCCTTTGGGTTGGTATCTAATTCGGGGTTCAACTGCCACCTGGCTGGCAGGCGGGGAGATTCGTCAATCCAGGGCGCAGCACCTGCAGGTGTGGGGCTGGGGACCAGACATCAATCAACTGGCAGTGGCAATGGGCTGATGACAGACAACTTTATCCAACTTTAATCGTATTTCTCAGCTGAAACAATTCCTGGCTGTGCTGTCATTGATGATTGAGACTTTCGGCCGGGCCGAGGGACTGCCGGTGCTCATGATAGTGCTGCTCTTTGTTCTGTTCCATCAATGATCTGAAAGACTGAACTGACTGACGACTGTAACATCTGACAGTGGAGCTGCACTCACTCCATGTCCTATCGAGGGGCATCATCTGGTCTAACCATCGCACACTGCAAATGCAACTGGACCATTTATCAAGACTATTCCGAGACTCACAACAGCTATCATCTAGGTGTATCTGACATTATTAGCATCATTGAGCAGCTGTCACTGAGATGCTCGTCTTATCTGCTGCTTCCGCTGTCAAAAGTTAGTAGCTTTCGTGGTGGGTAGCTCCTGTGGCCATGGCCGTCCTTGCCGAGACTTGATTGGTCACTTCGTGATTCGGGCAGTTGACTCTTCTTTCTTCCATTGTTACCTCCATCAGTGCTCCCGCCTTCCTCAACGCTGAGGTCCTGTCCCAATTCCATGCTGAACCTGCCATCTTCACTCACAAACAACTCCATATCAGTACTGCCATGGCTGCCCTGACCATCTGATATAACTTTCGAAAGCATCTGCTCACCTTTGCTGCCACCACCGCCGCGAACTAACAACCATGATAACACGAATATACCTCCTACCCAAATTAATACCCACCAAACAGATGGCTCACTGTCAAGCAATAGAGCATCAGGCGATAAAACACCACCGGCAACCCTCCGCTGTATAGTGCTGAGAGCAGCATGAGAGTACTTATAGTGAGCCACATTTGCGCTTGTTGAAGGTCTTGGATCTCGGTATAAGTACAGGTACAGGAATACGCGGCCACCTCTCGTGAACTAGCCCGCACCCAGATTGCTTTTCCAAAACACTGCGGGAATGGCATCGCTATTCACTTTCGATCACGACCCTCCCAGGGTCGACTCTCCTTGGAAGACTGGCCAGGGTTCCGGGCAAAGACCTACTAATGGACGGTCCGTGTCTACCGGAGCCATTGTTGAGTCAGACCAGTCGTCTGACGCCCAGCTCGACAGGCTTGAGGCAGAGCCGCAAGACGGCCCCATCGAATACAAGCTGCACCTATTGCTACGGCCACGCAGGGTCTATAAGACAATGAACACCACCCTCGTTGTCGCCGGCTCGCAGGCATCTAGAAACGGCCAAGGCGCGAAGCCCGCAAAACCGCCAGGTGCGTCGCTGGCCTCCTCGAACCAATCTCGACAAAACCGGCTCCAGCACTTAACTACACAACTGCTCTGGAGATTACAGCAGTCTTCCCCTCATCATACTACCGCAAGGGGTGATTTGGTCATACCAAAACTTCCTCAAGGCGATGCTGAGCTTGATGTCTTGGAGCAACCTGGCAAGCTGCTACCTGGCCTGGAGGAGTCGAACGGAGCTCTCTACGAAATAGGTGTGGCCGATGACGGAACTTTCGTGGGTTTGACTAAGGGTGAGATGGACGAAAGCATGACTACCCTCAAGATCATGGCTGCTAGCTTAGGGTGCAGAGTCGAGGTGCAGCGGATGAAAGCCGTCGGTACTTGCCAATGGGTCGATTCAACCCTCGGGCTTCAACAGGAGGACCTTTGGGTAGCAGAAGCCCTTGTCATGCCAATTATAAGCAGCCAAACAAGGGCGAGCGACAAGGACGACGAGACCAATACCGCCCCTAGAAGAGGCGTATCAACTACCGAACAGATCCGGTTTGTGCTTACGGGGCCTACCACCTCTGGGAAAACTACGATACTCGGGACTCTCAGCAACGGGACCTTGGACAATGGTCGAGGTCTCAGTAGGATCAATTTACTGAAACATCGACACGAGGTTGCGTCTGGTCGAACCAGCTCTATCGCGCAGGAACTCATCGGCTATCAGGGTAACACGATATGCAACTACAGCGTTGATAATATCAACGAGTGGCCAGATATCCATGATCGTGCCGAGCCTGGCCGGTTGGTGTTCATCTTAGACTCGGCTGGACACACTCGATACCAGAAAACCACTTTACGGGCCCTGGTTGGATGGGCGCCCCATTGGACTCTGCTGTGCATTGCTGCGCGTGACGATGGCCCGCCCTCTTCCGGTACACATTCTTTATCCGGGGCAGATGGAGCTATGGGTGTAGGAATACCATCAATGGATCTGGCTATGGCGTATCTTGATCTCTGCCTCGGGCTTGAGATGCCTCTTGCTATCCTTATCACAAAAACCGAGCTGGCCACACGCCCACAGCTGAAGGACAAGTTGAATGCGATATTCTCCAAAATCAAATCTACTGGGAGGATCCCGAAGCTGCTGGCTACCGCTAGTTGTGAGGGTGACAACCTCGCCCACGTGCCCGATGCGGCCCAGACAAAGATGAAGAACGAGGTCATCGACGCCATTACCAAGTCAGATGGACTGCTCACCATCGTTCCGGTCATTCTTACGTCCGCCGTCACAGGAATGGGCATTGGACTGACTCACGCCCTACTGAAGAGCTTGCCAGTGCCGCCTTCGCCAACTGCGCAAGATTTCGCTTCCCTGACCCTCAATATGGAGCAGCCCGCTGCTCTTTTCCACATTGACGAGGTTTTTGACCTGTCTCTCAGTCGTGCTCAGACGCCTAGTGGGTCAAGTGAGAACGCACCTGTCGTTACCGGCTATCTGCGCTTTGGGAGGCTGTCAATTGGAGAGAACGTGGTCTTGGGGCCATTTCCAGCAGATGAAGAGGATGATGGTGCCCTCATTCCGAACGACCATCCCTCCCCAGGCTACGGGCTGTCCATCCCTCATCCCTTGTCTGCCGAATTCGCTCGCCTGAGTGTCCGTAATACGTTGACAGCTTCCAAGATCGAAGGCGAATGGCGTAACGCTCGAATAGTCAATATCCGTGAGCTCAGGCTTCCGGTACGAACACTCGAAGCTGGACAGGCTGGTTCCATCCAGGTCGTATTCGAAGAAGAGTCCAATGAAGAGATGCCGGATACTGAGAAGCCAAAGAAACCTGGCACGAGCATTCGCAAGGGCCAGGTTCTAGCCATGCCTAGTCAACACATGATCGATACCGGGCTCTCACTGCAAGCTTCAACCGGTTTCACGGCTTCCTTTCGGATCTCGGACATCAAAAACCTCGGTGTTGGTACTCTTGTGAATGCTTACATAGGAATGGCGCGTGCAGCCGCTCGAGTGTTGCGTGTGGTGCGCCAAAGATCAGGGTTGGATCCACGCCATGTTTCGAGTGAAGCTAACGACGACGTGTTCGGCATACACGATCACATCGAACTTGAGCGCACCAAGTCTGAAGCAGATCTTGATGAGATGAACGCAGAGTACCATGTCTCGCTGGAGCTCATAAGTCGGGAATGGATCGAGCTTGGGTCTCGAGTTGTTCTGCTTGAAGGAGGCACCAAAGACAAGTCGGGACTCGAAGGGTTTGTCGGCAAAGTGATCGAGGTCAGAGTAGTCCCCACGCGAAGGGAATGGACCGAAACAGCGAGGATAGCCCCTGGCTGTGATTGGGAACGGAGCGTGTGACGCACGACTTTTGGATATAGATATTTGCAGACACAGCGGATCAGCGGTATTGTTTGATTATAAGTTCCTTTTGCTTCATGAATTTCAACATGTCGTTCCCCTAAACCTAAACGCCTAAACCCACGCTGCGAACCACGAACGTAATGACCGCCCGCTCACGCCCTCACCAGACCGTAGAACAGCGTCCACGTCAATATGTAACCAGCGAGCCCCCCAAATAGCCCGCCGGCCCAGAACTCGTACTGCGTCCTGAAGAAGCGGCTCGTGTCGAAGGTGGCGTGGCCGGCTTTGAGGGAGGTGGGCGCGACGCGGATGGCGTAGAACAGGACAGTCGTCAAAACGGTGAATACGAGATAGAACAGGAAACCGCTGTAGGACTCGAGGCCCAGGATGCCGGCCGCGGCGCCGAAGATGGACGCAGTGAGGTTCTGCAGGTTGGAGAGGGCCTGTGGTGGACAAAGACCGCGGTGTTAGTTCCCTGGGTTCGGAATGGAGAGGTTGGACTGACAAGACAAAGCCTGGACTGCTTGCTACCAGAACTCGGGGTAGGTAGGTGTTGTGGGAACTGACTGACCTTTGTGTTGTGCATCACCGACTCCGGCACAATCGGCGCGATCTGAAACTCCCTTTCAGTCGGCATGGCTGCGCGCGGCTGGCTGGAGGCTGAGTGCTACTGGTGATACGGTCCGGGTAATGGGGGTACACCCTTTGGCCTTTCTTTCCTGGTCGAGGGCTGACCTGACTGCGTGGAGGATGGTTGGAGTTTGACGTATGATGGCGTTTGAACCAATTGATGCGCGATCCGTGAGAGCTTCAATCAAAGCTCCGCGATGACATGCATCTAGGTACCTACTGGGAACATGAAGAGGCTGATGATGAGGCTGAGAGCGTAGTCCGATAGTGTGGCTTGGGGTTTCGGGATCGCACCGCTAACCCCAGCTTGATTTACGGCGCTACGTGGCGGGGATTATAGTGGCCCGGACCACTGGCGAAACAATGTATTGGCCCAGAGACATCGAGATTCGAGCTTGTCCCTGTGCTTAGAATCATAAGTATCGGAATCCTGGCGATTACCGCGATGGATTTGCATGGATGATGGGGCGAGCCCTGTTGAATGTTCGGACATTACATCCTTTCGAACCCCTTGTGCGTCCGAGTTGTGCGCATATGCCAATCTCGAAGTCAAATCAACAGAAACAATCCGAGTTACTCAACCGCTGCCTCTTTCAGCTGTGAATCCACTGTCTCTCTTTCCCATTGTTAAAGTGCCTTAGTCTGGTAGTCTGGCATCCCCTTTCTCCCCAACGTCAAATCAGACACCTTTCGACCCGAATCCGCCTACCTTGATTAGGCCAGCCCAGACCAGGTCTTCTACACGAGTCTTCCCAGTATCGACCGACGCTCAGCTGGCTGTACGCCCTCGACCGACGCCGCCCGCCACCACCGAATGAACCCGCCGTGAAGCTTGTGCCAGATGGATGCGATCCCGTCGTGCACCACCGCAATTACATGGAAACTCATGTAGATGAGGGTACGCCTTTGAGCAACTATCTCGAGGGTATGCTCTGCCGCCCCACCATGCACCATATCGACCACGCAACTTTGGCACACATCTCGCAGATCGCTAACTAGTCGGTCACAGGTTCGGGGGAGAAAGAGATCCAGTGGCAGGAACCGGAACCGGAAACCGACGACAATAGAGACGACCACGACAATTCGCCGCCTTCCACACCACGGGACTTCGCTCCCAGGGGCCTCGCAAAGGTCAGGAAGAAGTTCAGAGATCGCGGACCCAAGCCGATGAAGCTCGAAATCCACACTCCGGCGCACGTCAGCCTAGACCATGTCCAGACCCATAGCTCTCCCGTCCTCGAGATGGCGCGGGTGCTGCTCGAGGCGGTGACCTCGTCGATCGACCGGACGCGATCTATCGGGTTTCTGGAGCGCTTAAGGCTTGCTATAGTGCAATCCCAGTTACTAGACAACCCCTTGGTACTCGGACTACAACCGCTTGCAGAGGCTTCGGTCTCGCAGCCGGCGGGCGAACTCAACTTTCATGGGCTCACGACCTCTGGAGTTGTTGCCGCGGCGGTGTTTGGTTTCGGCGTCGCATCTCTCATCCGATGGTTCTCGCTGGGTGGCTTGGTGCCGACGGGGAAGCGGCTACTGGTCTCTGCGGGTGTGGTTGTCGTGGCTCTCTTCATATTAAGAGCGTACGTGCGCAGGCAGATGCTGAGGAATATTCAACGGCAGGGGCTGGTGGAGGCCGCCTCGTTCTTCTCGCTCTCCCACGACTTTGACTGTGCGAACAGTGCGGCGCTCAACTTCATTATGGAGGTTGAGTTGGTCGCTCGCGGATACCGACTGTAAGAATTCTCCTACATGCCCTCAATCGCGGCCTGCGGATAGTGAGCTGACCTGAGTAATAGAAGCACTCCAATCCCGCCTATCAGCCGGTTGGAAAATAACGGCCAGAACGTCAAATGCCTTCAACTAAGACATACCCTTCGAACCAGTCTCACGGAGGTGATATCCTCATACTACCAAACTGCTTTTACGATATGGGCGTTCGCAGAGCAGACCGAGCTATTGCAGTTGCAATCTCAATACCAGTTCACAGTGGCGGACGTCGTGGAGAGATTTGAAGCATTTTCGAGGGCTGATGCCCAGAATGCCGAGAAGTTGCAGACCTTGAAGGACGCCGCGTTCTTGTTCCACGATATTCGGAAAGTGTTCCTCAGTGGTCTGCTCGCTTTAAATTCGGTGCACAACGACTCGGATCGTCTACGGTTTACTACGGTGTCGGAGGCTTTCAAAGCATTGAATACGGTGACCGCTCGGGCACATTCGAAAGTGCGAGACATTCTTGCCGAGAACGACTGTAAGTGAACTCTGGAGTACCTGTAAAATTCAGTTTCTCTGACTCATGGGTCACAGACCAAGTGCCGAAGTCTCCCAGGACCCCGCAGACGCCGGGCCATGAACGATGGCGCCATCAGGTCCGCAGACTTGGCTCGATGACCATGAATATCCGCAGTGTCCAAGCTAAGTTGAGTCTCTTACGAGAAGAGTCGTCTAGAGCGCTGAATGAGGCGGATGATATCAAAGACATTGGACCGCTGTTCATGTCTCAATACGACTCGATAGGACAAGACTTGCGAGATCTGATGGAAGCTTGGCAGTCCGGCAAAGCGACTTTGGCGTCTGGTATCGATAGGAACGAGAAGCGTCTATCTTCGGTCGGCTCGGTCATGATGTCTCCAACCAGCACGATGAGCGGCCGAACCATTACTGAGGAGGACGAGAGCAGTCCTGATGAGCGCGAATCAGGCGTGGACGATGCTTTGAAGAAGCTGAATGGAGATTTGCCGCCAACGGTGGAACTGAAGAACCCGGAAATGCGCAGGGAGCCCGAGGTCTTTGAGGCAATTTCGATACCGCGGCCGAGGAGCATGCTCACACGAGACGAGAGAATCGTTCGGATGAGAGAGGACCGCAAAGCCAAAGAGATCGCCAAGGCAAAGGCCGAGGCACACAGAGGCATGATGCGCGAGCTACAGGGCGTCCTCGAAAGAAAACCCTCCAGCACGCGAGTCTCGCTATGAGCAGTGTGAAGCAGCAGTGCCTACAACAGGCAGTTACGAGATGTTCATCGCATTTGGGTTTCACACGGCGCGATATTGGGATAGAAAGCGATCATGGTATTCCGGGGTTCAAGGCCCCTCGACTTTGGCGCGAACGGAGAGCTCTTACTACGGACGGACCGGACCGGCTCTGGGCTATACTGCTGGAACGGCTGCATAAAGAAGAGTCGATTACTCATACGATCATTTTGAATGTAATGTCTTTTATGTCACCTATACCTACACATATATACTGTACAACCTACTATACCTACTAAATCATATCTCCTCGGAGCAGAGGTTAATTGCCTTGAGGCACGAATGATGATGGCTTCAAGCTTATAGTCCCTACCTCGTCGTATAGACGGCTGTCTACTTGCATGTAGCTGACTGGCAAATGACGGTAGGATCACAAGCACGTGTAATTAAATTATGATGAAATTACAAGTGTATTCCCAACAAGTGAAGGACACATGGTAGCCACGATGTAAAGCGTCAACAGCAATGATTCTAAGATGTGGTGTGGAGTGATGGCGGCATTACAGTTTCAACTGTTACAGAGAGACCCGGTCTGAGTGACATGGTGACATGGAATTGTGCAGATGGTAAATGGGCTGGACCCCTGTCGCCGCGCAGCTTTCGCGACAGCGCGCTGCAGCCCATTAAACTAGACGCGCCGCCCACGCGATTGATTCAGTCCCAACCCCAATTCTTCCCGTCTTCCATCCCACAAAGCACTTCTTCCCAACCTACACAACAGACGCCGACACAACCCACGCGCAAGACGACCCTGATCACTGCAGTACCCGGATTGCAGCTTGACCTGTCACATTCGTATTTGCGAAAAGGAACACTTGGTGCTATTACTGTAGTCTACCTGCATCTTCAAAACACCGTCACCATGCTGGAAGCAAGACTCCAACAGGCTAACGTCCTGAAGAAGGTATGTCAGGCTCTGGCATACAGCCTCTGTTTCCTACGTGTTCCGAAGCACCTGTACTGACCAAAGCAGACGGTGGACGCCATCAAGGACCTGGTGCAGGACTGCAACTTCGACTGCAATGACTCGGGCATCGCCCTGCAGGCTATGGACAATTCGCACGTCGCCCTCGTGTCCATGCTGCTCAAGGCCGAGACCTTCCAACCCTATCGATGCGATCGGAACATAGCGCTCGGTGTCAACCTCGTCTCGCTGACCAAGGTCCTGCGCGCCGCCCAGCCCGACGATGTCCTTACCATGAAGGCCGAGGACGCGCCCGACTCGCTCAACATCCTCTTCGAGAGCAGCGAAAACGACCGCATCACCGAGTACGACCTCAAGCTTATGGACATCGACCAGGAGCACCTGGGCATCCCCGACACCGAGTATGCCGCCACCATCTCTATGCCGTCGGCAGAGTTCAAACGAATCTGCACTGATCTGATGGCCATGTCGGAATCTGGTAAGACACACCGCCCAAACCGCCCCTTTCTATGGTTGAAGTGCCGTCTTTGCCCTGCAATGCGATCTACTAGTCCTAACCCGCGAAACAGTCACGATCGAGGCCACCAAGGATGGTGTCAAGTTCTCCTGCACAGGTGACATCGGCAACGGTGCCGTTACACTCCGCAACCACCAGGTCGAGGAGAAGCCCAAGGAGAACATTGAGATCGAGCTGACCGAGCCCGTCTCCCTCACCTTCTCCCTAAAGTACCTCGTCAACTTCTGCAAGGCGCAAGCACTGTCCGACAGCGTCCGGATCTGTCTCTCGAATGAGGTGCCCCTGCTGGTGGAGTACCTGGTGTCTGGGCAAAGTTACCTGCGATTCTACCTCGCACCAAAGGTATGTTCTATGTGGTCATCCGGTCACAACGCATTCGCACACTTGCTGACACAGGCATACAGATTGGAGATGAGGAGTAGATGTCCCCCGACGGAGCTAATGATGAAGTTCACGAAGATACCATGTCGGACACGAGGGAGCGAAGGAAGGATTTGTAGCACCTACTGGCTTCTGGTCTGGTTTTACAGCATGTGGATAGGGGTACTGGGAAAAACATTGATTTGTTTCTAGAGGGACAAGATCTTGGAGGAGCTCGTACAGGTTACAGTATACCACTTGTTCGAGCTTTGAGATAATCAATCCACAGGGTGAAATGAGACGCCCTTCAGTCTGTATTACAGCAGCATCGTTTTTGCTCTAATAATCCCTTCCATGTGACGGCGATATGACCGTGACGATATGACGTCCTGCGCCGTCTCGCGAAGAGAGCCCGAGAGCCTCAACACCGTCTTGGTGCGGTTTAGTGCGGGGTTGCTGCAGGGCGGGGCACTTTCAACGCGATGGTGGACCTGGTTCTCGGTTTTGAGGGGCATAGGATTGGACGAGTGGACGACCATCGGACAATACCCTTCGACCAAAAGTTCCCTTTTCCCTTGAGTCATGCGCCTTGAAGTACTATCAAGCACCCTCACCTAATCTGACCTCCTTTGTGCATATCAGAGCTTCTAGATGGGTTTCCTAGGCTTCCCTAGTCACTCTTCCTCCTAACAGACCCTTCCGCTGCCACCGGGACGCTCCTCCTCGCAGTCCTAGTCCAATCGTTTACTTTACACACTCGTCCCTATGAGCCCCGAACTCCCGGTCCCGGAGACTGGTGTCCTGGCCGTTGCCAGTCATGTAGGGATAACAATGCTCTGTAGTTGGATCGCGTAGTCATGGCTAATCGCGTCTTTGAAGGTTGTCTCGGGGTGAGTTCCTACACCACCAGGCTTTCTACCGTCCGTCATCGGGGCTCTGACATTGACTTACCCTGCTGGACAGACATGTAGGGAACAAGATCGCTGTCTTCGTGCTGCAGTCAATGGGCTGCGATGTCTCGGCATTGAACACGGTCCAGTTCAGTGAGCATGCCTTGCAACGTTCGTTACGAGAGGGGTGACATGGTCTAACGGGCGCAAAGGCAACCACACAGGCTACCGGCAATTCAAGGGCATGCGCGTCTCGGCGCAGGAAATCACAGACCTATGGGAGGGCCTCAAGCAGTCCCATCTCGACAACTTCGACTTGATGCTCTCAGGCTACGTCCCCGGCGCCGCGGCCGTGGAGGCGGTAGGGAGGATAGCCAAGGAGCTCAAGGCGGACGCCGCGACGAGGCCGGGCAGCTTCTTCTGGGTGCTCGACCCTGTGATGGGGGACAACGGCAAGATATACGTCGCGGAGGACGTGGTGCCGGCGTATCAGGATTTGATACACCATGCGGACCTGATATTGCCTAATCAGTTCGAGGCAGAGTAGGTCTCCCCATCCCACACTTTTCAGACCCTGCGCCCCCTTCTTGTCCCCGGCGCAGCAGTAACTGACCTAGAACTTCCACGTTACAGGCTCCTCTCCGGCGTCAAGATCACCGACTCCGCCACCCTCGAGCGCGCCATCGAAGTCCTGCACGAGAAGTACAACCTCCCGCACATCGTCATCACGTCCGTTTCGTTCCCCCTCAGCGCCTCGCAGGCGCCGTCCCTAGCCGGCTCGCGCGCCCATTCCCCCGCGCCCGCCGCCCCTGGCTCGCCGCAACAGTCCCGAGCGCCGCAGACGCGCACCATGTCCGTGGTCGGCTCGACGCGCACGTCGGACCGGCGCCCGCGGCTGTTCAAGATCCACTTCCCCGTCTTCGACTGCTACTTCAGCGGCACGGGCGACATGTTCGCGGCGCTAATGGTGGTGCGCATGCGCGAGGCCGTGTGCAACAACGGCGGCGGTCCCGAAGGTGGTGTGCTCAATACGGAGTCCTGGCTCAGCCCCGACGGGGTCGACGCCCTGGACCTGCCGCTCGCGCACGCCGCCGAGAAGGTCCTGGCGAGCATGCACGAGGTGCTAGCGCGCACGTGTGAGGCCATGCCCAAAGAGATGGAGGCCGCCGTAGCGCGACTCCGACGGAAAGGGGGTGTGGGTCAGAACGGGGCACAGCAGGAGGGAAAGAACGGGGAGGAGCTGGACGAGAAGACGCTACATTTGCTGCGATCGCGAGCTGCGGAGCTGAATCTCTCGCGGAATCTGGCGTGTCTGAGGGATCCGACGGTGGCGTACCGCGCCGAGAAGATGTGACGTATCACATGAGACTGGTGTCACATAAAGGGAAGGACGAGGACTAGGTATGGAATCCAGAGGTAGGTAGGTAGGTGCATTTTGGTCGGCATATCATAGGCATAGACGTGCGGGTGGCGCATGTGGGAATACCCTCTAGAGTGGCGTATATGCTGCATATAAAAGTACTTCACAATGGAAGAACGGGGGCGGACGAGGTCTCGTAGATGAATACCTTCCTACCTAGACAGATCAGACGCATTATCCATCCAAAGATAGGTGATGATGAAATGACTGACCAAGGAGTCTTTAAAAGTTTTATTCGTTCTGCTTCTTCTTCTAGCTGTAGTCTATTGAAGAGTGCCAATGAATGATGCAACATAGTCGCTGTCCCAGAACAAATACTCTCAAAGAGCATACCTAGGCCTGGTCTCTAAGGTAATTCGACAAGTTTTGCTGGTAGACCAGAGGTTATTTTACACTCAGCCCTTATAAGTCTCTGTACGCGCCATGTTAGAAGAATTCTAGATCACACGTAAATACTTAGAAATATTGGAATAAGCAGATAGGAATAAGCAGCTCAAAGCTGTCAAGTCATCTTCGCTGCTTATTCCAGCATGCTTATTCTATCTAGGATGAACGCACTTTTGCTTGGTGGATGAGGAGTATACGGAAACTTATAAGGGTTCAGTGTAGCCAGACGCTTCCAATAATGACTGAACCGATGTCCAACCATACCATACATCTGTTCTCCATCAACGCTACACTAAGCCCTTATAAGTCTCCGTACGCACTTTGTTGAGAGGAATCCAGATCATATGTAGAAGATTAGAAATACTGGCATAAGCAGATAGGGATAAGCAGTTCTTGTTTGATACGCTACTCTTATTGCTTATTTTATAGCGCTTATTCCGATTTAATATACGGAGACTTATGGGCGCTCAGTGTACCGGCCATTATGATGTCGATCTTCACAGGCCTTCAAGTGCTGCCTCCTCCTCCAGTTACCAGGCCGAATACAGCTCTTTAAGCACATCCTGTCTTAGACGTGGATTAAGGCGTCCCAACTCCACGCCATGACGAACTCCATCGATCCAGCCTTCATTGAATGCGACCTTTCTTTCCCGGGTGTGGAGCATGCGCTCCGCCAATCGCACCTCATTTTCCGCCCGCTGCGCCTCGGGATCCTCGAACTCGGCCCAGAACCATTTGCCGAATGTGACGACCTTTTGTATGGCGGCCCGGAGGAGCGCCGTCGCGGCAAGAGCACCGCCGCCCTCCCAGGTGGCCGCGGCGCTGCCGTGGCCGCCCTCCTAGTTGGCGCCAACCCCCGTGCTGCCGAAGCCGCCGGCGCCGCGCACGCTGGCGTCCAGCTCGGCCACCTCGAGGATTTCCGGCGTGTAGATGCGCTCGATGATGAGCTGGGCTACGCGGTCGCCCTCGCTGATGGCGAAGTCGGTCTCGCCGTGGTTGAAGAGGAGCACTTTTACTTGGCCGCGGTAGTCGGCGTCGATTACGCCCGCGCCTGTGTCGATGAAGTTCTTAGATGCTAGGCCGGAGCGCGGGGCTATGCGGCCGTCTGTTGTGCGGGATTTAGGTTAGCTGGGGGGGTTCGTAGGTGGTGGGTGGGAGGACATACACGTTCCAGCGGGCACGGCAATGGCGATATCGGTATCGACCAGGACCTTGCCGCGCGCGGGCACGACCGTTTCATTCGAGGCGTACAGGTCGTAGCCGGCGGCGAAGGCGCTTCCGCGCGTGGGCAGCCTCGCCTTGTCCGACAGCTTCTTGATCATCAGCTGCGGGGAGGTCTCCAGGTTGGGGACGGCGGGCGTGTTGGTGTTGGTCTCGGCCATTGTGGTGTCTGTGGTGGTGCTGGGGTTGGCGTCGGTCTTGACTCTTTTCGCGGGTGGTGATGTGATGGATTCGGTGGTCATGGTAGGTATGATTACTGCGTCGAGGTGAAGGTGAGCGGGACGGGACGCAACTGGATCCCAATTGAGTGTTGGCGGAAGTGGAAAGCGCGTCTGGGACGCGTGAATGAGCGGGTAGGCGGTGGGGTGGGGCTGGGCGTGCTATACTCAGCTGAATTGAAATACTGGAATAAGCATACTGGAATAAGCATACTGGAATAAGCATTCCAGATGTTATATGCCACTTTTAATGCTTATGCCAGTGTATTTATTCCAATTATGATAGATATCCCTTTAACTTTGGAATGTGACCATCTTCCCGCGCCTACTATACCACTTTCACGCTGTTCCCGTTTGCATCTTCAAGCCATATATCCCACCTAAATCAACCTGTATTTTTCGCGTTTTTCATACGCGTAAATACAAACGAAAGGTATCTTTTACTAGCTGCGTGGCGACGCAATACATCTTGCGAGCTTAAATAATTTTTATATGTACATCACGGTCTAATAGTCGCTTCGGAATTGGCTAACGGGTGCAAGCATGGCTTGCTTTTTAATTTGGTAGAGAGAAGGCGCTTTGATAATGGTTACATCCGAGGTCAAGAGGATATCGTTGGTTGCTGGACTGGTGGTGTGCGGAGACTTATGAGGATTCAGTGTAACAGTGCTTCGCACCAGTGAGCTGGACTCCCTCCCGCTTTCCCAAGTCTCTGGATCCACGGCCACTTTCTCAAGATCGTTGGAACCTAATCCAGGACGGTACATACGAGGTATGTCCACGTGGCGCGTTGAATTAGGTACTGTACATCGGATATTCTGCTAGCATTGAACTTTAAATGTCGTGCTCGCCGCCTTTCTTGTAGAGTGGTGAGACTGTCTCACAGTTTTGCAATGCCAAACAGCCAGATGCCCCTGTTTCATACTCTTCTGGTATATACCATTCTCCCAAGGTTAGCTCATTGCGCTTAGAATCCTGACTGAACCATCCATCTAACACTATCGTACTATCACCGCGAGAGAATCTAGAGAAATGACCGAGTAAGTCTATCTAGTCGTAGGTACTTCGGAAAGAGGACGCCTCCGTTTGATGGGCCACGAAGAACGCCGGGTGCATCATGCGGAGGAGCGACTCGCCCATGATGTGTGTTTGAGTTCTTTCAATCATCCAGTTCTCTGCCAAAGTCGACCGGCCGCAGCCTAGTAGAGTCTCTGGGATGGAACTGTGCAACTTTGGATCTGACCAGGAATCTTGCTGCAGCAGTTTCCCGCGGGAGGGCGACGTAGGCAGCTGAATGGTCACCATCCGACTCCGCAAGGCTGTTGAGCAACTCTTCTGTCAGTTCGCGCATCTCTGCCCCTGCCGCCGCCGTCTCGTCCCGACTGTCATTGGCGTTTCTGACTGGCTGCCCTTCTTGTCCTTGGATGCCCCATATCTCATCAATGCGCTGTTGCCGTTTGCCGTCATCTGCCTTCTCGCTTGGCTTTTTGCGTCGTCCCTGGGCACTAAAGCCGGCTGCGAGGTCCTCGCCGTCGATGTCCATCAGGTCACCTACGACCGGACCACCGAGGTCTTCGGCCGCAAGCATTGCTGCGAGGTGTTCATCGATGAACTTCCGTAGAGACTTGAGCAGCTTGGACGTATCCCGGGCATAGGTCTTCTTCTTTTGCCTCAACTCATCAATCCGCTCTCGCGCGATATCTTCCGGGCCCATCTCCATTCGATTCTCCAGACCATCTTGTAGAGACTGGATGCGGTTCCGCATGCTCTGGGAAAGAGCCTGCTGATCTTGGAGTCTTGCTCTTTCAGCTTCTAGCCGTCGCTGGGTCTCTTGAACCGCATCGCTGTGGGTAGCCAGATACGTCCTCGTCTCCTCTACCGTCTGGTGAGTCTTCCGAAGCGCTATCAAAGCCGGCAGGATAGAGTCAGGAAGCGGTAGGAAGGGGTTTTGTGATGCCACGTCATCATAGGCCGCTTTCATGATCTCCAGTGATGCTGTCGCTGGCAGATCCCGAGTGTTGCGATTGACTGCTGGTGTAGCGCGTAGCTAGTTCTGATTAGCATGTACTGCTACACGAACGCGTATACGACGTAGATACGAACCTTGCTCAACGCAGCTTCGTGCTCTTCCACCCTGTCCTGGAGTTCGCCCAGCGTCTGTCGAAGGTAGATGGCATAGTCCCCATTGTGGTCATCACCGTGAAGCGTATTGGGATTCATCTCAGAATGTCGGGCACCTCGGCATTTACAACTTTGCCGTCACAGTTTGTTGGCGTCAGAGTTGTCGCCTGATCAAATGTGATACCGTGCCTGGATAGTGGGTTGTGGATGTGGCGGCCGTTTTGGCACTCGGTATCTCTCCTCTCAAGATGAATGCCACGCCGTTGTGATATTCGTCTATGAGCTCTCAAGGTAACGCGACAAGGTGGCTGTACAGTCCACAACAAATACTGGCAGGTTAGTAGGGGGCAGGTCTCGGTAGCGAAGTGCCGGCTGCATGTACACACAATTACTAATGTAGAGGATTCTCAATATGTGCTATTTCCAGCAGATAGTGCAATGAAGAAGATCCGCCCATCAGCTTCAAGTACTATTGGTATAGGAGGTATTTTGGCAATATCGAGGTTACCTAAGAAGGGGACGGTGCTCCGTGGCAGATGTGTGTTGAGTCGATGACCTCTCCGCCTCTCCGCCTCTGGAGCTGCCTCAGCACAGATCCGCAGTAGGACACTCACAGTACATGGATGTACTAATACTGTAATATGGCCTCATCGGCCAATCAACATGGGGATGCCGCTCGCACAGCAGCTACTTCTGTGGGGAACCCCATACACCAGGCCGTGCGAGCTGCAGATCTTTAGACTTTCTTGCATCAGGTGCTCGGGTGCCTGGGTGAGACAGCAACAGCAGCAGCGTTCGACGCACATCTTCATTCCCGTCGCTGACCATTTTTCGCTCTCCCTTCCATGGTCCTTCACCCTTTATTTAATCTGTCACCCCCGGACACATTTCCACCACCTCCTACATATCCACGCCGATACCTCATTTCGACGTTCTGCACACCCTCTTCATTTGATTCTGCCTCTGCCATCCTCCTGCATCGCATCAGCATCAGCATCAGCAAATCTCCGCATCACCGCACGTTCGTGGCGCTGTCCCCACCTTGTCTGCATTAAGGTTTTTCCAGCGGACCACGCATCTGGATTCTGCATCCTGTCTGCCTGTCTCTGCATCCACTCAAGCTGCCCTGAGATTGAAGCTCATCAACCTTTCTTCTGCCTTTCCAGCGGCAATCGCCATCACCAGGTGCACGTTACCTCTTCACCACACAACAACCACAGTCTTGACCAACAGTCTTGACCAACATACAACCCCCACCGCATCCCGGTTACCCCCTTCTACCATCTCACACCATACATCCACTCAAGAAGTCGAGTCGAGACAGACGACGGCTAGCTGCCTATCACCAGCCACTTTTGGCAAGGTAGCTTCCCAAACGCGAGAAGAAGAAAAGGAAAAGGAAACGGCTCCTGGCTTCTGTCGCTCCTGTTCCGTTTGACTTGACAGCAAAGGTTTGGGGACTATTTACCTCTCTAATCCTGCCACCACGCTGCACACCTCATTTCTTCCATCGTTGTAGCCAACTCTCTTCCCACCATACACCTCAACCTCACTCGGGTCTACCTGCTCTGGTCAGCCTCGTCGTCCTCCGTCTTTGCCTCCACCGCAACCTACTCTGCAGGCACCACTTTGTCCAGCATTCCTCTCAGTTACCACCGCCTGTCTGTACGGGCCTTTCGATCCGCGAGATCTCTCACTTCACCCTCCTTCCATCGTAGCCACCAGCGCTGGCGAAACCGACCTCGTTCTCGCCTCCACTACCTCGACCCTGCCGTCCCAAGTCCGACCTGATATTTTGATCCCACGCACAAGAACCACCAACTTCCGTGTGCCTGCAACTGCCTCTCGTCCGTCCTGAGCCACTACACCTACACCTGCACGTTTTCCTTCGGAAATCCCCAAGGTGTAGATAAAGAAGATCAATCGATACTCAATATCAATCGCGTTTCGGCTCTGAGACATATCGCACCGACTTGAGTGAAAAATACATACAGGACAAAATGTCTGCTTCCCCGACTCATCCGACCAACCCGGCCAAGCGCCCTCTGGAGGATGCCTCTTCGCCCTCCCGATCCAACGAACAGCCCGATGCCAAACGACCCGCTCTGGACAAGGTCATCAACAACGAGCCCGATGAGGAGCAGGCTATCCAAGTACCCGAGAGCAATGGCAATGGCGTAGCGGCCACTGCCGAAGCCAACGGCGCGGTCAAGGCTGAAGTGACGAACGGTGAGAAGGCCGAAGTAAAGGATGAGCAAGGCGATACCGTCGTGCCTGATGCCAACGACTCCAAGGCTGCCGCCTCCGCCGCTGCTGCTCCGCCTGCTCCCGTCACCGGAACTGTTGCCGTTCCCAACGCTACACCGAGCAACGTTGGAGATGAGACCGCCTGGATCCATGTTCGTGCTGTGATCTCAAGCCCAGAAGCCGCCACTATCATTGGCAAGGGTGGTGAGAATGTATCCAACATCCGAAAGCAATCGGGTGCCAAGTGCACCGTCAGTGACTACCAGAAAGGTGCTGTAGAGCGTATCCTAACCGTCAGTGGCGTGGTTGATGCTGTTGCTAAGGTAAAAACCCCCCGATGGATCACGTCGTCATGCAACTAACATTTTTTCCAGGCATTTGGTTTGATTATTCGCACCCTGAACAACGAGCCCTTGACCGAATCCTCCAGCGCGCAGTCCAAGACTTATCCCCTCCGTCTACTCATTCCCCACGTTCTCATAGGGTCCATCATCGGCAAGGGCGGTGTCCGGATCCGTGAGATTCAGGATGCGTCGGGTGCGCGCCTCAATGCTTCGGACTCTTGCCTGCCCCTTTCTAGTGAACGCTCACTTGTTGTTATGGGTGTAGCTGATGCCGTTCACATTGCTACTTATTACGTAGGCAGCACGCTTCTTGAGCAGCTCAACGAACGCTTCGGTGGCCCCGCTGCCTCGGCGTACGCGACCCGAAGTGGAGGACCGGCAGGTGTTGTCCCTGGCGGTATGCAAGTCGTTCCCTACTCCCCTCAACCTGCCGGCGGCAACTTCGGCCATCGTGAGAACTATGGGAAACGACCGGACCCTCGATCGCACCAATACCCTCCGGCACCGTACCCGGCCCAGCCATACAACCCCCACGCTGCCGCTCCCCAGCCCAACCCGAATGTTCCGATGCACTATCCCCAGGCCGCTGCTTATGGAGCAGCTCCTCACATGCCGCCTCATCAAGCTGGTCATATGGGCGGTTCCCAGCCTCACGGCGGTCCCCATGCTCAACCCCCCATGCAAGGAGGTGCAGCTGGAGCGCCGCTGACACAGCAGATCTATATTCCCAACGACATGGTTGGTGCAATCATCGGCAAGGGTGGACAGAAGATCAACGAGATCAGACAGATCAGCGGGAGCGTCATCAAGATCAACGAGCCGCAAGACAATAGCAATGAGCGTCTCGTCACGATCACAGGGACGGAGGAGTGCAACAGAATGGCATTGTACATGCTTTATTCTCGACTCGGTAAGCTCCAATCCCAGCAGCCGGCTCGTGCCGGTTGGCAGTAACAATCTCCAACGAACTAACGAGGGTCACTATGAACAGAAAGTGAGAAACACCGCATCTAACGAATCTCGACGACATAACTATCTTCGACACACGGTCTCGTTCCGTATATATCGCTTGGTTCTTGTCATGGTCGGAACCGGTCGGCTCAGGGTCCGGAAGGAGGGTTATGGCGGCGTAATGGTTTGATTGTCCGTTGTATCCACTTGCATTCGCTCAAGGTGGTTCATCACGAAAAAGTGTTCAATCTGCTCGGAAGAGCACGATATCATCGGCCACTGGTAGGCAGCGAAGCCGATACTTGGAGAGTTTTGTTCGTTTAATATGCAGACATGATTTGCTTTGCACTGATTGCCCGTCCATGCCCCTATCCGCTCCCGTGCCTTGTTAATACCCATTCTACCGCCTTCTCAATGCCTCGGTCATGCGGCCAACCCCAAGTCATTCTTTCTTGGTATAGCTTTGCATTGGTGCTGGAGTTGCTAACCGATACTCACTTTGCTCGTCTAGTTATTTGCAAAACGCAAACGAGCGATCGTCGTTTTCCTGCGAAGCTTTAGTCCTCGAATCGTTCCGAGCTCGGGTGACTAAGTTAGCAACGTTGGAAAAGACACAAATCAGAGAGGAGCAAACTTACGTCCCTTGACAAGAATAATGGCTGTGGTATATGGTGCTTAGAGCGACCTATCGGTAGAAGTGCGTTTAAGGCTTCAAGGCTCTATTAAGTCATGTAAGCAAGTGCACATATATAATCAGAAGCCGCAGGGCTCGGGAATACGAGCTGCCAGCCAGCTTTGTTGCTTCAACATGGCGTGGTGAAAGGTAGGTAGTGCTCATGCCGACAGTTACATATGTCTACTGTTCGCTGATACATGAAGCGCCGGCGATGCCTCTACATTACATGGGGGTCTCTGCCACTGGTCTATGACTAGGTAACGGATTCGTTGTGGTCAGTCAGTTCGACAACTCCTGCTTCGAAGATACCTTACACACTGGTCTCAGCCTTGTACTACTTGAAAGTCTCAAGACAGAGGGGTCGGCTCGTTTTGGCATCTTGAATGTGGCTGCGAATGGAATTGTTAGCTCATGTAGTACATGCAATATTGAAGATATCAAAACAACGACCCCTTCTCTATATGTAGGTAGGTAGTAAGGGTCCAGGGGTCACCGTATCAGGGCGGGTTTAGGGGCGGTTATCGGCTCGACATGACGACATGCTGTACCCCAAAGTTGGAGGTTGGAAGAAGACGGGCTCCCGCATGAGTCGGCAAGTGCTTCCCCTTTTATGCAAGTTTGATTCATTAGCGCACGCCCGGAACGCCTCGCCTCCAAGCGGTCCAAGGTAGCTTCAATTCTCGACCACACCTGCAGTCCAGCAATTCTGCCACGCTACGACGTCACGGTCCAACTTGGAAAACATGACCCTCGTTAACATTTCACCTCCCTACCTAGAAACCGAAGGACCTCTCCGAGTCCGTGGGCGACCGCATCGTGGTCTACTCTACGATGGAGCGTCCTGCCTCTGGCTCTGGGGACGATGACCGACAAGAATCGCCCGCCAATTTGATCAGCCAGACCAGCCAGACGAGTGACACCAGCAGCAGTTCAACTTCAAGGGACAGGCTCGACTCACTCGGCGAGTTCAGCGCCCTCGCCGTGACCGAGATCCTGGACCAGGACTCCCGTCCGACTTTCGTTATTGATCTGGATCCCGACGACGACGCTCCTCTTCCCCTGACTGGGCTGGCGCCACTCTTTTGCAACTCGGCACTGTGCCTGCACGAGCAACTGCTCGATGTCATCACTGGCAACTGCAGCGAGGCCGAGTCGGCGACGGGCGCCGCCTACCAAGACTTCAAGTCGTGGGCTACTGGTGTGACGAAACATGACGACTCCAAGGATTGCTTCCCACTCAGCTTCCTGTATGCCGACATGCTGTGGACAGGATCCACCGTCAGGAAGCGATGGCGACTGGTCAGTGGCAATCTGTGGAATACCGGGCTGCATGTTCACGAGACGTCTCTTTCTTTGGATCGTCAGTCGCATGGGTCATTCGAGGACGCACCCATGACGCCTCCAGCGGTAGCCACTGCCGACACTCTGACCACCTCGACCACGACTACGCTGGTAGGGTCGAAACAGCACCCGGAGACCTCGAACCCCCTTACGAACTCTAGCAGCACCGGCGAATCTTCCCAGACCAAGACAGTGACACTTGGAGCTCCGGAAAGGGCATGTCCGGATTGGACTGTGCGAAATCCCAAGGGCTTGGTGTCCGACCACATTGCCATTGCCAGGGCTGTGAATTGGGAAGCCACATCGTTAGGCCCTATGGATCACTGGTCGCCCGAGTTCCGTCAACTTGTCAACCTTCTCATGAACAATCCTTTTCCCGCTTCCATTTTCTGGGGCGCTGACTTGACTATGCTTTACAATGAGGCATATGCCAATGAACTCGCTGGGCTCAAACACCCCAATATGATGGGGACTTGCTTCTCGGGTCCCTTCTCCGGTACGTATAAAAACATCCCATCCTAAGACCCGGAGCCTTGTATTCGAGAACAAGCTTTGTTGTTCCCTTTCCTTCTTCATCTAGAAAATGGCCGTACGGGTTCAAAGACAGGATGTTAACATACACGCAGAGGCTTGGGAGGTAGCCAGTGGACCGTTTAGCCACGTTGCTCGCACAGGTATCGCTTTCCAGAAGGAGGACGAATGCATACCTATACATCGTCATGGCTTTCTGGAAGAATGTTTCTTTTCCTGGTCGCTGACGCCGCTGCACGGGGGGACAAAAAAGATCCTAGGCTTTTACAATGTCCCTTTTGAGACAACGAAAACTGTCCTGGCCAAGCGGCGAATGGAGACCGTCAACAGAGTCGGTAGTAATCTTTCCAGGGCTCGGGGTATTAAGCAATTCTGGAAACTACTTCTAGACGCCCTAGACGACAGTCATTACGATATTCCATTCGCGTTGGTATACTCTGTCGGGGACTCCGAGGAGAATGATATGTCATCAGTGTCATCCGGTAGCAGCATGTCTATGAAGACTTGCTTCTACGAAGGCTCCATCGGCATTCCGGAAAACCACGTCGCGGCTCCCCGCCAACTTGACCTCAAGCGAAGTCGCGAGGGTTTCATACCAGCATTTCGTGAGGCAATTCGCACTCGCGAGCCCACACTGCTCCACACGCGTGACGGGAGCCTTCCCAAAGCACTGCTGGAAGGTATCGAGTGGCGCGGCTCTGAGGATCCATGCTCCCAGGCCATTATCTTCCCGGTCCGGCCAACCGAAGGGGACACTATTCTTGCTTTCCTTGTGGTTGGCGTAAATCCACGCCGGCCGTACGACGATGCTTACAAGGCGTTCACGAGTATGCTTAACCGACAGCTAGCAACCTCGTTGGCCTCCTTCATGCTCTTTGAAGAGGAAATGAGTCGCAGTAGATATGCTGCTGAAGCGGCGGCTTTGGAAGCACAGCAACTGTCTCAGCAACTTGCCGTACAGACTGATCGTCTCCGGAGGATGACCGAGCTATCTCCTCTAGGGATGTTCTTGATCGACCCTGATGGCGTATTGCGCGAGGGCAACGATCGTTATTTCGAGATGACTGGTCATCCCAGACACGAGAAATCCGAGAAATCATGGAGATGGCAGATCGAGGACAGCAGCTTGGAGACCTCGGAGACCGCCTGGCACACAATGGCCGTCGATCACCAACCCTGGACGGGCGAATTACAGATGAAGAAATTGCTCGTGAACCCAATCGGCCTCAACGGAGAAGATATAGACTACTGGGTTATGGTCAACGCCCAACCCGAGTTCACTGCGGATGGCTCCCTTCGATCGATTATGGGCTCGATCACGGACATATCCTCATTGAAATGGGCACAGGGTCTTCAAAATCGTAGGTTGAAAGAATCTGAGGAGACAAGGCGGCAGCAGAACGAGTTCATCGACATCACGTCCCATGAGATGAGAAATCCTCTCAGTGCCATTTTACAGTGTGCTGACGATATCTCGGCCACGCTGATGAATCACCGCGCCAGAGGGAGTCCACCGTCGCGCGAGGATGTTGAGGGCTGTATGGAAGCAGCGAATACGATATCCGTATGCGTGCAACATCAGAAATCAATTGTCGACGATATCCTTACCGTCTCCAAACTCGATTCCAACCTTCTACTCATTACGCCTATTGTGGCAAGACCGGCTGAGGTGGTCGAACGGGCTGTCAAAATATTTGAGCCTGAGCTGCAGGCCAAAGACATCCGCATGTCTCACGAAGACAGCCTCTGCCTCGGAGAAGTTGTGGTGGACTGGGCGAATTTCGACCCCAGCCGAGTGCTCCAAATACTAATCAACCTCATAACGAACGCCATCAAGTTTACAGCTGCTTCGACTACACGCAACATTACGGTGTCCGTAGGAGTATCACGGGAGCCTCCTCTCCAGGCCGACACTCCCAATTTCCAGTATATCCCACCCAAGACGATAAGCCCGAATCTAGTTGCTGGCGAGGAGTGGGGCAACGAAGAGGTGCTATACTTTAGTTTTCTGGTAAGGGATACTGGATGTGGTCTCACACCTGAAGAGATTAAGATTCTTTTCACTCGATTCTCCCAGGCGTCCCCTCGAACCCACGCGCAGTACGGGGGAAGCGGACTCGGGCTCTTCATTTCTCGCCAGCTTGCAGAGTTACATGGCGGGCAGATTGGTGTCGCTTCCGAGGCTGGAGTCGGAAGTTCCTTTGGATTTTTCATAGCGGCACGCAAGGCGACGCGTCCTGCTGTCGATACCCAAACCGAGCTCACAGCCAAGGTCAAGCGTCAAATCGGCCGTCAGCAGTCGTTCGTACAACAAGTATTGCCCACGCACCAAGATCCGGCCTCCGCCAGTCTTGGAGCGGACCTCGCAGCCCCCAAAGCCGCGCCTGAGTTCAACCCACGCGACCTAGAAGTATTGGTCGTCGAGGACAATCTAGTCAATCAGACCGTCCTGGTTAAGCAGCTTAAGAAGCAAGGCATCGGCGTTAACGCGGCCAACGACGGCATAGAAGCCCTGGCATTTCTCGACAGCACCATCTTTCGCAGGGCCGACGGCAAGCGGCTGTCGGTCATCTTGATGGATCTCGAAATGCCAAACATGGATGGCGTGACCTGCGTGCGGGAAATTCGGAAGATGCAACAGAGCGGCGCGATCAGCGGCCATGTACCCGTCATCGCCGTCACCGCAAACGTGAGGGACGAGCAGATAGCAGAAACAAGAAAGGCAGGCATGGATGATGTGGTATCGAAGCCTTTTCGTATATCACAGTTGCTCAAAAAGATTGAGATCTTGCTGAGGGAGGTTTCAAACGGGAACAAAACACTAGGTGGATCATTCATGAGTTCCTGGGTTGCATGATACAGCAGGCATTAAGACACATTCCATGGATTAAACGATAGCGACTATGCCATTAGGGGATGGGAGGTAGAGGTGGCTGGCGATTTCCCCCTCGGCGTGTGCGCATGTATGTGTGCTTTGAAAAGCCTATCTCTTTCCGGCGTAGAGGGATAGATAGATTCTGGGATGGATGATCATTGGTGATAGGACTGAGTGATCATTGCATACCTACCTGTGGTGTAATAAACAACGCATAATTACACGCTAGATTGTTGTTCTTCGAGTTTAGCCAGTTGTGTTTTATATTTGACATGTTAAATTCATGGACGACGGCTGAGGAGCCCGAGGACCCGCGGGTCGTTCCTTTAAGACTGGAAGGCATCGGAGTCGATGTGGGGCGTCCGAGGCTCAGGCGGTGGAGGGTTGATTTGTTGCAATTATCAATATCACCCGTGATGTTGACGCTTCGATTGAGCCACGAGGGACCGAGGGTTCCTCCCGTGCTGGGCTGGGGTTGCGGATATGTTATAGTAATAATAACATGCGGCTGCTGTTTTGCGGTACATATGCACGCGCTCGAAGGCATGCCATGATCTACTCGGCTCAGCTCAGGACAGGGGCTTGGTCTGGTCTGGTCTACTCGCAGACACAGCACGCGAGGCGAGGAGCGGCGAGGAGGGCTCCTCGGCTCCGTCTAGCGGGTTTCGTTCGGGGTTTCTGGTATCGGTATTTATGGTATCTAATTGGTTGCCTGCTGCTCGTGATAGGGTGCAGGTGGGCTGGTGTACTGATACGGGCAAGGAGTCAAGGACGATACGATGGGTGATTTCGCTTGCTACTGCGCCTGCGGCTAACCGGAGCCTGGCCTGCGAAGGCTGCGAGTACCTTACATCAGTGCTGCATTTGTGAGGCACGGGAGTGAGAGGCACGAGAGTGGGAACGCCAAGCCAAGCAAATTTGAGATTGACAATGAATGAATGAGTAGATGCGGCGGTTTCGTCGAACGAGTCTCTGAGCTGGTGGGTATGGGTATGGGTATGGGGGTGGGTGTTTGTTCGTTGGATTCGGTGGTAGAGTAGGGCATGCTATGGATCTATATGCCAATGCTTCCAATGGTTCATGGCCCAATACAGGATGAGGCGGATGAGGCGAGAATGGTCTGAAGACGTCCACCGGCTTCAATGGATCTGGAAGCCTATACCGTCTTGACTTGGCTTTCATTATTTGGGGGGTGTTTGAGGCCATGGATGACGGGTCTGAAAGTGCCGGCCACTCATTCATATCCCATGGGCGCCTCATGTATATGTATGTATATGTATGTATGTGAGCCTTGGTGGTCCCTTGGTGCGAGGCATATGCCATCCGCAAGGTCGTCACATTATCGATAGCAGCTGACGAGCTATCGCGGTATATTGTGAATCCCTTGCATCGTCCAGCCTACCTGGGAACTAGGCGCAGGTAGGAGTTTCTCAGGAAAGGAAACAAAGCGTTGGAAGTTTGCGCCGAGGCGCAGCTCCATGATCAAGTCGTCGTTCATGTGGCCTATCGTGCAAAGTGATGGGGACGGGGCGGGCATGTTACGTAGGTAGAGTCTGAACCATCGGCCACCAAGCTTATGCCAAGCTCCGCCAGATGCCCAAATGATCACTGATTACTTGTCCTGGTGAGCAATCGATTCAGGCATGGCAGATATGTTGCATCCACTGTAAGACCCAAAATAACCTCGTAAAGCAATTACGAGGGTCCTCGTTTTTTGTCACATGACAGGATTGCTCACAACGCGTGAAGCTGAGTCGTTTTTTCGCGAAATCGGTGAGCAACGGGGTAGGATCGCTAGACCTTGGCGGTATGCACCGTTCGTATGGGGAGCACGCACAACCCCTTCAGCCCCTTTTCAGCCCTATCATGCTGCCCTAGATCAGAGAGTCCAGACGGCTCTCGGCGCTTTCGCACTTTTGGAGTTGACGTTTTGGCCGTGGTCCCTGGGCGTCGAACTTTTTCGTCGTTCTGGATTTCGACGCCGCACACGATGCAATTCCGGAATGGATCCTAGAGGCACTGAATGATACCAGAAGCATCCAAGGCTGGTTGCAAGTCAGGTAAGCTACCACAGCAGGATGGTGTTCGCTTATTGCCTGTCATGCGCGAACAGGCTTGACAGGTTTGCCCTCCCAATCCCCGTTCCGTTACCTGGCACTGGCATTTTGTCTAAGCCCATTGGCTGGCCTGCTATCCCTCGTCCTTTCCTGGCTCGTCTGATACCGTCCTCCCCGGTTGCTAGCCGGGACAATCCTGCATCGCTTCTATCTCTGCTTCTTTCGTCTGCCTACCCCCGGCCGCCCCCCCCCAGGCGGGCCCTACTAGACTTCGCGGCCCATCAGTCGGCACCGGTTTTGCAGGCCGATCTATTTCCACATCCCCACAAGTCAGCAGGCAAAACTCCATCCAATCTTAAATCCCACGCTTGCGTCTCGCGGCGGCAGGCTGGCAGGCAGGCCGCAGCAGGCAGCAGACTTGCGCCGGACACGCGCGCCATCATGCCGGTTTGCCCTACCCGACGTCGGTGTGTCTCGATTAGACGACCTGGAATTGAACCGGCCAGGCGATGATGCAATTGCCAATATGCCTATGGTGCATTGGTGCAGAGTGATCTTGAGTCGTAAAATCACGAAGGAGGCACGGCGTGACCGCGTTCCAACCTGGTTGTCGGCTTAGAAGTACATAGTGTATGGGTGATTGGATGGGAAATGGGTGGATGGCGCTTGTCTTCGGTTGGATGCATACCATCGGCACAGCCTGAAGTGATTGGGTGCGCTCTCGTGACTCGGTAGGTAAGCATAAGCACAAGCACACCACCAGAACGACCACCTCGCTCTGTCTGTCTGTCTGGCATGGTGTACAAGACTGTGGTACCTGCATGTAGGTAAGGGGAATTTGCAGGTGGTGGCTGGCCCTGGATGGCCTGTGTGTCTGACTCTGAATCTGATCCATCATGCATGATGAGGCTGGCCCCTGGACAAACTTCCATGCAGGCGTGCGATCTTGTCAGCAGTCGCGCGACATGTCAAAAGTTGAGATGATTTCGCGTCGCACCTTGGACCATGCAGTCTACCAGGGGTGCCCAGATAGGAAACCACTGAGTGACACAGCCGCGGCCCCCTCTCCTCTCGTGTGCCCGGGCACAACGTTGCTTGGTTCGGCGCGACTCCGTAGCCTCTGACGAAAAAGCGAACCCGTCAGCCTGTGAACGTGGTGAGAGAAATACGAGAGAATCCAGATGTCTACCTACTTTAGGAAAGTCAGGTGGGTTGGGTTCTTCTCAGCCCTCGCTGCTGCCCCTGTCAGCCCCAGGCCATATGGCCGAAAGGGGACTAGCACAGCCCGACAAGCTCTTTAGCAGTTTAATAGCCGAGCGAACTATAGAGGCCATTGGCCAGCCGGGCACGAGCCATCCAACATCCAACACACATCAAATCTCGGACCCGGAGCGGTCTGGACTCCTCCTCCTTCTGACCCCTTTCATCACGCACTCCCATCAGGGCAGCAGGGCTATCACAGGGCAATGTTCCTCACATTGACAAGTTAAATTGCGCCCAACCGTACGGACCCCATGCTCACGCCTATTCTTAGCGGGGGCTTGCTGCCCTGCTGTGCCCTGCTGTGCCCTGCCAGCCTGTCACCGGCCGGCGGGGTAGGTACCATCCTGACAATAGTCAATGTCATCTCCATTCATCCCACTATCCAGAAGCAAACCGTGCATCTGAGTGGTCACTGTCAGCAAGTGCCCCGTACCAAACCTGTAAACCTGTAGGCATTGTCAATGTAATCTGTCGAGTAGCGGCGTAGCGCACCGCGAAATTCGAATGGCATGTTTTGGTACCTGCGCCGCCCAGCCGCGCTACAGGGTACCTGATCTTAGTCATTCTGGTCATTCATTCAATACCCTCTGCTTCGCCCGCTTCTACTCTTCTTCCTTTCCTGCCTCCCTCACCATCAAGTCGACTTTCTTGACCCTCACGCTCTTTTGCTACCACGGCATCGTCACTCTTTTATAAACCAGTCACTCCTTCACCCGGGCCTAGACACCTGTTGTTCATCACTTCACGTTTCTTCCCCAGTCACTCATTACATACCGTATTACTCTAATCCTTTAATACCTCAACCAACCGCCAAAATGCACGCTTCCACCATCTACGCCTCCGTCCTGGCCTTCGCCGCCTCGGCCATGGCCCAGACCGCCGGTTACGCCGTCATGACCTCCCCCGCCTCCGGCGAGGTGCTCCCGGCCGGCGAGACCTTCACCATTGTGTGGGAAGCTGGCAGCTACACTGGCCCGGCCACCATCAACCTTGTGGGAGGTGTCACCCCCTCTACCCTGGTACCCATGGGCGCCATCTCCAGTGAGCAAACTCTTTCCACTTCGCATACCACCAACCACTAACCGTAATAACAGCCGTTCAGATTGAGTCTGGCTCGTTCTCCTGGGCCGTCGACTGCTCCCTGGGCACTGACGCCACCTACGGCCTGAAGATTGTCTCGGTGGCAAGCCCTGACACCTTCCAGTGGTCGTTCCCCTTCCACATCAAGGGACCTTGCGCTGGCACACAGACGTCGACTTCCAGCGCTGACGTCGCCGTCTACCCTACCTCGTCTGCGTCTGCGACTGGCTACGCCACCTCATCCGGCCCTGCTATCGCCACGTCTGAGGTCGTGAGCACCACCACCTTCTGCCCCGAGTCCAGCTCCAGTGCCGCTGCCGTCACCACCTACAGCCCCAGCACCTTCGCTACCATGACCCCCTCGGCCAACGCGACCTACATTGCCAGCAGTGCCACCGCCTCCGCATACCCCACCACCAGTGTCGGCTCCAACAGCACCGCCACTGGCTCAACCCCCATCCCCACCGCCGGTGCCGGCAAGGTTGGCGCTGCCTCCTTCGCCCTGATCGCTGGTATCGCCGCTCTCCTTATCTAAGGTCCGCAGCTGACGTCGGCTCCCATCAATAATTCAACGGCATCGGTTCTGGGTGCCACGGAGTTCATCGCTTTCAGGAAAGGAAACATGAACTAGCATCGAGGGGAAAAGGAGTCACAGTATCAACTCGCCTATGACGAGGCTCTGATCTGACTGAACGACGCACTGCGCGTGGGGAGGGCATGGATGTGTATCAAGAAGGAATTGTACTTGTGCGACACGTTCCCTGTCAATATAGGCGACCTACATACACCATGAAAATGATGAAAATTTCACAAACCCTTTTAATTAGCTTACCGTGTTCGCAAGCCTTTTAACGCAAGTCGAAATTGTCCAGCATAGATACCGAGCCGTCCACCGGAAGATCGCCAAGAGAAGAAGGCTCTCATCTGAAACAGAACAAACATGCGTATTTTCTCTGGTGGTTCTCGAAGTGATGACGCGGGTGGACGCTCTGCACGACGGGTGAGAACGTTGTATCAGAGCTCCTTTGCTAAAGAAGTAACGCCCCCGAGAAACAAGCCGCACACAACATCGTCGCCAAACGTCTGGTTACAACTTAACTACTGCCTCAGTCCTTGCCTGCCGACCTCATCGTTCTCCATTGAAATCTCCCGTATGAAGACGGCAGAAACCAAGCCGATGCCCGAAAGCGCGGTAAAGACCAACCAAATCACCTGGAATGGCCTGTTGTACGCACCGATGATCAGGTCCATGGCTTCCCGGGGCAGTTCCAGCTCCAGTTCCCGCAGGCGAGGAATCAGGGTCAGGGCCTGATTCGCGTTGTTCCCGAACTTGGCCAGGGAGTCGGGAAGGTCGTCGGGTGTGGTGGCCAGAACAGCATTTATTTTGTTTTGGAAACCCGAGTTGAAGACCGTCGAGCCGAAAGAGAGAGACCGAGCAGCGCTCCGAAGAGCCGGAAAGTGACGAGCATCCCGGCCGCGATCTCGGTGTCGTCGACGCACTTGACGCTGGCCTGCGCAGGCAGCGCCGTGACGGTCAGGACTGTGCCGACGCCGATGCCCATCAGAGTGCAGTAACTGTATTCCGCGGCCCTGGGCGTGGCCCCGTCGAGGGTGTAGAGCAGGCCGATGAACACGGTGCTCAGGACCCAGCCGGCCAGGAGCACGAGCTTGTATCTGCGGACGAGGTTCACCACCACGCCCGAGATGGCGCTCATGCCTATTGTCCCCGCCGAGTACGTGAGCGTCGAGATGCCGGCGCCTAGCGGCGTCTGCAGGTGCACGGGTTGGTAGAACAGCGGCAGGTAAGTTACTGGGCGATGCTGTACAGCAGCAGGCCGTGGATGAACCCCGACAGCAGGGCCGTGTTGGCCGTGACGCTGCCGAAGATGCGGAGGGAACACGGGCTCGGCGGGCTTGCCTTCGTACCAGGCCAGGATGCCCAGGAGCACGAGGCCGATCGCGAGGGGCGCAAGGGTCTGCCAGGCAGACCAGGGGAAGAGCGATGCGGTCGAGGTCGAGGTTGAAGATAAAGTCAGATTGTTGGCGGACGACGGAGCGGTATAGGAAGCCACTCACACTCCAAGCAACGCGTGACTCTAGAGCAGGAAGTCTGTAAAACCAGACCTCCGAGTCTAATAAAAGGTTGAATACAATAATGCGCTCAATTTGTCATAGAGCATTGAAGCCATGCTGAGCGGCCGTTGAAAGAGTATAGTCTCCGTTGAATTTTGCGTCGCCGCGCGCCGCTCACTCACAAACTCTATCTGGAATAAACTCATCAATGTGGTCTACTGTGAACCATTATGTTCAGTCCGGAACACTGGCTGGGGAAACTGGCCGCGACATTTCAGCTCCACGGGAAAGCAGGTCGAGTGACCTCGAGACTTCAGTGCTGGTTTGTTGATTCGGGAAACTTGACCAACATAGGTAGGACATCGACAGACATGGTAGCATTACCAGACGAGGCTGGTAGTTACGTGCGGCATCTTGAGGCTCCCCTCTTCCAGTCTGGCGTGACCGTGTTACCAGATCTGTGCTGCGTCAGAGAAGGGACAACCGACAGGGAATAACGACATGGAGAAGGGACGACCGACTTCGGCGGCGGCAGGTACAGAAACAACCCGCCCCGCTTAACCCCGGCATCCCACCTGCAGCCAGAAAAAATAGATCCTTTTTGGTAGCAAAGCCCACTGACAACATCACCACCTGGGCAGTTAAGATCACATCCATCCAAGCTGCTCTACTCGTCTACTGGTCAATTGGGCTTCCCCTTGCTGGAATCATGTTCTCTGCTACTTCTGGGGCTGTGCGCATCGCCGCCCGCCGCATTGCCCCCCGAGCCGCCTCCATCGCTGTCGCGCCGATATCGAAGGCCTCCCTCGGTCGAGCCACCAACATTGCCCAGGCCCGCGCCCTCTCTTCTACGGGACGTCTGTCCTATGAAAAAAACCCGAACCCGCCCTTGGGCAAAAAGAATGCCTCCAACGACACGCCGACTCGGATTGGCCTCATTGGAGCCCGAGGCTACACAGGCCAAGCCCTGATCGACCTTCTCGACGAGCACCCCAATATGGACCTTCGACATGTATCTTCTCGAGAACTCAATGGCCAGGAACTCAAGGGATATACCAAGCGCAAGATCGTCTATGAGAATCTGTCCCCCGAGGAGGTAGCGCAACTGGACAAGGACGGCAAGGTCGACTGCTGGGTTATGGCTCTCCCCAATGGTGTATGTCTGCCTTTTGTGCAAGCGCTTGGCCAGAGTTCGAGCTTGATCATCGATCTCTCCGCCGACTACCGATTCGACAGCACCTGGGGGTATGGACTTCCTGAATTAGTTCAGCGAAGCAAGATTGCCCAATCGACGCGCATAAGCAATCCTGGGTGCTACGCGACAGGGTCGCAACTAGCTTTGGCCCCCATCCTGGAACACTTGGGAGCCACGCCCACCGTCTTCGGCGTGTCGGGTTACAGTGGTGCTGGCACAAAGCCTTCCCCGAAGAACGACATCAACGTTCTTCGTGATAACCTTTTGCCGTGTAAGAGTCCATAACTCAGCTACAAGCAAATAGGAAGCTGACCTCCAAAAGACAGCTTGACTGGACATATACACGAGCGAGAAATCAGCCATCAGCTTGGTGTACCGACAGCATTTATTCCGCACTGGTTGGTCTTGTTTCTGTTTCCTTTCGTGTCATAGGCTGACATAATCTAGCTCCTCCTGGTTCCGCGGCATTCACCTGACCATCAATATCCCCTTGAATAAGACAATGACTTCTCGAGATATCCGTCAGATCTATCAAGACCGATATGCTGGCGAAAAGCTTGTAAAGGTCATCGGTGAAGCTCCACTTGTGAAGGCGATCCAAAACAAGCACGGAGTTGAGATTGGAGGGTTCGCTGTTGACAGCAGCGGCAAGCGTGTCGTCGTGTAAGTGTCCCGTCCTTAGGTTGGATCCTTGAAGATGCCTCGGCTAATAATGAATAGCTGTGCCACAATTGACAACCTGAACAAGGGTGCTGCCACACAATGCTTGCGTAAGTCTTTCGATAAATCACGGCAATTATGTTGTGGCTAACAACTATAATCAGAGAACTTAAACCTCGCGCTCGGCTACGACGAATGGCAGGGAATTCCTATCGAATGATGAAGTCAGTCTTTACGTATTAGAGTCCCATCCGCAACGCTCTTGTATTCATCATCTCAAAGAGAGGCAAAGCCTCCCTTTCGCATTAGCCACATGGGACCCGCCAATTCACGGGCTGCTCCAGGCAAGGCACCACAAGCATGTGCCGAGGAACAACTTGTAAAAAGCCCTGGAAGACCAACATAATATCCAAGTGTATCGCTATGCTAGCTGCGGGAGAGGCAAGCGTCGGTTCACGGGTATCCGATTTGTAATTCGGCACAAGCCATGTCTAGAAGAAGCATGGCAAACGGGAAGAGGGTTGTTTGATATATATACTTAGGCAATGGAACGGCAGGGTATCAAGGATAAACCAGAGTTCAAGTATCTGACATACTGCAACTCATCATTACCTTTTCGATCGCTGTGTCGTTGTTGTGAAACGTATAGATAGGCTCACAGTAGCCGGGGGGTTGCCGTCAGCCAGCCGACCGATCGGCCCCACATACCACGGCTCGGTGACAGGTAATTTAGGGGTAAAAACAGTTGCACGAGAATTGTTGAATACACGGATGTTGATTGATTCTATATATTGTTCTGCTCTGCGTGCAGAGATTGATCATCTGTCTTCTTGGTGGGTCAGATGCCCTGTGCGTCTCTGCCCCACTGGAGATCTTCCGGTGTCTATCTCCGGCTCCCATTCAACACATTCGTGCTAGTATCTAACAATAATGACTAGGGCATTAAAAAAATACTTTCGTATCTATACGAGACTAGGACTCGTATCGTATTAAGTAAATACGATATTAGGGATATAAGTGTAAAAAGAGTCCACTTTTTAGTAATTTTAATATTTACATATTTAAAGAAACCCGTGATTTAAACAGCTATTAAGGTATAAAAACGAGTTAAAACACGATTAAATATCGATATTTTTATAATAAATAGATGACAATAATAAAGTCCTTTTTTATGGTTATTTACTCATGTTATTAAAGCCGTTACATGCTTATATATACCCTTAGAGCTTGTATAAAAACATATTCAAAAGCTTTACTTATTATTTTATTTAATATAAAATATTTTAAAACGTAAATAAAGGTAACGTGGATGACAAGCGAGCCGCAATTACAAGCGAACGGCAACTTTTCACCAGCCACCTAACCTTTCAATCAAGGTTCCTAATTGATCAACCAATAATAATGGCATTGTATTATAGCAAATCAGACTTACAGCTTATTGTCCAAGCTAAGCAACGCGACCCTTATATTACCATTGGCAAGCTTTCCAAGACTTTCCATGTCCCATATAATACCTTGAAGGCTAGAATTGCCGGCCAACCATCACGACCCAATAGCATGCCTAATACTTTGAAACTTACGGTTTCCAAAAAAATGCCATTCTTTCCTTCATTCTTGACCTGGATGCGCGAGCATTTCCACCCGGCACAGTTATGTTGAAGATATGGCGGATCAATTGTTGGCAGCGCATGGGGATGGACGCATTAAAAAGAACTGGACGCAGAACTTCATTAAACGTACACCAGGCCTCTGGACGCATTTTCATCGGAGGATGGACTACCAGAGGGTCTTAAACAAATATCCAGACGCGAATTGCATGTGATTTTGCCAAGTTGCGGCAGCAATCGCAAAACATGGTATCCAAGACGCGGATATTTATAACTTTGATGAGACTGGGTTTATGATGGACATTATTGGGTCTGGCATGGTCATTACAAGCGCTGAAAAACATGGTAGGCCTAGACAAGCTCAGCAAGGCAACAGGGAATGGTCTACAGCAATTTTTGCTGTCAATGCTAATAGTTGGGTGGTCCCGCCGTTCATCATTCTACAGGGCAAAACCCACTTCGCGTCATAGTATCACGATACGACATTACCACGCGATTGGAAGGTGGCCGTGTCCGATAACGGGTGGACTACAAACGAGATTGGGTTGGAATGGATTCGGCATTTCGACAAGTATACCAGGCCGCGTATGACTTCTGGTAAACGCCTCTTCATCCTAGATGGTCACAAAAGCTATCATTCCCAGATCTTTGAGGATTATTGCCAGAACAACAGTATTATTACCCTTTGTATACCTGCCCACTCGTCACACAGGCTCCAGCCTTTAGATATCAGTTGTTTTAGCCCGCTCAAACGAGCGTATGGTCGCATGATTTAGGATTTCATCCGGCGTCATACAACCCACATTTTAAAGGAGGACTTCTTTGCAGCATTTTATGAAGCATACAACACTGCTATGACGCCAGGAAAAATTCAAGCAGGTTTCAGTGCCACTGGGCTTATTCCTTTTGACCCAAAAAGTGTCATTTCGAAGCTGGATGCTGTCGCTGTCATACGAACACCGTTGCCAGACCCCAATCTGCCACCCACTACTTGGACTTTAAAGACGCCTACCACCATCAATGAAGCGATAAATCAGTTGGTTTATATCCGGAATCGAGTCAGAAACTACCAGAGAAGCTCACCTACATTAATAATTGATGCATTGAGCTCGTTTTTAAAGGTTACATACGGTCTTATGCATAAGGTCGCTTTGATTGATTCCCGGGTCCACGAGCTAGAGGAGGCCAATCACCTACTAAGTAAACGTCAGAGGACAAAAAAAAACGTCTAGTGAAAGGAGGAGTACTTTCTATTGAAGATGCAGTAGGTCTCCAGGCTGTAAAGAATAGTGGTAAGCTGGCAGGACAGGAAATGGGTGAAGGTAGTCGTCGCCCGAGGAGGGCAGCAGCGCGTGAGCGATGTTGTGGCGTTTGCAGCAACACTGGTTATAATGCGCAAACTTGTACAATAGAGATAGAAACGTCTCAAGAAGAAGAATCCGATTGATTAAATTGAATTAAATGCGTTGTGGTTGAGTTATTTGACATATTGGTTGGAAGGTTAGTGAAAAGTTGCCGTTCGCTTGTAATTGCCGCTCGCTTGTCATCCACGTTATAAGATAACTTTAAATATATTTATAGTTTATAATAATGCGGAAATAATATGAAATAACGGATAATTAAAGAAATTTTTAAGGTTACATTATATTAAAAACTTATAAACTTTAAAGTTGTTATAAGATTTATTAATACTTATTAAAAGAAATTTTAAATTTTAAGCTAGATATAAATATAGCTTTTCACATTATGGTAAAGAACTTCTAACTTTAATAATTAACCGATCGTATTATAAAAGCTACTTGATAAGTATAAACTTTAATTAATAAGAAAGTTTTGAACTTTAATTTAATTTAATTAATAGTCGATTAATAACCATTATTAGCCTCGTAATTGTGACGGCCTGACCTCCTGAAAGTCTGTCAGCCCATCAGGGTGCCCTGTGCGCAGCATCACATGACCTGGCGCACAAGACGTGTAGCCACAACTGTACTAGGCCAGGTAATAGTGGGGCGGATGGAAGGATCATTAATCCCACCAGCATTGGCTGGCGGGTCAGATCCTTCTTTCCCTCCTCACCAAGAGATTCTTACACGTAGGTAGTGCAATCAGGACTTTTATGTCCTCATCCTATTTACGCTTCGTGACAGTAATAACCTTTTTAATTTTTAAAATTTTAATTTTAATAAAGCAGTTTTAAGCTATATTTAAGGCATTATTTATTTAAAGTTTTCTTTTCTTTTCTTCTAAAAGTTATAAGGAATTATTTTATTATAATAAATACTTTTGTTATATAAACTTATTAACAATATAAGTTTATTACTTTATATGGTTTAATTAATATGTAAAACAATTAAAATTTCAGTTATTTATTCAATATAATGTTCAAAAAGATTTTTTTTGTTGTAATTTAAACACAAAGTTTTAAAGTTAATTATCATTACTATTTAATTACGGATTATTCACTTTTATATAACTAAGAATGTTCGATTTCGTCGAGATATATATATATACTTTAAACCTTAACTTTAACTTAGCCATATTAATGACGGATGATAATAATGTATTTATTATAAGAATTATATGGACGTTTCTAGAAAAAAGTAAAAAGTAAAACTTATAAATATTTAATAAGTAATTATAAATTATTATAACCCTTTTTTAATTTAATTAAAAATATTTTAATTGTTATAATAACGTTTATTAATGTTTATTTAATTAATGTGTGGCAACAGGGGCCCCCACATAAGGTGGGTGCCCTAGTTGATAACATAAGCTAGTCTTAGATAAGATAAGGGAGGCTGCCACACCTTAAGTGTGTGCAGCCCTCGCCTTACTAGCTAAAAGAATTGACCCTGGCATACACAATCAATGACCCCCCATAATGCTCGTATCATTAATATTTATTTAAGAATAAAGCTATATTAGATTGGGAAAAATTTTGAGTATATGTTGGATTTATGCGATTCTAACCTTCAAACCATCCATACTAGATCCACATGTATGATTAGATAAGAGATTAGATACCGGATCATGAGGACGTTTAGCCAGACCTGCAAGTCCAGCTAGACCTCACAATCCAACCAGCGGCAACTGTTGAAGACGAGGGTCAATTGATTGAGGGTGTTGTGATGTTGTGCTTGAGCACCGTCTATTTGTCTACGAGTTTTTAGTACTAGTTTTTGCCCTGGTGGCTGGTCGCAGTCTAGTGCGCTGTCATCTACCTGACATGGTCAGTGCATAGCCCAAATGATGCGCTGGTATCTGACAGCAACATCATGACCTTGACCCAATACTCGAGTATTATGATTGATCGTTCAAGCCTGTTCCTACAGTATAAATATTTTTATAGCTTTATTTTATAGATAAAGTTTTATAAAATGGTATAAAAACTGATAATAAATAACTATAAATATTTATATAATTAAAATTTGAAAATAAAGATGAAAATAAAGATTAAAATACCATGAAACGATTTTTTTGGCTTATTTATTATATAAAATAAAAATAAAAATATTAAATATAACGATGCTAATAAACGATATTATATGATTAAAATTTTTAATTTTGTAATAAGCTTTTTAAACTAATTTATATATAATAAATATAATAACTTAATGTGAAACTTAAAAAGAATTTTTAATAAATAAATATGAATAAAAATAGAAATTGTTGGAACAGGCTTGAATGATCAATTATAATACTCGAGTATTGGGTCAAGGTCATGATATTGCTGATGGTTAGATTGGGAAGTCTAGCTGGACCTGAAGGTCTGGCTAAGTGACCTTATAATCTGGTATCTAATCTCTTATCTAATCATACATGTGGGTTCTGTATAGATAGTTTGACTGTGGAATCACATGGATCCGACAGAAATATATATATAATTTTAAAAGTATGGTTTTATAAAAAATACAATTTTTTTTTATGTAGCTTAGTTACGTTTAAATGTACTTGAGTTATTTTTTCTTCAATTCAATTTAACTTATTTATAAGTAAGGGTCGTATATTATTGTATACGATGTCAATACTATAAGTTAATATCGTATTAAACTAATACAATACTAAGATTCGCATTTTAAATGCCTTAGTAATAACTTGTAACCCTGCGTTTAAAGCCGTAGAACTTATAAAACTTATGGTTATTAATAACTCGTTTATTGTTAAATGGGAGCCGGAAATAGATACCGGCAGATCTCCAATGAAGCAGAGACGCACAAGGCATTTAAACCACTAAGAAGACAGATGATCAATCTGTGTACGCTGAAAAAGAACAGCAGAAAAACAACAACACAATCAATAAAATCTATTAACATCTGGGTGACGGCCTGCACAGACCTTCCTGTCACGGCGAGCGTACTGAGGAGCTGGGACATGGCCAGCAGCAAGCAGCTATTACTCTATTGATGAGAATATCAAGACTAGAGAGGAAAGGAAGAGAGAGAAAGAGATAGGTACAGTGGGAGGTTGCCCCTTTAAGGGGATCCTCTTGTCAGATCCTTCCCTTGTTGGGAAGTATCGGCTTGTCATGTGGGAAGGTCTGTGCAGGCCGTCACACAGCCACCTTCTAATTGCGTGGTAATGTCGTGTTGCGATACCATGACGCGAAGTGGGTTTTGCCCTATAGAATGATGAACGGCGGGACCACCCAACCATCAGAATTGATAGCAGAGATTATTATAGACCATTCTTTGTTACTTTACTGAATTAATCTAGGCCTGTTATGTCTTTTAGTGCTTATAATGGCTATATCGGACCCAATAATACCCATCATAAACCCAGTCTCATTGAAGTTATAAATATCCGCGTCTTGGATACCATATTTCGTGATTGTTGCTGCAACTTGGCAAAACTACGCGCAATATGCGTCTGGATACTTGTTTAAAACCCTTGAGTAGTCTATCCTGTGATAAAAATATATCCGGAGGCCTGGTGTACGTTTAATAAAGTTAGCTGTCTAGTTCTTTTCAATGCGTCCAGCCTTACGTGCCAGCAATAATTGATTTGCCATATCTTTAACATAAGTGTACCAGGGCAGAAATGCTCATGCATCTAGGTCGAGTATGAAGGAGCAAATGGCATTCTCTTCAAAAACCGTAAATTTCAAAGAATTAGGCATGCTATTGCGTTGTGATGGTCGGCCGGCAATTCTAGCCTTTAAGATATTATATGAGACATGGAAAGTCTTAGAAAACTTGCCAACGGTAATATGAGGGTCGCGTCGTTTAGCATACACAGTAAGCTGTAAGTCTGATTCATTATAACACAATGTCATCGTTGTTGGTTGATCAATTAGGAGCCTTGATGAAAAGATTAGGTGGCTGGTGAAAAGTTGCCGTTCACTTGTAATTGCCGCTCGCTTGTCATCTATGTTATTCTTCTTGTTTTAAAATAAAATTCTTTTTATTTCTTATAAAGATTAGAAAGTCCGCACCTTACTAGCATTAAACAGCCGAATTACAGTTAAGTTAATAAAGAATATTAGTAAAACCGTTCGTATAATAAAATTGCTCGTAAAAACAGCCGTTTTTGATTAAAAAATGTTAATTTTAAATATATAAGGCTTAAAGATCTTAAAAATTAGCCCTTCAATATTGAAATAAATTAGCAACGGTATAAAGCTTATTTAAAAAGTTAAATGTTGGATCCATGCGATTCCAGACTGCAAACCATCTATAACAGGACCCACATATATGATTAGATAAGATAAGATAGTGGATTGAGAGGGCACTTGGCCAGACCTTCGAGTCCAGCTAGATTCCTCTCAATCCAACCATTAGCAACATCATAACCTTGACCCCATACTCGAGTATTATGATTGATCGTTCAAGCCTGTTCCAACATTAAAACCCTTAAATAAAGTATTTTATTCAAACGTTTTAATAATAAAAATCGATCGACATAATATAAATATAGATTCAAATATCTTTTATAACCGGAAAAAATACCGTTTTAACCTTGAAAAATACACCCAAAGAAAATTGATCTATTTAAGCTTTAAGAAAGTATATTTTCTCTCGGCTATTGTAAATTTCCAGGTTTTAAATTTGTAAATAAAACTAAGCTAATATATAACTAACTCGTTGTTATTAAACCCCGTTTTAAATTTTCAAAAAATTGACTTATTTAATATACTTTTTAACAATAATATAAATATTAAATTAAACATAAAAGAAATTATAATATAAGTAAACAAAACTAAAAAAGTATCGGTATAATCTGAAAACCATACACCTACAAAATTAACTATAGAATCAGATTTAATAAAGGTAACATAATATGAAAATAACAATAAAAGAATAACAAATTAAATAAAAAAACATCGTAATAACATCTTTGAATCAATACAATAAAAAAAATACCCGTAAGTAATCCAAAAATACAACACAAATAAAGCGACAATAAAGAAACTTTGAACTAAAATGAACTATATTAAAAAGTTAAATAATATATCAAACTATTATAATTTAACTATTAAAAGACTTTAAAAATAACTCTATCAATATACGTTTTAAAAAAACCTATAAACCTATTTAAAAAATAAAAGCATGTATATAGAAAGGTTAGCTTATAAGGCTACAAGGTTACTATTTAATGCCGTGACGTTTACGGCGTTTTATTATATTAAATAAAAAGGTCTTTACTCTTTATCTTATTTGAAGGTATATGGGTTTGGCTCTTCCTTTTCGGTCGAAGAGCTTAATAATAAAATGAATTATAAATCGCTCGGTATTTCTTACTAGCTGCTGTTCGATAATAGAGTTACGGTCACGTTAAGTGGAGCCCACGACAGCGGTTTGCGCCCGCTTAAGGGAGGCCGTCTCCTAAGTTGGGAACTCTAAATCAAAAGGCTCATATTTGAACAAACCACGACAGAGAACCAAAAAGTTGTGCTACCCGACAGCAAACATACCGCTATAAAGAATAGCTCTATCTGGTCACGAGGAAGGTGGATTGGCTATTCGGGGCGAGCAGACGAAGATCTCGCTGGATCATGACAAGCAGTGGCGCTGAGGTTGATGGAGAAACTTGACAGGGTTTCGGCCAGAGCTGTAAATCCCCCGAAATAGTTTCGTCTCTCCGCTCAAGGCGGCAGCAGAGCGGGAATTGTCGAATATGTTGATGCCATTTTTCAATCTGCCGAGTTGGGAACCATGGAGACTGGGGACGAATCGCATTCAAGCTTGGGGAAAAGGTGGCTAGTCTTCAGCCATGAGTACGAAGTGAACTCGACCGGCGATGAGTTAATGTGAATAAGGTTCTGGCTGCCAATTTCTTTTTTCTTTTTTTGTTGATTGATTCAATGCTTACGAAATCAGAAGTCTCATGTTGCTCCAGTCTGTGGAATTTAGGAATGGTCTGTATTGGAAGAGGAATAAGGGATATCTGATGGAGATACCATCCCACTTGAATAGGTGGGTAAGGGACCATTTATTTGTTTATTTTTTTAAGCTCTTCGACCGGAGCCAAACCCGAATACCCCAAAAGATAACAAAAAGCAACGGCCCCGTGCTGTACGCTAAGTCTCTGACAGCTAACATGTAACTCACAGGATGACACGCGTACTAATCACAACAAGGCTAATACGCCACTGTTATGATATCTGACACAGTCTGCGGCAGAATCCTATTCAGAAACATTTGGACGCTGTATTCAGGTCTCCGTGCTGTAATTATGATTTGTAGCCAATGATCTGTGAAGAGTTAAGTCTGCAAGATTGCTGGAGCATGGTGAAGTGCCAGAAGATGAGAAACTGTACCAAAATTTCCACATCCTGTGGCGTGTCTCCTCAGACGAGAAGTACGCATTACTTCTAATACCTATTCCAGTGTGCTTATTCCAATTCGATAAATTTGTCATTGTCTGCTGAGACGGGTGGTGCGCGGAGAATTAGGAGGGTCCAGTGCATCTAATCACATGATCCCATAGGATGGCCAATATATTGCTCATGAGATACGCCACTGAGCACGTATTCTACGAGGTTTTCGTTAGAGTTTGCCAGACCCATAGAAGGTTCTGAATGCAGGACTGGTGAGAGTGGAGACATGTTATCAACTGTATACTTATAAGAAGTTAGACACCACCCTTCGTCTCTCGGTCGATCTGAATCTTGCAACAAATATTCAGCACCACAACTACAACTACAGCTGCCTACCAACCAGCTGCCTACCAACCAGCTACAGTCGCCGCCGTAAGTCTCCGTACGGCCACTCACAAAAAATGCACCCTTAGCTAACTAGACCAGAGGTGTACGCAGACTTTTGGGGTTCAGTGTACCTACCTACCAACCAGCTTCCACCTCCAGCTCATCATGAGTCTCCGACGAACGCTCCTTGTCATATCTGGCATGGTCCCAGCTTCAGGTATAGCACAACCGCCCGAGGTGCACAATCCAGCATGGAATTTTGTAACCCGAAAGGAAATGGGCAGCGACTGGGCGCAGATCACCTGGAAATGGCAGCCCTCGGCCGAAGTTGCTTCAAAGACGATGGACACATACGACTGGCCATACGAGGCCGAGTTCCTCAACCAGACCACTATTACGAATGCTGCTGGTGATGTCGGACAGTAGATGCTCGCAATATTCCAAAACGCCATCAAGAAAAGCCCCGCTCAACTGGAGGAGTGCGCGCGATTGAGCGAGAAGGTCCTTGTAGAGGATCTCACTGCGTTCCTAGACTCCTCGTCAAAGACGCAGGAGACTTGGGAGGCAACTCTTCGGCGGCTGGTTTCGTACCAGATGTTTGTCAAGTCCATGCCAAACGAGAGTACGAAACTGGGAAAGGGTCTCTCGGTCAAAGAATGTATGGATTGGATCACAGCGATCGACAACCACCTGGACGCGGCGGACGCGCTTGTGGGTAGATATGCTCGAGTGTTGGAGGGCCTCGGCCCAGTCCTCAAGGATGTCTGCGAGCAGACCAACAGCCCCATAGACCCGCAATACCAGGAGATCGTGGACACGACGCAGGACGGGTTGCATTCTCACCCTCACCAGTGCCCACCCCCCCGAGAAGCAATGCCCCCCTCAGAAGCAATGCCCCCCCGAGAAGCAATGCTCACCTCAGAAGCAATGCCCACCCCAGAAGAAATGCCCACCCCAGAAGCAATGCCCACCCCAGAAGCAATGTCCACCAGAGAAGCAATGCCCACCACCCATCCCAGTGCCCCCCAGCCCCTGCGCGGCGAACAGAGACTCGTGTGGAGGAACATGGAGTGTGAAGGAGACTGGTGTAAACATGTTCTGGGACGGACCCACTCGCATGTGGACTTGCGTATTTGATTGCCACTACTTGTGTCCCGTTGGTAAAACATGTTGAGGATGGGGGCGTAGGTGATATGTGAAATAACCACGTTTAGAATAAGCATTCCGTACAACTGGTTAGAATGTAGCTGCTTAATCCAGCGTGCTTATTCTATTATACTTAGCGGTCCGCTCTGCCTGATCTGACTGGCCGTTGTATCTTGGTAAGGTAGTAACCAGTGCGGATCGGGATCGTCACCCAAAAGTCAAGAGTCACTGCAGCCAATGCTACGGTACACGCATGCGGCATGTTACCTACAGCAAGTCCCCCATCTCTCCCCATCTAAAATCTGGCTGAGGATGAATGGGGTTACGAAGCGGACTGAACGCCATTTTCATCCTCCGTCGAAGTCTGTACAAACAGGAAGACTGGCGCGACAAACTTGATCATCCTGCTGAAAGCCTGTCACAGGAAGCCTCGTAGGGATTCCTGCACGGTCAAGATGGTCGTGTGGCCGGGAGCATTCGCCTTTGGGCTCATGATTATAGGTGCGGTCCTGATTAGCCGCCTACTCATCTTCTTGGTCCGCGGCTCTTCGCAACGACTGCCTCCCGGACCAAAACCACTGCCTATCATCGGAAATCTACGTCAATTGCCCAAGAGCCTTCAGGTAAGCAAGTTTCCGTCTGATCATTAGTCTGCTCTTCTCTCTCGAAATGCCAAACTCCTTGAACGAGTGTGAGACGATTGCCCATGGAAGTACGCTGGCGCCACAAGCCATCTCCAAATGTATTGGCACCTCCTTCTGACAATTTCAATATTCAGTGGCTTCATTTCTATCACTGGAGCAAGAAGTATGGGCCTATAATGCATCTGAGCGTCGCTGGGCAGCCTCTGATCATCTTGTCCACCAACCAAGCAGCCCAAGATTTGCTCGGCAGGCGCAGCGCTCAATACTCGGACCGGTCGCGTATGGTGATGGCAGGCGAGCTGGTCACCAAGAACATGCACATGCTCATCCGTCCCTACGACGCGGCCTATAGGCTGCACCAACGAATGGAAGCGCCGCTCTTGAACGCCAAAGCCGCCAGTTGTTACCGGCCCCCCCAAGAGCTTGAGGCTCGACAGCTACTGTTCGACCTGCTGGGGGAATACAACAGGTATGGCGAGGAGGGAGTGGACTTCCATCACCACTTTGAGCGCGCTATGGCAAGCTTCATCTACTGTCTGCAGTACGGTTATGGCCTGAAGACAGGCCACGAGAAGGCTCTCCTCGACGCCAAGCGGGTACAGGGCGAATTCGCCAGGACTGGTCAGGTCGGCGCTTACCTGGTCGACACCCTTCCGTGGCTCAACTACCTACCCAGGGCGCTGGCGCCCTGGAAGAGAGAAGGTGAGGAGCTGTACGAGCTCGAACGGGCGCTGCACGTCGGGAACCTGGAGAAAGGCTTGGACAACCCCGGCTGGAACTTCACCAAGCACATGAGGAATTCGAAGGAGGCCACAGATGTGTTGACTGAAGAGCTCGCGTTCGACCTCGGCATCATGGCCGATGCCGCCCTTGACACATCGACAGTTGCGATGGACTGATTGATCGTGGCATGGATCACGGCCGGGTCGAGTTGGGTCCCGAAGGCACAGAAGCTGCTCGACGAAGTTGTCGGCAGAGGCCGGTTACCCGAATTCAACGACCGTGGTCAGCTGGCATATATAGACGCCATCGGTAAGTCGACAAGCCAAGCCCTGCTGACCCATGCCGGAAGTGAGCGAGACTCTACGGTGGCGAAGCGTTGTGAAAGGCGGAGTGCCGCATTTCACGAAAGAGGCGGACAGCTACATGGGCTACCACATCCCCGCGAACTCGATAGTCATGGGGTATCACCACGCCATCACGCGCGACGAGTCGGTGTTCGGCGAGAAGGTAGACGCGTTCGCGCCCGAGAGATGGCTCGCGTTCGATGACGATAATGATGGCCAGACCTTGAAGGATCTGCCTCAGACGGGGTTCGGCTTCGGCAGGCGCATCTGCACAGGTCGGAATATCGCTCGCAATGGACTCTTCATCGAGGTCGCCAGGCTGCTCTGGGCTTTCGATGTCGAGCCGGGCTTGTCCGAGTCGACTGGACAGAGATACCAGGTCAATGACATGGACTGTACGGAAGGGTTCGTGACTATGCCGAAACCGTTCAGGGCTGTCCTGCGCCCGATGGGACCTTGGGTGCGAGATGTGATCAAGCAGGTAGGCACTACGCATGCAGTCGACCACGTTGCCATTCTAGACGAGGCAAGCAGAAATAGGGCGTCTAAGCGTGAAATGGATTAGATCATGTGGTTTCAGGTCTGGCATAAGATGTTCTCCTTGCTGTGGTTTGAGTTACACTGAGCCCCCATAAGTCTCCGTACACGACCCGTCCAGCAAACGTTGGAACGGTACATTCAACGATTCGGAATAAGCATTAGCAGTGGCGTATTAAACCAAAGCTGTTTATTCCTGTCTACTTATTACAGTATTCCCAAATTTACATTTGATGTGTGATCTGGAATCCTCTTAACATAGTGCGTACGGAGACTTGTGAGGGGTGAGTGTACGACTAGTCCCTATCAGTGTGTTGTAAGTCAGTCGAGTGAGTGGCTGTTAACGTTCCCGGGAGAAGCCTGGTAGGGGGCTACTTATAAAAATGAGCCCGCGAGGAGTCAGAATATTCCTGTAGGATGGTGATAGCCTCGACGAATTGCACGTTCTGGTTGTATAAAGCTTGAAGAGGGGATGGTTGCTCCGTACGTATATAGCTACGGACCAGCACGCCCACCCGAGTGACCGGGTCTCGATGTCCTCTTGCTAAAGGCTCCCTCCCCGTCCAATCCTGCTCGTCTGCAATGTTGAGGTTTAGCAGGTTATTCGGCGTTTAGAGAACCAATGAATCAAAAGCCGGCAGTAAATCCAGGCCCGGCAAGTGACGGAAGAATGGCCCGCCATCAAGCGACAGAGGGATGGCGGCATATGCAGTGTCACCCGGCTTTGGGGAATACAGAGCCTCATCGAGAGCCAATAAGAACGTCGGAAATGATGGAACGCCATCCATAATCAGTAACCTTCAGATCACATCAACAGTCACATCTCCGTCACCGTACAGCGAACCATGTCCGTAGGCTTTGGGTTTTCCGTCGACGACTTCCTAGCCGCCCTCAACCTCGTGGGCACAGTGATCGACTGCCTGCGCGAGTCGTCCGCATCAGGCGCCGCCTACCGCGAGCTCATCCAAGAGCTGTACACGCTCGAATCGGCCCTGTTGCGTGTCAAGCGCCTGGACCTGGACGCTGGCCAGCGGGCGGAGAAGGTAGCGCTCCGGCAGGCCGCCACGCAGTGTCAGCGGACCATCGACGACTTCTGGAAGACGGCGATTGTGCGGTATTATCCCCATCTGCGGGAGGGCGGCTCGGGCTCGCGGCTGAAGGACGGCTGGGCGAAGATCAGGTGGACGTTCCTGAAGGCGGACAACGTCGAGAAGTTCAAGTCGGACATCAGGGCGCACACGGGCTCGATCGAGGTCCTCCTGCTGACTGTGCAGCTTGAGGCTACGAGCATGGCGGCGCGGGAACAGGGCAGGCAGCACGTGACACTGGCTGGGGAAGATGGCCAGTCTGGCTTCCGGCGTCAATCAGAGCGTGAAGCAGGGAAAGGAGCTTCTCGAGTCGACCGCGAACATCGTCCAGGGCAATCTGCGGGTGTTTCAGATGGTCTTTGACATCCACCAGTTCATCCTCAGCCTGCCGGCTCAGGTCCATCGCCAGCAGGCGGTGTACATGATCGATGCATTTGGGTAGGAGAGTCCCTTTCACCTTGAATTCGTCCGGTCTGCCGAGGCGTTGGTCGCGATCCTGAGGGTCAACTTCAGCGTCGTGGAATGCGGCCAGGAGGTGATCGATCGCGGCGAGTTTGCCCTTCGGGATGTCGGGACTCGAAGGGACATCAACCTGGCTGATCACTGGGACAGCTGCTTCTCGCCTGGGCAGAATGTGGTGATGGACGTGGTCATCAAAAGTGGTGGCAAAGAAGATTGCCCCAGTTGTGGGAACAGGAACGCCTCTGAAGGTGGTCAAGAAGTGAAGTGGTGAGTCTTCCTCAACGACGTTATATATCGAATGGTTGTCGGATGCTTATCATCATCCAGCCGAACTTGTGGCGTCATATATTCTCTTGTGACGGATACTGTCAAAGCTGTGGAACTACCTCACATGCCTCTGTTTTGGGAGCAGCGGCCCAGAAACGGCCTGGAGCCCGCCGCTCGACCACATCTAATTCCGAAATTTCTCAAGAGGAAACGAGAGATGAATCACACACCCGACCTTCGCAAATTTAGACGCATACGGAAGCTAGACCGCATGTTGAGATCGAATCGCTGCAAGTATTGGATTTTAGGCGGCAAAGATTGGCAAGATAATGGAACAGGGTTTGCATCGGTGCGGGATGTCAAGGTAAGTTCGAGTTCAAGAATGCTCCATGGGTAAAGCTTGATAGAGACCCGGCTCTCAGTTCAGGTTATCAACCTTAGTACTGAAGCAAGCGACGCAGGGAGGGCTTTAGCTCCAAGTGGACTCCGAGGACGAGCCAGACAACCTGCTGCTAATAGTGACAATGGACAATGGCCCTAAGTTTTACAAGGGAGGAGATACCCGCATGTATAAGTTTTACACATACGTTGAACCCTTATTAACCACGAATCAGTTATCCTCTGGACAGCCCCCCTATCCGGTGTCGATTCCGCCCTTAGCTTCGAACAAGCCGAAGACTGTACGATCATGTGGTAAGCGCCTAATTTCCACGCGTAACTCACACTATTCGTGCGAGGACTTCCTGAGGTCACTTGTGCACTCCTGTTTTATTGACAAGCTATTTTAGGGAGGAGATGAAGCCACGATTGGCAGGGCGCTGGGGTAACATTGATGACGGTTATTATTTCGGGAGGCTGCCAGGAGCGCTTGAAAGTGGCCCCTTGAAGTTTCACGACGCTGCGTTAGCTTGATCGAGGCAAGCGTCCGATACTGATAAGTTGCATAAACACCTGGCATAGATAGGTAGGCATTATATCCTGGTGGCAGTTGTCTGGAATAACCACCAAACCACTGCTTGTTCCACTGCAGTTGTTCGGCCGGTTGGCAGTAATGGTGTAGGATCTCAGCATCCAATTTCACTTGCCGAGATGTGATATCCATCAGGTATATACAAGTTAAAGGCAGCATACACGGCCTAGATCGCACTGGTAACCCATGAATCGCCCACTCTGTCTACATACACCATGCTGAGAGATTAGCCGCCAGAGATGCGATGCGATGTAAGGGGCACCTCAGTACTCTCCTATTCCACTCCCGTAGCCGGCCTCCCTCTTCTTCCTCATCGCCCTCGACTTCAGACCGACAAATGCGACCAAGCAGACGCCGACAATGAAACCCAGTGATAACAGGATCATGTTGACGGGGACCGGATCGCCATGGAAAGTTTCGTGCAAGAGGTAGTCCAGTCCACTTTGGCTGAAGTTGAGCAAGCCAGATAGGCAGATGATCGTCCCGTACACTTTCCCAAAGGTCCTGAATCCAAACACCTTGGCGCAATAGTCGCTCACGGCCGTATAGTAGAAGGGTCGGTATAACACGAATAGGCAGATATTCGCATAAGCAGCCCACTCGTATGGCAACACACCGAGTATGCCGATAGTTGTCGCAACAGTAACGAGGGTGACGAGGACCGCGACGGTGCTCGTATGATCCAAGATAGCCCCAATGAAAGGGATCGAGATGATGCCGCCCAACGGAAGGGCGAGGTCAAAGAAGTTGTTGATCTCGATGGCTTTCGAGGTGGAGTCGAAGATGGCTTCGTACTGCACGCGAATCGTAGCAACGAAGTAGTTGATCCGTGTCATCTGGATCACAGTGAATAGGCAGATCAGCACGAACCACGGAGAACATATTTGCTCCCGTGTTGTGTTACTGTGCATCACTCCCCACACACCACTTCGCTTGCTGGTGGCCTCCTCGCGGCGGGCTTGCTTGTCAACGGTCTCGGAACCCAGTAGTTCCTCAATCCCTTGAACAGCATTCTCGTGATGTTCGCGCTGCTCTTCTCGTAGGAGCGCTGTATGCTCATCGACTTGATCATCAGCATCTTCGGCGATGGCGGGTGACGGGTTGTCGCCAAGAGTGGGATCCTCTATATCCACAATCATCTCTCCGACAGTCTTGTATGATTGTTTGGGCATAATCGCCAATTGAATAACAATAATCAGCACTGGCACGGCAAGGTAGGTAAGAAAGAATTGGTCATGGCCGAATGAGCCTCCACTGGCCTCGAAGATGATCCGGTATACGAGGAAGAGGGCGCTAGAGGCATCGAAGGCACCAGTCAGCAAAGCCAAAATGAGGCCAGAGTGCTGTGGGAAAGCGTTCGAGAGCTGGAATGACGATATGTAAGTGAACGGGCCACCCAGGGCGAGGAACAGGTAGCCCAGCAGGAATCCGTCGAATGGCATGCTCGTGGCGAACGCCATGAAGAAAGCGCCGATAGTGAGGAACAGAGCACCCAGCACTCCGCAGACTCGAGGGCCGTAGTGATCTAGGATGACACCGACAGGCAAAGCCGCAACGTTGGTCGCAACAGCGGCGACAGTGAACATGAGATTCAGGTGAATCTCGACACAAGTGTCTACGCCATCGCAGACGTCCTTATAGGCACCTTCCTTCTTCAGCACAGGCTTCAACGCGGCATACCCAAATACTACCCCCGCAGCAAGTAGGCAGTAGATGACCGCCAATATGATTTGGACTGAGTGGTAATTAGTTGTGATGCGAGTTCATAGAGCCCGAGATAACTCACGTATACGTTTCCACCTAGGCACTTCGAAGGCGCCTACAGACTGGCCAGGATGATCGACGCCCTTCGCGATGACGGGATCCCATGACTCGGGCAACGGGTTGAAGCTGAGTCTACGGGCTCTGACCGAGCCAGCTGTTGAAGTATCGGAGCCACGTCGGGAGCGCTCTACCTCGGACGGGAGGCTGAGGAAAGTCTCAAGCGATGAGACACGAGGCAACGACATGCCTGCGGATTTCTTGAGAAAGCACTGAACTTTCACTGAATAAGGATGTTGTTTTCGGAGGAGGAACGCTATTCCTGTTCGCCTCGGTCGAAGGTATAGCGCCCACAGTAGCGTTCGGACCTGGTCTTTAGGTTCAGACGTAAGGTTCCTTGCAGAATGAGGGGCGCGCCCGCGGGCGTTACAGCTTGGAACGGCGGAGATAGCGATGGTTGCTTCTTGAGAGGGACTGAACGTCAGAGGTGAGGGTGACGATGATGTGACTGATGACACTCAGACGGAGAGAGGAGAATGTATCTACAGGTACAACCAACCGTGCTAGTTTTCAATATAATAAACCCAAGAGTCCTGCCAGGAAGAACTACTTCCACACCTTGCCGACGTCGGCTAGACGCTGTCAAAGCGGCTAGGTGGCAGACATGAATCAGTCCCGTCGCCCATACATTCGGTACGTGGTATGTAGGTAGGCCCGAAAACTGACTCTTGAAAATTTTCGTGAGAGCTTCGAGGAAATCGTGAGCGCGTGATCTGGAACAGGTGGAGATGGTACACTGACCCTCTAAAAATCTCCGAGCATCCACTACGCTAGTGTCAGAACGCGTTTACGCGCTCGCGACTTCTTTCTTTTTTATCTTTTTTTTACTTAATATTAAAACGATGGATTTACAAACAATTGGTACCTGTTTAACTGCAAATTACGGGTTAAGTTACAATTTTACTTTTAAAGCTTATATAGCGATTATAATTGTAAGAGTAATAAACTTAAAGCGTGACGATATTATAAGTGCGTTTTATTTAAATTGGCTTTAAATTATAGCCGATATTACTATCATATTTAAAAAGTATAGTTTTATATTTTTGGGCATTTAAAAAAAGCCTTAAAGAATTTAAATAAGTATAAAAGCTTCAGTTGTTAAAACGGTATAAAAGTACCTTAAAATAAATTGAAAAAGCTTAAAAAGTAAAGTTTTATATTATTATGTTAATATTATTACACGCGTTTTTTACGCATATAAGTTTTAAATATAAAAAGCGGTAAAAAAACTAAGTTATAAATAATAACATTTAATAAAGGCTTACTTTTCATAAGAGTATGACTTTTTAAAAGTTTTAAAAAGTTATTACCAATGCTTTTTTAGAATAAAATTACGGTTTAAAATTTACCTAATAATTTAAACAATTGAATTATTTGCTATTTTTTTAACGCTATAAGTAAAATCTTATAAAGTTTTAAAGCTATAAAAAACCTGGAATTTTTATTATATATTAAATTATAATCTAGTTACGTAGTGAAAAAAGTAACTTAAATAAAGTTAATTTTTATAAGCTTAATAAAAATACTTTTTGGAAAAAAAAAATTTACTTTTTATTAAAACATTTTTAAAAAAAAAACTCTTTTTGCTTTACAAAGCTAATAATTTTTTAATACAAAATAATACTTATATTTACCGATTTGAAAACACTTCAAAGTAATTAAAAAATTTAGGGCATTTAAACTATTAACTAGCTTGTTTATATATAGCCTTAATTTTAACCTGATTAAACATATATAAGCACTTTAAAAAATCAAATACGTAAAATTAAACCTGATTTTATAGATTTAAAAGCTAATATCGCTTATAAAATATATGTTAAAATGTTAATTAAACGCGCGTAATTAAAAATCGATTTTAAGATATACGCGTTTTTATTAAATCTTTTAATAATAGATTATAGTAATAAAGCGCGCTAATAGCTAGTATATACACTATTGAATAGCCTATATAGTATAATTTTTTCTATATTATTATAGTGAGAAATAAGTGCGTAGTAAATGCTGAAAGTTAAAGGGCGTAGGCGTTGAGGGCTGCTTAGAAATGTGGGCTCGGAGACTTCTGGCCGGGGAGTGTAGCACCTTTCTGGCAACGTTCTTGCCTTCTTCATAATTCCTCTGCTGTTGTGAGGTGGCGGGACGTTACAGGGGATCATGGCCCGAAAGTACCGCCTGCTCAGTGGGCCTCGATACCCCGCAGGCTAACGGGCGGCACGCTTTCAGTGGGGATGACAAGCTGCCCAGCTGACTGGCCCAGTGTATTCTGTCTGGCTGTCGAACCGTGTTTCGGTTGGTTCACGGATTTGTTCGTTACGAAATCACAACCCCTTTTGAGAACGACGCGATGCGCAAGGTATGTACCTAGGTACACGAGCGACACATCATAATGATGTGTCTTGGCCACCTCAATCCTTCCATGTTTGCTTCTTGGGTTCACGGACCTGCCAGCAACCAGACGCACCCCGGGACACGACCCACATATCCCGGTGGCTTCCGCCGGCCTGTTCACGCGGCTCGCCGACGGCATCACATACCCCCAGTGCAAAACTAATCGTCGACGTCGGTCCTTCTACGGAACCTCCGCTAGCCACTCCGGCTCGGGCCTCACATCGCTGACCCGTCGACAATTTGTATCCGGTCCAGCGCACAATGGAAAGCAAGAAGGAGAAAGATGGTCGACAGGACAGATTCAGAGAAACCGCCACTAGTGTTCCATGCAACATTGACCGAACTAACTACCTGGAGGGTGAGAACTGGTGGTTGATGGAGATGAAGTCGGCGGCCGGGATGATTTCAAAGAAAGGAAGTGAGACACCTCTTCCTTCTTATAGAAACCCGTACTCGTGCAAGTTTCTACCAGTAGGGAGGCAATTGTATATACCGACAATGAGTTCTCCATCGTAAGTGACCAGTGCTGTTCAATGAACAGCCACGCTCGCAGGCTGTGAAATCCTCCCATTGAATTCCGCGGGACGAGTCACCTCAGTATCCAGCCAGCCAAGTGTTGAACTCGCCGAGCCAACGTTTCTGACAAACTGCGTATCTACCTGTCTGTTTCATGGTTTGCCCTCAACAGGCGCGGAGTTATCTGTTAGAAGAGGTTAGGTACATAAGTCGGCTTGTGAGATACCTTATTGGGCAGTCCGAAGATTGATAACACACATCTTATCAACATCTATCATCTCAAATGCATGTTCATGTTCTGACGTTGGAACACGAAGCATGGCTGGGGAGGCGCATGTCCTCGAAGCCCTCAGCTAGGGCTTCTGAACACTTACTCACAAGAGTCCGCTGAGTCTGATTGCATGCAGGACGCCAGCCGCAACATGATAGACATCCAGCTCGCAACGACGTGGCGGCACTCATACTTGGTTGGCTACACTGAACCTCCGAAAGCTTTTGTACACCCCATACCTACCGAAGCAATGTCCCGATACGGGTATCTTTCAATTATGGTATAGGCATTTCGAAATAAGCACGGATACTGGGCTTTCAGAGTTCACACACTTATACTAGTGTCTATTCCACGACTTATAATTATTGTCGGGGAAACTCCAAGGTGCGCGGATCGATGCTCATAAGGGTGACTGCATCTGATACACGGCATGTAGACTAAATCCTTGGATGCCCGAGCCGAAGAACCAAGGCTGTTAAAGAATAAGGAATCAGGACTAGGAGGGATACCGTAAACCGCTATTGCTGCTCTGAAAACCTGGCTTCGGATACCTCGTGGCTCTCATCATGGAACACAGAATAGACCGGACTTCGTATTGGCAGTCAGCAGCCTACTGTACATGAAGATTAGTCCCCACGACGGTGCCCCTCTGACGTGAGACTTAAGAAGCTCGCTCCATCCATACTGTGATCTAAACCAGGTAGGTAGGTAGCCATCGTCGTACAAGCAAACCAGCGAGTCCGGGGTAACTTAGCACCTCTGCCGGAGTGTCAGTAACTTATCCTATAGCTCAGTATTACGAATCCTGTCACGCCTTCGCCAACGCCGAGCCCCCCATCCAGCACCTGTACGTGTCGCCACTGCCTCGACACGATGCGCCAGGTGCTCGCTCATGTGCAACGTCGACACGGCCGTCCTGGGCCAGGTGTAGTACGCGCCCGATGACGGCGGTGACTATGAGTCTATAACAGCAACAATAACAACCACCACCAAGGCGAATGCCGAGCTGAAAAGGGCCGGGATGGAAAGGAAGGACGACAAAAGGAAGAAGAGCGTGCAGGCCTTTCCCGGCTTCAACACCCAGCACAGGTGCAATAATTTCGACGCCATACTGTGCTGGGCCAGCGACCTCCAGGCGCCGCCCGGGGACGAGCTGCCCGAGGACTTCACGAGGATACCGGCCGGCGAGGATATCATACCGTCAGGGATATGAGACATATCAAGCCTTAGATACGCGCATTAAAACCTCCAGAAGAAGCGCGCGTGTTCTTTTATGTGAACAATGGGACATGTCACCAGCACCAACAGAGGGATACTTGACAGGATCGAGATGAATTCGCAATTGTAACGGAGATGCCACTTGGGTGAAAAACGTCTGATCTACAACCTCAACAGATCGCCCCGGCCACCATCCGAGATGGTCCCACACAACAAATGGAAGATGACCTCTTGATGCTTGCGTATGTGCGCACTGCTCCTAACCGAGTAATCTTTCCTGGCCTAGATATTCCTCCGAACACCCAAGGATCGTTGCGTGTCCAACCCTTGTAACCTGGATGACTGGTGTCAAGGTCTTCTCCACGGCGACCCGTCAAGGTGATGGAAGATTCGCAAATATGGAAATGTCGGACGATCCAGACCATGAGCTTGCCAGCTTCGAGCATACCACCAAGCCTCCCCAGACCCGGCGAAAGACCCACGGGACGACATCCAGAGGCCGGTTAGCCCCCTAGAGCTAGCTGCTCGTCAAGCCAGAAATATACACAATAAAAATTAGATTCATCGTGCCATCGGCATAATCAAGGCTCATAAAGTAGCGCCATGGTGAGGCAACAGATGGCAGGAGGTATCCATTAGAAAACAAGACTGCAATAGACGTGAAAACAGGGCCCCGATACGGAATTACGCATCTTCGAACGTGATGGTGATCGATTTGCCTTTGCCAAAGGAGACCTAAGAAGGGTTAGTAAACAAGCGATGAAGCATAGCGAGACTTCTTAAAACTTACCGTGCACCCATTGTTATCAACGGCATAGCCCGAGCCAACTTTATAGTGGCAATCTACACCGCCATCGACGTCGCCACTAATCAAGACGTTGAAGTCCAGTGTCGCTTTGGAGATAGCCGAGTTGGCAAAGAGGCCGACGTAGGTGTTGCCATCGCTAGACTGGCCGGCGCCAATGACGGTGGGGGCCCAGTTTCCGCAACCAGTAGGGTCGTCAGCGCATGTCCATCGGCATCCGTCCTCGGCGGTCACGCCCTGCTTGTTCAGATAGTACTGGAATGTGGTCGATTTGCCTGTCCAAGAGTAGTAATCCTCAGAATCAACGTTGGCCAGACTGAAAGTACCGCCGGCCGTGACATCCAGCGGGATGACCATGGCCTCAGTACCAGGGTAATCGGTTCGGCAAACGGAAGTTCCCTTGCTCATGTTGTTCACGATGGTAATGCCTCCAATACCCTCTTCGCAGAGCGTCTTGTGGTCGCGTCGCGTCCGTTCGAGTTTACCGTTGCTGTTGCAGTAGAGACCACCAATCGACTCGCCGGTCCTACCCTGGGCCTCTGGATATTGGGACTTGAAATAGTTTTCAGGGCAAGCATAGGAGTAGAAGCCGGTCTTGCCATCTGGTTTGCTGATAGCTGTCTCGATGAAGCTGATGGCAGAGGCGCCGGGGCTGTAGTCGGGTGTGTACTGAATTCCGCTGAAGCCACCATAGCCCAGGTAGTCGAGAGCCAGTGCACCGTACTTGGCAATGCACGAGAAATCGTCGCAGTCGCATGCGCCATCCTCGTACTCAGTGTCGAGTCCAGTACTGGTGCTGTCGTTGGAGCCTGAGTCAGAGGACGTGGCCGACGTGGCCTCGGGCTCAGCAGTCGAAATGACAGACGTGGTCGGGGAAGGGGTGGGAGACGGGGTAGTCGATGTGGTCAACGTGGTCGATGAGGTTGATGAGCTGGATGAGCTGCTGGTGGCCTCCTCGATGAAGACACCATCTTCCTTTGAAGAAGCGCTAGTGACAGCCGGGGCGGACGGCGCAGTGTACGTGGGCGTGGTCTCGCCAACAACAATGTAGAGCCCCTTGTCCAAGCCAGCCTTGGCCTCCTCGGGGGTTACTTCATCGTTACCCAGGATGTACTGGGTCACAGTGGCAGGCACGTAGGTGGTTTCGACCTCGCGCTTCTCGCCCGGGGAGTTGAGACGCTTCTTGTGGTGCGCATGGTGCCCGTGCTGGTGAGGTTGAGCGGCAGCGCCGGTGGCGAGGGTTGCCGCCACGGCGAGGTTGAGAATTGTGGCCTTCATGCTTCTCGTGTGAAGTCGTGGAACGCGTGAATATTATTGATCCTTGGGGATATTATTTTTGGCGGTGATGCGCTGCAGTCGCAGTTCTGTAAGGATACCTGGTCAGCACGGCCAACTTATGAAAAGGAGAAGACCAATGATTGTAGGGTGATTGTCATTGTCATGTAGTAACACAGAGGCCACCCGAGGAGAAAGGAGACAGCGGCGAGAGCCCTGTTCGTCCTAGTGAATGTGCTGCTCTTTGTGACAAGAGCGACACATAATGAGGCCACACTCGACGTTCACCGTTCACCATTTACCATTCACCAGCCAGCGACGGGGTTCAGGGATCCTTACCAATTGAGAAGTTGACGGCGTGATGTTGCGACGGTTCAGACTGGATTATTGTGTGCTTTGGGTGGTAGAATCGCAGTAACGAGTGTATTCGCGGTTCCAAAGGAATGTGGTAGAGAGCTTTGCAGACACTCTGTTGGATTGTGGAATCGACGCGGTATGGGGATTCAAGGGAGGGAAGAGAGAGAGACCAGAGAGAGACCAGAGATAGGAGGGAAGGAGGTCAGGTTTGTTTATTGCTTTGCGGGCGAGGGAAAGGGAGAGGGAGGACCTGAGGCAGGGGTAGTTGTATTGCGCCAGGAGATTGAGGGCGGTTATTGGCCCGATTTGGCCTGGGGTGGCTCGAAAGGGGATAGCCAGGAACGGCGCAGGCATTCCCGTGCGGCGCTACTGCAGGTACGGCGCGCTCAGGCTGTGTCTGGTAGCCTGTAGGTACCTATACCTCCTATATTCTGGGTCAGCTGAAATTACCACTGGGACGGGCGCAACAACGGTGCAGAGAACACGGGCATGAACCATTGAACCCTACGCAAGCCGAGCCCACCTGCATTACCCGCATTACTGCTAGTAAGGAGGTGGCACTGTGGCAGTGAGCCAATCCCAACGGCGACGCAATGCAGCTCATGCCCGGAGTCTGGACCGCCAACAATGCATGTGCTGGAAACCGGATCGTACACTTACGAGGGTACTACCAGTGGCAGTAAGAATAATAAACAATCACAATCTGGAGTCTGGAGGCTGGAGTCTGGGCACGAAGACTATCGCTGGGCAACGGTCACTGATAATGTTAATAATAAGCCAGTGTTGAGGGTTTCGAGACATTCATTCCTCTGGGTCGACAAGTAGAGCGATATTCTGGATTGATGAGACCTCCCATGCCACTGCGGCTGGGGCAACTGCATATCTATCTACAGTAGGTGGGTTTCGTTCATTCTTCTCTGTCCATTTTCTGTCCTCTCCCATCTGTGATCGTCGACTTGTCACGTCACTCGCAGTCTTCCTTCATCCTCTGTTTCCACCCCGCCTTGAAAGTTGCCATCCAAGGTTCTCATCCTCTGCTGTCATCCAAAAGGGTCCAAAGGGCCCAACAAGTCGTTGCACAATCCCTCTGGATCGATAACGTTGCGGCGCATAGCCTGCCTTCTGTCATGTTGAACCGCCACCGACCGACTTGGAGTATCATCGTACAGGTCTGTCAAGAGGACCATCACCTCAGACGACGAGGTCTGCCGAGGTGTAGAGTCAGGTGAATCAGGTCTGGTCACTGGCCAGGGCTGCACGGGCCACCCACCTAGGCTGCACCTGCAGGCCCTAGTGGATGGCCGATGGATTGCTGGCTGTCGGCTGTGATGAGGGCCTGCGTGTCCATCCTTCCTGTTTAATTGCTTAATTTCAAGATTACTACCAAGGAACTCGGCTTCTTCCTCCCCCTCTTGTGCGACGCCAGGTCCAGACTCTCTATGGTCCATTCACTCGTTTCTCCATTTGTTCCTATTAATAGGGTAACAGACTAACAGTTCAAAGTTGGCGTCTCGACGTACGAAGTACCAACACGTGTATCGTCATCGTCATACATACATTCCTTCGCGCTGCAATCACGGGTCCTTCTGCCGTTTATCGGTACCAAGACGGGTACTATCACGGCCGATCAAGAATCAGCGGTGCTTTCCAGTCAGTATGTAGATACCTATTGGCAGTGAAAACTTTGCCTTATGGGCGAGCCTGAATGCGTCACATTTGATACATATGGGCAGTCAGTCACCTCCATTGATGGCAATGCATAATGCCGCTACACCACGGTATTACCGTATTCCAGGGTCGACCCCGTTTTAAAGCAGGGACGGAGCCCAAGATCTTAATCATCTTGTTATCCATGGTTGACAGAACCCAGATTCTGCCGATTCATCGAGGCATGGTTTACGATAGTTTACAAGATTGCCGCCGGAGTTCGCTTTGTTTTGTTTCGACTTACAATGGAACCTCACTGCCTCCAAACTCTCAAGCTCGAGGCAGCCTCACTCTCCCCCTTGAAGCCACGGATAGCAACAGCATGACAACTTCAAAATAAGACCTCATCCACCCGTCTCAGCTCTCATGCAGGTTCGTGCAAGTAGGCGTCAGGTCTTGAAAACCTGTACCTGCGACCGCCGTTCACCATTGCAAAGGGGCCGGAAACGAACACCGAGGCCCACGCTTCATCCCGTCCTTCCTCATGCTGTGGAGCATTCCTCAAACCCGCGGTCAGCAGAGGAACGAAGATGTGACAAGGCTTCTGCCTGGGAACAGATCCAGATCAGCACTGAACACGGGAAATCTGCCATCCCTTGCTTTCATGCACGCGATGAGCAGATCTCCTATCTACCGTACCTGGGACACGCAGAAGTCCGATTCAGCCAGCCAGGCAGTCCAAGTACTTGAAGATCTTGGCTACCACCTTTCCTGTTTTCTACACGGAAAAGTTGGTTTGGTATTGTCCGGCACCCTATAACGTCTACCCGATCTGGTTGCCAGAAGTTGGCATCAATGCCGCACCAGGCATCCAATCGGGCCATTGAGGGCGGCCAGTCGCAACACACACAACGGGACAGGGTACCTACAGTTCACAGGCCGTTGCCCATGTTGTTGGCAGGTACCAGAACATGGATCACCCAGCAAACATTCATGCGACTGGGTTGAGTAGGCTCTGCGGTGCTCCATCCAATGCAGTTTGCGCTCCGGAGTCCGAGAAGGCCATGGTCAGCTGATCAATCTCTGACTACCTAACAGTGAATGGTCACGCTCGTGCCGGCGCTGGTAGGCCATGCACGAAGCCCTAGAGACAGTTTGCTATCGACGAGCTCGCAGCTGACGTGCCACCAGACCATCACTCCTGTGCGACCTTTCCAGCATGAACACCACGGGATCATGGCAAGCAGCCGTGAGCTGAACTCGGGCCTACTCAAGCCCTGCCTATGGTTGTCGTGCGCGCAAGAAAACACCTTGTACATCGCGGAACCATGCACGGAGTTCCATGAGGAGGATTGCAGCTCGGCTACCGGCTTGTCACACTGCCACCCTCCCCAGACCATACCTCGTGGCGCCATGCTACGTGCGTCCATCTCCCAAGCCCGGGGAGGCTCGAGTGCGGGTAGGGCCGCTCAAGTGACAGCTCAGGTGTTCTCTATTTTTGCGACGTATCTCAATGTTGTGCCAGCTGCAGTGGTCATATTTCACAGGACAGGAGCCACATATACGCAGTCACGAGGGCCGCCGACGCCGCGGCCGGCCGTTGTACACAGCTCCAAGCGTCGGACCGGTCGATGTCTGCTCCAATGAAGCCACCGGCTCGGCGAGCACTGCGCACCGCTAGGCAAGTCCTCCACGTCGTGCTTCTCACGCTCTACCTAGGCCGGCTGGGCGACAATGGTTGCCGTCGAAAGCCTTCGCCGCCTTCTCGGGCGGCCGTTGACCTGTCTCCTGCTGGCAGAACTAGATGATGCCGAGCTCGAAGGAGAGGATGCCGCAGTAGAAGCTCGGGCTAGGATATGTCGGCCTGTGTACCACACGCTGCTCCCCAGGTCACGGGTGGGAGTGAGCCCGAGTAGCGACTCCCATGTAGTAGCACGAGTGCAGTCTTTCGTCGCGGTCATCCTCGTAGGCTGCTCATTATTAGCACCAGAGCCGATACCCCGTCGATACACACAGCAGGTTTTTGCTGATGGTCGTTAACCTGGTTGAAGAACATGGCTGAAGTAGAATCGGTACTCCCTCCATGACTGTCCTCCCCTCTGCCCATATATGATACGGCAGGTCTCAACCGTAAAGGTGGTCAGCAGTCGCAGAGGAGGCTCATACCAGCATGACGTTGCCCAGAGCGTTAGCAGCGCCGTTCACAACCCGTGAAATGCGGCGGCATGCCCACTCTGGCGACCACATATGCCGGCCGCCGGCTCCGGCAGTGCCTGAAGGAGGAGAAGAAGCTCACCCCAGGCCGCAGGTAGCCAACCCGCCCTCGATGACATGATTCTCCATCCACGAAGTCTAGCTCACTGCCGCTGCCCCTTCTAGTTGTTTACCCGTTCAGCGTTTTGCCTCACGACGTACCTCTGTTCTGATGAAAGGCCACGATTGACTAGGCTTTTATAGGAGCATGCATATGCAGCTGTTGCAGTTCATCAACGATGTACCCCCCCTGAAAGGCTCTTCCCCAGATACTAATACGACAAGATATTTTTACCAGAATAGTCATATGAAAATCGCAAAGCAAGCAGCCGACACTGCTGTCTACGTCGCCATCAGTTGGCCCACTTTTGGCTCTAGTGCGCGCTGGATAGTTCTTCCTCTTGATGGAAGGTTGGAGCTTTCAGAGTGTACTGTTCTATACGATGACGAGACTGCTTCTGTGCTATTATTCGTTAAGGGCCTCGTCGCCCGTACACTTCGAGGCAATGCCTGGGAACGTTAGATACTGAAATGCTGGCGCGCAGGATGGTGGGCGTACAGGCGTACAAACCCCAGGTCCTATGAACATCGACAACACACCTGTGTAGAATAGGGGCCGCTGCTTGTCTCGGGGTCTTGTGTGCGCACACAACAGCTCAGTAGCCACCTCCTCTACCTGCATATATGCCCGTCCGCTGAATCCAGCCCTTTGACATCAAAGATAGTAGCATCAACGGTAATGGAAGGTCGTTCAACCCCAGTTTTCGGATGACAAATGCATTGTCGCGCCCTACTTCGATGATTCCTCATGTCTCTTTCTCATCATCTTGACGTGGGAATGTCCTGCTTCGTGACAGGGAGAAGACCTTGACGCGGTCGGTATTCGTCTTCGGGGCCTCAGAGATACCGTGATGCTTGTCAACGTCGTCGTCCGAAAGACCTTGGCACTGCACCATGTCACCGCGCTGTGCCGAGCATCAGTGCGTTTTATGACTTTTGTCGCGGAATATCATGGGGCCCAGGAGCCCGATGTAGGCGATGAAAGACAGCTTGCTAGGGCCCAAAGGCAAGGGGCCTTTCATACTGGAGAGTAAGGCAATAGAACGTTTAGAGGCGACTAGGCAGCTTATGATCATGTTCAGAGGATGGATGACCTTGGTACGAGATTATGGCTGGATATTTTGCCAAAAGCTACCGATCATTTGTGACTCTTGGAAAGCGAATTGAATCACCCTTCTGGTTCGAAGTTGTGTGACGGTCCTACCCGCTCCGGCACATCTCGTGTATTCCTGCCTACCTAGCGCATCCCACGTGCGCCTGGCGGCACAGGCTGACAGGAGTGTATTAGTACTCAGGATGGTACAACGTGGCGTGCCTCATGACGTCGGGCGTCTCTAGGCTTGAATTGTGCCTGAGAGAATTTCGCAGTCATAAGTCTCGATGCTCATTTTCATCATTAATGAACTGCGGTAGACTGTGGTGTAGCCTGTAACTTTAGTGCTTCATACGATTTTCACTTTCGTAAAATCGAAAAAACCCCCGATGGCCCACCAGCCTAGCACCGCTGCCTAGATGCGCCATCCTGCTATTCCTGGCGGTATAAAAACGCCCGCACGAACGCTAGGGGCAAGCTCCCGTTGAAAGCTGAAGTTTTTTGCTCCTGTCGGGTACCTGCCATGAAGCCAAGGAAACCGCGAGGAATCCCAAATTTTGGCATGGCGCAAGGAAGCTCCAGGCACCAGAAGGGGAATGATGGCATTCCTTCATTTGCGGCAACTCAATCATTTTCAGCTCCAGACTAGGCAGCCACTTACCGGTAACACCTGCCCTCCCAACCGACCAATCGGGTGCAGTGTCCCCATTCCCTAGCCGTAGAAAAGGTCTAAGTATAAGTATAGCAACTCAATGTTACATCCATTACGGAACTACGGCCTCCAGCCTCAACTGCGAACAACGTTCCCGCGTTCCACGATGGGGTTACTGGCAGGCCCTGGCTGATGAGGACCACGATGTGACGATAGTCATATAAGAGACATCTGCAGGCAGACGTGAGGCTCCGATGTGCTATCGTACCCACGCCGACCCGTGTGCTTCTTCGGGCTTCAAGCCTCAAGCTTCATCAGCCTCTCGTTCACCAACAGCTTGCTCACTGGCAATTTCCTCTGGACTCGTTCTTCCAGCACTCGGTTGACTTACTCATATCGTAACGAACCACACATTCTTTGCAGCAATCATTCTTTCGAGCATGCAAATCAACCGCTCTCTCCTGGCGGCGCTCAGCGTCAGCTCTGCCCCGATGCTGGCAGCTGCAGCGCCCTCCCAACACGTCCACGCCCGCGACGCCAGCACCTACCAGGCCAACGCCGAGACCGCGCTCGACCGACTGCAGACGTGGTACAGCGAGGACTCGGGGCTATGGACGAGCTACAGCAACGGGTGGTGGCAGTCGGCCAACCAGCTCACGACCGTGATCGACATGGCGCAGCTCGGCAGCTCCAAGGCCCAGCAGCTGGCCGAGCACGTGGTGCCCAACACGTTCAGACAGGCCGCCATCAACAACGAGAACCGCGAGCACACCGGCCGCAACCCGTACATCAACGACTACTACGACGACATGGGCTGGTGGGCCATGGCGTGGATCCGCGCCTATGACCTGACGCAGAACACAACCTACCTCACCACCGCCGAGGACCTCTTCAACGACATGCGGTATGGCTGGACCACCAAGTGCACGCCCGACGGCGGGCTCTGGTGGGACAAAGAGAACACCTTTATTGCGCCCATCTCGAACACCCTCTTCATCGAAGTCGCCGGCTCCTTGGCGAACCGCGTCGCGTGGAGGAAGGACTACTACACCATGTGGGCGCGAAACGCGTGGAACTGGCTTAGCACCAGTGTCTTGTACGCCGCGGATCAGCACCTCCTCATGGGCAGTATCAAGGCCAGTACCTGCGTCCAAAACGAACGTCCGGATAGCTTCACGTACTCGCACGGCGCGCTGGTCGGCGGCCTCATTGAGCTCTCGAGTGCGACCGGCGAGACGAAATACACGGACGAGGCGCACCTCGTGGCCGGCGCCGTTCTGGACAGCATGACTAAGGACGGCGTGCTCTACGAGCAGAATATCGACAACGAGCACCCGGGGGAGTCAGCGCCACAGTTCAAAGGTGTCTTCATGCGGGCTCTCAGCTCGCTGAACGCTCAGAGCCCCAAGACGGAATACAAAACGCTTGCTCAGAAAAGCGCCGACAGCATCTGGGAAAACGACAGGGACAGTGAGGGCAACCTGGGGCCCGACTGGAATGGTCCATTTTTCGGGTCGGGAAATGCTAGCCCGCATAGTTCTGCTATGGATGCGATCGTGTTCGCATGGAAGGCGTCGCAATGAATTGTCGTGGGCGCATAGAGCGATTGAATCCTCAATCCACGTTCCTCTCTAATGAATGTTCGTAATCAGTATACTCTAGTTCCGGTACAGAAAATAATTCTGGAAATTTTCGATTCTCAAATATGAGAGTGTCGTCACCTCGCCATGAAGGGAGACTCTGTACTGATTGACGACGCAGAGGAAGTGCTGCAACTTGGAGCATCTATTCTTCGTCGACAGCATTCGTCCAGCAGAGCAGACAAGCTTGCCGACCTCCTGCAAGCTCACTTCTGGACATTCGGATACGTGCGTTGACAGAGATTGGCACTGCAAAAAGGATGCTGGGTTGCGATCGCCCCTTCGTGCATGGCAGATCGAGGAACCGCGCATCAGAAGAAATAAGCGTGATGTATGAGTTCCGGTGTTAGTTGAATGCAGAAATGTCGGACTGTGTTGACAACAGCTATCCCGACTTCAGTCCCTATACGACCGTCGTAGCGAGGCAGTATCAAGACGACTACCTCAGATCTGCAAGGCCCAACGGACACAATCAGCTTCGTCAAGTAGCGACAAAAGTGTATGAAAGGAGTGACAACCTTGCGATCAGTTTGCCTGAATGGCTTCATACCTCAGGTTAGCAACTGGAAGCTGACCTTGCTCTCCAGAAACATCCACATATCGGAATTTCCCAACACCGGCGATGACATTTGCAGTTTCGCATCAGCGACGCGAGGACCTGTCCATTGGCAGACAGTGAGGTGCGGCTGAAGATGACTGCACTTGACCGTCGAGTCTCCCCTTGGCTTAACCTAGTGTCGGTGAAGATGCTAAGGTGAGATTATGTGACGGCCTGCACAGACCTTCCCACATGACAAGTGGATACTTCCTGATAGGGGAAGGATCTGACCAGAGGATCCCCTTAAAGGGGCAACCTCCCACTGTACCTATCTCTCTCTCTCTTCCTTTCCTCTCCAGTCTTGATATTCTCGTCAATAGAGTAATAGCTGCTTGCTGCCGGCCATGTCCCAGCTCCTCAGTACGCTCGCCGTGACAGATTAGAAACTTCAAAGACGATGTATAACATCGTAATCTTCTCTAATATAAATACACCTCCACAATTGGGACTGACCAATTAAATGGATTGATTTCGCCCCGTCCAACTTGACGTTTTCCTTTATAGTTAAATAACTTACGGGTATAATTAATCGAGATTTATATAAGACCGTTATGTAAAAAGTAATCTACTTAACCGTTTAAATTATTAAATTTTTTATTTATGTAGCCGTAAAAAAATCTCAATCTAAATATGTAAACAAAGCCTGTACGCGTGCTATAGTTATTATAACTGCCATCACGTGCCCGATATCTCCACCGAATATAGCAAAGCCGCTTTTTAAAGAAGCGATGTCGCTTAACTCGCTGCAAAGCAACATGCATTAAAAGTATATGTTTTTAAATAGTAATACCACCCGTTTTCAAATATCGTTCAAGTGGTCGTATTCCCTTCCCGTAAGCATTAGCCCTTACAAAGCCCTCTATTACCCTTCAAAGCCCGCTGTCACGTATGCGCTAGCCCCCACTCTCTGGGCTGCTCGGAGCGCAGACCGGAGCGAGCTGATAAGTGTTGAATACACGGATGTTGATTGATTCTATTGATTGTTCTGCTCTGCGTGCAGAGATTGATCATCTGTCTTCTTGGTGGGTCAGATGCCCTGTGCGTCTCTGCCCCACTGGAGATCTTCCGGTGTCTGTCTCCGGCTCCCATTCAACAATAAGCTTATAAGCATTTAGTGCGAAATAGCCCAACGCCAGGCTGACACGCCACGTGAGAATTCGGGCAGGCGAACGCTGGCTAGGTATTATCTGACCTCAAGTTGTCGTGAATGGCCTGCTGAACCCACTTCAACTGTGCATCGTGTGTTTGCTTGTACAAACATCGCGAATGCCCTCGAGAACTGATGATCTTGACACCTATCACCGCCTAGTCACGCCGGCGGCTCAGCACATAGCGTCGCGTCGTCTTCAGGACAGCCGCGATGGAAGCAAGACCGAAGCATTGGAGTGCAAGCCGTACCCCGCAAGCACTGTGCTACTCAGAACAGTGACGTCTTTACGAATGAGGCACACAGTTTTGAAGGTAGGCGTAGAGGTGTGGCTCATCGATCGAAAATTGAAGCGGCTGGTTCCAATCAGTCAAGTGTTGTCGCTACAACCTCGATGCCTGCGCAAATCCCGATTTGGACACTTTAACGGGCACTTGACCGTTTGTGGGTGGCAGCCACAAGTTGCCGGACTAGCTTGGATCGGACTGCAACATACTAGTAGTGGCTGACTGGGATCCTGGGGTCCGCGGCTTTGGGGCAATGGAGCTGCAGCCTGCAGGTGGCAGGAGCTTTCTCTCCTGGTCGTCGGTACGGAATATTTGTCGAACACGTGCAGCGAAGACAAGGGATGGACCCGGGGAAGATACGTCAACGGTGTCGCTATCCACCGCGTTTGCTGACATTTCAACACTCCCATTGTCTTGCCCGCTCGCTCTTCGTCGAAAGCCTCGGCGCATTGGGTAGATTGTGTATCGAGGTGAAGTAGTCCAGGGACAACTGAACGTTGAACTGCCGGGCTCTGGTGGATTTGATGACATGGAAGCACGGGAACCGGTCCTCACTCGAGCTTGAACCAGCCACTTCCTTCTGGTCGATGCGGCACAGCCACGCCGTCTTCATGCGGCGAATCGAACATCGAACGTTCATCTTGAACATTCATCATGAACCCTGCTGCCAGTTTGAACCGGCCTGCCACATGCAGCTCCTGCTCGTCATCTCGCATCTCTCCTGTGGCTACATTCATCCGAGTGACCACTTCGTATGTAGGCTTGCTAGACAAGGCAATTCGATTGCAAATCTGGGGTCGGCAGCAATCAGGACGCTCCGCTCTCTGAATCAGTGAGCGACCCTGACACATTCGTCGAGTCCCGGGCATACGCATCACATTCCAGAATAATTTCACATCGAATGGACCAACAGGCAACAAACAGCCTCTTCGTTCCGGTAGCGAATGTCGTGAAGAGTTGCCTCACCAAGAACCATGCCCCGGGTACCCAGACGCTTTTTGGGTACACCAGTGATGGATTTATTTGGAGATCCATTGACCTATACAGGTGTTTTAGTATAAGTACTTACCTTACTTATTCAGGTATGGCAGGTGAACTCTAATAAGTCATGTTAGTGCTCCCGTCCCGCCTGAGTTTCGTGACAGCTACATATGTACGTCCTAGTACCGCTACGTGGACAGGAACGAGAATCAATAATCGACTGACACTTATCAGCCCTCAGCCCTGGCCGATCACTTGCAAACATAAGGTGCTTTGTCCCGTAGGTATCTTGCTCACCAGGTACCTATTCATGTTGTTTGATAGGGGACACATTGAATGGAACATTGAATACAGTGCAATCACAGTGGAGCAGACGTCAAACCTGGAAATCACAGACAAACCAGCTGCTAGCCCTCCCAACAGCCGTCATCAGCCATCAGCCACGAGCCACTTCCCCTCTGGATTGGATCCACTCACGCCACTACCAGGCCAAATCAATCAAAACCTTGGAAGTCGCCTCCGCCTTCGCCTTGGCCTCCGCCTCCCATCTGCGCGCCCCCAGTGGCTCAACGAGTCAACCCGGAGGATTAAGGTATCCATCACTTCCAGCCCTGTCATTGGCCAGTTGACGGTCTCTATTGCCTAGGCCCACAGCCCTGACCCCTACTGGCACCCCTCTGGCACCTCTTTGGCACCCCGCTGACAAGTGGCAGTGACACTGTCCACATGCATTGTTGCCCTTCCCACGGTCCACCTGCACCACCACACTTGAGTTCCCCCCAAGCACCTTTTCCCTCCTGCTCATCCACAACCCATCCACAACCCATCTTTGTCCTTGCGGCTCAGTCATCCATCCATCGTCAACACGGTCATTTCGTGTCGCGACGACATTGTAACTATCCCACACCTGGCCCTCAGATCAATCTGTGGTAAACAGTAAACCAGCTACAGTGCCATCTATCAGTCAATGCGCCCTCTGTTAATTGCACTGCAAGAGTAAATCTGCACACGGAACATTCACGCGGCACCGCGCCTTCTCATCGACAAACACCATCACCAACAGCCACCGTCTTCAGCCACACACGTCCAGCCTTATCACCCATCGAGCTCGACGATGCTTCATTGATGCGCGCAAGCTCCGATCGCGTCTTCACTACATCGATTCTGAGATATCTCTTGTAGGGACCTCCATCGCGCTCTTGGTCGTCTTTTGCCCAAACTCATGGCTTCCGAACAAGGTCCTGTCGCGACAGAAGCCCCGTCTTTCCCGTCGACAGCTCTTCAGCCCTCGATTTCGCAAGCGCCTGTCTCTGTCGAGTCTCTGACGGCCGAAGCTGCTCGCGCGACGCAGTCGCTAAAGAGGCAGCGTGAGGCAACGCCGACCTCGCCCTCGTCTGTGCTGCCGCCGCCTCTGTACCGCGAAACTTCACCGACGAAAGCTGCTAGGACTGCGGGGTTAACATCCAGACACTCTCCTGCCCCGATGACAGCCGCTGCTGCGATTGAAGAAAACAGACGTAGAGACGAAGAACAATACAGACTTCAGGTCTCTGGTGCCAGCGAAAACCCTGCTTACAGAGCACAAACCGCGCTGATGTCTGCGAACGCTCTCGCCATGAGCCGTCCTCAAGATGTGCCGCCGGCGGGCGACGTGCAGCCCGACGCTCCTCAGCCTGATTCCATTCCCATGCACAACATCGGAGAATCCGACCCGAAGCCAGACGTTAGTCCTCTCAGCGCGACAAGCATGGCTAGCTTGGGTAGTTCTGGCGTGCCGGTCGCAACCAGCCCAGCACCCATGGATCTCGATGGGCGCAACAACCAGCCTGGCTTCGGCGCACAGCCGCCAGCCCAGATGGAGGAGAAGGGGGCAATCTCGCTATCGTACCCTGGCATCCTACCACCGGCGCCAAACATGCCAGCTCCTCCTGCTCGTGGAATGAGTATGCCCATGACCCCTAACGCCCAAACGCCGCGATCGCCAAACTCCAAGAAACACAGATGCCCCTATTGCGAAACCGAGTTTACGCGTCACCATAACCTGAAGAGCCATCTCTTGACCCACAGTCAGGAGAAGCCGTACGTCTGTCAAACGTGCCAAATGCGCTTCCGCCGGTTGCACGACCTAAAGCGCCACTCGAAGCTTCATACTGGTGAGAAGCCTCATATATGTACTAAGTGCGATCGCAAGTTCGCTCGTGGCGATGCGCTTGCAAGGCACGCTAAAGGGCCTGGCGGTTGTGTAGGTCGCCGGAGTAGCCTGGGAAGCTATCTCGGCGAAGACGACACAGAGGGGGCATCACACATGGAGGGAGACGACTCGACGATGACCGGTGTTGTGTACGATGGTACTGCGAGCGAAGTTGACATGACTGAGGAGGAGAGACGACGCCTCAGCAGCGTACCTAGTATCAAAGCTCAGCACGTTCAAGGTAATGATACTCTCCCCAACACTTTCACCATGCAGTTGCCAACACATCCTCTTCCAGACGCAAGCGCAGGCCGACTATTTCCCCCGAATGTGGAACGTGGCTCAGCAAGCTCAAATCCCTCTCACACACCGGGTACAAGCATCTCATCTATACCCATGGTTGGCAATCCTTCCATGTACGCTCAGAGCGCCATGACGGAGAGCCCCAAGCCTCTGAGCCCGTCCGCACTACCAGGACACGACGCTGCGAACCTTAACAGACAGCGTTCGCCAAGTTTGACTACACAATTTCAACAGCAGCATTTCGGTCGCCACCAATCAGACAGAAACGCACCCCTAGGTTCGTATACCCATGAGTTCGATATCACTGCGTGGCTGTTTACTGAGACGGCACTAGTACATGGCTTCACTGCCGCTGATGCCGCCAAGTACGCTGCTTCGGCTGCTAGTGCTCAAGGCACTGCGCCAACGTCACAGTCAGAATCGGGTAGCTCGAATCAGCAGCAAATGGCACCGGCCGCTCCAGTGGGCCACACGCGCACCCCAAGCGGACCAGGGCAGAACGGCGGAAGCGGCGATAGCTCAAGCAATAACATTTTCGCAACAGATCACGGAATCTGGGCCTACATACATAGCCTTGAAGAACAAGTCAGGCAGTTGAACGAGCGAGTTCAAGCAATGGAAGCCACGAAACAGGACCAAGACGAGAGGATTGCGTATCTCACCAACGAAGTGACGAATATGCGGTCCCAGGTTGATACGAGAACGGAGGCAACTGAACGAATCGGTTAGTGCAGTTCTTGCCTGTGCCAACAAACAACACGTCAGGTTTTGAGGGAGGTGGACGGGTTAGCGAAGGGACCTTAAGGTACCCATGCAACGGCGCTAAGGGGTATGGGAACGCTTTCGATTCATTGCCATCGTTACACTTCGTCTCTATTGCAGCGGCCATAGTCACCTGGTCTGCCATGGAGGCGTTCAGGTGGTGCTTCAGTCACCAAACAAAAGCTGCTTCATGTTTCCTGGTATTTGTTTCACGTCTGCCGACGTCTTTCGTTATTTGTTCCCGTGATATCCTTGCGGGTTTTAGGGGCTCTGAAGTTGATGGAAACCCGCCCTATGCTGCGCCCATACCCGTCACTTTATATTGTTCAGTGTATACTACAAGCGCAGATAGATGGCCCCGAGGCAGGACGAAAAGGGCGACAGTACCCTTGCTTTATTATCTAATTAACTTTAAGTGCGCTGACACTGTCTTCATACCGAGTGCGTATTCCTTTAGTGTCAGACAATGGAGTGTTTGTGACTGGTTGTGGGTTGCTTGTGCTCATCATCGTGTTTCTATTCCGAAATAATGGACTACGTAGCCTCCGCGTACCAGTGCCATTTTGTCATCTTACGATAGAGGGCCTAGATGTGACAGTAAACTAACTCGTCATGGCACAAGCAATCATAGTCAGAGCCTCCCCTCACAAGCAGATCCAAGCAGCTCGAAGTAGGTCGGTAAAGAAAAGCCCATTGTTTTCGGCGACGTTGGACTGGATGTACGAAACATCAATGACAGCCATCTTGGAAGGTACCTAGATTCGTTGTTCATCAGGCAAGACTCGAGCAGACTTCACGGCAGCCCAGTCATTCTGCATGCACAGGGGAGCTGCCAGACTGTCGATATGGTCTGCAAGTATCTCCCTATCCATTAGTAGTGGGGCTAGCTGGAAATGTAGCAGAAGCGGGGACACTCCAAGTCGAGGTGGTCTGTGCACAGTTTTGGGGCTTTAGAGCCCTCGCACACAAAAATTTCAGCAGCCCGCTTCTTCGGCAGGTCCAACTAGCGAGCCCTTGAGCAATTGCCATCGACCACCTCCGGAAATCCATCACCCCATCCCACCCTGTGTATTCGCTGTTCGACATCCATCGAGAAGCGAATTCCTTGACGATCACACCAAACCGCAATCATGGCTGACGACCCTGAATACGTACGTCCTCTCCCAGCGACTTCGACGAATGCTGCCGTGCATTCGCAAAGACGAGGGCTCAACGAACTGACGTGATTGCATGCAGAACGCTGAGGAGGCCGCTGAGCTCAAGAAGAAGAGACAGTTCCGCAAGTTTTCCTACCGCGGAATCGACCTTGATGCGTACGTTATCCTCGAAACGATCCACCGCACCGGCTACATGTTGCGTCGCGGACTCCACCGATTCATATAGCGGACGATTGCGAGTTGGGATATTGGGGCTAATATTTGACGAACAGTCTTCTGGACCTGAGCTCCGAGCAGCTGCGCGATGTCGTCCACGCCCGTGCCCGCCGTCGAATCAACCGGGGTCTCAAGCGCAAGCCCATGGGTCTGATCAAGAAGCTGCGCAAGGCCAAGCAGGAGGCCAAGCCGAACGAGAAGCCCGACCTCGTCAAGACTCACCTGCGAAACATGATCGTCGTCCCCGAAATGATTGGCAGCGTCGTCGGTATCTACAACGGAAAGGTGTTCAACCAGGTCGAGATCAAGCCCGAGATGGTCGGACACTACCTGGCGGAGTTCTCTATCTCATAGTAAGTCTACACTACGAAGCTGCGAGGACCTCACTTAGCAATGGAAAGAGACATGCTAACTTGTACTTCTCAGCTCACCCGTCAAGCACGGTAGACCCGGTATCGGTGCTACTCACTCTTCGCGTTTCATTCCTCTGAAGTAGGCTATGAATATGAAGGAGGGTCATTGCATTCATGGATTAGGCGAACGGGACGGTTTCTCCTCGGTAGACTGGCAAAATGCCAGCTAATAACCGATATGCGCTGCATGATAAATGAATGGAAATCATCTTGCGCTGAACACAATCTGCGACTTATGGCTGTGATCTACCGGGGTACCCTACGACCGTCTGTTGCTCAATGTGCTTCCTGAGAATTCAGCGGTGGGCCATTACCTCCGTGACTTTGTTGATGCCGGCGCAGACACGTAACAGGACGCTATCCTGCGATACTGACGCCGCACCTTTGTTCCGCCCCAAGTCAGAATGTTGTCCTGATTTTGCCCTCTGATGTCAAGGTCATATATGTGAAGGGTCCATAGCCGACATGAAGTGCTTGTGCGTCAAGGTGCCAGCCCTACTAAGCACCGAGGCTCATCAAATATTTAACAACCAAATGACCAAGACATATTTACCTTACGTACTGTCGTCTCCCACCAGAAGTCTGCCGATGACTTCGCGTAGGACATATATGTCTGCTTCGAAGTGTTTATGGCCTGGCCGAGTTAACTCACCAGTGCTCGGCGCAATAGCATACGGACTCTGCGGGATTTGGACTGAGCAGCATACATGCGTGAGGGCAGAATCCGGAACCTGATGAGGGCTATATGAACGTGACAACGTGTGTGTGTGTGTGTGTGTGTGTGTGTGATCTTATACAGGTCAGGCTACTGATCGTTCGTTGGCTGCGTAATGGACCTGTCTCTTTGGTAACCTGAGGGAGGGCCCTTGGTGCCCGATACCTACCAGGTTATACAACACACATTGCTCGCTATCTTACGAATGTAGGTTCTGCTCACGATGCGGCCGAAGCTGGATTTATATGGACGAACTTCTTGGGAAGACTGATGTCTGAAATGACACTTTTTACGTTGCTGTGAACTGATATCTATGATACGCACGCATATAGCTTCTCAGGCAGGGAGAAATCCGTACACCATCTGGAGCACAGCAGGGCAAAGCATGTTCCATTCTGACATTATTCCGGATCTGAAACGCTTCAAGAAGCCGCCGCAGCTCGCAGACGAAACGGAACAGTCCAATCATGAAGGAACGAGCTACCAGTGATGGATGGAGAACAAGAGGAACGATTGTCTTGCCTTTCCTTCTTTCATTGCCGTTCCGTAGCCGTGATTCTACTCGAGAGATCTATATACTTTGCGTTATGGCACGGCTTGTCTTGTGTCTTGCGTGTTGTGGATTTGTGGTTGTAGGTATGATACAGTAGTAGGTAGGCGTTTCTATTGCTGCTGCTGCTGCTGCTGCTGCTACTTTTGTTGTTGCTGCTCCGCCGCCTCCTTCTTCGCCAGCATCCTCTTCGCTTTCCGCTCCTCCTCGTCGGCGGCCTGTTTCCGGTAGTGCTCGGTGACGTGGTCGAGCCTTGCGTAGTGGCCCGCGGGCACGTTCCAGGGGGAGCCCGAGTTGAATAGTCTGTGGTATCGCGGTTCTTGTCAGCCGTGTCTTCCAAGAAGTTGAGATTTGTAAAAGCCTCTTCCTCTTCCATCTCGTTTACGTTATAGCTGTTGAGACTGATATATGGACCGACCGGTGGCAGCGGAGGAAAAACAAGGAGGGAAGGAAGGGAAAAGACGTACTCGGGCGTCTTGAGCTCGACGTGCATGCTCTTCCCCGAGTTGAGGAACAGGTGCTTGTCGTGGGCGGCCTGCTCGATGATTTCGGTGCGCAGCGCATTGCGCGTCTCCCAGTCGTTGAAGTAGTCGAACTGCGCCAGCCACTTGGACAGGCTGGACGGCTGGCCGTCGTCGCCCGGCCGCGACACCGAGTACGCGAACATCGAGGCCGGGATGGCCCCGGCGAATACGAAGAACGCGGTCTGCAGACGTCAGCTTTATGTGTTCCCGGCTGGAGCTCATTTGTTCCCGGCTGAAAGTGGGAGCCTTATAGAGAACGTACGCCTAGTCCCTCCTCGGCGGCTTGTAGTGCGGCATGCCCGTGGTTGGCACCGTGGCTCTCGGAGGCGTAGGTTCGGGCGGTTCGGAGCGTGGTTGGGCGCGTTCGGCGGGCGACACAAGCCGCTCTTGTTCGGAGGGCCTGCATTGTGTTGTAGGTGATGTGTGCTGCCAATTGGCGTCGGGAAGTTATCGTAGGGCTCAGAGCTTGCTTGTGTGAGTGCAGTGATGTCGGGATTGAGGTATTCAAAGATGGTGGGGCGCTATCAACCAATCATTTGTAGGTCAGCTTGGACGGTGTCGATACTCAGGATTACTGTGCTTAATACTGTGTGTTCTATTTCCAGAACGCTGCACCCATTCAGCCATTTCACAACTTTCGATGTCAACATGAACATGAATGCGACCTCTGTACAGAACCTTCCGGTTATCTTGGGAATCTCTAGATACCCTCACTTCTCTGCGTTTTGAGTATAAGTGATTCGATCTGAGAATAGGCATCAGCCTGGGGCCTGGATGTTCCAATTTCTATCAGTTTCTCTGCCTTCGTGTCAAGTTCGCTGTTGCCAACTGTCCTAATTGCCAGTTGGGGCATCGCTACATAACCTACAAATGCTCCCACGAATCCACACCAAGTATCAACTCTCTTTCCTAACATAAACCTGTACACACCCAATGTCTGTTGCCATCATGTCTCCCTCACTCTCACGCAATCTTTTCAAGGTGGTCTCTCCGATACTGCTCGTCATTTTCCTCATCTCTTTATTCGGCTCCGCTTCTGCAGCATCGTCCCCATCACAGTCACCATCCGTGGAGACCGAGCTCATATGCCACACAGACAACCCGGCGGAATGTTATCCAAAGGTGTTCTCTGCGACCGACGAGTTCCAAATCATCCGCGATGACCAGGACCTGCCACCGGGCTTGCATGTGCAACTCGATATGCAGACTGGACAAAAACAGGCAAAACTCTACAACCCAAATGAGGACGAAAACCCAGCACTTGCGGGCCTGCCCGTTGACCAGGCTGTGATGGTGATAGATCCGGAACCGTCACAAGGAGAGCCCCAGATCCCCTCTGGCGCACCGGCGTATGAGCCTGTCGGTGCAGTAAAAGAGCCGCGTGAGAAGGACGAGGGGTATACCGAGGCCCTGCAGACGATGAAGGATTATTCGGAAAACCCCCACTCATTCGAGTCGAGCCCGCTGGACGAAGCACTCCAAACCCTCGAAGACCTGTCTCATGATATGTACTACGGTTTGCAGATTGCGGGGGACACCGAGGCCCTACAAGCTCTGCTCTGTCTTCTCACCAAGCGGGATGTGGTGCAGGCTGAGGCGCGACAGCTGACAGACCGGCACGATTTCCTTGCATCGTCGACGTTGGCCTCGGCCGTGCGAAACAATGCTCCTGCCCTTCAAGCGCTCGAAAAATCGTGGGATGCGGTCATGGAGAAGCAGTGCCACTTCCACTCTCAACCCTTGAGACACGAACTATACCACAAGCTAGCACCCACAACCGAGCCGGGGAGCAAAGGAGAGTCTCTGGAAGCAGATTTCATCGGCCGGAATCTCGCCGCCTTACCCGGGCTCCTCAAGAGCCCAAAGATCAGGGCCGAGTTCCTGGAGAACGACGGCATGCGGAGCTTCCTCAAGATCCTCCTCCGGGAAGGAGCGGACTGGGATCCCAGAAGGCCCAAAGTTGCCAGCATCGTGTCCGACACCTTCCTCGACGAGGCCCTCGGAGCGAGCCTGGGGATCTGGCCCACTCGAGGGCCTGCCGATGCCAGTGTGTGTGCCGCAGGGGGTCCGGAGTGTCTGGATGAAGGGTGCTGGGAGTACCACCTGGAGAAGATGAGCGGTGATCCGCAATGGAGTCGCGAACTCCTGCTATTGTTGAAGCAGGGACGACCTGATGGTTCTGAAGCTGCGACTCCGCCAATACACAATGAACTATAACATGTATCAAGAGGCTGTGTCGATAAGATGTACGTAATGAGCATTTGCATATGAAACGTCTGAGCAACGACGTGTTCAAACTCAGTAACCAATATACCCATCGAACCATATTACGAACAGTTCATAGCCTTAGCTCCGCGGTGGACACTCATGCATCCCTTAGCTGTCATGGAGTGATTCCAAAATATGTGAATGTGCGCCTGCCCCATGCATAAGAGACCACACGACCGATGGTATATCCCATGACCTAGCAGATGGTGGTACAGCAATATGACTAGACGAGGCAAGGCAAAGGAATGTTCTGTAACGGCCCTCCACTTTCCCATGATGTGAGTATACTGAACCTGCAAAAGCCTCCGTACAACCTAAGGTGACCAATGTCCTAGATAGGGGTAGTTTTTAGTTGTGGCAAAAGCACTCCAGAAGAAGCATGAAGCATGGGTTTTCGGCATTAATATGCTGACACTAGTGTGCTTACATGTAGTCCGCCTAGGTACGGTATCTATCATGTGACTATTGAAAAGAGCAAAAAGAAGGACCCAGCCAGCCAGCAATCTAGGCTGCTAAAAGTAAATGGTGCATTAGCCGCGAATCGAACGCGGGGCCTGCCGAGGTTGCATGGCAACGGCAGATTTTACCACTAAACCACTAATGCTGAGTACTAGGAGGGAAAGTCCCATAATTGGACGACAAATCATTTTGCTATAAACGTTTATAGACAATCTGTCAGACGGCAGTGGTGCGCGGACGGAGACTCATGAGGGATAACTGTAGTAGAAGCAGCATCCGACATGCTTCCTTCGATTCATGACGGTAACCTAGATAACCCTACATTCCTGTACACGAATTTGATACATGATAGTTACAGCAAAGTTATAGTTGTTCAACGAGTGTTCCTTCTTGCACAAAACTTGGTCATTCGCAAACGAAGCATCCAAAACTCGAACTCCCCTGCCGGCTCAACAGACGGCCTCCAGATCGTAGTATCCAAGCACCAGTGGATAAGTCACCGGCGCCCTCAAAACCCAGACGTCGACACACTACAACGCAAGCCTCTTCCGGCCAGCCAGCCCCTCAGCGCTACCACACAGCTCGATCCACCCGTCATCGAACCGCTTCCTCACAACATCCGCCTCCTCCAGGCGTCCGACGCGCCGCAGCAGACTCTCCAAATACGGCAGACGACGCGCGATCTTGCGGTGGCTCTCGCGGAAGGCGGCCTTTGTGTCTCCATCGTCCCGGAGCGGTATCCCGCGGTACAGCATGTCGATGGCCCAGCCGTAGTCGCCCCGCTGGCGCGCGATGCACTCGAGCAGCTGGCAGCAGTCGATCTCGACGAGCGGGTCGACCTCGCCCTCGCGCGCGTCGAAGATGACGCCCTCGACGACGGCGACGGCGTCGGCGCACCGGCCGTCGTAGAAGTGCATCCACGCCATCGAGCAGCGCGCCTGCTGCGTGCCGCGCCGCCGCTCACCCTGTCCGGTGCGGTCCGGGTCCGTGGCCAGCTTGGCCAGCGCGCTGCGGTAGAACGTCTTGGCCGCCTCGACGTCGACGAGGCCGTAGTAGACGAGTTTGGGATAAATGTGTAGGACCCCCAGCTCCGTGTCGAAGCGGCTCGCGATGCGCGCGGCGCGCAGATAGTACTGAACCAGATTTGAGATATAGACCGTGAGGCCGGCCCAGCCGGCGCGGCGGAAGCGCCGGAACAGCAGCGTGAGCGGGTGGCAGGCGCCCAGCACGATCTGCGCCATCTCGGCGGCATAACTAACAAAGCCGTCGGCGAGCTCGCGACCCCCCATGCCCACGGCCGACAGCTTGAACATCGCGATGGCGGTGTCGACGACGAGCAGCGGGTGCTGTAGTTGTAGCATCTCGCGGTACCGCTCGTAGCACGCCGACACCATACTAAAACCCTGTGCCGTCAGCCCATTAACCAACAAGTTCTTCGCGATCACGATCTGCGAGTACCACTCCGTCACTAAGTTTGGGCATCCCGGGTTCGTCTCCCACATGAAGTGCGCGTCGTCGGACCCGCCGATGTATGTCTGCATGATCTGCAGGCACTCCTCGGGCAGGCGCAGGCTGTCGGGCGACTCCAGCCGCTTCGGGATGGACTGCGCCCGTGCGAGCCTGGGGCCGGGCGACGGCGTCCGGCAGAGTATGCCCTCCGTGGGGCGTTTCTGCCGCGCATCAGTAGAGGTCTCGGACGGCGACGAGGCGGCGGATGAGGCGGAGGCGGAGGAGACGGAGGAGGCCGAGACGGCAGACGCGGCGATGGTCTCCTCGATCTGTCGCCGGCGGGCCTTGGGCTGGCGGTTGAGGTACGAGTTGAGCCGCGCCTCGTCGACGCGGCGGCCGTGGATGAAGACCTCGGAGGCCTTGCCCTCGGCGGCGCGGCGGTTCTGCAGGCTCAGCAGCTCGCCGACCTGGTGGTGCTTGAGGTTCTTCTGGACGCCCCACTTGTTAAACTTGCTCTTGTACATCTTCTCCCTGCGAGTTGGCCACATGCGTTAGGACTTTGTTCTGCTCATACTGATGTAGGAGAGTAGTGCTGCCGCTGCTGCCGCTGCTGCTGCTCATACGACGACGACGACGATAATGACAGCTGGGTGGATGGATGGGTAGGTGGGTGGGTGGGCTGGACTAGGTACTGACGTGGCATAGAAGAAATACTCCAGCTCCATGATCCGTTTCACATCCCTCAGCGTCTTAGCCCGGTCGAGGTAGAGGGCGGTGATGGTGCCGCGATACCGGGCCCAGTCGTCCGGGGAGGCCCATTTCTTGCAGACGGCGGTCGAAGCCATACCCGACCACTACCACTAGGCAGACTGTAAGGTAGTAGACCTAGGCAAGGTAGGTAAGGGTAGCAGTGAGATGCGCTTGTGGAGTTCGTGGCGGAAGCGGTGGCGGAAGCCAAAGCCGAAGCGTGGGGATTCGGGTCGATGCGATGCGATGGCGGTTTAAGCTTAAACGTCTATTAAGCGGAGACAGACGGGGGAAGGCCGATTCACAGGGACAGGTTTCGACAAGCAGGCAGATAGACGGACGGACCCTGGACATTGGGCGCGAGGTAGGTAGAAAGAGGGAAGGCCGTTGATGCAGAGCCCTTTTGTTTCTCTTTTTCTTTTCAGTGGGGATTCTTCACCTTGTATGTAAATAAGGTAAGGGTGCAGTCAGCGCCTCATCAGAAGCATGCAGGTGATCCCTCAGCGGGCAGGCAAGTCAGGGCAGGGCAGGGCAGGGTAGGGCAGGGCAGACTTTCCACTCCGAAGCGTCCCGGGGTTTAATAATGAAGAAGTTCGCACTCGCTCGCACGACCTGAGTTGAGATGAGTTCCAACGCAACCTAACAATGAGCCTCGGACGAAGGCGACGGTGACACCCAAGGGGGGATGGTAGGTAATATTGCCCCAGCAGACGCTCATTGGCCGCACAAAAATGCCATGCATACGAGGCGACCAGGGCCTTGGTACATATACAGTAGGTATGTTGGAGGGCTGTTGGAGGGCTGTTGGTCTAGACGTTGGTCTCATCGGTACGATGCGACGCTGAGCCGAGAGTCCTATGGTTCGCTGTAGGTACATGACACTGTACTACGTACACACATCACCACAGACAGACTGCGCACAATACAACCGATTGCGTGTGTGCGCCGTCGTCCTGCGTGCTTCTCCCGCGCGTCCATCCGTTTCATCAGCCATACGAGTCAGCCCATGATCTGCATCTCGTACCTGGTGCAGGCGATGCCGCCATTCCCGCAGCGCCCTATCTTCATACTCCAACGGAGGTACATATATAGACCTGCAACAGTAACGTTCAGACCCGTGACACCCGGTGCCATGACGGCGGAATCCATCCCCCCTTCCCCGATATCTTTTGAGCTGCGGGCGCCGATCAGCCCAGCGATCCAATGCCTCAATGCCTCGAGGTTACATATTTATCTATGTACGACAACGCCTGCGTATGATCGTATCAACCACTTCAGCTGCTATGCTTGCGCGTCGTGTGGTGCACCGTTGTAGTTAAAAATAGAAACGCTGCTGTGGTCATTCGCTCACCGGTACGGTGTGGTGTCACCGTGTATGTGTATCTGGCAGGCAGACTCTTCTCGAAACTGCTCTCCGTGTGGACGAGGGAGGTTGTATTGTGCGCGGGTCAGTTTCCATGATCTGACTGTGACGCGGTGGTCGGCCAGGCGGGAGGATTTTTGGTGTTTCGTCGCTGCTCTCTTCAGTGTACACGTACGTACATGCAGTTTTCCTTTTCGCAAGCTGACCGCATGGAAAAATACCTGCTCGAGAACCCGAGAACTGAGATATAAATATATATATATATATACCTCGGTATGTATTTATAGTGAACGATTTCAGCTTTGGTAGCACCAGTCCACGACAGGTCTCAGTGCTCATCGTCTCTTCTTCAACAATCCGGAGGAGTAGCCGTTGCCCGACAAGGATTCTCGCATGTGTTCGCGTCATGGAACAACTTCCGGAAACCCGGGGAAGAAGCCACCTACCTGCTTGCGTGCCCTGCCCTGGCTACTGGTTAATGCGGCAGGCTTGCAGCTGCCGCGGATGCAATCCATGCCTCCCACGTGAGGGGTTCACCCACACTGGACCATCAGCTTCTCCTGAACCGTATGCGATGAACACGTGCGGGGTCGATGACGAGGAGGAGGCAAGGGACATGGAGAATTCGGCCACTCCTCGGTGCTGACTTCGTCGCGCAGGATAGAGCCCGTTTGAGGTTAGCTATACTACATGTACTCAGTCCGCTCTGATATGCCAACCTTGGCAAATTGTTCCCCAACCGCTCGGCAGGGAAGATATCAGAGTCTCTGCATAACTCAGGGGCAGTAATCAATGTCCAGATTTAGAGACAGTCAGTAGATATTGCACCTGGTACAGTCAACCCCCCCCCATAAGTCTCCGTTCGGCATCCCTCTATCCAGTTGTAGATATCAACGCGATATTCATGTTAATGGAATAAACACCATGGAATAAGCAGCGTTGATTAGGAAAGTCATCTTCGATGCTTATTCCAGAGTGATTATTACATTTTTAACTTGCATATTCCTCGCCTGATGGACGAGGGGTGCACGGAGACTTTGCGAGGTTCAGTGTATCATCACTCATAGTGAGACTATTTCGGTCTGAATGGGTCGAATACGACATAGTTATCATGATCAAGCCGACATTGGTTGAGCGTCATGTACATTGCCGTCTATAACTCTTTAGTTTAGCTTCATGTTCAGTCAAATCGTAGGGAACTCACCATCCGGACTCGCCATTGCCGGGAAGCCCGTCATAACGCCAGATCGGTTGTTTTCTTGGACTTCAGCTTGAGGAGATCAAGCTGACTGAACGCACCGTCCGCACCCCACTTCAACAGGAGACCGACGACCGCTCGATACCAGCTGACCCTCTCCTGCTCGCTCTCGGCCTTGGTCCGTCCAGCATCGACCACCAGATCCCTATCATAGTCAAGACCCCTCCCACCAGAGGCAGCTTTCTCGATGAAGGCATCTGATACTGACTTTGGGCTATGCTGAAGCGCCGTCAGCAAGATTGATCTGCCGTTCTTTCCCGTATTGTTGGGGTCGGCGCCGTTCCGCAACAGCGTGTTCACCATCCACGCGTCCCCTTGTCGGGCAGCTCGCATCAGCAGAGTCTCCCCGTCACTGTCGACGAGATGCAAATCGGCGCCTTGCTGGCAAAGGAACTCGAGGACTTCGCGCGAGTCGGAGTATTTGTGGTAGTGGTGCATGACGGCCGTCATACCCCGAGCGTCGTGCCAGTCGAGGTGTGCACCGCTGTTGATAAGGAGCCGCGCGATTGTGACATTTCGGGCGTAGAATAGTGCCGTCGTTCCAGATGGACCAAGCCTGTCTACGGCGATATGGTCACTGGACAGGAGCGGAGAGACCGCCCTCTCATTACCACCGGCCACGGCGTATAGCAAAGGAGACCAGCCCCGATCGTCCATGAGTTCAGGGTCTATACCTTTCGATTCGAGTAGCGTTCTGATAACGGCTTCGCGCCGGTAATTCTCGTCGTCAAGGCCTTCTGGTTTCGGCTGCTTCGAGGAAGGAGATGAGGTCGTGACCTTCAACGTGTCTCCGTCGATTGCCAGTGATAACGCCGTCCTTCCACCCTCGTCTCTCGAATTAACGTCGACGTTTGGTAGGCCCAAAAGTAGCGCGACCACTTTATAGTGGCCGTTCAGTGCTGCTAATGCTAAGGGAGTTCGTCCCTTGGTGGTCTCTTGAAAACCTGTCAACGTCTGGATCCACGGCCAGACACGACAAGATATCGATGCGGCCCAGCTCAGCTGAAAGCAAGAGCGGTGTCCGCCCTGCATTATCTTCGTAATATACGTCCACATCTGGATGGTTGAGTAGTAGCTGAGTGATTTTCGGATTGTCGCAGAGTATCGCCGTGTGGAGTCCAGTCCTGTCTACTTCATCGGCGGCATTGACATCGAGTTCGGTCGCCGTTAAGAGTGCCTCCGCAATTTCCTGAAACCCGGAGCTTATAGCTATACTCAGTCCAGGCAGTCCACTCGGCGAAGATACGTTCGGCTCGACTCTCGGGTCGTCAAGTAGGAGCTTGACGATGACGGAACGACCCAACGCGATGGCTTGGCCTAAAGGCCCGGTGCCTCCGCGGTCGACTTCTGAATGCTCGAGCAGCACTCTCACAACTCCCTCCTGTCCAAATGTCGTGGCGTAGGCTAGGGGTGACAAGCCCTTGGGTGAAGTCTTTGCCGAGATTTGCCACTCTTCTAACATCATTCTAACAGTTGCGTTGTGGCCTCGTCGAGCAGCCACCATCATCGGGGTCATCCCCTCAAAGTCCTCCTGCTCGGCGTTATATCCCCTCTCAAGGAGTTTCCTGGTAACTCTATCATGGCCCATAAAGGTAGCCCAATGCAATGCAATTGGGCGTTGCTGATCGAAATCGAAATCCCAGGACACGAAGTAGTAGTATGAGTAGTCGCTCTCTTCATATGGCGCATAGCGTGCGATGACGGCTGCTTGGTAAGCTGAAGTCGCGATATTAGGTGCTTCCAAGAAGTTAATAATATGTGTATCCTGATCATCATTGGTTTTATCGATGTGCTCGTACCAGAACTCGCTTGCGTAGCTGTATAGCGGCCACATGGTGAGCCTTTCGCTATGATCAGATCGGCTGAATAGGGGTCCAGGGGCGACATTCTGGTATGACAAATATCGGATGCATACAGTAGCGATATGCAAGTCGGCCAACGGGAAACGATGTAGCTTGACGCGGTCAAAGTATTGCTGGGTCGTATGGTGTACCAATCTAATGACGTTCGTTTCTGCGTCAATGGTCACGAGGCCGGCACAGACAGAGAGAATATGGTCGAGGTCGGTGAAGTTCTCAAGGTCCAGCGAGGTCAAGCCATAATCCTCAAACTCGACTGCCAAAGCATGTTGAAGCTCGCCGGTTGTGAGCGGTCTTTTGGCAAATGTAATCCAGGACAAGGCCTGGGTCGCCAACTCTGCCTGGTCTCGAGTCTGGCCTTTTATCCTTTCCATTGCCTTATCATAGGCTATATCATAGGCATGTTCTCCGCTGTCCAATCCATCCAGAGCTCGCTTCATTGCTGTCTTGGACTTCTTGTCGACAAGTGAATCAAGATGTAGCTGGGCCAGAAGGAACCTTTCATTCTCGCAGTTAGACCCGAGCTCTCAAAGGTAAAAGTTCAATCGGGCGGTTGAAATGACAATTTGCGGTAGTTAGCTGGGAAGTGGTTGCTTGTGCTAGTGCAGATTTTCATTTCAACCGCGCGTCAGGATACTTACATGCCTTGCACGTGCCGAACAATCGTCCGCTTGATCTTGCCCTGAAGCTCTCGACTTCCACGGACGTATGTGGGTAAACTCGGCAACCGGGTCTGCACATACTTCTCGACGTCGCCATCGTTGGCGCGAATTTCAAGCCTTATGCATTTAGTAAACAGTTCCTCGATCCTGGGAACTTTCCGACAAGTCACAAATAGACTGAAGCCAGTCTTGGATTGGAGTTCAATCAAGAGAGATACAAGCCGCCGAAGAGGATCGTAGGATGCAGCGCATTCATCTAGAGCATCAATGACGACAAAGCCTTTGCGGAAGCTTTGAGCGATTGTTCCAAACGCCTGCTGTGTCTGGGCTAGGTTCGGCAAGTTCTTCTCCCTAGCGTATAAGCTCTTGATAAACTCCGGGATTTTGCTGCACCTCTGGACAAGCTGCCGGAGGAGGCTGGAGAAGACCATCTCTGCCGATTGCTGATGCTGCAACCGAAAGTTGCAGAATATATAGGCCACGTACGTATCCGAACCGGTCTCATATTGTCGAAGCAGTTCGTCGACCACGATACTTGACATTATCGTCTTCCCCGAGCCTGGCATCCCGTGGCAGAAGAGTGTCTGGCCGGAATCCTTCAGCCAGCGTTGATATTCATTCGACTCCAACAGCCACTTCCCAGTGCCTTCGGTCCTCTTTGAAAGGAAATCTCGCTGCTGTGATGCGTAATTATTGGTCGATATGAGATCCAGGATGTGATCATGTTGTTGAGATTGCCCCCTTTGGCCAATCTCGTCAATGTCTTCCTGCAAGTTGGACATGCTTCGCCGTTCTGGACTTCCCACTCCTGGCGTGCCTTTCGATCTTGGTCTGCTTCGTTTCTGGCGGCACGCACTTCGCTCAAGGTCTCCATGTTTAGAGTGAGACAGTCAATCCCGACGAGATTGTTCAGTACTTGACACTGCCGATTGAGGTCCACAACGGTATCTCGAATATCGCTAGCTGTGAAAGCCATTTTGATCCGATGCCACCCGAACTGGCCGCCCTTCGCGGCACCCTCTAGGTCGGCGAGTAGTTTTCGGAGTCTGGTGGTACAGTCGTTACCATGTGATCTATCCGCTTTCCTGGCGCCGACCCTTCTGGTCTGAAATGCGCCAACAGCGCGGAGTTGTTTCCCTCCATGGCCTTCGAAAAGTCTGGACTCATGATGTTGGTGTAGGTAATGGATAGCGCTATCTTCAGTGTTTGTATCTCGATGATGAAATTTTCACGTCCTCTGGTGCGTGGCTCCAGTTCTTACCGTACTTCATCAGGAGTTCGGCAATCTGCATTGTCAAACCGACGACGCCCAAGATGCCGGTGGCCACCGAGAATGGGTCTGCCATGTCCGCGGTAGAGTGAATGTCGGATGGCAAGTCTTCTCACGACATACTGAAAGGTCTATTTGTCGAAGACGCAGGTGAGATTCTTGCTGGGAGTTTACTGAGCACCCATGGGCAAGGCTCCATGCGTCTCGTGCGTGCGGGACCGCTGCGAGCCTGCATATTCGCCGACCAGTAAAATGAGACATCTTTCTGATGTCGTATCAGCGTTACAGAACCGAGGTCCGTACACTGATTGATTGCCAATGTATAGTCAGCTGTCTTCGCCTGAGACGCATTCAAGTCGTTGGTGGAGGTATTCGTTGCTTTGGGAAGGCCCTCAAGCCAAAAGACGGCACAAAAAGTGGAGTACCATCCCCCCCCTACATCTCGGACACCCCCACATCTCGTACAGCAAAACCCCACCACCACCACCGAAACCCTATATGTTCACTTATACGCTTTCAGCCCGATATTGAAGCTATTCAGAATGTATTTAGTGTTCTGGGTAGCCCTGATCTTAAGGTTTAATCCAATGTAGAATTTACCCCGCGCGGTCTACGTGATTGGCTGTCTATTACCCCGCGTTTCCTATCCCGAATAGAGATTTTTGGGTGCTGGAGCCTCGTCTGAAGCCTTGTTCTGTATGCACCGCAGCATCGTATAGCCGCCTAAAATGCCTCCCAAACCGTATATGGAGGATCAGATGGCGAAGGCCATCTTAGATATCACGGATGAGGGCCTCTCGCTACAAAAAAGCGCTCAAAAACACGGCGTCCCTGTTACAATGCTCTCTGACCGACTTAACGGCAAGCCCTCAAAAGGCAAAGACTATATACACCAACAGAGACTCTCCCCTGCTCAAAAAAGCACTATAATTAACTAGATTTTGCGTCAAGAGAAGCTAGAACTAGCCCCTTCGTACTCCCTGGTGCGTGAGATCATTGTAAAGGTGTTGAAAAAGAACAGAGATTCAGGCCACCTTGGAGATCACTTTATAACCGGCTTCAAGCGCCGTAACCCCCAAATAAAGACCAAAGTTGACAAAAGGATGGAATGAGCGCGCTTTAAGGGCTTCACGCTGAAGACAGTTAACTGGTTCTTTGAAATCCTAAAGGATTACGGCTGGGTCAAGCCAGAAAACACGTATAATGTCGATAAGAGCGGCATCATGGCGGGTTTTGGTAAATATAACTAACCCTTTAAATCTGTAGAAATTCTAATTAGCTTTATAGGCATCGACTCTTTGGTTTTAGGTAATTCTGTTACTAAAAAGGCCTTCTTGAAAAGCCCTCAAAATTGTGACTGGACCTCTTTCATTGAGGCCATCTCTGTAACTGGAAAAATCCCCAAACCAGGTATTATCTTCAAGGGGAAGGACCTCCAGGCCCAGTGGTTCATTGAGGAGTTTTGAAAGACCGCCAATTGGCACTATATATGCTCAGAAAACGGCTGGACTTTGAATAATATAGCCTGCCAGTGGCTAGAAGATATCTTTATCCCGCAAATAGACGAGATACAAGGAAAAGATCAGACTGAGCCTATTCTTTTAATACTAGATGGCCATAGTAGCCATACCTCCGTACGTATATGATTTTTCTTATTTAATATATGTCACGGCGAGCGTACTGAAGAGCTGGGACATGGCCGGCAGCAAGCAGCTATTACTCTATTGACGAGAATATCAAGACTAGAGAAGAAAGGAAGAGAGAGAGAGATAGGTACAGCGGGAGGTTGCCCCTTTAAGGGGATCCTCTGGTCAGATCCTTCCCTTATTGGGAAATATCGGCTTGTCATGTGGGAAGGTCCGTGCAGGCCGTCACAATATAGCCTTCCCCCCCCCCCCCCCCCCCCCCCCGATTTAATAAGGGCTAATGTGTGTTGTAAGGACGAATTCATGACCATCTGTTATTTCGCCAACATATTGCTCTGTTTCTTCCCTGCGTATACTAGTCACGACATGCAACCCCTAGATAACGGGCCCTATAACGCCCTGAAGGCTCACTACCAGAAATTCCTTTCTCAGCTAAATTCTCTGACGGATGCCTTGGCTGTTGACAAGATCAACTTCATTCGGTGCTATAGCCAGGCCAGAAATGCTGCTTTTACTAAGGCAAACATCCTCTCTGGTTTCAGAACGACTGGAAGTTATATTATCAGCCGTAGGAAGTGCTTAGCGCACCCAGAAATCCAGGAAGAGAAGCAGAAGGCCTCTGAGCCTGAGACCCCTGAAAGCTCTAAACCAGAGGACCAATGGACCCCTACTACGAGCCGCCAGATCATGAATTTTGGCGAAAATAAGTCTCCTGGCACCCAGCTGAGATACAGGAAGATAGCCACTGCGTTCGAGGCTAAAAAAACCAACCTTGTTATCAAAAACAGGAAGATTAAGGCCCTGGAGGCTGAACTGGAACAGCTACGACCAAGAAGCGGCAGAAGATCCCTAATCCTAACAGGAAGTTCAGAACAGTCATGGAGGTACTAAGTACGGGTGGTACCATCACCCCTGGTGCCTCTGCAGATATACCAGAAGTTGCGGTTGATGATGACAAGGAAGAAGAAGCAGAAGACGAAGACTCGGCTGAAGAGGCCGCTTCGGAGGCCATACAGGAGCCTAGGCAGACCCGTTCAGGGCAATTCATTCGGGCGCCCACTATATATTACGAACGATCAGCTTCAGCGCTCTCGAATGATAAATTTTCTGGATTTCTCTGACCTGAATGACTTCTTTTACATGTGGGTGAATAAGGGGGTGTTTTGGTGGTGGTGGTGGGGTTTTGCTGCACGAGATGTGGGGGTGTACGAGATGTGGGGGTGTGGGGGGGGGCGGGATGGTAGCCGATCTTCTTGTAGCCAGGATATAAAGGTATTGCGGATTCCTTTTACACATTCGCTCGCCTACCAGTTTTTCTGTCAGGTGCCTTCACAGCAACCGGATGCCCAGGGACGAAATGTCAATCCCTCTACATCCTCCTACAACTTCGCAGGCATATCCTGAATTTTCCGTCCGTCGCCCAATAGATTTTGACGGGTTGCAATTCTGCGACTCGGCGGACGGGACGCTGACGGATGCCGACGGTACTGTCGTCTTCGAGAACGAATACAGGGGACTCTTGCTCGCCATCGTGAGGCGCAACGATGCCGAGTCTCTAAAGCGATATCTAACCAGGCATCCTCGCCATCTGGGGCCAGGGGAGACGGATAGCTACGATCCTTACTGGGTCGCGGCTTACGAGGGAAGCACTGAGTCGCTTCGGCTACTCCTGGAGCATCCAGCCGATGAGACAGAGCCTCTCGATACGCGAGGGTACCTGCTCTTGAACGTTGCATGTCAGGCTGCTCAGCTGGAAACTGTGCGGTTCCTCTTGGACCACAGCCAGGATTGGTCTCGAGCAGGTGTTCTTGTTGACGTTTTCGCAAGGGATCGTTACGGCATGACGGCTCTGCTCTCGGCTGCTTCTTCATTTGCAAATCTGCCCTCCTCTGAAGAACTTCCAGGGAAGGAGAATAACATGAATACTGTATTGCACGACTATTTAGCTCGAGCTGAAAGTGTCATGAACCTGCTTTTGGATCGTGGCGCTCACGCTGGCGATATGTGTATGTATACGAGCGCTGAGGCTAGCGAGGAACCTCAGGTACGCCATTCGGTGCTGAGCCAGGCCATCTCGCGTGCCAGCGCCAAGCTTGTAACACGGTTGCTTGCCACGGGAGCAGCACAGACTGACGCGCTTAAGACCATGCACATCTTCGACAACGGCGGCCATGAAGAGTGGACTTATAACGTCACGCCTCTTCACATTGGTGCCTGCTATTCCAACTTTGAAGGAATCCAGGTCTTGCTGGAACATGATAGCAACATGGTGAAAGTCAGCGACAGCTATGGCCGTCTACCATTGCACTGGGCGGCTGCTGGTCCCGGTTACCAGGACTATATGCTGACCCAGGATGAGATCGCCTCGCATGTTCTCCAAACCACCACATTACTCCTGGCTCACCATCCAGACGCCATCAACGCTCCGGACTCGCAAGGCAGGACTGCTCTGCATTATGCATACGTCGTTGCACACACCGGCCCACACCATGCCATCGTCAGAACCGCCACTCTTCTTCTCGAGAAGGGAGCCGACGGCGGGCGCCGCAACGGCGGCGGGCGCACGCCGCTGCACCTCCTCCTCCGGCTCCTCCACCAACGCTTGAACGCCATCTCGGAGGCCCAGCTGCTGGAACTGGTATCCGCCCTGCTAATCCGCGGCGCAGATGCGGACGCTGCCGACGGGCAAAAGGTCACGCCTCTGCAGCTGGCCGCGAGGAGTCTGGGCGATATTCAGATTGCCAGATTGTTGCTGCGACACGGGGCCAGTGCGAGCGCTGCCGATGCCGCGGGCAGCACGCCGCTGCACGAGGCTGCGCGTGGATACGTCGTCGTGCGGCCCAGCCCTGACGGCAACTACACCCAAGAGGTGCCGCTGCCGCCGCCGCAGCAGCGTATAAGATTGACGGCGGAAGATCTCATCAGAAAGCAGGACGAGATGATGGGGGTGCTCCTGGAAGCTGCAGCCGATGTGGATGGCTTGATCGATCGCCCTAATGAAGCGGGCGAGACGCCGAGATCCGTACGCGATGCGATGAGGAGCAAATGGCGCGCAGCTGACGAGGAGGCTGCTGCGAGAAGGGGCGGGTTATGGCCGAGGAGGGGGAGGGGACGAGGTGGGAGAAGGTGAAGACGGGCTTTGTCTCCCCCAATAACTATAAGTAGACTCGCACCTCACATCAACCCGTAGCTCGGCTCTTCCGGTAGATTTCGGCATGCAAGCACAGCTGAGCAAGTCTTCAGGGGTCTGCAAAGACTGTTCGGCAGAATTACCGAACGAGACCTAAAGAATGGCCTGCGACTGGCCCCTTGATGTTTGGAGGTGGCCCAAACAGCAGCCGTGTGCATCTGGCCGGCCGAAACCCTGTGGTCAGACTGAACTGGATGGACGGCGGTGTTCTCATCGCCACGGAGGAGGGCAAAGCCGACGTTCCTTGCCAAGACGCAACAGAAGACTTGGTTACTCTGCGACATTGGAGACGGCTTCCCGATCATACCACTCACAACGATCAGATCGTGTACCCCAGTTCATATTCCGTAGCTCGGATGCCGTGGTTTGCCAGGAGTGCTTTTCACGTCTTACAGCGGTAGCTATCGCCAAGGAAGTGTGAAGAATACCTAACTTACCATGCGTGTCTTTTGGGCTCGTCGGGCATAGACGAGGCGTATATCATGAGATGCATTTGGGGAGAGCAAGGCGACATGGTCAATTAGGCCTACGCAAGACAGATTGACAGTGTTCTCAATGGAATGGCGGGTGGGTGAACATGACTTAGGCGGTTAGAATCTACGAGGAGATGATATGTTGCAATTGGATGGCATCAAACTGACGACCCGGGATGCAACGAGCAGAATGACAATCATGGTTGACATTTCGGCGCAGGCTTGGCACTGCATGTCGAATTGGTGGGGCCAAGCAGGTATGCGGTGCACAGACCATCTGAGCTACGCTTGTGCCTGGGCGTACTCCAGGGCGGACAGACACTTACAGACCTCATCGCCACCCCAGATCTGAGATGTCCATGGACACCTGTAGGTAAATATCTGAGTGGAGACGCGTAAACAATGTAACGGTATGGCTCGGGAAGGACGGGTAGTTGCAGGACTGCAGCCGCGAGGCAGAGTCATTGGCGCCCAAGTAATACCCCAATATCCCGGTTGATGCTTGGCCTGACATGGCGAACCAATGAGAAGGGCGTGGCGGCATTGTACGGCGGCTATTTCGAACGCTCATCTGCCTCATCCGACGACCTCCACCACCCACAGGCACCGGTTCGACCTCTCATCTGAGCAGCCGCGAGAGCTCTGAGAACCGGGACCCGTCGAGGATGCGTCGCCTGCGTGTACGTGGGAGACGCGAAGGTCAAGGTTACAGGTAGGGACCACTCAGCAGTCAAGCTGAATCCATTAGTTGGCGAGAGTGGCCTGTTGACGGCCGTCATGACCCTTGCCAACTGCGTGTGGATGCAACAACAACCTCGTTTCTGCTACTCACCCATTGTCTTTTTCACTGCGCGTTCATTGTGTGTCCCGTTAAACCTGCCCTCCCCCAAACACAATGGCCTCTTTCTTCCCTCTCCCACCCCACTGATGCCCCCCGAGTCTTCTTTATTCCTCCGCCAGTCCTCACCACCCATCATTTCTTTCACCAACACCAACCACTTCACCCTTAATGAATCGAGCCCGCGGTCCTTGAACTCGTCAAAGACCACCCCTACCTCAGGCTCCCCTCGTCTGCGCCAACTGCAACTCCTAATAACCTCTCCCCTCTCGCGCGTCCACGGCCAACCAACCCGGCTATATTTCCAGTTCTATTTCCACACGTGCAGACACCTCGTCGACGATATCTCCTCCGTTATCCATTATATTCTCGCGCCAAACCTCAGAGCTGGTACTTGAGTTTGGCACATTCTTGCACATGATTTTGCCTCACACCTAACCTGTGGTCCTGACCACTATTTGCGATATGGGTGCCACATATCCCACCACCACCAACCCGTTCGAGTCCCCATTCGAGGACCCGAGTCCCATACACCGGTCCAAGGACGAATGGGAGGACTGGGTAGAGGAAGACGACGATGAACCAACACGAGGGAACAACCCAGATGCGCTTCTCATTGATCTCTCCGATGATACAGCAGAGCGATCGTTAAAGCCCGCTACCAGACATACGAGTACTCGCAATCCACAGCACCGTCACTCGGTCCATAAACCGGTCCGACTAAAGTCAAAAGGACGACAAAAGGCACAGAATGCAAAGGCTGGTATCAAGGTCGTGACCGACATGTCCCAATTGCGCAGTCCGGCGCCACCTGCCCAGCCAAGACCAATGGGTCACAATGTCAGGGATGAGAACAAAGGCAGATTCGTCGATGCCGCTGCTCTTCTGGCACTCGAGGGCGAGCCGAACTCGGATTCAGTCGGCAGCTTCTCCTGGCTCAAGCGCAAACCGGGCAACGTGCGAGCCAAGCAAGCCACCAAAGAGGCTGCTCAAGTCTCGCCGTCAGGCCTTTCTCCAATGGACCGGCCTATTGTTATTGGTCTCTCTGTGCCTTCCGACGATGCTGGTCAACATCAGGTTAGCCCACAGACGGCTGTTGTCGAGACACCAACATACATGCAAAGCTTCACACGCAGGGCAGACGCACAGGTCGGCACAACGCCTACACCACAACCTCTCCATTCTGTTTGGTCTCCGGATACAGAAGTGAGCGAGTCGAATCGCGACACTCGTACCGCCTCAAGCATCTATTCGCGACAAAGCACATCTACTGGGCCTGCAGGGAGCATCTACTCGCAACCAACCACCAATGGCGGGCATGTACCTCCAGTTCCTGCTTTGCCAGCAACGATGAAGTTCAAGCAGTCCATGGGACGAGGGGTCCAGGATGACGACGACCTCGACACCCCCTGCACCCTGTTTGAAGAAGATGGCAGCCCGACGGCAACTCGCAAGTCTCAAAAGCCCAAAGCAGCTGCGGCAAGCCCTGGAAGCGCGAGCAGTCGAGCAAATGGGTGGTGGGATCATGTTACGACCCCTTTCACGCAGCAATCCACCAACCCGTTCAAGCAACAAGCGCAGGAAACCGGCTCCAGCTCGTCTGCTGCACCTCGGGAATGGTGGAGTGGAGTTGATGAGAAAAAAGCGCAGCCTTCGCGGTCTTCGGGTCTGACTATTGTCACACCTGCGTCTTTGGGACACCAACATACGGCCCCTCCAGCTGCTGTATCGTCTCAACCTGCTTCAGTCAACCGCACAGAGACGCAATCGGAGAAGGCTAGGATCCTACTCGAGGAAGACCAGACTCCAAACGATCAGCCACCGCCATACGAGTTTACCAAGACCTTCAACGAGGTCAAACCCCCCGCGGTCGTAGCCGCTCCGTACGTGAATACACAGCCAATACCATCGCCAGGCCCGATGACCCCTGGTTTGCCGGGAACCATGACTTCGCAAGGCGCTATTCATATGGCCGAGATACCTTTGACACCAACGGGGCTGCGGCTAGTTCCAGAAGCAGTACTCCCGGATCGTGCAGCTGGATCATATGTTACCGGTGACCAATTCTACGACGCCCCTGGCAGAGCTAATAAATCTGAACGGCAACGGCGCCGACATGAGAAGGAAGACGCAGTCGCTAGGAAACTCGGCGGCTTCTGGAGAGGCCGCGGCTTCATGTCTGATGATGGATGCTTTGGGCGTACCGGCCGCGAAGGCAGAAAGAGAAGAAGGATATGCTTGGGAGTTATCGGTGGCGTGATAGCTGCCATAATTCTCGCTGTCATTATTGCAGTCGTTCTCACACAAAGACATATATCGTCTTCGCCGTCGCCATCATCATCATCGGCGCCGTCGTCGTCAGAGGAAAGCCAGGCGCCTTCTGTTTTCCTTACTGTGGCCGGTTTTCCTCCAATGCCTACCGGTGTTCTGACAGTAGCTGGTCCGGATAATTCTCTCACTGTATCCGGCTGTTTCACCGACAAGACTCCTCCAACAGCTTGGTCGTGTTCTTTGCCTAAAGGAGAGCAGGATGCAGATGCGCCCTTTGCCCCTAATCAACCAGAGTTCATTTTCCAGATCCAGTACGACAACAATACCAGAGCCCTTTGGAAGATCTCGGATGACGATGACGACAACGACAAGCATTCCAAATCCGATAGACGAGATTTCTTGGCCGATGTCGGTTTTGCTCCCGACCCTGACCCACCTTCCGTTACGGAAATGCGCTTTCTTGGAAACACCACAGACCACATCGTGGCGGACGAAAAAGAAGGCGAGCCCACACCGTTTTTCATCAGCCTCTTGAAAGCGATTGGCGACACGGTCGGTCCGAACGTGCTCAGCCGCCGACAAGGATCCAACAACGCCATCGATGGCTCTTCTGGCAACGGGACAGGCGCCTTCAACCTGTCGGACATCCTTCCTGCGCCTGAACTGAACGGTGATGGCACGGGAGCTCCGGCTAGACTGTTCCCCCTTCCCACCCAGCAGCCAGTCCGCCTATTCGACCGGGGTCTGCCAACGGAGCACTATGGCTTCTATACGCATTTCGACAAGACCATCTACCTGGCGAACAGCACCGGGAACAACACCGCTGATAAGGACGGCGGTGCTCTCATCACCGACGCCAAGTCCTTGGTGACGTTTGCGCAGACGCGCTTCCTCGTCAAGATGTGGACACGAAAGAACGAGACCGCGCAGCTCCTGGGCGACGGTGCGCCGTCCAACAGCTCAGACGGCTCGTCGCAGCCCGGAACGATGCCTTACCCCGTCACCATCGCCGTGGACCAGCACGGCGGCGACGCATCCAAGAAGCTCGACTTCTCCTACGGCGTCATGGACAACAAGCAGATCAACCTCACGGACCCCCACCTCGTCGTCATGGACCTGGGCTCCGGCGGGACGCTGGTCAACGGGGCCTCGGACCCGGACACGAAGCTCGGCGGCATCGATGGCGGCACGGGCGGCTGCAAGTGCGAATGGGTCAACTTCAAGGGCGGGAAGTGATCGACATTGAATGATGACCGACTTGGTGCACTATCGTTATCACCTTGGGAAACCAAAGTATGAATATCCAGAGATGAGAGGCAGTATTTCTACCTTTGGCATTGGCACTGGCATTCGCATGGCGGCTGGTATACCTAACCTGAAAGCAGTTGGCTTCTGACAGCGAAATTGGAATTGGAACTGCGTAGTATATAGTAGAGTGTAGAGTCACTTGGATGACTCGTTCAGGCGCCACGACATGAGGGTACGAATCATTGGCATAACGTATATACACATGTGCATATTATTTAGCTCTGCACTTGGCTCGGAGGTGTCTGCTTGCTGTAGCATCTTGCTTGGTTACTTACTTAATTGATAACGACACTTTATTACTTCGAATAACAACTCTCTTATCTCTCGTAATAAGGCGGACATCGTGACTGCAAAGGATGCAACTCAAACGAGGTGGAGTTGTGATTCGAGTCGGCCCCTTGATGAGCCTTGGCCACGACTCACCAGTGACTACTAGCCCCTGACCCCTGACCCGCAACGACCCGAAGCCCGTTGGAACCTTGAAGGTGGGGTACCCCGCCGAACGCCCTTTAAGGCTTACGCCCATCCCGCCCAAGAGCTCGGGATCGCCAGCCAACGCATCTTGTACGTCAGCCCACCGCAACCGCCATTACCACCTTCCAATCCTCCCCTCCAGGAGGATCGCACCCGAAATTCCAACCATGAACATCTCCAACGAACCCTCCCACCCTTCGTCGTCGTCGAACCACCAGCACACATCTCGTAAAAGGAAGAACATCGACATCAGCAATCACGACGACGACACCACCCCGTCGCTGACCGAGCTCGAGACCGCCGAGATCCTCCAGAGCATCCGAAACTCGACCACCGTACCCTCGAGCACCCTCCCCGCCGACCTCGCCCTTTCGCTCGACCTGCAGCACCAGCAGCCGCAACGACGACAATACGATTCCGCCGCCTACTACTGGGATGCGTCGACCATGGCCCCGCTCAATGCACTCTCGGCGGTCAGTATAGCGATAGCCTGAATACACCCCCGCCACTCCCTGCTCCAAGGCGTATAATACGTACATTCGGAGGAAGAGGCGGGAAACCCGTGACATAGATACAAGGCCGTCCACAATGCTCATGCGCTCAAAGGCCGCCATCGCCCGTCTGCGCGCCTACAGGCCGCCGCCCTTCCCCACCTGGGACCGCCTGCCGGTGACCCGCCGCGCCGCCGTGCTGATACTGCTGTTCGCCGACCGCCGGGGCGACCTGCGCGTCGTCATCACCATGCGCGCCGCGAGCTTGAGGAGTTTCTCGGGTATGCTACTACTCCCGTCGGGTGTGCCTCAGTTGTGAGACTTCGGGGGGTTCCAAGAGTAGATAGATAGTGAGTCTGACGTCTGGGCTACTACTAGGTCACGCTGCGTTTCCTGGTGGTAAGGCGGATTCGCTGCAGGAGAGCCCGTGTAAGTGCTTCCTCCTCGCGCGCCCCTTCTCCCCATGCCCGGTCCGACAGCATACACAGCAAGGCGAGGCGAGGCGAGCACATGACAGCAGTGCTCCCGACCCAGGCTGACCCAAACCGCCTTCCCGCCAACAACAGACCAAATAGCCCGCCGCGAAGCCTGGGAAGAAATCGGCCTCCCGCAAGACGACGCCAGGATACCCAAACCCTTCCGCATCGAACCGCTCTGCTGTCTGCCCTGCAGCCTGGCCAAGACCGAGCTCGCTGTGCGGCCGTGCGTAGCGTTCCTGCACTCGGACGACACGCCGGGCAGGCCGAAGGCCATGGTAGACGAGAGCATGATCCCGCGGCTAGACGCGAAGGAGGTAGCGGCCGTGTTCTCGGCGCCGTTTCACAACTTTCTCAGAGCAAGGGATGAGCAACTGGAAAGGCAGTCGCTGCCCGATGGCCACTGGTACGACGGACGGTGGCTGCACTGGCAAGATTCGCCCTGGCGGGTCCACAACTTTCACGTCCCCGTCAACAATCAGAAAGTCACGAAACCAAAGGTCCGGGCGGGGGGCCAGGCCGCGCTGGCGGATGTTTTGGAAGAGGAGGAGGAGACGGTGCAGCGGTTCCTGGTGTGGGGCATGACGGGACGCATGCTCGTCGACGCGGCGAGGATAGCATATGGCGAGGAGCCGGAGTTCGAGCATAATGACCACTATGGCGATGAAAGTCTCATACTGAAGCTGGAGGAGGGAGGGCGGTTACCGGAGAAGCAGAAGAAAGAGGTCGGTCTAGACGCCACGAAAGAGGAGGTTAAAGATGCCAAGATGTAGAATGCAAATCAACAGTGCTATATACTGTTTTATCCTTGCATTCGGATAAAGCTTGCCATCCGGCCCAAGCCGTGGATAATCCCCCCTTGCTGCTCAAGAAAGCGGCATTGGTATCAAACGTTGTTGATGCCATCCAGTAGACGTTCGCCTCCAGAAGCACCCTGACTGACCCGCAGCCAATAACGCCCCTACATGCCTATGCCGATGCTCACGCACATCCCTTTGCTTCGCTCGCTCGCTTTCCGCCGCACACGCTACTATCCTCAAATCATGCCCCACAGTCGTCATAATCTCAGTGACAGGCCGTCTCCTTGGTCACCTTCGTATGTGCCCCGAAGAAGTAGTACCCAAGTCCAGCACCGACGGCCACGGCGATCATTACGAAGCCGTTGTAAGTCATGAACAATAGCCTGTCGCACGCCGAATCAGTGCCCATCCCATCCCATCCCATGCCCTGCCCTTCCGACGGACAGACGGACGGACAGACAGACAAACAAGAACAACGGAGAAACTCACATGATCATAAACGCATAGAAGTTCTGCACGGCATACAGCACGGCCTTGACGATGTGGGCGCGCTGTCCGATGGCGGCGGTGTGGGTGCCGTCTTGTCCGCTGTTCACTCGTCCTGTTGCGCGCAGGAACGGCGTCTGCTCAGTAACTTGCTCCTCTGGATGATGATCGTGTTGCTCAACGTCGTCTTTTGTTCGGGGCGCGCGGAGAAGATGGCAGATCATCAGTTTCTTACAACTGGACTTTTGGGTTTGGGCGTCGGGGAGTTTGGGAGGCCTTGGAACTGTCCAGGGGGCATTTCTATCTGTAGCTCTTCCTTCCCCTCCCCTATCTCTTTACCATATCTTCTTTCTTCCCACATGTAGACATATCGTGTATGTGTGTCTGTGTGTACGTATGTATGGATGGGTTCGCGTAGTCATGTAGGCAGCAGAAAGAAAGGGCCGCACTCACTGTGTCCGACGGAGTCCTGCTTCGCGCCCACCCACGAGTCGTACCGCCGCGTCGCCTCGCGAAGCGCCTCGTAGCCAGCGCAAATGGCCACGATGGCCAGCAGGCTGAAGACCAGCGACGCCGGCCCGCGGACGTGCCACTGGCGGAACACGATGCACAGGTTCGTCGTGTCCCATGTGAAGAGCATCTACATTATCGCTTTAGCCCAGCACGGCAGTCCGTTGTCGAGGGAATGACGCACGTTCATGTTGCACATCGGCATGTTGCCGTGGCCGATGTCGCCATGATCCATGTGCCCGTGATCCATCCCCGAGTGATCCATATGCGAGTGATCGTGGTCCATCGCGACGTGTTGAGGCGATTGCTTCGGGGTGCTGACAGGCAGGTTATCGAAGGTATGCGGTGTCGTCTCGGGTGACTCGAGTTCGAGGGCTTCGCTTGTCCTTGTAGGTAAAGAATCGCAAGCAATTGAGATCCCGAGGTCTGTATATATGAACGTATTGACGTTGTGATGTGATTATGATCTGCTCAAGTCTGCTCGTCGACGGAGGTCACGATGATGGCTGGTGGTGATGGCTGCGACGTGGAGGGAATCGACCCAGGCGCTTCCGAGGCACCAAACCGAAGCTCCGTCACGGAACGGGGTTCTGTCTCGAGTCAGGGAAGCTTGTAACCTGTCCGGGGTAGCCCCTACCTGGATAAGTACACCCGTTGGGGGTCTTTCTAGCGCGAATCTCTTCATCATGCATATATGTCCCACTGTGGTTGTCAGAAGTGGGCACCGTGGGGTCGTCGATGAGCAAACGGCTCCGATGCAGGATGTCGCGGATGAGAGCGCATAATTCTGACTTGCAACATACGACTCTGTATTATTAATCAGTCGAAAGTTGAAGACGAAGCATACTTTCACAAATTGTAGGAAGTTTCTGGACATCTATGAATTGATCAAATAATTGTCGAACTAATCCCAACTGATTTACTAACGAAACTCTGACTTACGAAGCTCTGAATTTTTCACTGCTTCAGCCGTTGTCTCAGGCTCAACCCTCCCTGAAAACATCTCAGCCGACCTACCCGGTACGCACCTTCGGTTTGAAAGAAAGGCTGGAACACATCCATCCTCAACCGCGGATAGGACGTCCGAGTCGATATTGGATATTGGCTTGTGTCAGTATAAGCCAGAGGCATCTGAAATTACCACCTCGTGGTTCAACAAGCACCATCAGCCATGCTTTCAGCACCAGTGAACCTTCCAAAGTGGTGAGCAGAAATATGTACAACACGTTCGGGACGGGACTAAGACCTAAATACTTCAGGCTCGAGGAGAACTCCCACCTGCTGAAGCCGCCGGTAAACAACTACTGCGTCTACAATGACGACTTCACTGTCATGGTGCGTCTCTCAACCCTGACGTCGACTCATAAGGAACAAACTCTCTTTCTCTCACTCTCTATCAAGCACACGGGGTCGAAGGGGACAAGACAAGACCCATAAACTGACCACCACCGCCCAGATCGTCGGCGGCCCCAACGCCCGCACCGACTACCACGTCAACGAGACGCCCGAGTGGTTCTACCAATACAAGGGCGCCATGACGCTCAAAGTAGTCGACGGCTCCCAATTCCGCGACATCGTCATCCGCGAGGGCGACATGTTCCTGCTCCCCGCCAACACGCCGCACAACCCCGTGCGCTTCGCCGACACGGTCGGCGTCGTCCTCGAGCAGCGCCGGCCGGCCGACGCCGTCGACCGCATGCGCTGGTACTGCCAGGAGGAAGGGTGCACTGACGAGGGTAATGGTGGTGGTACGACCCTGGTGCATGAGGCTGCCTTTCACTGCACGGATCTCGGCACCCAGATCAAGGCCGCTATCGGGGAGTTCATGGCTAGCGAGGATAGCCGACGGTGTGGGCGCTGTGGCGTGTTGGCGAATTCGGTGCCGAAGGCTGGGTCGATTAGGGATCCGAATTTGGAGTAAGTTGGGGACTGGGCGGCTGTGTATTTGTGTGGCGATTTGGTTGAGGGTGCTCAGCGAGAGTTGGATGGAAGTTCCTTGATGTTGATGGACTATATGTATCTGACCATCCCAATCACTCTACTTCATATTGCTCAAGGTTCTTGATGCCGAGGGTCCTAACTGAAATCATGGGTGCGTCTGGCTCCATGTCACCAGGCACCAGCGCTGGTGGCTTTCTCTCCAAAGGTCGTACAAAAGTTCTGATCCTCACGCGCCGCAGGAGCTTCGTTTTCTCTTCGCGCTCGCGGCAGTTCTGGCATTTTCGACTCTCGGTAGCGAGTTTTCTCGTCTCCTACACCGCACTGAAAAGGAGGCGAAGCGACCCAACAAGCCCCAGCTCCGATTTCACAATCTTGCAGCTGGCACACGCTACCATCACTCGTTTCGGGTGTCGTTGTTCGATTTCAATGCATTGTACGCTGCTGTTATATCGTCGATTGCCAAAGGACCTCTCATTCTGAGTGTTTTAAATCTCCCTAGGCTGCCAGGTTACGGTTGCTTTGTGGCGATTATTCCTTGCGACCTTGGAGACATAGCAACATGAAGGAAGCAATCGTGCCTGTCGTGCCTGCCCTATATTGACTCCAGACACAGTGATTCATGTGGAATAAGCAGTCATATATTGATCATGCCATCCATGATGTTTATTCATGTCCAGTGTACCAACTGGAAGCGATCAACCCGCGCGTGGAACTGAAAGGGAAATCACGCCCGGGCTCCCACAGTTGCTGCACTCCCTGCCCCAGGTTGGCGAGAAGTCGTACCCGGAAGCTTTAGTACAGACCACGAATCCAGTCTGCCAGGTAGCATAAGGTAGGGAGGTTAGTGCTTGTGTTCGCAGCGGCGTGGCTCACCAAATACCCGGTATCCATTTCAGTCCGCTCATGCGAACAATTCTCTCAAGTACAAAGTCTACATCCAACAGGAGGTAGCCCCTAACCTACAAAGTCCAGAGCAATATCTCATATCCTCTCGATTGCGGCCTACAGATACGTACCTTCTCGATGCGAGTTGAAGACGGCAACTTCTTAGGCTGAGCCCCTATTCTCGCGCACTTGCCATTCACCACTTCATCGACGACTATCTGCTACGTCGGCTCGAAAACGGATGAGAGGCCTGGAACATCGCCCAATATCCATTCGCTCCAAAATGGACGAGAAACCCGAAACAACACCGCCCGCTTACTCGCAGGACATCGTCACGCATAGCCCAACACGATGGCGAGGCAATATGCCCTGCGTGTGCAATCCCACCGGGGGCTGTTCAAGACATAACCCGACAACAGCTCCTATATTCTACAACCCCGTCCTACCAGCCGACAATCAGCGGCCCAAAACCAAGGAGTTTTTCGTCCGACAGCCGCCAAAGCCAGCACCGCAAGACCCCGTGCAGCCGGGCGAGCCGGTCTCGGTGAGCCTCCCCCTCGACGCATCGACCGTGGACCCCCTGACGCCGATCCTGCCGTCGATACCGTACGCGCTGGCCTGGTACCACGTGCACTGGGCCCGAGCAGCAGCAGCAGCAGCAGAGCAGCGGGACGTCCGGACGGCCGCCGCCCTGGACTGCGCGGGCGTCTGCCGCATCGGCCCCGACGACGGACCGGGACCGGTGCTGCGGTGGACGGCCAAACCGCGCTGGATCGGCGCCTCGCTGTTCCTGCAGCAGACAGCCAGCTTCGGCATCGCGCCGACGAAGCGGCACCCGCTGTACCGCAAGTCCACGGTCCGTCCCAAGTACCAACTCACAGCCTGCCCGCACCTGTCTCACCGCATCGTGAAGGTGGTGTTCGAGGAGCGGCGCGGGATCTTCAGTGCCGAGGTGAAGCAGAGGGTCAGGACGAAGTCGCTCCCGCGGCCTCCTCCCAAATCGCAGCAGCCGGAAATCTGGAAGAGCATGTACAGCACGCAGATCCAGACGTTGACGTCGTGTCCGCGCTGCTGCACGGATATGGAGGTCGTGGTGGAGATGGGCGACCAGCGGGTCGATGTCTATGTTGCGACTTTCAGGGACCTGGGCAAGGGCGCGGATCGCACCGACGAGAAGTGGATTGCGGCTCTTCGCGGCAAGAGCACGATGGCTCGGGATGCGTCTTTGGTGGTCAGGAATGCGATGTTGGGGAATGAGAGCGGAGCTCGGGGGAACAGACGGTGAGATGGATGATAGTCGGGCCAAGCCAGTTGTCCCTTGACCCCTTTGATTGCTAGAGTATTCAGGCGATCGCCCTGACGAAGATGACAAAATCGTATTGTATACCTTGGAAAATCTTCATGCTAGAGGGTGTGATATAGTTGGATGGTAAGACGCACCTGGAAAATAGGGGCAACCTAATGTTCCTCAGATAAAACCGCGGACTTTGACGGACACCAGGCCACCAAAGCGGTATAAATTTTGATGCTTATTCTGCGGTACATCGCCCTCAGGGCTGCTGCCACCTTCTATGTAGGTAGCTGTGGCCTAGACGGCAAAGTCTACGACCGCAATTCTCACCTCGGGTACAGCTCGCTTATGAACTATCAAGGATAACGATGTGATGCGGCCATATATTCATATGCTCGACTCCATCTAATGACCACACATTATTCGTCTATTACAGCTTTGACACACATCAACTTCCAACCCATAGCTGCCGACTCAACGACGCCTTCACTCTCCCGAGTTCCCAAATCGAATCTGGCGCTTGATCTCATCCCTCTTCCTCTCCCTCTTCGCGTCCTCCGAGCTGAGCCCCAAGCCGTGTTTCGCCCGGGACAAGATATTCCGATGCTTCTTCGGCTTCGGCACCGGCGACAGCCGCACCTGGACGTCGACGTGCCGAGCCTCCGGCACAGGAGCCACGACGTTCTTGTGCGACGACGACCCGGGTCGGAGGGACTTGCCCAGGCCCATGGCGGTGAAGCTGGACACCCGCTTGTGCGTCTTCTGCGCCCGGTCGTCGACCTCGTCGTCGTTGTTGTCATCGCTGTCGTCGAAGAAGCTCCTCTGCGAATCGCTGGCGTCGGTCTGCGGCGGGAAGGGCGTCTTCTCGTGGTCCTGCGCTACGGGCCGCTCGCTGAGTTCCAGGGGCGGCGGGGCTGCGTTCCACGGGCTGGACTGGCGGCGGCCCGAGCCCGAGGAGAAGCTGTCGATCTGCGGGACCGCGAAGGAGACGACTTTGCGGCCGCTGGCTGGACTTGCTGGCCTGTCCCCGTCGGCCTGTTTGCCCCAGGCGCTCTGGACCGACAGCGACGTATTGCCTTTGCCCTGCCCCTGAGCTGATTGATGGGAACGAAACGAACTGCCGATGTCAGGGCCGGGCCCCCCAAATCCTCGAACGTCTCCTCCGGGTCCGACGCTTATGGGGCTGCCGGGGTCACTATAGCGGAGGTTGATTTTCTGAACATGTGGATGCAGGCTGGTCTCAGGAGGCGGCTGGGGGCTCTTCGAAGCCTGGCTCGTTGAGTGACTCCAATTAGAGGAAGGAGTCACCGAAGGATTGTAAGCCTTATATGGGTGATGGTCTGGTTCCGAGGTGGTCTCCTCGAAGCTAATGCTGACCCCGTGCTCGGAAATGGGAGAGACTGGAAAGCCGACATAAGGATATCTTCCCGAACCAGGGGTCACGGGGCTAACCCGGTCTTCGCTATGAGCTATCCATTGATGGGCCTTGCTGAGAGCTGGTATTCTCGGCTGCGGCGACGCTATCTCTGGCTGATCGCGCGACTTGGGAGGGTTAATCGCCAACGGAGGTGGTTGTCGAATCATGTCGAAAGCCGCCTCATCCATCGCACCCGAGAAGCTGGTGCTCGCACGAGCATCTCCGGGCTGCTGTCGTATGGGCAATTCTTGCTTTGGGTTCTGCTTGCGTAGAGCAGCGCCATCGTCCCCTTCCGAGTCGTAGATTGACGAAGAGTACGAAGAGCTGGAATTGGGCCGAGGAGGCAAGCCAGATTGGTTCCTCACAGCACCGTGTCTGCTGTCTCCTGGTACGTCAGGTAGAGCTCTGGCAGCATAGTTTTTGATGTCTCGTGGCGGCGGGTATGGCTGGTGGTTCTTTATAGGCGCCCATCCCTTCTGCCGTAACGTTGGCGTAGACCTGCCGGCCCCGTCGAGGTTGGCCTTCAAGTTCTGCTGCGAAGCCATGTTAATGTTACAAGTGTAGCGGTCTCTGGCCTTCAAGGACGGCCCGAGTGGGCAGATAAGGAAGCATCCGGCAGCTCCTCATGTCAAAGCTGAGCTTTCGCTTAACATGGGACAAAGGGCATCTACACTTGTAGCGGATACCCATTTTTGTTTTCAGGCTGCAAGTCTTGGGCCATGACGGGTTTTTTTGTTGGAAGAATGGCCAACAAAGGAAGTCAGCCGAAGACGCACCTGGAGTTAACACCAAAACAGTCTGAGGTTGTGACCTGCAAAAGCTAGGTCGTGCCACACAATGCCGGCAACCTACATGGCACGTAAAAAAAGGTTATGCACCACGCGAGTAAAATGGCCAATCTCCAAACGCATGCCACAAGCACTGAGTAAGGTAGTTGCTCGTGAATGTCCAATAGGAATGATATGTCCTCAGGCTGCTGGGTGTGGTACCAAACGAAGGCGACAAATGGAGGATTTAATAGTTCCAGAGTCGACTGACAAGAGCAATCATTCAATGGGTAGGGTAATTGACTCGAAGTAGCGCCAAAACGCTGATGTGCTCCTACACAGCATCTTGTCATCCGCCTGGACGATACCTCAGTTGATAACTCTCAAGGACCACAATAGCAGTCGTGTTCGGGTGATTTACTTCTGTAGGTGCTCCAGATCCCGTGATGGTTGACGCGGCCAAACTCGTGGTTCTTTCGCGTCATCTGGCGTCTAGGTTCTGCCGGTATTGAATGGAAGGGATGTTATCTGTCGCTACCTTATCATAAGTGCTTTTGGTCATCGAGTTGAGATGTACAGCCATGAAAACATCAAAGAGTCGGCGACAATGTGAGGGTTATCGATGTCGACGCGGAGGGGAAACTTCGGCAATAATAGAAGTTCAGAATGACAATATTGCTTGACATTACAGGGTGGTAAGGCATACTCTAGGTATTATTTGCCATACATCCATGATGATGAGACGGCACTCTGCAGCAGGTCAGATGGCGATGTCGCGGTCATGGGAAAGTGGCATGGGGAAATGGGAAAAGCACATCCTCAAAACGAGGCCTGAGGATGGCAACAGCCAGAAACGTGATCGGGAGGAAATGACTCAGGGTCCAGTTTAGCGTCATTTGACGGTTGGCGTAATGAATCAACCATGTCACGCTGTCACAATGTCACAATGTCGCGTATTTTTGTCTCCACCTGCCACCTTCAGGAACCCCTTCGATCTGTCGCACCTGCAGCCTGCAGCTGCCACGGTGATTCTTGATATCTACAGTTGGTGGCAAAAGACTACCGTATATTAAACACACGCTTGTAATCGAGGCCTCATCCGCCGTCATCTGTGCAGGTACCTAAGTGCCACGACCGTGTGCCAGTGTGCCAGTGTGCCCAATAGCGTTCTAGACTTGGACTGCATCCGCACCTGCCTCAGCCGGGCGGCCGGGCAGCCGGTCCAAGTAGCCAAGATCCACGGGTGGTGGTGATCACTGACCAGTGACCAGTGACCAGTCACCAGTCACCACCTGCAGTCACGACCACAGCACCCGCCTCAGTGGGCAATGGGCATCAGCCCCCATAGCCTAAGCCCAAAGGCGGTTTAGCCTCGCCCGAAACCCTGAGTCTGCCTAGTCGATCTACCGGTATCTGCGTATCAACCTCCAGAGTCCAGGCAGACCTCGCCTCCAGACAACTTCCATCAATAAGCAGGCATTTTCGAAGCTCTTGTTGGTGGGCGAGCCTTTTCTTCCGACCATCGAATCTGCAGCCGACGATCCCCAGCAGAATCCAGGCTGCCTATCTAGGTACCCTCCCATATAGGCACACGTCCGTGTTACCCGCCTATAGCCATATTCGACGAGCACAAGCAGTCATGGCTCCACGCGAAAAGAGCCAATTGAAGCGTCAGCGAGTATGTGATCATGATCAGACCATCGTTCGATGCGCCTGCACAGTCACTGACATTAGTCCCTAGGACTCCCCTACAGGCCACGACAACGACTCGTCTAAGAAAGTCCGTCGGTCTGAACGCTTATCGCAAAAGCCAGAGAACGGCACCGACGAGCCCAAGACTCCCATCACCACCAACAAGCAGAATCTGCCCTCGCCGCTCACACATCTAAGCAGCAACGAGAGTCCCTACAAGGAAGCTACCGCCGAACCACCCGACGGCCGTCCGAGCCAAGTAACCCACCGCACACCTGAAGAGACCTACTCTCAGGAACATGCCTTCTCGTCGCCCTTACAAGACACCCAAGCTTTTCCGACTTCGCAGTTTGTCGACGGCGATGCTGCGCTATCAGACGAGGTGGAGGACGAGGTCAAGGAGGGCGTATGGGGATATCTGTTTCCACTTGACACGAGACACGGTGGCAGATGCGTCGTCTTGAAGAAACGATCTGCCTGCCCCGGGTCTGAGGACGTTGCTGGCTCACTGGAGGAAAGTCCAGACGGCAGCGCCGCCCTGAGACAAGAAGAGTCATTCGAGGAGTCCAGGGCTAAAAGCGTCCCCTCGGGAGGCTACCTGATAGGAAGACATCCTGAATGCGGTAAGTGTCCGCCTCTAACACATAATGCACAGCGAGCTCATGTTGCGCAGACATCGTGATCGATGATCCTATAGTGTCAAACCGGCACTGCTTATTGTTCATTGAGAATAAGGAGACCGATAGTGTGGCTGTCTTGGAAGATCTATCAAGTAACGGTACCTTCGTGAACGAGGCTATCGTCGGACGAAACCAGCGCCGTGAGCTACAGGAGCAGGATGAGATTGCCGTTATGGACAAGGCCCGATTCATCTTCCGCTACCCTCGCAGTCGAGTCTCCAGCGCTTTCTTGCAACAGTACACCCTGCTTGAGCGCCTCGGCAAGGGCCATTTTGCCGAGGTCTTCCTGTGTGTGGAAAAGTCTTCTGGCACCCGATTTGCAGTCAAGATTTTCACCAAACACCCTGGGCTGGAGGAACGCTCAAAGACCGAGGGTCTGCAACAAGAGATTGCTGTGCTGATGGGCGTCAATCATCCCAACGTCCTATGTTTGAAAGACACCTTCAACGAGAAGGATGCCGTGTATCTGGTGCTGGAGCTTGCGCCTGAGGGTGAACTGTTCAATTTCATTGTCGCGAAAAGCAAGTTATCCGAGGAAGAGGCAAGGAAACTCTTCACCCAACTGTTCCAGGGTATCAAATACTTGGTATGCTCTCTCTGGCTCATACTCAAGATTCCCAGGCATCACTGACGGTTCCATAGCATGACCGCAACATTGTCCATAGAGACATCAAACCTGAGAACATCTTGCTGGTCGACAAGGACCTTCACGTCAAGATTGCCGACTTTGGCCTGGCCAAGATCATCGGCGAGGAATCCTTCACTACCACCCTATGTGGTACACCAAGCTATGTGGCTCCCGAGATCCTGGCCGAAGGAAGGCACAGGAAGTACACAAAAGAGGTTGACGTCTGGTCGCTTGGAGTTGTGTTGTACATTTGTCTGTGTGGATTCCCTCCATTCTCGGACGAACTCTTCAGCCGTGACTTTCCCTACACGTTGTCGCAGCAGATCAAGAGTGGTCGCTTCGACTATCCGTCTCCATACTGGGACTCTGTGGGCGATCCGGCTTGTAAGTTACTTTTTCATCATCATGTCATTGTGTACGCAAAGGCTGATTTCTCTAGTGGACTTGATCGACCGCATGCTGGTGGTCGAGCCAGACAAGCGCTACTCTGTGGACCAGTGCCTGGCACATCCGTGGATTACTCAAAAGGGCCCAGCAGTTGCCGACAGCACAGATGGACTGGTAGCCGGTGTAGGAGGTCTCGAAATGCATCGGCGCGGCATCCTCCGTGAGCGAACTCTGCTGAGCTCCATCAACTTAGTGACGGTCCAACGAAAAGTTCCCTTGGGTTCTGATCACAAAGGACCTCTCAAGGTATTTTCGAAAAATCCAACTCTGATGGAGCCTCATCCAGATGGTCAGCGTAACACCATGGAGTTCATGGAGATGGGGGGCAAAGGCGACCAGGAACTCTTCGGCGACGACTCAACAAGCATTTACACCAAGTCTGAGGCGGCTGCCGCAATGGGGAGCAAGCCGAACGGAAAGGGTAAAGCACAGGCTGTTGGAAGATGAGAGTATGGGATATGGAAGATACGGTGTGATGTGGATTGTTGATATTCCCGCGCTAAGGCGTCTTTGGTGGGTGAGGTGTTGATTTGCATGGCGTTATCTACCCAGGGGCATGGCTGTCTCGTTCGCATGCTATATAGCAGAGCTTTTAGGCTCCCTTGTTTGTCTTTAATCTCGCATCTGATGCATGAGCTACGAACGGGGTGGTTGTCGGTCAGGTCAGCTCTCTCACTTCATAGCTGTTGCTACTTCTGTTGGAAGATGTATGTATGTATATATGCTTGCAAGGTTGCATTGTTCAGAGGATGGATCATAGCATTTAAGAATTTGGCACAACTGGTAATTGCCACCCTGATATTCAAGCATCCGCCGTGTATCCATGTGCAAGTCTTAGTTAGAGTGGTGGGCATGAGGCTGTCCTATCATGTCGTAGTGCCTCTAGCAATAGCCCGGGTACACACACACACACGCGCACCTGTAGGGGGTAGCGAGTTTTTACCACACACCTCTGCCAACCAAGATAGGGCAGGCGAAGAACTCATGTATATGACAGTATACGAGACCAGAGTGTCTTCAAGCAAGAATTAAATCCCATCTCATGGACTGCCTGCATGAAACAAGCGGATTAGTCTTGGTGCTGTCTCGGAGAACAGCTTTTATAACTTACTTCAGCCTAGAACTTCACCTAGAGGGCCAAACAGGGGGCATCTCACTCACTCACCCACTTAGTCACTCATTTAGTCACTCGCGCTTGTTATAAATAGAGCAGGATTCGCAGGACTCCCAATCGGCCGGCCGAATACCTCTTCTGGGACCCCAGCGCTCAGAAGATATTGATGCCCTGTAAGGAGGTCTCACGTAGAGAAGACAAATACATAGCTATATCTTTCGATGGACATCCAATCACTTGTCACATCGGCCAGGCAATTCACAAGTACAAGACTTCATGGTATCAATTCATGTTAGCCCAAGACAAGGTATCCCCTCCCTCCATGTTATACAGAATTAAAATTACGAGCCTCACCTATCCGTACATGCACGTATTCTTACGCCAATAGTATGCTTTTCCCCATTCACGCCTCATCACCCAAGCCGGTCCGTTGCTGTTTCCGTCTGGCATGTGTCCACCAGCATATGCGAGCTGCCCACTACGTGTAACCCAAGCCGAAAGACGGGTACGCGCAGGGGCAGAGTACGGAGTGGCGGACATAGTCGCGGGCGTCCTCCTATAACGCCATGCACAAAACAAATGATGCTCGCTTCCAATACAGATGAGATCGCAGATGCCCTCACCAATGCCCATGTTCTCAGCGGAGTTCCACCCGCCTCATGTATATGTATTCATCAGTTCGTGGGCCGAGAATCGTCATCGAATCAATCGTACAGATAGCTGAGCGAGGTGTAGTACTCCTCTGGGGGCATAGAATCGGGAGACAAGGCGTTGAGAAGTTCAAGCGGGGTATCTGGAAGAAGAAGCGATCCGATCGCCGTTTCTATCGTTCGGAATTGGATGAGGACGAATTCGAGAAGGGGTTATGTGACCTCCGTCGATTGAGCCGATTATCCAGTGACTGTGACTGTGACTGTGATTGAGAAGGCGGGGGAGACGGGGATGAGAGATGAGTGTTGAACTTCCGCCGTTTCTATCGTTCGGGAATCGGCGACTTGGCCAAGCGTCCGCCGGCACTGATACGCTTCTGTAAACGCGCGTCCTTATCACGCTGAAGTCGCTCGCTCGGGCTGGGACTGAGATTGTTTGGCAACGATGTGCCAGAGGCTTCGATGGCAGCATGCCGGCCGCGCTTCTGGTCGATGTACATTCGGGCACTGTGACTTAGGGGGAAGGCAGGCATGGTTGCTGGTATCTCAGCTCCATTCTGTACCAACATTTCGGCCACGGGAAACGGGACCACGCGCGTTGCAGGATCTGGCCGACCGCCTGCAACCGGGGTTGCGCTGGGCGAAGGTGACGCCGGGTCGGCTGCCGCGAGCGCTAGGAAGACGGGGTGAGCGCCTCGAGATCTATCGAGGACGTTGGGATTGGCATGAAGCGCCAGGGCATATATGACTTGTTGAATCTCGTTACGCTTTATAGCGGCAAGCAGCGTCTCGTCAGGCGTCGGATACCGCGATAGGGTTGCCGAGATCGGCTCAACAAAGGCTCTGTCCACGTATTTCATCGTGATGAATCTGAGTCGTTGTTCCCGAGTGGCTTGCGGACTAGGCTTGAATCCTGGGTCGAGTCTTGCTTCCCATATCATGTTGGAGACTCTATTTCCGACAAGCAGCAACAGCTCGATAATATCGGGAGTGAATGATGTGATGTCAAGCGTAAGTGAACGCACTTTGCTGATATGAGTCCCAAGTGAGCGGTGAATACCGCTGCATTCGATGCAGAGCACAATGGCCAAGTTGATGGATACCCATTCCACCTTGGAGCCTCCGCCGCAATCCGCACACCAACAGTTGCCTTGGTCATTGTCGCGCAGGGTTTGGAGGAGTTTGCCTGGGCTTTCGTCGTAGCTATTGCTAGGTGGTCGTGTGTTTCCAGGCCGCGCCCCGACCGTCGTTCGGCGAGATGGAAGAGCAGAACTCGGTAAAGCATGAACTCCAAAAGAGCCGTGGTTCAAGGATGAGCTCTTGCCAGTCAGTATGTGCCCAATGTCCCGCCGGAGGCTGTGGGACTCGGCAGAGGACGTTGTCGGCTTTTCTTTGAATCCATGTCCCTCCACTGCACTTTGGAGGGCGTTGTTGATGGAGAGTATCCAGCTGTTCATGTCCTCGCCAGAAGTTGCCTGATACACCCTCTTGTAATGAGGCGTGATAACCTCAAAGCAAAATCTCCGCTCAGCATTGCGTGCCTCTCGTACAGATGCCATGCGAAGGTCAATAGGATCCATATGCAGGTCAAGCCTCTGCTTCCAATTACTATACTCGGATAGCTTGCCCTGGTCTAGGACGACCCAAAACCTGCCACGGTCAATTAGTATCACAACTCCTACCTTCCCGCAGCAATAAAACTTACTTATGCCAGCCCTGTTTGTTCAGATTCAAGGGGTCCACATGGGTACCAGGCCGGTTCAAAGCCCAGAGAAGTCCTTCTTTTCGGTGGGTCGAATTTTTCTCGGCGATAGCGAGTTGCGCAAGGTCTCTTTCTTCCAGATCGCGTATGCCCTTGAACTTGGAGTTCTGCGCAGGGCTACTAAGGGCAGCATGCCCAAGGCTGCCTGGGGATCTTGAGAGATCCCCTCCTATCAAAGCTACCGATGCAGAGTTGCCCGTGGGAATCGCCTTCAGCTGAGAGCCAGTGCTGTCGGCTCGGCCGAGTTGTTCGGAATCGGACGTGTATTGTACACCATTACTATTGCTGGTTATGGCAGCGCTCGCCGTGGAAGACACCGTCTCCGGCTCGTTATACTGGAGATTGCTCTTCTCCAACACGCGTCTCTTCTCCTCTCGTTCCCGTCTTTGGTACTGGAACTCTTTGTTGGCCTCTTGAACCTCACTGGTTAGGGCCTCTAGCTGAGGTAGCAGAACATCGATCTTCTTGGCGGTTGACAGAAAGCTTCGCGCCTGAGTGTCGGCGTACTTGGTCAAGTGAGACAGGACCTCCTGCTCCTTGCGACCACCGTGCAGATCTTGCATGAAGGAGGAATAGTCGAATCGTTTGAGCTCGAAGTTTTTCCTCTTTGTCTGGTATTTGGTGTCACTCTCGACAAGCTTCTTATGCTTCACCGAGTCTTGTCGTTGGCCAAGATACCGAGATACATAGGCGTAGTAGTCCTTGCTCTCCTCTTCGAAATCGCGCTTCTTGGACTCCGCCTGCTTGATGTCGTAGGTATACAACTTGCTGATAGGGTCGATAATGATCTTCTGCAGATTAGCTGTATTCTGCCTCTCATAGGCCACGATCTCTCTCGCTATCTTGTCGAAATAATGCTCGATAGCAGGCTGTACTGCGTTGGCGTTGGTAGCAGATGCCTCTCGTAGGGCTTCCATGAAGCTCATGTAGGTCTCGTTGGCTTCGATTTGAGCAGCGCGCGCCTGTTCAGCCCTTTTCAGCACCTTTTTCATATGTGTCCTCATGTTGCCGGTTTTCTGTTCCAGAGCCTTGATGGTAGCTCGAAATACCGGGCCATCGTCGTTCATGGATATATCTTCATCTGGGCGAGGACAAGATACATCAAGCTTAACGGGATCCCTTGAGTTCTCCACAAGGCGAGGTAAAGTAGACTGTAAGTCATGTTGGAGGTTCAGTGGAGAGCCTGGCTCGTCTTGTTCACTAATGCGCGAGTCCACGGACTGGGCCGATGCCACACGAATCTTCGGGGGGACAGCTAGTTGAAAGACTGGAGAGGGAGAGTTAGGGTGACTGGGGAAAGAAGAGGTATCTGACAACTACGTTAGTGCGATGTTGAACCGTCGGGCAGCTCGACCGCAACTCACTGGCAACCCAAAAGGAGAAGGTGGCTAGCGTGTCTAATCGATGTGCTCTTTGGTCGTACTCGACGAACTATCGCAGTGTCAGTATGAGCGCAAGATGTCAGATGTGAATGGATTCATACACTGCAGACATTCTTCCACCCACCACCCCTGTCCTCTATTGTCTTTGGGGGTTTCCACTTCCATGACCATTCAAAGCTCACTGAAGAGCTGCCGCCAGTAGTGTAATCACCAACCAACTCGACGTTTGCGTTCTTGTGGAGGTTTGGATCTGCATGGAACTCTCGAGTGACGAGGTTCTCAACCTCTCTGTTTGTCGAGGCATAGACATAGGTCAGTCCATTGATGTGTGTATCGGTATTTGGCCCAGTTTCTTCCTGGCGAACGATGAAGGTAAAGTTGAAGACAAGCTCGTCATCATTGTTGAGTTTCAGGAGGAAGTTTGGGATAGACGAAGGCTCGGTGTCCTGGGAATAGCGCGTTAGAACACACACGATGTGCGAGGCGAAGTGTCCCGGCTTCTTTAGCACCTACTTGAACAAACTCAACCGGGCTGGTGTCGCCCAAGGCCCGTGTTGCTGTGATTCGCGTCGCGGGGAACGAGTTGGGGACGAGGGTGACGGATGTGCGTTTACGAGGGCAACTGATCACCAGAGACGAGATGGACACTGAATCCAGTCAGCTTTGGCTTGGCAGGTCATGCGCACATGTCGGCGCATTCCAGGGGTCATCAGGAGGCGAGGAGGCGACTCACGTCGACTCTGGTCTCTCAAATAGATGGCAGCGCCATCGTCCGGCCGGCTGCTCACGATGCCCATGGTCGTCAAGGGCTGGCCTGGTCAAGGGCCGCAAGCACAGGGTGAGATCGGTCAGTCGGAGTCGGATCGAAAGAAGTAACTAGATGTGTAGAGCGTATGAATGCGAAATCAAAAGATGACGGCGGTGAAGTTTTGGGAGTTGATGCTGTTGAATTGGAGGACATTGGGAGGTGGTGTCGCAGTCAGGCAATCTGCAGTCTGGCAGTCCACTGGTGCGGGCAGCCAATCCAGGCGGCGTGCATCCAGAATATGCGCGCTGGATGCGGCCCTGTCTGGGATACTGCGGTACGGCTGGCGGGGTCACAAGGGGTCACAAGGGTCCAAGGGTGCGTTTAGGCGCCAACTGTTATCGATAGCAGCAGGTACAAGTACTTCCAGCCGTCACCTGAACTGTACATGTACCATAAGGTAATGTGAAGGCGGTAGGTAGGTATAGACTTGAAGTGCACCTTCAATGTTGATTACCATCACAACCATTCATTGTGTATGTGAAGCCATGCTCAATTTTGAAAATAGAACGGCACAGCCTAGATACGCAACGGTTATCTTTAGTACGCACGCACGCACGCACGCACGCAGCCACAGGCGCATACATAAGGGGCACAGCAGGCCAGGGGCTGTTCCAAGTCGACGCATGTGGTAATCGACAATTTATCTACGGCGCGCAATTACCACATACCGGTACCTAATGCTTCTGGACATCTAGATGTTGGCTTTACAGGATGTGTACCAAAACCAACAGCCCGACATGTACATCCTGTATGTCTGCACCGATCTCTCTGCATCTGTGCCACAGTTCCTATTTACATGTATCCAACTCCTGTTCACCTGGCAGCCCTGGCAACCTGGAGACCAAACACAGTGGGCTACAGTGGATCGGTTTGGAAGCACGGGGCGGCGACTAGCGGCACCACATGAACGGTGTGGGCCCTCCAGGCTTTATGTCCGGCTCTTTCATGTTATTCACCGAGGTAGGTAGGTAGGTAACCAACAAACAACAGAGGAGTATATAAACATTCTCTTGACGAGTACCTTATACATATTAACTACATTGCATAGGAGGTATGATGTAGTAGAGCTAGTTGGTCTGCTCGACTGTCACAGATATCCTTAGTCTGGTTCAGTCCTAGAGTATTATATATGGGTTGATTTTCCACTCTTGTACCTCCATGTAAGCCATCGAAGAGACGACTTTACACCTTAGACCTTAGGTAGGTAGGTACTTAATATTAAGACCACCGACCTTGATATCCTTGGAGTACCAGAGTACGTAGGATCTGAAGTCTAATCTGACCCATGGCGCCAAAATAAGGTATGGCTGTTTGTTGGCTCGGTGGACACAAGAGCTTAAACATGAGAGTCTTAACTTATAACCGAAGGTTATCCTCATATATATAACCTTATATTTTCTGGTGATGCATTCAGGACTACCTCATGCGGACTACCTACCCAGGTTCAGATGCTCAGGTGTTCAGGTGTAGTATGTAGAGGCGTATGGCTTGCCAGGTGCGGTGCCCCTCCACGATAACTTACATAAGTCCCCTTCTGTGCTCAAGAGTCAAGGGTCAAATGACGTTGGTGTCAGGGGGGCCGGCCGGCATTAGATGATTAGATTGCACCCATATCTCGTGACGGGCCCAAGCGCCTGAACGTCTATTTCCAGACCATCGAACGTCGGCTACCCGACATTACCTACCTTACCTTAGGTACGGAACTTCGTGCCCTTCGCGCCGCCCTACGCCAACTACCTATAGGTATCCCGCCATCATTTTACAACAACAATACTCCCGTCGTCTCAGTTGCCTGCCCGACTCGACTCGACTTTGCATTGAGTACAATACCGCGACAGTACAATAACCGACTCTCTGAGATCTGCAACCCAATCTGTTCGAATCCCGAGGTTTGGGCATGACCGACGGATAAGCATTGGCATATTCGCACCTGCACACCACCAGCTGTGCCGTGTTCTCGTCCCTGTCCTTGCACCATGTCGACGGCGTCGAGAAAGTCTTACCTCAATCGTCGCATAGACAGTGCTCAGAGCGTCCACGGCAGCAGGAGTCGCGCCGGTTCGAGCGCGCGAGCCTTGGCTGTCAGCCACGACGATGCCTACACCTACGCTCTCCGGGTCGCCTACCTCCACTATCTCCTCCAGCCCAAAGCCAAACGAAAACAATGGGTGCCCGCGCCGAAACCCCTACCCCGATCGCATACGTCCAATATATCGGATCTAGTCAAGGAGTTTGTGCCTGGTAATTCCACTAGTGTCAAGCTGCCAAATGGCTTCCGGGGTCCTTTGGAGAAGAGGATGGAGCGTGTGATTATGGGCCTCGAAAAGCTGCCGGGCTTCAACGATGCTGCCGTAAAGAAGACCTTCGCGCAGGCCTACAATGCATTCACGGATCAAGGCTTCCGGAAGAGCATTGACAAGGAGCGAAAGGTCGAGCCGCTAGTCCTGATATTCTTTTCGGCCGCCACCAAGGCCTGCATGCTCGGCCACGAGCGAAGCGATGACTCCTGGAAACTGCTCGTCGACAGGCACGTCGCCCTCTTCGTGAGACTGATTACCAACATTCTACGAGACCAAGGGAACGACCGAGATAAGCCAGAGCTCATGAGCAGACTGAGCACGCTCGAGAACAAGCTCCTTACGAACGACCAGAATCTCTTCGTCGATACTGGCCAAGACTCCGGCAAGTCGATAGAGGTCGTAGTACCCCTTAGTTATGACGTGAAGGACATGCCCATGGTGCAGGCCGTTGCCAGGGTCTTCGGTCTCGCACACTCCGATGTGCAAACCCATATAGACGCCCAGCGGCCGAATTGGACCGAGGAGGCTGCGCTGAAGGACCTCAAATCCTACCAGCATCGGATGAACGCCAATATGGGTGGCGCTCTTCAAAGTCAAGATTTCGATATTGAAGAGGCCTATCAAGAGTGGAAAAAGGCCGAAGCACCTTTTCTTTCGCAGATGATGATGGAGATTCTGGTAGCTAAGCCAGAGCTGGCCAAGAAGTCTACCGGTGTCAGTGCGGCGGCCGAGAAACCTCTGCCCTCAAGCCCTTCTGCTGCTTATGCTGAAGACCAGGCGTATTCAGACCTGGGAAGGGTACTGTCCAATCCGAACAGGACATCCATATATGGCCTTGACCACACACTCAGCCTGGGTTCTATGTCGCTTGACGATATAGGCAGCATTAGATCCGTTGAGGAGGCGCACTATACTTTTATTCCTCCCGATCCCCGTGAGTTCCTGAAGGTCATCGCAAATTATGCGTTGGAGTTTGATGCCATGCACGAAAATGGCGACGACGAAGCGGGACCTTTCTCGAAACAATCATTGGATCTTCTGACGGAACTCTGCGTTCGCTGGCGAATTCCCCAGTTCACCCGTCTAGTTGTATTCATAGAGGTAGCCGCTCGCAGGTTTACCGATACCTTGTTCACTGTCATAGACTTGGATACTGCGTTCGACTTAGTCAAGAGCTCGCCCCCGGAGAAGGAGCTCAAAAAGCCACCGCCCATCTATCTCTACGCGGAGAGCCTCGCAACTATCGAAAGGAGCAGATGGACGATTTCGGACTATGCCGTATGGCAGCAGACAATCCACACCCTAAATGATGCTCTTCTGCGCGAACTCTACGACATCCTCATGCATTGCTATGAACCGAAACCGCCTTCGGCCGGGCCGCCGGTGCATGTGCTACAAAATCACATATTCAACGACCCAAGTTTCTCCCGAAAGGAGGAAGATGCTTTGGACTACACCAAACTACTTCACGCCGGAATGGAAGAGCAAGCCGCCAACGTCTATCGTGGGTTCCTCGATAAAGAAATTCCACAGAGTCAACAAGACTGGGATTTCAGCCACGTAAAAAAGCTCGGAAACTCGGTGGTCAAACTTTGCGAGAAGATCCAGAAACGGTACAGAAACAACCCTGAGATTATGGGTGTCAACCCCTTGACTGTCTTGGCGGAGACGATATTTCCCAGTTTCGAAGACGACGCTCATGACCTAGTCAAGAGGATCGTACAAGTCGCCCAGGACCGGGACGAGGAGCTGCCTCTTCAGGATGGGTTTGATTTGTACAAGGACCTGGTCGAGATCCGTCGTATTCACCGGACATCACTCCCGAACAACCCCTTCACTTTCGATGTTGAGGAGCTACTCATTGGCTTTGTTTGGCGTTGGATTCACAACGCTGAAGAGAGAGCTGAGGAGTTTGTAGAGCAAGCGATCAAGCAAGACCAGTTCCAAGTACGCAGCCAAGGACCTGGCCATATTTCTCTCGATGCGGAACGTCACAGCCATTCCATTATCGACATGTTTCAGTTGTTCCACCAGACTTCAGACCAGGTTTTCCAGCTTGAATGGGATAACGATGTCCATCATGCTCGATTCATGACGGCACTGTCCAAGATATTTGCCAATAGCATCGCTCGATACTGCGAGCTTGTGGATCAGCGGTTCATGAAAGAGATGGACACGCCAAGGGCGAACGAAAAGGAGGCGGCAGCCGTGGCCCAAACGACGCAAGGAAGATTTATGCAGTACGCCAAGGATGCTCTGAACACCAAGGAAAAGATTGAACCGTTTCAGTTCTACCCAGAGGTAGAGTGAAGTTGCCCCTTGGTCGTGCTTCGTTGCTAACATGTCAACAGTCCCTAGTCAAGCTCAACAATATCGAATGGGCCATGCAAGAATTGGACAAGCTAGAGAGGTCCATGAATGTCGATGCATGCGCCGCGATGCTAGAGAAGGTGGACGGGCCAAGAAAACAGGTCAGACGTCCGGCGAAGTACGTCTTTACCATCAAGATCGTTGAGGCCGAGGAGATCAAGGCATGCGACCCGAACGGGACCAGTGACCCTTATGTTGTGCTTGTGGACGAATACCAAAAGCGCCTGCACAAGACGCGAATTGTTATGAGAACGCTGAGTCCTCGATGGGATGAGTCCGTAGACGTCACCGTGTCTGGAGCTCTGAACGTTGTCGCCACAATCTGGGATTACGATACCTTTGGCGACCACGATTTCGTTGGTCGGACCTCGCTGAAGTTGGATCCGATTCATTTCAGCGACTATTTGCCGAGGGAGTTCTGGCTTGACCTTGATACACAAGGCAGGATCTTGATGCGAGTGAGTATGGAAGGGGAGCGTGATGACATACAATTCTATTTTGGCAAGGCTTTCCGGCATCTGAAGAGGACGGAGCGTGACATGGTCCGCAAGATCACCGACAAGGTATGATCCCTTCCAGAAACGCTTTATTTATGAAAGCCGCTAATTCTTCTCTAGCTTTCGAGACACATTAACGCATCTTTGTCACACGATGCCTTGCGTGCTCTGCTTGGACGAAATCTCACGTCGCAAGTCAACTCGTTCTTCAAACGGGCATCAACGCTTCCAATGATCACTGATGAGGAAGTTGAGAACGCGCTGCAATCTCTCTTCTCCTACTTCGATGAGAACTTTTCTACGATGAAACATACCCTAACAGATGCCACAATGGTCGCAGTCATGACGCGATTGTGGAAAGAGGTGTTGATGGCAATCGAAGCCCTTGTCGTACCTCCTCTATCAGAGAAGCCGTCTAGTCAGCGTCCACTCAACCAGCGCGAGCTCGACGTGGTTTACAAGTGGCTGAAGCTGCTCTATGGCTTCTTCAATGCACAAGACGAGGATGGTGAAGTTTTGGGCGTCCCCGCCGAAGTCCTCAAATCGCCTAAGTATCACGAGCTCAACACACTCAACTTCTTTTACTTCGACAGCACCGATAATCTAATCCGCACGTCGGAGCGTATGGCGGCCGCCACCGCCCAGCGCCAGCAGCAGCAGCTCCAGAGCCAGATGACCTCCAACCGGCTCTCGGCGCCACCCAGTCTCGGGCCGTCGTACAGCGCGGGCCCGGCATTCGCGAGCATGGGCACGATCCGCCGCGGCAAGAGCATCATGATGAGCCGCAACCTCGGCACGATGCGGCGCGCCAAGGAGGAGAAGCGCAAGGAGGCGCAGGCTGACCCGTCGGACGACATGATCCTCCGCATCCTGCGCATGCGGCCCGAGGCCGCCGGCTACCTCAAGGAGAGGCACCGCCAGAAGGAGCGCATGCAAGCCGCTGCCACCGCTGCGATGATAGTGAAGCAGAGCGTCAGCCAGGGTTGGAACTCCGGGGGTGGAGGTTTTGGGCGGGGTGGTGTGCCGCGACGTTAAGACGTGTCAGTCGACATAGGTTGTGAGTGAGTATCTGAGCTCGGTTTCTGAGGGTTGTTCGGCAGGGGATGCCTGGTCAATCGCCTCTTCAGAGGAGCCATAACGGCACGAGACGCGCGGGGGATGAATTGAACTGCGACTATCGGGTCTCATTTTGTCCCTATCACTGGAAAGCAGTTCTAACGGTGGTGGTCGCGCGCGGTAGACAAGGCATTGTACATGCTTTCTGACCTTTTCCCTCGCTTATTGGTTGACATCTGCTTTTTTGCTGTTTCGATACCCTCACCAAGCAAGCTTTAGGGGCCATCTAGGCGGCCGACGAGGGAAAGGAGAAGGGAAGGGAAGGGGCAGGCGCACGTTGTGGTTTATCTTTCGCCTTTCCGCGCTTTGCTTTTGCTTCTCGATCGTCAGTCGCTTCTAGGAGATAGCATTACTTGATTGCGGTTGCTTGCTGCTTGCTTGCGGTCTGTATGCCCGTGTTGTACGAGAGGGCACCAGGGAAGAGGATGGGGTTTGAAGAGGGAATGGATCTAACACGCTATACCAGAATGGAATCATAACGAACGAATATTATTACTATCATTATCATGACTGGTTCCTGCCATTTTTGACAATTGCCCAAGATGAAGGAAGTACTTAAAGGGCAACTGAATATTCGTCTTCAGCTGGGTAATCGTGGGCTCAGGGGAGGGTGACGCCACCGCGAGCACTCTTTCACTTTGCTTCGCTGAAAATGAGGGCTGAGTGTATACACACTGGCATGTCGGCGCATACTGCAACGTCACGTCATGTATAAAGCGTTAGGGCCATGTACAGCGCCCGATACCTTCGTAACAAGTACCTACCCGCAGCCCAGAATAATCATCTGCCGGGTTGCCGTAGGCGTAGCACAAAGGATTGCGAGGTTTTGTTACAGCTGGACTAACAGACAGAGAGTGAGGACATTGACGCCACATATCATGGACACCTCCCATGTTGGAGGCGTTGTGGCATGGAGCCGGAGTGTAGCTGATTGGTATATCAAATACCGCTTACTTTCGGGAAAGCGAGGAATGGTCAGAACCAGTGGTGTATTGGTGCCTGATTCGTGGTTGGTCTTTCTACACTGATCTTCAGACGATCAACTTTGGGGTACTGATCAAGAAGCTGCCTCTTTAAAGAAGACCCGTGGTTCTGCCAATTTCTCACTTTCCCAAAAGTCGGCGGTAGTAACCCTGTTGTGTGCGTCTAACGTTGGGGTTTGGAGGGGACAGCAATCGTTTCCCGTGGTTTTCTGAAGGAACCGCACAGGTCGTCAAATGGTTAACATGTCTTCCTACAGTTATTGAGATGCTGTCATCATGACATTGGCTCGGCTCGTGGGTTAGTAAGTTGTAGATAGATGAGCAGCGTATACCAACAAGCCACCAGAGACGTCGGGACTGGCTGGAGGAAAAGGGGTCATGTGGGATGGCCCATGATGGGAGATGGGTGACGAGGCGGTGGAACAAGTCTCAGCAGCTGGGTGACACACCCAAGACCATGGCGATGCAGCCTCCATCACACATGAGCCACACTGCCACGCTGGTCGACGACGATCCTCAACCAGTCTTGGAGGCTCACCGTCTGCCGTTGGGGCTCGAAAAATATGAACTACCAAGGCAGGCTCTAGCGTGATACTTATCTGACTGGCGAGATATCGAGCGAGGTGCTACGCCACGTGAGATCGATCGACAACTTGGCCCGCAGATGGCAGACCCAGGTTCTCAGGCTGAAACAAATGTGCAGAGCAGTTTGAATGAGGACCCGGATCGACAGCTGCCCCCTTGCACATCTTTACCCAAAGAGAGGGGACCTCGCACCGGGTCAGACAAAGTGGCAAACTGTTCGGTTCAGGTCGGGAAGCCGCAATATTTCGAAGGGATAAGATGAGAATGGAAGAACACTCCGGCAGCCTTGGGCCAACAGCCTCGGGTGTCAGGCAAGCGGGTCGGTTATCAATAAGCTGAGTTCGTAGATTTGAGAGGACCGCCTTTGCTATTCACCAGAGGGCCAAGTGCGTTGAAGGGAGGTCCCTTTTCGCCTCATTGTTGAAGCTTCTGCCTGACAGGCACGATAGGATGCATCTATGATCCATCAGCTCTTTGGCTCCCTAGTCCGTCCCGAGTGGAACGAAGACCTAGTGGGCTGCTGCGATGTGGGGGTAGCCTGTAGGGTATTGGACCACGCATTGGCTCGTCCACGGTGAAGCCGTTTTCTTTTGTGGAATTCGGGGTCCTCTTGGCGCCTGGCGCCCGGCTGCAAGTTGGCAACCAGGCACTCGGGAACCACGAGGTTCATTTGCGCGTGCTGCTGGCAGCTGGTCGACAGACAGATGCTGGATTACCTAGACATTTGAGCCGGCCTGAGTCCTGACCTGCGTCCAATGGTCATCGCCGAGCCTTGAAGGATTCGCAACGACATTCGCCTGCTCAACTAGCCCGCGGGATTCTGTAGTAATGAATGTTCTGCTTCGGATCTCGTCTCCACGCGTTGCGTCGATGCAGCGCTAGCGCGTCGACTCTTTCTACAAACCTTTGCATATGTACGAATGCAAGGCGGTCCTACCCTCTCACGAACCACCACAAGTTTGTACGCTCCCTCGGGGAGTAGATCGCCTTTACCTGTGGCTCCTATGATTCCTAGATAGATACCCCTCGATTCCACAGTCTCGTATTAGGTATGTGATACATGAGAAACCTTGTGTTACTGGTTACTGGGTAACTGGAGGCCTGTGAGGAACGGGTCTGCGCCTAGTGAATCTAGGTGAGATGGAGATAAGATGAACAGAAGCAGAATTTGCAACGGGATTGGTAGCTCCAGTGGACTCCATCGTGAATATCCATGCAAGTCCGTGGACCGTCGGCGCTGGACCGCCGGACGTCTGCCCCTCCGTGGGTCCTCTTTCTCGATTTGATATCTTGCGGTCTCCCAGTCGGCCACGCGTGCTGCCACAGAAGAAGCCAGTTGGTGCATATTGAGGCATACTCAGTAGGTACATAATGTTTAGGGATGAAAGAGCCGTGCTGAGACGTGACCGTACATTAGAACTACGTCTGTGGTTTGTTGAATTGCTCGGTGACTTGGCTAGATGCATGGGTCTCAGCTGCGTTGGTGGAGTGGCCCGGCGAGAGGAAGGAAGAAGACCAACAAAGCATGCCAGCTGTCTTCGGCTGTACGCTGATAGCCCAGGCGGGGGGTTGGCCCGTGAGGATAGGTGATGATTTATTCCGTGGACGGGCATGGCAGTTCCCATGATGGGATCCTGCCTTTAGGGATACACCAGGATGCAAAATGCATGGAACATGCCTTTGTGAATGCCGAAAGTTCAGTAGGTCCCGGCGCACTGCAGCTGTGACGTATGGTGTATGTGGGGAGGGAAGCAGATATTACCAGGAGCGGATAGACACCCGGCCTTTAAAAGCAAGGCGAACTAGCTCAATAGGTGGGCAAGTTACCTTGGCGGCTTGGTAGATGAAGCAATCCAGATTTCAGCACACAAACCAGACAGTCAGGCTTACGATAGCAGTCGTGGGGGCTGTTCTCGGCGTGCCTGGTTCAGAGTGCTTGTCGATTGGGAACCCGATAGGCAAGTGTGTAGAAAGACATTGACACCCACCCGTCCATGATCAACAAAAGAACAGCTCTGAGTGGATGGAATGTCTCCCACCATCCAACCGGGTAGCTCTCTCAGTGCAGTAGACACGTAGGTAGTATGTTTGCTTTGCATGCTGGAGACTGGGCCTCATCCGCACGCAATCCAAGACTGTTGAGATGCCGGTTCTGTGCTGACAGGTGTGACCATCACAATCTCTAATATTTGTTGATATCGTTGCTGCTGTTTGGCGTTTAGAATTTGGACTGTACAATTAGTTAGTTTGCTGCTGCTGTACGTACCAAACTAGGTCTGCCAGGGGTATTTGTTTGAATTTATTAGAAAAGGTCTACCGGACGGAGTGAGCGAGACCAGGATATTGTAGAATGGAGAGACACTACATGCAGTGTGGGCCTCGGCTTACTGAAAGAGACATTGGACGACCCGCCCCTTTTCGCAACCTGTAATTATGTACGAGGGCAACTGGGAGGGGTCGTCGTTGGACTGCCACGACTGCCTAGGAGATGAGGGGAAACGGATCTTCAACAACCAACCTAGGTACTGACTGGAAGTGACGACTGGCAGGACGGGAATCGGTCAGGAGACCAGCTTATATACCTACTTTATTTGTTACAGATTCGTTCCGGATATACGTGTAGACCAACCAAGCGGTTAAATGAATACTAGAAGATGGTGCTTATGTATTCCCGTCAATTGGGCCTGGAATAATTATTTCAACAACCTACCAACATTCAATACAGGATCTCACCTGCACGCACGATAGCCGGACTGAACGTCTGCTTAATTCTTCGTCTCCGGCCGCATCAGATACGAGATTTCTAGATTTCTCTCGCAAAATGAGGCATCGATTCAATGCGAGCAGCAAGCCACCTCCTTGCTAGTAGCCATGCTGCGTCTTTCTAGCCTACGGTGAACTGAGATTAGCCTCGCCTGTTAGCACACGACCATCTCCACAAACGTTCTGCATCTTCCGAGGTGCCGGGCGCCTAACAAGCTGTCACCGCTGGAAACGTCAATAGCTGTGGGCGGATACCGGCAACATCAAGACGATGTTGACTGTTGAGCAGGAGCTTGGTGTTCTCGTCAGGCTGGACCCTGAAGAGTAGCTAGCTGCTCATAGATTGGCTTCATAGTGATGATATCTGCTCGCTCGGCTTCAGCAACGACAATTACCTGCAAGCTACTAGGTTATCCAGACTTTGAGGATGTTAGACGCCGACACGTCACTTCAAGGTTCAACTGTCCCAACTTGACGGGTGAGCTCTCGGGTATCTACAAGGAGACATGCAAGGCACTCGAAGAGAGTTTCAATCAGCTAGATCTTGATCTTGAGATCTCGAGGGTGCTGCAGCAGCCCTTCATCATCAATCCCCCTGTCCCCTCGATGCCATCTCGTTGCTGGCCACTGCCATTACCATTCGATGTCTAGTATCCATTTGAAGGTGCGTGTTCCCTCCAGTGATAGAGGGAGGCACCCGCACGAGGAAGGATCCCAGGGACCCCTGAGCTGTTATTGCCTTAAAGTGGCCATGGCCCGCTATTCCCCCTGTACTAGCGAGCCAATAACCAAACGCCCCATAGGGGTCACGTCCAGCTGCCACCCACCTGCAGCTACCTACCTAGGTATCCACCAAGACCCGGCCTCCTTCTCCGCTATCTGAACTCTCGCTACTTGCCTACTTGCCCGCTTGCCCGCCACCGCCCAGCAGCCCCCCCTACCCCCTACTGTGTACTTGCATCATATGCGCTATCCCCGGGTCCCCTGGCACCGTTTCTGCTAGGTCGTCCCTTCCATCGCCGCTCAGGGTGCGCTCGCCCACGGGCCTGGGGCCACAAGCACTGTCCGAGCCTCGACTCTCCAGCTTCGCTCCCTCCGCAGCTCCTTTAATCGACCAGTTCTTTCTTCCCAGATTTCCTCTGACGGCACCTGCAGCATCAGCGTCGTCTTTGTTGGCAACAGTCTTCCTGCCTCCTCCTTCTGACGGCGGTCGACTGCACTGCTCGTGTTGCTGTCGCCATATCGCTGCAATCGAGCGCCGGCCATATACCAGCACCCTTTTCCGTGCTGCCCCATCCTCCCCCTCGCCGACCGCAGTTGGGGCGGGCATGCCGCGACATCCTACGATAACACGACATCCCACTCCCTTCAACCATACTCTCGGCTGTTGTGTCTTTGACTGATACGAACATCGGGTTTACTCCATGCGTTTCTAATTAACCATATTCGGCGTCTTATCGAGCGCTGATTTTCCCGCTTCTCCCTGCCATACACAACTAACCATCCTTTCTCCTGGACCAAGTTGCTATGAGAGTCATGGCCCACGAACAGGCTTTGGCAGCAACTGCCGCCATTGTCAGGTCTTTAGCTAACCCTCAAAGAGACTCGTCTCCCGTTCCCATCGGCGCCAACTCGCAAATCAAGCTTCCTGGCCACGACAGCACAGCAAAGGAGTCGCTCGAACACGAACTCTCGGCCCTAGTGGTCAGGATCCAACAGCTCGAGGCCAAGGCCAGTGCCTCCAACACACCCATCTTCCCCGACACCCCCAGCGAGACGACCGAATCTTTGTTTGGCGAAGAGTCCTCGAGACGATCCAAGTTCCCACTCATCCCGCCTCCTCGGAATGTAGTTCCCGAAGAACAAGTCGTCAACTCCATCCCGCTCCCCAACGAGGCTCTCAAGGGGCTCCAAGAGCACATCCATGATCAATCCAAACTGCTCGACAATCAGCGCCAGGAGCTTACTAGCGTTAATGCCCAGCTGCTCGCACAGAAACAACTACAGGAGAGGGCGCTTCAAGTTCTGGAGAGAGAACGGGTTGCAACACTGGAACGGGAGTTGTGGAAGCATCAAAAAGCCAATGAAGCCTTCCAAAAGGCGTTGCGCGAGATTGGCGAGATCATCACCGCTGTGGCGCGAGGTGATCTTACCATGAAGGTTCGAATGAATACCATAGAGATGGACCCCGAGATTACCACTTTCAAGAGAACCATCAATACAATGATGGATCAGCTTCAGGTTTTTGCGAGCGAGGTATCTCGGGTCGCCCGTGAGGTCGGTACGGATGGAATGCTTGGTGGCCAGGCCAGGATCGAAGGTGTCGATGGCACCTGGAAGGAGCTTACTGACAACGGTAAGGCGTTATCGTACACCAGATGCTTGGAGATAAGAAGCTGACGTTCCTCTCAGTCAATGTCATGGCACAGAACCTCACCGACCAGGGTGCGTTGCAAACGCCATTCTCTTGCGCGCTATACTGACATGATCATAGTGCGCGAAATCGCCTCTGTGACGACTGCCGTTGCCCATGGAGATTTGACCAAGAAGATCGAGAGACCCGCTAAGGGCGAGATACTTCAACTCCAACAGACCATCAACACCATGGTAGAACAGTTGCGCACATTTGCGTCCGAGGTCACGCGCGTCGCCCGAGACGTGGGTACTGAGGGTATGCTAGGTGGACAAGCGGATGTCATGGGCGTCCGAGGCATGTGGAACGAATTGACCGTTAACGTCAATGCGATGGCCAATAATCTCACAACCCAAGTGCGCGACATTGCCAAAGTCACCACCGCCGTCGCCAGAGGTGATCTGACGCAGAAGGTTCAAGCCGAGTGCAAGGGAGAGATCTTTGAGCTCAAGTCGACTATAAACTCCATGGTCGAGCAGCTTCAGCAGTTCGCCCGCGAAGTCAGCAAAATCGCCAGAGAAGTCGGCACTGAAGGTCGCCTCGGTGGTCAAGCTACCGTTAATGACGTGCAGGGCACTTGGCGCGACCTCACCGACAACGTCAACGGCATGGCCATGAACTTAACAACCCAAGTTCGAGAGATATCCAGGGTCACCGCAGCCGTGGCCCGTGGTGACCTGACCAAGAAGATCGGCGTCGAGGTCAGAGGTGAAATCTTGGAGCTCAAGCTCACCATAAACTCCATGGTTGATCGTCTGGGAACTTTCGCTTTCGAAGTGAGCAAGGTCGCCAGGGAAGTCGGAACTGATGGTACCCTTGGTGGCCAGGCTCGTGTGGATGACGTCGAAGGCAAATGGAGGGACCTCACCGAAAATGTCAACACGATGGCTCTGAACTTGACTTCGCAAGTACGGGGTATCTCCACAGTCACGCAGGCTATCGCCGACGGCAACATGAGCCAGAAGATCGATGTCCAAGCAAAGGGCGAGATACTGGTTCTGAAAGAGACTATAAACAACATGGTCGACCGACTCTCGGTGTTCTGTAACGAGGTACAACGAGTGGCCCGCGACGTCGGTGTAGACGGCAAGATGGGTGGCCAGGCAGACGTTGGTGGTCTAAAGGGACGATGGAAAGAGATCACGGCTGATGTCAACACTATGGCAACCAATTTGGTCCGTGTTTTCTACCATGGACAATGCCTTTCTGTTAGACATCACTAATATCTTGCAGACCACGCAAGTGCGAGCTTTCGGCGATATCACTAATGCTGCTACCGACGGGAACTTCACCAAGCTGGTCGATGTTGAAGCCTCTGGTGAAATGGACGAGCTGAAGCGCAAGATCAACCAGATGGTGTACAACTTACGAGACAGCATTCAGAGAAATACGCAAGCAAGAGAGGCCGCCGAGCAAGCCAACAAGACCAAGTCCGAGTTCCTCGCCAACATGTCCCACGAGATTCGAACGCCCATGAACGGTATCATCGGAATGACGCAATTGACACTCGACACCGACTTGACGCAGTACCAGAGGGAGATGCTGAACATTGTGAACCAACTGGCCAACAGTTTGTTGACTATCATCGATGACATTTTGGACTTGTCCAAGATCGAGGCCCGCCGGATGGTGATAGAAGAGATTCCCTATACACTGCGGGGAACTGTCTTCAATGCCTTGAAGACACTGGCAGTCAAAGCGAACGAAAAGTTCTTGGAGCTGACGTACCTTGTCGACAGCTCCGTCCCCGATTACGTTGTCGGAGACTCTTTCCGTCTACGACAGATCATCCTCAACTTGGTCGGCAACGCCATCAAGTTCACTGAGCACGGCGAAGTAAGCTTGACGATCCGCGAATCTAAGAACGCGAAGCCGAAGGGACCGCACGAATACGCAATCGAGTTTGTAGTCCAAGATACGGGAATAGGAATCCCGCAGGACAAGCTTGATCTGATTTTCGACACGTTCCAGCAGGCCGATGGATCCATGACTCGCAAGTTCGGTGGTACAGGACTCGGTCTTTCCATCTCCAAGAGGCTAGTTAACCTCATGGGGGGAGATGTATGGGTCAAGAGCGACTTTGGCAAGGGGAGTCAGTTCTTCTTCACCTGCGTGGTCAAGCTGGCCGATAAAGAACTCTCGAATATCGAGAAGCAGCTGAAGCCATACAGAGGGCATCAAGTCCTCTTCATTAACAAAGGCATCTCCCGCTACGGCCGAGAGATCACGATCATGCTGCAGAGGTTGGGCTTGGTACCAGTAGTCGTTAACAAAGAGGGGAACCCTGCTTCATCGGGATCTGACGAGCCGCCCTACGATGTCATCATCGTCGAATCCATCGAGACTGCGCGGAAACTGCGAGCTATCGAGGATTTCAAGTACCTTCCGATCGTTCTACTTGCCCCGATCGTCCACGTCAGCTTGAAGTCTTGTTTAGACTTGGGCATCACATCCTATATGACGACTCCTTGCGAACCAATTGACTTAGGCAACGGCATGGTTCCTGCTTTGGAGAACCGGGCCACCCCGTCACTTGCTGACAACACCAAGTCGTTCGAGATCTTGCTTGCTGAAGACAACCGGGTCAACCAGCGACTTGCCGTGAAAATTCTCGAGAAGTACCATCACGTGGTCACGGTAGTAGGGAACGGCCTGGATGCTGTCACAGCTGTGCAGAACAAGAAGTTCGACGTCGTTCTTATGGACGTCCAAATGCCAATAATGGTCTGAATCCTTTCCGAGTCGCATATGGTAGGTGTTACATTACTAACCCGACATCACAGGGAGGCTTCGAAGCCACGGGGAAAATCCGCGAGTACGAGCGAAGCCTTGGAACCCAGCGAACACCCATCATCGCACTCACAGCACATGCCATGATGGGAGACCGGGAGAGATGTATACAGGCACAAATGGACGAGTATCTGTCGAAACCTCTGCAGCAGAACCATCTGATACAGACAATTCTGAAGTGTGCAACACTTGGCGGTGCTCTGCTCGAAAAGAACCGAGACAGGGAGCTGTCGCGGCAGCCAGACTCGAGCTCTCAGCAGAACTCGCCAGGCCACTTGAGACCGAGCCTCGAAGCTCGGGCGATCACTACGAATGAATCCCTGTTGACCGGCACAGAGAGTCCGTCTCTAGTCTCGGCAAATCTAGATGACCCATTGCAAAGGGCACGTTTAAACCTCTCTGAGCCTGACATCCACCGACTAACTTGAGCCTGCTGTTCAGCTCTTATTGAGAGCTCACAGCTCATAGTGCAGTCTCCACCTAGGAGATGGGTTGAGGCTTAAGGCTTGCTCATTGAGCGCTCCCCGCTTCGAACTACAGACCACCGAGTGCCTCTTATCGACCTCCGAAACCTAAAACCACGGTACTCGTCACGTCGCTGATGAAGCTCCTAATATTCTGCTTCTTTCGTGATCATAATTTCCAACGTGGGTCATTGTACACCTTGGCTCTTTGCCCGTCGCGGGTCTCTGCATTACTATAACGACGCATCGGGGACGAAATAGGGACGTGCCTATTCTGCGTGGGCCCATTATCACAGCCGCTGGAGTTTCATTTGGCGTTCTGTGTATATTCCGTGGGACACGGAGAGTGTTTGGTTACCTTTGCGCGCTTGTTGGCATCCATCACGGGGGGATACCCATGCTCTAGGTCGCGAGCAGTATCGCTGCTCCCGTCTTCTTGTGGCTTGGTCAACACATCGGAACGATAAGTCAGTTGCCTTTCTTACGGCAAGGCGAGAGGAGGGGGAGAGGGCTTTCCTCAAGCACGGATATCATACACGTTGAATGCTATGGGCGACGATCAATATCCCTGTTTACCTGTTCAACTGTGGCTCCTCGCACGTCTGTCCCAGTGACAATCTATTTTATCTTCGTGCTATGACGATGCCTGTGGCGTCCTCAGTAGTATCACTACTGCTTCCCTCCTTCGAGTCTGTACATCGGTCATGGCAGCCCAAGAAACTGACTGTAACGAAGGGCAGCCGAGTCCCTCCCGTCTTCGGTGCCAAGTAAGTGAGTGAGTTGCTGGCACCGAGCCGCCTGCATATTTGCTTGGTAAGACGATGGGTAGATACGTGCAGCCTCTTCGGTACCGCAAAAGTAAATGTCGACAGTACGCCATGTGAGGTTTTACTTGCTTTGGCTGGCACATACGTCACTTTGTATGTAGGGAGCCGGCTGGCTGCCTCTGCTACTTCGTGCCCCTTGGGAGCTCGATGTCGTCAAGTTGTCCACCCCAGCGGGAAGCGAGTGAGTGGGTGAGTGAGTAAGTGAGTGAGTGCGTACCTCGGTTTCTTGTCTGGGAGGTTGTTTTTAAGTGGTTGTAGGCTGGGCCTGGTTGAGGTTTAGGCAAGGGTTGGTTTGCGAAGGGTAGGGGGCCGACGTGGGGAATAAGAAAAGGGGGGAGGAGGGACCACCATCCCAGTATTGCTTATACAAAGCCCTATTGCGGCGGTGCGACTATCTGCCTTTAAATTACTACTTGAAGCAGCTGAGTCGGTGTTCATGATACTGACCAGACGCGTAATCATGTCAGTGGCCGTGGCTATTTAGTTATCAGGAGTTCTGCCAGTTTTTCTTGTCGTCCCCTCGGTTGGGGGTTTCATATTCAGTGTTCGTTTCTTCCCTTCTCGACGATCTATATCCCGGCTGTCTAGGCCCACGCCCTTGTCAGGTTCATGCAAGAAGCTGGTCGATCGGTTACTGGGCCCTAGGTGGTGCCACCATTTGAGGTGGTTAGCTACGTAGGGACGTTCCTACACATACGAGGAGGGTGGTGATTTGTCTGCTGAGCTATCTTTGCGGGGGGGTGGCGCCATAGCTGTTACATACGCCAGTATCCAAGCCCCTTTCCCGTAGCTTGGTTGAAGCAACATATAGGAAGGATGTCACATAGGAGAGGGACTGGGTGAACAGGCGCAAGGGGCCATATGTCATCCGTTGACGACGACATCGACCTCTGGCCTGAGTGGTTAGAAGTGCTCTTGATTTTCACTCTTTCTTCCTCGTCTGGCAACCCATCTACCTATACTCCCCTTGGCGCCATGGGGTTGCAACAGGTTACTCAGCAAATGCCAGCCGTGACCAGGTTTCCAATGGCTGTTTGAGTGCTGTTCGTGCTGGAAGGTAGCGAGTATGGTATTGTATCATAAGCAACAAGCAGGTCATACCACGATGGTAGGGCGCCTATGTCTTTCCGCCCTTCTCATCTACAGTGGGGAGGCTGGCCGGCAATGAGGCTATATGGCTTGCAGGTTCTGCGGAGTCGGAGTGCATCTCTGCATGACATGTAGACGCGGCCTCTCGCTGCAAATCCGAGAAGGAAGACAGAAGGCATACGAATTGCAGTGATTGGAGACTGTATTATGAAATACCTTGGGATTTGCTCTAGGATGTTCATGTCAACGGTGATCTCGGTTCCAAAGCTTGATTGATGCAACTAATTGAGATGGTCGAGGCCGCCGAGGCGTTGTAATGACCAGTGGTGTGAATAGCGGCCTACTCGAGAAAACCCAGTCTACCGCGTGCCCGTGGAGTAAGGCTGACATGTTAATTCCCTCGTGGGAAGCTCGCGTGACGCAGTGATTAACATGAAGCGCCGACGTAGTGGTTGCTAGTGGGGTCGTTTAAGAACTCCTGTTTATAGATGGCTCGAGGCTCGTCGAGACGCCCGACTACTTTAGTCTTCCCGTTACCATTCGTTCTATTCATTCCCCCAGCGCCTATCCTGGAGGTGAAAGGTCTAGAACTCATGCGGGGCCGCACTATTGCTTCTGCTCAGGCTGTCCTCCCTCCGGATCGGCTCGAGCTTCTTCCCCATCCCCTGCGCCAGGGGCGCCCGTTTCGGCTTCGACTGATGCGAGGAGAGCATCAAGTTTGCTCTCCAGATTCGCGAGGTTGCGCTCGATGGCAGCGGCCTGTTGCTCACCTCTAAAACATGCGCGTGTCAGCTATCCAACTTTTGGGGCATGGTGACGACGTGCAAGAGACGAGAGAAACCAGGGCGGGGCATGAATAAGATACGGTATGTGCAGGAGAGTCGAGGAGAGCAGTTGCTCCGGGGGCACGTGACGGGTGTTGTAGACCAACTCGGTGCTGAGTGCTGATAGACGTCGCACTGGCGAGCATCAATGAGCCGAGTAGCCGCTTGCAATGCCGACCGGCGGGAGGTCGGGACAAGGCTACTGCAGTCGTCTGCCGGTAAACGAGACACGGGCAGTTGAGGGTGCGGCGTGACAGCGGCGTGACGATGACACAACCCGCCGCCGGACCAGGTGCTCCAGGCGGCGCAGGCGGTCAGCTGGTCTAGATGTGGTACGTGTACTGCGACTTTCCACATCTGCATTTCCGGCAATGGGAATGGGAGACTTGGCACTGGCATGGGGAAATGGCGGGAAATGGGAAATGGGAAATGGGCTGATTGCCATGGTGTTTGTCGGAGTCACGACGAGGTCTAGAACGCAGGAGGGGCAGGAGAGGCAGGCGGGGGGGACACGGGGTTGATGTTTGAAGTAAATGCAGGAATTCGGGGCGTTCTAGTTCTCCATGGAGGGAGATGGGAATTCACCTTTGCATCCTCTAATACGTACCTGGCAAGGTCTTTGAAGGCCTAGACTGTCTTAGCCAGGCAACGAATGAGGTGAGATAAGGTAAGAAGGATACTCACCCTGGCCATCTCTGCCTGTGTTGACGGACCGCTGGACGGCTGGGTGTCGCTCGAAGTTGCGTCGGGCTTGTCTGCAGGCTGGGCCATGTTGTTGTGGCGAAGGGTTGTGGCGAAGGGTTGTGGCGAAGGGTTGGTTGGACTTCTTCAGTTGCCAGGAAGGAAAGGAGGAGGATACCGTAGGGGCGGAGATCGGAAAGGCGTTGATGGGTACAATGGAAGTGGTGGAGATGCTGGAAACTTGTCAAGGTTATTAGATCGTTGGTCCATGGACACATACAGCCTGACAGGTAGCTAATCATTACAAAGTAGTCGCGCTGTGCATCGCCTCACATGCCGATCTCTCAGGTCTGGTGCTCCAGCTGAGGGATAGGGAGGCAGGTACCTACCTTTACATACGTGTAATGGCATGGCCTGGCTCCAGCTGCCAGATGCTCCAGCTGCCAGGCTCGCTGGTTGAGGAGGTATGCTCCACTTTGCGAGAGGCAACCGAGAATCCAATTCACCTGCAATCCAGTCTGCCAGTCCCATGACAGCTCTGGGCTCTGGGCTCTGGCATTTCCATCCGAAGGTATGCCCGGCATGACGCGTGTGGAAGATACTGATAAGCAAGCACACATGGATGACACCGCATAGTGTCGAATCCCATGTCCGGCGTCCTGATTTCCTTCGCGATCCCATATGGTAGATCCCATATGTTATTAGGTAGATCCCCATCCCCATTCCATTCCCATCCATTACCAAGGTCGTGAGTGGTATGCCAAACGGACAGCCAAGTGGCATTTCCCACCTCAGACCTGACGCCTACATGTAGCCTTCTGAACTTATGAAGTCCTGAGGTGGCACACGCAATCCCTCGTGTCCTTCTCCAATCTCGATCGTGTCCCGCAATGACGGGTGCTCTTTTGCCGCTGTCGAGGTGTCTTCATCAATGGATGAGATGGCCGCATGGCGTCCCACAAGCAGCACCACTTTGATCAGCTTCCAACCCTTGCTCCGCATACAGCTTATTAGGGACGGCGTTATTATTATTGTTGTTGTTCCTGTTTCCTATTGTTGTTCCTGTTTCCTATTGCTATTTTGATTACTATACTACAGTAGTAGCCCAGTAGGCGAGGTAGGCTACCCCAATGCAACAAGCTCTGCGAGTTCGCAACTGGGAAACGCCAAGGCTCTCGATCCCGGGCTCAAAAGTCGATGGTTGTAATGGTCTTCCCTCCACTTGTTTCGTCCTTGTCCCATGTCAAGTGGCATGGCGGTCATGGCAGGCTCTCACGAGTTATTATTACAACACTCATCGCCCACCATTCTTTCTCTTATGCCGTGTACATGCCTGCCAGGCGTGCCCACCTTGCCTAGGTACTGAACTGTACGCAGCTGGGAGCGGACGGACGGGAGAGGACTGCAATGTCTTGTCTTGCGCGCATGTTTCCATCGAGACACGCACGACACGGGCGGCGCCGGAGGAGGCAGCGCAGCAGCCCACTTGAATCGAGAGCTGGCTCCTATTGGTTGCCACGCTCGACTAAAGATCTCGATCCCTCAAAGCCGCGTCTAGCTCTGGCGTTGGCACAGGCTGGCTAGAGGGATGAGCGGATACATGCTTCCTGTTTTCCTTGCTCACTTCCAACTGCGTGACTTCATGTGCCCACTCAGGCTGTCAGGAGCACGACTACCTTGCAGTCTACCGGTACATACTGTAGGTACTGAGCGTATGTACTATTGCCGGACCTACAGTAATAACACTCAAGGCAACCTACATACTGTAGTCGTGTTTCCTACAGTAAAAACATGCAGGTGCTCAGAAGTCTCGCCCGTTTCCAGTCACAGGTACGGTAATTATGAAGTACCTACCTACCTACCTACCTAGGGTATGCACGCCTGCATGTACACATACAGTATCTCCCATGCGTACCTTGGGTGGACAGGTACCTACCTCCGTATGTACCTCGTGGTATCATGGGGACTGCACGCACCGTTTGCCCATCCACTTTTGTTCGACTGGGTCGGCTGTCAGTGGGCTGTCTGGCTGTCCGGCTGTCTGGCTGGAGGCTGTTGTCAGTCACTTCAGCGCGCGCTTTCGATCGAATCGAGGGTGGCCACTCCATCGAGATCGCAGAATTGCTGCGGTATCGAATTCACTATAACCGTCCGGGATCCATAATGCCAATCATCCAGATTCCCCTTCAACTGCTTGACATTGCCATTGTCATCCACTGCACGAGCACGAAAAGTCGATAGCGAAACCTTCGTCTCTATTAAACTGTCAAAACACCAGCCTCAACGACCTGCTTGCGCATCGCCAGGCTGCGAGTTGAAAGGTTCACTCTCTCTTGTCGTCGTCGTCTACCTAGGTACCTACCTACCTTGTTACCTACCTTAACGCCGTCACCACACGCAGCCCACGCAGCCCGCGCATACCGCATCCCACATACCACATACCACATACCACTGTACGGCACCTACACTCCGCCGACCGCGCCGCTGCTGTTCTAGACTCCAATGCCCCACACCTAGCTCGACACCTTGGAACGCAACGCCGCGCCCTGCCCTGCGACTATCCTACGTCTCAGTCTGGAGTCTGGCCCTGCAGGAAGCCAGGAAGCTCGAGTCCGACAGCACTGCACCTGTACCTGGCACCCCCATTGCCCCAAAAGACTGGTTATTAGACCAGTCTCTGTGCGCCGAGTCGGGACTTTGCTATCGCATCTTTCCACGCCTCGCCACAACCGCTGCCCGTCTGTCACGGCATCCCACGCGACACAGGTGGTCCTGTTATTCATTGCGTCGACACCTCGAGCTCCGGGAACTGTAAGAAAGCCGATGCTGGGATAAACGTCCTCCCCCGATCCGCCGAACAGACGCGGCCACTCAACTATATGAATTCTCTCGAAGCCATTTTCGGCGAGCTGGGCATCTCTCAATACCTTGGCACCTTCGTCGACCAGGGCTTTGATTCATGGGACACAATATTGGACATCACGGAATCCGATCTGTACGTCGCTCTTTGTGCTCTTGTGCAACCCTTCTGGCTGTAGCTGAGGCTGATATGTTCAATAGCGACGCGCTCGGCGTAAAGCTTGGCCACCGTAGGGTAAGGCGCACAACGTTCTGTATGTTGTAGGACCGTTCATGCTGATCAGGACGTAGAAACTCCAACGTCGAATCGCCAACTACAGAGGCCTCGCCCCCGATGCCTCCTTAGCAGCATCTCCCACCCGTGCAAGCATCGAAGAGACTCGGCTCGACTCGAACCGATCCGAACCGGCGAGAACCGATCACAAAGATGGATCAACTGCCACCAAAAGGAAGTACAGGAGGCATCCAAAGGTTCGCAAATACTTTGATGACTACACGCGAGAAAGGGAAGCTAATGCATGGTCAAAGGCGGATGAAAATGGCCCGGAACGTCCCCCCTCGGCTTACGTTCTCTTTTCCAACAGTACGTTACCATCTTCCGTTACTCTCAATGGCGCTCGCTCATTGGGTGGCGGGGCTGCTTGCTGATAATTGCATAGAAATGCGAGAGGATCTCAAGGGTCAAAACCTGACATTCACCGAGATTGCCAAGTTGGTCGGCGAGAATTGGCAAAACCTGAACCGTGCCGAGAAAGAACCCTTTGAGAGACAAGCGCATCAGGCCAAAGATAGGTACAACCGCGACCTGGCCGAATATAAGAAGACTCCCGAGTTCAGGAAGTACAGCGAGTATCTGAACGAGTTTCGAAAGAGGCAGGCGCTTCAATTACACGGTATGTGTCTGCGCCTCCGGACTGGCTGCGGCGTCTAACGTCGAACAGAGAAGGATACATCGAAGAGGCTAAAGACGGAGTCGGACGGCACGCGGCCAGGCAGCCTCAGAGGCGGTTCCATGGGCCCCGGTGGTACGAACAGTCGCGCCGGCAGCGGAGCGGAAAGCGTGACCGGCAGCGAGCCTCCTCCGACCCAGCAACAACGGATGGGGGCAGTCTTGCCGGGTGCCGAGTCTTATTTCCCATTGACGAGCGGCCCAAGTTACCAAGATGAGACATTCCACTCATCGAGAACGTTGTCCATGGAGGATGCCAATGGCAGTCGGCCCGGTAATTTATCAAGTCCTCATTCGCGTGACCCATCTGTCCTTCCTTCGACTTGGCGGACAGGTTGGCCAGATGGTCAGCGGTTGCCCGGGGACTCTTCCAACATTGGTGTTCCTTGGCTCGACCCGAGAGCGGCTCCTGGCTTCCTTCCCCATTCGCCAGAGCACAGTCTTCCCAGCTTGACGCCGACTCAAAGCCAAGGGCGCATGAACTCTGATGGATCGCGCTCTTCGATGTCGAGATCGGGGCCTCCGTCTTTGATGACAGAGCAATCATCTACCGGGAGTATATCATCGCTTGCCTCGTCAAATCTTCCAAGGACGCCGAGTGATGCATCTTTGCCGATTCATGCCCTCTTGTCATCGAAACCTGAGCCCTCTCCGTACATGTCATCCCAGACGCCGACCCCTCTATCAAACGTGTCAGCATCTAAGGTGTCACCACCGCTACCTCATCCACAATCTGGGCGCCCTTTCATACCCGGGTCATATGGCTCGAGCTATCCAGGTCATTCCTCGTACGGCAGTGATTCCAACGCGTCGGCCGAACGTGATTCGCATGCTTCAAGGGAAACCAGTCTGGACGGCATAAGCGCACTTCTCAAAGCGCGAGATATAGTTGATCGGCGGTCATGATTGACTCCATGTCAAGACAAGACACGATCATTTCTTCCTTAGCCATCGGGTCTTGTACCTGTATCACGTGCTCGCCTTCAACGAAATATTGGCCATACACTTCCTGTTCCCGGCCTGTACGACAGGCAACAGTTTGTACGGCACCCCAATGAAACAGGCGAATTGTCCTTCGCCCCTGAAACATTTGTCCACATACTTATTCCGGGCATAAACACGATCATGCGACACCGCTTCGATGTTTACAGCGTGCAAGAGAAAGATAACCTCCTTCCTCGTCGAAACACCTACAGTCGAGATGAGAAGTATTCTCGGATTTTCAGATTTACCTTTTTTGATACCCATGACAGTCGAAGTCGCTACATGGATATCTTGGTAATGGAGTTGGCGGAATTGATATCATGTGAGTCGACTCGGTAGATGCCCGCATCTGGCATCACAGGCAGGCGAGATGGGCGATGGTGAAAACGGCGTTTGACGGCGTTGCATTGCGTATGGCGCAGGCCTGGGCGGTTTCTCAGTGTGTTTTCGGGAGGTTCCCTTGTGGGTTCGCACGACGAAGTCCATTTGCTTTGTTTACAAATGATTTGACTGTATGGGCTCTATATGGGCCAGACGGGTTAGTCGGCCGGGTCCCAAAGAGGACTGCCGAAGCTATCTGTACGCTCTTGTACGGGCGAACTTCTCATTGCCCGTTGCAGGAAAAAAATGCCGGGCGGGTCGGGGTCTGATATGGCATGGCATGGCACGGCAGCGACCAGCCATGGTCCAGGATATATATATATATATGGGAACTCGAGGCGAACGGGAAAATGCATCTTGAATGATCTGATGATTCCAAAACACGCACTTTCATGGCAAGACAGGGCAATGTGACACTGTGGATGGAAGTTCTACCTGAGATTCAGTACCGGCCGCATTTGCAAATATACTGATTTTGCATCCATATAGGTGGGAAGTACTCACTTACCCCTACTCACCCGAATTGTGTTGTATTACTGTCATGTATTTAGCCTGCCCACTCCGGGCACGTCGAAATGAGCGTCTATTCTAGCGGTGCTGAGCATGGTACACGCAAACATGAATGACGGACGGGCAGGCAGACTGACTGACTCCTTGATGGGACTCGGCTCTGGCTACGTGAGTAAGATACCTATGTAGCTCGAGTACCTCAAGTTGCTAAGTAAGCCTGCTTTCGGGACTTCCGTTTTCCGTTCCATCTAATATCAAGCGGATGAGGTAGGTGATAATGATTTCGCAGTGGAATCAGCAGTGACTACCGTAGGTGGTTGGTTATTCAGGTTTCTTGTTTTGGTTACGGCGGCTTAGGTAAGGTAGTCTAAGCCAGGTAGGTAGGTAGATGATTAAGATAGGGTTTGCAAACTCGGGGATGTGTTCTCCCACCCACTTGTCTAACTTGAATTCATTCTCCTTTTCACTGGCTGGTTTATGTGTAGGTTAAGCAGGCAGTTACATCGGGGCGGTGTCACGATCCGTATTACGAAGTAGAAGCGCAATGAATCCAATTACTGTATACGTATGAAAATCATCTGGTGGGGAAGGAAAAGATCTTGACCCGCAGCCAAATTGGCTGGTGGGATAGATCTAAGCGACCGCCCCGCAATTCGGCTACGGAGCAACGTTGACCAGGTCATGCGACTTGCACGTGACGGGGACCGGGGCCAATGGTGGTGGCTAGGTGGCTAGGCACCATCACAGGCGGGACCTGACCTCCCACCCACCCATATTCCCTGTATTCGAAACCGCGGTAGATTACTTACTTAAGGTGCAGTGACCAGCTGCTAGAGATCTCGGACACCACCATGGGGGCTCGATACCTTATGGCACACGTAACGTCAGGTAGATTCGGCTGGGCGTATTGTCTGTCGCCAGGTGCTGGCTGGTGCGACCTCCTCGTAAGTCAAGTCCGTTTGGGCAGATAGATGACCGCCCTTACGAACGAGCCCGAGCCCCGGGTTAATATCAGAGAGGAAGGAAGACATCCCATGGCATGTTGACTTATGGGCCACATGCGTGTGTGGCTGGCAGACGTCTCAATTTAGTAGCACATTCCACGTGTATTGACCTGGCGAGGTAGAGTGTGGTGGTTATGTAGGTAGTGAGCCAGCGATCAGCCGATCAGGTGAAGGCGACGTTTACCCAGCACTAAGCATCATAACCGCCCGACAAGATGCGCGGCATCTTGGCCTCGTGACAACATACCGCGGCGAGGGCAAAAGAAGAGTTGATAAACCTAAGGCAGACCCAGCGGTGATACAAAGCATCTGGATGTACACTGGGCGCGCACAATATAGACAGACATACGGTGAAACCGGAGACTCAAAATGCCTGATAATTTCAAGAAAAACGAGACACAAGGCAGGAGGGTCGGGTACAAGTCCGTTTTGTATATTTATTCATCCCGTTCCTCTACCAAAACAAGTGATGCGCCGACCACAGGTGCGGGTATCTGAGGGCAGCTGAACCTCACACGACGCGCTCCAATGCCACCTGACTCCGGTCATCATCCATCAATCATACAGGACTGTATCGTCCAACTTGCCCATATACAATGGCCAGTGGTGGGTGGGTAGGCACCAATCATCCCTCAGTGACCTCGGCCTTCCAATCTTTGCGGATGTCGAGCTCGAGCAGCTCGGGCGTATTATCAATAACCAGGCCTTTCTCGTTGGCCAAGTGCAACAGGCAAATGAAGCAGAAACTCGTTGAGATGTCGTCCATGGTCGACTTGGGGTAGACAGACTGCAAGTTGTTCATGACGTTGGTAAACTTCAGTGTAGGCTCCTGGGCCTTTTGTGTCATGACGTCCTCCTCGGTTGGGGGAGTCGGTAGTCTCGAACGATCAGGTTCCTCCTGTATTCAATGTCAGTCAAGATAATCGAAAAACTACAAGGTAGGGGTCTTTGTAGGTATTCCTTACGTCATGGGTGTCCAAAGCCCCCATGCCTTTCCAAATTTCTTCCTTTAGCCGATGGATGTTGACCTTCTTGGCAACCCGTGCGTATTGCACATATTCAGGCCTCAATCGCCGGGTTGATGTGACTAGCTGTGTACCGAAACCGCCCGTAGTCATGCCACCGTCCAGCATGGCGGTGATGCCGATGGCTTCGGTAGGAGGCGCATCGACACCTGGAGAGAAATGATCCCTGGCGTCGGCGAACTCCAGGTCGTCATCATCGTCCAGCATACCACCACCCGGAAGCGGCATTTCATCATCAAAGAAATTGGCGTCGTAGTCGCCCTGGGGGAGTGCTGCATCCTCTTCGGTGCTCTGCAGGGACTCCTTCTGCGCCCAGAACGCTTCATCCATATCACCCGCATGCGCATTGTCCTGCTGCTCGGCGTTGCCGAACGCGCCAATCTTGCTACCAAAACGTGCACGACGACTACTCATGCGGGCCTTAGGCTTGAGGAAGAGGCTTAGAAGCTGCTGAGAGTTGAAGTGCTTATCATCAGGGAGGAGGTTTCGCGTCTTCGACTTCCAGTCTTTCTTTGCAAGGGAAATGGTCGCGTTGCTTGTTGCCGGCGTAAAGATAGTCTCGGCCATCTTAAAGTCCAAAGGGGAGGCAAAATCAATCTCGAAAGGCTCTTTCTCCTTGCGTTGCCGTGCGGCTGTCTCCGGCTTGCTGGCATCCTTGATCTTCCTTATCCGCCAGTGCTCTGGTCCAGACCAGTTCTTCTGGAGAGCTTGGTCGAAGTACCCAAGGATGTCTTCGTGCATCTGGTCGCCGTTCTTGGAACGGTTCATGGATACCACGTAATCGCCATTCTCGTCATCCATGCCGTCAGCACCATCGCCTCCGGGCACCCCATCGTCAAGGCCGACGTTGTAGGGTCGCATTTGAGGCTCTAACGCGGCTTCCTTTGCCCAGGCCTCACCACCCTCGCCAAATGCAACTTCGCCAATATCGAAGCCGCCCATAGCAATCATGTCGTCAAAACCCGCGGGGTTGTCTTCGTCAATAAACATGCCGGACTTGTTGCCAGCTCCGCCAGGACCGTCTTCGTCCTCGTCCTCGTCGTCATTCTCCGAGGCACGCAAAAATGGGATATCCAGGGAGCCCGAAGGGTTGCCCAGATCAAAAGTCTTGAGCGATGGGCAGATGTCTTGCTCGTCGAGCCGACCTAGGTCAGTGAAGAAGCGGTCTCCAAGCGCGCCGATGTCGATCTCCACTTCCTCTTCTTCATCGCTCCCTTCCAATTGCTTGGTTATGTCTGCTTCGTGGTCTTCGTCCTCTTCCCCTTCTCCCTCCTCTGGAATGGTGTCCTCTCGCCTCCACGGTTTAAGGCCGTCTGCCGACTTGTCGTTGGCGTCGTCACTGCTGTCGAAGACAATACGGCCTTGGCCATCGATCATCAGATGATTTAGTAAGAGACCCTTGGCGCCACCCTCGTCGAAGTCTGCGGAGGCTTTCTTGAACAGCGGATCGACTGCAAACTCGGTGTCAAACTTTTTCAGCTGCAGCGAAGCAAACGACGGGGCCAATGTCGCCTCAGACGATCGTTGCTACCGAGCGGTTAGTCATAGATTGATACAAGGGCGGCTTGGGGGGAACGTACACGTCTCTTGGACTTCTTCTTGACCACGTTGCCATCCTCGTCAACTTCTTCTTCACTCTCCTCGCCGTCTGCTTCGCCGTCCTTGTCCTTCTTCTTGGAATTGCTGTCTGCCAGACCGCTCAGAAGCTTGCCCGTCTCGGTGGCAACGCTGTCGACTCTGCTCGTATAGATCTTGACACATCCATCCAGGGTGCAACTGGCTCGCTGAAAGTTGACTCCATCCCCGTCCTTCAGCAGCGACATGTCGTGAAAGTAGTCGATCAGGGCAAAGTTCCACGAGTTGGCGGCATTGATTTTGTTGTCGGTGGCCATCTTCATCCATTCTTCGAAGTTGGCCAGGATGGGTACACGCTTCATCGGGGTCACGCCGCTGCCCACGACGAAAACCTCGTCATCGTCATCCCCCCCGCGTCGCGGCGTGCGCGGGTTCGAGCGGGGAGACGCATTCTCGATATCGGCCAGTCTGACGCCGCCTTTCTTCGCAGGCGTAGCAGCAGCCGCCTGCAGTTCGTTGATCTGTTTCTCGTAGAGGACTTTGCGGGATTGAAGCCGGCCTTTCTTCTCGCGGGCGTCGTCGTTCAGTGGGATCCTGCAGGCGGTGAGATTTGGTTGCCGGGCGGGCGCAAGCGGGCACAAAAGGTAAATAACGGGGATGTTGTCGACTTACTTTAACGGGGACTTGAAGGGGGAGGCGGTAGAGGCAGACGCTGTTCTGCTGCTGGCGCTCGCACGAGGACCCTGAGCGACCCGAGGCATGGTCGAGTTTCTGGCGCGGATGGTAATAAGGTTGTGGTGAGGTTGTTTGATAGCAGGGCGAAGCACGAGCTGGTCGCGTCGTGAGCATGGCACAACTCCAACCTGTGCAAGTAAACAATGGAAACGGCGCTAGCCCCTCTTCGCAGAAGCTCGGTTACTGTGTACGGGCAGGGTAAAGTCCGACTGCCCGACTGCCCGACTGCCCGGCTCATGCTGTGGCTTAGGTTATCCCCACGTGGCTACCTTATTTGCAGTGGGGCAACCATCGAGTTTGGCACGGGCAGAGCTCAAAGCTACCTACCGTATGAGCTCCCAGTCCCAGGGAATCATTAGCAGCGAACCTTGATGAGGCCGCCCGTGCTGCAGGTGTAGTCAATAAATACATCATAACGTCACTAAGGTAGGTGGCCAAGACTGAGCTCCCGTCAGTGGCATTTGCTCTGGTACGGACGCCACGGAGCAACTTGAGAGGTAGATGCGTACGCTGCAGTCGTCGCAGCTCCGGGCTTCCTTGATTCCCTGGTAGCGTGGCAACAGCGCTGTGCAGTGTCAGAGTGTGACCTGGTAGTTTCAAGCTTCTTCGCTATCGATGCCAAGCTGGAGGTCGACTTCAACCTGCATCCAATTCATTGTTCCTTGGCTGCTCTGGACAACTTCTCTTATCAAAACAACATCCGTAAGATATTCACTCTGACATCTCTCCCGCTTGAGTTCTGCATATTGCTACCGCCTGCGCGCGCTGGTCATGGCGTTCTGACATACCCGCACATCCACCCACCAGCCCACCAAGATGCAGAGCCAGGTCGCGCATGGGCAAAGGAGGAGGAGCTTCAGCTCTCGCCCATTCTACACCACCGTCTTCCTCCTCAGCCTATTCGCCGTCTACTCTCTCTTCATCAAGGGGCCGTCGGTGCACCGCCAGGAGCAGCAAAGCCTGGTCGCGCGGTCCGGCGAGGACTGCCGCTTGGTTCACAATGCCCACGACAAATGCGCCTTTGTTAAGCGCAACTGTCACGATGACGAAGCTGGTCTTCTCGAGTACCTGACCCTCTACTACTGCAACCTAGGCCATGCCCAGCCAGTCGCATTTATCATACTGGTCTCTTGGCTGGGGCTGCTGTTCACCACTATCGGCATTGCTGCGAGCGACTTCTTCAGCGTCAACCTGAGCACCATCGCCACCATCCTTGGTCTGAGCGAGAGTCTGGCTGGTGTCACCTTCCTGGCCTTCGGAAATGGGTCACCGGATGTCTTCAGCACCTTCGCTGCCATGAGCTCCAACAGCGGGAGTATGGCTGTGGGCGAGTTGATCGGTGCTGCTGGCTTCATCACGTCTGTCGTTGCCGGCTCCATGGCTCTGGTGCACGAGTTCAAGGTCAGCAAGACCACCTTTGTGCGAGATATCTGCTTCTTCATCGTAGCCGTGGGCTTTACCATGGGTTTTCTAGCCGATGGGAACATCCACCTATGGGAATGCTGTGTCATGATTGGCTTCTACGCTTTTTACGTCATCTTCGTCGTCGGCTGGCACGCATTCGTCAAAAGGAGAAACGCCCGGAAGGCCAAGGAAGACGCAGCACGAGGACATTTCTTTGCGCCTGCAGGTGATAGGGTCAACGACGAGCTGGAACCCTACCGAGATGACCCTGACAATGAAGACACCACTGTTTCAGCAGGACGTGGGCCCGCCACAGTAGACATTGGGATGCTGGAGCGAGGGCCACGCATTGAGATTGGTCCCGCCGACGAGGACGAGGTTGACGAGGCGGACCGTCGTCAGCATGTTGCTGCGGAAGTGGCTAGCAGTATGCGAGTGACTCGCCCGCGTGGGAGAAGAAGCACCACAACCATCACCCCCATACGGCCCAGCCTGGTCGGTGCTCTCGAGTTCAGAGCAGTACTATCATCGTTGCAGAGGGAAGGCAACGTTCGTATGAGACCAATCACTGCTCGTAGCCATTCTGCCGATCGCCTTAGGCCTGGCCAGGGAGTTTTGGTTGGAGGGACCAGAAGCGCGTATAGCGCACAAACAGTGGAAGCCCTTACCGGTCGATCGTCTGCGTCTAGAAGTCGTGCACAATCCTCCGGCGCCATTCCGCCAACTTTTGATGCCGACCTCGTGGCCCGAAGGTCGATAGAAGACGAGATAGGAGCTCCTAGCCCTCACACGATCGGCGGAAAGTTGGCTCCTCCTCCGAACGATTTCATGGGCAGTCGCCCGACAGAGACCGATGTTACAGGAGACAAGTCCCAGCCCTCATCACCACTGTTGCACAGACTTAGCATACCCAGTTCGCCTGCTACTGAGAGGCCATCGCCGCATCTCTCTCCCTTCCCGGGATATACTGACTCGCCCCTTGTTATGACTCCAAATGCGCAAGAGCCGCCGCATTTCATGCTCCCAACACCTGCTGATGAGCGAAATCCACAATTCCCGAGCATGATTGCGCGCGCAGATACAAGACCGGTCAAATGGTGGCCTTATCAGGTGCTACCAGCACCCCACGTCTTGCTGAATACCTTGTTCCCTACACTGCAGGGGTGGCGGAACAAGAGCATATGGGACAAGCTGATCAGTGTCATTTCCGTACCGACTATCTTTCTGCTGGTAATCACATTGCCGGTGGTGGAAAGCGACACCACCGACGACGAGGAGTCTGGTGACAGCATTGTAGAGCAACCAGCAACAGGTCACCTGGGGAACACGGCAGCAGCAGTATCCTACGAATCGGAAGGGTCTATTGAACCCGAGACAGAGTGGCAGCGGTATAGACGCAGCACGATATCCAGAGCATCGAGTCGCAGCCCTTCGCCGGCCCTCATTACCTTGGACAGCCCCAATGACACACCGCCATATAATCAGGCTCACTCTGCTTCATCGCTTCCTTCGCTGAACATACAACCTTCTAAGCCTGTTTCGGTATCAGACCAGGACAACTCAACGCTGCAGGAGGAAGAACATGGGTGGAACCGCTGGCTGTTGATTCTACAGATCTTCGTGGGCCCGGCGTTCTGTGTGCTCGTGGTGTGGGCAAACATGGCTGAAGAGCTGGAGCGACCTATCAAGCATCTTGTAAGAGCACTTTTGATCTCCCTTGTGGGTTCTCTGGTGCTACTTGCTATCCTACTCATGACTACGTCGCCTACCCGTCGGCCCAAGTATCACTTCATGTTTTGTTTCCTGGGCTTTTGTATTTCAATTGCTTGGATTTCTACTGTGGCAGGTGAGGTAGTCGGTGTGTTGAAAGCATTTGGAGTGATCCTGGACATATCGGAAGCTATCTTGGGTCTCACCATATTTGCCGTGGGCAACTCGGTAGGGGACTTAGTTGCTGATATCACGGTGGCCAGACTTGGGTATCCGGTAATGGCTTTGTACGTTGCTGCTAGCACCTCTCAAGATGATGGCGTCACTAACATCCTTCTAGATCTGCCTGCTTTGGCGGGCCTCTGTTGAATATCTTACTCGGCGTCGGCCTGGGTGGTGCCTATCAAACGATCCATGCAGCCAACAAACGGAAGGCAAAGCATCCCGAAAAGGCCTTTCGGTATAAGCCGTACCACATACAAGTCAGCGGGACTTTGATGGTCTCAGCAATAGCGTTGCTTGTGACGTTACTTGCCCTTCTCGTTGTCGTGCCGATGAACAAATGGGTTATGAGCAGAAAGATTGGCTGGGGCCTCATTGCCCTTTGGTCGGTCAGCACCGTTCTGAATCTCGTGATAGAAGTCACCGGATTCTGGCAGGAAATCGCTTAGACGTCCTGATTGTACCAAAACCTGTACCTGCATACGTATGCCTAGTGGCACCTCACTGGTACCACCGCGCGTTGGCATATTATTTTCTTGTACAGACTAGTCGAGATACCCTTCACCAATACACGTTGTTTCTATAGACTACCAGCATGCGTCCCTCATTCTGGAAGCCTAGTCCTGAAACCCGCTCTGGTGAGACGTGACACTTGATTCGCGTCGTCGACGGGTGCGATTGCTCGCCTTGCCGCCCGCTACGTGACGCTCTTGCCAAACGGTACGCCTCGTCTTATGACGCCAACACCGACTCGACACAATGACTCGCACAATGACGAGATTCGGCACTTCATTGGGTGTACATGCCACGGCCGTACCATCCTTGCCCGCGCAAGGCGAAGACAGCCTCGCCCTTCCATTTGCCGGTACCTTTACCACGACAGCAGCCGTCACCATCGAGAGGCCACGCAATCAGATAGCACAGGCGTTGGTGTAGGACAACGGACTACACAATGGGGGCATAGGGCAGAGGGAGGAGGTCTACCATCGCAAGATAAAAGGCGGGCAGCCCAACTTTTCTTACTCAGCCCAAATTCCCTTTGGCTACAGACTCTCGTCAAGTGAAAGATACCAAGCTCGTCTACCAGGCAGAAAAAGACTCGTTTCTCACTTACTCAACTTGGCCATTCGCAACAGGCACGCACCCACTCGCACACCCACACTCACCAACGACGCCATCATGGACGCCTCCAACAGCAAGACCAAGCCCGACACCAGGGCCCAGCGCACCGCCGCCGCGGACGCCCTGGCCAACGACAACGCCCAGGGCTATGGCACGTACGGCTACAAGGACGTGACCGATCAGGGAGACGATATGGATACTTCCCAGCAGGCCACTACTACCGGATTCACTGGCAACACGTCCTTCGGAGCTGGAGGAGCGGGCGCTAGATGTGCCGGAGCTGGGGGAGCGGGAGCTAGGGGAGCCGGAGCCGGAGGTGCCGGAGCAGGAGCTTACGATGCTGGAGGTGCTGGAGGTGCTGGAGCCGGAGCTGGAGGTGCTGGAGCGGGCGCTGGAAAAGCGGGAGCTGGGGGAGCGGGAGCTGGAGCAGGAGCCCACGACGAAGGCATCAAAGGCATCGAGGACCAGGACTCGAAGCGGGAGAAGGTCGAAAGCGAGGGCAAGGAGAGCACCACCAGCACCACCACCGGCCTCTCCGCCACGCTCCGTAAGTTCCAGAATAACATCGACGAGGTGCGCGGGCGGATGGCGTCGAAGCCGCAGAAGAGCGCACAGGCTGGAGACCGTGAGGGCGCTGGAGTCAAGGATAAGAAGGATCAGGCTCAGGTTGAGGGACAGGGGCAGGGACAGGTTCCGGTTCAGAATCAGGGACATGGTGCACAGCAGGACGATGAGGAGGAGGAGGAGATGTTCCGGTATGGGAAGCATGTCTGAAGCCGACTTTCATTGAGGTAGGTTGATTTGCGAAATTTGGGTGGGAGGAGGTTTGTTGAGGAGTGTGTAGCTGGCTGGCTGGCTGTTGATTATACACATCACATTCATTTGGAGATAGGGGCGGTCACCAGTATTCGTATGGGCGGCTTAGCTGTTTTCCCCTTCGTGCTCGTGGTTCAGCTGGCTGCCACAGAAGCTTCTCCATTCGTTCATACTGGGACAAACTGGACGAGATAGATCGGTAGTAGATGAATGAATGAGGCGCTTCACTGCACTCGCATGGACGTGTGTTCGTGGTGTAGATGAGTTTCAAGCAGCTTGATCGAGTCTCACATACTGATCAAAACGCCCAACAACTTTACAGGCCAGCAGGCCTGATATCGCGAGTGTGGCCTGTTTCTTGTCTTTCTCCTTGTCTTTGGGTCTTTCTTCCCGCCTACCGGACATTCGCCGATGCATGTTTGAAACAACCATCGCCTTGAGCAGCAGCAACCTATAGCCCATATCATTACCCCTACCCGGTGCCTAAGTATCCTGTCAGGACACGATCGATACCCCTGACGAATGAGCCAGGCTGACTGACCAATAAGGCTCCCTCCCATAGACTCCATCAGACACCGAGGCCAGCAAAACACAGTTGCAAGAAGGGAAGGAACCAGATGTCAATACCAGCAAAGCGTCACCAAGTACGCAACTCGTCCATTACGTGAATTACGACTATTGTACTGTACGTAAACTTCAAAGTGCCGCTCTATGCCCGCAACATACACGTCCTTCACTCTCCCGTGGTATCATTATGAACACCTCCTCCTCCCCCTCTAGGACGAAGTAAAATCGCTCCGCGCAATGGTTTGAGTCGGGATACTCGACAAATGGAAAAGGGTGAAAAACGTATTCAAGACGGGAAACGCTCAGCAGGGCCGCACTATGCTGTGAGATGGAACGTACATGCAAAACTGTAATATCGCTCGGACAAGATACCAGAAGATGAGGAGGCGGTTTATGGATTCGTCGATGATGAGGCTGGTTATAATGACAGGAGGTGGTAGGTAGTTCGCTCGCTCGCTCGCTGGGGGGGTGAATGTGGGGAAGGGGGCAAAAGGCCTCGGGAGTCTCATCGTATAATCGTACATATCAACGCTGCGCTCGCATAGCATTCGTAACGAGGCATCGTCAGCCGAGTCGTGCCGCATGAGACGCTATCCATATATTCCAACGGAACCCGCCATGCGACTAGAGCCGGAACCAGAAGTCCATACAGCCGTTCTAGAGGGGTCTAAGCCCTGGCTGTGATATCGGAATCCAGTCCATATAGTCATAAGTTGACGCCAGCTCCGGGCTGGTGCGACTGCTTCGGCTTGCCGAGAGTCAGCTGGCTGAGGGAGAGGGTCCTGGCCGCCTTCTTTCTGGACCCGTCCACGAGTTCCTCCTGGTCCCGGAGCTCTTCGCCGAAGGCTCCGAATCCGTGGTTGGGGCCCTCCTCCCCAGGAGTTTTGAAGGCTTCCGAACCGACGCTCACGCTTGCGCTCAGGGGTTCCTCTTCGTCGTCGTTGTCGTACTCAAACGTGGACACGTTGGTGTAGCTGGCGGAAGCCGGGTCCGTGTCGACTTTGTGTGAAGTGCGCGCCATCACGTTGACCTTGTGGCTCAACCTTGTAACCTGGCTTTCCAGCGCTTGTCGCGCGGCGCGCTCCGTGTCGAGCAGCGCCTTCAGGGTAGTGTAGTGGTCCGCGCTGAAAGTCCCCGAGCTCTCCCTCGGTAAGAGGGGCAAACTAGTAGCACCGCGAACTGTTACGTTCGACGTTGGTCGGGGGATTGGTCTTGTCTGAGCGATCGACCCGATGAACGTGTGTCCATCACCGAACGACTCATTAGACTGGCGTGACACACTGTATCTATAGGTGGGCTCGAAATCATGCGATGCAGTCTGGTAGAGCGACGGTCCCACGGCTGCCGAGCTTGTCGCGGTGTAGGAGGAAGACGACACCCTGGGTGCGGGAGGTGGTGGTGGCTCTCTGCCCGGGGTCTCCGGATATGTGTTGACGCCTGACACGACTTGGAACAGTTGGGATATAAGCTTCTCCAGCTTTTCGTTACGGACCTCCAGCGTCCCTATTCGGTCTTCCAGGCTTGCTGCTTGCGTGATCTTCATGTTCGCCATGGGACCGAAGTTGAAAGGTTGCGGCGGCGATTTCGGCTTGAGCTCGACAGGCGAACCTGTTGGCGTCTCTACATGCACCATGCCGGTTTCGTCGTCATTGGGGTTAGACAAGCCGGGCGACAGGAGGCCGGGGTCGTAACTTTCTCTCCAGTATTTGATTTCAGCGCTTCGGTTTCGAACAAGCGGTTGGTTTCCCAGGATATCTGGGAGCTGCGATAAGCTTCTCGACCTGCGACGGTTTGTGAAGCTGTCACTTGTAACAGCACGGCCTATATCGTCGGGATCCTCCTCTCCAAGCACAGGGTGATCAAGCCCATGGGTGCTTGCTGGTCTCGGGGATAGACCTATCAGCTCTCCACCAAAGTCCCTCACCTGAGCACCGAATACCCTGCTGGACGTGGTTGCCGCTCTCCTTCTGCTGAAGTCCAGATCTACCTGTAGCGAATTGCGTGCGCTGTGAATGGCGAATATGTCATCTGGTCCAACGGAATGTGATCTTAGAGCCCTGCTGAATTCCGTTACCGGCAACGACGCTGATCGTTTCGATTCGCTTTCTTTGATATTCAATTCTCGATTCAGGGCTGACGGGTCCTGTGCAGACGAGCCAAAGTCAGTCTTCCATTCCATCATCCGAAATGTACAACGTCGGGGTAGCTGAACTTACGCTTCGGTGATGGTTTCCTGGTGCATTGATTTGGACCTCGGAAATGGACTGTTGGCGCGGGTTCTTCTTCTTGCCACGCCCAAATAGCTTCCCCAATGCAGATTTGAGCGTTGACTTCTTTCGGTGCGGCTGGTTCACATCGGTGGTATCGCTGACGGTCGAATACCTCAAGGTACTGGAGCGAGTGGTTCTGCGCTGTGGCGGGCTCGGGGTATTCGAAGGCTGGTTGGGGCCGGAGTTGGCCACAGAAGCCGTCTTGTCCTCCCGTGTGACCTCGGAAGGGGTATTCGCGGACGGGACGGCGGAACCACGCTCTGCGATGGTTTCGACCGTCCTCGGTGGCCCTTCAAGAGCCAGAGCAGATCCTGGGTTCCTGATGGGAAACTCGTCGTCGATGGGAATGGGCCCGCTGATCTGGCCACGGATGTTGGGCGGGCTGTTTTGGCCTACCCTGGGCCGGCCAGCGGTGGAGGGAGATTTGAAGATAGGCATTGTCCTTCACGAGACCGAAAACGGGTGCCGAGTTAGGAGAAGGATTAGAGAAGCGACAGAGGGTGGACGCGATGTTGATATGGCAGCAGCGGCAGACGGTCCATCCTCGTTTGCACGCATGCGAGTGGCTCTCGTTTGGCGGGCTCCTCAGTTCTGTCGCGTTCTTTGCTCTGAGAGGTGATCAGTCTCCTGCGTCCCACATGGCCAGCAGTGTAGCTGGACGAGATGCAGACGTCGATATGCGAATCAGAGGCTCAGAAGGGCCACTCGGCGGTCACTCAATGACAGTGGCAAAGGCAGGCTTTGGACGTGTGAAGGGCTTCAAGCCAGTTTATGATGGACGTTGGGGGCATGGAAACCCTGCAGCCACTGCATCGCGTGTTATGATGAGCTCCTGCGACTCTCCTGCAGACAGAGAGCACCCAGGGTATCGGCCCATGAAACATGCAACGAGGCGCCTCGGACGGATTTACGGTGATGGTGTCTAGCATTATGGCCCCAAGTGGACAAGCAGGACAAGGAATGCAGCTGCTGGGGCCCGGACAGCTGCTGGGGGTAGACCGTAGCGAGCCGACTGGGATCAGGTCGGATGACGGGGATCCAGGGCATTGGGAAGCTGGGAAGCTCAGATATTGGATAAGATATTGGCCGAAAGGGGCAGAGGGGGCGCGAGCCTTGCAACCTTGTCTGGACCTGCATTCTGGGAAGGTCCGTGTGTCGGCTGAGATGCCAGGCAGCCCAGGATGCGCGGGTTTCGCGTCTTCAGGCAGTCCCCAGCTGTCAGCAGTAAGTAGACGTTGACACTGATTTGGAGGAAACTTCCGGAGCTTCTGCTATAGGCGATTTGTATGGGTAACGTGCATGATGGTCGATACTGCGATGAGTCGTGACGAGCGATTATTACGTATCTGATTAGTCCAGCAATGTGCCAGTGTGCCAGGTTGAGCAAAAGCCACAATCTAGATAGGGGCTCAGAAGGAACGGTGTGGTATCAACGCCGTTGACTAATGAGGACCGCTGTACATAAAACCATCCGATAACCGACCGTCCTATCTCTGGAACTCGCGTGTCAAAACGAGCTCTGAATCGACCTCATCGCTGGTTTCAACGGCTGCTTTCCCAGAAAAACTACTTATTAGCTTCCGCTTGAGATTCGGGGTAGTGGGCTGACAGGACTGGGATGAACCGTGATGATAACTCGCGCTTGGGACGGGACGATGCCATTGATAAGGTCCGCGGTGCGGGACACTTGCCCCTCGCTGATGCGCTGCCCGTTTACACGTGTAAACCTTGGAATGCATGAAAGCCTTCCACTTCTAGTAAACACCGCGCGAGACCAACGCGGTTGAGGCATTGCAACAACAAACAACAACTTCTTACCCTATTACATCTTTCGATGAGTTTTTCTGGAATTCTGAGATCGCGTCTAGCACCAATCCCTAGACTAGAAGTTGGGCCGGTAGGTTTTCGCGAACGGAACGGGGTCTGATCTGGGCGCCTGTACGAGGAACCTGCCATTGTAGATCGCGACGCCCGAACGGCACCGACCGACAACCTGAAGTGAAAGGTGAAGTCCGGCCCGTTCAAGAAAACCTGATCGCCAATCCTTAGAAGTGTCAAACCTGGGTCTGGCGAGCACGACGAGTTTGATCAGCCAGCGTTGCAGCAACTTGAGCTGCAACTTGAGGGCGGGAGCATCCTAATGCCGGGTTCGAGGTTTTATGATCTCCCGTCAAGATTGTTACTGGTATAAAAAGTATTATGTTGGCAGGGTTGGCTGGCTGGGCTCGGGCGTTGCATCGTGTGTCAATAACGTCTTGCAACAGGTTGGTGTTAGGAAGGTGGCAGTGGTGGGACGCGCAGAGTCGGAGCACGAAGCACTGCCGCTGCCAAGTTGCCAGAGTCCCCCCGGCAATCTGTGCCGCGATGCTGGCGGCGTGCTGTCGTGGAAGTTGCACATGTCTGTCTGGATGACAGTTCACCTGTCGCCTGCAGCAGGCTGGCTGCATGGAGAGAACCAACCACGGCAGCAAGTCGCACAATATCTCCGATGAGTCCGATCTGCGTACTAAAAAGGGCTGACTGAGGCGTAGACATCGTCGTGGCGAGTTATGCAGGCTCATGCAGGCTGGCCGGCCACTGCTATCTCTCCTCGAGAGGAAACTCTGTGACTAGACCAGAAGCGCAGCTGAGGCATGCCCACTTGGCAGCTCACTCACCACTTGCAATTTCTTATGGTAGGGTCGTCTGTTCACCGCGGCATGCACGGCCAACACGAGGAATCCCGCATGGCAGGAGCACGAGGGTTCTCATCCTTCGGCTCAGAGCCGAATCTGGGCCCAGTCAACTCGACTTCCGCCGAAGGACACCGACTTTCGTAGGTAGGCAATTGCCGCTCCGTTCGGGGCCTAGCCGTCCAGAATCTACCGGTACCAGCCAACAAATGCTCGAGGGTTTCTCACATTGAGATACCATTCATCGACGGGGTGTTGAAATCAATGAATGGCGATGATTTTAAGAAACGTTTAGGTGATATTTCAACCGTTTGTCAGCAGTTTATCAACCTACAATTGATCGTTGTTGCCCGGTTGGAGAAATCGTTGATGTTGGAAGGTACAAGACCTGGTACGGAGCCTTGTCCACGGGTGGGTTTAACAACGGGCCTCTGCCCCCAACGGGCAACATGAAACAGCAGGGTGCCTGCCGTCATCGTCTGATTTCCCTGTTGATTCTTGAACCAATGGCTTTTATTGGCTTCATGGACTCTGCAGCTCCTCCAATCAACGCACCAGCCAGGAGTCGGACGAAAGACGGTGAAGTTTGGCTTTCTCGAACACCTCGTGGCAAACTGAGGGGGCCCAATTCTACGATGTGCATGATAACGCATAATGCCGGATCATAACGCCACGAGACCCAGGAAATTCTCCGAGCCAATGCACACTTCATGGCATAAATGATAAAGCCGGATTTGCACCCGTTGGAAAGACTGGACGAACGTGCTCCTTCAATTCCTTCTCCAGGGGCACCGTAGGACCGACGGCATGCATGCATGAATTCGACCATTTCTCGACCACGCCGACGAGGTTGGGATGGTCTATTCCATCACGCTTCGATAGAAGCCGCGTCGACGTAGCGGAGATCGGCATTGTTCTCGAGCCAGTCCATCCAGTTACTGAGGAACTTGCTGCCTCTGTTCCGATGACGAAGCGAAAAACAGGTCAGAAACGTGCCCGCAATCAAGAAGTGTTTTGAGAGGGCGACGAAACATCTGTGAGGTGCCATTGGACACTTCAAAGATAGAAAGAAATACCGACTACGGTGGATTGGAGGGGAGGATAATGAAGGGTTACATACCGTTTGACAGTATCTGAATCGCCCACCACCACAAGCGAGCGTTTAGGCCTTGTCATCGCAACTATCAGGTGCGCATTAGCTTTCATGCCGCCGTGCAACCTATATACTCCGGCAGGGGATGACGGGTGCATCAACATACCGTTCAAACGACGCTTCTCGCTCAGGAACCCGACTTCCCCCTCAGTGTTGCTCCGGACCAAGCTGACGATCACGGCCTCTTTCTCGCGGCCCTGGAAGCCGTCGACGGAGCCAAGCTCGATGCCCGGGAAGGCCTCCTTCAGGGGGGCGAGGAGTCCGAGCTGAGGTTTTCCCGCGTTATTAATGCGAATCCCGAGCAACTATAGGTATTCAACCTCGGCAGCTACTAAGTCAAGGTTTAAGGAAGGTCAAGGCCGGTTGGTACCAGACTTACTTGGGCGTTGTACGGCGTGACCACCGCGATGTCCGCGGGCTTCACACCGGCGTCGACCAGCTTCCGGACGTGCTGACGCACCAAGGCGGCTTCCATCTCGTTGCTCTTACTCTCTCCGAATAAGGACCTGAGACTGCCCTTCCTGCCTGTGTCTTCCTCCTCGTTCTTCTCCGGGAAATCGCCGCCCTGGGTGTCGACGAAGATGACTGGCTCGTTGGTGTCTTCCGTGTCCTCCACCTCGTAAGGCAGGTCTTTTAGAAGTCGGTCTTTGACCGCGTCTGCAGCGACCAACTTTGATTCGTATAGTTCATCAGACGGGAACCTCATGATATTCTCGTGCATGCGGTACTGCGTCGTAAGCATCCGCTTGATCGACGAGCCATGCAGCGATAGCAACCTATCAAACAGGGTCGTTTCGAGAGCCATGCCTTTGATTATGCTCTCCCCCTCTTTGATCTTCGGCTTGACCTTGGAGTTCGTAGACTTGACCGTAGGCGGCAGCTGGAGATGATCGCCCGCGCAGACCGCCTTCTTGGCCGCGAGGAGAGGGACCCAGCACTGCGCCTCGAGCGCTTGACTCGCCTCGTCGATGACGACGACGTCGAACTCCTCGTTCTTTAGCTGGAAGCCGCCGGCGCCGTGCAAAGTCGCGAGGACAACCTTGCTGCCGCCAACCAGCGTGCTGACGCAACGCCGTTCCCTCTCTCTGTACTCCTTCCGCAGCTCTTTGAGGTCGCCGTAGATTGCTTTCCGTTCTCGTCCGCTCTTGGTCTTCTTGATAGAAGCCTGTTTCGCGTCCATCTCGGAACGGACGTCTTTCACGATCAACCCGGCCTCTGATGTCTGCGTAAGGACATCCAGGGAGTGGTTCAGGACAGACGGGAGTAGTCGGGCAGGATGGCCAAGTCGGACGATGGGGACTTTGTGGGGGGACAGCCGCTCGACGATGTTGTCTACCGAGATATTCGAGGGTCCGCATACCAGGATCCGCAGGTCTCTCTTGACCATCTGCAGGATCAGCTCGATGAGCGTATGCGTCTTGCCTGTTCCAGGCGGGCCATGGATCAGGGCGACCTCTCGGGATGCGAGAGCGAACCTGATGGCATCCTTCTGGGAGTCGTTCAGCGTTGGGTCTATCCAATCGATTTTGCCGTACTCGGGATCCGCCGCGAGATTCTGAGGCACGGGCGAAGGGCTAGACAGGCCAAAGAGCACGCGCATGAAGATGGAATAGTCAGACTCGCTCATCTTATGGATCTTCTCCATCGTCAGGTTCATGCGGCGGTAGGTGACATCATCCGCCAGCTTGACCAGCCAGACGCGGCCGCTGATAGACGTGTCCTCCCTCTCCTCCTCCACGGCCACGGCAATAGTATCCCTCTTGAGTTTCGTCACGACGCCGCGGACGCCCTTCTTCTCCAGGTCCTCGATCTCCCGCTTCTTGGCAGTCCCCGCCGGCTGCTCGGAGACCAGCACGATGTCGCCGGTACGGATTCCATGCTCGGGTAGCTCTCCGTTGCTTCCAGATGTCGCACTGTCCGCGCCGAGCTCTATGACCGTCCTGCCGCCGAACCCGGTCCGCTGCGATGATACGACGAGGTTGGTGACTGCCAGTCCCGCTCGCTGCAGTGAGGTGGGGCTGGTGTTGGAGATCAGGCCGCTCGTCTCTTGCAGCTCGCTCTGGAGCTCGGCGTCCAGGAGGGCGAGCTGGGTGCTTGCGAACGCCTGAACGTCGACTGACTGCGTCAGAAGCGACATGCTGGTGACTCTTCTGAGAGCTTGATATTTGTCAGGCGATCCCAGAAGTCCGGAAATAATTTTCCCCTGCCACGCACCCGCAAAATGAGTGACTACCTTATTAATGTTGCCCAGTCGAAGCAATCGAGGTATGGTTCGAGGCTACGTGTGTTGGCCTAGATGATGATGATGGAATGTGAAGGTTTGGTGGAGCTACTAAGAATTGCTTGCCTAGAAGAATTGAGATGGGATGTGCGCGCCCAAAGCTGCTGTGCAACTTGACAGAACACAAATACGCAAGCATCAATGGCATCGACAGTGCAAGTGTTCTCACGATCTTTTCACTTCTTCGAATTGCCAGATACGCCACACTACGTGGACTTGGCCTGGGATCTAATCGACCACTGCACTCATTAACTCAGCCGGTCCCGGACCCTGTGGGCTGTACATAAATCACCACACCAAGACTGATGACCATGAGAGCGAGTGCTACGAATGATACCAAGACTATGGTTCCCCTGGACGCGGGAAACTTCCCCTTCATCACCCATTGCTGGCTCTGATAGTACCTCTGGTATCCCAAAAACAAAACCAGTATTGAGATGCCTAGAAAGGCGGCACCGAGTGGTTTCCCCAGATGTCGTATCCTCTGGAAATTGGGGTCTGTCTGTCCATCGGCCAGCGACGTATTCAAGCGGAACAGTTGGGTGATGGCAATTCCAATTGATGCGAACGCGAGCGATGTCCGGAGCCAGGCAAGAAACGTCCTCTCTATGCGCAAGACGGGATGTCAGCTTGTTACCTCGAAGCGCATGCCAGGTGGCCCAACTCTTTGAGAACATATGCACATACCCAAAGCCAAGTGGTCTCTGGCGACGCTTCCCTTGTTCTCCAACTCGATCGACCACAGGGGCCCAATATAGTCCCTTAACCAATGCTTCTCCTCGTTGTGTGGGCTTCTGCCGTTCCGTTCCTCATTGTCCGTCTCGGTCGGTTGCGCTTGTTGTCGATTCCTCAAGCCCGGCGACGTCTCGGTGCTCTGGTAGTTTTTCGTGTTCTGGGCCGTGACGATGCCGGTCGTCTCGCTGGGGCCGTCGTCCTCGTCGTGTTCGCGGGGTGACGGGAGGCGTTGGAAGCTCATGTTCGGGCTGGGGCTGGGGCCTTGTGCTAGCGGGCTCCTTGTGCCTGCGCGACCTCTAGCAGTCTGGAGGTATAATTGCTCGTTAGTCGAACATTCGGGACAATTCGTGGAAGACGGGTCAGGCCGAGTTGAAGGGCTTGGAACTAAACATGTACCGTAACCAAAAAGCTTTGGCTGCGGATACGTACCTCGAGGATGCCATTGATCCTGTCCTGTTGAGACTGGCGCCTTGGAATGGGCGACCCCCCAAACGATGCCGACCTCGTCTCGTCTTGTGTCTGCGACGACGACGATGCTCCTCTCCTCGCGATGGGAGGGTTTGGCACGGACGCCATGGTCCAATACTTGAAATGGTCACGTCACTGGACTGATCAGTGATGGACTGGTGTCTCACTTGGACTGTTCAGAGTTGGATCTGTTGTCCAAGGCACAGCTCACTGTCGGCAAAGTGCAATGCATGCGTGTGTGGAACATCCAATGTCATCACGCCAACCTCATCGCTCGCACCAGTTGGTTGGCGACCATGTTGTGAATATTTGACTGTCGTGGTGGTATCGTAGGTATCAATGGGAGTGGCGCAACCCCGGTCATTGCGGGGGAGTTTAATCCTTCCAAGTTCCATTCTACCTAGTGGACCTCCCGGGCCCTCATCCGTACCTGACCTCATGGAGGATATGGCGTTCAAGTTTGGCAGTTCCTCTACTACAGTTGACAGCAAAGTCGACTTCCTCGATTATTACCAGATTGGAAATCAGGCATTGTGCGGCGTCGGCACCCGTGGACCATCAAAGTCCATAAAGTGCGCTTAGTAGCTTGGGTTATGTCCGCAATCACCGTCCCCGTGCTCGCAGATAGTGGGTGAAAAGTTCCAGCCAGTAGGAGAGCAGCAACCGCATCAGGTATAGTCAGGCGGTTCACGATGGCTTTGTCAGCCAGTAGGAGAGCAGCAACCACATTAGGTATAGTCAGGCACTTCACCATGTCTGTGGATGTTATATTTGGGCCGAACGGGCGGAGGATGGTCTGGTCTGCATCGTGAACTGGCTGACTATATCTAATACGGTTGCTGCTCTCCCACTGGCAAGAAATGTTCCCGTCGATATCATATGTCACTGATACCTCCCAGCAGTAGCGCTTCAGGACACAACCTGGTGTCGACGATACAGGGCGCAATGTATCAGGGACGCCTACTCCCCGTCGTGTAGAGGACTAGTAGACCAGGATGGCCTTTGACCTGGCTTCGGTCTTCGTCTTTCCCAATGTCCGTATGTGCCAGTGTCCTGCGGCCGGTGTTGGAGATATAAAAAGACGAGTCTTCCCTTCGATAGATATTGTCTGCCAGATTCGTCCATTCAAGCTCAAGCACGAGACACACTACGGCAACTCAGCTTCCACTTCAACAACAAATTGTTCTCAACCTCTTTACCGTCAACATGGCTTACCAGATTCTCGGGAAGGATGTGAGCAAGATCGGCTTTGGCATGATGAGTATGTGATCATCCGCGTTCCAGCCCAGAACTCACGGAACCCCAACGTTGTCCTTCTGATACTGACATGCTCGGTAGGCCTGACCCAGGAAGGCACCAAGACCCAGTCTACAGATGACGAAAAGTTCGCCATCCTAAAGGCCGCCCTCGCCGCCGGCTCCAACAGCTGGAACGGCGGCGAGTTCTACGGGCCGAACCTCGAGGACAACTCCCTGCCGGTGCTTAGGAAGTACTTCGAGAAGTACCCCGAGGACGCCGGCAAAGTCTGCATCAACATCAAAGGGGGCGCCCACAAGCCGCCCATGACAGTCGACAACAGCCCCGAGTACGTGCGTCAGTCGGTCCAGCACTGCGTCGACCAGCTCGGGGGCAAGGCCAAGATCGATATGTGGGAGATGTGCCGACGGGTGTCGCAGGGCGAATACCTGGAGTCCCTGCGCGTCATCGACGGCTTCGTCAAGGAGGGCACGATTGGCGGCGTCGCGCTTACTGAGGTGAACGCCAATACCATCCGACAGGCGGCCAAGATCGTCAAGGTCGCCGCAGTGGAGGTTGAGATCTCGCTCTTCGAGACGGAGCCTCTGCACAACGGGATCTGTGAGGCTTGTGTTGAGCTGGGCATTCCCATCTATGCCTACTCACCCTTGGGAGTAAGTACACGTCTATATCTCCAGCCGCGCTAGAGGACCTTCTACCGGTCTGTATAATTTTCTGGGCATGAACTGACTGGGTGTATCCAGAGAGGCTTCTTGACAGGCAAGCCATTCAACCCACTGTTCAAGATGCTGCCCCGACTCGCAGACGACAACATCGCAGCCAATACGAAGCTCGTCGAGGCAGTGAAGAAGTGGGCGGCAAAGAAGGACTGCACGCCCGCCCAGTTCGCCATCAACTGGGTCGCCACGCTGTCGCAGCGTCCCGGCATGCCCAAGATCATCCCCATCCCCGGGGCCGCACACATCGACCGCGTCAAGGAGAACCTGCGCGAGGTCGAGCTGACGGACGCGGACATGGACGAGGTCGACGCGTTCCTGGTCGAGTTCAAGCCGGCCGGCGAGAGACTGCCTGCGTTCTTCGCACAGTGGCTCGATACGAATGAGTCTACTGAGGTCTGATCGGGGCAGGATTACCCGTCCGCTTGAGACATGGGAGTGGCTGAGACACACCTGGAGCGCCGAGACTCGTTGGACAGATAGGTCTCATTGCTTTTCTCGTGGCTTCAAGCCGCGTTCTGGGCGAGCTGGAGCGTTGGGCAAACGGTGGCGAATGACGTGTATCTGTCTCATATCTCTACTCATGGCTTCATGCACAAATACAGTATATATGCGCAACATGTGGACATGTATCCGATAAGCTACAACCATGAAGCTCTTCGTGTGATGGAGCAACACCCCTCAAATCTTAGTCAGGGTGGGAGCAGTCCATACGATGTCACAGTCACTCCATGTAGAGTGGTTCCAAAGGCCGCACAAGTAAATGTCTTGCCTTGTACACAAGCCATTACATCCGATTATGTGTATCACGTCGGGTGAGACGATATGCCGGCAGGTGATGATGCGGGCGATTTCCGTGGACATTCTGCGAGCCCGTACTACATGGTGCCACGTCTTACACCGATCTGAGAGAGTAGATATGCCGTGAAATGATCGGCTTGCATGTGCTACTGCTGGCTTTGCGCTACCGCTCCTGGTTCAGCTGGCCCTGTTCTATGCAATCCTTTGTTGCGGATGTGACCCTGGGTTGTGGTAGATGCTGGAGGAGTACGAACAAAGGAGATCATCGATACACGATGCTGGACCAGTTTTCCTTGCGGGACGATCGCATGAATGTGAGAGTAGACTATTGGAGCAGGTTGGGTATGGAAAGAGACTATTTTCTGCGAGGCTGGTTTCAGTGACAGCCACGATACATGGTACCTTGTTCTACAGAAGCTGTGCTCTGTCAGGGAGAGGTAGTTGGATATATGCTCATAATATAGCTTCTAGAACCTGACTAGAGATCCGCCAGCGGCACTGCCCATACCACTTGGACGCCATACCGAGCTGTAATCAACCAGGTCACCTGGGCTGAAAACAAATACGCAGTGTTGGCGATCTGATAGCTGCAGTTCCAGACGAGTCTAGAACAAACCAGGCTCTCCTTCACGACTATCTCAAGCCTCTCAGTTCTGGACCTCAGTAGAGGCAGATTCCCCCAGCAGGTGAGATCTGACCAGTCGCCTATCAACGACTTCCATGTGCTGTTTCGCCTACAGCGCCACATGGCTACCGTGAACGAACGAACGAACGACAAGCGATGATGAGAACTGATGATACACGCCCCTTACGTACCAATATATCTCCTATGCATCGTGTGAAGGGGCTTAGATACCGCCAAGCACACTTATAAGTTCAGTCCCAGCTCGGTAGGGTGGCTGATCTGCGTCCAAGCGAGCTGGCCCCTGAGGCTCTCGGGAACCTGAGGTTGGCGATGGGAGGCAGCGATGTGTAGGGAAGTGACCGTAGTTTGCCACGAGCAAAGGTAGGCAATGGACTAAAAAGCATACCTTCACATCAGGGTGTACGATTCACTTTAGTCTACAGTACCACAACGGCAGTCCTCTAAATCCATGATGTTCGTCACGTTACCTTGCGAATCAGGTGCTCTAGTATTTATCTCACGTTCAAACCATACCGATATAAACGCAATCATCGACGAGTGAAACACTGCAACATCTTCCCCAGGGGTAAGAGCTGATAGAGAAGAAGCATTCTGCTTCAAAAACAAAGAATTCAACCATATATCAAAGGCCTCCATATACACTGAAGCAGGGGACTCAACACATCACATGACTCCCACGAACCCCATATACCACCCAGAAATCCCTACCCATCCATCCGACCCCCCAGCCTCGCTACAGACCAAGTAGCCCCGACCAAGAGCGACATGTGAAAGAAGAGACTGTAGCCTATCCAGCGGCCCAACCCGAAGCAGCCAATCCACACCAGAGCCCTCCTCGCTGACACCGTCCAAGCTGACCTGCTGCGCGCTCCGTGCCGTCCAACAGCCTCGCAGCTCGTCTACCTCAGCCCATCCCAATCCGGTCCAACGACTGGCCCCCAAACCGCATCGACATGACGTCCCCTCCCCAACGCCGACGGACCAGTCAGAGCGCCGAACGACGTACGCACCTACCTGCAAGGACCAGCCCGACGGCAGCCAGCTGGGTTCTTGATGACCACCCTCTTCGCCCGGCCCAGTGTGTTGAAGAAAGGATGGAAATAGCAGATCTGTACTATAGACGGGTGTGCAGGTAAGCAGACAGACAGTCAGACAGGTAAGAAGAAGCAGTAGTAGCAAAGCAGAAGCAGTAAAGCAGGTAAGACGGCACAACGCGCCATGGCGAATCACGCGTGTAAGTACGGCGTCTGCGAGTAATAGTATAGTCTCATTCCACTCTTTTCGAAACAGGACGGAGTCCGCACGTTTTCTCACGCACGCGGCGCTCGCATTTGATGCAGATAAGATGTGTGTACATACATAACATGTAAGTGCGTATGCACTCCAGATAGAGAGAGGGTCAGCCAGAAAGGGAACAGAAAACGGCTTGCGGCTATTCTGGGGGCCGCTGCCGAGAGGAAGGAGGTCAGCGGCGGCATGCCAATCCGTCAGCGGGCTTCTGTCTATCTACGATCTAGGCCAGCCAGCGGCCTTCCTTCCTATTTCACTGGCTGCGCGGGGCGCCGCTCTGTGCTGTGCCCCCTCACCACGCGCGAGGGCTGGCCTCGGTGGAAGGATTTCCCTCATCATGACAGGCGGAAGCATGGCATTTTTGCTTGTGCTACAGCAGTAGTCGTAGTCGTAGTCCGTACCTACTTGACCCTACACCAGCCATTGGCTCTGGCGGCTGTTCCGCCAAAAGGCTGCATGCATCCATCGCCACGATCCCAATTTCTTGGGTAGCAGCGAACAGCTCCTGGCAAGCCAAAAGTCAGATGGGATAATGCACCAAGCAGCCATTACCCTTTTAGGAGCCGAGCTGGCTGATGTTGTGCGCGTCTGTGCTACGCCGACACGACTGCAGCTGAACGAAAGGGAAGAAAAGGACCGCGGCGATGGACGTCGCTGGCTGGAGGGGATTGGGTTGGCGCACACGGTAAAAGGAACGCCGAACCATGGTTCGCTGCGGTGAGCATTTCGGGAGGATCCCGCGGAGCTCGTCAGTCGTCATAGCGAAGGGAATCAATCTGAGAGGCGTCCTGGCGTCGTTCCTCCCTGGCAGCTTATGGACAGGGGGTCCTCATGTTATCGGTAGGGTCATGGAGCACTGCGCCTTCCTTGTTCATGCAAATCGCTTTGATGATCGCTTGCTCGACCGAGGACAGATGGCTGGCGAGGGCTGGCCAGACTGGTAACCTCACTGACGTTTACCCCTCTTTGACCGTCACCGACTGAGCAGTGAATGGAGCAGCCATATATCATCTGGTGATAGCGATGCCGTCGGGGCCGTGCTCGGAGTGCTCGGAGAGCCCGCCGGTTCGGGAGGCGCAGAGGATAACAATGGGAGAAGGATCGGTATGTATCTGCAAGGCGTCGACTTGCATGTGGAAAAATTGCCAAAGTTGGCTGATGCGGTTGAAAGGAAAACCGACGGAGAAAACTGGTGCAGCATGCCGTGCCCTGGCCTCCTCCGCTGATGTGATGCTACGCGGTGAAAAAAGCAGACCTGCAGTAGCATCATGCAGCCGGTGGCCTCTCGAATCCTCCAACATGTGGTGGGAGGGCTTCGCACGGCCGCAAAGAGTACACACACGATAGAGCAGAGCAGACACGAAGCGATGAAAGACCGCAAGCTGCTAGTCCAACCGGCTCCAACGTGGTCTGAGAAGCACGTTGCTTCTGCATCGGCGTCTCTTCCGAAGAGAGGCTACGGACCACGATCACATTCTGGAGTCTCTCATTGGCACCTTGCTTCTTCAATCACGCAGTGTGCAGTCTGCATGCAGTGTGATTCGTGAGCTAGAGACATACACCAGAAGAAACTGCAGTTGCACCTGAAACATAGAACGCTCGCCTTGCAGCTTGCAGAAGACCATAACTGATGGCGACATATCGGCGCATGGAGGCCTTGACTCGACGTGGGTATCATGCGGAAGAAGAGGGGAATCTCTAACCTACCGATCCTGGTCTTCGACCCGACGGACAGACGCCGAGTACTGCCGACTGATAAACTTGCGCTTCTGATGTCCCGAAGAAGCGGAAGACCATTCCACAGGCCTCACTCCATCTATTCTAGCAGCGTCTCAATGGGGGTGGGAGAACACGTGGGTTGGAGAAGAGCCCTGGGATCCTATCAGTTCACTACTGCATAATCGCTGTAGGTGCATGAGTGTAACTAACTACCTTTGGCACCTTTGCTGTCAGCGAACGCCAAGTAGTGTAGTAGCCCGAGCGGATCAGATTATATCGTGACTAGACGTACATGACGGCGTATCAACAGACGGGCTTGATACATATGAATGCATCCTCATGAGATAGAGACCCGTCAACCGTGCTGTGGTCGATTGGAGACAAAATATAATGGTATACGCGCATGCACATACAGTACAACTGGACATGGAGACATAGGGATGTGCTCATGCGGACACCGTTTCGTACCTGCATAAGGGCTCACTGTAGGAGCATGACGCTGCAGGTATTGACCGCTACACACGTGTAGCTCCGAGTCCAAAGCTGTGCTTGGTGGGGGTCGTATTATAGCGAACACGTAACAACTCCTAGCAGCGTGAGGACGGCGTCACTGACGTCGTGCAAGTCTCTGTCGTCAACGTTTAGCAACAAAAACCCTGATAGTCTATCACCCGGGCTGACAGTCAGCAAGGCGGCATCATCTGATAAACCCCACGAGATAGTCTGATCTAGCCACGTAGTCAGCCGGGACGTCGTAGATCCAGAGAGCGGAATCCGAATAGCTTGGTTCGCGGAAGAACCTGCTAGACTGATTGAAGCATAACGTTGGCATGAAATAAGGATCTGCCAATTCCGCTGGTGCGGCTGCTTGCACATGAATCAGTCAAGAGCACAAGATCTTCACTAAGATCGGCTACTATGTATTCCGCTCTAGGCGGTTCGGCGCGTCTTGGAGACAGATAGTGCGTCTTACTGGTCGACCCGTGTTGATTGTCAATAATCAGCAAAAACAGCTTCTTCGGCTGCTTGTTGATATCATGAAGACACAAACCAAGCAAGCCGTTGCCGTGCAGTGGACCGGACCGAATGACGGGGCTGGAATCCGAAGGCTGGCAGGCTGGTGGAAACCCACCAAGCCCTTGCACATGTTGGAAAATTACCATGTCTTCGAAAGCTTCCAAGTCCTTCTATTGCAGCTTCGAAAATGCCCACGCCTGTGGTTCCGGGACAGCAGGCCTGCCGTCTCATTACTGCTAGTGGAGGAGGCAGAAGATAGGATGGAGCCCATATTGCCAGTTGATTGTGAATATGCAAGGGATGGGTCTTCCAATCTTGGACCTTGTCTGCTTGTCTGTGTGCAGGTGGATCACGAACCTCACCGGCGGCGCGACTGATGAGCCGTTCGTGGTCCGTCGGCAGTCCCGACGAATCTGGAAGACGTCGGCGACCTGTGTCACTGTGTGGTCCCACTGATCCGCCTACGTATAAAACCATCCACACATCATCGGCCAGGGGGACCCGAATCCTGAAACTCAGAAGTCTTCGAGAAGACCGATGGGCCAGCGCCCATTGGTCGGACCTGCATTAGTGGGAGTATAGTCGACGGGGAAGACAGGAACCGCAGACTAGCTAGGCTAGATATCGAAGAACCCTCGAGGATGACCCTAGCGCTGGACCACTGGCAATGGTTTTATCCTGCCGTGGCCGGTGATACGCCAGGGCCATATTCAGATCTGTCTGATACACACTCACGAGTCACAACGGCGTGGCGTAGGCAGCATGGTCCAAAGAAGGGTCTCTGACCATCAGACTATCAATCGTGGTGGCCAGCCGAGGCCAGCCTCGTGGGGTAAATAGTTCCTACGCAGTATCAACTTGGCACCTAGCCTGGCAATAAGATTTCCTGCTATTGCCTTGGGCTGCTTGGCTCGCTGGCTATTTTTGCAAGCGACAAGATTGATCGCGGCAGGGTATGAGAATTGCAGGACGGAGTGACGGACTGTAACTTCAACTGTGTTATGGGGCAGATCATATTGGTAGGCAAGAGCTGGCAAGGTGACTAGGTGACTGACCGAGACTCACCAAGCCACCCCCGAGTGTATGAGATGGTGGTTTCCTCTGGAGATCCTTCTGGTTACCACATCTGCATCCACCGCCGTTACGTTTCCTCGGCTCGAAGCCTCGAACGAGAGAGCCTGCACGCCGTCGACCATTGACAAATGCAGGTGTTTGCCGAGCTGGCTCCATAGGCCCGAATGAAGAACCAACCTGTCAGCCAAGCGGCCAAGTCAGTCAGTCCCCAGGTCGCATCCAGGCAGGTGCGCTAGCTGGTATTGACGGTGATTGGATGGATATTCACCGGCTGGGACGCCAAGAGGTTGTCGAGATCTTCCAGAAATCCTATTCCCAGCCGGGCAGCTCCAGTGGTACTATACATGGTATGGAGGCTGGTCACCGTCTTGCCCGGCAGGGTTTGGCAGCCAGGGTGCCGACCGCCATGCCGACGGGCTAAACCGGATGCGCTGCTCATTTTGAATTCTTCCCTGCGCGATTGCGCGGAAGCCATGGGCGTCGCATTGAGAAGGAATATCGTCGCGACATCCCTGGCTTGATAATGTGAAGATGTAAAAATCTGGGGGAGCTGGGAAATCGCAACGGGAACACTGTCCCAACCTGGCCCTTGTCTCCGACGTTATCAGAGAGGGCCAACGGGTGCGGAAGGCACCGCGATTTCGAACCACACACTTAGGTACGTACTGCGGCCCGCCCAAGGGTCGCCCTTGCCAAGTTGACAAGTTGGCTCCCCCAGAGCACAGGGCAAAGACAGCAATGATCTGCACTGGAAATGGCGTTAGCACCGCTGGAGACACACAGACACATTGAAGGGACGGGAGATTTCAACAAGCGTCATGTCACCTCACCTGGCTGTGGTGGCCTGTCTATAGAATTGCATGCATGTCATGAAATTTGACGAGCCAGGTTATAGAGGACCTCGGATATTATCGCAATAGCTAGAACACAGGGAAGGAAAATATCTTCATCTATAAGTAGACATGTGGGTAGAAGGCTCGTCATCACATGATAGTTGACAGTTGCTCGTTGTCATTATCGTATGTGCCGAGGCGGTGGTACCAGCCTGTGGACGAGTGAGCCTATCTACCGGTATCACGCTGTCAACGTCTCCTGTCAACCACCGAGCGGGATGGCCGACTGATCGTCGTCCTGTCGAAATCCCTCGTCGCCACCTCAACTTGGATTGCACTGACAATGCCAACGGTCGGTGAGAGGAGATAATCTACTGCCATGGCAGCATGAGCATTGGCATTATTGTGCCCTGTTGCTCGTGACCTGGTCGAGCGAGTTGCGAGGCTGGCGATGGCTGGCGATGGCTGGTTGCTGGGAGTCATGGTGTATCAGTTCCGAGAGGAGAATATGAGCGGCATGAGTGTCTTTCTTCTATATCACATGCACTGACATGGTAACCTGATGTATGTGTATAAAGTATTCATTCTCTACGATAAGATATATTCGAGCAATATCTTATGCAACACTCGGCTTTCAACTACCTCATCGTATCGGTGCAGCTGTTGTGCACTTCCAATTGTATTGCAGCAGGCACATCCAATATTCGTATTGCTTTGACTTCACCCAGACTCCAGTTGCCCGGTCCAATAATGAACGAGAACCGTCTGCAGCTATGCACCGTTCCTGCAGGCACAAATTGGGATATGCAAGGTACGCGACGGTGGATTGGGCCAATGGTGGTGGCATGGGAACCGGCCGTACCTCAGCAGAGAAGGTACTTCCAAGTTGTGTGCCCGTGCTCCGAGGCACCAACAGCCGTCTTCAAGCCCACTACGTAGCCCCAATTTCCAGCACTGTGGAAAGCTGGAAAATAGGCCGCATAATGAGAGGCAAATTGCCGAAGTGGTCCCTGGCCGGGATGCGGGGGTGCATTGGGCCTTCCAATTGGGAGAGGGGATCTCGGAGAGGGGAGCGAGGGGAGCGATTGTCGTGGTCCACTGGTCCAGCGAGCCGGAAGTCTTCCACGAACAGTCTAAAACGGACGGAGCCCTGGCAGCTTGGCAGGCTTGGGTGAACTTCTGAAGTCCAGGGAAAGTTCCCCAAGGACCAAGAAGGTCCAATGGCCCGGAAGTTTAGCAGTTGAACGATCGGCCGGGCCCTCTGTACCAGCCTTCCTGTTTTGGGAACTCTGGACCGAACGTGTGCCCACAGGCAGGATTGGGACTGTATGGGACTGTATGGGACTGGACGGGACAGGAATCACTGGATGGGTAGATGGGGTCACGATAATGCAGAGGCCTGCGTGTGCGATCTGTAATGCAATGCAGCAGCTGGAGCACGAGCATAGCACAACAATGAAACGGGGCCGCGGATGGATTCATCATGATGAAACCTCCAACACTCGCCGAAGTAGATGAAGAAGACGGAACTTTGATGATGCATGCCTGACTCGCGATCGCATCGCTACCGTACCTGCTAGATTGCGCCCGCAGGCGCGCTTGTGGAGGAACGGTTGTGTCAGCTACAGAGAATCTACTATATATACACTGTTGGCATTTCCCTGTTATAGTAATTGGAACCTCGGTAAGATATATGATAGACGAGACAAGCAGACAGCCTACTGTACCTTTCGAAGGTTGCTTTTACTATCGAACTGCCGAATGCCGGATTTCTTCTTCAAGCCACAAGACTTCTAGGCTTCTGCAACGGTTGCGGGCTGTGGCGGGACCAGGATCAAGAGGCTTCCGAGGCGCAAAAAAAGGCAACGAGATCAGGACGGGATCGATGAATCCGCCGGCAATGGCGTTTTGGTGGCTGTCCTGACGGTTGGATCAAAAGAACAAATGGCGGTGGGATTTTATACCTCGCTGGTGATTTGCGAGTCCGGACTTCGCACATTCCTTCCGACTTGCGTTGTTTTTGCCCACATCATACAGATCACAAATGATAAATCGTGGTGGTGTTCTTCTACACGATGAACTGTAGGCGCTCAGTTTGTAACAAAAAAAAAAGACTCGGGTCACATCCGGGTGTATGGAACACCCCTCGGTCTAATGTTCTCATCACCCTCCAGTGGCGAGCAAACATATCGTACAGAGGCGCCGGGCACTTCGCCATCCGCCTTTCTGTGAGATGCTATGCCTGGAAGCCCGAAAGTCTGGAATGGACGTGAACAAAGAAAAGCAGGTGGCGACGGGTTGATTGGTTTGTGGCTACCTTATGAAGCCGGTGATGAATCAACTTCTCGCGATGGCAGCGGCACAGGATCACTCGCACACACACACGCTCGCACACCAGCATACCTGCCACACACTCGGTTGGTGATGAGAAAGATGGCGATACGCACTCATGCCGCCGGAGCGCGTGGCAGGCACACGAAAGGAAGCGCAGGAATCCAATATACGTAAGCCCTCGGGCGAAGCTGTGGCTGCTACTGGCTGCGATGTCCGTATGTTTCGGCGCGAGACCCCTCACAAAGTGCTTGCATATCAGCAGCGACGCGCTGTGAGAGGCCCGACGGCATCCTTCACGCTGGAGGGATTTTCGTCCATTCACAACGTCCCGTCCGATCCTTCGTTTCCCATTTGTATCGCCGTCGCCAGCCCCAATGCAACCAGTCAGAGACGATTTAGGAAATCTCACGACACACACCTGGGAATTGAGAACATGTCATTAGGCAAAAAATGCGCCCTCCATACATAATACTACTACACTATTGTGTCGTATCACGCGAGGTTGGACTTATTTTCTGCACCTCCAAATCCGCTGCAATGCTACGGCACCAAGTTGATATTGCGCAGCATCAGGATCAATAGTAGGTTGCCTCGCTGCATTATCACCACCTACATGCAGACACTCCATACTCCGTACCTCGTACATGATTGATTACACTTGAACAATAATAAGAGTGAACGATTCGATTCCATCTATACGCGGGGACACGAGTGGTTACCTATTCTTAGGTGTCCGTCCGGGCCATCAACTTTCCAAGTCACGACCCGGACAGTCGGACGGACTGGCGAGAAGGGCCCCTCTGTAAATAATATAAAAGGTCGAAGGCATGAACAGGATCGCACCTATCCCAGCCATTGCCGTCAATGCTATTATACCTCCCAGGAAGCCAGGTGAGATCTGCTGTGTTTCGCACATCCCTTCATGCCTGTTTCTTGCGAGGTCCGAAAATGCTGTGACGACACGGTTCGGTGCTCTGCCGCCGCTGGTCCGCGCTGGACGACCGTCGACCACCCGTTTGATACAGGTGATCCTGGCGTGTTATTAAGCCCATCACCCAGTGGAAAAGCACTCCACCAACCGCAGTGCCGCAAGTCCGTTTGAACCGTCGTTCGCTTGCTGCCTGCTGCCCTCGGAGGCTCTGAGGGCCTACGATACGAAGATACTAACCTTGGTATACGAAGTGGAGTGACGAATGAACGACGCCTGACGCGCTGACAGCCCGTACCTTGCATTCCATGTCCTCCCTCTTGCGAATCAGATGACAGAACAGCAGCACAGAGATGCCGCGTCGCGCGAGGGCTGGACGGGCTTCACGACTGGCTGTGCAATGTTACAGCCGAAAGACAAGGCCATTGCAAAGAGGGACGAGTTGTGCAATTTGTGTGGCTCGCGACGTGCTGAAGCCTGTGGTCCAGCGGCGTATCCCACCTATCACGGTCGCGGGCCTGTGCATACATACCTGTCCAGGTACAGTACTTGTGCAGAGTGCGCCCATCCATCCAACCCATTTACGACAATCAATTCCTGAAAGAGTCGCAGAGGCATGGATGGTCGGTGACCAGTTGTGCGCGCGCCTGTGCAGGCCTGGTATGTGCGAATCTCTGATGAACAGGAACACCGCCAGGCCACTCGGCGCGTCATCTGGCACAGCCAGCCGGTTTACAATATTGTCCACCACGTCACCGGTGAGGGAGGCATCCCACCAGCATAGCGTTATGATGCAGTCGAAGATGAAGATGAACACGCACAACTCCACCCCAGCCAGGGATGGGTTATCGTCAGTGTGCTATGCCATGTGGGCGAGGCCAGGCCAGGCGAGCCAGGCCGGCCAGCCAGCCAGCCAGCCAGCCAGCCAGCCAGCCAGAGAGCGCAGAAGCGAGAAAGAGAGAATAGTTTCAAGTGGAAGTCCCAGAAATGTTCCCATATCCCTGTTTAGCTGTCGAACCCGCACTACCGCAGGAACTATGCACGACCTAAGCCTCTCTCAACTGCACCGAGCCCGTATCGCTGGACACCCGCCCTGAGCGATGTGGACTGCTCGTTATGCATGGTGTCGTATGCGTCAGGTATTTGTATACCGGGCGACTAGTACATGGCTAGGTGGGTATAGTACATGGCCGGTCGGACAGGGGGCCCGTCGAGACTGTACCCGTCGACACGCGGTACCTCGTAGGCTCGTTCATGTCCCCTGTCGACCGACGCTGCCATCCAGATTTAGAATCGTGCGGTGGCTGCGCCCAGTGGCCACCCACTCATCTGATGTTTCCGTCTTGCCCCAGACATGCGGACAGGGGTCCCAAAATCTACGCAGTACCGTACGCCGACCTGTCTGCCTGTCTGTCGACCTGGGAGTCTGGGAGTCTGGGAGTCTGGGGCCAGGTCTTGGGCCGTGCCCCTGTCACCTCTTCCCCAAGTGAGACAAGCATGGGTGGGTGGGTTCTCTTTGGGTCCCCATTCCATCCGCAGACCGCCCTGTGCCTATCGATGGGGGGGTTTTATCAGTCGTGGATCTGGCGTCGTCTGCTACGACCTCTTTTACATTATCCTCCAAGGTCCCCAGGTCCCTTCAACCACGCTCATTCTTGCACCCAGTCTGTGATCGACAGATCCGTCGGTTTCTCTTTCTCCTTCATACCCTAATCGGTTCTTTTTCATCTTGTGGCTCGACCCTCTTTTGGAACCACCAGCTTCCTTGCCTTCATTCATTTGTATACAAGATCAGCCTGTTCCTCCTCCATCCCCAGCAGTCCTCTCTTCAGACAATAAGACTCTGGAGTCCCAAGGCGAATCAGACAACAACCTGTATAACATCATCAACCCGAGTCAACACCACTAGATAGTCTTCGAAACACACTTCGAGACTGACGTCCATTCCTTCCAACCTGGAACCGATACCACCATCATTAGGCCAACCGCCTCGCGCAAGCATTGTATAGCACAACTATATACAGCAACCTAATATATAAACGAGAAGCACCACATCACCGACGACAAACTAACCAAGAGACGGAAACTTGTATCAGGTCAGTGTCTGGGACTGGACTGAGACAGAGGACCAGGAGACTAACCTGTATCAGTCACGATGGATTCGAACATGATGACGGCACAGATGGGACAGGCACCGTTCCTCTACTACACGCCAGACCCCAAAGCAGATAGCCGACAGCACGGCCACTTCAGCCAACACCCAGGCTTCCAACAGATGCAGCAGCAGATGTACCCTGTGGTGCCAACGCTCCCCTCCACGCCCATCTACTCCAGACCAAACTCGTCCTGCTCGCAGCAGGGAGTACCGGCCCAAGTGTTCAACCCCGTGCCCAGCAACATCACCCCAATGGCCTCACCCCAGGCGGCGCAACGGCCCGGGATACTCGTCCCCAGCCAGCGGGCAAAGCTGATGCTGGAGACGGACATGGGTGAGCACGACAGCTTCTACCCGGCCACGCCGGCGCTCTCGACTTCGGGCAGCTCGATGGGCAGCCCCTGCAACACGCACGACGTCTTGGCGACGCCATTGAACCCGATGTTCTCGGGCTTGGACGGATGCGAGACAATCAAGGCGGAACTCGAGGCCACACCGGAGATCCTGGAGGGACTGGACTGGTCCAGCTTCGGCTCACCCCCACTTACACCTGGTAGGTTGCCTGTTTCTTTTTGTGTGCCTCTGTTTTGAATCACCCATGCCGGCGCAAGAGTGACCGGGTCCAATTGATGGGCCGAAGCATCAATCACCGTGGTTGTTCTTTGGTCCGAGTGGAGGTGGGCAGTGGTGGAGGTGGAGGTGGTTTATTCCACGGCTCTCGGCGGGGCTCTCGAAATTGAACGCACCCCGAATTGGGCTTGGTGCGGAACCTTCTAAAATTTGGGAATTTGGGTGCTAACACGAGACTTTGGCAGTGTACTTGCACCACTCGCACGCGCACGCGCACTCGCAGACACCTGCAGCCACCAACTTCCCCTGCTCGCTTAACACAAGCATCTCCAGCATCTCCAGCGACCTCCTTTCCACAACATCGCCCTCCTGCCCATCCCTCTCGCCATCACCCTCGCCCTATGCGTGCTCTGTCGCATCTGCATCCACCTCTGACCAAGACCAAGTCGATTTCTGTGACCCCCGCAACCTGACTGTTGGCGGCCTCGCAAATACTGCATTGGCCCTTGAATTTTCTGCCCCTGTCGCATTGGAGGAATTCAGGGGGGACACTGACGCCTGCCAAACTCCACTGCCCGACTCCTTCGATTTCAGCCCGTCAATTCACCACGGCCTGCCAACATTTGACGACATCTCCGACCTGGAATCTGAGGACGATTTCGTCAACCGTCTTGTCAACCTCGGCGAGCAACCCAACCCCGACGTGAAGAGGCCGCGTTCTGCTACCTGCTCCACCACGCTGTCGCTTGGCCACGATTCGTTCCTGACCGAAGGTGAATTTGACTCGGACGACAGTACTTCTTGCGCAGTCACCGGTCTTCCCAGCCCTTCAGCATCCTCATCAGACCCTGACTCTCACAAGGGCAAGAAGTTCAAGAAGTCCAAGAAAGAGACCCGAAAGTCTGCACCAACCATGACTGTCGCTGCAGACTCCAACTCAGGCGAGGGTCAGGGCCAACAACAGGCACCTGTCCAGACTGTCGCCAACCAGAGCGCTGATAACACTGGATCTACCTCGGGCTCCAGTGCACCCGCGGGCATAGTGCCGGCACCTCCTACTCGCCGAGGCCGCAAGCAGTCGTTAACCGATGACCCCAGCAAGACTTTTGTCTGCGAGCTCTGCAACCGCCGATTCCGTCGCCAGGAACACCTTAAGCGACACGTCCGCTCTCTGCACACCCTTGACAAGCCTTTTGAGTGCCATGAGTGCGGCAAGACCTTCTCCCGCAGCGACAACCTGTCCCAGCATGCGCGAACCCATGGCAGTGGTGCCATTGTCATGAACCTCATCGACGGTAGCGAGGAGCTAGACATGATGCCTGCCGGCGAAGCCGACTACCACAACTTTGGCAAGGTGCTATTCCAGGTCGCCTCCGAAGTCCCTGGCAGCGACTATTCCGATGACTCGTCAAGCGATGTCAGCGACAAGAAGCGCAAGCGATCTGACTAGATGAGTCCTTGACATTCACCAAGCTCAGACCCATCAATACGTCGGAGGACTGGCGAGAGTTCCCTTCGGCGCACGCACGTAATGACATAACGACTTCTTCACACCCGACCTACCCCGCTAGCCTTTACGCGGATCAGTCTCTAGGGTCACAAGATGGTTCACCAGGCTCCCTTCAGGGGGATCGAGACGGAGGGCATTCACTAGACAGGACGCGAAAAGTTGCACTTTGATTTCCGGCATCGGCTTGTCTTGTACCATCATTGCGACACACTTTTTCCTCACATCATGACGACCAAACACTCCAGGGGCGACACGGCGGTATAGGATTGTCATTGGGGGTTCTCGCGACGAGGGGCGTGATATGGAGGGATCTTTGACACACTGCGAACTGCTGTGTTTTACTGTTTGGTCATGAAAGAAGCAACGCGATACACACATCATCTCAGGCGGCCTACCTTTCTCTACGCTCGTTGTAATCTCTACAGCAGGCGGGGCAGAGCAGCCGCTGTTGCTTGGGGCAATGTATTTCCAGTGGGGGACAATTCACCGGTATAGCCTGCGAGGGTGTATTCCGAGCGTAGCCCCCTTCTTGTGTCTACTTTTACCCGTTCATTTCAAGACCTCTTTCCTGCGATTGCTCTAGCATAGTGCTGGTCACCTGACAACAGCTCTCGGCAAACTCTGTACAAATAGGAAATCAAGCATCAATCTGCCGCTGCAATCAAGCATAAACAAATTCAGAATTATTCGTACCTATCTCTCCCTGGTGATATGATTACGAGCTACCGAAGCTTCGGCCACACTATGTCAGTCCTATTGCTACTAGGATCTTGGATAAAAGTCGTTCACGTACCTGTAGGTATGTACCTTGATGAGGTACAGACGGGAGGTAAGGTATTGATATTTCCCCGAGTCATTCATAGCGACTAGGTATGCACACTTGTGCTTCGGCGCTCGAGCTGTCAATCTTGCATTATGACACATACTAGACCCTGGAAGAGATTTGGAATTCGGTCGGATGATCACTGAAGCTACCAGCCCGATTGCGACTCCACCACCACGGTAGCAAGAACACTACAGTAGTCTACAAGAACAAGCCTCAGCTAGTCTTTTCTCTCCAGGTACAAAAGCCATCATAATAATTTCCGACAGGCTTGGCCAAACGCTCTATCCAAGACTCCAAGTTCACTACGGTAGCTACCTACCTACTTTCTTTAGCTGGCCAGGCTACTAGCCGGGCGGCTGCCCTATTCCGTCCCATCTCTTCCATTCGGCCCTGCCAACACGCCGTCACCCGCGTAAAAGTCTGCTAGAGTTCTCCTCTTCTTCGGGGGATCTGCTACCCGTGGCACCTGCTAACCTGAACACGCTAGGTGCGATCAATAAACAAACAAACGGCCAGACGATCCAGTCACGGGTCACGATACCCGAGGGTGGACGCGTCTAGGCTGGTCAGCGACTGGGGGAAAAGGACAACGCACGAAGCAGCAGAGGGGTCCGGCGTCGTGATCCGACAGGCTGGGTCACGATCCGCCGCTAGATCTGCTCTCCTACCTGATATTCCAGGTCCTTGCTGATACATACTGGAGCTGTTGGATACTACCCATTGTGGCCGTCCCCTCTTCGCATTGAAGCTATCTAAACTGGCAAGCAAATAAACAAGCGAACGAGCCAGCCAGCCAGCAAACAAGCGAGCGAGCCCGTGAGTGGGCGAGTAAGTCCAAAGCAAAGCAAAAGCGACGATGGCGGCCGAGGGGTCCCTAAATGTCATCGCGCTCGTGTCGGGCGGCAAGGACAGCTTCTACTCGCTGCTCCACTGCCTAGCGAACGGGCACCGCGTCGTCGCTCTGGCCAACCTCCACCCAGCAGCTGCTGACGACGCAAGCGCCAACAGCGCCAGCACCAGCGGAAGAAGCCCAAGCCCAAGCCCACGGCATCATCGTCCCGGCGAGACGACCCGGCATCAGCACGGTGCGCGTGCAGCCCTCGACGGTGATGGGGACGACGGACGGCAGGAAGTGGATGTGGTGGAGGAGGAGGAGCAGGAGCATGAAGAGACGGACCTGAACAGTCTCATGTACCAGACCGTCGGGCACCAGGTGATCCCCCTCTACGCGCAGGCCACCGGGCTGCCTCTGTTCCGCCAGCCCATCGTGGGGACCTCGGTCCACCACGGCGTCAGCTACCAGCACGACTCCAAGCACCACCAGAACCAGAAGAAGCCCAGACCATCGACAGGGCCTGACTCAGCAACACCACTACTGTTATCGTCCGCGCCAGAGGGGCAAGGCACGACGCACGGGACCGAAGGAGGCCACGACCACGACCACGCTCACAATCATGAGCACAGGGATGAGCACAGGGCCGAGGACGAGGTCGAGGAGGACGAGACCGAGTCCCTGGTCCCGCTCCTGCGCGCCGTTCTGAAGGCGCACCCAGAGGCGAACGCCCTGTGCACGGGCGCCATCCTATCGACGTACCAGCGCACGCGCGTCGAGTCCGTCGCCCTGCGCCTGGGCCTAGTGCCGCTGGCCTACCTGTGGCAGTTCCCCGAGCTTCCGACTGCTGCTGCTGCTGCTTCCCTGTCATCGTTGTCGTCGTTGTCGTTGTCGTCAGGGCCGGCGGCACATGACCTTGGATGTAGTAGTGGTGGTGGTAGTGCAGGACAGGCCGGTAGTGGTACTGGTGGTGGTGGTGGTGGTGATGGTGCCGGTGACGGTAATGATGACGCCCAGCTCCTCCGCGACATGGCAGCCGTGGGTCTGGACGCCCGCATCATCAAGGTCGCGAGCGCGGGGCTCGACGAGGACTTCCTCTGGGCGAACGTGGCGAGCGTGGCCGGGGCGGGGCGGGTCCAGCGCGCCATGCGCCGCTTTGGGGGTGCGGGCAGTCGGGGCGCGGTCATTGGCGAGGGCGGCGAGTTCGAGACGCTGGTCGTGGATGGCCCGCGCTCCTTGTTCAAGGGTCGCATCGTGGTTCCTGATGCGGCGCGCCGCGTCGTGCGCGAGGGGGGCGGCTGTGCTTGGTTGAGTATCGGGGAGGCGAGCGTTGAGATGAAGAGAGATGTTGTTGACGGTGATGGTGCCGATATTGGTGCTGATCGTGATCCTTCGACACCGCAAGGGGCAGGCGTTCGCATACCTGCGCTCCTGGACCCGAAGTTCGAGGACATCCTGCAATCACTATGCCATGAGGATCAGCACATAGACCTCGTCAACCTACCACGGGACTCACCACAGCCCGAGCTCCCGAGATGGAGACTCCCGCGGCACCCTGAAGAGGGAGAGGAATGGTGTTTCTACGGCGGTCGTGGCCACCTGACCGTCGAGGACCAGACCGCGGAGATCGTAGACCAGATCCGGGGCCGGCTGCAAGAGCGGTCTCTGCCTGCAAATGCCATCACCAACACCGTCATCGCCCTGCGGCGCATGTCGGACTTCCCCGTAATCAACCAGCTCTACGGGTCGCTATTCCGCGAACCCAATCCCCCCTCCAGAGTCACCATATCATGCTGCGACGGCCTACTACCCCAGGCCGCCACCATCGCCATCTTCCTAAGTATACAACCCCGTCTAAGGCCCGATGACAGACGCGGTCTGCACGTCCAGTCCCGGTCGTACTGGGCGCCGGCGAATATCGGTCCCTATAGCCAAGCTGTTGCCTTCCCTTTGCTGCCGCCGTCATCAGCTGGAGATGATCAGAACAGTCCACAGCAGCACTCTCCTCTCGCGGTATGCATAGCAGGCCAGATCCCGCTCCTCCCCGCCTCCATGGTATTGCCTTCTTCCTCAACCCCAGATGACTTCCGGCTCCAAACCACGCTCGCGCTGCAGCACCTCTGGCGCGTCGCTGTTGAGATGCATGTGCAGTGGTGGACCAGCGCCGTCGCCTACCTCCCCCGCGCGCCATCCGCCGAGGCCGCAAGACACAGAGCCCAGCTCGCAGCTGCGTCGTGGAGGGCAGCGCACCTGTGGTCTCAAACCTCGGGTTCTAGTGGTGATGAGGAGGAGGCGGGCCCCGATCTCTGGGATCGCAGGTATAATACGGAGTTCATGACGTACGGCGACGGGGAGGCGGGTTCTGTGCCGCTGTTGCCGGACTGGGAGGTCTTGGCGGGGTTTGATTTCGATGATGATGATGATGATGATGAAGTTGACGGCTCGGGGTTGAAAGGGGCGAAAGAGGCGAACCTCCCGTTCATGTTCACGGCCGAAGTCGAAGAGCTCCCCCGACAAGCGGGCGTGGAATGGCACGCGCACGTCGGGCTCGCGAGGCTGGAGGCTGGTTCTGTGCGGCTGTTTTCTGTCCGCGACGTGTCGGTGCCATTGCAATGGGGAGCGCCTGATGACACACTGCTCGACATCCACCACGTCATCGTGGAGTGCGGCGACGGCGTGTATATCCAGAGCACGACCGTCCTGCAGAAGAGCCAAGCCGTCGATTCCGTGGTGGTTGATCTGGGAATTATCGAGTTCGTTACGAATGCCGTGGGGACCTCGCTGAATAAGGTGTTTGTGTCGGAGGTGTTCAAGCTGTCCTCCGAAGAGAAGGGTCTGTTGAGGCGGAAGATCACGTATATTAACGCCTCGCAGGGGGTGGACTTTGGCGTGCTGTCTGGGATAGGGGCGCTTGTGCCGTGTAGATCTTTGTGGGATTCCTGGGGCCGGCGACTGGGTTTGGTGGCTATCTATGAGACGAGGTTGGTGAAAAGTTAGGAGTATAGGAGCTATGCCAATGGAATCAAGTACAAGTCATGATATGGTTGACGAATGTCAAGTGAAGTGAACATCGTGAAGTGCGGGCTTCCATCAAATTTGTATCTCTACGCCTGTCTTCTATGTATGGACATCGCTATGCAACGCAAAGCCCTCCATGCTAATAGCCCAGCCCATCACTTCTGCCGCATAACAGGCGCCAGCCCTTTCCAAAACGCGCACCTCGCCCGCTGATCCAGCGGCACCATCTCCATCGTCAAATTGCCCGTCTCCATCATCAGTCTCTGTTTGGCATCGGTAGTAGTAGTGCCACCCCAGCCCTCCCACGCGGGCGCATCCGCATTCCGCAGCGCCGACGGGTCCAGCGTTTTGACAAACGAGATCCAATAGTCCATCACCAGCGGTATCATGCCCGCGTTGTACGTGTAGTAGCTGGCCGGTCCGGTCCCCCGCCCGTTGATGTCGGGCCCGAGGACGGCCCACGACGTCCACAGGTGCGGCACGCCGAGCCCCTTCGCCGTGTTTTCGGCGTCGTGGACGTTGTAGCGGTAGCCCCAGGCGCGGGCCGGCGAGGACGACGACGACGTGTTCAGGCGGTGCTGGACGTAGGAGTCCAGGATGTGTGTGGCCGGACAGATGAACGTGGCCTCGCCGTAGGCCTTGGCGGCCGAGGGGAACCAGGCGGCGTGCTCGGGCAGGGCGGCCATCTGGGGGTATTGCTCCACGATGGCGGAGGCGTTGGTGCTGCTGAGGAGCGGGTAGTTGTTGCGCAGGAAGACGGCCATTTCTGTGGATGTGGCGACGTTGGCGGTGAATATTGTGCCTTCTGCGTGGGTTTGTGAGCTTGAAGCTATGATCTCGGGGGTTGTCTCAGGGGCAGAGTAGCGAGATAGGAACAGGGAGAAAGGGCAGAAGGGAAGAAGGCAATAATGATAGTGGCGAAACGTACCATCACTTGTGATACCCATCATGACAGGCACGTTCACGAACTGACCCCTCTCATACATCAGATACGGCAGGTCGCGCAGGAGCTCGCCGTCGATACACGGCGTCCAGTAGAACAGCGGCGCAGGCAAATCCGGCCTCCCCGGGAAAGCAGACGGCACATTGGCCGCCTGCAGCACCTCAGTCGTCTTGCCGCGCAGACAGTCCATCGGCTCATCACCACCACACCCCGTCTCGTTCAGCAGCAGGTCAAACTGCCACTCCAAGTCCTTCACAAACGGCTGTGCCGGGAAGAACACAGATTCACCCACGGCGCCAACGAAGAGCCCCTCGTCGGGCGCCAGCAGGTGCAGCGCGACGGAGCCGGCGCCGGCGGACGCGCCGTGGATGACGACGTGGGCCGGGTCGCCGCCGAACTGCGCGATGTGCTCACGCACCCAGCGCATCACCTGTCGCTGGTCCAGCAGCCCCGCGTTGAGGTCGCCGGCGCCGGCGGCGCGCACGCGCTCGCTGGCTATGAAACCCCACAGCCCGACGCGGTAGTTGAAGTTCACGAAGACGATGCTGTGGTTGGAGCGCTCGACCACGGCCGTGCCGTTCCAGTTGGCATTGCTGTTGGCGGTGTAGCCTGTCGGGGGTTGTTTAGTATAATCGTCAAGGGTCTAGAGTAGAAGAGGGAGGCAGGCAGGTAGGTGGGTAGCCCACCTCATGAATGGATATGGGCTATGAATGAACAGAAGAAACGTACCTCCGCCCTGAATAAAGAGCCAAACGGGCAAATTCGACTCCGTCGTCGCATTAAGCGGCGCCCACACATTGACATACAGACAGTCTTCGTCCTGCCTCGCGTTGGGGTACGGCTGCGAGATGCCGAGACATATCGGGCCAAACTGAATAAGGGTCAGTCAACCATCAGCCATCAGCCATCAGCCATCCTATCCATCGCCCACTCCTCATAAATAGCCGAGGCGCAAAAAGGTCTTCTCGTGGATAAGGTAAGCTTACCGCATCCGCCTTCTGGTCCCCGGAGTGCTGCGCCGGCTCAACAGGAGCGCGGAACCGCAGATCGCCCACGGGCGCCTCCGCATACCGCATGCCCAGGTACTGCGCCACGCCGCCGCCGACGCGGGAGCCCTGGTATTGCGCATAGCCCAGGTTCACGCGCGCGCTGGCGGTATCCGAGGGCTTCTGGGTACGAAATGCAAGTCAGCATGGTACCTCTACTCGCTATACCAACCAGATACGGAGAACAGAAGCCTCTTCGGACCATGTTTTGGCCTGCCTCGCCAACCAACCAAAGCTACATCCGGAGGGAAATAGAAAGCAAGAGTCGAAGTTTTGTGGTAGTCAAATAACAGATAATCAAACGGGATCGCGAGTCGAAGCGGAAACATCATACATACCTCCTGATCCTCAGCGCGATGCCGTTTCCGCTCCTGCGTAAGAACCACCGGCACCACCAACACAACAACAGCCACGGCGACCGCGAGCAGCACGAAGCCGTGCCACGGCTTCGCCGCGCGCTTGGCCGCCTGGAACTTCTTGCGGAAAACCTCCATTACGACGGGCGCGGCTGCGGCGGTTTCGCAGCGCGGGATCGCAGGATCGCGCGCAGGCAGTTTTAGTCCATGGGCGGGTGGGTGGGAGGAACCTGAGAAAACTCGAGATGATGACGCTGGCTGAGTTCGTGTTTTAAGTGATGTTACCTGGCCTGAGAGTTGAGAAATATACCAATGCCTCCTCAGCTGTCATGAACGAAAGACCGCGGCCAAGGGAAACGTAAATACCTAGGTAGACAAATAGACATTTCCCATGATGACCGGATCACCGATCGGGGAGGAGCGTGCGGCGGTCCCACGATGGTGGATGTGCTCAGACCTGTAATTAGAGTCGGTAGGAACGGACAACCAGGATGTTTCACTTTAAATAACCCACGAAAAGATAACAACACCGGACAAGACGTCACAGCTGATCCTACTCTGGGGAAATCTCCACAAGCTTCACCGGGATGCCAGGATTGCCAACCGAGTTCTTCAGTCCTTCAGTCCTTCAGTCCTTCAGCCCGGAAAGTCGTAGAGGCATGCGAGTGAACTTCACACAAACCGTCTTTAGTGGTTTTGAATCTGTCTTGATTTTATGCATCAGAATAGCGATAAGCAACAAAGAAACTATTCATCATATACGCCTATTCTGTGGTCGACCATATACTTCAACACTCGCTTTACTCCAAAGCTCTGCTTTTGGCCACCGGCGCACGCCCGTCGAATAAATACAGGAAAGCCACCCCCAAGTCAGCCATCCAAGCCCGACTACCAGAGACCAAACGCCGAGGAACCTCAAGTCATTCATTATATGGATCGCACGAAGTTGTCTGGAAGAGAACAGAGTCGAAGCTGTATGGCAGGCAAGCTTCGTAAATTCTTGATCCCGGAACGCCAACGCATGCAGCAGTCAACCATGGCCTAAGCCTAGTCGTGATAGTCGTCATCGTGTAGCCGCCGTCCGTGGAAAATCTACCATCGGATATGCAGGAAAGCACAAGAGCGAAAGGAAACGTCACTTCGTCAAAGCCGGTGGCAAGTCTCCGCTGCTCTACTTCGCCGAGACCTTGCGCGCCGTCGCACTGGGCGTCGCGTTGACGCTGCCAACGCGGCCACTTGTCTTTCGCACGCCCGCCGACTCCTTGCTCCGCGAAGACTCGTTGGATCGCTTGCTGCTCCTCACTTTGGTCAGGACACCCGAGGCACTAGCTGACCGGGTTGGCGAGGCTGCGACATGATCTGCGACGGTCTTGGGCCGCCCGCTACCGACATTCTCAGCATCGTTGGAAGCGTCGTTGTCGATAACCGAGGAATAGATCGTCGTGGTCGTGGTATGGCTGTAGGACCGCTTCTCGCTGCGACCTGGGGACTGCGATGACTTTCGGTGTGTGCGCATGCGTAGCATCCATTCTTCCTCCGATTCGGCATCGTTGGATCTTCTGTGGACAGAGATCACCTCCGTGTTCTCCCCATTGCCCTGCTCCTCTTCGTCGATGGACTGCCCGTGGACCTGGCTGCGTTGGTAGGGGTGGTGTCGGTCAGCCCGGCTGGTCTTCCTTGGTTGGCCTGGGGTCGGTGCGGGCAGGTAGTCTTCTTGGATGCTGCCATTTCGTCTTTCCTCATCCATCTCGCCCAGAGGTGTGCGATTCGATGGGCTCCGGCTTGGAGGAGTCGAGGTCCGGACATTTCGACCTATTGTTGTCTTCTGCATGGCCCGAATTGGCGTGCTAGGCTGCGGGTTTGCAGCCAGCTTCTCTCTGAGCTTCCGCTCTACTCTCTCTTCAATCCACCATTCACGGAAGATCCCCTGGTTGATGTGTAGCCAATGCTGCTGAGGACCGACAACCATACCCGGGCGCATGAATCTCATGAAAGAGATGATCTCGTTGGCGGTGAAACCATGGCGGTATATCAAGTATGCCCCAATCAAGCACCCGGTTCTGCCAAGACCAGCTTTGCAGTGAACAGCGATGCCCTTCTTCTTGACCGTGATGGTCTCGTGCGCAAGCCTGATGAACTTCCGAACAGTGCTCAGGGGAGGGCAAGTGCCGTCCTCAAAAATCATGTCAAGGTGCTGAATGCCCATAGACTCGAAAAAGGACGGAGAGTACAGGGGGGAGTTGAGTCTAACGACAAGCCCGATTTCCCGCTCGGAGAAGTGCTTCAGCACGTTCTTGAATGGCTGAGGCAGGCTTGGGTGGATGTCGACCTCCGGGATGGTCCTGGGCAGCGAGGCAAATGACTCTGAAGACTCGGTAATGCGAGCAACCGGGCTGTGCTGGGGAGAAGCGAACGCCAGAAAGTCAGGAGTAATCCAGTTGAAGTCGCCGTGCTCGACTCGCTCGAATCTCTCGTACTCATCGAGGTCGAAGTTGTCCAAAGCACAGCATCCCTCCTCTTTGGCCTTCCAGACACCATAAACAATATCCTGAACGGTGATGCCGTAATCCGCCTGGCTGTAACCTGCGTCACGGAACGGCATCAAGGGAGGGTCGACCTGGGCTATCGGTGCGAGGGCCAGATGAGGCGGCCACGACTGGATCAGAACCATGTAACATGCCAACAAGCAAGAAGCGTTCGCGCGGCCTGCGAAGGAGTGTTAGCCAACTTGTGCCAGTCTTCGGAGGCAGGCTCAACGTACTCCTCGGGTCTGCGCGACTCCAGAACACAATAGGCCGGTGTTGATTCTCCTTTGCGCCAAGGACATCATGGAACTGCAGTGCGAAGCGGTACAGATGTCCGATGTGGAGTGGGCCGAAATCATGGTGGAAGGCGTTGTAGAGGAGGGTGTCATCCACAGTGAAGTAGTACGGAGCCTGTCGGGCGGATTTGGCTGGTGCTGGCGAAGGTCCGTCGGCCGCTCTCTGCGATCGCTTGCTGGGGGAGCCTCGTGAGCGCTGTTCCGGGTAAGGGAAGACGGTATCGGCAGTAGGTGTGTTGATGTAAGACGCTAGGTAGAGTCGGTCTGCGAAGGTCAGCAAGGTGATCGGTGGATTGTCAAAGCGCGGCAGCAATGGGCAAAATATGTCGGTGTAGGAGCACTCGGACGACATTGATAATTGCAGCTCGTTGCGCCGTCTCGAAGAGGGCGACAGCGAGGCATAAGTATGCAGTGCAAGATAAGTGCTAGAAGGTGAGGATCTGAAGGAGGTGGAGATGCGCAAGACCAAGGGCAATGTAGCAACATTGAAGTGAGCAGGGTAAGGAAATGAAGAAAGCCAGAGGCGTCAGGTATATTCACACAAGAATAGACGTACCTGGAATATACTCGATAACCTGCCCCAGGTTGGCGTTTCTCGAAGAAGGCGGCATCGCCAACTGCTGCTTGTTGTTGTGGGGGCGGCGCTTGTTGGCAAAGCGGTGTCGGGAGGAAGGTTCAACGGTCCTGAGAGCCTATGTAGGTATGCAGTCGCAAGCCCACCAGGCCGGAACGAGATTCAAACTCTATTAAAGGCGAAGAGCAGCCGACCAAGAAAGATATCGAGAAAGAATGATTGAATGTCAACAAGAGGCGGAGTGTGCTTGTATTGAGGAGATTGCAGAGACGAGGTAGCTTTGCGCAAGCTTCAAGCAAGCAGTCTACCAAATTGGCGCCTTGGGGATGGAGTGCAGCGGCAGAGGGAGGGATGGATGTATTGTGTGAAAGGGAAGGGTAGATCGTCAGAGTCGCTTTCCAAGATGCTGGTGGTTTTGTATGCTCTGTCTTCAATGTTATTATTGTTTTCCTGGGGGTGCAAGGGTGAGGATCCTGGCCGTTGCATGGAGGTCTCATCTGGCCCGTTGCCAAATCGGTGAAAGCCCACGGGGTGTCTGGGTGCAGAGCCCTCGACAGCCCCGGCCTTGTTTATGGGCGGAGCTGTTGCTGAGCCGTTGCTACGCAACCCTATAGAGCCACAACACCGGCCGCACGGTCCAGTACCAGTGTGCCAGTGTGCCAGTACCTGAAACGCTCTAGCTCCAGCTGAACGACCAGGCAGGGCGAACCTCTAAAACGCTTATCTTATCGTGAAGCCGCTTCACACTCACGACAAATCGGCCCTCGCAGAGTCGCAGCCCTCGTCACCCCGCCTTTGGCTGCCAGACAACCGACTCACAACAACGCAGATTCCAAGCTGTCGCAGATCGCCAAGCCCCACCACTACACACGGCGATCCCGATCTATGTTCTCGCAAGAAAGAGAAGGGCCCTCACAATCAGTTCAACCACCATGGCGGCGTCCATAGACCCAAACTTCCCTTGTGCCTTGTGTGTTACTTCTACCGCCCAACCCGGCATTGACTATTTCCATACTAACTTGTCTTTTCCGGCGCAGGACCGTCGAAGTGCCTTTCCCAACACATAGACTGGCTTCTGTTGCTCTGAAAGCCCTTCAGGTCGATAAGGAGTTATCTTCCTTAGTAACCCGAAGCTTCGCCATAAGCGCTCCAAGTGATGGAGTTACCGATACGAATGCGAAAGGCAACATATTGCAAGCCCAGTACAAGGCCACAACGAACCGAATGCTTCGCGTAGCTGTCAACTCTTTCATGGAGAGCTTGGCCTTGGTAATGGAGGTTATGGAGGAGCTCGATGAAGATGTCTTAACACTTCAAGACCAAGTAAACTAGACGGAAGACAAGTTTTGGTCTGCACGAATACCATACCGTCACCCATGATTGGGATGCAGGGCGCCCCGCATCTTGGAGAATGGAATGTTGGGCCCAAGTACCAAAAACGTGAGTATCAGGCTGAACACAGATCATGCGAAGAGGGGCTCTTGGGGAACATCATATCACTAACACATCTAACGTCACAGGCTAGAATACCATCAAGACTAAGTATTGGTGATCGGAGAATTTACCATCAAAAATCATAATTACTAAACTAAACTAAAACACTTGCCAGTCCATTCATGGACTACTCGAATAAACAATCCAGAAACCGAGCACTGAGATACCCTGATGTCGCCTATTTCCCATTTACTCGACATCGATCTTGTGGATCTCGGTCCACTCCTTCTCGGTCTTCGGAACGGTCACGACCAAGATACCGTTGTCCATCTTGGCAGTGATGCTGAAGCCATCAACATCCTCCTTCTCATCGACCCCGGGAGGTGGCAGTTTGATGCTCTTCTCGAACATGCCGATCTTTCTCTCGCTCGATGCGAGAGACTTGAGGAATTCTTCATCGCCAGGGCGGTACACAACACCGGCGATGTTGACCTTCTCTCCGTCCCAATTGACACCAATGTCTTCCTTTGCAGCACCCGGAAGGGATACGTGAAGGATGTACGCTTTCTCGGTGTTGAAAACGTCGACCGGTGGGACAAACGTGTCTTCCTGTTGATTGATCTGCTCTTCTGAGGGACCAGCGCGAGTCTGATCGGTAAGGTTCCGGAGAGTCTGGGCAAAGGGGTGACTGGAAAAAGCTTGCATCAGAGGGCGGAAGTCGAAGGGACCCTCATATGCTGAGGGCGGTGGTCCGTGTCGACCCCCGCGTCCACCCCTTCCACCACGTCCACAGCGGCCACCCCACCGTCGGTGAGCGCCCGGGCCAAATGGGGGCGGTGGACCATGGTGATGGTGAGGGTGATGGTGAGGGTGACCGGGCTCTTGAGATCCCGGAGGAGGTGGTGGTGGATGAGGGAAAGCCCCTGGAGATGGAGGCGGCGGGGGCTGATGCACGCCAGCCTCGGACGTTTCTCTCACGGTCTCGGACGGTGTCTCCTCTGGGGGATCCTCACTGTCAGAGTCGTGACCCTCTCGATGATGACGAGGGCCGCCGAAACGGCTGTGCCGTCCACCACGACGGCCCCATGGCCCGGCCCAGGGACCGCCCCAAGGACCACCTCCCCATTGTCCTGCCCATTGTCCTCCCCATGGGTCGAAGTGCGCGGGATCAAATGGAGACCCTGAAGGTGCTTGGGGGTCGCCATTGGGAGCTCCGCCGGCGGGAGCTCCCCGGTTGGAAGCCCCGCCGTTAAAGTGATCGACTCCAGCGCCGGCCCGGTGAGATCCGCTGGGGTCGAAAGCCTGGAGGAACTCCCAAAAGGGAGCTTGAGGATTATTGTAGTTATCCATGTTGATTGTGTTCGAAGATGCGTGATGTGGTCTTGTGTGAAATGTTGTGGATGCAGAAGATAAGAATCAAATCCATTGGGACCAGAGACATGTCAACCTTTATATACGAGGCTTCAAGCTTTAGGCAGGGCAGAGTGGCGTCACTAGGAACGGCAAGGCAAATGATCAACGCAATGCCAAACGAGTCAGACGTGCGTACGTAACACGGTCTCGAACATATCGGAAAGCATTGGAAGCCTACCAGCCTATCGGCCTACCAGCCTACTTGTTGGTGTGGCATCTTGCCTCTCTTGATTCACACAAAGGGCCAAGGTTGAACAGGTGCCACGCGTCGATACACATCAGTTCGTCAGACAAGGCGCTGCTAGGGGCTGCTATGATTGGTGAGCTGGGCAAGCTCTCCATGTTCGAAAACCACCGGCTCCTCGATGTGTGGGGGAGGCGATGACGGTGGCGAATTCCCGTGAGGCAACCACCACCTCGGGCTAAGACGTCAGATTCGGACATTAGCAAACACCGAGGGGCGGCTCGGTTGCGAAGGACCTCGGGCTCAACAGCTCTCGAACTTCTGAAAATCGTGGAAAAGTCAGTGTCTCGTGCAATTAGTTGATTGAAAGTCTGGGTTTGAGAGAGATTTGCCGGCTGTATTATGGCCGCTTGTTTTATTTACGTATGAGCAGCGTGCCGGCATGGATAAAACCTATTTCTTGATCTGGAGCTTTGGAAGAGGCACCCGACGCTGATGGTTCGGAGCCCGAGCGTCGTCGGGTCCGAGTGGACGACACGGGTCCGAGTGGATGGCGAGTGCAGCCGAGTGGTGGGGTTGATAGGTAGCCGCCGCCGCGTCAGATTGTCGCCTCCAATAAGCGGGACAGGCAGATACAGCTGACTCTTGAGAGCTGTCGCAACGCAAGCGGCAAAGGTCAGTCATCCGCCGCCAAGATCGACATAGGTCAGAAGCATGTCTGCGGGTCTTCCCGAAACCGTGGTGTGTTCTGCATCGCATCGTCTTGCTGCTCTCCGTGCGTTGGAAGGATCCGCCTGCAACTCTGAAGAGAGCTACAAGTTTGTCTACCTACATGGCGTTGGCCTACTCTACCTGTGGGCTCAAGGGTGATGTGCCCCACCGCGAGCACTTGCCACTTTGCGCAGCAAAGTGGGGGATAAAACCCTAAGACAGGCGGAAACCCTGAGACAGGACATAACTAAGGAAATCAAAACGCTAAAAATAGATAGAAATTTTGAAAAATATTAAGTTTTAAAGACGTATTAAAAGGAAGTTTTAGAATAGTTTTAGCTTCTAAACCTGATTTTAAATAGATTTAAATATATATATATATTATTAAGAATTTCTTTAAAAAATTCTATATACGTTAAGAAATTAAGTTTTTAAAAACCGAACCTTTTTTATAACATTGAAATAGAAATATTACAATTACGTATAAAAATTAGGAAATATTGTAATATATTAATCTTATATAACGTGACTTTATTTATTAAATTATTTCATTTTAAAGACGTAAGTTTTATATATATATTTATGTTTTAGAATTTCCGCTTGTTTTAAGGTTGAATCTCTCACTTTACGCAGTAAAACAAACAGCGCTCGCGGTAAATACCTTTAATCCTATAAGTATTTTACGTCGGTATACTTAAAGTAAAAAGCTTATATATACTAGTAAAAAGCTTATTTAATTAACTATAAGTAAGTATTATTTAAGTAATAGCCGGGGTTTTTGCTATGTTTCTATACGAATAAGTTAATCCATTTAAGGTGAAAATAAACCATATCCGTTTAAGCCAATTTTTACTTATATTGTAAGTATTAATACTTATTATTTTAATAAAGTATTATATTATACGTTAAATAAACTTTTCGCGTTATTAATAAACGTTAACGATTATTTATAATACTTTAATGTGATGAGCCGTCTAACCTATAAGGCTAAAGGGTTCTATAGGGTTTATGTTCTGAGGTAAGTCAACACAAAGGGCGATAGAGGCTTCTGTCAACTAGAAGACACTCAGATACTGGGGCTTGGTCTGATCTGGGGGATCACTGAATAGTTGAGTCGTCAGGAGATTTCTGTTGAATACACGGATGTTGATTGATCCTATTGATTGTTCTGCTCTTCGTGCAAAGATTGATTATCTGTCTTCTTGGTGGGGGGTCAGATGCCCTGTGCGTCTCTGCCCCACTGGAGATCTTCCGGTGTCTATCTCCGGCTCCCATTCAACAATTTCTCCCACCTTAGGGTTGACTAAAATGCTTAGATTGATCACTGAGGTAGAAACTGTCTATCTGTCTAGCTAGGAAACATCCATCCTTATATATCCAATCTCTCCTTCACTGATTAAGTGGCTCACCCTGGATCACCAGTGATCTAAGATGATCCTGCTTACTGGCTCACCATGGGGATCCAGTGATCCAAATTCTTAGTCACGTGACCCAGGTTCTGCTGGTCACGTGATCTGTGTACCGTTGCTCCGGTTTTTCCACTGGTCGGCACCCCACTCACTGGTCAGCCTGTTTCCAATTGTCTCCTCTTAGCCTGTTATCAGGCCGCACTGTTTGTTGGTTTATAACATTTAACACGATTTTTTAATTTTTATAAGCCTTATTTGTTTAACACTTTAAATATAATTACTTTAATACGCTTAATGAATACTTTCTTTTTATAACTGTGATGAATCTGACACCCATCAGGTGGTTTGATGGTGTGGACGCGTTGCCTACTACACAGATGGATAGATAATTGTGGGTCGGGACTTGGGATATATCACCCCACCAGATTTGGTGGTGCTGCAGATCACTCTTTCCTTCTTCACCAAAGTATTTTTGTACAATTGGAGATATTGATGAGCACTTTCGTCCTGGTCTCCAAGCTGCCCCGTGACAATAACTTCTTTTTATATATTTTTCGATCGGTATATAAATAAACTTATTAATAAAAGTCTATGAAAGGCTTTTTTACTTATTATTAATTAAATAGCTGTACTTTTTAATTAAAAAGTTATTAAAATATAACTTTTAAGTTATTATCGCCATTAACCTCTTTAAAAGTAATAAAAATTACTTCGCTATAAAATAGATTTTAAAACACCGATTGTTATTTATTTCTTATAATCGTATAGTTTTACCTCTTAAAAACGAAAAGAATTTATTCGATTAATACTACTTATATTAAAAATAAAGCTATTAAAAAAAACGAAACCCGTAATTTGGTTAATAAGAAGCTTATTAAATACTTTCCTTATTTCATTCGCAAATAATAATAATTTCAATGACTTTTATTTATATAGTATTTGATTATTAGCCTTAAATATTATTATTAAAAAACACGTTCTATTGTTGTCTTATTAACCTACTTCATTAACTTTATTATTTAATATGAAATAGTTAATGAAACAACTATATAACTTTTCCTTTAATTCGTAGTCAATTACCGCTATATTTATGTAGCCGCGCCTTTTCATTTATAATTAAAAGTATAAATATAAGGAATTAAATAATTGATTAAAAACGTAACATTCTTAAAGAAAAGTTAGTCGACCAATTAAAGTACGATTTATTTATAAAATAAGTATATATAAATGTTAAACATATTATTATACGTAAGTTAATTATTTAGTGAAGTAAAAGGGTTATTCTTTTTATATTATAAGAGTTCTTTTTTATTTTATTTATTTAACCGCACTTTAATCAGATATAACACATATTTATAATAGGTCTTTTAATAAATTATATTAAAATACCGGACGTAAAAATGATTTAATTATCTTTAATTATAATGATAAAACTTTAAAGGTTTAAATGAATTAAAAGGTTTTATTTGAAGTATTGTTTTATTAATCCCACCCCGTATGTATATTATTAAAAGTGTTGGATCCATGCGATTCCAACCTTCAAACCATCTATACCAGATTCATATGTATGATTAGATAAGAGGTTAGATACCGGATTGTGAGGACACTTAGCCAGACCTGCAAGTCCAGCTAGACCCTCCAATCCAACCATCAGCAACATCATGACCTTGACCCAATACTCGAGTATTATGATTGATCGTCCAAGCCTGTTTCAACAAAAAGCATTATAAGGCTTGAAAGGAACGAATTTACGATAAAAATTAAACGAGCGAGAGGTATATTTTTAACGCGCTAGTTCGCACTAAGCGCGAAATAACCGCTTTTTCGCTTTATATTTCCTTTAAAGTTATTTAATATGGCAGTTAGAGAGTTCATGACAAGTGTCAACTCGCTTGTAATGCAAACTCGCTTGTCAGCTACGTTATATAATTATTTCAATTTAACTTTATTTTCGATTAATTATCAATAGTTCTAATTTTGAAAATATTAAATTAAATAAATTACAAACCGAGGTTTTTATTACCTATATACCCGTAAAAAAAAAGGGGTGTAATTTTTTATACTACTAGTAATACTACTAGTAAAGCTTAAGAAGTATTAAAAAGGATATTAATAAGGCTTATAAGAATAATAATAAGGCTTAAAATGTATTACTAAGGCTTAAACAAGTGTTAATACGTACATTATTAAGGCTTAAAAAGAACTTTTATATTTTAATTTTAAAACAGCTTATTTTTAAGTATATAAATAATTAGTTATTAGAGAAAGCGTGCTTGTAATAATAATAAAAACCAGGTATTATCACTCTAAACAGTTGTAATTTTTTTAAATAAAATATTTATAATTTAAAAGGGGTTTATTATAATTTAAGGATTAATTTAACCACGTAATCGTTTCTCATGTTAAAAGATTGAACCTAATTTTAAATCTATATTAAAGTATACAAATTCGCTTATTTATTAATCTACCAGTTAATAAAGCCTTATTTATTACTTAAAAAGCCGTTGTTTTAATAGTTAAATATAACTGCCTTTTAGCCGTTATTGTATTTATACGGCACTTTATATCTTATAGTCTTTAATAATGTTTATCGGTATTATTTATTTGCTTTTTATTATAAATTAATAATATATAAAAAGGTAAAAGCTTTAAAAATTTAACGAGATTTTTCAATTAATATAAAATAATAATACTGTTAATAGTTTTAAAAGCTGTTATTACTATAATAAACCTTATTATATTTTCGGTATATATATATTAGATATGTTAATACGGCGATCGTTTTTAACTACAGTCGGCTTTGTAACAGCCTGCCTTCATAAAAATACAAATAGGTTATTTTTAAAAATAAGATTTTTTAACGATTATATACTAATTTATTAACATAGGTTTCTAGATGAAGTTTTTTTATTACTCTACGGGTTTTAAAGCTTAAAATCTTCGTAGTTAAATAACGCTAATAGTTTAATAATAAATTATTGTAAAGTTTCTCAACATAGTGCTTTTTTTTAATATTATAACATCATGATAAGATAAGTTAGGGTTAACGTATTTTAACGGCTCGGTTTAAAAAGGTATAACGAGGTGTTATATATAAAAGCGTTAATTAACGAATTAACTTGATTACTTTTGAAAAATAACTATAAACCTAGTAGTATTTTTAGTATTTTTAGTTTTTACGAAGTACGAATATTTAAGTAATATTAAGTCTGAATAGCTAGTAATCAAAAGTATTTTTAAAAATTAATATTTTAAAACACAACTACGTAACTAGTAAAATATTAAAATCTTATTTTATGATAACAAAAGCGGTATTATTATACTTTTTTAAAATACTTTGAATATAAAAAGAATTATTACGAAAGTAATAAAAACTATTAATAAAGCGTATTAACTTTATAAGCGATATAACGAAGGTAAATATAACGTTTAATACAATAATAAAATTTCGTCGTATAGTAACGAAAGTGATATCGTTATACTTTTGAAAATATAAGGAATTTAATTTAATTCAATTGAATATAAATTAGAATAAAGCGAGGTAGTGTTATAAAAAAGATAATAATAACGGCGTTATTAAAGCTTTAAGAGTAAGCTTATATTTTGTTAATAATTTCAATACTTATCATATAACGATAAAAACAAGCTTTTTAAAAAAGAGCTTATACGGCGTTATTAAACCCTTTAAAAAAGTAGCGAGCTATTAATATAACGTTATTGAAGCTCTTCAAAAGATATAATAAGCTATTAATACTACGAAAAGTAGCGATTTTAAAGGTATTATTATCGTTATTAACACCGTTTAAATCGCGTTAATTTATTAAAAGCTCGAAATTAATAATATACAGTAATATATATAAAGCTCAACTAGTAAAAAGGTTATTTTAAACCTGTTATTTTCGTACGATCGCGAAAAATAAAGATATTACTATATAAAGCGAGTAAGTATAAAGGCTAATTATAGTATCATATGTAGGTTACTTATTTAATTAAGTAAACAGGCTGTATTTATTATATAATAATAGTTCTTTTTTATTCCACTTGTTTAAAGCCATTTGGATTAATTAAAGCACTTATTTATAATAGGTCCTTTTAATAACATATTTCAATTATATTAGGTTTAAAAGGTTATTTATTATCATAAAAGTAAATTTTTTTTTCAAAAATCGATAAATACTCGCTTTTTATACCTTTTTAACGTTATTAAGCGTTATAATACGTATATTACTACTACATACGATCTTTTTTATCCTTTTAAAAACTATTAAATTTATTATAATATATAACTGCGTTATAATATTATCTAAATCTTAAATTTGTTAAGGTTAAACTTAATTAAAACGTATATAATATTAAATTTTCGTTTAAAACACTCTAAATTAACTTTATTGACCGCGACTTTTTAAAGATTCCTTTCAAATATATTTTTCAGATTCAAGGAATCCCAAAAAGTGTATGCCTTATGGAGTTCTGGCTAATCAGGTGGCTAGTCAAAGAGGCTGCCGTGACTAGCACCCTGAATCGTACGTTGACTCATGAAAAGGTGGGCCGGAGGGTCGTCTCCAACATCTCCAGAGCTGTACAAATTGGTGTAGATACCACCCAATTGGGATAGCTGAGAAATGATAACAACGATTGCAGCTACCGCTCAAGACCACAGGCTTGTCAACCCTTTGAAATCTGACAATATTAATATATATATATAAATCTTAAAAAATAAATATAGCTTATTGTCAGATGTTGGATCCCAGATATGGTGCCCTTAGGTACAGTACCCACTAGGGGGCTGTCAAGGGAACAGTGGATCCACCTTGGCATGGTGCAGTATAGTATTTAGCTGTAGATTAGCCCTGCCAAGCATACTTGAGAATGACAACAACGTTTGTAGCGACTGCTCACACTACCAAGGCTTGCGACCCTTCTAGAATCTCACACTTATAAAAAATATTATCAAAAAGGCGTTTGTTCGTTAAAAACGTAACTATTCGTTTATTTAACCTATTTATTGATAGTCGTAAGCGGTAAATATAACTTCAAAAACTATAAATTTATGTATATAAAAAATTGGCGGCGCGCTTTTTAACGGTTACTAAAAAGAATTCATTATTAAGTTTTAAGTTTAAAAGCGTATTTACTAGCACGACGCCGTTATTTTTTACTTAGAATACCCTTTTAACACTTTTATAAAAAGATTTAATTAAGTAAGAAATATCGATAATAAAATAATAATAATAAAACACGTAAAATATTAATTATAAGCAAAGACGAGCTTAAATACGACCGTATATTAAGTAGCGATGCCTTATAACAACCCCTTATAATGTCTAGCAAGAGCTTATTATAGGGCATGTGACGGCCTGCGCAGACCTTCCCACATGACAAGTGGATACTTCCTAATAGGGGAAGGATCTGACCAGAGGATCCCCTTAAAGGGGCAACCTCCCACTGTACCTATCTCTCTCTGTCTTCCTTTCCTCTCTAGTCTTGATATTCTCGTCAATAGAGTAATAGCTGCTTGCTGCCGGCCATGTCCCAACTCCTCAGTACGCTCGCCGTGACAGGGCATATAGGGCTACAAGGAGTGGTGATACCCAGGTGGTGCCTACTCGCAGTCAATCAGATAATCACTGGCAAAGTTTCGTGCTTGATTCACACGGGTTTAGCTTTTGAAGGTTAAACTGATCTGAAGACGATGATGCACCTGGCAGAAGTACCTATGCCTACCGGCTATTAGGATCCACAGCGGGATCTAACCTAACAACTGAAGTTCGACTTCACACCTCAAGCTGTCATGGGCACCAACTTGATATCAATTTGGTCTTTCTTTACTTGGCGGTTCGTTTTCGGAGGCTTCATAAGCTTCAAACCCCAGATGTGAGGCTCAAGCGAGTCTTCACAAGAGCGAATCTTTCGGCTTTTCACTTTCTACTTTTCCAGCCTGAATTTTGAAGGGAAAAGACAGAGAATCACCACTCGAACCGAGTAAATCTGCGAGTTCCCTCTAGACAGAGGCCTGTCATTGAACAACATGTCTAGTGAGTCGGTCCATGGACACGGATTCTTTGATCAAGCAGACTCTCTGATACCACTACTATAGGTATGATGATCTCCTTTTATACGCCCGGTTACTTCGACCAGCAACAATTTGCCATGGCGGCGCTTCGAGATTGGAGCACGGGACGAAGCGCAGAGTAGGTAATCTGAGGGAGCCGAATGCCGCGTCCCACACAGAAACCCAGAAAACTACAACTGCATTGGGCTATTGGGCGCTTCCATATGCGATTTGCTTCATCCATATTTGCCCAATCCCAGATCCCTAAGCGCCAGCAACCCGGACAGCCAATCATCCAGCTCGGCAGCCAGGACGCCAAGTAGATGCATCCACTGGACCCTGGTATACCCTGGTATACCCTGGTTTATACCCCGGCAGCCCTGGCAGCCCACTTACCAGCGCTTTCTATGCGGCCAGCCGTGCTGCCGTGTGGCCGCATATCAGACCATCTCGACGACTTCTTCTCGTTCTTCCCGACCTCGTTTCATCTGCTCCTGTCCGTACTGCCCGCATCATCACCTGCGCGTCCGTTCCAACTAGCTGTACTGATCGCCTTGCCTTTGCGCCGCAAGAGCCGCAGTCAGCTTCACCTTGGAGACCCAACCGGCAGTCGTGATACCCCGCCTGGCCTCGATAAGGCCGCGCCCCCTCCAAGACATCGTCAAAGTACTTCTGCTCAGAGCTCCTATTAATAGCCCTGCTTCTGCGCCCGTCATCCGTCATCCTGCGCCTGGCGTCAATACCTTGCTCTCGAGAGCTGTCTGGTGTGTTTCGCGCTCGGTGGGAGCACGTGAAACGCGATGGCCCGCCATGGGAGGCCAGAGGAGGAGATGTTCCTCAACAAGCCATCCGGCGATGGGGACAGCCCTACCGTCGAACCGCTGAGGATATTCAAACCCCAGAGCCCGGATCCTTATGCCGATAAGGGCTCCGATCGATTCAGATATCCCACCCCGCCGGTCTCCAAACCAAGCTTCCCACTGCCGCCCGGAGCTTCGAGCTCAGCTGCACCATTACCGTACCCTGATGACGACGACCTCCGGATCGGTCAGTCCTTCCAATCAAGTCGACCTCCGTACGCGAGCGGAGGCCGGCAACCGTCCAGCGGTAGCTCATACACCAGCCCTACGAGCCCTATACACTCGGCCCGTCTCAACGACACCAACCCACGACTAGACACGAGCCCTATAGAGAAGAGAGGACCCAGCCTCGCCGAGCGACGGGGAACTGCCCCTAAGCCGCTGCCGGGGGCGCTTAGCCCTACGAGTCCAACGCTAGATGACGGAGGCTTGTTCGCGAGACCGCTGGCCAACCAACAGAAGCCAGCAGGCGGTTCGAACACCTCGTTCCCCGACTATCATCAGAAGCCCTATTATCCCCCGCCACGAGGAAATTCTGCTGGTTCGAGTTTAAGCTCGAAAAGCAATGCGCGACCTCAGCCGAACGAAGATAGCTATCTCAAGATGCCCGCAGACAGTGGCCTCAACCGCTTCGGATCGACGGCCTCGACGTCGACGACAAGAGCTAGTCGAGGATCTCCGCCGCCGCCGGAAACTCCAATCGTGGAGCCGGGCAACGTCCCCGGAGGTGGTATTGAGGCGAGGTATGCTGCGGCCGGAATCTCCGGTACCGCAACCCTCAACAGCCTCCAGAGTTCGGCGGCAACACAACGGCTAGCGCAATACGGGCAACACCCAGCTTCGCAACCAGCTTCTCAACCAACACGGCCGTGGACACCGACTGAGACACCAGAGCAGACACCGCATGGCCCTCCCACCATCTATCAAGGAGGAAATGTAGTGACGAGTCCCACTGCGTCAACATTTAGCCCCCAGGCTACACGGCCACCAAACCTTAGTTCGAATTCCAACTCCAACTCCGCTGGGGGGCCGGCTCTGCAAGTCAGCGTTTTGGACCAAGACTTCCAGCGAATGCAGATGTCGCCCAGTCCTCCACCGGCGTACTCCAGTATTCAAGGCAGCGGAAGCTCTTCAGCATACCCTAATGAGAAGCAGCGGCCGAGTCAGTCCAGCTCGAGCTCTGCCGCAGCCCCGGTGGCTCAAACAGTTTCCGCGCCAAAGAAAACGAGTGAGATCGCAGCTGGACTGGCATCTCCAGCTTTGCAGCACCCTGGCCATCCGGCATTTGCGAATGACCCAAGACAGGAGAGCCAACCCAACGGTCAGCAGCCTCAAATTGTTACTCACACCCCATCACCATTCCAAGGTGGCCAGGGACCGAGTTCACCGCCACCATTACCCGAGGGCTGGATTGCCCATCTTGATCAAAACTCAGGTCAATATTACTATATCCACCTAGCTTCCCAAGCCACGCAGTGGGAATTCCCCAAGGGGCCAAACCCCATTCATCATGACATAGCCCCCCTATCCCCTACCGCTTCGACATATGGCAATCCCCTGGGATCCCCAATGTTCGGCAAGCAAAGCGCCATGGCTTCCCCCATGTTCCCTCCGCAAACGCCTGGCTATGCCGAGAGTATCATGAGTGTCGCAACAGCGACACCCACCACAGCTGGCTTCTCAGGCCCGCCTCCTGGACCTGGTGTGGATATGTACAAGGTACAGCCCACCAACGGCGTCTACTTTGGACCGTATCTCAGATATGTGAATATGGATATCGAGCAGGGGCACTGGCTCGGCAGTATTTTGATAGTGACGGATGCGCAGCAGCCTCCTACCATCCATATTCATCAGAGTATGGATCTGTCGCCGAATCCTCGCCAGCTCAACGCTCATTCTATTTACACACATCAAAGATGGCAGTTCTTCAAGTACGATGTCAGTCTACCAATGGCCGAGGGCACCGAACGATGGACGTATGCTGTGACGTCGCACCTGGGATGCACTCGTTATGAGTTCGTAATCGCCGGTCGCAACGAGATAAACTGGCGCTTCGTGGCGCACTCTGGAAACGACTTCGCTGCCAGCACATCTCAGAACGAGCGCACCAAGCTCGGCGGTCTGGGCTTCATGTGGAAAGACGTGCTGCAGAAGAATGTCGACTGTGGTGGTTTTCACGTCCAGCTCGGCCTGGGTGATCAGATATATGGCGACAGGCTGTGGAAAGAAGTCCCGCTCCTGAAGCAGTGGCTGGCTATGCCCGGCAGAGATAACCGGAAGAATGCGCCGTGGACGGCCCGTCATGAGGAGGATGTGACGCATGCTTACTTTCATTTTTACACGAGCCATTTCGATCAGCCCTTTTTGCGTGAGGCATTTGCTCAGATCCCTCACGTCTGCCAAATTGATGACCATGACATGTGAGTAGAACAGCCTGGATGATTTTTATCTACGGGGTATAGACTGACCAGCTTTTAGCTTCGATGGCTACGGTTCTTACCCGGAGTATATGCAAACCTCCCAGATGTTCAAGAACATCGGGCGGATTGCGGTGGATATGTACCTTTTGTTTCAGCACCACACCACGCTAGAAATCCTTCGTAACGTCAGTCACGACTTGGACCTGTTCACGATCACCGGGCAGGGCTGGCACTTCGTCAAGTTCCTCGGACCCGCCGTGGTCGTAGTCGGCGCGGATCTGCGATCAGAAAGGACGCAGAATCGTGTTCTCGCAGGCCCTACATATCAAGGGTTATTCCCGAAGGTGGCTATGCTGCCGCCGAGCGTACAGCACTGCATCTGGATGCTGTCGGTACCACTGATCTACCCGCGGTTGGACACGGTAGAGACCTTAGCCAACACGTTCGCGACGGGCAAGAAAGCCGTCAACACGACCTACAACGTGCTAGGCAAGGTGACGAGCTCGGTGGCGGGCATCGTGGGTGGCAAAGACGTGGTGGCGCAAGGCTTCAACCAGGTCAAGAAGGCCGTCGGCAAGTCGGGTCTGATGGGCAACGTCGTCAACCAGTTCGGCGACCTCGATATCGGCGAGATCCTCAAGGACATGTGGACGCACGACACCAAGGACCTCGAACGTACTTATCTGATTCGTACGCTGCAGGGCATTGCCCACCAGAAGGGCATTCGCATGACTTTCTTGTCCGGAGGTGAGTTGCATCTTTGATCATAATCTAAGTGACCTACTAATACTTGTAATAGACGTCAATGCCGCAGGCGCAGGGCTAGTCCACGACCCGTCGCACCCGAGCGACCACAAGACCATGTACCAGGTGATCACGTCGCCGATCGTGGCGGCGCCCGCGGCGCACTACATCCTCAAGATGCTGCACAACAACAAGGCGCACTATGTGCCGGCCAACGGGCAGCGGTCGTCGGCGGCGCTGTCGTCGGGCGGCGATGCGGCCGCCATCAGCGACACCAAGGAGGACATGATGGAGATATTCCACACGGACGCGAGCGGGCACCCGCGCGAGCTCAAGAAGCTCATGGGCCGCCGCAACTACGTGACCGTCGTCGCGTACGACCCCGAGGCCATCCCCGGCACGCAGTACGCGGCCAACGCAACTACGCAGGGTTTGAGCAGGCTGAGCCTGGCTATTGATTTTGTGGTCCAGGGCGACGGCGCGTTCACGACGCCTACGAAGTACGGGCCGGTTATCGTGCCGCATCTCGAGTTTGGGCGGTAAGACTTGTTGGGTTGGTGGTCGAGGTGAGAGGTCGCTGCTGGGTTCTTCGGAGATGCGAGGGGCATACATCAGGTATTATTTTTCATCGGGGGTTGGCTGCTGTTCTTCTGCTGCAGAGAATGAAATGAGACGAGATGAGATGAGATCTATATGAATTCTGACGACGAATATGCTCTACATATGGGGGTATTGTGGTACTGTTGGGGATTCAGCGTGGAGTGTAGTAAAGCGAACGAGCGAGCAAGCCTGTTGAGCCAGATATCTAGGTATATATCTTCTGAATATGTGCGCCTGAATGATGGAATGATGTTATAAAAGCGAATGGGTCTCAATAAGAGTCAAGCGATCCGATTTGAGGAGTCTGTGGTGTTCAGTCATAGTCAAAAGTTGTTCGTAATCGTGATGTATTCCGAAACGGTGGAAACACCGTATCTCATCTAGACTTAGCTGCACACTTGATATCCGCTTTCTGGAAGCCCTCAAGAGACATGTTCTACCTCTAGATTTTTAGTGTAATCCACTCAGAGTGCCTTCTGTATCCTCTCGTTCTTCATGTGTCATTCTTCATCACTTCCCTTTTCCCTTTGATATCCACCGAAACTCCTCGCCACAGCAACCCCGGATCCCAATCCCAACCCCGGAAATTTCGCAACTCGGGTCGGTCTAGATACCCCACTCCTCCTTCAGCTGCCGGAGGGTGTCGTCGGGCCCGTCGACCGAGTGGCCCTTGGTGCGCGGGTCGCTGTAGATCTCGTAGTCGTTGCCGCCGGGCATGGTCTTGTCGCCGTAGAAGTGCACCGTCGTGTAGCTGACGCCGCCCGGCTTGCGCGCCTCGTCCTCCAGGTGCTTGAGGCAGTACGTTTTGTCCCAGCCCGTCGGGAACACGTCGAAGGAGATGGCGCCGCCGATGGAGAAGCTGTTGTGGGGGTAATTAGCTGGGTTTCCTGTTGTTGTGCCTGATGTGGGAGTGGGAGGGCGTTTAACATTATGTGTAGGGATTTTGGACAGGTAGAGGGTATAGGGGTATGAGACATACGTCAGACCCAGGTGGCCAAACTTCTCCTTCAGCTTCGCAACCATGGTCTCGCGGACCTTGTGCACATTGTCATACTCATTGAAGTCGAGGCGCTCCTGGTTCGTGGCATTGCGGCCGAGGGGCGAAACATTGACCATGCCGTTGCGGAACTCGACAAAGGTGCCGCGCTTGATCGGGGTGTCGAGGTCGGCGATGTAGTGCAGGCACCAGCTGACGAGCTCCTTGTAGCGGTCCTCGCCGATCCACTTGATGAAGCTGTTGCTCGGCAGCGCGGCGCCCATCTTGAAGGCCGTCAGGCCGTTCTCCGAGAAGCAGAAGTCGAACATGCTCGTCACGGGCCGGTCGGCCGTGCCCAGCTGCTCCTGCTGCTTCGACAGGTCCGACCCGCCCACGTACCCGATCGCCACCTTCTGCCGTAGTGCTTGTAGTGCCTGCAGCATCTCGGGCGTCGCGGCGCGGCGCGCCTTCGTTAATGTCTCGTCCACGTCAAACAGCACGATGGTGTTCTTGATCGGGCGCGCCTCGAGCGGCGGGTAGCTGGGGAGTTCGAGGGCCATGGTTGCGGTTCAGGGGGATTCGTGTGGTGGTATATTTGCTCTGACTGCGAGTCGATCGAGGTGATGTTGTCAAAGAATGGTATCGTCTGGGTTATTGTCGCTCGCTTGCTACAAAAGAGTTTGGTTGGGTCGTTGTTGGTGGTGGTTACAAAAGATGTTTACCGGTTCACGTCGCCTTCACACGCCACCTTTTCCGGAACACTGGACCTCAACTCAATTGATGCCCCTCCATTTCCAATTGTGACACTTGGAAATGGCGGGGCACAATACGAGGCGGTCAGGGAACAGGGGTTGTTGGACTAGAGGCAGATCACGAGAGGTCAGCCAATGGGAACGTAGTGCTTATCCCCGCTCAACCCCCCTAAGCCTCTGGGCCATTGCCCCCTTTTCTGCCGCGTCGGACTTCCTCTCTTAGACCCAGCGTCAGGGTAACTATTCATGGACCTGGATCTCGGAGCTTAGGTACCCAGAAGAACACCATGTACAGATCTCAAGCTTCTCCGTCGATTGCCTTTCGAGAATGTAAGCATTTCATAAAACGGGTCTGAAGAATTCTTAGGTTCGTCGTACCGCCATAAAGCCATACCAGTCCTTCCTACATGTTACCGACTTTGCAGTGACGAGTTCATTCATTGCAGACAACACATCACTCGGTGATGACAGCACCGACAGACTTCAGAATGGGCAATGCCAAGGAGTACACTCGGCCCTCATAGGTCTCTGTACGCACCATGCTAGAAGGAATCCAGATCACACGTAGAGATTTGGAAACAATGGCATAAGCAGATAGGAAGAAGCAGCTCCGGCTTAATGTTCTACCTTCAATGCTTATTCCGGTGTGCTTATTCCGAATTTCTGATTTGATGAATATGTCGTTGTTTGCTGGAAGGGTCGTGCGTGTACAGCCTGAGCGATTCACTTTGATTTAACTATCAGTAAGTACTTACAACTACTATAACAAGCTGCTAATGTGTGGACGGCCCCTTTTATGCTACGGGAAAGGCAAAACAGCAACTCCCCTCATCCGATCCGCACTTCTTGCCCGAATCCCGAAAACCACATTGTCCTTGCTCAAATCAACGGTCGCTTCATTGACCAAGCCAACATCAATGACATCTGTCCAAAATGGCGCGGCCGTAGTCCTCCAGACCACCTCGTAAGCCTCCACGCCTTCCTCCCCAGCAAGGGGCGGATCCCAGTAGAACGTGCTCTTGTTACTCAACGCCGTCGTGTTGACCTGCACATTCGTCGGCATGCCCGGCGAGTTCGCGAGACTCCACAGCGCAGCGCCGTTGACCCTGCCCACGCGCGCAATGAACTCGTAGTCACAGAACTCCGGAAGGTCGCCGTACTGCATCCCGTCTTCGACCCTGACGTCCTGGTGCTGGTGGGCAAAGTCCTCGTTCGGCTCCGTGAACCTCGCCGCCGGGTACCCGGCCTCGAGGAACGGCCGGTGGTCGCCGCCGCGGAGGTAGCGATCCAGGCGGTAGATGACCGAGACGTTCATCTGCGTCGCCGCGTTCTCGCCGACCTCCTTGACGAAGCGCGCTAGGTTGCGCGCCGGCGTGTCGTTCTCGCCTCCGATGGTGAGGCGGGTCTCCCGCGTGGCGCTGTTCTCGACTGTGATCGGCGGCAGGCCTTGGCCGAAGAGGCGGATCACGTAGGGGTCGACGGTGCCGTCGTCTGCCTTTGGCGAGCCTACGATGTCGTTGGTGAACATCCCTTCTACCTTTAGGTTGGGTCAGTCTTCATGTTCCAGAACTCTAACTCGCACACCAGATTCAAAATGGGATAAGTGCGAAGCAGTGATATGAGAGTTGTCACCTACATTGACGCGTGGAGTAGCGTTCGCATACGTCTGCGCCAGGAACTCGGCACCGTAGAGCCCCTGCTCCTCGCCCGCCACGGTCACGAACGCGATGCTCGCCTTCGGAAGCGGGTAGTCGGGCTGCGACATGATCCTCGCCAGCTCCAGCGAGATGGCAACCCCCGAAGCGTCGTCGTCGGCTCCCGGTGCGTCACCCTCGTAGTCCATTATGTCCGTGTTCCTTGAATCGTAGTGTCCCGAAACAACGTACAGCCGGTTCTCGTCGGTGCCCCGGAGCGTCGCCACGACGTCGCTGATGAGCGTGGGGAACGTGATGCGGCTGCCATCTGGCTGCTGCACGTAGCCCACCGTTTCTACCGTCAGCCGGCCGTCGCTGGCGTCGGCGTACTTCTGGAACTCGGCGTGGATCCAGTTGCGCGCAGCCCCTATCCCTCGTGTGGTCGAGTTCTGCGTTGACAACGTGTGGCGAGTCTGAAAAGTAACCAGCTTGAGGATCGTGGCTTCGATCTTGGCGGGATCGACTTGCACAAGCATCGAGGCTAGGTCTTCCGAGGGCTCCTGGGGAAGGTTGGCTGCGCCGATGGTGTTTGGCGGCCAGCTGGTAGCGGGACATGCAAAGATCGCTGGTGTCACTGCATCGCGTTTGTGGAGTACGCTGGCTGGGTTCCTTGTTATAAACAGGACGGCTGCAGCCAGGGCCGCGTGGGCGACTATGAGCTGGAACCTCATGGCTACGGTGGGCAAAGTTGACTAGAAATGGTCATAGACGGACGGCAGTCCATCGAGTCCTTTATATACCTGATCTCAGGCACAAGGAACCACCGAGATCGCCGGCCCACCCGGCAGATTGGCCACGCTTTCGGTAATCGCTCCCCTCATCCCCTGGTCTTAATGACACCAATCATGAAATGACGACGGGGAGACGGAGATCTGGAGATAGACCAGAGGAGATGCTGCGGAAATGTCGGGGTGTCGAGGTCGTCATTATACATGAGTTGCTGCTGCTTGGCTGATACTACTCTGCATTCGGAAGCTGGATGTGAGTTCGGGAGGGGTTGTCGACAGGGCACATCAGTATATCGGGCTGGGCCGGCTCAGAGTTACATTGTAACTATTCCGATTGCCAAGTTCATTTCGAGAGGATACCTAACAGGAAATACGGAGAGGGTGGAAACCTTTAATAAGAGTCGTATAGTCGTAGAGGATGTTCACGACAAAGGAATACTAAACCTGTCTTGTGACCACGGAATTTCAAAACATATCTACACGAAGCTCATTATCGTAAGGGAATAGGGATCATCAATAGAGACGTTATCTTACATGTCAAGAATTAGTCTAATATATCTCCTAAGTCTGGAGTACTACGTCAACCAATCCGCGTTTGCACCCACCTACGTATGAGATCCGGCATCCTGAATTACCAGGCCTCAAGCCTACTCGCGATGTCTTCCTCCGCCCTATTAGGGTCTGCCAGAAAAGCTCCGCGCTCATCAGTCCACTCCATAAGTTCTTCCCTAATATGATTTCTCTCTTGTAGCAGCTGTCGCTCCTCCTCTTCTAGCAGCTGAACTCGTGCCCCCAGATCAAGTGATTCCGTGTCTATCATCATAATATCCGGTGTCTCTGGAGGGCATCTCGGACACGTGATATTCACAAGAGCGTGGCGGATCTGCGCTATTTCCTCGGTTTGCTCGTCAGCTACTGTAGGTCCATAGATCTCGAGCGCGGCGATGTGGTTCCCACCGCAGAAGATGCTTGCACGGCACACCGGACAGGTGGGATTGCGTGGGTCGGTGCCTCGGATCAGCCAGTCGTATATACAAACAGCACCGAACAGGTGTCCGCACCGGGGCAAGACTGCGTACAACTCGTGCGTGGCTCTGCTGTATGTGTCGAAGCGGCTGTTGAGGATTGCGAGGTCCTTATGCTGACAAATGTAGCAGGGTATTGCGAGTCTTGTGGTGCCTGGGTTTATTAGACGTGTGTGGTCGTCAAAGTGCTCCAGGATTTGTGGGAAGTTACAGGTGTCTACCGTGACCTCGGAAACTCCACTTGAAGTTTGGTTCTGCTGTTGAGCCATCGTGCTTGATCTTAATTACCCTTGACAAAGTTATGTGACTACTTGTGTTGGTCTGCAGTCCAAACTGTAAGTCCTCGGGGCCCCATCGTTCGAAGTGGACTTTAAGTGACTCCTTGCCCACCATCCTATTGATTCAAACAGAGCTGTTGTTCAGATAGAAACCCTTACATCAATTGAACACCTCGTGGAATAATATAGAAGACAAGGGGCTTGTGTCCCGTTCGAAAAGCGCCTTCTCTCAAAGGACAAGGAGTAAGTCTCACATGAAAGACCACCGAGCACAGTCAAAACTTGCAAAGAACAATCCCCTTGTTATCTATAGGTGTGGCCGTAAACGAGACGGGTATAGCTAATCATCATGTGGCTTTGTTCAAGGAGTATCTAATAAGGTGCCAGAAAGCAATTCCACACTAGCGGGTTCTGTACGGCTACACAGTTGGCCATATAGAGTGTATGTGCAAGGTTATGCCCCTAAGAGAGACAATCCCAAGTTGAACTCTGCACTGGGCTTCCAACGTCCCTAGCCTTCTAGACTCGCGTTCCAGCGGATCGAGAGATGGCGTCACAAGCCCTCGCTAACGCCATGCTTTCTTCAAGCTGGTGGTTACGATGACGAAGGCTTCCAGAGCAGATGTTCGCCCAGGATCATGGGAAGACACGCGTCGCGACTTTCCATAGTGCTGATGGTTCTACAGTCAATCCTCATAAGTCTCCGTACGCGCATGATGGCAAGATTCCACATTAACGGCGGGAAATTTTGAGTACTAAAATAAGCATATAAGAACAAGCAGCGTTATTTTAATACACTATTTATAATGCTTTGTTTAGTGTGCTTATTTTAATTCAATAAGTATATCGTTTGCTAAGACGGGTGGTGTACGGAGACTTATGAGGGTTCAGTATAACCACTTGGAATCCACCTGGCATCGTGTTCACCGCCTTGATACATTTCTCCAGCGAGCTCTGCAGCTATTGCCAGCGGCAGTCTGATGACATCCCCTGCGTCTAAGGGGTCATCAGGCCACACGCGATATTGGGACCATCGATCTAGGGATCGATTCCAAGGAGAGCCTAAGGATGGCGAGGAGGAATCACGTAGCGCGTGAAAATGCTACGCCGCGTGCCATGACGCAGGTCGTCAGCTTGGGTGCGGCCGGTATCACAGGCCCACACAGCGACGCCTAATCGTACTGATAGTTGGCGGGCATCAAGATATGTATGTGCCTTGAGCATAGAGTGGGTCTAAGGCCGTCCGAACCATAGCCCCTTAACCAAGTTCACCCTATTAGACCTTCAGACTTGACCAATACGACTCTGATGGGTGTATATCTGTCTCTGGCTATCGCTCGTTGTCTTCAGGGCCTGTTTCAAAATCTCGCTCTGGCTGACTGACTTGGGATCATGTTCTCGGAAAGGAGGATTCGGAACAAGCGTCACACACCCCGGAGACTCGCTGAAGATATTGAATGACGTCTTCCCATACAATTCCTATCGACACAACAAAAGTTCTGCTGTGTTATAGGATTCGATGTGGGCCTACAGGATCATGTTTTCAGCCTTACATGCCCCTGGTGCACAATCCTGATGTAAGCAATTGGTCCATGAAACTTCCTTAGCGTGCTGTGCCGCAAGGCATAACTACCAGTCAGCCCCTTTCTAGTGTGCGGCACAAGCACGAGTTGGGTCCCTGGACATACTCTGACTAATCCATTTTACCCCAGTTAAGCGTATCCCTAATCTCTCGTATGTACTGTCGTAGAATACTGGTGAAGTGACACTTACGGCCAGTCTATAGAGTACATGGCCTTGGTCACTTCGACCGTCCTCAATGTCGCTCAAGTAATCACAAATTGCCTACTAAGTTTGTTCACTGACTATGAATGGAGCAATACTGGTAGCGGTACCTTTATAAAGCTCTTGGGTTGCTGTTATTGCTCGCTTCTTTGGTGCATTGCACTCACGCCATCCCTCAGCTCGACTCCCATAGGAGTCCAGGTGTGGACTCCAAACTCCACCATAGGTAAGGCCCATGGTGGATAGTACCGATCAGGATCTGGAGCTATTCATACAACCTTGTCGGAAGCCTATACTCACATTGCTGTGCCGACTGCTATGCTGACTGCTGTGCTGACTGCCGTGTCACAGGGAACTTCCAAGGTGATATCATCGTCGTGTAGGACTTCCCAACTTGACGTCAAGTGTACAAGCTCCAGGCGAGTGGAAAATCAATATATAAAGACACGCCAGGAGACGAGAAACAACCGAATTCATTGACCAACATCAAGCACCAAACCCTCACAAACAAACTCGGACCCTCAAAGACTCTCTTCCGAACACTGATTTCATCCAACACCATCACGAAACTGCACATACACACAGGCTTCCACCACAACCACAAAACCACCCAAAATGTTCTCAACAAAGACCGCAGCCGGCCTTCTCGCCGTCTTCTCCAGCATCCTCATCACGCCCATCCGCGCCACCCCGGCGCTGATCCCGAGAGACGCGCCCGAGGCGAATGCGACGTGTCAGTACTGGCTACCCAGCACGGCATCCGAGTACACCTACAAGGTCACACTTGACAGTACGCAGGACGGAGGGTGGTGTGGAGGAATGTGGGCCAACCTGAACAACTACAAGGGGCAGTACAACTGCGAGGTGCGCCACAACACGCAGTGCCCTGTGGACAATCCCGACGCGAACGGCAACATCCACAAGGTCCTCGAGTTCTCAGTCAACCTTGCCTGCGAGGATTACATGGTGGCCGACATCATCTATTGGACGACCAGCCCGCAGGTCTCGCCTCGCTGTCTCGAGGTCTCCCCTCCCTAGAGCACTTCGTAGGGCTTTGCGGGCTTTTGGGATGATGCTCTTGAGGAAGCAGTTGGGTCAATAGAGGGAGACATGATACTCTTGGGAAGCACACGGAGCAATGGAGGGAGACTAGAGGTCGGAGGCCTTACCTTGTCCGACTAGCGAGCAACGGTTTCAATTTCTTCTATATCTGTATTATAACAAGTTCTTTAGATCAAAGTCATTACACTGAACCCTCAGAAGCCTCCGTACACTCCGTGATCGAGGTCCTGCATGTTTACGGGTATTGCCTATCTGTAGGACAACAACCCTATAATAAGCATCCAGGATAGCTTATTAGCACATGACTGCTGATCACAGGGTACTTATCTTACTACCAATACCCTATCAGGAGAATGTCTTTCGAGGTGAGCGGGCGGAGACTTGTATGCTGGATGCGAATTGGTGGCAGCCCTTTGGGCACGGATTGAATGTGAACTACTTGGCATTTTTTACGTACCCCTATTCAAGGAGCATTGAACCGCCCATGGACCTCCCGTTTCCGTGCCCCTACAGCCGTTTGATTTACCTAGCTCATTGTAAAGCAAACTGCAGAACACCATCGAACTTCTGAAGTTCGACGCTGCGCGAGGACCGTGGCGCCTCAATTTACCAGGTGATAAGGGCTGACTTACAACTCGTCCCCCTGAACGAAGAGTCGCCGCTGGATGATATTCATGACAAGCTCGTCTCAACAGCCTCATCGTCCAAGGCTCGTCTGGACGTTGCCTCTGAATTCAGCTGCAATCCTCTCGATAGCACTCGGCTCAGGTCCCATCCTATAAATACGACATCTACCACAGACTCGGTCGTCTCCAGCACGCCATAGGCTGCACTGCGGCGACTCTGCAACAGAGGCGAAGGAACGCGGCTGCGTATCGGACAAGCTCATTCCGGGCTGGCTGCTCTTCAACCGTCTCCGCGTCGGCATCGACGAGTCCGCAGACAGCGGTCCGTCGCCTGTGGGAACAGAATGCATCCATGACCTGGCGCCAGCTGTAGAAACATCTATAAGTTCACTCCCGCAGTAAAAGTCCGGCAAATATTGCGAGACAAGATCCGTGCTCATTGCCTTCTCATTAGCTCTCAGCACTGCCGCCATATTCAGTACTTCCAAAACCCTCCGTCACCCCAGCTCGAATAAGGACCGCCCCATCGTGACCAGATATGAAAGATCCGCCGGCATCGTGCTCCCTCCCGCTCGAGGAATCACGACATACGAAAGGTGGTCGAGTCAAAGCAAGTCGATGAGGGGAGAACGAGGCATCAGTCTACGATAGCCTTTGGCCATTCATAAGGTTTCGCCTCGCCGGGCAAGGGACCGGAACAACAAGGCATCGGCATTTAGATAGATCGAGTCAGTCGCAGTCCGGACCACCCCAGCCGGGCGGCTCTGCAAACTGACATGTCAGTCTCGTCCACAATTCCTCTTCCTTCTCCTCCACTGGGGAACCCCGATCGTAGACATGGCCACCCAGCGCTTCTACCGCGTGCAGAGCGGCTGGTCCTTCACATGCTACAGTGAGGAACACGAGTTCCAGGCCCGTGGGCACTATTGCGTACGCGAAACCATAAATCTTTAAATCACCCGATGAAGCCATGAATGGGGACACTCCCTTGCTGTATTATCTATTAAGAGGAATCACTGACCCCTGTCCTCTACAGATGGACTACTCGCACTGGCTCAACAGGGGCAAGTTCGAGCGTCACCTAGACTGGGACGACCGGTCCCGCGAGCCCTCGCCCTTCATCTCCGTATACGACAGCTGGCGTGAGTACCTTATACATCTCAGTCACACGCAACACTCCAGATATGAAAGCCACCTGCGCAACGGACTGATAAAGGACACCGCCGAACAGAGGAGGCACAGACCAGAGCCCGGGTGCTGACGCAGCGGCGGCACCCCGACGTCTTCATCGCCGAGATCCTCCTGTCCTCGCCGCAGGAGAAGATATTGGATGTCGGGTTCAGTGATCTCACGGTCCATCTGCCCACGTTGCAGCAGGTCCGCGACGACACAGGCGGGCCGGCGACGACCTTCGTCTCGATTTCTGCGGTGAGGAAATACTTGAGGGTCGGCCATACGGGTGATACTCGCGCGTCGGAGTGGTTCGCCTTGGACTCGGTACCTAATGATTTGATCGTTAAGAAATGGCAAAGGGGAGCGCAGTGAGTTCTGTGCTGGAGATGAGATCGGCTGATATTGTGGAAGGGCTGAATGTTCCGGGTGGCTTATCGCCGTATGGCAATGTCGAGGAATGCGGAGGCGGTTGTAGGGAATAAAGTGTGAGTAGGTCCAATCGAATGCTATGAGCTTGCTTTCGTCGAGCCTGGTTCAACCTGTATTGCCCACGACCATGCCCACAGAGCACTTACCGGTACACTCAGCCCCCATAAGCCTTTACACGCGCATGTTAGCAAGATTTTACATTACCAGTAAGATAGTCAGAAATAGTAGAACAAGCATACAAAAATAAGCAGCTTTAATTAGATCAATCCTACTAGGTGTATATTGAATAAAATCTATAAGTGCATATTAATTTCTAATATACCTGTAGCCACTTGCTACGGCTATCTATTTTAACTATTATATTTACAGCGCTTATTTTATTATAATAATAAGACATTCGTCGGATTTTCCTTTTATCCGGCTAATACTTACACGTCGATAACAATAAATATAAATTTATTATAAGGATATATTTATCGTGTAATTAATGTTATATATAGTTTATTAAAGCGAATTAAACAGTGTTATTCCCGTATTTATTACAATTTATTTAAGTATATTACGTCGATTTACATATTAAAATAAAATGCGACCGGCATAACCGGTATAACGACTTAAGGCTTTATCTTGCTATAATTATAAGGCTTTTCCGCTAGAATATAAGGATATTAACGTTATGATTGTAAAGTATTTTTACGATTATTCCATTAATATTATAATGTTTAATATAAAATAAGGGAAAATTTAGATAGTTATATTTATATTATTTTTTGTAGTTATTCTTCATTAAAGCAGTTAATTCAAGCGTTTATTTTGTCGACTTAATTGTTTTACTCAAAGTATTTATTTATCTTTTACCCGGTATATTATTATTTATTTGTGAGATTCTAGAAGGGTCACAAGCCTTGGGGGTGTGAGCAGTCGCTGCAAACGTTGTTGTCATTCTCAAGTATGCTTGGCAGGGCTAATCTACAGCTAAATACTATACTGCACCATGCCAGGGTGGATCCACTGTTCCCTTGACAGCCCCCTAGTGGGTACTGCACCTAAGGGCACCATATCTGGGATCCAACATCTGACATTATTTAATATATATACTTTAATGTTACAAACCAACAGACAGTGCGGCCTGACAACAGGCCCAGAGGAGACGATTGGAAACAGGTTGACTAGTGAGTGGGGTGCCGACCAGTGGAGAAATCGGAGCAACGGTACACAGATCACGTGGCCAGCAGAACCTGGGTCACGTGACTAAGAATTTGGATCACTGGATCCCCATGGTGAGCCAGTGAACAGGATCACCTTGGATCACCGGTGATCCAGGGTGAGCCACCTAATCAGTGAAGGAGAGATTGGATATATAAGGATGGATATTTCCTAGCTAGACAGATAGACAGTCTCTACCTCAGTGATCAACCTAAGCATCTTAGCCAACCCTAAGGTGGGAGAAATCTCCTGACGACTCGACTATTCAGTGATCCCCCGGATCAGACCAAGCTCCAGTATCTGAGTGTCTTCTAGTTGACAGAAGCCTCTATTGTCCTTTGTGTTGACTTACCTCAGAACATAAACCCTATAGAACCCTTTAGCCTTATAGGTTAGACGACTTGTCACATTTTGATCACTCTTGTTCAGTTAGTACTCATAACGACTGCTGAGAAATATCGACTCGGCAATGGCACCTCAAACCCCCGCAGGAAGCACGACAAGTGGGCCGACCACGTCGCCCCAGGACCTGGTCCGCATGGTACAACAACTCCAGACCAGGATCCAGCAACTTGAAAGCAGCAACCAGCAACTTGAAGCACAAGTCATGGCAGCCCCAGTGACAGGAAACAGTGGGTACAAGTTACCCCCTCCAGCTTCTTACAATGGGAAGGATGGCAACGTCCAAGGCTTCCTTACCCAGGCCAAGGCCTACCTCAGGTTCTACATACGCCAGATCAATACAGAACCAGACAAGGTGCTCTGCATGGCAGGATTCCTCAAGGGCGATGCCCTGGAATGATTCGAACCAACCATGAGGAATTACCTTGACAAAGATGAGGACAAACAAGAAGACAATACCAACAGAGTCTTCCAGAATTACTGCCATTTTGAAAGAAAACTCAGGGCAACCTTTAGAAACCCTGACGAAGCCAGGTCAGCAGAACGACGACTCATGACACTGCGACAGCGAGGATCAGCATCTAAGTACGCAGTAGAATTCAAGCAGGTCGCATTTCGAACCGACTGGACCGACGAAGATGCTCTCATGGCACAGTTCTATACCGGACTCAGAGACGATATCAAGGACAAAGTGTCCAAAACCGAGCGACCTGACGAACTAGATGACTACGTTATACAAATGATCAAAATTAATAACAGACTCTATGAGCGACAGGCAGAGAAATAAGGCTCAGGAGTCAGAACCTTTATCAAACCAAACATAAGAAAGCGACGATACAATAATCAAAGCTATATTCCCAAGGTACCCAGTACCGCAACAAGATACCATTCAGGACCCATGGACCTCGACGCCACCAAACACGACAAGAAGGACGTCAAGTGTTACAACTATGGGAAGAACGGTCACTACAAAGGGGAGTACTGTTCTCCACAAAAGAACAACAACCAGTGGCAAAAGGTACCAGAACCCCAGCGGCAGACTGCCGCCACAACACGCTCGGGATACAACAACGAGCGGGAGGTCAGCATGATGGCCAGGGCCAGCGCTTCCTAAGAACCTCGCATTCCAGAAAAGGAATGCAATGCTATCATAATTAGGAAGGGAAACCGTGCCCTGCACACCCTAATTCAGCCAAGTCACAGGAAGAAATTTATAAGGGATGCTATTCTTACACCTGTGTCATATGCGAACTGCACCCTCATGGGTGGCCAGGTAGTGAGGACAAAAAATCAGACAGGGACGTTATGACTTACGACGACAGCGGACGACCAGAATACCCTGAACCCCTTGCCCCAGACAACTACAGCCGATTTAAGGACGATATTCGAATCGTGACACAAGGCAGGTAACGGCCAGAGGTTCATGTCACCACTACGGCCAGCACGGACAGTGCCACCACACAGGAGTTCGACGCACAGCATTTCCAAGAGCTGAACCTTGAGCTGTTCGAACAGATGACAGCACAAGGGCAAAGCGAAAAACTTCAGGAGAAAAAAGAACTCCAGACCAACAGATGGATTGCAGTTCCAGAGCGAAGAATAGAAGAGGACAAGGAAGTGATCGACTCTATCCAGACCCACATGAACAAACCATCAAAGGTCAATACACAAAGGGAAGACACACGTCTGATACCAAAAGGACTAGGACATGAAGAGTTGTCCTAGATTTTCTGTATCTTCAACAACTGTGGACTACACCTAGGGGAGAAACTACACCATCAGTGGTTCCCAACGAGGACTGGACAACACTTATCATCAGACCGTATCTGGAACATGAGACTCAAAGAGTCGTTACCACGCATAGGGAAACCTACACGATCTTATGACCCGATCTGGTATATCCCAGAGAATGTCTGCAAGACCAGGAGTGGAACCAGTGTCTTAAAGATGAATGTCTTATCTATGCTACAAGGAAAATCAAGGCATAAAAACAAGTCAAACAAGCCTACTAAGGAAGGCAGACAAGGGTCCTACTTCCAGTAGGGGGAAATAATCAACCCCAGAAGAGGACCAGACAATCGACACCAGGACCCAAGAATTGACAATTACCGGATAACAACACATCAGTCAGTCCTAAGACTCGCCAAAAACAAGTACAAGCCCATCCAAAAAATAGAAGAGGCCAGCAATAACGGGACAACCGCTCGGCCTGAATGATAGGTCCCTGTACGGAATCAATACATGACTAGACGAACACCTCAACATCGGAATCATATACAGCGGACACAGGATCCGAGCGATGATTGATACAGGAGCACAAAGGAGCTACATCTCACCACGAATCGTCAACAAGCTCCAAATACCATGGAAATAGAAAGACACCCCATACCGACTCAGGACCGTTAATAGAAGTTTAGCAACGTACGAACAAGAAAACATTGAGAGAGAAACTGCAGCACTCTCACTCAAAATCCAAGGACACGCTGAGGAACTTACGCTCGACATCGCGGACATCTCAGAAAAGGAGATTATTTTGGGGATACCCTGGTTGCGGGTGAGCAATCCCAGAGTCAATTGGAGAACTGGTCATCTCCAGTGGGATACACCAGGAAGAGACTTAGCCTCTGCGCAGCGCTTAGAGAAGCCCGCAAGCAAGCCTGAAAAGACACTTAGGATCTTTGTGGTGACCAAGGAGTCCAAGCCGATACACAAGGCTCGAGTACCAGAGGAGTACCAGCAGTACGGCGCCCTGTTTAGCGGAAAACACGACACAGAAACAGGTTTACCAGAGCACAGCAGATAGGATCACAGCATACCGATACAGGAAGGACAGCATCCGAGGTTCTTCCTGATATACGGACTCAACGACACGCAGCGGAAGGAACTGCAAGAGTACATTGACAAGAACCTGGCAAGAGATTACATCAGACCATCAACATCACCAGCTGGATACCTAATACTATTCGTTCCCAAGAAGAACGGGAAGTTACGGCTATGCGTTGACTACCGACAGCTGAACAGCATCACAACGAAAAATTGATACCCCCTACCACTGATACGAGAATTACGGGATCGACTACAGAAGCTCAGATGGTTCACAGCACTGGACCTACCTGACGCCTACAACCTCATCCGAATCGTCAAAGGAGAAGAGTGGAAGACAGCATTCAGAACATGCTACGGTCACTATGAATACTTGGTTATGCCATTCGGGCTAACCAATGCACCAGCAAGTTTTCAGTTGTTGTCAAACTTGGAATTCTAGCCCCACAACATTTTGGAGCTCTACCAAAGCGCTCTGCCACTGACCTGGTAGCTGCACTCATACACGATATTGAGCAGGCCCTTGACCAAGGCCTCGTTGCAACGGTAGTCACATCAGATGTGAAAGGGGCCTTTGATGCTGCCCTAATGGGACGGCTGGTGGTTCGCATGAGAGAACAGGGCTGGCCAGGCTTTCTCATAAGATGGGTCCAGTCGTTCATGTCCGAGCGGTCCGCAAGAGTTCGGTTTGAAGGTACTGTGACCGATATAAAAGCTCTCACTTGTGGGCTCCCACAAGGCTCACCAGTCTCTCCAATCCTCTACATGCTGTATACAGAGCCAATCTGTGCCCGACTTGGCATGAAAAGAAGACGCTTTGGATATGCAGATAACCTAGCAACACTCTGCATTGGAAAAAACCTTAAAGAAACAGCTACAGAGGCTTCTAAAAACCTTTATTTACTCAATCAATGGGGACATAATAATGCTATTGAATTTGATCCCGACAAAACCGAGATCATGCACTTCTCACGGAAAAAGAACTCAGACAATCCCTCAGTTTGCCACGGAACAATGAACAAAATAGCTAAGCATTCCATGCGATGGCTAGGTGTCCTTCTGGATAGGAAACTAAACTTTAAAGACCATGTTTCTCACTGGGCCAAGAAAGCTAGTAGGGTAGCAAATCACCTTCGAGGACTATGCAACACAGTCAAAGGACTTCCAGTAAAGTCAACCAAGAGGGCTGTGAAAGCTTGTGTTATTCCTATTCTCACACATGGCCTGGAGGCCTGGTACCCAGGAATCGAGAAAGCTGGGAGCTTAGGTGAGACATCAGCATGTCGCATTAAGGGGCTTCTTGGAACAATAGATGCCGTACTACGAACGGCGATCAGGGCTATCTTGCCAGTCTGGAAAACACACCCTGGACATATCTTACACTTTGAATCGCAGATTCCTCCAGCAGGAGTTCTTGCAGAGTCAATAAGACGACGTCACGGCCTCCGACTAGGACGAATAGATCAGAGACACCCTCTGGTTGGCAGGCTCCAAATACAAGCTCGCAAGGATCCAACAAGGCTACAAAGGAGCTTCCAGCTAGTCCCTGACTTCCAGAGACCAATACTTACCAGGCCATCATGGAAGAAGCGCCCAATCCGCAAAGACAAAGACAAAGAAACAGAGCTCTTCAAGCAATGGTTACAAGAGAGAAACGTGAACACTGACCTTGTCATCTACTCAGATGGATCATAGTTGGATGACCAAGGCACAATCCGCACTGGATGGGGTTATACCATCAGGAAAGGCGGCACTACACAAGAAGTATACTGGGGAAGAGGCAGACTTCTACAAGCAGAAGTAGTAGATGCTGAAGTCCATGGTGCTCTCCAAGGTCTTGCAGCAGCCAGGGCAATTGGACACGGAAAATAGCTATATGTCTGCCTGGACAACACGTCAGTGGTAGATGGGCTCAATGGGACTCCACCCGAGACATCACAAAACATTTTTCTACGATTTCAAGAACTTGCCACAACACACACTCCTGGAGTGACCGTCAAATGGATTCCTGGACACAGAGATATTGATGGCAACGAAGCTGCCGACACACTAGCAAAAGAGGGTGCCATGCTAGAAACAGACACAATAAATCTTCCTACAATCTCTTGGGTCAAGAGAGATCTCAAAAAACAGGGCAAGAAAGAGTTCAACCAATGGTGGAAAGACCAATCAGAATCTAGGTATCAAGAAGTATACTCACATGCAGTAACTGAAAGAGACCTTATATCTTTTAAGAGGAGTACTTTACACAGACTTCTAGCGGCCAGATCTGGACATGGCGACTTTGCCAGATACCATGAACGCTTTGGGCACACAGACTTAAATGATCACTGCAGCTGTGGTGAAAAAAAAAACACCACAACACATTTTCTTTTGTAAGAGGCTGGGGAAAAATCGGCTACTGCCTAGGCATTCGCCTAGGACAGCTTGTTTACAATACTTAGGGGAGAGGAGCACAGAATGGGCAAAATTCGTGGAGAAGAGCAAGTTCTTTTCAACAATCTGCCCCCGATAGATAGCCTTCCTTAAAGGACCAGATGGATGACCCCAAGGTCATACCACCGCAACAACGGGGATGGGCCCGTGAGCGGGACTGACTGTACTTATTATCTTGAGACCTCCACAACCCTGCGATGCAGAGGCTCTGGGAGGCGTGGTTTGCACTACTGAGGAGCTACCCCCACGTTAAATACAAAACAAACAAAACAAAACAAACAAAACAGCAAGTTTTCAGACCATGATCACACACGTTCTACGCGAATTTGTCGACAAATTTGTGATAGTATACCTGGGCGATATCCTGATCTACTCACGGACAATAGACGAACATTGGAAGCACGTAAATCTAGTACTAGCAGCCCTCCAAGCCGCCAAGTTACTAATCAACACCAAGAAAAGCGACTTCCATACGCAACGAGTTGATTTCCTAGGATTCACCATCACCCCAGGAGAAGTGCGGATCCAAGAGTCAAAGATTTCAGCAGTCAGGGACTGGCCAGTACCAAACAGTGTCGTAGACGTACGAGCATTCGTAGGTTTTACGAATTATGTTCGACCTCTCATCACGAACTTTGGGAAACACGCCGAGCCCCTAACGGACCTGACAAAGAATGACAGAAATTCGAATGGACAGCCAAAAAACAACAGGCTTTTGATACCATTTAAGAACTTATCCTCAGTGACCCAGTCACAAGACTACCAGACCCTGAGAAGGACTTTGAAGTCGAAATAGACACATCTGACTACGCACTTAAAGGACAGCTTAGCCAACGCGACGAGAATGGCAAGCTACACCCCGTAGCATTCTTTTTAAAGAAGCTACATGGGCCAGAGTTGAACTACCAGATCCACGACAAGGAACTAATGGCAGTTATTAAAGCATTCAAGGAATAGAAACCATACCTTAGTGATACAGAGAGGCCAGTAAAGGTCTATTCAGGTCATAAGAACCTGACACACTTTATAATAACCAAGGAGTTAAACAAACGGCAAACACGATGGGCAGAGTTCCTATCAGAGTTCAACTTCTAGATCATCTATATCAAAGGAACAGAGAATACAAGGGCAGACATCCTTAGTAGACGAAGCAACCACGATCAGAAGGTACCAAAGGAAGTACGGGCACTGCTAAAGGAGGATGAACACGGAAACCTCACAGTCAATGCAACACACCACATCGAGATCCAAGACGAGCGGACAGCCACGTTTAAGGACGCAACAACCACAAACGGAAAGATCGAGATTCCGGAGCAACACAGGAAGGAATTTGTACGACAATTCCATGAACACCCGACTCACGGACACCAAGGCATCTTCAAGACGAAGGAACGCCTGAGCCGACAATATCAATTCCTGACGATATAGCCTCCCACAGGAGAGGATTCCTTGGCTCCCTTGCTCCGTTTGGCCTCGGCGAGATACTCGGCGTGCGCTGACGCCCGTTCTTCCTCTCGCTCGGTTTCCTTGGCTTTCCGGGACCGTGCCTCTTTGGCCGCATGACCTTTGGCCGCTTTATCTACAGCAGCTTGGTCCCAGCCCAGGTAAATGGTCTGAGTGTCCCCAAACCCAGTGCTGTGACGCAGACCATACACCTTGGTGGCAGCTTCAAGCACCTGACTAGCACGGTACTGGCTATGACGCGGCAGAGGGAAACCAACAGGCGACTTTGTCTTTGTCGTATCCGGCTTCCCGGAGGCATCCAGGAAATACCTTTGCATGATCCACTCGGGGTAGTTGGCCATCTCGTCAGGGGTGAGCTGGTCCAGCCATTCCATATGCATTTGCTCACGCAGACGACTAATATGATCAGGGACTTTGTCGCACTTGTATCTCGTCAGCCAGTCATTTGTACGCGGGAAGCCATGCGACGGGTTGTCACCTTGCCTGCCGCCAGCAACTTCTTGAAGAGTGCAGTTCCGCTGCCCCAGAACTTGTCTTCGTCGTAATCAACATCGTAATGCTTTAGCCGGCCACGTATAAAGTCGGCATTCTCTCTCAGGCAGTCCTTTGCCCCGGGCGTCATTGTAGGCAGAAACATGCTGCGTAGATATCCAGCTTGGACAATTTCGACTCCCCAGGGATCGGCGTAGAAGCGGCCATATGCCGATCTGAAGCCGTCCCGGCGGATGGCGTTGTCTGACAATGACATAACGAATCGAAGACGTTGGATTGTCCTCAGCTTTCTTTTTTGGCCGCGGCGATGCGCACCACCGTTGTGTTGTTGTTTCAATCGCTTCAACGGAGTGGCATTGGCCTCATGTCTACTGGATTCTTGCATATGATTTGGCTAGTGAACTGTCACGGTCGCGCAAACTTTGGTGAAAGGCAGCCAAGAAGAAAGCAGAAAGCCATCTCCTTTACTGGTACGGTAAGATAGGTAGACTCTACTGTAGACTCTACTGACTGGGTTCAAGCCGGTGGATGAGCTCATTTCGCGACGAGCAGACTGGCAGAATGCAAGCCCTGGACACTAACTTAAATATCTCCCGGGTCCCCACACCCACATGTGAAACGCGGATACCCGGCCAATCACGTCGATGCGCCACCGCAAGAGCCTCGCCCGCCCCATGATCCATCAGATCCATCAGGGGTAGGCCAGAAACATTCATCAATCTCCAATCTACATCTACATTTTCATTTTCATCTGCATATACATACCCTTTTGCTTCAATCATCTAAACTGTACACATGCTCCGCTAGCCTTGTCGCCGGGAGAAAGAGGAGGGCTGCATCTCGAGGGAGAAGCTGCATGATTTGGTCATCATGGTTCGTCGACGCTTCTTGCTGCCCGCTAGCATAGTTCTTGTCCTTCTGTTCGTCTTCTATACCTGGCCCGCTGGCGACGGCGACTGGCTCAAGTCGGCAATCTCTAATAAGTTTGATGCCAACGTCATCAAAGATGACAAGTACTTCTGGAGGAAGCGGATCACGCATTTCCCCATTGAGGAGATCAAGCAGTTTCCCACGGGCGTACCGTTGAAATTGCCCAACATACAGACTACTTTTCCACCAGAGGGCAAACAGGAGCGGACCACCCGCCTGGAAAGGCAGCAGACGGTTAAAAATGCCTTCAGCCGTTGCTGGAGCTCGTACAAGAACAAGGCCTTCATGAGGGATGAGCTGGCTCCCCTCAGTGGCAAGGCGAGAGACACCTCTGCCGGCTGGGGCGCCACATTGGTCGATAGCCTGGACACTTTGCATATCATGGGCATGCACGACGAATTCGAAGAGGCCGTCGCTGCTGCGGCCAAGATTGACTTCGAGAAGAGCTCGCTCAAAACGGTGAACACCTTCGAGACTACCGTCCGGTATCTGGGAGGTTTCCTGTCGGCGTATGATCTGAGCGGCGACCAGCGACTATTGCGCAAAGCAAGAGAAGCAGGCGACATGATATACGCCGCATTTGACACGCCGAACCGCATGCCCATCACTCGCTGGGATTTCGGGGCGGCGCAAAGGGGTGAGAAGCAGGAAGCTTCCGATAACGCTCTCATAGCAGAAGTTGGTTCCTATTGCATGGAGTTCACGCGATTGTCCTTGGTCACCGGAGATCCGCGATGGTACGATGCTGCCGAGAGGATCAGAGAGGTCCTGCAAGAGCAGCAGAACACCACGTTACTCCCCGGCATGTGGCCTATCACGGTATCTCCCGGGAACAAGGAGTTCAATAGGGACAACACGTTCACTCTTGGGGCAATGTCCGACAGTACATACGAGTACCTGCCCAAAATGCATGCGCTCGTCGGCGGACTCATACCTGAATACCAGTCCATGTATGAGACCGCGATGGAGACAGCCCTCAGCGTCAACTTCTTCAGACCATTGCTGCCGTATTCACCCGATATATTGATATCGGGGAGCGTACACGCGAACGACGCATGGGGACAGACGAGCTACGAGCTCGAGGCGCACGGACAGCACCTGGTCTGCTTCGTGGGAGGCATGCTGGCGGTCGGCGGCAGGCTCTTCGACAAGCCCGAGCACCTGACTGTGGCCAAGAAGCTAGTGGATGGCTGCATCTGGACATACACGGCGATGCCGCTCGGCATCATGCCCGAGACGTTCTACATGGTTCCCTGCAAGGCGGGGGAGAAGTGCGATTGGGATGCGTCCGTGTGGAAGGAGGAGGTATTGCAGCAGGCCAACGAGGAAAACGTGAGGGACATGGAGAAGGCAGACGCACGGATCGCCAAGTACAGCCTGCCGAAAGGGTTCACCGAGATATCAGAGGTGAAATACCATTTGCGGTCCGAGGCCATCGAGAGCATCTTCGTGCTGTATCGCGCCACGGGCAACAAGGATCTCCTCGACACGGCGTGGAAGATGTTCCAGACGATCCAGAAGCACACGGAGACGAAGTTGGCCAATGGGGGTGTTGGCGATGTGACGGTCAGCGACAGAGCTCCCAAGTTGGATGCCATGGAGAGCCACTGGATGGGGGAGACACTGAAGTAAGTTGAAAAAACCCATGGACCTCTGCCTATCTATCTACGCGACTGCTGCTAACTTTGGTGGTCCAGATACTTCTATCTGATGTTTAGTGAATCCGATTTCATAAGTCTGGATGAATGGGTGTTCAACACGAAGGCTCACCCGTTCAAGAGACTGGTTCGATCATGATCCGTATATGTTTGGATATTTAATAGAGCATGCCGTTAGCGTTCGTTTACTTTACTTTTAATTTATAGACGTATGATATAAACATAGAACATTGGCTTTACCGGGACTTCTTGAGTGATGAAGTGGTTGATACCGAAGTTTTAGATAAGGGATGCCACATTCGTTGGTGAGTCGGTAAATGCTTCTGGAAGCTTTCCAATGTTGGTGGTGAGACTTCCCAGCCAGCAGCCCTGCCCACTAAGCTCCAAGCGGCCGGAACGCCCGAAAGGCTGCAGCACCTCCCGTGGCGGAAGGTTCACCGAGAGACGACTCGGGCTTGCCTAGGTGCCTAGAACGACCGCCCAGAAGGATTCTGCAGGAGATTGTTGATAATAAGACATCTTCCACCGACGAAGCCGGCTGCCCCGGACACTCAATCGCAAATACCTCGAACCCGGAACACTGAGGTTGGTTACCCCGATTACCAAGCGAGCACACACACGAGAAGCCCCACCATCAAACCCAGCGGAATCCCCGACAACTCGATCCATTCAATTGTAAACCGAGACTTTCCGTCATAAGTTTGCGCCGAACCCGACCAACGAACGACCTACCGGTAGTTCTAGCCCTTCGCCATCACTTCGTCTCGACGTCCGACTTTCCTCTCCAGACAGACAGACACAGGTAGAGAATAAACGATCTCTTCTCGCGCATCATGCCGGACAAATGGGTAGATTGGTCCAAGAACGTGCGGTCTAAGAACTATCATGGCTCGGCCTCGTTCGCGACCTTTATGATCATCGGGCGTGAGTTGTTTCCCGTCCTCCTCCCCTCCCCTTCCAGGTCACCACCCACATACAACAGACCAACCTCAAGAAAAGAACTGAACAGTACTAACAACCCCATCTCCCCCAAGCCGTCTGTTTCTTCCTAGGCATCCTCTTCGCCGAATTCCCCTACGACTTCCCGCTCCTCTGGACCGCGGACCCGATCCCGCCCGCCTACCTCGACCAGCTCGAAACGCACCTAAAGTTCGTGCACCAGTCGCCGCCGCTCATCGCGCGCCTGCTCTCCATCATGATCGGCACGGGCTTCCTCGGGTTCTTCATCAAGCTCTTCCGCGCCTCCGAGTCCAACATGCTGTTCGACGGCGCCTCGCTCGTGCTGTACCTGATCGGCGTCGGCGTGTATATCTCCAACATCGTCAAGGGCCTGCGGTTTGTGAGTGCGGGGGTCTGGCACCAGGAGGGCTTTGCTGAGACGACGCACTTGACCTCGAACGGGCAGGCGGGCGAGGTCGTGCTGGGGCGTGAGGATAGTCTGAAGGTCATGGCTGCCAGCAACACCATCCTGGCGCTTGTCTTGGTGGGGGTTTTGGTGCTGCAGGCTGGTCAGTGGTACGCTGAGCGCAAGGATAATGAGGACTTTGAGAAGATGCAGAAGGAGGACGATGATGCTGCTGCCGTGAAGGAGAAGGCCAGGGCCGAGGGCAACGGCAACAGCCAGAGCAGCCCGACGGGCGCTGAGAAGAGGGCGTCCAAGAGGAAAAATTAGAGGTCGGGCGGTGGTCGGGAGACGACTGGAGTCATTCTGCTTCACGGAGTTTGTTGTTCTATGCCCTATACCGAGCCATTTTCAGGCCACTCTGCTGTGCTGGAGAAGGTGGCACGGCACGCATGCCCTTGAATTGGGCACTCGAGGCGCTGTATAAAAAGCTCGTTATGTTCACATCGATCCATATAGTCAAGCAAGGCGGACGCGGATTCGAAATGTGAGAATTATATGATTCATCATCTACACAGCCTCATTGTGCACATATTGGCACCTCCGAGCCTGCCCATGAACTGCAATATGTACAATGGTCCTTATGTAGAGTGCACCCCAAACGCCGAGCGTATAAAATTAGCAAAATCCCTGGTATCATGCGGCCTCCAGTCAATCCAAACTCCTGTCCATGCGAATATAATAAGTGTGATGCCACGTGTAAATGCCCCAACTCTTCATCTCCGCCGTACAGGCGAGTCCGGTACCCGTTCGGCATGCGACTGGATATCTGTCCACGTCGTTAACGGGCGAGCGGCCGAACCGCCACCCACAGTCAAGGCGTCGGCGAAGATGTTGATGCTCTCGCTCCCGGCGCTGTGTTGGCGCCTCTCGCGCGACGCAATAGACGTGCCCGAGTACCGATGGGCCATGTCGGTAAGATTCCTCTCACCATGCAGCCCGCCGACCTCTGCCGACGGGTGGTAGCTGCGCGGCGCATCCGACATCTCGCTCTCGGGTCTTCCGGAAGAGGAATATGGCGAGTAGGGTGAGTTCGGAGGGAATCGCTCCTGGGCCTGTGTTGGCGTGCTGGCGACACTCGTGCTGCGTGCTTTGGAAAGGAAGTCCTGCCGATTACCGTCGTAGTCTGCATGAGGCATCGGGGCGCTGATGGGGATATTGCCGATGTTGCCCCAGGACGAGGACCTGTTCTGGCGCATCTTTTGCTCCTTCTTGCGCCGGCGTCGGCACACCATTACCGCAACGGCGATCAAGCCGATGGCGGCGATGCCGCCTACGACTCCTCCCACAATAGCTGCGGTGTTCATCGTGTTCGCCGCCGTCGGGTCTGTGGTTTCCTTTGATGGCGCAGCACTCGTGACACCACCCTGCACAGCCGTTGTTGAGGGCTTACTGGAAGCAGTTGTGGTTGGTGCGGCATGTGTCGAGCTCGTGGTCGGATTACTCTTTCCAGCAGGCTTCTTGCTCTGGTCCTGGTCCATCACGCAATTATCGTTGACGCAAGAATATCCATACGGGCAACATCCAGTGCTGCAGGTTTCGAGCTTCCCATCGAGAACCGTCGTCTTGATTTCGGCCGCTGGGTTGGCGGCGGCATCTTGAAGAGCCACATTACAGGTGATGGGGTTGATGGTATCACAGCTGCTTCCCGAAGGACAGCAGAGGACAGTTGTGCTCCCGGCTAACACCAAACAGGACGTGCCCGCCTCGCAGCAGAAGTTGTCTGGTAGTCCGGCTTGTGAGCACTTCGTGAAGTTGGCGGCGCATGAATTGCCTCTTTCGAAAATCGACTCTGGTCGAATAGAGGCGGCCGAGGCGGCTGAAAGCACGGCGGCGAGATGCAGAGCCCAAAGCGGACCTCGAATTGTCGGCATGTCTTGGTAAGTTGGTTTCGTAGGGTGGTGTTTCGTCGTAGGTCGGCGGTTATGGGCTTTTGAGGTATCGGTATGAATATAGTAGGCAAATAAATAAAGAAATAGTTAAGTATAAAAGTTGCGAGGATCTACTCGAGCGACTAGAAGAGTAATATCGGTGGCGGCAAAGCGGTTCATTCACGAAGATTGCGTTGAGCACACGAGGAGCGCACGGGGTTCTTAGAAATAGTCGCGGGAAGAGTCACGAAGCAACAATGAAAGTGTTGGCAGGGTCGAGTTGAGTCGAGGACAGTAAAAGAGAGGGACAGGACAAAGATGACTGTCCCGAAAGACCAACAAGGCGAGCAAGTAACAACGAGACAAGGAGATTGAAGTCCACCTACGCCATGATAACGCGATGCCTCGTCGCCTTTGTTCTACTTTGTCCGCTCATTATGCAGTCCCTTGGCTAGCACGCACGAGGTTGCAGTCATGTAGGTGGTTTGACTAGAGAGTCGCAAGAGCTGAGGTCCAACGGACGCGACCCGATGGAGTCCAGCAGAGGTACCCGGACAGGGTTGGACGTTGTGCTTTCGGCCATCGACTGGATATCTTCAGCACAAAATAAAGCGGCAGCTTCCTTTGGGCATTCCGGGCAGCGTCGGGTGATTGTAGTCGCGATGAGGCGGTGCAGATGTTGAACGACGTCGGAGAGCTCGAAATGAGAGGCTGTCGAGAGACGAGTCGCTCATTCGTCTTATATGGGCGGTTACAGGGCGGCTGGAGATGGAGGGAGAGGAAGCGATGAGGTTGGTCCAGAGTTTAGAACGACCTTCGGATTAGGCGCGACGAAAGACAATCCTCGCGTCTGATTGGGTTGGAACAAAGACTATATGCCCCCTGTGGAACCCCTGAAACGTCCCTGTGAGGTGCAGGTGGTGAAAGAGCTGTGGATTTACCGGATGATGCCGAGCCCGCCCAATCTGAAGATCCACCTGCAGTCATTGGGGCCCGTGGGCCGTGGCTTCAACCCAAAGATGGCATCAGGTCCAGTGACTACGATCATGTCCAATGCTTCCAATCCAATTCACTTGAAACGGAGGCCTCATGTACGTCATTCTTTTTAGGCGGGAAGGCTGGATAGGTAGTCGAGAAACCCCACGGAATCTGTTCAAGCTAGCTCAAGGCTGCATACCTGGCAGCAGCATCCTTGATGATACTTTGACACGCCTCACGCATGCAGATTACCGATACAGTACACAATTTCCAAGCCGGCCTATTTCATAAGTAGGTTGTAAGTCGAAGCATGTGCTACGATAAGTTAGCTAAAGAGCATACCTAGGTACTTACGTATAATGTAGGGACTCACAGAGGCAAGCGCCTATGTTTCCACAAACCTCGGCCACCCGCCTGGGTTTGACATGTCATCCCGAAAGGCCTCGTATCACAGCTCAGAAGTCACCATCCAATTGAAGATAGGTAGCACCCTTTCTCGAGGCCTTCGTAGCGCATGGGGCCCAGCCACGAACGTCGAATGTGTGTCCTGTGGTACCTATGCCTATACTCGGTACGGACCCCTTCAGCTCCGCCCCTCTCTTCAGTGCAGTGGAAATGCATGTACACAAGACAACATGCAGGTCGAGCGATGCAGCCATGCGACGAGCTGGGCCCTTTACAGATCTCTGCAGCACGTCTTAGTGCACGTGTGAAGCCCCCCAAGAGTGTCATTCCGTCTTCTCTCCGGCGGAAGGAATAGCTTCCAGCCCTACTGAACTCGCGGTGTGGTGGCAGTGCTCAACGCATGACTACCTACCGATCTGGGGTAAGGAGTATAGCGAAACATGCCGGTCGAAGCTAAACGCGGAATCTATTACCCCGATCACTTCGCATCGATGTTTCTCGCCCCCTTCGTGACTCGTCGCCTGGACTGTTGCCTCTCGCCTTACTTCTATTTCGAGAGCACCAAGACCGTTCCCGGCAGTTTGGCGCTGCCGGGTACCATGGGCGTACTGGGGCCGGCGGTGTGTTGTTCCATCGACGCAGTACATGTAGTATGAGGCAGCAGTCACCCATTACCGACGTCACCTAGGATCGTGTAAGCAAAACTCGAGAGCTACCTGTGCTTCTCCAACGAGAATGATACCGTCTATCGATAGTGCAATAGGAGCGGCTTCTGGAGTCTTATGATGCGGCGGCTGCCTGGGTGCGGCAAAAGGGGCGCAACGGCAGGGAGGCGTTCCATATGCAACTGTCAACTGTCAGCTTGCAAGACCTACAGTGGAGATGTCAGGAAGTATCCATTACCCGGATGATGAGAGAAAAGGGATGAATAGCTGGGGGGGGAAGAGCAGAACAGAAGAAGAACGCGAGCTAAGGGGCAACCCGACTTAGCTGAGCTGCAGTCTTCCCTCATTATACGCCGATAAAGTGTTAGTACATACCGTATGTACAGCGCCATCCAAGGAAGCAATGGAAAAGCAGGTTCATAACGACGAGACCGGTTCACATTGACATTCATCAAGCAACAAGCATCACGCAACAAGATCCAGGCAAATTGTGTGATCATCACGCACTTTTCAAATTAACCGCCCCAAACTAACTATTCGACGTAGGTACCTTGTTATTAGGTCTATGCCTACCAAAATGCCCAAATGGATATCATGAGTTAAAGGAGCGTGCGGTATATAATTCCCCAAGCCAACCCAATCAATTCGTCAACTCATCCTCATAACTCGATCAACCCACCGCTGCCATCGTCATCAGAAAATAATCAACGAGACTCAATACCAACTCGCTCGTTTGCTTGCTTCTTTTCGCCTCGAAAACATGGGGATATCAAATCAAATGCGCCCAGCGAGGACTGTCCTTCTTCTTCTCCATCCCCTTATCGTGGTCGACCTGCCGCGTTATGAATAGGGCAGTGGACGACAATGGATGAATAAGACGACCGCAAAACAGGAAACACAGCGCACGATAAACATCAAACCGGCAACAGAATAGTGTAAAGTAGAGCCGCGCACTACCTATACCAAGAAGCAAACGCAAGAGCAAAAAGAAGTAAAGACCACAAAACCAGCCAGCTCAGATCATGTTCCCATTAACACTGACCTCGAACCCCTCGCCCTTCTGCTTCAGCGCCTTAGCCAGCATGAGCTCGCGCATCCAATCGATGCGCTCGTCACGGCTCTTGACAGCAAAATGGTGCGTCTTGCCCGTGCCGTTGAACCCGCCCTCCAGACCGCCCGTCAGCGGGCCGGACCCGATGCTGCGGCTCTCGCGCCTGTGGTTGCGCAGGCGCGCGCCCACCCCTTGCAAATCCTGTGGTATGAGCTGGAAGCTGAAGGCCGCCACCGAGTCGTCGGCACTGACCCCGGCCTGCTTGCTGCGCGAGATGCTCATGGCCTTGAAGGCCGCGTTGAGCCGCGACGTCGAGTTCAGCGACGAGCACGCGATGGCGTAGTCGTCGATGTCGATGTACTCGAGCGAGCGCTCCCGCGCCCCCGCCGCGGCCGCGTCCTTGTGCAGCGCGAGCTGCGTGCCCTTGAGGACCGCGTACTGGTCGTGCCACTCGTGCCGCAGCATCCGGGTCTTGCGCTTCTTGACGGGGCCCTGGTACGCGACGCCCTCGGCGACGACGGCGTTGGGCTGAGCCTGCAGGGCCTGCGCCGCCGACGACCACGGGTACTGCGCGCGGGGCGGCGCCTGCAGCGGGTGTTGCGGCCGCGTCGGGACCCGCGGCGGTGGGGAGAACCTGAGAGCGAGGGAGGGCGAGGGCGGCTTGGGCGTGGTGCGCGCGATGGGCGTCGTGCTGGCGTCGTCCTCGACGACGGGCGCCATGATCTGGAGGGACGGGCGGTGGGATGCTCGCGAGGGGTTGATCCGGTTCACGGGCGCGGCGTGGTAGCCCATGTCCGGAGGAACCGACTGCGAGGCATCCCGAGCGATGGGACCCAGCGGGACGGCCGTCAGCGGGATGTCCATATCCGAGAAGGGCGTGCCGAACCGGTAGGGGCCGACTGGCGTCTGCAGGTCTGGTGACAGGGCCTCGGCTCTGTCCATCCGGTAGGGGACGAAGGAGTTCCGCAGGTTCGAGGGGCCTGGCTGTTGTGACGACTGTCTCTGGGCATGTTGCTGCTGTCCGGGGATGGCGAGCTTGGGCAGGGCTCGCAGACGCTCGTGAGGTGCTTGCACACCGGGGTAAACCTCGAAGTGGGGAGTCGGTGGCGCTTCACTCGAGCAGCCGGATTCATCTGGCTGCTGGTGCTGGAAGTCCAGGAACTGCCGGACATTGTCCTGGGGGTCTTGCGTCTGCAGGTTGCGCAGGGCGGCTTCTTGCAGATACTGCAGAGCAGGGATACCAGGACCGAGAACGTCTGAAGAGGCCACCACGGAAGGTACGGCCTCAGAGAATGGTCGCAAGGCCTCAGTCGACGATGGCCGGTTGATGGCTGGCGCGGTCTCTGGGTTGCCTGGGTTTCCCGCAACCATGATTATGCCGCCCTGGTCTGTATCGACAAAGGGGTGGTCCTTCTTGAAGGCCTCAATCATCCGCTGTTGTCTCCTGTACTTTGAGCAGTTCTCTCCCTTAGAACAGTGGTGTGGCTTTGGCATCATCTGCTCAATGCCGACGATAGATACCGACTCCATGGGTGAGATGATGTCTTCGTGGGACGGCTTCCTCCGACTCTGGCTGCGCTTCAGGCTCTTGGAGCGCTTCAGGCTCGGACATCGTTCGAACTCACCAGTCTCCTCTTTCTCGACCCTCCTCCGTTCCCGCCTCACCTCTTTGCTCTCTTCATCCTCAATTGGGGTATCGGGTCTGGGCGACATCTCCTTGCGGTCCCTCAGTACGTGTATCTCCTCCCAGACTTTTGTCCGGACTCCAAAGGATTGAATATGGAGTTCGCGGAGGTCCTCGAACTTCAATGTTATTAGAATAGCTCCGTTGATGTCATTCTCAACAAACTTCTCGGCGGCCGGCAGCTCAATGCCAGCGTTGAGCATCCATTGCGCCACCTTGTGTGGTGACCACATCGCCAGCTCGGTTGGTTCCAGCTTCTCATGGGTGAATTGATATGGGCTGGTTCGAGAACGTGGCAATGGGTCGTAAGTGAGCGGATACCGCAAGTCACATTCGTACGGCCTGGCCGTCTTGGGCGTTATCGGTGAGAGACTTAATGCCTCTTGGTAGTAGAAGGAGTTCGACGACGACGTTGTAGATGATCGGAATAGGTGCGGTCCTCTCGGGCCCTCAACTGGCTTCGCGGGTTCATATTCAAAGGGATACGCCTCGCGAGTCCTGCTCGACCTGGGCGTATGCGCCTCGTCGTACGACGAGAGCGTTGTTGCACTTTGTTGACCCGACTGACTCTACGTTAGCATACGACTACAAGCTGCAAAGAAAGAGCTATGTCTTACCGAGTTTAGGCTCACCCGTGGCGAGTTAATGTCGTCGTCTTCTTCGATCTCACTGACCATATCTTCTTCGTCCCAATCCGTGTCCACGATCTCGGTGGCTATTGAGGTCGGCCGCGGCTCGAGACCTTTCAGGCCGAAGAAGGGGTCGTGTAGACGACTCTTCTGGCGCATCTCATTGTGCATTCGCTCGCACATCCTGAGCGATTGTGGATTCTACAGAAAGAGAACCGGGTTAGTTGCGATCTACCGGCGCAACCATTGCACGCAGTATATGGGTATGCGAAATTGGACGTACCATTTTGGATAGATTATAAGGGAAAGCCCGTGCAGTGCACCTTTCTGGTATCTTGCCGTTGCCGGCCTGTCACTGTTTTTCTAGTAAAGGATACGATATATGAGATATGCGAAGACGGAAAGGAAAATAGCTCGCTATGGGTGCCCGAGAGATAGGTCAACGTCGCAAAAGAGGGAAGAGAGGACCAGGAGCAATGTCACGGACGCCTGCGGGAGGTATATGTATGGGATAAGGTGTATATCTCGGGTTGCAGCAGTCTGTTATGCAGGGCGAGGCATTGTGATAGCGGAATGCTTGCCACGATGTGATTTGTGTATCGGCCTGTCGAGAACACTGTCACTGCGTTTGGTGCATGCAGCGGCACCTACGGTACTCGAGGTCACCTACAGTGAATTGTGATTCCTAATAATAGCATTGTCTGGGTGACAAGAGGACAGGATCCCAGCGCTCGGTTCCCTTCCACACAACTTCGACCAACCAACCTCAGCATAAAGCCACAGCAGAGGCTGCTGGTTGGACGAGATAGTGAGGACATGAGGGGAGTGCAGGGAATGCACGAAGCCACGCGGAGTGTCACTCCCATTGGCTGGGGGCTGCTCAACGACCCCAGGAAAAGGTGTTTAAGCGCCGGCGAGCTTGAACAAGGGTGGCCTCACTGCTCATCCTTCCCACTTCTTCCAGTAATCGTCAACCCGACAGCCCAACCAGGCCAGGCCGCGGTCATGTCATGTCGGCCGTTGGAGGAGTGGCACAGCAACGACCCCCAAGGACATAACCAACAATGCCCCCAACCAGCCTATGCGGTTATGAAGAGGATCCGAGATGGCGTTACCAAACATCAGAGGTCGTCATTATTGCACACAAGATCACCTCGATCTTCATGTTGGGACCTGAGGCTTGCCGCTGGGGAAAGTCGCTAATCGGCTCCCATCCAGAGGAGGCGGTAAAGGATACGTGCGCCACGGCCGTGGCACCGTTGCGAAGTCGGTCAATCATGATCGATTGACTCACCTCACTGCTGTGACTAGCCCTCATGCCAGGATGGTTTCCTCAAGGGTCCCGTGCCGTCTGCCCGCTCGCAGCTTCGCGAGCAAGGCAGGTCGGTCTGCAAATGCCAGGGCGGGCCCAGAGCTCCTCCGGCTCTTGTCGGATAGGCGGCGGGAAAGGAAATCCCATAGCGACTAATGGACTTCTGCCGCCTCCACTCGTAACCAGGGGTACCTACATGCGGGTCGTCGCCGTTGACCACGCTCTAAAGCCGAACCCCTCCTTTGGTGGCGACCCTGTTTCTCTCGTGACACGTTGCGCCACGTTTGTATTGGTGCTTCTTCTCTCAAGACTCATCAGGTTTCTCGAAGCTCGGTAGCCGACTCGGAGACGCTAGCCATCCCTTGCTGACCAGGTAAAGAATGAAGCCAATGAGGCGCCGAAAACCACATTCACGAGACATTCACATGACTGGAAGAATGGCAGGACTGTGAAGATCAAAGGGTCCTCTTCGAGATGGAACGGTCCGGATTAGCTTGCGGACTGAGCCTTTGTGGAGAAGCGGCCATGACCGGCACTAATAACGGTGAAGGAATCGGCTTCGGAGGCTATCCGATCCCGCTCGATACCCAATGAGGGGGGATAGCCAAGTTATTCGTGATCTTGCCCACGGGCACATGACACGCAATTCCCCATAGAACATATCTTACTCATTACGTAGTTTACTACGGTCTCATGAAGCCAGGGACGACTTAGAAGACGACGTCGACCATTCATCGGTTTAACCCAACCTGTATTCTGGGCTTGGAGAAGCCACTCATGGGCTAGGACTGCCTGATCCGTTCTCTACCGTTGCCGAGTCTAGTTGTCTAGCTCGACTGCGTGGTGGAGAGACACATTGGCCTGACTGCTTGCGACTCTGCATTCTGCGTGGGGACACGCAGCAAGTTCCCGTACCTAGTTGCATGGAACATTCCCCCGCGATACGGTTTGCGGATTAGCTCTGAGTCGACCCATACACTAATGAGGTGGATGGATAGACCGATGGTCTGATGTTGAGAAACCGCTACTGTTACACGATACTCTAGTCGGCGATAGTCTACCCGCAGGCAAACAAAAAGCATCCAAGACAAAAAGCCGATCTTCACCAACCCCTCACAACTCACGAGCTCTCTTGCAGACAGCATGTCGGCGCCAACGTGGGTACCCATGCGAGAAGAGTTCATCGCTCATGCGCATGTCCATGTCCGGACGTCGTACCAGTCCACCGCCTTTCCTATCGAGCATGTATACGCGATGACTTACTACTGTAGACTGCGACACCGCCGGCTCCGTAGACTCCCGATGGTCCCCGAGCAGATATAGTAGGTCGCAACGAAGAGGCATGGATTCGACGTGACCGGAGAATTTCTCAGCACAGGTAATTAAAGACTTTGATGCGGTTCATCACCTCGTTTACACCTTGGAAGTGATAGTAAGCCAATATCACATTATCTTACATTTACCGGTATTATAGCGTGCCCAGCTCGGGTCAGGGTTAATTACAACGGGCCATTGTAATAAAGAATGTCTCGGGCCAGCTTATCGACGGCTTCCACCCCAGAGCTTTTCTAGGTGCGATATGACCGCAATTGAGGCGAGCTCCAATGAGATGCTAGAGACTGACATGTCATAAAATTCATCACATCACATGAGGATCCTCGAATGCGAGGTCGGGATCTGGAGTGTAGAAGGTCGACTCTTGTTCGTCCCGGACCAAGATGAGGCACTGAAGAAATCGACGATCATGTTGTGCGCTCTCATTCCCTTTGGTTAGATGAAGAAAAGAGAAGTATTCTTCCCAAGGAGACATCCACTGCGGGATAGGCGAATCGGGTGGCGTAGGAATGTCATCCCAATGCACGCAATCTCGACCGTTGCAGCAATGGGACCACTGGATCACTGGACCACCGATCAAAAAGATAAACCAGCCTCCTCGTATATTGGGTTGAGATTTGGCATTACTCTATCTCCACATATCACACATATCACATTGACAAGATGTGAATCTACTATGTTATCTGACTTATTCATTTGTCACCGATCAATGATGGGCTCAAGGATCGTGACCGGCCGGTTCCCGCGATATTACCTATAGCAGCCCCATTTAATTGCGATGATTTGCATCAACCCATTGACAAGGGCCGCCGCTGCACAGACTTCGCAAATTGTATGGGCACGGATGGGGAACTTCTGGGTCCGCAGCAAGATCAACCAGGACATCCCTTCTATTATGGATGCACTGGTTGTCTGTGGACTGCGGAGTCTACAAACTTGAATGCACAAGCCTGACGGAACCGTCCTCCGAGGTTACTGTTCATGCGTTGTGAGTGTCATGTGGGAACACAACTCGTTAAGAGCGTGACTATGACTATGAGGCTATGTATGTCATCTCCCCCAAGGTGAATGAGCCTGTCAATATGCACGTTGCTTCGCGGTGAGTCACAGAGGCATGGACAAGCGAAGACAACCTTGAATATTGGAGAAGGCGGAATCAAAGGGCGGGGGTCAGCTCGGAACTGCTATCCAGAGGCCCCATCGTCGAACCCCCTGTCCGCATCATCGGCAGCGATGGGCGGAAAGAAGCGGAATCATCAACGTCCAAGACTCCCAGGTCGAAATCAAATTGTCGACTCTCCCCGCTCCGTCTCTCGCTCGTCATAATTAGCCCAGACGGCGGGAAAGAATGCGGGCTAATTCAAAAATAGCACATGTTGGTCGACGTTGCAAAAGTAGGTGTGATGCTTAGCGCCCGGCACACATCTGTTATGCGGCTGTGGCCCAGAATTTAGCCCAAGAATCAATATTTGCCCAGAAATAGAACTCGACCCAAATTAGCCCACCAAGAGCCGGGAACAGCTTGTGCGCAGTACGTACGACATCGACAGGGCAGGGGGGAATCGGGTGATCTTCGTCCGCGGGCTGGGCTCGGCTGGGGGGCCACAGACATACCGACAGACAGACAGCCACAGAGGAGTTGACGGTCCGGTCCCAGCCCTGCACACTGCACAGAGCCTCGAGAGCTGTGGTAGATACACCGAGGGAGCATGGGCCATGGACGACGATGATGATGGTGAACATGGGGAAGAAAAGCTAGGTAAGCTGACAGGGCAGGGACAAGGACGCCCCCTGGATGCCGTCTCTTGGCTGCATACGATGTTGTAGGGATATCGCATCTGGACCCCGGGACGCTTCCCGTCCTTGCATAGAGATTGGCTCGAGCACCAGGCCGATGCAGGGAATCCCCGAGCTCTGCATGCCGCTTCTGTGGTGAGCTTCGACCAATCCGCCGTCGTCAACGGGTGGTTGACCTGTGGGAGCCCTGGACTCGTCACATCCCGCTAGCCCTCAGGGGTATAATCGCTTCCACAGCCTGACCGGTTGTATCCGCTACTACTATAGTATTACTAGAATAGCAGAGAATACTGGGCTTGGGCGTTAGCGCTAGCTGTCTGTGAGCCGCGAATCAGGACGCCCAACTGGCTTCTGAACAAAGTCCCATTTCTTCCCCATCTCTTCCCATCTCAACTCCAGCCAATCCCCTCCCCCCGTTGACGCTGCAACGGCAACCCGACATCTCATCAAGTCCAGCGACACAAACAGCCCGCCCCTCTCTCCGAGAGCCATGCGGTTTGTCGTGCTACGTTGTACCCAGACGGAACCCGCTGGTACTTCCGCTCGTGCGGCCATGACGCTCGCACATGAAGTCATGATTGCACTCAACGAGTACCTTGAAGTAGCCCACAGGCTAATCTAATGATTGCCTCGACTCGATTCCCCTCCCTCGACACCGGGACAACGTCCTCACGAAGCGTACTACCGTACTAGACGAAGCGAGACTTGGTTCCCATGTCCAGCGAGTAGTCACTGGTCCCTCTGGACAGGCCAATCCCGTCGCTCAACATGAGGGTCTCCTCGCTCATTGGCGGCAGCGAGACGGGTCTGGCATATGATAATAACCTGCTACGAAAAGCCAAAGTCATGCCATACGACTGACTGATAAGATTACTCCTCTCGGTCCCTGCCGTTGCTACCTGACGCTGGACCGGTAAGCTCGCCATCCCGGCCCGTCAACGCACGACGCCTGTCAGTGAGGATATTTTAACCAGAATTCACGCATACCGAACGTAACTACACAGTAGCAGTATACCCCACCTGGCGATACTTCTACCGAATAAGGCATGGCTCGAGTAACGCGGTGTGGTTGCAACTTGCTGCGAGTCTGACATGCATCCTACCCAATATCAGGGCAATCTATGATTACCGCTTAGCTCTTCTGCTCATGCAGAGATGCAGAGGGGGACGACGCAAGCGGTGGTCCGTGGTCGAACCGAGGGCAATCGGCAAGCACCCTTGGCTTCTTGCATGCATATTTCCTGATCTCACTGTATCTCCATTGCACCACCGAAGATCGAGGAAGCTGGAGGTGTGGGGTTCGCAACTTCTTGTCTCCCTCGCTCGTGGTTCTTATCGCACAGCATGCCATGCGAGCGTTACGACGACGACGTGCAAACTTCCAGGAGACGGACTCGGGGAGAACAAGCGTGAGACACGCGGCAACATGTCTCTTCCCTCTCTCGCCCACACCGTCTGATTTCTTCCGAGACGTCACGGGTCACAAGACAGGTGAAGTCGTTAACCTCGCCAGTGAGACCCCCCCGGCAGCGAACTGCCCCGACTCCTTCGTGCATGCCCTTGGTACGCAGAGACTTGCCGTGCCTCTTGTTCCGATCACGCAGATCCATGCGGCTTTCAATAAACTTGCCCACCCCGGCTCGCAGACAGGCAGGGCTTGCTTGCTTGCCAGGATACGTACAGGGCTGGCAGGGTCACAGTTGGAGCCTGCAAGTGCTGGCCATGTCTCTGCATGATGCGGCCGGGCGGAGACGGGCTCTGGCCTGTCGTTCCAATAGCCGGCCGCCTGCTCATCGAGAGCTGCCTTTTTAGTCGCTGGACGTCGTCGACCCTGCCCACGGCCCCTGTCTTTGCTGGCAGCCATCTTCTTCCGCGAGTGACACCGAGTGGGACAAAGGTGCTGCGAGTCTGCACCGCTACTCTGTCGGGAGGGGTGGTTGGTCGAGATGGTCGGGGGCCCCCCGTTCCTCATCCGGGTGACTGAGCTGGCCCATCGAAGCGGCCACCGTCATTGGAATCTGCAAGCGCATACTGGCCCGAGTCACCTTCTGCCATCCCAATTCGGGCTAATTACACATGCAGTGGTCTGTAATTAGGCCACAAAGATCATGGGTTAAAAAAGGAATTACCCCAATTGCGTATGTTGCTAATTTTGGACACAGCCATGGCCGCCAGCACCATTTCGCGATGCAGCCGGGTGGTGGTCTACGAGGACGAGGCCACGATATAAGGCTTCACACCTCCTACGCCAGACAAACCTCTCTCGTGATCGTGTTGAAGAGTAAACATCTCCAAGTGTCGTTCCAGTTCTCAACCACCTCCTCTCTCCTCCTCTCCACCCCCCTATCTCCTCCTTATTCCGTTCTACTATATCAACGTGAAAGGCAAGCTGGTACTTGCTTGGATCCTGTCAGTCATTCGACGAAAATTAATATTAATTACCACGAACTCCTATACTACCACCTCTCCACCCGGCTCTGATTTGGGACTTGTCCGGTATTGTTCACACACCCGGCACACGAAGGACTCGACCGTTGGTGGCTTGGGAAGACTCGCTGGACTCGGGCACATTTTCTGAAGGGACCCCAGCAGTATCGACTCGAACCTGGCCTTGGACCCCGGTTTCTTTTGGACTCCTCCCGCTTTTGTTCGGCTTGCGGACCAGCAACAAGGAATATCCCCCCACCACCTGCTCGCACCTCAACGCAGGTACCTTGCCTCAAGTATACTTGCATACAAATGTCAACCATACCCCCCAACTCGCGAGAGGACCTCATGAGAGCAGCACCCGTCAACATGGCTGTCGCACAACCCGCAAAGTCAAAGGCTGCTTCGAAGCACAGCAACAATGCAAACTCAAAGGCAAAGTCACAGATGCACCGCCGTTCAAGAACAGGTTCGTCGTCCTCTCCCAACCCGAATTATACGCTCGGCGCCTGGTGGTCACTTACACGGCCCACCTCCGGCTGCGCGTGTAAGTCAACACGCGAACTGCAAACTAACCTGCCCTCCTCTCTCCAGGCTGCTATACCTGCAGATTACGGCGAAAGAAGTGCGATGAAGGTACTCCCATGTGCACAGCATGCAAGCATCTCGGCCTCGCATGTGAATACAAGAGGCCAATGTGGTGGAGCAACAACGACGCTAGGAGACAGCACAAGGACGACATCAAGATGATCATCAAGCGCAAGAAGCTTTCCGAGAAGTCTTCGCACACGATCCAGACCTCGATCAACTCGCCGCCCGGTCTATCGCACTCCCTTCCCACGTCTGCAACCTTCTCGGATCCTCTGGATCGCACGAGGTCGGCGTCGATCGACTCGCACTTCTCCTTCAACTTCAACAGCACGCCCCATCTCCCCGAGTATGATGTCTACAACCCACAGATACTCCCGTCGCATTCCGACTTCATGTTCGGCATGTCACCCTACGAGATCGATGTCAAGACAGAGCGACAAATGTTTGTCAACGATGTCCCAACGATACGGGAATCGACGGTCTCAACTTTCAGTACCTATCACACGCCGCCTCCCCCGGGCACTGTTCTTCCCTCTTATCCTATGGATGGAGAGTGGACCGAACAGGTGTACCAAGAGCGTCGAGAATCATTGACAGAAGAGTCGTTGAACGTCAACTTCTTTGACTTCGCACATGGCCCAGCAATGAACTCGAGACAGGTCGATATCGAGCTAGACGAGAATGACCAGCGACTGCTAGACCATTTCATTCAATTCGTCTTGCCGACCATCTTCCCGATTCTGGAGACGAACCAGCATGGATCTGTCAGCTCCGATCTCATCCTGCCTGCTCTACAGAACAACAAGGGCTACCTCCACTGCTGCCTCATGATTGCTGCGCAACACTGCAAGGCGACTATGAACATTCAGGGGGAGGAGATTGACAACGACATCATGCGACACCGACACGCCACCATATTGTCTCTTTGCGAGGCGCTGAACAGGGATGAGAACCATCAGCAGATCCTCGAAGCTACCCTGGGTCTCATCTTCTTCCAGTCCTGTGTTGGCCGATACGACGATTCGCTTCCTGATATCCCGTGGCACCAGCACTTCCAAGCGGTACACTCACTGGTCAGCAAGCTTGACTTGCCACGGATTGTTTCCGACCAGGCTGAGCAATTGGCGCAAACCCCCTTCAACATGACCTTGACTGCCTGGATCGACATTCTCGGGGCTACCATGAAAGGTCGAGCACCGAATTTTGCGCACACCTACAGAGAGAAGCACCTTTCAACAGTGAACCCCTCCCTTGGACTGCGCGAGCTGATGGGCTGTGACGACCGCGTCATGTACCTTATCTCTGAGATTGCCTGCCTCGAGGCGCTCAAGAAAGAAGGCATGGACGATATTACTCTCTGCACGCATGTCCACGCGCTTGGTGACCAGATCGGCCTGACTGAAGTTGGCGACAGTGGAGCCAAGATGCCATACAATGCCAATGGCTCCCTGAGCCCAAAGCAACTGAGCAGGAACATCACCGCCGCTTTCCGAATCGCGGCTCGCATCTACCTCTGCAGTCTGGTCCCCGGGTTTTCACCCAGCCAGGCCAGCTGCGTTGGCCTTGTGGAAAAGCTTACAAGCGTTCTTCAATACATCCCGTCTGGACACGCGGGCTTCGACCGAAGCCTTTCTTGGGTATACCTCGTCGGTGGCTCTGTCAGCGGATCGAACTCGACATTCCGGCAATTCTTCGCGGAGCGCATTGCAGAGCTTGGCGATGCCTCCTGCCATGGCAGCTTTGGCGGTGTGGCCTCACTGCTACATGAAGTCTGGCAGCAGGCCGACAGCTTCCAGCCGAGTCCCAGTGCAACTGGCACCGCGGAGGCACCGTACATCTCCTGGAGAGATGTCATGCAAATGAGGGGATGGGACTACCTGCTAATATAGGGTGATCACTCTCCAACAAAGCTGGTCTTGAGGAGGGTGATTTGCTGCTAGCAGAGACCCCCACTCCTCATCTGCAGGTGACCTTTCGTGGGTGATGCAGGGAATCACCACCCCCCATTGCACGACGACTCTGGCTGGGAACATTTTCTTTTTACACTTATTCGATACATAATACCCCTAAGAGAGAGAACGCCGCAAGGCACACCGGAACGACACTTTGGAACAGGAAACATTTTGGATATATCCCGCGAGCAGGGAGGCAGCTGGACCATGCTTACGGCTTTACGAGAGAACAACGATCATCCTTCTATCCGCTTTTTCCTACTATTACTTTGCTTATTCGCGATATCCTTCATCGTTCGTTCTCGGGTATATACCAACGCATGCTTCGGGGTTGCAGGAGTTCAGAGGCTGTTTTGGGGGCAGGGGGTCATTCACCGGCAGCAGCATGGTTCTGGATACGGGCTGGCATTCCTGCGAGATGCATGCCCCTGGCCCAAAAGAAAGAAGGTTCATGGGAGGTGAAGCACCGCTATGATTGCTCCTCACCTCCTGCCTACCACTCTTGTGGACTCTCATCTGAGCCCAAGAGAATTATTGTCATAATCATATACAATACAACAAAAGAAATCAGTTAAAAAGTACCAATACTTCATACCCCTGGCAAGCTACTCAGTGACCCAGTGACCGACCCAGTAGCCAAGATAGAAACGTCCATTCATGTTAATCAATCGCCTTGGGGACCATCTAAGAAAGAACTCGAGGGGCGCCTTGTCAGTCCGCATTGCGTATCCCTCCCTACTAACGAGAACGACGACGTCGAACAATCTGCCCACTAAATCATATTGCAGCACGTAGGTATCCGAGACCATCGAAGCGGTGAGTGAATGAATGGATGAAGATCCCGTGTCCTCGTGATCAGTGAGTCACATGTGGTTTACCGCCCAACCTACCTAGCCCAACTAGCCCAGCCCAGGGCCCGAGACCCAAGGCGCCCCGGTCTCACCTGACATGGGCCAAACGGATCTAAATCAAGTCAATGAGGTCAAGGAGAATCAAGTATGAGAACTGATGCTTCCCACTTGCTCAAAGCCACTGAATGAAACAGCAGACTTGTCGAGCCTAGCTCCTCCACGGAGACATAAACATCAGTCTCAACCTTCCTCGTTCAGTCAACCGGCTTTCATCAACGAAGAGTAGGTGTCTTCATAGAAGATCGGTCTATAACAAAGCGTAGCATTTTGTACATCAGGTTACACTTCTGTATATAGCACAAGTAGTGCCCTCTCCATCCAGGAGTAGGGGCTCGGCGAATTATCTTACACGGAATCTGATCTCGAGGAAGGGGTTCGGCCTTCTCAGGATTTGAACTTGTCATGTCCGGCCCCGTTCGCCAACCCGTTCACCTTGTGCCAATCGATACAGTCCCACCACTTCTCGACGTACATCCTCTTGCCCCCAACGCCGCCCAGCTCGAAGCCGTTGTCGGGCAGCCACACGTGCTCCCAGGTGTTCAGGCACAGCACGGGGATGACGTCGGTGCCGCCCGGCGCGCGCGTGAACCTGGCCCCGTTGTCGGCGCCGGCGCCCGTCTGCTGGCGCTCGTGGTACCCCTTCACGGTGTCGACGTCGCCGCTCGAGGTGTTCATGTCGACGCCCTGGCGGCGCCAGTGGCCGGCCGTGTAGGGCGTGCCGGCCAGGTACGTCGTCAGGATGCGGTACTCGCTCGACCGGTCGTTCTTGACCAGCCAGACGAACCCGGGGCCGAACATGCCCAGCGCCGTGCTGAGGAGCTCGCGGCGCAGCGTCTCGACCGAGCTGAAGTTTTGCTCGAGCTGGTTGCGCAGCTGGCCCGGGATGCGCTCCTTGTAGGTCATCTCGGCCGGGTTGCCCCCCTCGGACTGCTTCTGCGCTTCCCAGGCGCGCAGGTTCAGCAGGTTCTGGAAGAAGAGCGTGTTGTTGTGCGCCATGGAGGCGTAGTTGAAGAGGGGTGCTAGATGGGCCTCGCGCGCGGTGTTCTGGAGGATGGTCTTGGTGTCGAACTGTTCGTATTCCGTACCTAGGCTCGTCCGTCAGTCAGCTCCTTGCCGGCCGGGGATCGACAGTGTATGACGACAGGTATGAGTCAAGATAATGAGAGGCGGTGACAACGTACCTGCAGTCAAATCTCCAAGCTTCTCAATTACGTGGTCCATATACTTCGTCCATGCTATGTCGTAGGCCTGGGGAGACAACAGCCCCGGCACGCCTTCCTCGGGATGAAACTGGTCGAGACGAGGGACGTAATGAGCTGCGCGGGAGAATGCAAGCGGCTGCTGCCGTAGCAGGCTCCCTACCCGTGGTATTCTCAATCTGGGCCGCAGCATGGTGTTGTGGAATGGGGTGCTGCCATTCAAATCGTGGCTCTGAAGCGGCCGATGCAGAGCTCTCTTTTTTTGGCCGGCGCGACGGGAGCAGAGAGCTGCTTCGCGCTGATTGGCCGAGCTGCACATCGGCGGGAACATCGAATTCGCCGTTATCTGTGACCCCGTCCAGGCGGGGTGGGGCAGGGGGCACTGACGGGACCGAACGGGCCCCGCCATCGCAGGAGGGCCGGGGGATCTCCGTCCGCTAATACAACTCTACTTGCAGCAAAACATCATCCCGGCAGGCAACCAAGATGGCACACATCATACTCACGGGAGCCACCGGCCAGGCAGGATCCGCAGTACTCGCTTACGCCTTAAGCTCACCCGCCGTATCCCGGGTATCACTCCTCAGCCGGCGCCCAGTCAAGCTCGCCGAGAGCTCACCCAAAGCCAACGTTATCATACACTCAGACTTCTCGAGCTACCCAGAGGCGATACTAGACCAGCTCAGGGGGGCAACAGCATGCATATGGGCGCAGGGGATCAGCAGCCAAGGCATGAGCGAGGACGAGTACACCAGGATCACGCTGGACTACCCCGTAGCAGCAGCCAAGGCGTTCGCCGGCCTCGCGGAGAGGATGAACTTCGTGTATTTCTCCGGAGAGGGAGGGGATATGGAGGAGAAGGCGTCGACGATGTTCGGCAGGATCAAGGGCCGCGCCGAGAGCAGGCTGCTTGCGCTGCAGAAAGACGGGGAATATCCTAGCCTGCGGGTCTACAACATCCGACCTGCCATCATCAACCCGCAGGGCAACTACCTGGCGGAAAGGAGCGTGACTCTGCACGATCGAGCATCGACGTGGGTGGGTGGGCTTGCTTCGGTGGTTTGGAAGAGCTTTGTGATACCCTCTGATAAGCTGGCAAAAGCTTGCACGGACTTGGCTGTTGGAGACGGTGAGGCTGTACCTGCTGGCGAAGGCGTTGAAGCCGATGGGAGGTTGTTGCGAAACACGGCGTTGCGGAGGTTGGCCGGATTGTGATCGTGAACTCCTGTGAACATGATGTTTCCTCCGAAGGCCGGCGAGAGTGAATATCCTCCTGACTTACAGTATTGCACCCGCACGACCTTGCGAACCCAAGAGTGGTCCAAGAAATGTGTTCTTTCGATTTTAATACAACGTTAAACATGACGAATAACCTATGGGTATGGAATGCTATGCCTGTAACACATGATCGCTGATATCTTTCCATGCCAAAACCAAAGCGCAATGCCCAGAATCCACGTTTGCCCGATCATCACCCTGGAAGCAGGGCAGCGGGCTATAACACTATCCAAAACAACATATTACCCCCATCTTCCATGCTGTCTTCTCTCGTCAAGCTCAGTCTTCCATCAGTCCAAGCATGTCGAGCTCCGTCTTCACCATCCGCTCAAAATCCTCGCGATCGATGCCCGAGGCCCGAGACAACAAGAACAAGCTCTTGATGCTACGAGAGACATGTTGCTTCACGCCAACGTCGCTCTGTTCCTGTTTGGCAGCCGCAGCCTCCAGCTTCTCGACCGATGCGCTGGACCCGGCACTTGACCCTGGCCTCGGATGAGGGTGTACGAGGTTTGGGTCATCGCCACTTCTCGTAGAGGCAGATGTGGGCGGTTCCGCTAAAGTCCAAGTCCCTTGAGTCTCGTTCAGCTCCGCCTCTTCTCTCGGGTTGCCGTTCCGCGCCGGGTTATTCGGTCTCGAGGAAGCTAATCCGAGTGGAGGAGCTACGTTGAGACTAGATTCCTCGTCCGGATCGTGATTGTCCATGGCGGGCTGGACATCGTCGTATTGAGCGTAATAATCGGCGTCGGCTGCAGGGTCTGGAGGCTGGGTCGACTGCGGAGGTGGTGATCTCTTTGTAGCAGGTGTTTTCGCGCCAGGGGTGGCATCGTATCGGGCCCAGTAATCGTCGTCGTCTTCATCATCATCTTCGTCAATGACTGGCGCGCTTCGTGTAATCGACGGTCCATTGCTCGGCGCAGCCGGCGCGCTCTTCGGCTCTGACTCGTTAAACTGCCTCTCGGCCTCCGCGATTGTCGACACGCCTCCAAAGGACGAAAACGGCGACGGTTTGTTGGGGATGCTGACCTCGCCGACCTTCCACCCATCGCCCATAGGGTCACCGGTACAATAGACCAGTCGAAAGGCCAGCTCCATATCCTTCAGCACCACGAGTGCCTGGAAGGTTTCCTCATCCACCCGTCGATATTGTATTTCCGCATCGTAGTCCCAGTCGATCTCGACCTCGCCAGACACGGGATGGGGTTCTAGTCGCGGGCTCTGGGCAATCTCGGTCAACTTGGGCACGCTTGCCACATCGTAGCATAACAGCCGGATCCACGGGTCGTTGCTGGAGGCAGAAGACAGAAGTTGGACTCGCTGTCTCAGAATGGGAGAAAGGAGAGGTAAGACGGCTTCGGCCGGCTGCGTTGACAGTGATGCGGCTGTCAGTGCGGGCACAAGAGGACCGATTACTTGCTGAGCATCAGGCTGCCTGATTGTCGAAGCTGTCATTGCGCCAGTCTGGGTTTCGGTCGCGGCGGTGTAGCGTTTCTGGTGTGTCGGAGTTATTAATACTAGAGAGAGATGTTGCAGCGTGGTCGTATTTCGAGCCCGTAGGTAAGGTAGGTAAGGTGGATCGTATCACATGCAACTGCAGCAGCTGCTCCCAGGGCAGCTGACTCAGGCTGGGTGGTAAAGGATACTAACAGGTAGGGGAGAACAATGGTCGGTACAGCGAGTGAAGGTAAACAATATTGAATACAAGAAGTTATTGAAGAGAGACATAGTTATAAAGGTAGAGTCGGGCGAGCGGGAGGAAGCACCACATGAAGTACACTGGGCTGTATTCGACGGGCAGACGGGTTGGACCGGTTGGTGGGGGAGGCTTGGGCGATCACCTGCAGTGCAATTGAGTTTCACCCCCCATCCACTCAAATAGTGCACCTCGACGAATTGCCGAAGCCGATCTGCCCATACCGTATTCACAGACAGGCTATGGAAGAAACCTTCCATAGCTCTGGCAGTCTCCACACCACAACAAAAGCCACTCTCAATCGAATAACCTCACTATCACTAGAGAATATAGTAATCAGAAAATATCGAAAGAAAGCGCTTGCAATGTTGAATTGATTGATGTCTAAAAACCCACATATTGTCTATCCCATTGTTGAGAGATGGGGGAGTGAAGATGGTAGGGTTGTTAAGTAGGCTATGGAAGGTTTCTTCCATAGGTAGCCTGTCTGATTCACTGCATCAACCGAAGGCTTCAGCCATAACAATTCCGGGGCAGCACTGTCCTGCCCCTCGGGCGGATGGAAGCTTTCCCCGTCGGGAGGGGCTGCAGATGGGTTCTCGGTAAGTGGCTCACTTAGGCTATTGAAGGGTCTCTCTACGCCAGCCGTAGCAGCCGTACATGCCAGCAATCTAGTCATACCTTATGAACCTCAATGCGCGTTAATCGATCCTCTGAAGTTTGAACTGCGCCCCTCAGGACGGGACGATCTGGACAAGGAATATACCCTGGCCCAATAATCACTTGAACGGTTGAACCTGCCTCCAACAGAAAGGCGGCAAAGGGCGCCTGGAGGCCGGGATGGACCGCAAGGTAGCCGTTATTGATCAGGTGCTACGTCACTGGACGTCGGCCATCGGCCATCGGCCATAATTCTTCAGCTGCGCATCAAGCCGGCGCAGATACCGACATTCACAGCCTCATCCGACGAGAAGCGCGACATCGTGACATCGAGAACGCGTAACATCTGCAAGAAACTGCCTCACGAAGCTTTGCCGACGTGTCAAACTGCAAAAAGCTGTCACCCGACACGAATTGAGTTCATCAACGGCCGACACCAGAACCCTGCCAGCCCTGCCTGCAGAACAGACAGGCCGCCGTCGTCTTTGACGCATGCAGCAGCGAACTCAATTTGCTCTCCACCCAAACACGACTTTGACTCTGGTGTCATCCCCACGTGTGAACTCTGCGCCGCCCTTTCTGACGACCGTTTTCGAAAGCTACACCTGCTAGTGGCAGACCCATATCAGATTCCCCTAGTCCGGGCAGGGCGTTTTATGGATGCATGTCGAATACCGGCCAACGCCTTCAAGATGAGGTAAGCGAGATGTTGTCCCCAGACTACCTACCCATCGTTTATAGTACACATACGTGATGGGACGCCACGAGACTAACAACACTCGCAACTACCAGGGCTCCCGCCTCCAAGTCGTCACCGCGGGCGCCGCGGCCGGCCTCATATCGCGGTTCATGATCGCACCCCTCGACGTGGTCAAGATACGGCTGCAACTACAATCACACTCGCCATCGGACGCTCTACCACACAAGAAGCAAGGCCCGCCCACCGCCAGCTCGCCGGTATACAAGGGGACGCTGCGAACACTACGACTCATTGTCGCTAATGAAGGCATCACGGGCCTGTGGAAGGGCAACGTCCCCGCCGAGATGATGTACGTCTCGTACGCGGCGCTGCAGTTCACGACGTACCGCTCGACGACCGTGTTCCTGCACCAGACGATAGGCGAGGGCAAGCTCCCGCACGCCGCCGAGTCGTTCCTCAGCGGCGCGGCGGCCGGCGCCACAGCCACCGCGGCTACGTACCCGCTGGACCTGCTGCGCACACGCTTCGCCGCGCAGGGCAACGACCGGGTGTACACGTCGCTGCGCCGGGCCGTGGCCGACATCGGGCGCGACGAGGGGTTCCGCGGGTTCTTCCGGGGGCTGGTGCCCGGGCTGGCGCAGATCGTGCCCTTCATGGGCGTCTTCTTCGCCGTGTACGAGACGGCGCGCCTGCCGCTGGGAACCCTAAAAGCCCTGCCCTGGGGCTCCGGGGACGCGACCGCTGGTGTCTTCGCTAGTATCGTGGCCAAGACGTGCGTGTTCCCACTCGACCTCGTGCGCAAGCGCATCCAGGTCCAGGGCCCGACGCGGGGGAGATATGTGCACAAGGATATCCCCGAGTATGCCGGCACCGTGCGCAGTATACGCAGGATCGTGGCGGCGGAGGGCGTCAGAGGCTTGTATAGGGGGCTGACGGTTAGTCTGCTCAAGGCGGCGCCGGCGAGCGCCGTTACGATGTGGACGTATGAGAGGGCTCTCAACTTTCTGGTTAAGCACGGGGAGGAAGAGTCCGGGGACGCGGCATAACTGACTGTTTTGAATATGGACTGGGAAGGCCGTGAGTTATTTCCATGACAGAGCTGGATTAGAATGGCACTCGTCGTGATTAGGGCTGCTTGTTGCATATAGATTTGGGGTTTGGACAGCATCGCGGCATCGAGATATACCCCTTTAGACAGTGTAGAACAAAAGTTGTATACCAATGGTACTCAAAGAACATGTCTTTTGTTGACCAATTACTCCAGTTCGCGTTGAACTACAGTGCCTTTAAATGCTTTACTTGGGAGCAAAATGTTTGAGCAGATAAGTCTGTTCAGCGGGTTCATCATGATGAACTGGATGTCGTACTCATCTGAGGAAGCCGGCCCAGGGGTTTTTACCGCCCACCCGAAGGGCTCTGAGGGTGGGTGCCTTGCATCGCCTCACGATGCCTCATTTTCATGACAATGGCCCACGTAATGCCAATGCATCTAGCCTGTAAGTATGGATGGATTATGTTCATTGAGCATCTATATAAGAAGTGCCACCTAGCAATGTTTTTCTAAATCGATTGCCCGGTCTGTCTGTCATGCTCGCCATGACCTACCTAGACCTGATAGTCCCATGCCGCAATTATAAAGAAACCCGTGTGTTTGCCAAGCCACTCGATGCCTCCCTCTCCCGATGCCTCATCCGCGACGGATCTTGTGATCGACCCATGATGAAGCGAGAGAACCATCCGTACAAGCCCCAATCAACCCAAACCCAAACCAAATCAAACCAGACGCAATGCCGTCAAGACCTCCACCAACAAAAACCCCTCAGAGCAGTCCAAACCCCAGTCCCAGACCCGACACGACGAATCCCAAGCCAACGATGCCACCAAAGCCGCCAGGCTGCAGCGTGGCGCCGGCACTACCGCCGTGACCGCCCTTTCCGAGACGCTTCTTGCCCTCCGCCGTCATGTTGTACACGGACAGCACCCCCGAGCCGCCACAGGCCGTGGTTTTGTTGCCGTCGCACGCGGTGTTGCAGACGGCTTTTGGCTGTGCGGTGCTCAGGGGGTTCCGGGTCCGGGAGCACCAGCACTGGCGGGAGTACTGTTTCGCGGATTGGGAGTCAGTATTTAGGTAGGGATTCAACCTCGAGGTTTTGTTCTTGGAATTGGATGGGGATGAGGAGGAAGTATGTGTACTGGGGGAGTTAGGGGAAAGGGGGTGAAGGAGATGGGGAGGTGTACTGACCTCCAAACCGACGTATTGGTATTGGTTCGTCGACTTGGTGCAGAAGTCAATGCACCAGGGGACGGTCATGTTGCTCTCGGTGTTGTCCGTGACGTTCTGTCTCGTAGGTCAGTTACCATGAACCAAAAAGTGGGAGAAGAAAAGGAAAGGAAGGGCAAGCAAAGGGGTTGGTGGTGCTGACATTGATGCCGTCGTTGAGGGTGCGCTCGCCAGTCGTGTTGGCAAGGCCGGCCGTCTCGGTGTAGCAACCCAAGTAGTTGAACGTGTCGGTGTTGTCCTCGTAGATGGTAAGGGCTGGAGTGGCGTCCTGTGCTGCCTGCGTGGTAGTCGAGAACAGGGCGAGAAGGCAGACGGGGACGAGCACGAGGCTCGGCATGCTGGTGCGGAGTGAGAAGGCCATCGTGAGAGGCGGGGTGTGAGATGGAGCTGGTCTGGGCTGTTGGGGGTTGTTGCAGATGAGCAGAGGATCCCGGGAGCTTTTGGAATCAGGGTGTGCGAATGCGTGCTTTGCTTCAAGGAGCCAGAGATCGATAACAACGATGCCGGGGCCGGGGCTGATTGATGTAAGTTATGCCTCACGATAGCAAACGCTGCGATGATGCTGGTGATCCAAAGTGATTTGTAGATGGGAGGAGTCGAAGTTGCCTGGCAGCGTTCCGATATATGTGATTATCCACAGACAGACTTCAACGGCAAGAGCTTCAATGCTGCTGTTTGTTGTTCTTGCAACATGAGAATGGAAGACAAGCCCGTCGTTGTCCCTTCACTCGGACCCTCACGAAGCAAGAGGCAAGAGGCAGGGAGAAGGCGACGACACTCGCAACCGGCGTAGCAGGTACACGTAGTAATAGTACCGGTACTACCTTGTCTTTCTTCCTCGCGGGATCAGTTCCAATTGTCTTTTCAGCCGCGGAAGGAAGACTAGTCCTGCTGTTCCGACTCCCGCGTCAGGCTCGTGTAATTTTCCTAGCGCATCGCAGCTCGGCGTTGATGCGACGAAAGCTGATTCGACCGTCAGTTCAGCTGAGCGGCGTGGCAGCAAGCGCCGATCCAGCCCCCCAAGCCTCGCTTCAATATTTCCTGAGCTGAAGGCGGTTCCGTTTCTTATCCATGAGCCAGCTCGAGGGTTACAGTCGGTCTTTCTTTATGTTTGCTACCTACCTTTCGATGATTGACCATCCCCGGTGGCCCCTCCTTCCCACGCTGCTAGAAGTGCCGCCACGAGATAACTTCAGTCACTGCCCTCGTTACTATCATTGATGACTATGATGGGCAGTGCCTCAGCTCCCTACTGTCCAATTGGCTTGCCCTTGCTGCGGATGCGTGCGCCATCGTATAGGTAGGCACGGCCAGACGTATGTATGAACATTCAGCCCCTCACGAGGTTCGCAGAGCAGCCATGTTTGCCAGGTAGAAATAGGGGGAATATCCCAGAAGGTATTCCACAGGTAGGTATGATATGTACACCTTCTAACCCTTCACGTAGGTATATATACACTCTCACCATAACCGACCTCTAATGTACAGTATGGTATACGTGCCATCTCAACCATGCACATCGTCTTTGATTCCCCAGCTCCCAACAAGTCTCATGGCCTTCTCGTCCCCGTCTATCAACCGTTCGTCTTGCAGAGTGTCTGAGAGACATCTCCAGGGATCCCGACTGCCTCCCCACTTGAGTAGGTTTTCCTTCAATCGCTCGCCGTTGGCTCGGTCCAGCGCAGCACCATTCTGGCCTGCCGAGAAGACAACTCTCCAGACACGCTCGGAGAGCACTTGGTCGAAGAGATAGCTGTAGTAGGTGCTGCCATACCCAAAGAGATGCCCGAAGAAGCCTTGCCACCTCGTTCCCTTGGGATCTGGGGGGAGTTTCCCATACTTTCTTTGGAGGTCAAGATAGACCTCGGTCGAATCAAAGTTGGGCTCCTTTACTAATGAGGAGTGGTATTTCTGGTCGAGCATGGCAAGGATGATCTGGTTCTCGCGATCTGATGCCTCGAACCGATTGAAGACCTGCAGCCTCTCTGCAATCATGTGATAGGGCAGAGGCTCATCTGTTTTGTGGTGTCGCGCAAACAGCGCAAGAACAGAAGGGTCTGCACAGAAGTGTTCCATCAGCGTAGAGGGCAGCTCAGCGAGGTCAGTCGCACACCGGGTACCAGCAACGTTCTGAAGGGATGTGCGGGCCAGTATTGAGTGTATCGCATGTCCCATCTCATGAAACAGCGTCTCAACCTGATAGTAATCCAGCAAAGCTGGCTCGTCCTGCCCTTCTCTGTCTTGATGGAAATCGCAGACTAACGCGATTGTGGGCAGTTGCTTTACCGAGCCAGACTGCTGGGAAACATGCATCCCATCATTCGCAGCATCAATAGCCGATTCAAACGTGGGTAATCCGTCGACACCGTTCTGTTCCCATGCTTCTTGGATCTCCCTCGTCGAGATCTCTCTCGAGCAACGCACAGTAAAGTGTGCAGGGTTGGGGGATTTGTCCTCCCGATAGAAGAGATCACAGTAAAGCACGGCCACATGTCCATCAGTGTCCGAGATCACGTTTAGTCGCCTGACATCAGGATGCCATGTCTCTCCCGGCAGAGTATCGGTAGGTACGAACCTGATTCCGTACAAGCGAGTAAATAATCTCGACAGGCCCTGCATAACGGTACCAAGAGAGAAGTAGGCGGACAACGAATCATCAGTTCGCCTTTTAGACCTCATCGCTGCGCGTATACTCTCCATATAGTAATCCTTATCCCAAGGGTGAAGGTCGGCTGCGGTGGGCAGATGAAGCCTTTTCCTCTTCTCATTCAGGAGATCCGTCATCTCCTGTTCGACAAGCGGAGTGTTGTGCTTGGACAATGCCGAAAGGAACTGATGGACGGACTCGGGGGTCTTCGCCATCATCTTATCCCGGAGAGCCATCTGGCCGTAGCTCTCGAACCCGGAGAGATTGGCAAGCTCAGCACGCGTCCTAAGAAGTTCCTCTAGTGTTCCCACCGACCGACGTGAGGCAGTCCGAGTGGCCATGTAGATAGCCTCTCTCGTATCAGCATCGTGAACGCTCCTCAAAGCCACAGTTGCCGCCGGGGCCATGGTCGGTAGAAGCAGGTTACGAAGCCGAACGAATCTCTGTGCGATTTGAGGTGGCATGCCGTGGAACTTGGAGCTGGGTAAAGAGACATACATCTGCTCTGGCTCCATATTTTCGACAAAATTCGCACCCAGCTCGCTGATGCTCTGCGACACGTCGACGAAGGCATCTCGAGTCTCTTGCGGAAGGTGTATCGCAGACTTCTTGAAGTCTTGGTACAAAAGCTGCGCGACGGTTCGCTCCTCCTCATTCCAACTAGCCATGACCTCGGAGCTGGCCAGAGCCCTCCCAAGCTGGTCGCTCAACCCAGTCGAGGTGTTGAGTTGGTTCATGTACATGTATACTTCTGACCACGCATCAGACGCCGCGCGTTGTATCTTCTCGTCTGGATGGGTGACCCGGACGAAGTCGCAGACATCCAGAACCCGGCAAAGTACATCGCTAAGTCTGTCGAGGTCACGGACCAATTCTTTGTATTCTTCCACTGTAGACGCCCCGAGGACCTTCTCGACAAGCCTCGATGCTCGAACGACGGTAACATCGGCGAAGGTTGCAAAGCCTTGCGGCGACGTCAGGTACTTGTTCCGGAACAGCCCAACATTTCGCGAACTGGCGCTATCGAACAGCGGCCGGACGAAGTGTCGGAAAGTTGGAGGGCTATCGAATATCTGGCGCAATACCGCATCGTCATACTTCGCACCGGGAGGAGAGTGGTCGACCGGTGTGCGAAAGCCGTCGAGTTGAGCGGCGCTGGGTGCAGCAGACCGCCAACGCCGCTGCTGATGTTGAGCCCGGGATGCTTGTCGAATGCATCTTGAACAGGTCCAGAGGCCTGATCGTAGAGTTTTGATCATACTGCGCAGACCATCGTTATCTTGATAATTCGAACCCGACAACCAGCCTCGGAAGTAAATAAACACACGAAGAGAAGACGAGTAAATGAGTGTTGCCAACTTGTATTTACAAAGAAGATTTGATGATTCCCTTACATGACCTTAAGAGGGCCGATTCGATTAAAGATAGGCCTTGCGAGGTAGGTAATGCGAGGCTGCCACTACCGGTATCCACAGGCCCCGACCGAACCTCCGGAAATCGCCGCGTACGAAAAAAGGTACCCGGGCCATGTATCCTGGACCTACGTAACGAAACCTCCAGCTTTCATTTTCTCGACGTAGGAGCAGGAAGACAAGTGCCCGCGACACACACCTCCGTCAATTGCCAGCACAATGGCCGCGAGAATACTGCTGCTCAAGGTATGTCTCACAACTGAGAAGTCAATTGACTCGACCGGGCAAGCTGATACGTTCTGCTGCATAGCGGGCCGCCGCGCCTCTCATGGCAGCCACCATCGCCGGACAGACCTTATATCCCTCGAGAGTAGCCCAGGCCGAAGCACCACACCCCTACGAGCAGGTACGGCAGCAACCATGCCTTGAATAGCATACTTACTTACATGTCGAACAGCATGCACACAAGAAGCCCATCTACGACGACTTCTCCGAGGAGGCGCCGCTCCCCAAGGCCAGCACGCCCGTCCCGTCCCCAACCTCCGACACCATACCCGCCTCGCCGCCATCGCCATCCCTCCTCCCAGGCTCCGCCGAGCAGACACGCCACAACACGCCGCAACACGGCCCGACACCCACGGACCGGCTCGCCGTGCAGATCGGCCAAGCGCGGCTCTTCCTGCACCACTACGCCGTCGCGACCGAAGACGCCGTCAACAGCACCATGGACCAAGCCTTCCACCTCGAGAAATCGTTCACCACCACCATCGCGTCGCTGGCGCCCGCGCGCGAGACGGGCGAGCAGCTGATGCCGGGGCTGGTGTACGTGCTGGTGGCCTCGATGGCGGGCAGCATCGTGACGCGCAACCGCAATTTTGTGCTACGAGCCGCTGTGCCGCTGGCGCTCGGCGTCGGCGCCGGCTGGCTGGTCGTGCCCGTCACCATGGGGAATGTTTCCGCGCTGCTGTGGACGTACGAGCGGCGCTTCCCGGCCGTCGCCGAGGCGCACCTGAAGGCGCGGGAATCCATTGCGCAAGGCTGGCATGCGGCACGCGTCCATGCCGACCTGTCGAAGCACTATGTTGATGAGAAGGTCACTACTGCGCGGGATGTCGTCGAGGGCTGGGTCAAGGAGGGCAAATGAGGTGGCACCTAGGGGTACTGTACCTACCTCCACCTACTTACTACCAGAGGGCTCCTGCGGAATTAGGCCTTGTATCATAGACGAATAGAAAGCAGCTTTTCTTTTGTTCAGGTCGCGGGTCTGATAGCATATATACTTGCCATCTAGATGCTTCCGCGCAAGCTGACAGGGTGATTATACAGGTTGCTGAAAATCTAAGCATTTCTAAGGATATAGGAAGTGTTTTGCTTGAGGTGCTGTCTCCTCGAGTAACCCAGCAAAATGGGCGCCGTCTCGTATAACAAGTCGTCGAGACTTGATCGCCAACAAGGCTAAGAACGTAAATTTGCCAGTGTGGAAAGAACATGATATGTTATTTCAATGGCGCTTTGTCCTGTTAAGTAGGGTAGAGATAGGGGTCCATGAGCCGGCTTCCTCGGATGAGTGTAACATTCGTAGTACGAAGCGATATAGTGATCACCCCAGTCATTCCATCAAAAACATTCGCGTAAACCACATGATCATTCATCCATTTTATTCTATGAGCCGCTCGTCTCGGTATCCTATGTTATGTTATGTCATATCCAAAGGCCCCAAGCCCCTCTCCTTCACAGCCCCCTGGACCTCCCGCTTGACATCCCTTACAACGTCCCGCCACGCCGCTTTACCCGGCGACTCCTCAACCCCATCCTCATCCTCCGCATCCTCGTCGACCAGGTAGTCCAACCACCTGACCAGCTTCAGCGCCTTGTCCATGTCCTTCTCCTCCAGGACGACCCTAGCCAGGTACTTCTCGAGCATCTCGACGTCGCGCCTGTGCGGCCCCTCGTCCTGCGTCTCGCGGTGCCACACGTTCAGCATGTCGCGGATCTCCGACAGCGTCGTCAGGCCGCCGCTCGTGAAGCCGATCCTGGGCGGCCGCGCGGCGAACTGCAGTTTTGTCTGTCCGCCCGGGAGAATTCCGAGGCCGTCGTCGGTTTCAAGGGTGGCTGTATCCTGGTTGTTGCGCTTGTTGTGGTGGGGGTGGTTGATCTTGAGGTTGAGGCCCGACCGCTGCTGGGCTTTGCGCCGGCGGTGGTCGGCTATGAGCTCCTTGCGCACTTCGTCCGGCAGCTCGGCGAGGAAGGCTGGGTCGAGCTCGTCGATGACGACGTCGGCGCTGGATCCAGCAGCGCTTTCGGCTTGCTTGTGCGAGAGGAAGTTGGTCTGGACGACTTTGGCGTTTGCGTCGGCCGCTCGCTCGCGCGCCTTGCCGAATAAGCCGCTTCCGCGGGGCCGGCCGCGGCGCTTGGTCGGGGTCCATTTCTTCGTCTGTGGGATTATACGGTCCTTGCGCGGCGACTGCGGCAGGACGGCCTGTCTGCCGCCTCCTCCTCCTCCGCCTCCCCCTAGGGGTTTGTGGGAGGCCAGGATCTCGGCCTTCATGTCCTCTGGGAGTGCGTTGAATACCTCTGGGTCGAACTCGGGCGGGATATCTGCTGCTGCTGCTACTGCTGCCGGCGCTGGGCTTTGTGTTCGTGACTTCGCGGCTGGCGACTCTTCGCGAGGTTCAGGCATGGCTCGGCTCTGGGCCATGAGCCTGCTTCGGATGTCCCGAGGGAGTTCTGCTAGTACGGCGGGATCGGCGTTAGTGGGCATGATGAACTGCGTTCCACCGATGTTAAGGGGAGTCCGGGCCTTGACATCTTTGTCGCCTGCTCGTGATATTACCAGAGCCGGATGGGAAGGCGTAGACTGTGGTTTTCGCGGAGTCAGCGGACTGTCATCGATAGGGTCTGACAAGGAGGTGCTTCGCCCTTGAGGCGAATTCGTAGTTGTTTCCAGGCCACCAGTATCCTGTATGGGATCTTGGACCGGCTTCTTTGCTGACGCAGGAGCACGGAAAGCTCCAAAGCTCAGTTTCTTCTGACTCCCGTCAGGACCAGACAGCGAGTTGATCGGCTCAAGTTTCGTCAGCTGTACACCCAGGCCACGAAGGTCGCCAGGACTGAACTTGTAAGATCGCAGAATTGACACTGCTTCTTTCCCCAACACCTGACAGTCGTGCGTAGCGACGCCAAACATCACGCTTTTATTGAAGGTGTCACACTTTCCATGGCCCAAATGCTTCGGGGGATCTAGTGGTGCGTCAAGCGATCGTCTCATGATTTTCATGGTGAGTTGTTTGCCTCTGACCTGCTCGTGGAGCAGACGCTTCTCCAGCTCCTTGCACAGGTTGAACACGAACTCCTCGGCTTCGTCCTGGCTGATGAACCTGATCCCCCAGTTGACTTCAGCAGACACAGATTTCCGGATAGGTTGCTCGCCAACTTCTGTTCGGTCGATACCCCTAGCATATTCCCAGAGCTTCTCCCCCGTTTTGGGACCCAGAGTGTTGACCAGACGCTCCTTGGACGTTTGTCGAATGTCATTGACGTACTTCACCCCGATCTCCTCTAACTTGCCAGCAATACTGTACGCAACACCAGGCAGGTCGTCGACTTTCAGCTCCCCAAGGAAACTTTGCACCTCCTCTGGTTTGATCTGGTATTGGCCTGCGGGTTTCGCTTTCCGGAGCGCGACCTTGGCCAGTAGGATGTTGCCCCCGATCCCCACAGATACAGCACACCCAGTCTTCTTCTTGATCTCATCTCGCAAGGCTGAGGCTATCTGGTCAGCTTTCTCTTGCTCTCGCCATATGCTACCCTCGTTGACACCAGAGCCATCCGACCCGACAGCAGATAGTATAACCGAAGTGGCGTCCACCAGAGCTTCGTCGATGCTCACACTCCGGACCACACCTCCAACTTCCAAGATGCTTTCGTAGAACAATTTACTCGCATCTTCATATGCCGGAAAGTCATATGGTAGCACCTTGAGGTCAGGATATAATTCTTTGGCGCGCTTCATCCACATGCCGTTTTTCACGCCGTACTTCCTTGCCGGATAGTTGCAACTTGCAATTTCCGACCCGGTACCCGTACCATGAGCAACAGCCGTGGGCTTATCAACAAATTCGGGTGCATTCTTGAGGGAAACAGCGCAGAAGAAGCTGTCAAAGTCGACATGCATGATGTATCGCCGCGCGCCTGGTTTTCTCTTTATTGGTTTTCGTTGCGGTCCCTTCTCAGCTGCAAGCCTCTGCATCCTCGACTTGAGTTCGACTTTCCAAGTTGATAAATGATGAAGACGGCTCTCAGAGTAGTATTGTTGTATGAAATCCGGATTCGCCGTCGAAGACTTCCTCATTCGAGGATCTTGAAGTAGCATGGTGTTGTGCTCCTCGGACGTCATCGCCTTTCGCTGTTCAAGCGATGGGGCTGAGTCAACCTGATCTTCCATAATGCTTTCGCCTGCGACATTCGACAGTTGAGGTTGAAAGTCAACGATAGGGTCACCTTCGGCGTCTGGGTCAATTAAGATATCAGAGTCTGCATGTCCATCATCGGGTGTTGGCGGAGTGCTGTTCGATTCTCCAAATACCCCTACAGCCACAGACTGACCTCCTTGCTCGCCCTTGTAGTTTGCACTGCCTGCTGCTGCTGCTGCTGATCCGTGTCGAGTAGGTGACTCAACACGGGCATGTGCTCCGTCAATCGCCTCCGCCAAGTTTCTGAGTTGGCTAGTGTAGAAGCTGTTTCCTGTCTGCTCTCGGTAACCCGCAAGGGGTGATTGTTGTGTGTGAGACTGGGTAGATAAGCCTGTGCCATCTACCCTGAGAGTCTTCTGCCGGGGAGTCTCTTCGATGACTCGGTAATCCGACCATGGAAGGAGTTTGCCAGCTTGAATCGACTCTACTACCCAAGACGGCTTGACAATCCGATACTTGTTGAATTCAATCATCTTTTTGGGCGGCAGACTTGAGGCAATGATATGAGTGGCCATTGTCTTGGAGTCCAAGTACTGGAGAAATGCAGCGCCGTGCTGAACCAATTCGCGATGCAGGCTGCGTCGTGTTAGTACGGCCGTACTCGTAGACATCATAATGTCGAACTCACACATGGAGTGGCGGCTGTGTGTAACCTGTCACATGGGCCACAACTCCCTTGAATATCTGGGGTTTGCCTGTGGAAGAAGATCTCAACTCCGAGTCGAGGTTCTGAAGTTTGATCTTCTTGCGGCGGAAATAGTCGGGGAAGCCACCAAAAGCACTCCCCTCGTACTCCTCGCCCCCTTCATCCGAAAAAGTGTGGTTTTCTATGCGTTTCCGCACAGCGTTGGAGTTTTTATCCAAGCGACTCCCCATTTTGACGTGCTGTTGAGTCGGACCGCCCTCCTTCACGAATCGATGCTCCCCCTTCGCTTGCCTGTGGCGATCTTTCTATGCGCGTTCATCCTGCAAACCGCGTAGACGCGGCGTTGACGGGTCTAACGGGACTGGATGTATTCCGTGTTTCGTACCATGTTGGGTCGTAAGGGCAAATAAAAATGACACTGCACTTTGAATCAAAATCAATCACAACACCGCAGTAGGGTAGCTCTTAGTGTGGACAAAGGCAGCCCATGCCTCTTGCTGCGACGCGCACAGTCACACGTCATCTCGTGACGAGCTGCAGCCACTCTATTAAGGTACCTATGGCCCCACTTTATGATACTTGCATGTGAACAGGAGATCCAGCACCACCGCCGCAAATGCCGGGATCTTAATGGATCCATATCTTCACAAGCCACTCTTTGCATGATCACTAACACTTGTTCCACCTTCAGCCTTGCACACCGGCGGGAAGGTCGCGCGTGGCATATCGTTTCGGAGAGGGTTCGACGTGTGATTTTGACCGCAGATTCGCAAATATGAACAACGAACAGTTCCGTCGACTCGTCTCCACGAATACGCCCAAGCCATCGGCCGACAGCAATGGCGCAACACCCACTCCTCCTCGAGGAGCGGCCCTTGGGTCTAGGCAGAGATCTAGTATCCCCATGACTCCGTAAGTTTGTGATCATTCAGGGAACCATGCTCGTGGCTAATAAGAGGCTCAGACGTTCAGTGGCAGGCCTTCATAAATCCGACTTCGCGCGACAACTGGCAGAGCGAAACCAGCCCGACAAGCAACAAAAGAAACCTCGATCATTTGCCCCGAAAGGTAGCAAGCTAGCACAAGGATACACCGATCGCACACAAGCCACCAGGATCTCGGATGAGGAAGACGAAAGGGCCGCCAGAATAAAAGCACTGGAGGAGGCTCTGAAGAAAGAAGAGATCGATCAGGAAACATTTGACAAGCTCAGATTTCAGATCGCGGGCGGGGATCTATCGAGCACACATCTTGTCAAAGGGCTCGACTTCAAACTGCTCGAACGGGTACGGAAAGGCGAGGATGTCTACGATGAACACAAGACCGAGGAGGACGAGGATGAGGAAGCAGGACCCGAGCCAGAAGACGTCGAGGGCGAATTCGATCGGTTAGAAGAAGACGAGGTGGCGGCAGTAGCCAAGGAGAAAGCAGCCAAGAAAGGTCAGCTATCGACAGCGCCGTTGAACCCCTCGAAGAAGCGGACAAGAGACCAGGTTCTAGCGGAGATGAAGGCTGCCAGAGAAGCTGCCAAAGCCAAGCAGGAGGAATCCGCTCTAGGGCAAAGATTCAAGAAGATCGGTCCCAAAACGCCTGGCACAAGGATAGAAAGGGATAGCAAAGGTCGTGAAGTCATGATAATCGTGGACGAAGATGGGCACGAGAAGCGCAAAGTGCGCAAGACCCATGCCAATCTTGGTGACCCGAAGTCGAAGGCGAGCGATATGATGGTGCCTGGTCCGAACGCAAAGCCCCTGGGAATGGAAGTACCCGACATCTACAAACCGAAAGTGGAAGAGCCAGAGGACGAAGATATCAACATCTTCGATGATGTTGGGGATGATTATGACCCTCTCGCGGGGCTGGACGAAGACTCGGATGAGGACGAACCTGCAGATAAGGCCGAGGTTTTAGATGCTAGCAAGAAGGACAAAGATGCGATGCCACCACCCCCACGGCCAGCTGCCACTACGGAACGGCGGAACTACTTCAAGGATTCCAAGACAGCTCTGGCATCATCCGAGACTCTCACGGCGCCGTCCATGTCGGATCCAGCGATACAAGCGGCTTTCAAGAAGGCAGCTACGCTCAAGCAAATGTCAAGGGAGACGGATGAAGACGACGAGGAAGCCAAGGCCAAGGCGGAGCGACATCGGAAGATGCTGGAGAATAACGACCGTGACGCGGAAGATATGGATATGGGCTTCGGCACGAGCAGGTTTGAGGACGAGGCAGACTTTGACGAGACGAAAGTCAAGCTATCAGAATGGGGTCGCGACGGCGATGAGGATGACACGGGTGGCAAAGGGGGCGGCGCAAAGCGCAAGAGGGGAGGGAAGAAGCGCAAGGGCGACGCTAACAATGCGGCAGATGTTTTGCGTGTGATGGAGAAGCAGAAAGCTGACAAGGCCAAGTGACCACATCGTGATTGATTGTCGAGTACCAATAAACAAGCATCAGAAGCATTCTAAGCATTCTAAGCAGGCGTAGTTTTTCAATTACTTTGATACTCCCTTATTCGACTTGGTTTCTCGTTTGGACCCTGAGTTTATTACACCCATTTGTGTTATCAGCATCAGGAATGAGGCTTGAACTTAGTCTAATCTGCTGCTCAGTCTAAACTGAATAACTTTCTCTTTAACTGGCGCTTAGGCACCAGCGTGTTCTAACTGGAGATAGTTCACATAAATGTGTTATCAATCAGCTCCTCTGGGTCGGTGAGACACGATCGTCTCTCCACCAAGAAACAAGGGGCCGACCGGCAGCAGGAGACATCGCCGACTACCGCCGCACCCACAGTGCCCACAGTAGGCGGGCAGGCCCACACAAACGCCGGCTTCGACCTGTCCGTCTCAGACCATCCCCAGGACAACCTTCATCATTGCTTCTCACTTCACACCTATCTCCTATCTCATATACCTTCAAGTTTGTGTATACTCATCAGATTGCACTTGAGATTACCTAGGTTACTCATCACTCTTCTAATAATAATAATGTCTGAACCCGTTCAGCTTTGGCTGGACTGCGATCCAGGTCACGATGTAAGTTGGTTGATGACGTCCCAGCCGGGACTTTGGGTTATTCACTCCATCGTATTTCCAAGTTGCGACTTCAGACTGTGTATAACCAGTCTCGCGCCGCACGACGGCTTGTTCGGGCCGGCGCTCGTACAGATTGAGATCCGACTGTACCACCCAACGTCCACCCCAGGTTACCTGTCTCACGACGCAGTCTCACAGACCTCACCTATAGTCATCATGCAAACCCTCTCCCCAACCTATTCACTATCTACTTACGAGACCAAAGACGGCAAGACTAACATGACACCCCCCAGGACGTCTTCGCCATCCTGCTCGGCGCATACCACCCAGGCATCAAGCTCCTGGGCATCAGCACGGTGCACGGCAACGCCTCACTAGACAAGACGACCAACAACGCGCTATCGGTACTGAAAGCCATCGGCAAGCACGACGACATAGCCGTGTACCCGGGCGCCGCGCAGGCGCTCCAGCGCGACCCCATCCACGCGCCCACCGACATCCACGGGGAGTCCGGGCTAGACGGCACGAGCTTGCTGCCGAAACCAGCCCGCAAAGCGCAAACGGACAAGTCGGCCGTCGACGCCATGGCCGACGCGCTGCGCGCCACGGCGCCCGGCTCGGCGTGGGTGGTCGCCACGGGCGGCCTAACCAACGTCGGCGCGCTGTTTCAGGCGCACCCGGAGCTAAGGGCGCATATCGCAGGTCTGAGCATCATGGGCGGAGCCGTGGGCGGGGGCTTCACACCAGCAGTAATGAGTCGCGTGGATGATCACGAGGCCGAGGAAGGACAAGATGAGAAACAAGAGGCGCGCGTGGGCAACTACACGCGCTGGGCCGAGTTCAACGTGCTGATCGACCCCGAGGCGGCGGCGCTGCTGTTGGAGGACCCCGTGCTGGCGCCCAAGACGACGCTGGTGCCGCTAGATTTGACGCACCTCATGCTGGCCACGCGCGACATGCAGGATATGCTGCTGTATGGACGTGGTGGTGAGGGCTCGACGGTGAGCGAGGTCGCGCGGGAGGACCGCGAGGAGGGAAGGGAGCCTAAGTCTAGGCTAAGGGTTATGCTCATTGAGCTGCTGAATTTCTTTGCTGAGACTTATCGGTGAGTGCGCTGCTGGCTGGCCTGCTTGTTACCATCCTTGTCCCAGCCGACATACACACTCCACACAAGAGAAAGGGGAAGCCGTGAGAGAAAGACAACCGTCTAACTTGAAACACAGCGACGTATTCGGCATAATGGAAGGCCCGCCCCTGCACGACCCGCTAGCCGTGGCGGCGATCCTCACAGGCACTTCGCACGAGATCCCCTTCTACGACTTCGACCCCAAATCGGCCGAGGGCCCGGAGCGGCGCGGGCGCGAGCGGTTTGCGGTAAAGGTCGTGACCGAGGGCTCGCTGGATGACGCGCTGCACCGCGGCGCGCAGACGGGCCGCACACTCGTGCAGCTCCTACCGCCCGGGAGCGAGGGCGTGCGCATCCCGCGCGGCCTCGACATCGAGAGGTTCTGGCGCGTCGTCGAGGAGTGCTGCCAGAGGGCCGACGAGGCGAATGCGCGCTTGGGCGGGGAGCTGAGGTAGCCACGAGCACGCGGACTGGGGATGCGAGGCGGGTGCGTACGGTGGAAGATGAGATGGCATTAGGCTTATTAGACATGATTAGACGTGATTAGATCTCTGAATATTAGAATATCTCTCACACATCTTTCAGTCTAACCCGCGATCTCAAGTCGAATGCAGTAGCTATCGATCGATACCTTACATCAGATGGTACAAGTACACTTGCGTGTCACTTATCTATATAAACACCGGCCTCAACGCCATTTTCCCATGATCCAAAGTGGCCGGCGCTTCTTTTCCAGAAGCCATCCTTGACGCCTGAAAGTCCTGGTCTTCACAAAGCGTGTGCTCTATCATACCCTACTCTAGTCATCCCCAGTAAGATCAATGACCTCAGTCGCCTTGCGCTTCGTGCCAGCCTGGGGGGTTGATGATGAGTAATTCGGCCGCAGAGGAGTCACTCTAGAACCGGACAAGTAGTCCGGCCGCAAAGGAGTTACTCGAGAACCCGACGACGAGCTGCGCGACTCCGAAGCAGATTGCGAGGAAGCGTTATCCCCACGCCACGTCGACTCAAAGGTCCGTCGCGTACTCCGAAAGGGGCTTGCCGGTGTCGGAGCAGGACGGGGCGGGCCAATTAGTCCTATCGCCCTCGAGTAAGTCGACGGCGCCTTCGGACGAGCTGGTTGAGAAGACCTAGGCGTCGGCGTCGGGGCACTGGGCGTGAGTTTCGGTTTCGGGACCGGGTAGTCTGAGCCGGCGGAGCTGACCATTCGAGCAATCTCTGCGTCCAGTCGCGCGAGCTCCTACGCTGGGTTGCCTGACACTGGTGCAAGCGGTGGTCGAGGATTCCGTGTAGAGGATGAATTAGTCTGTCCGGAAGCGATGCCTTCGCTCTCGAGGATCGCCATGCTCATGATGTCCTGATATAGGTCTGCCAGCACGACGCGCAATTTCTGCTGGTCGAACGCGTCGAGCTGCTTCTCTGCCTGCACCCGCCGCTCCTCCCAGCTCTTCACATCCGCCTCGCACCCGCTGCTTCTCTTCGTCACCACCAGGGTCTCCGGCCTGGTCGATCGTACAGTCTCGTGTGTGCAGTGGTCTCCAGCGGCTTCGATTCGAGAGTGCAAATGTTGTCTTCGAGCCTTGGCCAGAGGGAAACAACCCACTTGTCGGGTAGGGTCGGCGAGAAACTCATTCAGGGCGGTGCAGTCTTTGCAACGAATTAGGCATTCCACCGTTTTGGTCGAGTATGTCTCCTTGGGGCGTTCCCCGACGCAGGTGAATAAGTAGGCGGTGATGATGCTCTGATAGAAGACCAACCACCGAGGTTCCGAAAGCAGAACCCCATGTTTACCAATGACGTGAAACAGGTCCTGGAGCAGCGGGATCCAGAGTGACTTAAATTCATCCCCTCCGATGTGTCCAACCCATTGAGCATCGAGGAAAAGATTCAGTTGCTCTTCGAGGCCAAGTTCGAAAAGAGAGGAGATGAACCATAGCATCGAGGAGTGGGCAGAGACGCTCGTGGTTGGCGCAGATGGCGCCGAGGCAGCTGTTCCATCGCCGGTCTTTCGCCGCTTGACTGGAGTAGCCTAGAATGCCTGTGTCAAACCGCTATCAAAGTTTTGAATCGCAAGCTGTGCCAGCTTCTTGTATGCTGATTTGGCCTCTTCTTGTGGGACCTGCCTGCGCCTCATGCTTTGATGCAACGTCTTGAGGAAATTCAATACGAATGCCGTCGAAATGATGTTGCTCTCGACGACGGGTAACACCCTGTGCGTCCATATTAGTGAATTGAGACGGACAGTTTTGATCGTATACACTCACGATGTCTTCAGGTATTTCCAGCCTTTGTGGTAATACGCAAGATCAAATAGTGCAGGACCATCTTCGTAGGAGAATGTCTTGTCTCCGATGGCGTCAAGGGCGGTGTCAGCGGCACGCGATATGAGGTTCTCCAGCCCAGGGGGTGGCTCATAATCCCCACCGATGGAGACAATAGCCTCATATTCTCTGGCAAGTGAATGTTGGTTCTGGATCGAGTGGACGAATCTGAGATCTTTAGCCAGTGTCACAGGGGACTTCGTTCCATGTCACTTACACCTTCTCTAGGTTCGTCCATGTGATTTTCGACGCGTAGCATTCTCCTCTTAAGGCGACAACAGATTCAAGGTTGACTGGTTTTTTTCGTCAAGCTCAGGACTGTATCGATCAGCTCTGGCTCGTCGCCAAGCATCGACACCTGCAGCGCGCCTCCAATGAGCTCTCCAGGAGGGGGGCGACCGGGCTGGTGGTAGGTATAGAGCTGCTTAAAGGCTTCATGTAACTGGGTTAACGCCAACTTGTTACCAGGGGACTGAATACGCCGATGCACGAAGAAATTAGTGACCTCGATCATTCTTTCGTGGCCACTAGAGCGGCTGTGGGAATGCCCGGTGAGAAATGCTAGAAGTCCTTCCAAAGGCACCATGGCACCTCGAGGCCCGCCGGTAACGCCGTCAGACCATCTTCGAAATTGCCTCCGCCGAGGTCGTCGTCGCCGCCAGTAAGGTTATCGAGGCTTGCTGAGAAATAGTTGTCATCGGGTATGCGAAGCCGCTTGAGCCGAGGGAAGTCCTTGAAGGTCCTGATGGGGTCGTAGTCGTCCTCATCCAATTCGATCCACCCTTCGCGACGAAAATCGTCGATCCATATATTCTCAAGAGTCTCGCTCTGGAGGAGCAGCGCCCGCCACAGTGCTGGGTAGCTGACAGCGATCGGAGCATGCTCGACTGGTGGGGCTACCGTGTAGATGAACGTCTCCAGTCCCTTGGGCTTCGCGAGCATGTTGCGCATGTCAACCGCGCTGAGCCTGCAGGCGTGCAACTCGAGATGCGTACACCCTGAGCTACCGGGACTGGAGTCCGCGAGAACCTTGTCCGGAATGCCTTGCTCATTATACTCATGCGAACCGGGCTTCGTCGTCGAGGCGCTGTGGTAGATCGCCCTCACCGAAGGAATCAGGAAGACCGGGGTAAAAAGGCGGCCATACTCCATCCACACATCGCGAGATGCATGGAACACAATGTATTCCAGTCGCGTCAGTGCTGGCTTGGCATCGAACGGCTTCTCGCCGCCAGCAACCCGCAGCAGCATCTGGCGAGTACGTTCGCATGCAAAGTGGTCCAGTCGTAGAGTCTCGAGGTTGCTCAATCGCGGAAGGACCAGCGCCAGCAGACTGTCTTCATGCCAGGCGCCTTTGACGTCAGGCTCGGCCTTTTTAAGCCAATCTATGTGCTCCCGCGTCGAATGGCTCGCCGCAGTGATCGCATCTTTCACTGAGGCCGCGTGCGAGCTCTGTGAGACGACCTCCCCGAGGCGTGCCTCCAGATCCTGATCCGCGGTCTCCTCCGAGACGTCAATCTCAGGATCCAGGTTACCCCAAGAGTAGCGTGCTCCCGGGATGAACCTGCAGTGTCGGACGCACGACGCGAGGTCCGGCCTCCGCAGTAGCAGCGTGGCCACTGCCGTGACACGACCAACGGACTGGGTCTTGGAAGTGAGGCCAGCGAGCTCGATATGACGGTAGAGAAACGGCGCGGCCACTTCGTAAAGGTATCGCGAACATCTGGCTATTCGGCTCAACGACCCTCGGTCGGCGTGCTCGAAGACAAGTGAGAGCAGCTCCGCAGGTAATGTCGGAAGTTGACCACTCATCTTGGCGATGCTGGACAGCTGGTTTCTCTACTTCTCCCGGCAGACTAAGCCTTTGAGGATGGCAAGCCTTTTCCAGTCGAGGAGACTTCGGTGGCGTTGTGTATATCTAGAGTTGGTCCCAAGAGACGACGTCTTTTGAATCGGCACAAACCCCACGTACTGAACGCTTTGAGTATTCCCGACTATTGGCAAGACCACTTTACTGGCAGCACTCGTGATCTGATTGGTTTCCCCTGATTGATTTGCCGTTGATAGAACGGGGGAAGGCACCGCGTGCGCAGATATTCCAAGAAAAGTGGCTCTGCCAATAACCGGTGATACTCAAAGCCCTTCGGTAAGTGCCGATATAGCGTGCTGTCTCATCCCTTTGACGACGGTTTCGGCACCAGAAAAAATCCATTACCTACACCACCCCTGCTAACAACTGGTATATCGCGAATATTAAGATTTAAAATGCCGCTATTGATGAATTGAGCAGTATAATTAACTTAAATTAATTGATATTAATATATTAAGTATAATATTTTACGATTTAAGTATTTATGTATTTAATTTAAATTATTTGTTTGTGTTATAAGCTTTTTAAAATAGATTTATCAAAGTTAAAAGCTAATAAGGGCATTTTCGAGCTTAATATTGCTTCAACCGACTAATACTTTTTCGTTTTTAAGCTATTATATCTGCTACCACGCGAAATCGAAGTAAAGTTATTATTTAATATTATTATAAAGTTATTCGCGTTTTCCTCTTCCGGTTTAAAAGCTTTAAAAGTGGGTAATATATATATAAAAGGGGTCGTAAAGCTATTTTTTAATATACCTAGTATTTATTAACTACGTACGAATTATATTACTTTTTTACGTGCTTTATTTATATAAAATGTACTTTAAAAGTTCGTACGATAATTATTAAAATACGTAGTTATCTAATCTTACTCGCGTCGTTTTAAGTTACTTATTTAAAAAGCGTTTTAAGCTGTCACTTTGTTACTTTGAAACTGAAACCCCGACCGACAATAATATTAATAACTAATCGATTTTTAAGCTGTTTTCTTGCGTATAAAAGCTTTTTAAACATGTTATGTATTGGAACAGGCTTGAACGATCAATCATAATACTCGAGTATAGGGTCAAGGTCATGATGTTGCTGATGGTTGGATTGGGAAGTCTAGCTGGACCTACAGGTCTGGCTAAGTGACCTCACAATCCGGTATCTAATCTCTTATATAATCATACATGTGGGTTCTATATGGATGGTTTGACTGTGGAATCACATGGATTCAACATTATAAAAGCTTTAATAAACTTAATTTTCATCTTATTAATCGTTACGATTAACGAAGGTATAATCCCCTTTATAAAAAGGTTTTTACTATTATATTTATTAAAAAGAAGTTTACTTTAACCGTATTTAAAGTTTAAATCGTAACTACGTATAACTACGTATCATCTTAATTTTAACATATAGATAACGACTGGCTTTTGAAAATACCGAGTTTTTTACCGCTTTAAAACAGTATAAACCAACTTAAAATGCTCCAATAGGCTTTAAAAAGTAAGAAACTATTAAAAAAGCTTAAAGATATATGATAAATAATAATCGCGTTGATAAAAAGCTTATTAAAGTAACCGTTTCACGTAATATTTAACATATTATTTACTTTCATAACCTTTTTATAATAGCTTTATTATTATATAAAGATAAGAGTAATTATATTAGCTCGTGCTACGTTTAATATCTTTAAAAAGCTAAAACAAATTAAAATAACTGAAGATAAACAGGACGAAATCTCGTAAAATATAGAAGTTTAAAAGGTTATATTAAACTATTAAATATAACAATTTACGTAAAAGGATAACGTAGTAATTATTATAATATTAATTATATATAATATGAACGAGCCTTTTATCATAAGATCATATCGTTACTTATATACTTGGGTTATTAATAAGGCTTAAAATAAGTAGAAAATTATTCGTTTACTTATTATTAGCTATCATTATAACCGTTATAAAAGCGGTATTAATAAAGCTAGTTAATTGTAAGCTTATAATATTTTAAACTATCGTATTAAGCGCAGTTATAACTGTGTTTTTGTTTTTATTTTTTTAATGTAATATTTATAAATATTTTTAACATAATGTATTAAATGATAAATGTGGTTAAATAGTTATAAGATTTAAATAGTTCAAAATACAAACAATTAAAGGTTTATTTAAGAGTATATAACTGTAAGTTTTATTATAACTGTCATAGTCTGGTACAGGTAGCCCATGTGGTGAGTCCTGGAGCCCGGACATGAGTACATGTACCACCATTGGATGTCAAGCTGCCACGCTTGATATTCGATATCCTTTGGGGAGGAACAGCCGTGGCATGGTGGTTATGGTGAGCGTTCCGTCACAATAACTAGCCTTTTTAAAACTTTTTAATATATCGTCCTTTTTAAAGCTCAACTACCTTTTAATTTAAACTCATAATATTTAATATAGTAGAATTTTTTAATAACGTTTGAAAGGACTGTTTTTACGCGTTTTTAATAATTATTTTAATTAATGTAGGTTTTTAGATTAAAATAAATACGGACGATCTTTTTATTAGTTGAATAATTATATGGTTTAAAACCTTTTCACGTAAAGGTTAATAAGCGGTTGAAGATTTTTTATCAAAAAGGTATGTAAGTTATTACTTTTTTGTTAAAAAAGGTATACGGCGTTATTTTACACTATTTTTTCGTCAAAAAAGGTACACAATATTTTAATATTCTTCTTCAAAGGTAATAGTTACTTAAATAACTAGGATTAGCTATAAGATCGTTAAAATAATTATCGAAGAGAATGATATTAAAAGTAAGACGTTAAAAGGCGTTTACGTTACAAAAAGGATTATTATTTATTATATTTAAAAGAAGTTTAAGATTTTTCTAACAAGAAGATTCTTTATTAAATAACGATAATTAAAAATAATAACGTATTATTATAAGCGCTACTCTAATAAGTATCGGTTATTAAAAAAACGAAGAAAACTTATAAATATTTATATTTATAAATTAAGCGATGTTTACCAGCGCGATTTTTAATATTATTTAATAAAACCCAAGAAATATTATATTAAGCTTTAAACGGGGTATAAACGTGTTAACTATGCTTAAAAGTGCGTATAAGTTCAAAATAATTAATTATAAAATGCGATTATAAGATGATTTTTTAACTTTTGTTAAAATAGTAAGTTTATAACGTTATTATAGGTTACAAAGTATAGAGAGCTTATTTAGTACTATCATAAGGCCGAGATATCCGTAACTTTTAATTAAAATGTTATAATGCTTTTTTCGCTCTATTGGCAAGTATTTAATTAAAAGGTACGAATTAAAGGATAAATATACTAGGCTACAATTTTAGTTAATAAGGTGTATAAAGATTTTTAATCGACTTTTAAAACAAAAACCGAGGCGAATAAGTTATTTATATTGTTCAGTACCGGTGTTACAAAGATTAAAAGTGCTGTCACGATGCCTGCGGCGTTGTGGTAGAATCTAGTGTTGTATTCCAAAAATGACAAGATGAGGAAGGAAAGGAATCCAGGTGTGCGTGCACCCAAATGGCTGCAGCACATATGGTGGTGTCCTTCCTTATCTAATATACACGTAACCTGATGACTCAGAATTCAACCAAGTGGATACAGTTGTTAGACCGTCACAATCCCTTTTTACCTGCTTTTAAAAGCCTGCCGCACTTTTTTATAAATAATATTATATAAAAGGCGGCGCTAACTTTTTAAGTCTTTTTTTAATAAAAGTTTTTTTAAATATTATATCAAATGTTATAAGTTTAAATTAAAAGGTAGTTAAGCTTTAAAAACGACGATATATTACAGAGGTTTGAAAACGGCCGGTTATTACGGCTTTTCCCCCGTTATTATAACTAATAAATCTACTAACTATTTACTATCAACTTTATTACGATGAAACCTTTTTAACGCTTTTTTAACGCCTTTAATAAAACGCCTTTTAACTAGTTAATTATATTAACTGTTTTTTAACTTACGGGTAAACTTTTTAAACCTTATAAAAACCTCAGCTTTTAATCAATGCTCACCGCTTAAATACTTTCTAATAAAATGCTTTTATCATCGTTAATACTTTTACGATTAAAGCAATCTTTAATAAAATAACCTAGCTTATCGTATATAAAGCACTTGTGACGGTCTAGCACCTGTATCCACCTGGTTGGATGCTGAGTCATCAGGTTACGTCTAGATTAGATAAGGAAGGACACCACCATATGTGCTGCAGCCATTTGGGTCCACGCACACCTGGATTCCTTTCCTTCCTCACCTTGTTATTTTTGGAATACAACACCAGATTCTACCACAACGCCGCAGGCATCGTTACAGGGATATTCAAACGTTACTAGTATTAGTTACGAGAATATTTACACTTAAACGTATAAAAATGAAAATAGTGATTATAAAGCTTAGAATAGCTTTTCAAACAAATCGTAAAAAAAATATTAAAGAAAATATTTAAAAATAGTTTTATACCATAAAGAACTATTATTTATTACGGTTATAATATATATAATATGTTATTTTACAATATTTGTAAGTGTTAAAGCAACTAGTATACGTAAGTTCAAGTGGAAAAGCAGGTATTAAAATTATAGATGATTATATAAAAGATCGGTTCGGTGGTTCAGGTCATCATGTTGCTTACGTTCTGGGTGCGGATCTACCCTTGGGTCTTGGGACCTGTTCAGGTACTAAATACACATACCAACTTCAAAGCAATGCCCAGCCTTTGATCCGGAGGGTAAAGATCCCTTGCCCCAGATACACTAAGGCTCAAAGCCCGCTTCCAGGCTGTTCCTTCCTTTCAGTGCTGCTGTCAGCCTTGTCAGCCTTGTCACCCCTGGAAGCGTGCTACAGCACACCTGTGAGCCACCCGACTGCTTACATGATTTAATAAAATATATCGCCTTTATAAGGTTTACTAGTGCCGAAACCGTCGTTAAAGGGATATAGGCTAGTACGTGCATCTGTTCTTGTTAATGCACGGATGTTGATGGATTCTATTGATTGTTCTGCTCTGCTTCTTTGGTGTACAGAGATTGATCATTTGTCTTCTTGGTGACTGTACTTATTTTCTTGAGACCTCCACAACCCTGCGATGCAGAGGCTCTGGGAGGCGTGGTCTACACTACTGAGGAGCTACCCCCCACGTTAAATACAAAACAAACAAACAATGTCTTCTTGGTGGGTCAGATGCCCTGTGCGTCTCTGCCCCACTGGGGATCTTCCGGTGTCTATCTCCGGCTCCCATTCAACACATTCGTGCTAGTATCTAACAGTTCTCGTCGTGAATTACGGCCTATTTTTGGATATCTGGGATACTTAGCGACCCGGTTTTTTCTGCCGCACGTGGAACCGCTAACCATTACCGTCTTGGACACCTGTAGGCCCTCCCGCATTGATATACACGTAATCGATATGGGGAAGCATCCCAGGTATCCAAAAATAAGCGATATTCAGGCAACCACTTTTAAATATCCAGCACGCTAATATGCTGGCCTCGACATTGAGGAGATCGTGACACTATCCCTTGCGTGGAAGAGTCGCTCGTGGGACATTTCACTCAGTTTTCAAGCTGAGCCTGATGCTTGTTCAAGTCTACATATAATGATGTGCCTGCTAAGACGTACTTATATTGCAAGCTCCTACATGCGACAAGTTATACACCTAAAAGCAGACCCGCAAATTCGCATAGCTGATATGATCTACCGATCGTGGCTTAGCGCGGGTTGACGCAATGTGTCTTCACTGCTATGGTTCGGCGCACTTGCTTCTCAATTCATCATTTGACTAATTGATGGCGATGCACCCATGTGCCATCGATCCCCTTTCGGGTTTGACCGGCTACTTGTGAGTAAGGGCGAAGCAGAGTCGGAGAAAGCGGTGCCTGAACTTGCTGTGGCGAGGAATCCAACGATTATCCAGCCATTATCGACAGATGGTGCCGTGAAGAAAGAAGTGTTGCTATAGTGACACTTTGCCACATGCCCAGAATGTCAGCCCCCGAGTTGATGGTGCCTGGTGGTTCATACCGGGCTCGGCGTTGGGTCCTAACACAGAACATGAAGAGAAGTGTTAACAAATGACCGTACGTCATTTCCCATATAAAACAACTGCGTAGGAGCTCAAACTACGGTAAGTCGAGGATTTAGTTCCTTCCCGGCGCCAGCGAACAAGGTCTCCCACCTTCTCAAGGATCCTCTACTCAGTAATAGGAAGACACAAGGTGACTATTAATAAATACCGGCCCACCCGAACTCGGTATCCATCTAAATATATCATTTGTAGATCCGTGTCCCACTTATGGGCAGCACAGATTTAGGTACGTCGTCATGGGTTCTGAAAATAGAGGCTTGTGCCCATTCGAGAGACGGCGTCCCTCCAGTAGGAACTATAATTACAAGCCTCAAGCTTCTGAAAGTAAGGAACCTAGAAGTGTTATGGTCGTCTCTCGAAGGGGCACAAATCTGTATATTTATGTATGATAACGTAGCTGACAAGCGAGTTGACATTACAAGCGAGTTGGCACTCGTCATGAACTCTCCAACTGCCATGTCAAATAACTTCACCACAACGCATTCAGTTCAATTCAATCAATCGGATTCCTCTTCCTCAGAGGTTTCTATCTCTATTGTACAAGTTTGCGCATTATGGCCAGTATTGCCGCAAACGCCACACCGTCGCCCACGCGCTGCCGCCCGCCTCGGACGACGACTATCTTCACCCATTTCCTGTTTTGCCAGCTCAGTACCATCCTTTGCAGCCTAAAGATCTACTGCATCTTCAACGGAAAGTACTCCTCCTTTCACTAGACGTTTGTTTTTTGTTCTCCGGCGTTTACTTAGTAGGTGATTGGCCTCTTCTAGTTCGCGGACCCGGGAATCAACCAAAGCGACCTTATGCATAAGACCGTATGTAGCCTTCTAAAACGAGCTCAATGCATTAACTATTGATGTAGGTGAGCTTCCCTAGTGGTTTCTGACTCGGTTTCGGATATAAACCGATTGGTTTACCGCTTCGTTAATGGTGGTAGGCGTCTTCGAAGTCCAAGTAGTGGGTGGCAGATTGGGGTCTGGCGACGGTGTTCGTATGACAGCGACAGCATCCAGCTTTGAAATGACACTTTCTGGGTCAAAAGGAACAAGCCCAGTGGCACTGAAACCTGCTCGAATGTTTCCTGGCGTCATAGCAGCGTTATGTGCTTCACAAAACGCTGCAAGGAAGTCCTCCTTCGAAACGTGGGTTATATGACGCCGGATGAGATCCTCAATCATGCGACCGTAAGCTCGTTTGAGCGGGCTAAAACAGCCGACATCTAGAGGCTGGAGCCTGTGTGACGAGTGGGCAGGCATACAAAGGGTGATAATGCCGTTGTTCTGACAATAATCCTCAAAGACCTGGGAATGGTGGCTTTCGTGACCATCTAGGATGAGGAGGCGTTTACTGGCAGTCATACGCGGTCTGGTATACTTGTCGAAATGCTGAATCCATTCCAAACCAATCTCATTTGTGGTCCACCCGTTGTCGGACACGGCCACCTTCCAATCGCGTGGTAATATCGTGTTGCGATACTATGACGCGAGGTGGGTTTTACCCTGTAGAATGATGAACGGCGGGACCACCCAACCATCAGCATTAACAGCAGAGATTGCTGTAGACCATTCCCTGTTGCCTTGCTGAGCTTGTCTAGGCCTGCCACGTCTTTCGGCGCTTGTAACGACCATGCCGGACCCAATAATGCCCATCATAAACCCAGTCTCGTCGAAATTATAAATATCCGCGTCTTGGATACCATGTTTCGCAACTGCCGCTGCAACTTGGCAAAACCACGCGCGATACGCGTCTGGATCCTCGTTCAAGACCCTCTGGTAGTCTATCTTCCGATGAAAACGCGTCCGGAGGCCTGGTGTACGTTTGATGAAGTTCCGCGTCTAGTTCTTTCCAACGCGTCTAGCCCCACGCGCCGCCAACAATTGATTTGCCATATCTTTAATATAACTGTACCAGGGCGGAAATGCTCGCGCATCCAGGTCGAGAATGAAGGAACAAATGGCATTCTCTTCGGAAACCATAAGTTTCAAAGTATTGGGCATGCTGTCGCGTCGTGATGGCATTCCTTTGACTCTATTGCTCAAAGTGGAACGAGGGACGTTGAAGAGTTTCGCAAGCTGAAATATAGGAATATGAGGGTCACGTCGTTTAGCTTGAACAGCTAGCTGCAAGTCTGATTCGTTATAACGCGGTGCCATTGTTGTTGGTGGAGATATGATGGTTTGAATCGTATTGGTTGGAAAGTTCATGACGAGTGCCAACTCGCTTGTAATGTCAACTCGCTTGTCAGCTACGTTACCTATGATAGAAAATAGGTTACCATTATCATCGCTATCCAAAGGCTCACCGAACAGCTGACTTCTCACGAAGACTATCCCTCTAGTTTGTTCCGTAAGGACACTCCCCCCTAGTCAACACCCACGGAGCTCGCCACCTAGGATGAATCCTAAAGAAGTCAGATCTCTGGGCATATTGTCCCATAGCATCAATCTTGTATATAAAGTCTGCCTGATACACAGCCCTTTGAGATGCGGTCTTCGTTTCCTACCTGGCAGTACTCATTCCCATCAATTCGTAACCAATTCCTCAAAAGCAAGTGGCTTCTGGAGGAGACCCGAGACCAATCGCTACCCGTTCCCATCTTCGTAACCTTTCTCCCATTCAACAACGCCAGTTTCCCGCCACTCGTTATAATAAGAACTAGTACCTGAACCAGGCTGCTGCGATTATGGCCTCCTCGATGAAGCTCGCCCTGCTCTCAATCGCCGCTATACCAGCTTTCTCTTATCCGATCCTCTCCCCATCAACCATCTTGCCCCGAATAGATGTGTCGGCATCTAAACCTATCGTGCCCTTGAGCCTCCGTGGTGAGGCTCCTGATCGCGAAATTGGTGACTACACGATAAGTGGTCTAGAGAAAATCGGGGAAGGAGAGGCTGGTATTGTGTACAAAGGCAAGGCGAAGAAGCTCGGCCTCGACAGTATCGATGTCGCAATGAAGGATTGCCGGGGTGATGCCATCCCAACTTGCGTGAAAGAAGTTAATGTCCTGCAAAAGCTGCATGTGAAAATTTCAGGCGGGGTCCCCGAGGTCTACGCAAGTCAGCACGTAAAGGCGCCCGACACAGACGGCACGTTGAAGGACGCCTTTATGTTCATCATGACCCTGGCAGAAGGTGGTAAACTCGAAGGGCTAACATCCAAGTATGCGCAAGACGAAAAGCCAGGCGACAAGCACTCCAATCTGGTGGGAGCGTGGACGACCTTGGAGCAGATACACGACGCAGGCATTTCACATCGGGATATCTTCACCGCTAACACGGCGTTTTTGAAAAAGGACGACGGTGAGACTTTCGGTCCGATCATGTTCATAGACTTTGGACAAGCGTCCGATGAATCGAAAACAAAAACACCTGTCTTACCGAGTCCGGCAGAAGAGTACGCGGCTCCAGGTAAGAAAACCACTGCCCTTGTAAATTGGTGCGCCGCGCTGTTATAGTCTTCGCTAACAAAACCCGTCCTCTGACAGAGGAACTGGCATTGATCAAAGCGTATAGGGAAAAACGTCCTATCGTAGCGATCGATCCCAAGTTGGGTGATGTTTGGTCATTTGGGTGCGTCACTTGGGAGCTCATTACTGGGGATTATTTCTGTGATTGGGCGAGGGATGCCTACAACCGCAACGAGGAGGAATTCGTGGGAATCACCAAAGAGAAATTAAAGGAAGGGGGCAAACCGGTAGAAAATGGCTTAGCAAAATGGTTTGCTGGTGTGTTCGCCACCCCGGACAGACGGCTGACTTCGAAGCAAGCACGAGAGCAGCTCCAAGAAATCGACGCCAACCACCTGGGTTAGGTTTTGCAGCGCTTAGACCTTCGCGATAAGACACATAGGGCGAATACATATAAGAGGATGTGGTGGAATCTAGGGCCCAAGAGTAGGGGATCGGGGACTAGTGGTCCAGGTGTAGTGCTATATAGCTGTAGCTGGTGGCGCTACTGCAGCTGGGCTGTGTATGATTATGTGTACCATATTATAAAGAGTCCCACTACGTATACCTTACCTTTTTTCCTTACGTATATCTTACTTTTCAAGCTTAACTGCAGCCACTTGCTACCGCTATTTATCCCACTTATTATATTTATAGCGCTTATCTTATCATAATAACAATGCGTTCGTCGTATCCTTCTTTTAACTAATTAATACTCGTGAGCATTGTGGTGCTGTCAGGTACGGGCTGCAGCTGTCCGCCAGGTGAAAGGGATGAAAGGGGCCAAAAGGGGGTGAAAGGTCTATTATGGTGACCAGTGGCAGGTTTGTTGTTCGCTGTCAGGCAGCAGGGCATCAAAGGGCTGTCACACCTGTATTTAGGTGGGAATCTCCCCCATGGATCCATAGACAAGACACAGACCATCATCCATCCCATTCTGACCCCTGGATTTCCACAATACTTATATATTTATAATAATGGTATCAGTTTATTATTACAATATGTTAATTATATAATTAATATCATATATAGTTAATTAAGCCGAATTGATAAAAAGCTTTTTATTCATTTTTATTAAAAATAAGCGCCTTCTATTCATTAAGACATTAAGGTAAAATGCGACCGATACGACCGATACAATAATTTAACGCTTTATTTTATTATAATTATAAGGCCATTTCATTATTATATAAATCATTTATTGTTGTAATTATAAGGCATTTATTATTATTATTTCGAGATTATATATGATTATTTTATTGATATTATAATATTTAATATAAAACAATATATTTTTATATGGTTATATTTATATTATCTTCAAGATTAATTTACTATTAAAATGATTAATTTGAAGGGTTTTTTCTGTTAATTTTATTATTTTATTTAAAGTATTTAAAATGTTTATTTATTACTTTCATAGCTAGCTTCTATGGCTATCATTAAGTATATATAGCCTTAGCCGTTACTTTTCCGGTATTTTTATACTATACGCCGACAACTTCATTATATTTCGTATTTAAATATAATCTTTTATTATAATAAAAAATATTATTTATGATAAGTGATTTTATAGCCGTTTCTGTTATTAAAAATAATATTATTACTGCTAATTTCGCCTTTGTAATACGCGTTTAAAATAGTATAACTATTATTATTAACCTTGTTATCGCTTTTATACGTATACGTAAAAAGGTCGCTTGAAACTTTATTAACGACTTTGTTATTAGCGCTTTTTTTAATAAATCGCTAACTTATAATAATGTTACTTCATTAATGTTTTTATCATAACGACGCTTAAACCATTTTAACTTTGTTGGTGCCTTTCTTTTTAACCTTTCTTTAATATAATTTATCACGCTATAAAAAAAAGAGCAAAGCTATTTCTACCCTTACTCGTACGACTTTTTACCTTTTTTTTTCTGAACTGCTTAGAAATATTTATATTTTTTAAACAAAGTTAATACGGGATTTTCTTTTAAATATAAAATTTTTAATCTCGTAATAATAAAAGATTTCTTATAAAATGTTACAAAACAGCTTAAAACTAAGATAAAAGTGCCTACTAATATTTATATTTATATAAAAATACTGAAAAAAATTTACTACTTGTTAAATTTAATAAGGTAATAAGTTTTAAATCCTGACTTAATAGTATTTATTTATTTATGTATATGATCAAATAACGCGCTTAATTTATTAAACTAATTAATAAGTATTAAAATTTTTATAACCTTCTCGGTTTAAAAAGAATTGACTTAAAGCTTAAACTTTAAGCCTTTTATAAAAAAAATTACGTTTTTTAAGCGGAAAAAGGACGTTTTTAGCAATTGTGATTAATCAGTTAATTCGTGGCTTTTAAATTTTCAATATATAACTAATTATACTATACAATAAGTGAAAATTTTTTGTTATAATTTCTTTTAAATACACTTACATTTTAACGTCTTTTAATCTTTAATTCAGAAATTTATATAAATTTATCGTTATTAGCGTGTTTTTTCGACACGTCGTTCTTACTGCTTTAAACTATTATTTTGATTGTATTAAAAATCTTACTTCCGTCACGATTCCATAAATGTATTGGAAGGATACAAGGACCCTTATTGGCTATTAACGTATAACAAACTCTGGTTGAAGGAAAAGAAAGATGTGGAGATGCACCCAAATTGGTGGGCAGCTAGATGTGGGCAGTTGTCCCTTACCAGACCCACCAGGGCATGGATCAACCTGTCCTCCTATCAGTCACGTGCTTAGTGCCGTACTCAGTCACGTGACCCAGGGACTATTGGGACCATCACTGGACCTTATGGATGGTGGAACCATCACAACTTCGTTGAAATATTAGCCGTAATATTTTTTTAATCTTACGGTAAAGTTTTAAAAGTTTCTCGCAAAAAATTAAATTTTATTTAAATCTCAACTGTGACGTTCCGTATATGTGAATAGAACATAAAAGCCCTTGTTTACTATGTACGTGTGGGTCCCAGCCACTTGATCCAGCCACCAGTACCTTATCGAATCTCCTGTCATCTAGGGCGTTCTATGATAAGGTTACATGGGATGGCTGCTCTAGGTAACAGGTACCAACCCACTGTAATTTAGGTATTTAGATACTTCTCAGATGAGATCCCTTCCCATCCGAACGTAACCAAGCACCAACCAGAATACAGATCATCCCAACCAAGACTTGTAATAGATCTCTGCTCCGGCTCCTCTACCACAAAAGCACATACGTATAACTGTCTCTGATTGAAGAGAAAAAAGAAGATCGAGCGGCATAGCCAAATCTAGTGGGCAACTAGATAAGTGTGTCTGCCCTATAATTCAGAGCCCTAGTGGGTCTGGGACAACTAGTCGTCCAAGAGGTCACGTGCTGTCACGTGATCCCAAGACTATCACCAATGGTAGCGACGTAGCAACCATCACATTAACCTTTTTAAAAAAAAAACTTAATATTAATAATTTATGTAGTATAATCTTAACGTAATAACTTTTTTTACTGAATATTTTATTTTATTTTAAGTTTATGATTTTTCTTTTGGGGTTCTTTAACGTTTATTTTAATATCGGGTTACCTAAATGTTTTTATAATTAATTTATGTAAAACTATTACGATTTTTGCTACTAATTAAATGACTTTAATTTATATATATTCACTTTTAAAGCGTTCTTTGACGGTTTTGTAATACTAGCAGGTTATAAAATAATTTAATTTATCGTGTAATCGGTCCGTTACCTTACTTTATTTTTTCAAATATATATTTGATCGTATACCTTTAAGTTAAAACTTGTTAGTATGTATTTACTTATTTACTTATTTAGTTTCATACTTTTTAAATTATCATTTAAAAGAAATTAATGTATGTTTTAATTTTTATTTATGTAACCTAATTTTACTTTAATAATGAAGCTAGGCCTTTATGTGACGAGCTGTCTAACCTATAAGGCTAAAGGGTTCTATAGGGTTTATGTTCTGAGGTAAGTCAACACAAAGGACGATAGAGGCTTCTGTCAACTAGAAGACACTCAGATGCTGAGGCTTGGTCTGAACTGGGTTCACTGTGTAGTCGAGTCGTCAGGAGATTTTTCCCACCTTAGGGTTGGCTAAGACGCTTAGATTGATCACTGAGGTAGAGACTGTCTATCTATCTGGTTGGGAAATGTCTGTCCTTATATATCCAATCTCTCCCTCACTGATTAGGTGGCTCACTCTGGATCACCGGTGATTCAAGGTGATCCTGCTCACTGGATCACCATCGTGATCCAGTGATCCAAATTCTTAGTCACGTGACCCAGGCTCTGCTGGTCGCGTAATCTGTGTACCGTTGCTCCGTTGCTCCAATCTCTCCACTGATCAGCACCCCACTCTCTGGTCAATCTGTTTCCAATCGTCCTTTCTAGGTCTGCTATCAGGCCGCACTGTTCGTTGATTCTTAACACTTTAATAGAAGCCCTTTAATTAAATGACATCTTTATTAATCGCCCGGTTATAACTTTTCGTAATAATAAACCTTTTAAAAATTCGTATAAAAGGGCTAATTATACCGCATTTATTCCAGGTATAACTTTCGATCAATTATTTTAAGAATAGCTTATAAATGGGCGTAATTTTTTATCGATAAATTAGTTTATAATTTCAATTTAACGTAGATGATAAGCGAGCGGCAATTATAAGCAAACGGCAACTTTTCACCAGCCACCTAACCTTTTTATTAAGGCTCCTAATTGATCAATTAACAATAATAGCATTGTGTTATAGCGAATCAGACTTACAGCTTGCTGTCCAAACTAAACGACGCGACCCTTATATTACCATTGGCAAGCTTTCTAAGACTTTCTATGTCCTATATAATACCTTAAAGGCTGAAATCGCCGGCTGACCATCATGACGCGACAGCATGCCCAATACTTTGAAAACTACTGTTCCTAAAGAGAATGCTATTCTTTCCTTTATTCTCGACCTGGATGCGCGAGCATTTCCACCCTGGCACAGTTATATTGAAGATATGGCAAATCAATTGTTGGCGGCACGTAGGACTGGACGTGTTGAAAAGAACTGGATGTGAAACTTCATTAAACGTACACCAGACCTCCGGAAGCATTTTTATCAGAGGATGTATTACCAGGGGATCTTAAACAAAGATCCAGACGTGTATTACGCATAGTTTTGCCAAGTTGCAGCAGTAATTGTAAAACATGCTATCTAAGACACGGACATTTACAACTTTGACAAGACTGGGTTTATGATGGGCATTATCGGGTCTGGCATGGTCGTCATAAGCACTAAAAGACGTGGCAGGCCTAGACAAGCTCAGCAAGGCAATAGAGAATGGTCTACAATAATCTCTGCTATCAATGTTGATGGTTGGGTGGTCCCACTGTTCATCATTCTATAGGGCAAAACCCACCTCACGTCATGGTATTGCGACACGACATTATCACGCAATTAGAAGATGGCCATGACTAACAATGGGTGGACTACAAATAAGATCGTTTTGAAATGGATTCAGCATTTTGGCAAGTATATCAGACCGAGTATGACCGCTGGTAAACGCTTCTTTATCCTAGATGGCTATAAAAACCATCATTCCTAGGTCTTTAAGAATTATTATCAGATTAATGGTATTATTCCTCTTTATATGCCTGCCTACTCATTACATAGATTTTAGCTTTTAGATGTTAGTTGTTTTAGCCCGCTCAAACGAGCTTATGGCCGCTTAATTAAGGATCACATCCAGCGTTATATAACCCACGTTTAAAAGAGGACTTTCTTACACCGTTTTGTGAAGCACATAACACTGCCATGACACTAGAAAACATTTAAGCAGGTTTTAATGCTACTAGCCTTATTCCTTTTGACCCAGAAAGTGTTATTTTGAAGCTGGATGCTGTCACTGTCGTACAAACACCGTCGCCAGATCTTAATCTGCCACCCACTACTTAGACTTTAAAGATGCCTATTATCATTAATAAAGCAGTAAACTAATCGGTTTATATCCAAAACCGAGTCAGGAACCATCTAGAAAGCTCACTTATATTAATAATTAATATATTGAGCTTGTTTCTAAAGGCTATATACAGTCTTATACATAAGGTCGCTTTGATTGATTCCTGGGTTTGGGAGCTAAAGGAGGCCAATCACTTATTAAATAAATACCAGAAAATAAAAAACAAATACGCAATAAAAAGAAGAATATTTTCTATTAAAAATATAATAGATCTTTAGGTTATAAAGAATAATACTGAACTGGCAAGATAAGAAATAGGTGAAGGTAGTCGCCGTCCAAGGAGGGGGGCAGCACGTGAGCGACAGTGTGGCGTTTGTGGCAACACTGGCCATAATGCGCAAACTTATACAATAGAGATAGAAACCTCTGAGAAAAAGGAATCCGATTGATTGAATTGAATTGAATGCGTTGTGATAAAGTTATTTGGTATGACAGTTAGAGAGTTCATAACAAGTGCCAACTCACTTCCAATGCCAACTCGCTTGTCAGCTACGTTATATTTATTATTAGCAATAAGGTATTATAAATTATACGATCTTAGACGTATAAATACGTTATTAAAGCTATGTTAATTAACTACGTTGCCTTATTATTAAATCTTACAATTTAAGCTAGTTTAAATCTTTAAATCTTATTAATTCTAAAGTATTTTAAGATCTTTACTACAAACTTCAAGTTTACAAATAAATAAATATTTGCACTTATATTTATACGGCATTTTAGAAAAAGAAAATCCGTTATTAACTATTATATAATCGATTAAAAAATCGCTTCTTAATACTTATATTAAAAGAATTAAAAGGTATTTCTTTATATATAACGATAGTAAAGAAAATACGGTTACATTTTTATTACTCTCAACGTTTTTTACTTAGTTTTTAATCTATTTAATACGATTTTAAGCATATTTATCTTAGAAATAAAGGTTTTAAAAGCAAAGTAATTGATTTAAAATATATTAAAAGAAATACGGGTAATATTATACGATTATATAATTATTAATTAAATAAAGTTAAAGTATTTTACCAATGTATAATAATAAATAAAATAGAAGTTATAAGATATAATAAAAATAAGGTTTAGTTATAGCCGATAGCAAGTGGCTGCAGCTAAGCTTCAAAAGTAAGATATACGTAAGAAGAAAAAAGTAAGGTAGTGGCACTTATTGTAAACGGAGTTTAATGGTCTTCACTTATAATGAACTGTATGCACTGTGAACATCACAGACAGTAAGCCCTTTTAAACACCAAAATAACGCTATGATCATGATGAAACCAAGTATCCTGTCACGTTAGAAGTACCGCTTTGCACAACCATCTAGGTCCTTCCACTGTAGACTACGGAAAGATAGTCGCGCTGGCAGAGCTCGATAGTCCATCGCTCACCGAGAGCGTCGAGAACGACGTGTCCGACGTCGAGGCCATCTAGTGCAGGTTATGTCAGTCCAGCCACCACTGCAGTGGTCGTTTTGCTGTATTATACTTACGCGCCGAATATCCCGTCAATGCGGCGGCCTTCATCACGATAAACAACCCCTCAGGGGACATTAAAGAACTTTGCATGGATGTCCACGCGCCTTCGTCGTTGACGCAACTGCGGTCCAGGGGAAGGCCATATGACCAACTCCCAGCCGACCCCTTATCGTACCACAAGAGAGAGAGAGAGCGGATCAGCTTCGCTGGTACAGGGTGTATGTTAAGATACTGTTGAAATAAGAGCCGTGGAAAAGCAGCGAGTTGGGTGTTACCGTTATCTTGTTCGGAGGGCAATCCCCATAGTCGACCTTACCAGCCGGTCTCTGGTTGTAAATATGGAATATGCCCGTGTCGCGTTGGCAGTCACCAAGCCGTGGTGGCTGCCCGTGGCTGCTACCAGGGCGGCTGCCATCTTCCCGTGAGCTTGCGTTCCGAAGTACCGTTAGTCGGGCGTCTCTCTCCACGTGCTGTCCGGGAGCACAGCCGCCGTGCAAATTTGCCTCGCGTTGCCAACCGCTGTCGAGAGCAGTCCACGCAACGGCCCTTTCGGACCCTCGTGGTATATCACCAGGGCGCATAGAACGACCACCGCGATTTGTTACGCCAAAATTGGCGATGTAACCACGCAACAATGCTCGTACCCGTCCGCTGATGTCTTTCACTCATCGCGTGCTGTATCGCAGACTAAGCACCCCGGATATCTATATACCCTAGCCCCTTTATTTACCCAGTATCCAACATCCGTATTGTCTTCACATAACTTAGGCTCTCATATGTCTGTGTGCACAAGACTTAGCAAGACGTCACTCTACTTTTCTTAGGCGTACTCAGACTTCAGAGTACCAGGTTGTAGATAAAGCACTGCCAATCTGTTTAACCGCTGTGCGTATCTGAGCTTCAAGCTACTCATTCGTCTGGACCAGATCAGGCTGTGGTTGTGATAAGTATGTTTTTTGGGAAGTTCAGAAGGGGAGAGGATCATGTATTCAGCTCACGTCCAGTTACTAGGTTGTCATCCTGCTTATATACACACCAACCTGCTAGTCACAGCTGCCATTGACTACCCCCCTGACCTGGCTATATGGGGACTAGCAACAGCCCTCGAGTAGACCGTTCTCGTGCTAGCACCTCTTGTATAGCTGGGCTTCGACTCCAAGGTAGATATCCTCGAACGTGCCCATAGTTCAACAATACCTGTACAACTAAGTTTGAGTTTCCTGGTTATTGTTCTTTCTTGAGAGACAGCGTCTCCTGAACGGACAGAACCCCTTACCAGCGTCGAAGAAAATTCCGTCGAGCTTGATTCTTCACATCTTCAACACAATATTCCGTCTGACCTTCCTGATCATAGCTTTAGATAATCATAGATTCCCCATTGGTCAGCGATTAGTACGACAGAGATAACTTGCGGTTTTCCGTTGAGACATCGCCATTCATTATCTAAACACCATGCTCGGCCATGCCTCGATGCTGCCAGTGGTATACGAGGTCTAATTACCTAGGTATCTAATCCCCAAAGCAACGCCATCCAGTCATAACCCACCCACCCAGCTGACCAGCCATCCATAACCTCCCAAACGCCGCCCAATGCCACTACCCAACCCCCTCCCATCACCCAGCCAGAACCACAAAGTCAACACCGACTTAGCAAGTGGAAGTAACAAACAGCCCATTCTGGAAGTCCTGCCCGAGATAAACATGTCCATCACTCGCCCTGCCCATCCTTCCATCAACAGCAACCCTCAAATAGATCTCCTCAGCACAGTCGACAAACCCCGCAATATGCGTCCCAACACCGTAGGCCGGACTGTCCCACCCCGTCGTGTCGGGATGCAACACCACGTTCCCAGCGGCCGTCGCGGCGTCGACAAACGGCGCCACCGACGCCGCCGTGAGAGCATTACTGTCTGATGGTAGGGGTAGGGAGGAAAGCTGCAGCACCTCCAGAAGCCCATTAGCATCGACGGCGAAGTGCCGCCCGCCGAGGTCCGCCTGCGCCCAATTCAGCGTGCACGTCTTGGCGCGCGCTGGGATGCCGCTGAAGATGGCGACCTGCTCGAGCGTGGACGCGTTGCCCTGTCGCTGGATGTGCAGCTCCGAGACGGGGCCGTCGGCGAGGTCCGGCTCGGCCGGGTGCAGGTAGTGCATTGTGGGCGCGTAGATGGAGGCTGGGGTTGTGCCGGTGGGACAGGCGGCCGTTTGGGTGCTGGTGGTTGTGCCCACGGCGCTGGCGATGGCGAGGGATGATGATGCCATGATGATGCTGGACAGAAGAGCGAGTGTGAGCTTCTTCAGGGACGCCATTGTGGTGATGGTCCTCCAGGTAGGGATCGAAACAGAGGATACAGCTGTGGTCGTCGGGGGTGGTTGGTGGCAGACAAGACTGTTCACAGCAGGCTCCGAGGCGGTATCATTAATACTCGGTACCGAGCAGGAGAGAGCGGTGATGAACTGCGAGGATATAGTATGAGATTTCGAGGATCAATGAGGGATCGATCCTTAGTTGTGAGCCCTGGTGAATGAAGACGAGGGGGTCGATTGTGATGGACAGTCTTATATAGATATTAGACACCCATGTAAGTTGCCGTGTAACGGTGAAATGGGACCCCGTACGGGTATTCGCAGATTGCCATGAATGGGCCAAGACTCGGCCAAGACTCCGATCCGAAAGACAAGATTCACAACTAACAGCTCGGTCTGGCACCGCTAACAATTAGTCAGGGCCAAATATCTGGGGCGGAAGGCGCCGGTGAGGGCAGCCAAGGAGCGGCACAAGCAAGGCTCAACCAGGGAAGTTGGAAGCGGCTGCTGTCGTGGAGCAGTCTGGACATCAGATCAACCCGATCGCGTTCCGACATCAAGGCTGCTCGAAAAGTAGACATGTCACTCCTACTAATCACGAGCCAAGCTTTGCTAACATCGGCGCCCGATGGGTGTTTGAGTTATACGACATGTCGTCCAATCCGGAGGCTGGTCGGACGAGTATACTGCTGCTGTGTGACCGTATAGATCGCCTTAGCATGCAGAGGGCAGAAGAAACGACAATACCTTAGGCCATGGGGAGTTTCCCCGGTACGTCCTCCATGATGCTCACACCGGCATATCCCGCCGCATCACGTATGGACCTCCCCGCCGTCGGGTTTGATTGGCTTTGCTAGCAGCATTCCGAACATCGCTCCTCGGGTCGGTTTGTGTACCTGTTCATATGACTGTTGGCCTCAAACTCAGCTTCTAGCCTCAGTCCATTGTTGCTGAACAGCAACGTTGCTTGCTACCTTATGCAATTAGAGTTCCTACTAGAGAGACGCCGTCTTTCGAAGGGGCCTGGTGTAAGCAAGCAGATTCAAGTGCCCCCGGCCGGCATCGCGTCGTGACTCATGGGCAGACCGAGATCCATTACAGGTAGCCAGCCATATTTCAAGGGTACAGCAAACTTAGCCATCAAATTACCTCGAGGTCAGATGGGCAAACATGCTGACCGCTCATCACATCTAACAGTGACAGCTGCTACATATGCCTTGACAGCTCAACCACAGGAATATCGTATCACACTCGCAGCAACGTAGGACAATAGGTTCTTCACCGCAACTCATCCACTTCGGCTTTCCATCTCAGTATCTCTACACATGCTAGCAAGACCTTACTCCATCTTCAAATCCTCGAACTGCTTGATGGTTCCCTCGAACCCCTTGGCCTCAGACTCGAGGTCGGCTAATCTCTGGCGATCGGCCTCTTGCAGAGCGGCCGCCGACTTCTGTTGGTAACCCCTATCGGCAAGAAGCTTCTGCTGCTTCGCAATAGTAGCCCGAGTCTTCTCAAGCTTCTTGGTGGCTTTGGTGATCTCGCTATCCATGTCGACACGGCCCATGACATGTACGAAGACGGCTGCTGAGCTCGAGACCGGGAACGCGACGCAGCCAGAGGGACGGCCATCTGATCCCGATAGGACCTCTACACTGGTGACGCCCTTGCCGCTTAAGGACTTGATGGACTGGACCTGTTCACTAACGGTCTTGTGCGCGGTGTCATCGTAACTCTGTACGAAGACCTTGGCTTCATCCTTGAAGCCGAATTCCGCCATCAGAGACCGGATACCCCTCGAGCAGCCCATGACGAGGTCATACGCAGCCTCAGCTGAGGGGTTGTCCAATTCCGGGTCGTATACTGGGTACCGCGCAAGCATGATCGACTGGACCTCGCCCTCTTCGCCAGGTCCCTGGCCGGGTCGACGCGGTAAACGTTGCCATAATTCCTCCGTGAGGAAGGGCATGAAGGGGTGAATCAGTTTCAGAGCATTCTCCAGGGCCGTGTAGAGCGTCTCCATGGCCGATCGCTTCTCCTCTTCTGTGCCTTCTTGGATGATGGCTTTCGAGTTTTCTATGAACACATCGCAGAGTTGGCTGTACCAGAAATGGTAGATGGCAGCGGTGGCCTTCATGAACTCGCGAGCGGGAATGGCCTCGTTGACTTCTTTGGCGCAGAGGTTCATCTTGTGAATAATCCACTTCTCGGCGAGTGACTCCTTTCCCCCAAGTTTGGCCGTCTTCTGAGGCACGAAGTCCTTGTCGAGTGAGCCGAGAACGTACTTTGTGGCCTGGTAGATCTTGTTGCAGAATTTCCGGTACCCGTGCATGACCTTGACATCGAAGTTGATATCGCCGCCACCAGTTGTATAGTTGACCATGCAAAACCGAAGAGCATCCGCTCCACACTCCGGAATGCCGTCTGGGAAAGCTGCATTCTGATATTTCTTGGCCTTCTCAACCTCACTCGGGTGGAGATTGCCCAGCGCCAGCTTTTCGTGAAGGTTCTCCAGAGAAGTACCGCTGATAACGTCCAGAGGGTCGATGACATTGCCCAGACTCTTTGACATCTTCCTTCCTTCCGAATCTCGGACAAGCGAATGGCAATAGACTTCCTTGAATGGAACGTCGCCCACCATCTTGACACCAAACATGATCATGCGAGCAATCCAGAAGAACAGGATGTCCCACCCAGTCTCCAAAAGACTCGTCGGGTACAAGTGCTTCAAGTCTGAGGTGTTGTTTGGCCATCCAAGAGTGCTGAAAGGCCACAGTCCAGACGAGAACCATGTATCCATGACGTCCTCATCTTGCCGAAGAGTGAATTTTTGGCCCTGCAGAGCTTTCTCAGCTTTGGCTTGGGCCTCTTCTTCCGTTCGGCCTGGGAACCACAGCTTCTCATCCTCACGCTCACCCGAGCTACCTTCGATCTCGGCATACCAGACGGGACATCGGTGGCCCCACCATAGTTGACGGCTTAGGCACCAGTCATTGACGTTTTCCATCCATCTGTAGTAGGACCTCTCGGCAGTCTCGGGCTTGATTTTGATCTGGCCCTCCTTGACAACCTCGACGGCGTCAGCAGCGAGATCCTTCATCCGCATCCACCATTGGGGCTTCAACAGGGGTTCGATGATGTCCTTGCTCCTGTCGCACATGGGAACTGTCATTGGGTTGTCCTTCTTGTCAACATACAATCCTAGCTTCTTGAGATCATCTTGGATCGTGTATCGGACATCGAACCGCTTCTGGCCCTGGTACGCTCCAGCGTTCTCATTCATCAACCCGTCATCGGTGAGGATGTTGATGAACTCGAGGTTGTGCTTCTTACCCAGCTTGAAATCATTCGGGTCGTGAGCTGGCGTCAGTTTCACCGCTCCAGATCCAAATTCCCTGTCGACGTAGTCATCGGCAATGATAGGCAGCAAGCGGCCCTTGATGAAAGGATGAACTGCATTCTTGCCAACCAAGTGCTTATAGCGGTCATCTTGAGGGTGGACCGCAATTCCCGTGTCTCCCAACATAGTTTCCAGACGAGTGGTTGCGACCTCAAGGGTTTCCTCGCTGTCTTGGATGCGGTACTTGAAGTAAACGATCACTCCAAACTCAACCTTCTTATCATATCCAGGGACATCAAGCAGTGTTCTCCCGGTCAGCTCTTTGTTGACGACCTCGAGGTTGGACAGCGCAGTGGTGAGCTTCGAGCACCAGTTGACCAGGCGGTTTGCGCGGTAGATGGTACCTTCATCGTGGAGTCTGACCCATGTTTCGGCTACAGCGGCACTCAGGTTCTTATCCATGGTGAAAGCCTCTCTGCTCCAGTCGTGAGATCCACCCAATTTGCGCTGCGCGTTATTGATACGCTTGTGGTAGTCCTCCTTCCACTCCCAGACAGTCTCAATGAACTTCTCCCTGCCCAAGTCATGGCGAGTCTTTCCCTGCTTACGCCACAGCATATTCTCGACAACGCTCTGGGTGCTGATGCCAGCGTGGTCGCAACCGGGCAGCCACAAAGTCGTCTTGCCGTGCATACGAGCCCATCTGATCATGACGTCCTGCAGGGAGTTGCCCAAGGCGTGGCCCATATGCAAAGCACCGGTAACATTCGGAGGAGGCATTACAATCACGAAGCTTCCCTCGTCCTTGACCGAGCCATCTTCCTTGAATTGAGGCTTGAAGAAGCCTGATTTCTCCCACCAGCTGTACCATGCCGACTCAACGGCGACGGGGTTGTAGGCCTTGAGCTGCGGGTCGTCCAACGGTCTCAGCCGTTTCTTTTCGCCCGGCGGGGTGTCTTCGACGTAAGGAGGGAGTGGCTCTTCTTTCGGGGCCTTTGCCTTCTTCTCTTTCGCCTTGCTTGCGGCGGCAGGGGCAGCTTGGGCAGCCTTTGCAGCTTTCTGTTGAAACTTGGCGAGTTTCTCGGCCTTCTTGCGCTCTTTTTCTAGTTCTTTCTCGGTCTTGACCTTTGGTTCGGCCTTGGCTGTGGAAGCCATATCTGCGTCTTCGCCCGAGGCATGGACTCCAAGACCGTCCGACTGGCTAGCAGCTCCTTTCACGGCACTCTTGGTTTCCTGGGAAACAGGCGGCGGTGCCCGTTCGGCGATGTGGTCTGGGCCATCTGCCGCATTAACTAGAGGTGTAATAGTCAGCCGCGAACAGGCCTACCAAGAGTCAGGAGGGCGCATACTGTCGTTACCGCGGCCACTGTTGGTAGCCATTGTGGCGCGAAAGAAGTGAAATTTTGGACTGTACAGCGGCCTGCGCCTCCAGAGTGCACGAGCGAGTAGTCGCGACAACTTGACGGTGTTGCCGGTTTAGTCTGGGGAAGGAATGGCCGAGTAATCGCGGTGCTGACAGTTGTGGAGGTAATTTTGGTGAGCTCGGAACTTGAGTCACCGCGGGGGAAATGCGATGACTGTTTTTTTCGGAGGAGTGCATATGGTTCATCGGGCTGGACCGGACCCCACTTTCTTCAGTCGTGTACTTGCATCTGATGCTCCTTATCGCCTCCTACTTCTTGTACGACAACCTATAAATCAACATTCGCAGCGTATAGGATGAAATTATATATAAGCAACGATAACAAATGAACTATCCCTGTCACTACTCGTACAGTCATGGTCAGCTAAACAACTGCCCTTGAATGCTAGGTATCTAGTAGGAGATAAGACCGGCTTCGCGTCAACCACCATAATGGAGTGCAGATATGACTCCGAATACTCGGCCTGTAGAGAACATTGAAAGCCCTTGGACTTTTGCAGGTTTCCCATGTGCGTCCTTATACACAAGAAGCGATAATCATATAGCTTTTGTACAAACCCCATAAACAGCCCATGCCGACATGATTCCGATAGTCCCTTCGGTTGCGTGCCCTCGCAAGCCCCGAAGCTCTCGTTTTCAGACCTAGGTAAGTACCTAGGTAGGTACTTATCACATAGTCCTAAATCGTCGTACCCATCATCAGCAGCCTTTCATTCCCCGCCAGCACCAGCGCCGGTCGAAACTTCACCCATCTTGTCCATATTCACCCCCGTCGACACCTGGGGAGCACCAGACGCCGCCGCGTTCCCAGCAGCTCCGTCGGCTGCGCCTTCGCCCTTCGCCCCCTTTTCCTTCTCCCTCTCCCTTGCGATCCAGCCCAGGAACAGCGGGACGTCCTTCCAGACCACGCCAGGCATCGCCTTGTTCTGCACCCAGACGGGTATGACACCAGCAGCATCGCTTGCCGTCGCCATGAGCCACTCAATACTCCCATCCCCCAGCCTGCGGAACCGCTCCACACTAGCATAGAACGCGATCTGGGCGCCCTTCTCCTTAGCCAATCTACTCGCCTCGGCGCCGCCAAAGTCCGGCACGGGGATGCTGACGACGAGGAACTCGTTTTTGTTTTTTGCCGCGCACGTCATCTGCAGCACAGGGAAGGTGCGGTCTTTGAGTATTGGCCTGCCGACCTTGTGCCGCATCTCCTCGACGACGAGGCCAAAGTCGCCCCAGGTCTCGCCACCCTCGTTCGCTTCGATCCCCAAGGTGTTCCAGCGCAGCGCCTCGTGCGCCTCGAGCACGTTGGGCGTGAACGCCTTCTCGGACGCGGCGTGATGCAGGCGGAAGCTGCGGTCGAACTCGTCCCAGGACGCCGTGCCCTTCCTCGCCGCGTCCTCGTGCACGCTGCGCCGGCAGCACCACATCTCGGCGTCGACCTTGTTGCCGTTGTTATCAGACGCATTGCGCGCAGCCACGAGCTCGAGCTCCGCGGCCGGGATCACGCGTTCCGAGACTTCGACCTTGGCCGTCGAGTCGGCGTGTGATTTCGTGCCCTTGGGCTTCCAGAGCTTTTGGGTCGACGATGACGAGGAGGAGGACGACGACTTGGGCGCGGCGGAGTCGATGAAGGGCACGGCTTCTTGCAGGATCGAGACGAGGAACGGCGCGAGCTCGTCGGCTTCTTCGGTCGGCGATGGGAGTTGCTGCGTGCGCAGACCCCAGAGGCGCACGAGTGGCCCCAATTCATTCGGTGGCGCCATAGCAATCGAAGTCGTAGGTTGTATTCGATACGCAGTAGAGTTATGGTGCTTGTACAGTCTCTTCAGGGGTCCGAAGGGCACTCGATCGGCAGTTCTGCTTAGGTTCCTCGAGTAAGCTTCGCAGTTCAGTTCTATTCGGAAGCTGTGGCAATGTTCGTTCGATCGGTTTCGAGAGTTGTAAACATGCGACAACCCGAATACACGTTTCCGGAGAGTGTATCTGAAGCTTCTGAAATCAAAATATCTGGCATCGGCCCGATCCGAGTCGGGAAAAGGCTCCTAAGCTTGTAGGTGATGAAACGCATGGGGGTTTGCCCCAGACTCGTCAGAGGCGTGCTGCATGAGCTTTACATTCTAGTTTGGGTGAACTGCGTCATCAGTGTGCTCGCGGCAAATGTGTTGGTGACAGCTGTACCTGCCTTGTAGCAGACAAGCTTTCTCTGACAGGGGCCTTGCCGCCGCGTCGCAAAGGGGCTCAAGCGCTAAAGTGGCCTCGACTGCTCCCGAACGAAATCGATGCCGCGTGACGGGTACGGTGATGCGCGTCCGCGTCGTTGTAGACTGTAATTTTCCACAGCCTGGCACCGGCAGATGATGTCCGAATCATTCGGGTCGGTTAATTCTCATTTCTACAATATTACAATTATCTAAGTCTAGTTCCCTTTTCATGCCCTCTCAACACCACAGACCGCGCCGCGGTTTATGTGGCCAGTCAGGGCAAACGTATATACAGAATTCGTCAGAGCATTCACTTTCTACGATTGATTTCACCAGTCTCTCTTCTCCCAGTGGATGTTGGCAGGCTCAAGCGGCCGCGAGAAAAGCGAAGCGTAGTCCGTGCCGATGACCTTGTCACTGCCATCGACGTTGCGCAGGTTGAACATACGGACCACCATCGCGGTGATGGTCTGCAACTGGACATTGGCAAACTGTTCACCAATGCAACGATGTCTGCCGGCGCCGAAAGGAAGATACGGTGAGTTGGCGCCCTTGCTGACAAGTCCATATCCGTAGTCGATCTTCTCTTCCTCTTCTCCAGTCGTGGTCGCGAGTCTCGGCGCGAGAGGAGAGTCTTTGTTCCATCGTGTAGGCTCCCACTCGTCTGGTTGAGGGAAGAATGCTGGGTCGGATGCGGATACGCCAGCGGCTGAGAGAAGAACGTGGCTAGTAGGGATGACATACTTGGTCCCCGGGACTGGCATGGGCGACTTGACGGCGCGCAATATAGAGTGGATGGGCGCATTAAGTCTGAGGGTTTCCTTGATGATGGCTTGGTTCAGGGGGAGCTTCGCAAGGTCCTCAAGTGTGAGCGGCGGCAGGTCAGCACCCAAAGCCTCGACCTGTTCGCGATACAAAGCCTCCATGATATCCGGTCGTGCAGCAAGTCGCAACATAATCCAGGAGCTCGTCGAAGATGAAGAATGCTGACCAGCCATGAGTAAAGCAATCATCATGTGCGCAATCTCGTGGTCAGGGACCTTGACACCATTCTTGTAGGTCGAGTTCATCAGATGCCACATGATGTCTTGCTGGTCACTCTTCCCAGCTGCCCGGCGCTCCTTGATTGTATCCATGTAAACCTTGGAGATAGTTCTTTGCGCATGGTCTCGTCTGTTGTTCCACGGCAGAGGCGCCCAATGAAGCGTAAAGTTGATGGCGCTAAAGCCCATATCCAGATCATGGTAGAGATCAGCCAGCGACTCGTCGAACTTGTTTCGGATCTCGCTACCTTGTAGCGAGTGGGATGCGGTAAAGATGGTGATTTCCGCCATATTCTTCGGGATGTTGCTGACGCCCGACTTGCCCTTGAAGTCGGGGCACTTCTTGAAATAGTTTGACACTTCGTCGGCGATGATCGGTACGTAGGATTGGAAAGCACTTGTTGTCAGGGCGACCTTCATGAACTGTAGGCAATCTTGTCAGCGAAGCCCCACGATCTGTCTTGAGCAGAAGCACAAGGACACACCTTCTTCTGCTCCATGAGCTTGGAGTTGGGGCAGTCGTAAACTACGTCTTTTCCGAAAACAGGGGTCGTCAGGACGGTGTAGATGTCCTCCGCGCTGACGTCCTTCAGTTTTCCGTTGAGGATGAATTCGTTGCCCGCCGGTCCGAGGTAGACGGTTGTCTTCTTGCCGAGGAGGATAAAGGTGAAGATGTCGCCATGCTGTTGCTTCCGTGTCAGTGCTTGAACGCCGCCACAAGCTGGGTATTGAGGGAGAACCAACCTTGGCACGGTTCTCCCTGAAGAACCGCGGGGGGTCCATGCCATAGGTAACAGTGCTCCCGATCAGGGGAAACCAGTGGAAGATGACAGGCGGTTCTTCCGAGTTCCTAAACAGAACCTGTTGCAGTACGTTGAGGAATACGGCGAGAAACAGGGCGCCACCTGCGATAACGCCCACTTGCGACGCGGTCGAGAGGTGGGATAACTGCTGGGACAGAGGCCCCGTAACGTCTTGTAAAAGCCCCATTGCGACGACGATCTCGAGAATCCGCTTGGTACGTGACTTCAAGAGGGTGACTCGAGCAGCAGAGACCCGTGGGCGAGGGATCTTTAAAGGGAAATACAGAATGAGGGTGGGCGACGTGATACGGTACTCGTAGAAATTATTGGGCTTCAGCAAGTAATTCAGGGCATTGTCCAATCGTGGATAAGGGGCGATCAGGGTCCCTCCCAGCCAGCCAGCCAATCGCATTGAGCCTGTTGCAGGCGCCCGTAGGTACCTAGCCCCAAAATACGAATACGAAAGCCGAGATGGTGTGGTTCAGATGGACTGATATATCGCCTCATCATGCGATGGCCATTTTATCTCAGCAGTTCTCATTTCTACGCTGGTCTCTCTATTGAGGTGAGCATCAGTCGGGAGCGGTCAGCAGCAGCAGTCATAGAGGACCTATTTGTGACCACGGTGCACGTCTAGGAATCCAATGTTTGAACTTGCGGTGCACATACTCATACCATGCAGCCCGTAAATCCAACTACACACGCCATAGCGCGGGATGCAGGAATTGAGAAAAATTCAATGAAATGACATTTCCAGCCGGTCTGGCTTGTGTGAACGAGCTTGCCCCTCGTCGGGGAAGGGGATATATGTTCTAAATACAGCCTTGATGCAACAATCCCGTCCCAGTACGCCTTTTCGAGGTATCGAGTTTCCCGGTTCCGTCAGTAAATGCTCTGCCCCCCAACGCCATCAAAGTGACTTATGCTATATGCAGCATCTCAGACCTCTGCCGTCATGTCCGAATGTGCCTTCGTAGTCGCCCGTGCGCGGGCGTCATAACGACAGCCCCGTCCACCGAAAGTCGCCGTCGATGTTTACCCAGTTGGCATTGTCCATCGCCTTCTCCCAGCCCATGATCACGGCCAGGAGCCGACAGCCCCCTGCGCTCATAGTGCAGATGACGGCGTCGCTCGCTTGGCCGAGCACGGCCAGGTCCAGGATGTAGGCCCGTCCAATTAGCCCTCTAAGCCGCATGGTCTCGGCCGACGGTTCCAACGACGTCTGCAGGTCGCCCTCTGCCGCGTTGCCGTTGTTCAGCGTCGAACGGCCCAGGTTCCAGAACATGCTGGCGAAAAAACCTCCTTCCCAGCCGAAAGTCTCGTCGACGAACTTGTGCATAACAGATCCATCGGGATTCGCGTCCTGGATGTGTTGTTTGCTTGCTAGCTTGATTTGCTCCTGAGCCCTGACCGAGCTCGAAAACTCGTCAGTCTCATACACGTCAGGATCATCCGACGCAAGGACCACGAACGAGCGTCTCTTTGCGGCCACATCTTCCCCTCCCAGAAGCGTGCTGAAATTGTGACGGTCGTCTATGATGTCCCTAGCCTTCTGCCTGTAGAGTTCCAAGGGTACGTATGCACCATTGTACTGATACTCGTATGGGTGTAGATCACCATGTCGGATATGAACTCCAACAATAGTGCCATCACCGTAGCCCCCCTGAGGTGCCTTTGCCTTTGCCCTCAGCTCCTTCACGCGGGTTTCCACATATGGCTGGTCGTCGTCGTTTAGATGAAACAAAGCTTCATAACCAGCTCGGGCGAGATCATACATGGGCCGCTCTCGGTTAATGTCGTCCCGCTTGAGGTTCTCATACTCGGCGCTAAAGCTGGTCCCAAAACTTTCACGGGCCGTTGCGGGCGATACGACCAGGTGTCGTGCGTTGTGAGGACAGGGAAGCATTTCGTGTCTTGGCGGGGGTTTGCAGGATGGCGCTGTCGGTGCCTTGAAAATAGTCGTGTAATCGCCATACGCCCACCGTGAGTCGTCGATGAAGAATGATCGCTTTTCCTTCTGAGCCAAGCCATACGCCATCCATAGCATCATCAAAGTAGGACCCAGTCCAGCATCGGGTGATTCGAGGACGAACGTCAAGGATGTCTTGCACGTACCCTTGTCGACCAAACCATCCTTCTGCTCACCCACTAAATGACCATCTTGAGCTTGAGCTGTTACTTTCCAAGCTTTGCCCTCTACACCCGGCAACAAGCCCCGTTTCTGGGCTTCACCGACATCCACGAAGTAGGGATCCTCGTAGTAGTAGTCTGGTGAAGCTTGTTGCGACGGGTGCGAGCTTCCGTGGAGCTCTCTCACGTGAGCGGCAACCTCCTGACACTTGGCGCATATATCCGAGTACTCGGCCACGGTAAGCGGGAAAGCATAGGTGGGAGGAATAGAGACGGTCCATTTCGACCTTCCATGACGGTCCGTGACAGCAATGGGTGTCGGGAACTCTGGCAGGTCATACTGGCCAATCATCTCGTATTCTTCCCGGCCGTCCTTCAACGCCCACCCTACAACGGGCACTTGTCCATCCCTTCGCACAAAACTTGTCGCCACGATTAGGAACAAAGCCAGCCCAGATATCCATGCGACGACTCGGAGAACTCGACTTGGCCTCGGGGTGGTAGGTGATTTTCGTGGTCGGGGCACCAAAGCTGGTAGTCCGGGTGAAGGTGGCGGGGAGAATATGAGGTGGTTGAAGTTGAATCGCGACGACGTGGACGACTTGGCGCCCCTATCGCCTTGATATGACGCGGCTCTTCGCAGATTAAGCTGAGGCCGGGATGCAATCATCTTGGCGTGGGTGCTCCGCGGAAGGTCCAAATGCGGCGGCATTGTTTCGCATGGGGTAATGAGTGTGAGGATAGCGGTGTCTGGACACTCTTCAATGCCACTTGGAATAAATCAGGAACCGTCCTGACTGTTCAAGAAAGATTTATGGACATGTGACGGACGACAGAGTGTACGCCAGAGCCACGGCAGCGGCAAGCTGGAACAGAATGAAAGTGAGGGAGTGACAAGTCAGACGAGTAAATATGGGCGATGGCCATCAGAGCCGGGCAGCAGGCGGTGGTGTGTATTGCCGAACCACATCGGTGTCGCGTCGAAGGATGAGATTGCGGCTCGATGCCGAAGATGGTGAAGCTCGAGTCTGGTAAGTGGCAAGTGAGGGAACGTCGGGTGGTAGCCTGGTTTTGTGCGACGGGGTACTTGTCTCCTTGTCTCCAGGAGTCAAGACGGTGGAGGAGATGGCGTCCAGAAATAGTAGGTGATCAGAGGCGGGTGACGATCTACTTGGCACTACGTATTTCGTGTCGTGGTGTCCCATGCAAATGGTAAGAAAAACCGGGGTCCGTAGGGGTCCAACGATATCTGGCCGCGGCCCAAGATACGATCCCAGATGAGGCTGACTGATGACTGGGTCGGAAGGGAGAGAATATCAGATCATCAGGAGAATATGCTCCAGGTGCGGCGCGGGGTTGAAGCTATCTCGGCTTCCCATTTGTCTGTGTCTATTTGCGGAGAGATGAGGTCGACTAACATTGAAGCGTGGTCTTAGAGGTTTGACATGAGACGATGGCGGTCTTGGTGCCGTTTAAGCTCAAGAGGGCTCGGGTCTGAGGCTCTGGACACTACTACGGCATGCTAGCAACAAGCACTACCAGCAGACTGGAACCTCGGTCCAGGTATCCGGTAAACAATGAGCATGAATCATCGAGAAGAAAAGCATTCACCAGAGTCACCACCGAAAGAAAGGCAATGAATGACAAGTCGACAACAATGCATGATCCTTGACTCCTTGAGAGGTACCTTATTGAAGGGTTGCTTCGAGTTGGTGGGGCGGGATGATGTCAGACCGTATTTGATGACTGTAACCCCTTTACATCCAAATGCCGGGGGGATTGTGATCACCACCTCACGCGAGCGACATCCCGAGGCAGGACATATGAAGCATGGACACGTATCGAACGGCTGTTAAAGTTATTAGGCGCAAGAAGAACAAACAGGCTGAACAAGTGCAGGCCATCTCTGAAGAATGTCTTTATGCCGGCGTTTGTGACTGGCAAGTAGCAGGGGTTGAACGATGGCCCGTATCCTGGGAGGGCATGGCCGCATGGGGCCCATGGAAGACAGAACAATTCTTCCGGTATCATTACCACTGGAGATCTTTCCTGGAGTAACATCATTGATGGTATCATGGTAACACGGCACCGCAGTCATACCTTCGCTAATGACAACCATGAATAGTAGAGGAATACTTGGTGAACGAAGCATGCCTCCCTCTTCTCATCAATACCCTATCCCATCACCCTCATGCACCGTACATATTCACTGCAGTGCAAGCTGCACAGAGTAGGTACACAGTAGCTAGCCAATCCTAAAGGTTGAAGACCCCCAGATTTCCATTCTGGGGGAGAAGATGCGGGATGCATGCGCTGGTCCGCACTATGCAGCCCGCCATTCCCGGATGCGACCGTATCGAGCGCACGGAAAGCCGTGATTGGCTTATGCCGTCAGTTCAGGGGTTTCATGTCCATTAGCGCTCCTCTGTCTTTTGTCGGAGCTCGGAGGATGACCCGACATTCACCTGTCTGTTTGCCACATCCCATCCTGCCACGCAGCCACGTCAGAGAACGCACAATAGCACAATGCGGTCTCACTCTTGCGAACCCCCTTCCATCATTGGCCTCTTTTCGCAAGCGGTACAAACACCAAACACGAACTGATATGTTGGCCTCTGATGAGTGGCCGGCGGGGTATCATGGCCCAACATGGACGAAACATTTGTGTTGGACCAAACGAGTTTCTGTATTCGCCGAGCCGTTGCGGTGGAAGCGAACAGAGTCGAACAAACTCCCCTTGTCCCCCACTCTCACGTTGCGTCTGTGCTCCCCGTTCCTGTTTCTGCTCCTATTCCTTCCTGCTCCTCCTCGGTCTGTAGTGCAACCCCATCCGTTGTGGTGGGATCAGGCATCCTCATTCGAACCTTTTTAAGGTAACGTGCCATAATTACCAGGGAGATATCATGATCATGATAAGGTCTGCCCATCTGTTAGACCAGGTGCCGATTTATTAGAAACAACCCCATCTCACCACGGCGCCACACCAGCACCACACCATCAATGGTCCATCGCCATCTTGTCTCAACGCACTAGTAACAATGAACTACACCCCGCATCTTCGTCCGCAAATCCATCCTCAGTTACTTATACATGTGACACCATGACTCTGTGCGGAGGGGTTGCATCGTTTGTTCCTCCTGAGTCCTGGGATTGGCAGTCATTACTGTCTCGCAGAATCTAACAGCTTCACTCACCTAACCTACAGGTACATAGTTGAGTTCATCGTGATACTACGAGAACAGGATTCAGTGAAAAGTAGAATAACTTGACTTACACATCATCACTTTGCCATGAAATTACATTCACGTCTTAAACGTACTTCTAAGTAATCTGTAGCTCAATTCTACCAATACGACTCCCTCGGCTCCCAAGCCGAAGACCTTCGCGCCAACCCCTAAAATGCGCGTCACCAGCATCATCATGTCCTCCACCTCACCATCACAACTACTGCAAACACTACCGTACCACCACCACGTGCTATCACCACCATCTCTCACTACCAACATAACACTACCTAGAAAAGCTATCCCTGTCCCCGCCAGCAGTAGCGCCCCGGATCCAAATGCTCCATCGGTGCCACGCCCCTCCAGCCCCTCGTCCGCACCCCCTTAACTACGAGCAGCAGCACCACCGCCAGGTCAACCACAAACGCAGCCCAGACGTACACATCGCCGATGATGTGTGTATCCGCCGCCATCGCGTCCCCCTGGATCATGAGTTACCCGCTCCGCACGCCATGATCACGTCGTCGACCATAACGGAGACGGGCGGACTCGAGGCTGCACAGGGTCGCCTCTTGTAGAGTTGGTGGTGGTTTCCTGCCGGTGTCATCATGCGCCGCTGTGTAGTCGCCAATGCTGTTGTTGAGCGAGGTGCCCACGAGTTGTCGCTGTCTATGAGCCCGAACTGACTGCTGCCGTTGTACGCGCAGGTGACCGCCACGCGGCATACCCAACCTCCCGGTAGCTGTACGCGGGTAGCAGGTCGTCGTCGTCGTCGTCGTCGTGTTCAGGAGGCTGTCCTGCCGCTGCACGCCGACCGAGTAGGCGAACGTGCCTCCGCATCCTCCGCCGGATCGGGCCCTGCGTCCCTATCTCAGAAGACCACTCCCTGATGCTAGACGCGTTGCGGTAGCCCAGGACGTACAGCAGCAGCAGCCTCGCGATCAAGTGGCAGCGGCAGGTTTCAGTCCACCGCGCGCATCGCACGCCCAGCCCTTTCTAGAAGCGGCAGGGTGGCCACGCCGAAGACGGCGTGGCGCGGCTGATAAGTCTTCCGAGCACGAGCACGAGCACGACGACCTGAATCAGCGCGAGCGCGTTGTAGACATGCTGCAAGGACCAGTTGGATTGTGGCGCGATTGGCTGAGATCCGGTCAGTCCTCGGCACCGGCCTCGCCAGGAGCAGCGAGCTGAGGACCCTTGTTGCGACAAGGCCGGCGGCTCGAACAACACTGGCCACTCCGATGGCTGCTGGTCCGAGTGGAAGTGGCGGATGTTCATGCTGGCCGGGCGAGAATGGTGCGCACAAGTATTCGAGGGGCGTCACTGGGTTTTTTAGGTACCTGGTAGCAGCCATCATTACGAAGCGGGCCTGTCTTGATTCACTGGAGATACGGATCGGGAATTCAGATATAATCAGCAGCAGCACTCGTCCCAAGCAGTCGTCCCAAGCACTCGGGTTTCCGCTAATCTGCGGCTGAAGCAAGCTCTGCTTCTTGTTAGAACACACATCATGCAGGCTGACCGCCACCAAGTGAGTATTATTACCGGAAATAGTTACCACAAAACCACGCATTCGCATCGAGTGTCCGGACCTCCTTTAAGGCGCTCAGAATATTGAAGGACGAGCAAACCTTGTAACTTGGCAGCTTTTATTACAATAGACGATGACCTTTTTACTTTGGAGTCGCAGTCTCCATAGGGAGAGTTGGCCATGGCAATACCAGTCAGTAGTTGTTCACCCTCTATCAATTCGTCTGGTGGGAAGTTCAAAGTCAAAACGCGCGTCATCTCGTAAAGCTGCCTTTTCAGCCCCAAAGACACCTACCCACCCACCTGGTAACCACACCATCACCTTTAAATATACATACCATAAGATCATCTAATGATAAGATTTCAATCGGTACCTTGTAGTAGCCCCCGAAGGCACACCCGCGGTGCTACGGCCGTAAGCCCTGCCATCATGGGGATGGATGCCCGCGTACATACATAGGTACACTCCCCGGCCATAAGTCTCCGAGCATCCCTGTTTTACACCAAAACACCCCAACTTTACGCGATCGTGGTAAATCGAGTAAAATAAATATAACTTAAGTACTTATAGTACATATAGTTAAATTTACTGGAATATTAAAATGGTTTATTTAAAAACTTTGACATCTTAAAGATAAAGGTCGTAAATGTTACTTTATTAAAGGTTAAATTTTCGATAAAAATAACTTTCTAACATATCTATTTTTTTTTAAATCTATCACATAAGGTTTTTCGTCTTATATGTGTATTACATGTCATTTAATATTATATAACTTTATTACGACTTATACGATTTTTTTAAGCATTTCTTATAGCTTTATTAAGATTTAAGATTTTGTGACGGTCTGACCTTCTGGAAGTCTGTCAACCCATCAGGGTGGCCTGTGCGCAGCATCACATGACCTGGCGCACAAGACGTGTGGCCACAACTGTACTAGGCTAGGTAATAGTGGGGCGGATGGAAGGATCATTAATCCCACCAGAATTGGCTGGCGGGTCAGATCCTTCTTTCCCTCCCCACCAAGAGATTCTTACACGTAGGTAGTGCAATCAGGACTTTTATGTCCTCATCCTATTTACGCTTCGTGACAGATTTAAGATTTTAAACTTTACTTTTATATATCTATTTCTTAATATTTTAGTCGCTAAGAAAATAAATATTTAGAAATTAGTTACGAAAACTTCAGCATTTTCAAATATTAGTTTCTGTCAGATGTTGGATCCCAGATATGGTGCCCTTAGGTGCAGTACCCACTAGGGGGCTGTCAAGGGAACAGTGGATACACCCTGGCATGGTGCAGTATGGTATTTAGCTGTAGATTAGCCCTGCCGAGCATACTTGAGAATGACAACAACATTTGCAGCGACCGCTCACACCCCCAAGGCTTGTGACCCTACTAGAATCTCACAGTTTCTTATAATATCTCATTTTAAAAAGCTTTAAGTCTTTAGTTATAAAAGCGTAAAGGTAGGGCATTGTGGTGTAAATGCGGGAATGCTCGGAGACTTATGGCGGGTCAGTGTAGCAGATGGCGGCATTTTGTACCCCAACCTGGTACCTCACGCGTTTGCGAGTATCACGATGGAAATGATCATACCAAAATAAGAGCAACGCTGTCAGGGTCCAACTGCAGTTGGCCGAAGGTGGGACGGACGCGGGAGGGAACTGGCTTGCAAATCAACTCCGTTTGTTGGTTCTGGCCGACGCGCATGACAGTGGCATGCCGTGCCGTCGAGCAAAGAACAATAGCATAAACCACGAATTTCCCCCACTCTCCGCTGATGGCCAAACATCATGCGCATGCCAGATCCTCCCAGTTGGATCGAGGCTTTTGCTGCGTGTAACAGAGGCGGACATTCCAATCCGTCGATTGGTACTGGTCTGCATACATTGGATCATATTTCAGCTCGGCTTGCTAATGAGCTCAGGCTGGGCACAGCCATCAATAATATACAAGACGAACGCCCACAAAAAGCCGAGCTGGCTGCACTCCCACCCCCATCCATGACTTGCTCGCCACAACCACTCCCCACGCTCCCCACCTCGTTGATACTAAAACACGGTCATTGTCCGACGGGTCGGAAGCAATCAAAGACATCCGTCAACCTCTTCGGCTTCGGGACCCTTCGGGAATCGTAGCAAACAGGTAAAATGGACAGGGTATAAACCAAACGACACGAGTAACCGGAACGCCGCCTTGCTTCTCAACACGATAAATGATACTGCTTTCTGGGTCTCGCAAGGTCTCATACCTCCAAGGCCAGTTGCTTCGACTCGCTCTCGATAATCGGACTTCCTCGCAATGGTTCGAGGCCTGTCTGGATGGGCTCCATCAATGGACCGGCTTTCCCATCATTGGCGACCCGTACACTACCACGTACGCCCTTCACAATGTGACCGGTTTCGACGCGGTCCTGGATCATCTCGTCAAGTATCCGACTCATCTCATCCACGCTTTTGCCGCGTGTCCGAACCGGTGAGTGGCCTTTAGGTCCAGCGGCTGGTGGATCTGGCAAGGCAGCCTGAGGTGGCGGGCTTACCGTATCACGCAGTAAAGACGCGCGAGCCTCGATCCTCGACATATCGATTCCCTCGGCAGCCTGAGGTGGCGGGCTTCTCGTTTCACGCAGTAAAGACGCGCGAGCCTCAGTCCTCGATGTATCGATTCCCTCGGCAGCCTCTCTCGAGCGAGCTGCGCCACGAAGAGCGCCTAACATTCGGTCTTTGTCTTCCAGTCTCGCACGGAGCTCCGCGATCTCGGCATCCTTCTCCTTGATAATGGTCGATACACTGTGATCCTCCCCGACCATGATTCCCTTATTTGATGCCGAGAACCCCGCCGAGGTCCGCGATGAGCTGGCACGTCGAGCCTGCAGCAGCCTCTTCTCGAGCGTCGCGATGTAGCGAGTCTTGTCAGACAGGTCGGCCTGGAGGGCCTGGTTCTGCGCTTGGAGAGATGCGACACCATCACCAAAATCACCCAGACTATCCTCGTCCTCGTTCGATGCCGGCGCCCCTCCACTCGAGTTGCGTTGTCCAGCGGACCTCCGGCCGATAGTGGAGGATGAAGATCCCATAGACCCTGTTCTCTCCAACAGCGGGCGGCTGCCATTCGACGTGGCTACCGACGTTCGGAAAGAGCTCTGGGAGAACCGTTGATGTATACCAAGCGCGCTGTAGGTGCCGCTTGAGTTGACCCCGGTCGACTTCGAGCTGAGGATCAGACGGTTCAAGTGGTCGATGCGCTCCTTCAACGCTGTGCGTGCAAGTTGCATCTCCAACATCTGTTCCTCATGTCTTGCCTTGGCTTCCTCCTCTCGGGCCCGCTCTTCTTCCTCGTCCTTTTCCTTTTCCTCTTCTTCGACTTTGTTACCGCTGGTCTTGGCTTGCGAATCAAGTTGCGTCTTCAGCTCTTGAATCTCCATTCGGTAGCGTTCGAGGAGCACCCTAGCACCACCCTCCCCTCCGGCACCGAGGGCTTCTTCAGCTCGTTTGGCGTGGCTTACGATATTGTTCTTCGCTCGTGACGCGAATTTGAGTGTGTTCAGAGTCTCCGCCGTATGGCTATTTGCCGCAGCAGTACTCCCTGCAGCGCCCGTCTGAATGGTACACAGGATACTCACTAGCGAGTCTCCAGAGAGTGCGCCTTGCAACAGTCTGGTCAACTTGCTGTCCCTGTAGGGCAAGTGCTTTCCATCTTTGTCGGCAGCTTTCCCATCTTTATCCTTGTGCTCTGATAGCTTAGAGATGACAGTACCCAAAGTCAACAGACTCTTGTTGATGTGGGATCCCTCCGTTCGCCGCTCCTTAGATTCAGCAGCTTTCTCTGAACCTGCCAGATCAATCAAACTCAGCGTGGAAACGCGGACACCGCCTGGCGGCAGTGCTGAGCGTTTGCTGTCACCGCTCGAGCCTCCGGGTATGCGTTCTCTGCTCTCGACGACGATCTGCACCACGGCATGACTGCGAGAACTTCTGGCATTGAATTGTGTACTTGCTGTCCTCCGAGCTTGGTCGCCACGGGCGATCACTCGTAGCAGTTGTGTGGGGCTTTGCACAATCTCCTCTTTCAGCGGCGACGCATAGACGCCTCGTTTGCTGTCTTCTCGTAGCTTGATCTCCTCTTGCGCACCCATGGCCCCTACGGTATTGCCGGTAGGCATGCTGAGGAGGTCATGTATCTTCTCGTTGTAGATTTCGAGATAGCTGACACGTAGCAGGAACTCCCTCGAAGGTGTCTCACGAATATACGAGAATATATCGGTTATGGCGAGAGGAATTACACCAGGAGAAGACGCGGTACCCTGCATTGAGAAAGTTTTGCCCGTACCGGTCATACCATACGCGAAGACGGTGCCATGGTAACCCTCCATGACTCTGCGAACCAGACGCTTCGCACTGTGATCATATACTCGACTGTTGTCGTCGTGTGTCGAAAACACATTGTCTATCAAGAAGTCAGTTGCAAGATCGACATTTGAGTAAACAACAAGCTTACCGTAAATGTAGTCACCCCCTTCACGGCCCCGGTACGCAACCAAAGACCGCCGTCCATCAACCATCCACTCGCCGTCCGGTTTCCCACTGTTGCTGCCAGCGTCAGGTCGCACTCTGACACTCACAATGACATTGCCTTTGCCGTCTAAGCCCTTGGAGGCTCGCTTCTCGGGGGTGGTGGTGGTGTCGGCGGCACCGCTAGCATCGACCGAATCGTCGAATGTGGTAGCAGACGTCGAATACGAATCTTGGGCTGAGGAGCTACGGCTCTGAGGGGGTGACCCAACACTGAAGAGCCCATCCGACGTCCTCGCGCCAGGTCCTCCCAGTAACGATTTTCCTTCCCCGCTGCCATTCAGCAGGCTCGGTGTACTGGCAGCCTGGTAGCCAATCTTCGGTGTTCCTTGAGGCGTCCGAGATTTCCTCCCGGGGGTAATTGCTCCAGATAGCGGACTAGGAGGTAGACTTGACATGCGGCCTGGTGGTTGTGGAAAAGAGTTGATGCTAATTGTCTTCCTGATACTTCTACCGCCAGTATTCACACCATGTGCGCCTTTCGGTATCGGGAGGGCCATGGTAGGCGCCGGGGTTGGGGGTGGTCCCCCATGGACGTTTGCTGATGGCGCTCTCAGCCCACTCCGGGGTGTACTCAGAGTATTGCTCGGAGTAGCGATGCCGCCAGTGCTTCTCCGGGTCTTGGAGACAGGTAAGGCGGGCAGATCCGCATTTTGAGGTCCATTGGAGGCACGCGGTCTTGGTAAAGTAGTCATGGCGATGGGAGTCGGGATCGTCTGTTCTCGACGAGTAATCGGTGTGGGCGTTGTGTTGGCTGCTCCGCAGGTATCAAGGCTCCATGAGGCGCTCAGCGTCAAGCAATACCGCCAAACTTCGACCTAGGTATGCCTCGAAGGAGTCGGGAGGCGAGTCGAATGTGTACCCAAATTATAGGTGCCCTCGTCCTACCATAACCAGAACTTATGATAGAGAGATGGGCACAAGACTGGACCGTAGAGCATTCCACGATTATTCGACGAGTCGCGAAGCGGTCTGCTGGGTGAATTCAAGAAGCCAAACTGCTCTAAACGACAGCGCACAGGGCCGATGGCTGGAATTATCGGTGTAATACGAAAACTGCGGTTGCGTCGACAAGTACCCGGGTGGGTTGTGAATTGGGTTTGCGGCTATCTGCGAGGCGGAGCTGTTAACTTTTGACAAGTTCTAGATGTCAGGGAACGCAACTAGTTGGTGGTGCCTGAAGAGCGGTATCAACAATATGGTAGACCATGGAAGACATACCGGAAGCCCAGGTGAATTAAAGGTCCCGTGGTAGTCGGGATTTGCGATAGGGATAAGTCCAACAGAGGGTATAGTGGCTATGGCTTTCGAGCGCTGGCTATAAATGACTGGAAGGCAGCCGAATTGCAGGGTTCGCAGGACAAATGAGATCAGGAGGTATTGCAGCGGGTGGTCGTTCGCTTGGGCATGTGCTCGTTCGGAGAATCGCTTGGTCGTGTTTTGGTCGTGTTTTTGCTCGTGTTATTGTTTTTGGCGCAGGTCTAATCTCTGTTCCAAAAGTCCGAAGCTGCGACAGGAGCTAAAGTTGGGGAATGGGTTCGAGACTTTTCCGTGGTGTCAAATGCAAATGCCAAATGAGCGACAAAGGACGGATGGCAGAACGAGCGAGGCGAGTAGTGGTAGCTGTGTCACACTAAGATGAAGTCAGGTAGCCTACCAACCTTGGGTCGAAGGGCTATTCCAGGGCTATTACGATCTGGCGTCTGGCGTCTGGTGTCTGGCGTCGAGAGTGCAAAGGAAAGAAAGGGAGGGAATCGTCAACGAAAGCCCAACGGTCGCAGCAAAGTGCTCACTGTTGACTGGCAGACGGGCTCTCATTCACTCGGTCGATCAATTATCGGTCAATCAATCAATCATCAATCAGTCAACTGCAGACGAGGTGGATTGAGGTCATTGGCGAGCATGGCGCGTGGACAGACCCGACAGGTGAGGGGGGGGAGGATCTCTCAAGGCTCATGCAGGGCAAGTGCTTGCAGGTGCTTTCGGCGTGCGGCCTGGGGGCGTTCCAGAACCCCCACCTGCCATAATCCATTGGCTCGAGCGGGCACTGGCGGTCGCGTCGATTACCTAGGTACATCATATGTGGATCCAAATAGCACGGGTGGTTCGCAGCTGGTCCAAGTGGCAATGGAACTTCATTGTAAAAAGCGTCGATCCCGCTCCTTCATCAACCTCCAGGCAGGGATCGTTCTTGTGTTCCCAAGAACTCTCATCTAGAATTGTTAGACCGGGTCGAGACAGTCTCGGTGTAAATGGGAATGGGACAGAAAACCAGTGGCATATGGCACGGTAGGAAGACGAGCACAAGTGTCCCTCAGCACAGCGTCTGTCTCTCTCTTCTCTTCTCTTGCTTCAATCCCCAGATCCCCCCTGACCTCCACTGCAATTTACCAATCGCGGGTTGGTGACCAGTTGCGGCAGAGGCCAAGCTAAAACCCCTGTGCGCGCCCTGCACCGCAACCCTGCACAATATCGGCTCCCATCGCCAGCCAGGGTCCAGGGAACGAAGGCCCGGGAGGGGTTTGTCGAGGATTGTGCATCTACAATCTACTGCATACCCGACCTACGCAGTGCGCAGGCTACGGCAAGCAGTCTCTGCAGTGCTGCAGTCTGTTTTCGCCTTTAATAAGGAGAATACCGGTAGTTCTCGTTCGGCTCGGAGGATTCTTCCTACCCAATGTCCTCATTATCTGGCAATGAAGGCGCATCGTCAGCGGCACACGGTTTATCTCATCAGTGGCATCCTTCTGCGTCAGCCAGTGAGACAGACCCCCGCGTTACCGTAGTTTTACAAGATCGACGCGGCTTCGACTTCTTCTCGAGTTACAGAAATCAAGTATCCCTGCTGCCCTGGTATCCCGCTGCTGTGCAGGCGGAAGGCACAACATAGTTATGCAACGGGACTTCCACACTGAACTCATGGCCCCCCGTTGTCCCTGGAGTTCATCGAAACCTGGCCCCCTGGTCTCGCTGCAAGGACGGGAGTTGACTCCGAGTTGCAGCTGCAACCCCTCGATGCAGGTCCAACCGTCCAACGGGCCCGCTGCAATATTATTATATTGGCCTGACTGCAGGTTGTCATCTGCCATGGATGGCGGGCGAGCGCCGAGCATCCCGATTTCTGCACTAGGGGTCGTTTTCGTCACAATCCATATCCACTTGTAATCATCGGGTGTGCGTGCCAGACGCGTCTGCACAAGCTCATGTAATTTCCCACGATCTTCCGCGCCACTCTTTCCTCTCTGGGTGAATACGGGGTCCGTCGCGAGGTCTAGCAGATCGGTTAAACCACATTCATCCGACAATGGGGACCGGTTCCTGGAACGGTGGGAACTCTCGCGGGCGGAATGTCCAAACCCCTCGGCCTAGACTCTAGTTCGTAACTAGTTGGCGGGCCACCGCTTGTCGTATGCGGGCGCGCCTCTTGCGACTCTTTGGCGGCCAAGGCGCGGCCGCTCGGAGCGTGTATGTAGTGTGCGTCAGGTTGGAGAAACTTGAGGCTGAGCTGCCTTCACCCTGGTCCTGGAGCACGTATAGCCAACGGGTAAGCTATCCAGATTCTCTTTTTTCCACGAGGGTAGGTCCTTCGATTTAGTGTTGTGCCCGACGCAGCAATCGTGCTGAACCAACGCAGACTCCCGAGCTACCCCTAATGACTCAACAGAGGTTTGCTTACCACTGGAGTTGGTCGATATCAAGCCGGGTTTGTGGGCCTAGCAGCTGATGTCCAAAAAATACCTAGGTAGGCTTCAGCACATGTCCGTCTATCTGGGCAAGGGCTGGATAGTTCACCCTACCCCAAGAGGGTCATACTAGACTTGGAGCGCCTTTAGGAAGTATGCGCATACGAGTGCTTCGGAGCGTCAGGTCATACTTCACTGGTGCGCGGCCTCATGGTTGCGATCTCGAGTCTCGGAGAGACTGTTGTAGACTTTGGTTTGGTGGTCTAGTCCGGTCCTGCTGGTATAGTTCAAAACAGGTGAAGTACTCGCCAGCTTCAGATTTCCTCCCACCATCTCCAGGGACACCGTGTTTCTTGACAGTATTATCCACGTATGTGCCTGAGCAGTAACGCATGCGGTCACTCCCCATCAGTCACATGTTAATGATGCTTTGCAGGATGAAGAACTATCTGCCCAATGCTTGTCAGCCATGCTAGGCATATCCTACTGTACCTCGGGAATCTCAAAAGGGGTCGGTAGCTCAGTATGTCTGCGGCTTCGGGTTCACCCCAAGCGTGACTCGCACCGAGAAGCACGTCAGGAGAGCTATCAACAGGTACTCTAACAACCTTGACTACCTAGGTTATTACGCATTTTCGTCCCAATTGCATCGTCCGGTTTTTGAGTTCGGCGGCACGGAACGCAATATAAGCGGTAATCTTGCCGAAGGCGGCTTGCGGAGTATCAAAGCTTCGAAACGCGTATATACGCACAAGAGATAAATAACACATGCTGAAGCTGCTCAACCCGTACTGGCGCCACTACGCCTTCGCGCCCGGCAACCCGTGATCGCCAGCAGCTTTCCAAGCGCGTATTCCCCTCTTCGAGCAACAGGCCTTTGGATGCAAGGCGGTGGTTGGCGAGTCTGACCTCCGGTTTATAAGTCGTTCACGCAGACACACGCTGGTTTATGCTGGTGGTTGGTAGGTACGTGTTTATCTGGACAGCCAAGCTCTGCTCGTGATCCTACTGGACGATGGTTCGGAATTGAAATATTCCTCTTCGTTGACGGCAAGTAGGCGACCTAGTCGGCTTCATCCAACACCATTGCCAAAGAAAATATTTGCAGCCTTTGCCGTCTTGTCAGGCATTATCCGGGGTAGAGGTTATTGTGTGCGTTGCGTTGTTCTCGGACGAAGAAACATCATCTTCATGACAGTACCAGTTGTACATGCTAACGTCGAAGCAAGTGAGCGCTGGTCAGCACCGTATACGTAATTGCTTCGTGATAGTTTCGGTTGAGACCGAAGTTGTTCGTATAGCCTGCCAGCAGCTCTCACAGTGGCGGTCGTTATTCCGACGTCAGCTAGTCGGTCCAACGTTCGATCTGCTTGTTAAAGAGACCGGTTCTTTTCTCCGATAGTAAGGAGCCTGGGCGCCGGGATGCTGCAGAGCCGCAGTCGGATTTTGGTGGTGTGCGATGGCGAGAACAAGTACCGGATAATATGACCGTGCTGTTCGAGCTCCCCGCGTATAGCCGACCGAGGTCTGATGGCAAGCACGACTTGGGCAAGGCTGAGGCCGAACAGTGAGGAGGCGCTCTTCTCCAATGCTTTTGACATGAATTTTAAAAATCCATGCTCACCGCCGAAACAGGACCCTAGCACAAGCAAACCAGAGCGTCAACTACCAAACATCGGTCATTATGTCTGACGAGAGCGCAGCGGTGGCGGCTATCCGAGACCTTGATACAAACGGCAAACATCCATATCAACCGCTCGACACCGCCATCAGCGGAATCCGTTTGCTGTACCTCGGACCAGGGAAAGGAACGGATCCTTTGCTATGCACGCTTAAGCACGCCTCGCTACAGACCCAGCCGAAGCCTCAGTATCAGACCATCTCATACGTGTGGGGAAATCCAAACCAGCGTGGTGAGACCGTGATAGAATCTATCGCGGTGTCTGTACCTGCCTCATCCGAGCGAGTCTTGCGTCGTCTGCGCAGTTCGGAAACAACGCTCTGCCTGTGGATTGATGCTATCTGCATCAACCAAGACGACCTTCCTGAACGTGGGCAGCAGGTCGGAATGATGGCGGCTATCTACAAAAATTCGATGGGCAACATCGTCCATCTCGGCGAAGATGATCATTTCATGCAGGCTGCGCTGAAGAACCTGCATGATATCTTGGAAGACATGCGCGCCAAGACTAGCAACGCGAAGAACCTCCGTGACGTCTTGTACGGCTGTGGCGGAATTAAACCCTACACGAGTGACAAATTGCCGATCGAGCTTGATGTCGAGGCTCTGTCGCATCTGTACTCGAGCCCTTGGTTTGGGTGAGCGTACTACGGCGCTACATTAACGAATCATGCTGATTTATTGCTACATCAGACGTCTATGGGTATTTCAAGAAGCAACATTGGCGCCCAATAACACATGTGTCTGTGGCTCGTTCACACTCGACCTACTGGACGTCGTGAGGGCAGCACGCTGGCTTCAGTTTCACTATCGCTCAACGCCTGCAGTGGTGCAGATAGCTAACTCTGCGGGCTTTCCCCACGCTGTCCCCATGTTTGATACTATAGACCATGCTCAAGGATTCAATAGGAGGATGGATTACGAATCCACTTTATTCGATTTACTCCTATCAACACAAAAGCTCGTTGCAACAGACCCAAGGGACCACTTGTTCGGCGTGTTTGGCCTTCTTGAGCAACGGGCTCAGCAAGATCTGTTACCCGGAACGTTCGAACTCCGTGGCCTTGTCAAGCAACGTGGGAAGCCACTGCACCAGGATCTGCAATTGTTGATGCAGCCTAACTATACGCTGTCCTTGCCAAAGGTAATGCGCAATGCTACCCGCTTGGCGATACTGGACAGGGAGGACTTGAAACCTCTAGACCACTTGACTCATCGAGCAGACGGAGAGTCTGAGTCCGACTTCTGCTCCTGGACGGTACGCTGGGACCGAGCATTCGATGCACGGTTTGACACGTCTCCATATCCCTTGCCTCTGTTTAGTGACCTTGGCCTTCCAATTAGAGGATCATTTGCAGCCTCACTACTGCGACAAGACATCGACGGCGATGTGCTTTCCCTACTTGGTGTTGAAGGGGGTGAGGTTTCAGAAGTCGGCGAGATCTTCAAGAAAGAATGTTGGGATAGTCGAGATGATAGCAGCCTGCTTCGTCTCCTCTGTGCTGCAGAGGATATGGCGTTCAGAACGAATCCAGGCTTCTCCCATTTTGACTTACGCCACGTACTATGCACATGGTATTACCTCCGCGGCAAGACCAGTCCGCAGCCGAAGGACTACGGCAGTTTCAAAGCTTCTGGGCCAGACCTAGACAGTGGACTTCCGGGAGACACTCCTGCAGAAGAGCGGAAACCGTCGTCTCTTCACTACCGATACCGGCAGAGTTGGTATAGGACCACAGACCATGAGACAAGGCGATATCGTCGCGGTGGTACATTTTGCGCGCCAACCCTTTGTATTCCGCCCAGTGGGTGATGAATTTCAATTCATTGGGAACGCCTACGTTCACGGATTGACGAATGGTGAGATCGGAGAACAAGTTGCGCAGGGGGTGGAGGAGAAGGTCTTCCGCGTACGTTGAACGAGGAGGCACGCGGCTTGCTGATCCCGAGAGCATGCAGAGAGCCATCGGTACAGTTTTTACGCTACCGCCTATACAATGATTGCGCTGGTCTTCTTGAACGGCAGGTGTTGCCAGATGTATGGCTGGGTTTCATGCACCTAAGCCTCTCAGCGAACATTCTACTGCAAAGCCCCTATCTACCATTCTTGCCGAAGATGGCTCCACTCTCACTCGATGGTGAGTCCGAGACAGAGTCTGGTGCTGACAGCGATGCAAAAGTGCAGAAGAGCTGCTTGCCGGCTCTTGGGGCCTTGACATGTGGCCTATCTGCGGCTAGCACTCCGACATCTCGACCTACGGCACGCAGCAACAGCCACCCAGACAGCTTGGTCCCAGGTAAGACACGCATACTCGATGCGGTCGAGCCGAAGAGAGTTCAAAGATCATTCTGTACAATACGAGGAGTGGGCGATTTGTTGAGTTGGTCTTGGTCCACGGGGCGCCACATCCAGCCAAGTAAGTTCCAGGAGGCATCTCGAAGTAATCAGCGACCGTCGATGAGATCATCTACGCTCCCGCGATGTGCTAACAGTCGCGCACCAGGAAACGCCTCACAGACCTTGCGAATTCTGCGGATTTATCTTCCGCGACAGGGCTCAAACAAATTGCTGCATCGGGAGCAGTGCATGTCGCCGCAGAGGGTACATGTACAAAAATAAAACGAAATTTTCCATCGCACCGGACCACCATCTGGAGTATTGGTATACCAATGTGCTTGAGGAAAGCCAACTGGTTTTTCGGAGGTAGCTACTAACACTTAACAATTAACAAACAAGGCACCTTTCTTTTTGTCGAATCTCGTTCTCAGGATGAGGCGGATTCGAGCCTGGGCGGAGGCTATTTTGTCTTTTTATTTTCTTCCTTCGCTAGGTTGCCTGACGCAAATACCTAGCAGTTACGGCAGCCCATTTACGTACCCCCTAGAAGACCGGGGTAAGCCGCACTCCTTTTTGCTAGCCGTAGGGTTTATTTTCACTCATGTTACTGAGTAAAGTTCTTGTTTCATTGTGATTCATGCTTAGATCTTTCCTGAGGACCTGTCATGAATGATGACAGGGCCATGTAGGTGCGGTTGGTTCCCCTGGGCATACCTAGCCTAAATTGATCCAGTCGAGTAGTTAATTGCCATAATGATCTCCTGGAGCGACCTCACCAAGACATTGGCCTAGAAGGACTGATGCACTAGCTGACTATCGGCGAAGGGGAAGATACCCCAAGGAGACCGGCAACGGTGCGTGTTTTGCCTGCCGTGAAGCTAAACGGTACGCTTAGGTGTCCACTGTCCAGTCATAGGCGTTCCTGTCTAGCTGGTGTTGATGAGCCGGCCATCGTTAAGCAATCACCTTGAGGACTGGAGCGTGATGTATGTAGCCAAGCACATCAAGCCAAACGATTTAGATCTTGTCATAATCTAGGTGCTGCTGTCGATGATAAGTATCACTCACTGGTCTCTGTTAAGCCGTAGTGAATCAATCGATTTCACCCATGAGGTGACAAGCACCTGGTGACTTGTGCGACGACTGTGCCATTGGTGTAAATCTTCCATGTAAGGCGTTGCGAACATGAAATTACGATCTAGTGGCGTAGTCATGGCAGCTGTATCAGGGAAGAAATTCTCCCGATACTACGACTGCAGAAGATGGTGATGATTATCATACTTATCTCTAGCAATCTGCATCTAACTACCACAACGCTGACCTGATCTGGAGCGGTCTTACACGCCGTCGTATTTGAATCCGCTGATAGGTACATTATCTTCGACACATCATCGCTACGTGCTATGGAACATTCTTGGGGGAAAAGGGCAAGCAGTCAGCATCATAGTTTGCAAAATCACGAGCTCGGCGCTTATCCCATGGGTAGTTTTCTCCAAGAAGTCCCGCGCTGTCACTTTTTCCACTGTGAAGTAAAGTGTCCTTCACGTCAGTGGTTTGTGGTTTCTACCCATTGATGGTATACATATGTAAGGGACTGTTTGCACCTCTGCTCTCAGCAGCCGGTTCGTATCAGCTTTGGGAAGGTGGAAAGGAGGCGGATAGCACTGCTAGGTGGAGCTTTCCACACAAAAAATGGCCTTATAATTATGGCGGATTGTGTGACTACTCATCCGGTCTTTTGAGTGAGTTGTTATCCGCACGTCGAAAGGAACTGGCTCCTTGCTCCCTATGGATGGTCCCATGAAGGGCAAAACTGAGTTAATACTTATGTAACGACAGCCTGATGTGGGTAGTAGGGGACATATATGAGAGAGAATTGGTCTTACTTGTTCGGGCGCAAGCCTCATGTCTCCCCTATTGGTGGTACTGTTCGTCCAGACGGTATGAGATGGGACGACAGAGTTATACAAGTGATACGTGTCAAACTATGAGATTCACCGAAGAGGAGTCTCAAGGAGGATAGATTCCGTTACCAATACCTCCCTGCGTGCAGTGCCACATTTTGACGTGTAGTGACAGCGTTGCTCCTGTTACTGTAGCCTGTAGGGCAAGGGGGGGCGAAGCCAAGCCCCTTAATCTTGAGGGACACCATGTCAATATCGACGTAAAGATGTCCAAGGAGTCTTGAATAGCCACAGAATCATATACCTTAGGTCTCCTCCCGTTTCTTAGGCGACTCTGGAACTCGTCGAAATCCAAGATGAACGGCGAATCGGTAGAAAGCCGGGTTGGGTGTGGCACGGCAACGTGACAACAACCTCGTAAAGATGAGGCAACAGTCGCTCCTGCCGTTGCAAGATCTATCCCATCGGGTGCACAGACGACGTTTATATGATTGTATCATGAAACGTCTTCGACGTGTCGGCAGCATGGCCTGCGAACACGATGCCATGCACGGCGCCAAACCTCAACAGATTTCAAGGGCCGTGGGCAACACGCAACGGACACAAAATGGCAGATAGGCTGACTTGTTTTGGAGAGCGCCCGCTAAGGACCCTCATTGAACTTGTCAAAATGTTCCTGAAAACCGGGTGCACATCGTCGACCTTTGCTGGCGCCCCGCCTGGCTGCTTGCACGCAGGTGGCTGGCAAACACACCTGGACCACTGCTAGAGCTCAACCACCAGGGCCTGAGATTCCCTGATGGCCTCACTGTCGGTCCTCTGCCTCATAGCTATCTCTTATCGATTGTGTTCTATCTTGAAAAAGGCCCCGCCTGTGGTTTCTTATACCTCACTTTCTCTCCTCCATCCACAAATCCTTTCGTCCGAACTCTCAACCACCACCTCCCACCAATCTTCGCTCTCAATCAATTGAGAGCATACATCTTCGTATTCAACTCCTGCAACTGGTTACTCGATACTTCTGGTTACTCGCTATTCTCGTCAATCACCGACTCCACCAGATCTCTGTCTTCCGCATCCACACGATGCCTTCACTCACCACCACCTGCGCGACCACTGCAACCTTCTCCCCAGCGCACGCGACGCAGACGCTATCCGCGGAAGCCAAAGAAGGCCCTACCACAGTCAGTCCATACTACGCGGAAATCGAAGCCTTTCTATTCGGTGACTTCGATGACGAGGCTCTCGGCGGTGCTGTCGGATCAACGCCCCTCATCGACGAGATGGACATCGAAATGGATCTGGATCTGGATGTCGACAGGGAAGCCCCAGCCACCGAGCAAGCCGCAGATATCATCGCGAACACTGATGATGCCGCATACGCTGAGGCTACCGTCGCCCCTACGGAAGATGTCATGGTCGAGTACATGGGCACTGCGTGGCCATGCAACAGTGCCATTCTGAGGCGTGAATGCGGCTCGCTGCGTACCAGCCTGGAGAGCATGGACCTGACTCTCAGCGAGAGCGGCGAGGTGAGCTTCTTTCTACCGATTCATGCTACATATCATCTCAAGAACAGCGTGCTGACAGAACCTCCACCACATAGCTCCCGTGGATCATCCTGGACCGATTCTCCGAGTGCGATTCTCCCGAGGTCTTCTACTCAGTTCTCGATGCCATGTACACAGACCGTAAGACCACCCCAGCCCGTTTCCGCCGCCCGTCAACTTCCCCATCGCCAATTCCAGCGTACTGATCTCCGACCCCTCACAGACTGGACCTGCAGCCAAACCTGGGAACTGGAGTCGTCCTACCTGACATCCGTGAAACTCTACCTCATCGGCATGCACTGGGACATCCTGGCGCTCCGCCAGATCGCGCTGAACGACATCTTCGCGCTGACCAGCAAGCTCAACGAGAAGAACAACAAGAACAAGACCGAGCAACGCAAGAACCGGGACATGCATCTTATGTCGTTCGTGCGCGCCGTGCGCCTAGCCCTCAAGCACGACTGGCACGCCAAGCTGTGGCGGGAGCTGTACCAGAGCGGCGAGGACTTGAAGGCGAAGCTCGTCGTCCATCCCGGCTTCATGCGCTGGGTCAAGAGCGAACAGGCGGGCAAGGATTACGCGCGCGCTATTGGAGTCAAGAAGTTGTGAGGTGTCCAATACGCGCGTACGGCTACAGCGGGTTTTCGTTGGACTCTTCTGCCTACGATGGAGAGGAAGCATGGATTTTGCGAGAATCAGTATATTTGCGGATGGATCGGTCTTCGACGTATCCAGCGGGACCGTCAGTCGAGGATCATACTTCCGAATCCCGAATTCACAACCTACGCCAACCACGAAAACTTGCCGGACAAGTCAGTCTCAAGTCTTAAGGAGGAGAGAGAGACAGTATCGAGAACCGGATCTCTGGTTCATCCAAAGCACGACTGAACGACACACGAGGGTTCCCTTTTGTAAGCAACAGCAAAGACGTTGCTCTTGCGGAATTGGCAAAGCATACATCGAGGCGTTTGAGTGCGTCAAGTTCCAAGGAAAAGGAAACGTTCAGGAGGGAAAGGCATGGGAAGGAGCGAAAGATACCCTTTGATGTTCAGTCTAGTTTCATATCTCTCCTTTCTGAGATTCCTGCCTCGCGCCCGAGGTCTAACACATTTGCATGTGACCATACTGTTTCAAACCCGGTAGTGTCCTTTACGTACTTTACCTCGGTGCTAAGGTACCCACGATCTACCGTATATACTGTCGAATTTCATTCCAAGTCCCCCTGTCTAGCGCAAGTGCCTGCGTGCGAAAATCAGAGCACCAGCCGCATCTACTTGTGGCTTGATAACAGACAATCCCAAAAAGAAGCCACTTGAGGCTGGTGAGGCTCTTTTTCGCACGCAGGCCACTTGCGCTAGACAGGGGGACTCGGAATGGAATTCGACAGTATATACGGTATAGGCTCCAAGGCAAGTGACAACAAGTATGAGAAGGCGTTCATCTTCACCATAAGCAGACCCAACCCCACGGTACCGAGTGAGTCCTCAATAAGGGGGGTGTATATGCCACGACGAGCACTCCAGATGCAGCCGAGGAACAGATCGCCAACGACAGCGAGACCACCATAGGTCATTTCACCGGAGTCATACCCATACACATACCTAAGTAAGCACGAGAGTAATAAATTAAAAAAGAACAGGAAAAGGAGATAGAAGAACCGAAGAGGGACAAACTTCTCTTCGAGAGAAGACAAAAAACTAAATGGACATTCGGGGAATTGAACCCCGGACCCCTTCCAAACACCGCGGAGATGCGAAGGAAGTATCATACCCCTAGACCAAACGCCCAGATCATCCTATAAGTTTTTGATGCAAGTGGTTGAGGCTAATTTGATTACTTCAAGTTCATGTGGATGAGGGGGTGGGAAAGAGGGCTGATGCCCTCGTGTCGTTGGTGGGAGTCTACATTAGCGGGAGACCCGCAGACGGAGAGGGGAAGTGGCGTGGACGGTCGGAGTGGAGGCGTGAGCTCCACGCGGTGTATGTATGTTGTGCAGGTCTGCAGGTCTGCAGATTTGAAGATCGGTCAGATGGAGCACGGCTTGGAGATCGGTGAACGACCAATGAACATTATGCGGCAGCCAGGGGGGAGGGAAGTGGTTGGTGTCAGGTGAGGATGCCCGAAGACTCAGAACTCATGTCCCCCTCGACGACTTTAGCGGTCAAACGTAGGTTGAGCATGGATACAATGCGGGCGATGAATGTTCAATGATAGCTTGCGATCATATATAAGATAATGTAGGACCAACTATGTACACAAGAAGATAACCGTGCTCGTGACCATGAACTCCTGTGGCTCGCCTACCCAGACAACCCAAACGCCAGGCGTGCCCGCCCCCTACACCCGCTTCCTCTAGCTACATGTACTCAGAACACTTGCTCGTCGCTATGCACCGAAAATCCTCCCCCTTCTGGACGTATCATCATATGCCATATCACTTGCATCAAGCCTGCCCTTCCGACTCGCCATCCATAGGATGCGTGCTGGGCTCTATCGACGACGCTCAACAGTCGCGGATGTACTTCCGTCGCCGATGATTCTCGATGACGATCTCGCGATCCTCGCGATCCGGGCTCTGGCGCCGGGGCTCGTCGTACCGCCGCGGCGCTTCGATGTAGCGGAAGGTTTCGTACTGGGGCTCCACGTGCACGGGGTAGGGCACGGGGACCCGGACGGGGACGAGCCTCTCGCGCTCAATGTAGACCTCCCGTTCGCGGCTGTGGCTGTGGCTATGGCCGTGGCCGTGGCCGTGGCTGTGACTCCGGCTGCTGTGGGAGGACTTGGAACTCTTGGAGCTCTTGACACTCTTGGCCGACTTGACGGACGGGTCGACGTCCACAGCAATGACCTCGATCTCCGGCTCGGGCTCGGGCACCACCACTGGCGCTGGGGGCGGCGGTGGCGGCGGCGGAGGTGCGATGATGATGGGTGCAGGCGCGGGCTTGGGTTCTGGCAGACATAGAACAGGAGCTGGGGCTGGAGCTGGAGGCGGAGGCGGGGGACCGGGCGCAGGGACGATGGTGGTGATGCGTGTGCGGACTGTCTTGCTGCCGTTGGTGGGAGGCTCTAAGTATAGGACCTTCTTGTATTTGCCATAGCGTTTCTCGCGGGGCACTGAGTAGATGGTGGACATCTCGTCAGTCGGGTTGGCTCTTTGTTCAGATGGAAGAATGAGATGTTTGGTCGTGCGACTTCAGGCGAGGTGGAAGGCTGGAAGCGCAGATATGTAGACATCGGCAAGCCTGAGGAGGATCTTGGACTGCTAACCTGTTGAAGCGTAGAACCACATTTGGTGGGGGCGAGGGATCTTGATATAGAACAACCCGGCTTGGTTGGGCAGAGGCGGCAGCGGGCAGCGGACAGGGGGCTGGCGATGGGATGTGGGCTACGTCACGGATACCTGCAGCGGCCAGAATCCAGATTTTCGATCGGGCTGGGCCGGTTCTCGTGGTGGGTGGGACTCGATGCCAGTGCAGCCAGCAGGGAAAGGCGATTTCTCGTCGTGGCAGTGTAACCTCACATGCAGTGGTGCACCCTCGATTCCCAGGTGGACGGAAGGCTTCACTTGGCTCCTTTTCGTCGAGAAATGCCGTGTAAAAGGCGGGGTGTCGTGACAGGATGCGACTGCGAGGAATACCGCGCTCTTGAGTCTTGAAGCAGTGGCAGAAAGAGAACTTCTCTTAAAGAAGAACAGCGAGAGGGCAGATATAAGGAGAGCTCGGTTGGTTGCACAGGTGGGATTGATATAAATACCATGAGGGATTCGAAACACCACGATTCCCCATTCCCTCAATCCGCAATCCCAAAGGCCGAAGGCTCAAGGCTCACCCGCCGCCATGCCGTGACCCCTCGGGCACGCATGGACGGACAACTGACCCTGGCACACTCTGAGCCGACAGAATATCAATCTGAGACCAAGGCCGAAAGGTAAAAGAGAGCCAAAGCCTCAAGGGTCGGCAGCGTAGATAGCAAAATCATCACGGGCCTTCCCTGCTTGAAGCCCGAGGGTCGGATGACGTTGGGCGCTGAGGAGTTGGAGAGTGGCAGAGTGGCATGTGACCGCATCATGGTCACACTGCCGCTGTCGAAGATTGAGAACTTCGTGTGACAACTTTCAAGGGCTTGCCCGTCAAACCCGTCTCAGCTGCCCGTCCTCAGATCTGGGCCGACATGCCTGACCTTGCGACCGAGCCAGCTTACCGTTGATCATTGCTCCTCTCGGCGTGGCTCCAGCTCGTAGCCGTACTCTTGGGCTTGAAGGCTAGCGACACCAGCCCACGACACCGGTTGAGGCTGAGCAACCCTGATCGTGGCCAGCAGGGCGAGGCCTGCCTCGTTGGGTGAGCTGGCAGATATCGGGTCAAAGACGTTCGGGTTCCAATCACAAGCGGCGCTGCCGAGCTGTCAGGCTGAGCCTGTGAAGCAACTGTCGTGAGTACAAGAGTCCATGCGCAACAGTAAGCCCAGTCCGGTGCCGCAAACCAGGCAGCCCGGTGGCCACTGCCTAAAAACTCATCAGAGACGACGGCGGCACTGCTCCTGACTGATGAAACCTTTTATTTCTCAGCTTCAACAATTTGTACACGGTTATGGAGCTCTTATGACTGCGCCGACGAGATACATGTTATGTACTTAGAGGTTTGTTGGTGGCTCGTGCACCTGTTCCGCGCCGATAATCCCAGCATAAACTTCCAACTGCAAGTTCGAACTTCACATGCTCTCACCTCCATGTCTCTACCTACCTTAACCTCTAACCTAAAACAAACAACATGCCTACCTACATGTACATGTACTTGTTAATATGTACGAGTTAGAGATAATTGTGTTGTCTTTTTGACTTGCTGCCACTCCACACATTGCCGCCGCAGTCGTTGACGCCTTTGCTCCGGCATCCCTTCTTCCGACCTTGCTGCACGCAAAGGGTGCTCTTGCGAGCATTCCCACGGAAGGTCCATCATTCACTGTATCGTAGCGACTATCCATGTCGTTCTTTCTCAACCTCGTCCAGCAACATTTCTGCACCCGACTTACCACCCGGATTACTGTATGAATACATCGAGGATGTCGAAAGACTCGAATACTACCAACCTGGTGGCTACCACCCCACAACCATCGGCGATAGACTCCACAGTCGATACCAAGTAGTCGACAAACTTGGGTTTGGAACCTACTCAACCACGTGGCTAGCTCGTGACGATCAGTGCAAGTCTTTTGTGGCAGTCAAATTCGGCACAGCGGATTCAACGGGCCGAGAAGTCGATGTTTTATCAGCCCTCTCCAACACTGGTGATGGAATCGCAGTTGACGACAGCCTCGTGGGAAAATCCCTAATCCCACCAGTCCTTGATAAGTTCGAGATTCAGGGCCCGGATGGCATTCATCCCTGCTATGTCAGAACCCCCGCGAGCTCCAGTCTTTCTAACACGAAAGACGACTCCCGACTGTTCCAGCTTGATGTTGCCCGGGCTCTGGTTGCGCAACTTGTCCTAGCTGTTGCCTATGTTCATGCCCGGGGCTTCGTCCATGGAGATATGGCGCTCACCACCCCACTTCTGAACCTAGAATCTACCAGTTGATACGTATCTCGCAGATCTTCACCTCGGCAACATACTTTTGCGCCTCCCACATGGAATAGAGCGCCTCTCAGTGGAAGACCTGTATTGTAAGTACGGCCAGCCGGAGACGGAACAAATCGTTCCTCTTCGCCAGGGGCCTCTACCTCCGGGTGTACCGTGGCCTCTACCTCCAGGTCTACCATCTCACGCCACGCTGCCGCTATGGATGGGGAGTAAAACGGTGACTCTATCGGAGGCCAAGATTTTCCTCGCCGACTTTGGCGAAAGCTTTTCACCCTTGCAAAAATCCCGATGCGACTCCCACGCACCTCTCTTGGTTCGACCGCCGGAGACTATACACGAGCCATCCAGACCGCTTACGTACTCCTCCGACATATGGATGCTCGCCTGTTCTATCCGGGAGATTATCGGGCAGAGAACACTGTTCGAGCCCTGGTTTCCCACCGAGGACAGCATTACTCGTGAACAGGTATATGTCTGCGGTATACTGCCGCCTGAATGGTGGGCGAAATGGGAGACACGGCACAACTGGTTCGCCGAGGATGGCAGTCCTATATCGGAGCCATATCTCCCACCTTTAGAGGGCCACTTCGACAAATGCGTGCAAGCGCCGCGGCGAAAAGAAGGAATGCCCACATTCGACACGGAGGAGAAAGACGCTGTCCTGGCCATGCTACGGTCAATGCTCTCGTACGAGTCTGAGGCGCGGCCGACTGCAGAACAACTCCTGAAGTCGGAGTGGATGCAGAATTGGGCACTCCCAACCTACGAAAAGATCAGAGAGTAGAGCCGCGGCTCATATGATGGGACAGCGCGGTTCGAGAACCACTCCACTCCAACAAGCAGATGGGTCATCGCCCTATTGAGGAGAAACAATCAAGCGACAGGCTCATTCATGATAACTCACGTTGCAGCTGAACGGACATTAGCGTCCAGGGACTGCTTTGCCTGTCGTCTAGTCGGGATGACTCTGTGATGGGCGTCGACATGAAGCTGAGCGGCTTTGAAAGCGCCCTGTATACGGCGACTAATTACCGCGAGCCGGCAATAGGTCTAGCCGGCATACCCGGCTCAGGAGGCCCTGGACGGAGAAGACGATGGAGCCGCGGCGGCGCGACAACCCACGCTAATGAGGCAGATATTATAGTGATCTCAAGGAATGTAACGTCTGACTCTATGTGTCTTGAGGGGCTTTACTGCTATCATTGCATATGCTGACGATTCAAGCCAGCACACTCTACTGAGTGCCTGGAATCAGCATCCACAAGTGCGGGCGTATTGTCACGCCACGATGCATAGGTCACTTCCATTGCCACCGCTCGAAGCCTGGCGATTCCTTACATTGTCAATGCTTTCTGCAACATGTCCAACATGGGCGAAAAGAAGCACGCACTATATAGCAATGACTAGCATGATCCCAGATGCAGCGCAGAATCCAGACGCCACTTGGCTCAACACGTCTTATGCTGTGTAGTACTATCTTCATTGCCTTGGAGGTCAATAGTAGGGAATAGGAAATTCCGAGTTCTCTGCGGTGACGAGTCAAATGCAATCAGCCCATGTCATACGTAGACGCCGGCAAGCCGGGACTCCCCTCGATGCAGCGCAATATAACGCCTCGGCTATTGTGTTATGATAGCCGTCCTACTCATGGCGGTCACTCATTCCAAGGAAGTAAAGACGGCAGCTCATCTTCTCTCAGAGAAGCCTGACGTAGACCCTGTTACTTCATCACGAGTGTTACGACATTCCCGATCACAGCTCCAAGGCGTGGGACTGCCAACAGAGCAGCTGCCCAACAAGCACAATGACTGTCCCGCCCCGACGCATCGTGAACAGCGCAATTCTGCCCCCAAACAAGCATCAAGGATCACCATAATCCTCGTATGGTTACACCAAGGCGTCTGTCCGTCGTCAAAAAAGATGATCTCAGTGGCTGGTTCCAGAACCCGATCCACGACCCTGGGGATTGCGTCCCGTCGTAAGGAAGTCAGTCCCCTTGCAGTTGCCACTTCGGACCTGCGGGCCTTACTCGATGCTAACTATTACCAAGCTACTTGGATTGAGGCTCAATCGTGGGTTATAGCACGGAACGAAGTGTCTTATTGAAGCTAGAGTTTCGTCGGGCACAAGCTTCCTTCGAGAACTACTGCGCGGCACAACCAAAGTAAGGAGTAGTCTTACTCAACATGCCAACACACGCCAGACACCTCTACCAAAGACTCAGTTCCATCATATAGTATGCTATATGGTTTATTGACTTCTTCCTCAGCTTATGTACGAAGCGAAAGCGGAAGGTGTAAAAGCGTTGCCCATTCACATTGTGGTGTATATATCCGAGCTGCTAAGTTTTGGCATGAACCCATCAACTGGCTGGCCTCTGGAGCGTGGTGTCCGCCTTTAGTATCTATGGAAAATGTCCCGGAAGCCTCAGCTGATCTAGCAGAAGGCCTTATTTTGCCTGTTCTGGAGCGATCCCGCTTCCTCTCATTAAGTCGTGTTCACTCAACCCTTACCTATATGAAGGTCGAGTTTGAACATCGTCCTTTCTAGGAACGTCACCGCCGATATATGTGACGTGATGATGCAAGGTGAGTTCTCACCTGTTGACATCTCGAACCTATCGACGGAAAGCAGATCGCTGCGCGACATTATGCGCGTGAATGCCACCCGGCTTGGCTCGAAAGGCTCGAAAAGGGCATCTACGCACAACTCTGCGTCGAGACTCGGCCACCGGTCTCGAATATCGGACGGGAAATAGTCTAGGTCGGCCTCAATTTGTTGCAGTACTATGATCCTACACCAGGGGACCGGTGGCCAGGTTCCATACCGCCGCTCACCCCACACCAATAGGAACCGGCTAGCTTGTTTCGAAGCGCCTTCTCTGGTGAATGAAGCCATGCCGTGAGCGGCGGGCTTGCCGGCATATAACTTGAATGAAGAACGATGAAGCAGCATGCACCCCGCGCTCGGGGGCTCGCTACGCTCTAGAACATATGGACCAATACCGTGCTGTGTTTCTAGGCGCCACTGGACGGCGGGAGGCGTGTATTCGTACAAATTTGGGGATTGGCTTTTGATCGTGATTCTCACCCGCCTCACTTTATCCAGACAGAGACCGACTTGAGGAGGTTAGCGGCTTGGATCTTGAATGGGGTCTCCGTAGACGGATGGGTGACCTACCTGGTCCAGAAAGCCGATCGATATCGCCTGACTCCGTGGTCTGAATCTTTCCGGGCGAGATTCGAAAGAGGACGTCCTGGCGAACTCGCAGAAACTCCAACTCTCCACCCTGCTTTACACGACGAAGCAGCATCGCTGGTCGAGAAAGGTAGTCCGCCCCAAATGAACAGTCGAAAATTCCGTAGTATAATTCCTGATTTGTCGAGGGGCAGAGCCATATATCCAATTCTAGCTGCGATCCCTCTAGCCGTAGTCTTGGTTGTTCCTCGCAGCGCAGCCACACGGAGGGCAACACGTATTTGAAATCAGCAGTACTGCTGGCGAAAAGCATGGGCGCCCGCGAACCGCTCGTGAAGGCTAATATGGAGGTATCGTTGAGTTGCTTGACAACTTCCATTTGCAAGCGCTGGAACGCTCGTTCCCCCTCCCCGTATAGCAGGGGCATGCTAACATCAAAAATGCCCATCAGGCAGTAAGCAGCGTCCTCCGGCCGCGTCGTTACTCGACTCGTAGCCCATGCCATGCGCGTCGCCACGTTGAAGGATTGTAGTAGGTGTGCGAATTCGCCCGAAGAAGAGCGATCTTCAAGTGAGAGGATGGTCCGGTCGATCCCCGTGACGTCCGCTATAGCAGCGGCCATGGCGGTGCGGGAGCCCAGAGGTTCCCAAGCCGCGCCAAAGAACTTGACCTGGCGAGGCATAATGAGCTCCTGTAGCGTCCAACCGCGAGAGTACCATCGCGAACTCCCGAGTTGACTCAAATCGGTCGTGTCGGCCAAATACGCATAGCAAATGCCGGCTGACCGATACCAATCAGACATGGAATTGATGGCCTCGGAAAGCTCGGTGCTGCTGCTCTTGTCGATGCAGCAGGTGTCGATCCATATATACGCATAGCCATCCTGGAGAGCCTGCCGTGCGCTTAGTTCAATCTTTAGAAAGCCTTGCTTCTTGATCAAAGCCTCGCGGGATCGGTTCTCAATGTCTTCGAACAGTACTTCGTCGTCGAACCACATGTGAGAGAGGATCGCATAGGGTGGGGCTTTGTGCCGGTTCGCGAAGCTTTCCAACCGCAGACTTGAGGTCTGCAATAACCTCATGATGAGTAGGTAGGCTTCGCGAGAAGAACGAAAGGACGCAAGGTTATGCTTCTTTCGATAACATGAGTGCTGCAGTTCAGCGCAAAGGCCGGGTCAAGACATGATACTCAACACTGCCCATAAGATACATGAATTCTTGTTTATTTGGAGGTTGCCCAGCCGCGCGGAGAAAAGGAGACGGACGCTGAAACTCGGAAAGCGGTTATGCAGGGCAAAATCGAGAGGGAAGGTGCACGTCGCGGGGCTGAGATGAATTGCCAAACCTTCCAGCCGCAATCTTCTGCATATCATATGTAGCTCCTCATGAGGTAGACTACCGTCTGAAAAGGGTTGTACAAGCTTTGCTGGGCACGAGAGATCTCATTCCCGTCGCCAGCAGACACTTTTTGTGTAGCCAGTCGAGTGCCTCCAGCTGTTCAGGCTGACCCCAACGAGCGCCGATGGAGCCGTAACTGACCGCGTCAAAGTGAAGGAGTCTGAGTTGAAGCTGCTAGTTACTTATCAATAGCAGACTGTGGAGTTGGTATATGCCTAGACCTCGAGACCCGTCCTCATGCACTCTAGGCAATCGGCCTTCTCCAGGCTGCTGCAATTCGCAGCTGGACGAGCGGACGGGTTGCGTGTATTAATCATATATGTAAAGTAGGTAGCAAGACGAAGAAAAACCTACGTCAAAGCTTGCGGATGTGCGACCTAGAAGTGACTTTTGTGTCTGAGAAGACTCAGGTCGAGTAATGTGAGCAGAGACGGGTGGGACGTCGAAGAAAAGGACGGGAGCATTTAAGTCAGACCCACTACGGATCCAAAGTCACAGTGCGCAGACTTGAAGACAGACTAACAGAGACTGTGCTGTGCCGCTAACCTCCGATCCGCGAAGGAACACCAAATTGAAGTGTCATTGACAGCATCAGCGAACCCGTCTTCAACTCTGGATAGACTTCAAATTGTGTATCAACATGAGAGCCACAACGAGATTATTAGCCACCGCGACAACCGGGAATGGCCTGAAGCCCGCCCCGATGGCGATCCTACCCCCAATCCCTCTTTACCGTCGTCTGTTCAGAGCGCACCGGAAGCATCTGCCGTCAGAGATGCGCGTGCTTGGGGACGAGTACATCAAGGCCGAGTTTCGCGCGCATAAGGACATCGACAATCCTGCTCATCTAGTAATCGAGAACTCATTACAATGCACGCTCTTGTAACCCGGCTGATTTTTGATCCAGATTGGCTTCCTCACCGAGTGGCAGCTGTATGCGCAGAAGGTCGAGGGCGACGCCTGGGTTGGTGAGAAACTAGACCCGGCAAAGGTTGAGAAGATGAGTGGTATATCTGCTCCAATTGGTCCATGGCGCAAGATCTTACTGATGTGTCCATCTAGATCAGCAGATGGGGCAGATGTATGAGCTTATGCAGGCGATCAAGAAGAGGAGCGAAGAGGGCGGCGAAGAGTAAAGAACCGTGGGATGGGAATCTTGTCTCCCAACCATCATTCTTGCCGATGGGAAGCAGTTGCTTGTTATAAAATGCCATAGGCGCATGACACGAGGCAAGGCTCAATGGACCTAGCCAATGTACTTGTATTGATAGCTTCGTGTACGTCGGATATCAACATTGCGTTGGAAAGGGGCGGGTGGCAGTCAAGTGTTCAAGTGCGCCTCGAAGCACATGTTACAGCGTCCACAAGTCGGTTATCAATGGTCGACTAAGACAATCTTCTATATGTATAGTTGATCACGCTCGAGCGGTCTTGAACTTGTTGAATACCTTAATTATATGTAGGTAGATACTCTTCTACTGACAGTCGATTTGTTTCAATTTCGAACCGCAAAGGAGGACCATGATCATTGAACCCTTCGTCCAATCGAAAAAGTGGCTGAGAACGCCCCAGCTTGCCCCACCAATAGAGTAAACACAGTACATAGTCGCACTGTCCCCGCATGTTTTTCTGCCACTCGCCAACCTTAAAGCACAGTGCCCGCCCATGCACTTGAATTTTCATTCCTCTGATAAAGCGAAAGCCCACAACCCTGAGATGTGCTTTCAAGAGAAACCCTTCCTACTGGTATAAAACACCTGGATTGCTGCTTTCGTATTCAAGCTTCTAATATCACGAAATGGCGGACGAGCACCGGCCCAAGAGGCGCAAGACAAAGGCGAACGCGAATGATGCATCTGTGGTCAGGATTGGCGACAAGGTCATCTCATTATCCGCTTACCTAAAACCACAGCCCAAGCCAGCGCCTATAGAACCACAATCGAAGCCCCCTGCGCCTGAAGCAGAACGTGTGCCTGGGGATGGTACGGACACACAAATTCAAATTAAGCCTCAGAAACACGCTCCAAAGGGGTCCAGGGAGGTTCGCAAGGATTCACCTTTGCTGAAAGCCCGGAAAGCATTGCCGATATGGACTTATCAGCGAGATATCAAGGACCGGCTGCAAAAGGAGGATATCCTGCTTGTTGTCGGTGAGACAGGTTCCGGAAAGAGTACGCAGGTCCCCCAGTTCCTCTGCGACGAGCCCTGGTGCCGCAGGAGGAAGACAAAGATCCAGTCTGATTTCGTTGGCGTTGGGGGGATGATCGCCATCACGCAACCCCGTCGAGTCGCCGCAACGACACTCGCCGGTCGAGTGGCGAACGAAATGGGCACTCCGCTGGGAGGATCACGCGAGGGCTCTGTTGGTTACTCAGTCCGATTCGATCACAGTGTTCCCAAGGGCGCCAAGATCAAGTTTCTCACCGAGGGTATGCTGCTACAGGAGCTCCTGCGGGACCCAAATCTCCGTCAATATAGCGCTATCATAGTCGACGAGATCCACGAGAGGAGCGTTGACGTCGATTTGATCGCAGGCTTTCTGAAGCAGATTCTATCTGGTGACAAGGCAGGGCGCGGCGGGATCCCACTCAAGGTGGTCATCATGAGCGCAACAGCAGACGTGGAGAAGATACAGGACTTCTTCAGCCCACAAGCTATGTCGTCGTCATCATCATCAGCACCACCAGCATCGACATCGCCGTCTATGCAGCTTCTACGAATAAAAGGCCGGCAGTGGCCCGTCGAGATCAAACACACGGACAAACCCGTTCCAGATATCCAAGAGGCCCTCATAAAGCAGATCTTCAAGATCCACACACAAGAGCCATACCCAGGGGACATACTAGCATTTCTCACTGGACAGGAAGAGATAGAGGCTGCGCAACGCCTGATTGAAGAGTACAGCGCGACGTTGGCGTCGGACGTGCCCAAACTCCTAGTGTTCCCTCTATACGGACAGCTCTCGATCCAGGCGCAGCAAGAGGCCTTCCAGCCTGCGAAATCCAGATACGCTCGGAAGGTGGTCCTAGCAACGAACATAGCCGAGACTTCCGTCACAGTGCCCGGCGTCCGCTACGTAATCGACTGCGGCAAGGCCAAGGTGAAGCAGTTCCGGTCGCGTCTGGGCATGGAGTCGCTGCTAGCAAAGCCGATATCGAAATCGTCAGCCATCCAGCGGACGGGACGAGCCGGCCGCGAGCAGGCCGGCAAGTCCTACCGGCTCTACACGGCCGAGACGTACGAGGCGCTCCGGGACGCCGACCTGCCCGAGATCCTGCGCAACGACGTGCTGGGCGCCGTGCTGACGATGAAGGCGCGCGGCATCGACGACATCCTCGCCTTCCCGCTCATGGACGTGCCCGACGTCGACGCGATCGAGAAGGCGCTGTTCCACCTGGTGCTGCTGGGCGCGCTCGCGCTCGACGGCGCCATCACGCCCGTGGGCCGCAAGCTGGCGCTCTTCCCGCTCTCGGCCCCCTACGGGCGCGTGCTGCTCGCGGCCGCCGAACCCGCCTACGACTGCCTGCTCGAGGTCATCGACATCATCGCGTGCCTCACGGCCGGCGAGAGCATCTTCCAGCAGCTGAACTCCGAAGACGAGCGCTTCGACGAGGTCGAGGACGCGCGCCGGGAGCTCTACCGCCGCGAGGGCGACGTCCTGACCTACCTGACCACGATGCAGCGGTACGCGTCCGAGAACGCCGACCGCGTCGAGTGGTGCCGGGCGCGCCGCCTCAACCAGCGCACCATGCGGCAGGCGCTCAACATCCGCCGGCAGCTGCGCGGCATCTGCGTCAAGGAGAAACTGTTTCTCACCACGGAACCGCCGCCGCCCGACCCGCAGCCCTTCCAGCCGCTGTCCCCCGCGCGCGCCGAGACGCTGCTGAAGTGCTTCCTGCGCGGTTTTGCGACTAAGACGGCCCTGCTGGCCCCCGACTCGAGTTATGTTACTACACAGGGCAAGCACGTCATCGCCGTGCATCCCTCCAGCGTGCTGCACGGCCAGCGCCGGCCGGCTGCTGTCATGTTCCTCGAGCACGTCTACACCCAGAAGAACTACGCCAAGAAGGTCAGCGCCGTGGAGGCCGCCTGGATCGACGAGGCCCTGGCGGTGGGTGGTATTGGGGAGGTGGCATAGTTAGTGCATGGTGCTGATGATAGATCATGCCAGGGGTGGCTCGTGGATAGACAAGGCGACTACAGTATCAGTGCGTATTTCACTTGCAGATTCTACTTGCCTCTCGCGGCTGTCTATACCTACTTTGTAGCAATGGTGCCGGGATTCGTAGTTTGGGAGACAACTTGAGGTCCACAGATGAATGAGCAGGTGGCATAAGGGGACGAATTGTATTAAGCATCAATAAGAAATCTCTACGAATGAAAGCTGAGCTCTTCAGCAAGAAAGCAGGGGCCAACCTCCAGAACGCCTCGAGTGTATTCAGATCATCAGGTGCAAACCGCGCCATCGGTGTAGTGTCATGTCAGTCATTCATCGATTTCGTAAGAAGCGTCAATCAATGTCCCAGCGCGCCCTCCTCGTCCAGGTACCACGTCGGATCGCCCAGGGGGTCGAGCTCCTTGGTCGAGAAGCCATTGCCGAGGTACACGAACCGGTTCCGCGCGGGCGAGTCGTAGACGTAATCCCAGTCCTCGCCGCGGAAGCGCTCCAGCATGTGGAAGAAGTGGATGCGGGACCCCGGGTGCAGGGCCGTGACGGGGCCCTCGGCGGCGCCGCCCTTGAACCACGAGCGGCAGGGCGCCGCCCACGCGGTGCGCGGCATGAAGGTCGTGATGTGCGCGCTGTAGTCGGCGACGGCGGCGTCGGTCGGCACGATCGCCTTGATGCCTTCTGTCTGGCACTTGGTGATGACTCCCGTGATGTACTTGGCGATGTGCTCGCTCAGCGTAAACACGCTGCCGTGGCCGATTGGGCCATTGGGGCCGAGGAAGGCTGTGCGCGCCTGTTAGTGCTGTGATGCGACTGGCCAGCTCGCTTGTCTACCCCCGGTGATCGAGTGGAATGGGAGAAGGATAGCGAGTGGGTGGGGGTGGCTGCTTACTGAAGTAGTTGGGTACGCCCGGAAGTGCACAAGACATGTAGCCCCTGGGTATCTCCGTCTGCATCGTTTCCTGGAGATTGCCATGTCTCCCGACGACGGGGAACCGCGGCGCGAAAGAGGTGTCGAAACCCGTGGCGCAAATGATAGCGTCCAGCTTAACGATTTCGCCCGACTCGAGCTGTATGCCCTCGGGTACGACTGCGGCGATGCCCTCCGTGATCACTGTGGTATTGGGCGCACGCAGAGCTTCAAGGTAGCCTGGCGCTGGCGTCATCCGTCGACAACCCAGCGGAAACTTCGGTATCAACGCTTCGCAGAGCTTTTCGTCCCCACCGAGGCAGAAGGTCATGTATTCCACCACCTTGCTCGTTGCGAGTGCCTGTATCGGGCTACCGTTGATAACCTGTCCGACCGAAGTCAGCTTTGAAATGAGTTCTGCGCGGCACGGCCGGTACTCACGATAGGGAAAGCCCCGTTGATGTCCTGCTCGATAGCCTTGACAAACTTGCGGTAAAAAGTAGGGTCGCTTTTGAACTTCTCGATTTGGGTCGGTGTGAAGTTCTCCTTTTCGTCAAGTTCGATCTGACTCAGCATGGGCTTCGCTGGGCCTCCTATGACCTTCATGGTCATGATACGGGGAGGGACGATCCATGTAGGTGTTCGAACGAAGTGATATAACTCCTTGACACCTGAGGTGCGTCAGCAACAGATTGCCAAAGAGATAGGGTACACCAACCTGGCTGAATCGCGGGCAGCAGCTGGATTCCAGACGAGCCATTACCGATGACAGCAACGGTCTTGTTAGCATAGTCGAAGTCTTTAGGCCAATGTGCAGTATGTATCAGATCTCCCTGAAAGCTTTTCAGGTTCGGAACGTCGGGCCATTTCCAGTTGCTAGTGATGGTGATCAGCATTGAATCCTGGTCGCCTGAACAGCTTCGATCGGCGTGGGAGTCTCCGTGTCATACTTCAGAATGCCGGAGGCGTCAACGAGGAAGTTGGCCTGGTCTTTGAACTCCTTGCCAGTCTGCAAGTTGATGACACTGATATCCCAAAGCCCCTGAGTCTCGTTCCACCATGCACCGACGACTTTGTGCTGCGTCTTGATCGAGTCCTCCATGTGCTCTTCCTCTATGATGCGGTCCAGGTACTGCTCGATCTCGTCGGCAGGCGAAAAGAAGTTGGACCACTCCGGGTTGGGTCGCCATGAGAACTGGTAATTGTGACTAGGCACATCGCATCTGCAGCCTGGGTAGCGGTTCTCGAACCAAGTACCTCCGACCCGGCTGTTCTTTTCGTAGACGACATGCTCGTAGTTTGTCACGTTCTTCCGAAGGGTCCGTATCAGGTTGATGCCACTCGCCCCACCTCCGATGCCCACGATTCTGACATGTTTGGCGGTTCCCAGAGGTTTCTCCAGAACGGAATAGGTCGCCTTTGCTGCAGTTGCCTTGACGTTAGCACCTTGGATGTTGCCCGTATTCTGGATGGGCGCGCGTGACACTCGATGGCGGGTCATGCTGGAAAGAATAGTTGGGGGCGGAAAGACTCAACGGTATAGACTCGGTTGTTGAGCCATGTTGTGTTGTTGCAGAGGCTGACTCTTATACTCGCATCCAAGTGGTGATTGGGGTTACGCAGGCAGTGTACTACGCAGAGGAAAAATCGGATGTCCCTGGTTGAAGGAAGCCAGCTGAAAGGAGGTGTAGGTGAGGAGCCAACCAAAGCGTAGAAGCGTTCGCGGGCGTATGGGAAAGCAGACTGACGGGAAGCTGCGTACCTCAACCTACCACCACAGAGAAAGTGTTGCTGGATAGGATTCACTCAGGACTATCACCATGCATGTTATATGTATCTCATGTTCTGACACCTCGAGTACGGACTGTACGGCGGGTGCTTGCGGAAAGCGGACAATGGACGGCCCCGACTGACACTCGAGTCACTGCTTCACTGATAGTCTGATTCACTGCCTGATGATTGCGACGCTCTTGCCACAGAAAGGACCCCCGAACCCAGCATTGAATGGCAAGTCTCTTGAGGCAGCAGCCAATGCCACCAATAGCGGCGTGCCTTGTCTGTCGTCTAGCTCGGTCTTCATGTATGGGGCTGGACCTTGTTGTCGTAAACCGTCCAACCACAACAAGCGACTCCACTGCACGAGAACCACAGCCGTTCTGCACCCAGGCGAGCCCAGGTGACATGTCGAGGGGCCGAGGGGTCGTTGTGTTTGCCGGTGACGGTCCTATAGGATGCCGTCCTCTCAATGTGTTTGATCGGATATGGCAAGTCAGTAGACGCTCATGCAGCCGTCTGCTCGCCCTCGAAACATTGGACCGAATAAGCTACTTTGTAAGAACGACGCCGGTTGGTTGGCAACTTGGGGGCTGCGCTGACATGGAGTTCAAAGCTTTAAGGTACGGGACCGACTTTTGGGACTCGGAACGGCTGAAGAATGGTCGAATCACGGGGTTTTCCGATCGGCCGAGGATTTACCGGTCATATTACTACTTTCGTACGTAACCTAAGGCTGGGGTTTTTTCGAGGATCCACTAAAGAGCTCTGGTGCTAGCTATTCCACAAATTACATGCGACGCTCCTTTTCATCGACTATTAAGCCTCGCCTTCCTTACGGCCGTCGTTCCTCGTCCTATCAGCACGCCAGTTGGTGGTTTGCTTAACTCATTTGAGCCTCATATCCACAATGGCTGGGCAATTCTCCTTCTCCTTTTCCGGCGACGACATAGACGATGAGGGCCAAGCTGGACCTGGACCTGGGCCTGGACCAAGCCACGGCAACGAGGCCTCAGCACTCGCCTCATCCTCAGCTAGCGCATTCCCAGTGGCTGGAAAACCGGTACTCCCGGCAACCCGTCATGATCTGAGCGACATGTTGTCCAAGCTTCCCTCCAAGATTGCCTACAGCACACTGGATGTCGATCTTGACGGCAATGGGAGCATTCGGCTGCCGCGGCGCGAGCTCTGGGATGTCCGAGTCCAGCTGATGGCAGAGGAAGACGCGGGGGAGACAGAGCCTGGTTTAGGCAAGCACGATGTCAAGACCGGAGTCTACGAGGGTGGCTTCAAGTCCTGGGAGAGCAGCGTGGATTTGGTCAAAGTCCTGCACTCGTCCAATCCGTTTTTCGCTGACGCGGCAAGAGTTCCGAGAATCATCGAGGTAAGACCTCGTCAGTCTCGACGACGTGTCGTCGATATACGACTTACGAGCAGAGAAGATGCTGACATGGAATGCGTAGCTAGGTTGCGGCACGGCTCTTCCTTCATTGGCTCTATTTCACTGGGCCCTCAGCGTAAGGACGGCGAAGTATCCCCCCATCTCTATAGTCCTGGCCGACTATAATCCGACTGTCCTACAGCTGGTGACACTGCCCAACTTCATCCTGACCTGGGCCCTCCACCAACGAACGCAATTCGCGTTCTTGAACGAGGCATTCTCGACAGAAGGCGAGCTCGAATTGACGCCCGAGGTCCTGACAGCATTTCAGACCTACCTCTTGGGTGCAAATTTCTCGCTCCTTTTCTTCTCCGGCGGGTGGTCTGCGGAATTTGTCGACCTTGTCACCTCAGCCGATATTCCTGCTGCCGAAACTGACTTAAAACAAGTCACGATCATAATAGGCGCTGAGACCATCTATTCTCCATTTGCGCTGGGTGCATTCACGCAAACCATCTTCTCCTTGATGGAACATGACAAGGCCAAGGGTCATGAAGCCGAAGCCCTGGTGGGCGCAAAGAAACTCTACTTCGGTGTCGGCGGCTCCCTGGATGACTTCGTTGTTCAGGCAAGAGATCGAGGCGCCATTGTCGAGCAGGTGCGGGAGGAGATGGAAGGAGTCCGACGCGGTGTAGTCCGCTGCAGTCTGCCAACATGAAAATAAGCTCTTCTCTTCGGGCAAGCATCCTGCAGGATCAGACACTCACTGCCACCTCTGACCTCAGGTCCCGCACTTTAAACAGATCCTGACTAGAACCTCCCCCCCTGAGAGGGGTTTCCCGTGTCGAACATCTTAGTGATCCTTCGCTATCGAGATCGCTTGGCTTCACCCATTGGTCCTCACGCGAAGCCGAAAAGCCCGGCAGCGGAAGGAACCTGATCAGAACAGACAAGCCAGTTCAATGACGGTCAATGCACTAGAATGCGTGCGCCGGAAAGGCAATGGTACAAAATTATCAAACGAACTTGTCGTCTTCCAAATGCCCTACCTTCTCACCGGGACCCCGAGTAACAGATAGGCAGTATGTTCTTGACATCGTTGGTGTCGCGGAAGACGAATCTCGATATAACACAGTCGATGACTTCCATGCTGATCGCATCCAAGGTCCGGACGATACGTGTCTGTCGGTGATTGCCGATCTAAGCTCATAGTTCATGAAGGCATGACGCTATGAAGCCAAGTGGTCAATTGACATCACATTGAACACTTCAACGGGCATGTTGGGGCTTTGAATGGTACCGAGTCGCTTCCAGACCACTCCGGAGAATAGTCGGCGTGGCCATGTATTTATTTAGCCGTGCATCACCGAGATGCTCTCGTAAACCTTGATACCCGGGATGATACCTTGTGCTGACACGAAGCCTGGCAGCCTGGATCGACAAACAGCCATCCTTTCGTATTTGGTCGTGTTGTTGCCACTAGCATCTAAAACCCTCTGAACGCTAATAAGTTGGCACGCCGACAGGACAAGTCAGTTACCGCATTAGTCAAATCGAGTCAGTTCGGCCGCCTCTGCCGAATTGGACATGTGTGACATCAGTCAAGATAAACAACATACTTGATTAGGCAGCCTCGGGCTTCTCCTAGGGCAGGCGCCTTGTGCACGGTCGACCGGATATGCCCAGGTGATCTCGTGAGCTCGTAGCCTCCTAGGACACACCCAGTTGTGATTGGCGTCGGCACCGTCACTGACCACGTCGATAGTGTCTCGCTCGGGCTGATAAGAGTCATCAGACGAACCAAAAAAGCCCCGACAGATGCATAACCCTGGCTGAGCACTGGTGGAAACTCCGGGGAAAGCTCAAGCTGCATGCGTGGATCAGGGGCGCTCCCAGATCCAGGGCTTGATGCAGGCACAGGCAGGGAACCGCAGCGTGGGGTCTTCCAGAGATTGCGACCGCCCCGCTTTGATTTCCCTCCCTTTGCATCTTCGCATGCGTGCATGAAAAAAAGGAAGTCTTCAGGCAAATGCGCGCGCGATTCAATTCTGTGCAGATTCCTGTCAACATGCATTCGCGGTATGCAGGACTCGGCCGTCGCAACGTCCTTTCCAACAGTCCAACCAAGATTTCAGGACAGCCCGTCCAACCAAGAGTCAGGACAGGCCGATCCTTCCATCCGCTCAGCTGTCTCAGCCGTCGTATGCGCTGCATGCTGGAAGGTGCTGGGTGCTGTGCCTCGTGACAACCTCAAAAGTCTGCTTGTCACGTAGGTACATGTAGGAACAGGTGATCGATCACATGCAGCTGAGGCTCGGCCGTTTGTTGTGAGACGCTTGCGACACCTCGATCGCAAACTTTCAGCCAGCCAAGATCACGCCTCTTGGGCGATTGGGTCAAAAACTGGCTGGCTGGACCACATTGGGCTGCAACAGGCTAACAGCCCGTTGGCGATCAGATCAATGTGGCATGCTGCCGCCACCTTGCGCGGGACGCCGTAACGCCGTAACACGAGGAGGAGCGGCACGGCTACCACTCTGCCAGTTCGGGTCAAGGGGTCCCAGATCAAGTACCCGAGGTCTGTAGATGTTCTGTTGGCTCGGAGTCGGGGGCGGAGTCTGTAGGATGGCACACTAATAATTCCTCCCAGCAATATCTCAGGAACCCTGCCGGCGCCTGGTTTTTAGTAAGCATAGGTAATTGATCACCCTGGACTTGTCCGCTTGCCTCATTCATTTGTTCACCGTAGAGTTTCAATGTTGTCAAGAATGCGACAGCTCACCGTCAACATGCATGTGTCCACACAGAGTCCGCATTTGGGGGGCCAGATGGACGCTTTAAGGTTCCAACCGTCGAACCAAGGCGATGACATAGGCGATAGCCTAACTTGAGGCTAGTTCGAGGGCGCGCTCAAAGCGGGAAGGCGCTCTGTTCAACCCCTGCTAATCTGCAGTGCACAGCAGAAGTAAGCACGAGCTAAGCCACCAAGAGCGTTGATGTGCGGCTTAAATGCAAATTAAGAGGATCACTGAAAACGGCGCTACGCCTATCAAGGCGACCCCCTTGCTAGCGGGCTGTAGCTCTGTACAAGCCCTGCAAGCTCGGTTGAGTCGCGAGCCGTCAGCGAGCCTATTGCGATTTGCCAATTTCCCATATCTCTCCAACAACAGAGAGGGAAGGAGGGGCGCAGAGCCTGAGGCAGAGAAGGAGAGACATGAGCGCAGGGCAGGTAATTTCCTCGCTCACCCATACGCATGTTACTTTATTAAGCAGGTGCCCTGGTGTCCTGTGACCGTGTCGAACTTCCATTCAAACTCTCGTTTCCTGCTCACCCCCAGTCGTTCACTACAACACATCACATCGTCGTCACGTTTCTATATACACTTCTAATATCAAAACCAACCGGTTTTTTTTAAAGTAAGTCAATACCATTGTTCCGGAGAAGCACCGCGCATGACCCGAGTACCATGTTCATGCACCCTCGTGCGCCGTGCGCCGCTGTGGTTGAGATCAAGGTTTCAAGATCAAACAAACCACTTCCATTGGATTGAGCAACCCAGCCGAAGGCCGCGATCATGTGCTCTCTTGAATCACATATTTGTACTCGAGGATCTCCCGCCTCGACTGTCTCAGTTTTCACCACTTTCAAGTATCTGTTGCTGACCTTGGCCTTCATCCGCAGCTCTTCTCGTCACTCTCTAATCACAATCGACGTCGACACACCCAACACCACCAAAATGCAGTTCTCCATCGCATCTATCGTCCTCGCCGCCCTTGCTGGGCTGGCCACTGCCGAGGTTTCCCTCACCAACAGCGCCTACAGCGTTACCGTCGGTCAGCCCTTCGATATCACATGGACTGGCGCCGAAGGCCCGGTCAGACTTGTGTTGAAGACTGGCCCCTCCGAGAACCTCGCCGACGTTGATACTATTGCCGGTATGTTGCTTATCGAGGCGTTGCTAGTCTGGCCCTCATGCTGATTTATCTAGATGGCCAAACTGGCACTAGCTACTCCTGGACCCCGCCATCCACCCTGACTGCTGGCTCGTACGCCATCCAGATCTCAGACGACAGTTCTACCAACTACTCGCCCCAATTCGATCTCGTGGGCGGCGCTGCCAGCGCCACTTCTAGCAGTACCACCGTGGCCATGACCACAAGCACTGCCGAACCCAGCACAACTGATGCCGCCACAACGGCCACCCAGACTACCAGCGAGACCACCGATGCTGCCACCGCTACCGAGTCTACTGCCAGCACCACTGCTAGTAGCGCTGCATCCAACAGCATGGGCACGACCATGAGCACTGCTGTCAGCTCCAGTAAGTCGATTCTGATGTCCCGTGAAGCAGGGACCGTGGCTAATTGCATCGATAGCTGTGGCTGCGGGCGCGACCAAGTCCAGCTCCTCATCTGCCTCTGCCTCCGCTACCGGCATTGCCCAAACCAACGGCGCTGCTGGCGCTGCTGCTCCTTTCCTTGCGCCTCTGCTGTTCGCTGCTGTGGCCGCCCTGGTGTAAGGGATTGGAGAAACCGCTGCAGTTTAGGAACTTTTGTTGCATAATATACCCCGATGTACATACCATAGGAACCAGTAATTGCCGCTCGGTAGGGCAGCGGACGGTGCTTCAAGGCCCGTACCCGGCAGAAGACACCTTGAGACGGATCCAGGGTCTGTCGTCTCTGTCGCATTGGCGCTGTCCATGGTTACGTATGTAACGGTCTACATAATATCATGAACCCAAACGATTAATGTCTTGTCTACACGTTCCGCCCTGAACCAAGACCCCATATTGCACTGTGTATGTAAATTCACGGTCAATAGTGGTTTTGTCCTTGATAACGCGCCAGTGATATGCTCCTTTTTCTATTGACAAGTAGTTGTGACCATGCTTACAACAGCCCCTGACGTTCATTCTCCCCGGAGCTCGGATAGCTGCCGCGCATCTGACACTCGCCCGTGTACCGCGACCTGTAACAAATGCAAGCCGACAACGGCATTGATGGTTTGTCCGGGGGCAGCCTTACCGCGTCCCAATCGGGTAATCGTGGTACAGCGAGGAGCACAAGGGGAGGAATTTTAGCCGATCTCGTTCCAACGTGAATCGATCGGGGCTGGCGTGGATTGCACGGCAGGGCGGCGTCAGATGGGCGTACGACAGGAGGTGTCAGATGGGTGTTGGTACGATTTGCGTGTGACGGTGATGTATGTATCACGGGTTTGTGTATGATGGATGTAGGTCTTCTGACCGGATATGTATGCTGTGCTTGCTAGTACAATACAGTAAGTTTGTGCATGGATTGTCTGTTGCGATGGACAGGAAAAAGCGATTGGTGAGGTTCACGAGGTATTTTGTGCTTGGGCGTCATGGCCGTGCTGTTGAATGTCTTGTCTGTCATGTCATACCTGACTTGTCTGGATGCGAGGAAGAACAGTCAAGTAATACTCTGCGAGGGTTTGTCTCTCAGGGGCATGGGTCTAATAGTGATGGTGTTTTCAGGTTAATACTACCTACCTATGCAACGGAGAAGCGCGATTCGCAACTCAGGCGCAAAGGGATCTCGCGCAGTAGCCCTTCAAAGTGACAGAAAGGGGTTCATGACGTGTGTGATCGGAGATCTCAACGATTTGTTCTCTCGCGCGTGAGCACCGATATTCCCTCTATATGCGGTTTGAATAATAGCTTTTACCCCTTACATCGTTGTACAGTTTGAGGTTGTATGCCTACCTAAGTAATTCGACCTCGCTGCTAGCCTTCCCCGTATGTGCGTGTGTGTGAGACATGCTTCGAAAAAGGCTGATGCCCCCTGTGAACGCCGGACTATGCCTGGTACTTCCGCATACAGGATCTGCAAAAACAACTATAGTTTACTTCTCAACAGTCCTTGCTTCCCGTTTCCTTCTACGACCACGACAATCACGCAGATGTCGTCGATCTTGCCGCCGTGCCAGTTCTCCTGCGGATAGTACTTCTGCACCTCTTTCGCGAATGGTCCGTCCACTCGCTGGTTGGTGCTCGCCGTCTTTGCTTCGGCAGCTATCGCGGTCGCCAGCGCGCTCTGCAACGACACTGGTCCTTGAGGAGTGTCTTCAGCTTGGGTGTACGGTTGTAGGTCGTCGACGACAATGCCGTTGGCACTGGGCTTCCAAGCGCCAGTTCCGATCATCAGGCGGCTTGCTATGCGTAATATGTGTTGGTTAAAAAGGTTGTCCCACACTCCGTCACTGGCAAAGACGAGAATATCGCCGTGCTTGAGGTTATGCTGGGTGACGTCGGCATCCTTGGGATGGTCGCATAGTTGCGCACCCCCAAACGCTGCCGCGCGCGCCAACATGCTTGTTGGTACAATCGACAGCTGGTACGGCGTGTTAAACGCATGCGTCTGTGGTTCCGAATAGTGGTGGACACCATTCTGTCGCAGCTGTACAAAGCCCGAGTCGCCCAGATTTGCTACCTCCAGCTGCCCAGACTCACTTGCAATAGCAACACACGCCGTGCTTCCTCCAGCGTGTATACTCTTGTCTTTGCAAACATCGTCGTAACCCCTCTGCATCAGTGACCTAGCCGTAATCGGGGATTCGCTCGGGGCCGGCTGGTGTTCGTAGGCAGCTGAGGCCATGTAGTCGCAAAAGCTATGCGAAAAGTCGGCAGGGTCAACACCGCTCTCTTCCCAACCCCCGACGCCGTCAGCTATACCGAAGGCGATAGCATTAGTGTCGCCCACGCGGCTTATGAAGAAGGCATCCTGGCCACTGGCCAGCCGTTTTGACTTCGGTCTCTTCTTCTCGGTCTGTATGCGGTTGTACGGGTTGAAGTGGAAAGTATTGGCCTGCGGATCGAATTTCTTGTACTTGGCCGAGAACGAGGAGGCGGCGTGAAAGGTGAACCGTACCGGTTCTTCTACTCGTCGAAGAACCGGCTGCGCGGAGAAGGTCCGTACGTGGTCGTCGACTCGTGATCGAAGGGCTCGGGCTCGTATGGGCCGGGACCGCAATTGGCACTGGAGGCAAGCTATCGCAGAGTTTAGTGATGCTCTACTGTGCGAGGTCGAAGCCATGATATCTCACTTGAAGAAAGAAGTCTTCCGCGACTTACCACGGCTCGTGGCGATAATGTTGCCATAGCTCACAGACTTCACGGGTAAAATCGGAATGGATCGCAAGATGCAACTGGTCTGTGGAAGCCTGCTTGATGAAGACAGATATGGACACACAGGAGGACTAGACTCTGTAGTCTATAACAACCTCAGCTTCAACATCGAGTGTTGATGAAGCTGAAGTCAGCCTTATTCGGATATTCGAGTAAGAAGCCAAAACCGAGTTCAGCTGCAGATGTGTTCCCCCAAAGACAAAATGTTTGGGACCATCTCAGCGCAGATCGCCATCGCGCCAAATCATCGATGGGTGTCGGGTCAATGGTCCAATGGCAGGGCCAGCGTTCCATCGAAATTGCGCCACATTTCCGACCGGGGCTGGCCCATGCCACTTGCCGTTTCAGGCCGTCGGAATCAGACACGGCCCGCCATGAGTGAATAATTCATCGCATGTGATTGGCTGGGCAGCCCCGGGCGTTGAACCAATAGCCGAGGGATCGAACCGGTCGGGTCGGGTCACGCTGGGAGGCTCTCGATGATGAAGACATTCTCAACTCCCCCGTTGCCACCGCCCTCTTTATCCTAATCTAGGACGAACCTTAATTGGCTGTCCATATAATCTACTCCCAAGCAGCCTGGTCTTGGGGTACTCTTTCACCTAATACTACCTACCTGAGACTTCGTCTTCTTGAGGCAACGAAAGACAACTACTACACATCGCCCACAATGGCCGCTCTCCGCTCTACTCCATCCCGGCTACTCGCCGCCGCGTCACGATCGACAAGAGCCGGGCCCTCCATGTTCGTGCGGTCGATGGCAACTCTGGGCGATTCCACGGTCGAGGCCAACCCGAAAGGCAGCACCGACTCGCGCATGAAGTCTTTCCAGGTCTACCGATGGAACCCAGACCGGCCGACCGACAAGCCCTCGATGCAGACGTACACTTTGGACCTGAACAAGACCGGACCCATGGTCCTCGATGCCTTGGTCAGAATCAAGAACGAGCTGGACCCGACGCTGGCTTTCCGTCGTAGTTGCAGAGAGGGTATCTGCGGTAGCTGCGCAATGAACATCAACGGCACGAATACCCTGGCCTGCCTGTGTAAGTCACGACACCATACAGTTCACTCTCACACGCATCGCTAATTCTACGCAATAGGCCGTATTCCTACAGACACGAAGCAGGAGATGAAGATTTACCCTCTGCCTCACACATACGTCGTCAAGGACCTGGTACCAGACTTGACATACTTCTACAAGCAATACAAGTCGATCAAGCCCTACCTGCAGAGGGATACACCCGCCCCGGACGTAAGTCCCATACTCTAGAAAACCAGAGAGCATACACCATACTTACTTTATTCAACAGGGCAAGGAATACCGACAGAGCAAGGCAGAACGCAGAAAGCTCGACGGCCTATACGAGTGCATCTTGTGCGCCTGCTGCTCGACTTCGTGCCCCTCGTACTGGTGGAACGCGGAGGAGTACCTGGGACCTGCCATCCTGCTACAGTCCTACCGATGGATTGCCGACTCCCGAGACGAGCGGAGGGAAGAGCGAAGGGCTGCGCTGGACAACTCCATGAGTCTGTACCGGTGTCACACTATCCTCAACTGCACGCGAACATGTCCCAAGGGCCTGAACCCTGGTCTGGCTATTGCAGAGATCAAGAAGCAGATGGCTTTCTAGATTGGCAGATGAAAGTCGAGGGAGATAGAGATGTATGGCGTGATACACGGATGGTCGGAGAAGGATTGTACAAAGTTCAACGAGTTACGTTTTGCCACCGGAATTCTGTCCTGGCGGTTCTGTATGCGTGTCGGAGTTATGTCGAGGGTCGAAGTGACAACAGCAGATAAACGTCAATCCAGAATTTTCACTTTGTCAGACTCATGATGTGGATTTTCTGCTTTTCTATTCTCCCACTCGATGAAGATGATATGTTTGGTGGCCGAGTGGCCTATTTACAACCAACAACAATGACCTTTTCTCAAATCACCCTCTAAATTTCCTTCCGGCTCCATGTTCTCTAGACGATGCGTTGGCGTAGCTCTCCAGGCGAAGCTGAATTTTGCTGAATTGATACGGGTTGATGCCAGGAAGCATGTTGGACCGGGGATGTAGGATACACACATCGGATGGCATACGTTGGCGTGGGAGTGTGAAGAGCCAACAGATTCTCCCCTATTCCCCCCTATTCCCCCAGGCAACCGACTGTCAAGTCAATCATGACTTCAGACATCAGACATTAACAAGCTTCTGCTTCGACATCCTCTCCTTGTTCTCCTGCTCCTCCTTCAGCTGGGCAGCCTCGGCCTCCTCCCGCTTCCGCGCCTGCTCGTCGGCTGCCGCTTCCTCCGCGAGCTCCTGCTCGAAGATGTCCGGGTCGTGGCGTCGGGGCTGCGATTTCCCGCCATTTCTTCTCTGCTGGTGTTGGTTTTGGTGTGAGTGGTGTTGCTGCCGGGACTCCCCCGACGTCGCCGTGCTGCTGCTGTGTCCGCTGTCGCTGCTGCCGCGGCACACTACCAGCCGCTGCTTCTTGTGGTGTTGCGAATAGGGGGTCCCTATTGCCATCCTGGTGCCTGTTGTCTCCTTTCCGGCCCCTGCTCCCGCTCCCGCTCCAAGAGGTTCGCCCTTGCGGATCTTGTACTGCCGCTGCTGCTGGTATTGCGCGTGCTGGTCGCCGCCGCGCGGGTGGTAGTCCTCCGGGCGCAGGGCGTGGAAGGAGTTGGGGCTGTCGAGGTCTCGGTCCCGGTGGTAGGGCTGTTGGTGTTGCCCGTATTTGTTTTTGTTGCTGCTGCCATCGTTGTGGTGGAAGCTGGGGTTGGTGTTGATGTCGCGGGGGGCGGGAGGAGAAGGGAGCATCGCCGCCGCTGTCGGGCCGTACGCGAATGGCATGTTGGGCATGCCGCCTATGCCCAGGGGGTGGTGCGGGTGCGGGTGGTACAAGCCCATGCCCATGCCGCCCATGGGCATGCCCGGCATGTTCATGTTCATGTTCATGTGCAGCGGATGGATTCCCATAGCCATAGCGGCAGCAGCAGCGGCAGCCGCCGCCGCCGTTGCATTATTGTTGCTGTGGCTAGTGACGTTATTCATCCCCTGAAGCTGCTGCTGTTGCTGCTGCTGCAAACTACTCCCATTGCCATTGCCGTTGCCGTTGCCGTTGCCGTTGATGATAGTGTTACCACTGCTGTACTCCTCGACGAACCGCATGGCCTCCTTGTACCAGCCCGGGAAGTCGGCCAGCCCGACCTCGCGCAGCTCGCGCGCCGTGTGCGGCATCTCGTGCCGGTAGTGGCACTCGGACGCCCACTTGCACTTGCCGTGGTGGCACCAGTGGCGGCAGAAGACGCTCGACGTGCCGAAGGCGTGGCTGCGGCGCGAGAAGGGCGGCACCTGGCCTCCGTTGTTGAGCAGCACTAGGCTTGAGGACGACGTCGTCGTCGTGGGGGTGGTGGTGTGGTTGTGACTTTGATTGTTGTTGTTGGGCCGGTTCAGCGAGCTGCTGCTGGCGTGCGCTGGGCGTGGCGAGGATGGGCTGGAGCTGCTGTTGGTGTTGTTGGTGGCGTTGTTGCTGAAGGCTTGGAGCATGCGCTCGGCCGTGTGGACGGCCGGGTACGGGTTGCTGGGTGGTGAGCTGTCCCGGACGGGCGGGCTGGGCGGCCGCTGGTGCAGTCCCATAAGCGGAGGGTCGTCTCCGGTGTCGGCAGTGTCGTCGTGGTTCTTGTTGGCGTTGTGGCTGCTGTTGGTGCTGCTGTTGGAAGTTTTGGTGCTGGAATCGGTGCTGCTGCTGGTGGTCTTGCTGTGGCCCTTGGCGATGCCGTCTTTGGGACCGTCGCCATTTGCCGTGCGTTTGCCGTTCAGGCTGCGGATGCTGGTGAACGACTTCGCCGCGGGGTCCATGCGAGATCTCGATACAGTAGTCGGTGTCTCACTCGTGGACGACGGCGGAAGGGCGGGCGAGTCGTCATGAGGGAGTGAGTCGTCCACGTCCTCATGACGACGGTGTTTCTGTCTCGGAGTCGAATTGTTGCTCGCAACCATGGGGGTGAGCGACTGCTGGTGGATGTACACCTCATAGGCCTCGAGGTTCTTATGCACGGGGCCGAGATTGATGAGGTTGGTCGTCTGTTCCACGGTCAGCTCGCGGGGGACGCCGAGGATGTCCACCCAGTCCGGGAGCTGGTCGACGGCGATGAGCGGCACAATGGGCCCGGGGATGTTGACCGTGCCCGAGGCCGTGTGGTTGATTATGCCCGGCCGGATGAGGAAGTGCAGGGGCAGAGGCACTCTGTGGGCGGACGAGGTGGAGGAGATCTGCTGGTGTTCTCCTATGACCCCCCTCGGGTCCTGCTGTTGGTATTCCATTGCCATTGATCCTCGGTGAAGAGGCGCTGCTCTTTGGTCCGGAAGAAGAGGGGCCTTGGATGCTGCGAGTCTCTACCTCTTTGCTGAAACCGTCAAGGGATTCAGGTCAACGACTGAGGTGGATAGAGAAGGGGCCATTATAATAATACGAGCATTGCGTCTCGCTTTTTATGCCTCTCTTTCAAGCAGTCCCAGGCACAGACAATCGTCTTTTTGGCGGTGTGAGTCGCCAATCTATCAGTTTGTTGCTGGACCATGCCAATGTCTCATCTGGGTGTAAGCTGGCAGGTGTTGCTCGTTTGCATAGTCCTGCAGTTGGCCAATGGAAACAAAAGGTTTGTCAGAAGACCCTAGTCATAGTCAAGTCTATAGAGTTCCAGCATGATGCCCACGGTGTACAGAGTTGATATTCTCTTGAGCTAGGGTCCTGCTTAAGTACTTACCTAAGAAAGTGAAGTGAAGCTGGTCAAGGCTGAAGACACATGAAAGCCCTGCCCCTGCTTGACCAAACGGCCTAGATCAACTGTGTGCGTCACCTGGTCTCAACTCTGATCTTTGCCTCCAACCCATCAACACAGAAGCCAAGCTGCCGTGGGCCGTCTTGCAGCTCAACCTCTCTCTTGACCCACTTCCCAGCTCTGCTATCTGGCTGGGAGCTCTCACTTGGGTCGGCTGGCTTTGTGTCAACAACTGCTTCCGCCTCATCCTCCTCCTCGCTGCTGTCTTCTACCTCTTCGTCAAACCCGGCGACTGGATCCCACTCTCCGGTCTCCCATATCAAACGGATACCTAGCGGTTTGACGCCAAATAGCTTGCCAGCAATCCCCTTAACGGCGTAGACGTCAAAGCTCTTGGGGATTCTGGTGACTCGCTCAACAATTTCGCCTTGCCCAGGGGGCTGGAAGGCGAATTGTACGGTGATCAGCCTTGCCTCAAGAAAGGCCGGATTGACCTCTTTTCTTCTGTTCACCATGGGTGGTCCGTACAACTCGCACAACTCTGCATACCGTCTGTGGGTCTCGATGACGCCGGCTTCCTGCGTTTCTGGGACTGCAGCCAAGTGTTTGCCGATGCGCGCCAGGTAGAACATCTCAGCATTCTGGCGGTCAGAGTGGGAGATGGTGCCAAAGTTCAACGATTTGATGTGTGCGAGGCGTCCGACCGTGAACATGTATGCCTCCTCTGTGACGTTCTTGGAGTTCACCGAATGCTCAGGGTCCGGGTTGTCATAGACGGGGTTGTGGGCGAAGCGGAGAGACACCAGGCCGGGAAAGCATAGGGGGAGTTCATCAACAAAAGCCCAAGATGACACCTGGTTGTAAGACAGATCGAGGTATTGCAGACTTGTGGGGAATGTCGGCAATGAACCAGACGTGGCTTGTCTGAGGGCAGAAATGTTGTTGCCCTTGAGATGCAGGTTGCGCAATGATTCCAATCCGGCAAGGCTGGCGACATCTGCTATGCTGGGCAAGTCGTTGAACTCCAGATTCAGGGAGATCAGCGTCGATGCGAGTGCCATCAACGGGGCTGTGGGTAAGGACCTCAGTTGATTCATGTCGGCAGAGAGTGATGAGAGCAACTGAAACTTGGTCGCGATGTGACATATCTCTTCCCAACTCATAAGAGTCTCCTCCAGCGCTAGGTCTGTAATGCCCTTCAGAGACTCCTCTGCTTCATGGAGTCCTTCATCATGGAGAACAGTTCGGAAACGATTGCCACTAGGTTGGTCAGTTCCTGGCCACACACAGGCTTTGTTCAAGTTGCGAGCTTACTTCAAACGCAAGCTCCGAAGGCTCGCCAGTTCTGAGCAAATCGCCACGACGCTTCCAACATGGGTGAACAAGTTCCGACTGAGATCCAGCTCGACCACCTTGGGGCATGTCTCAAGGATCGAGGCATCGCCCTCCCCGTAAACAGAAGCAACACGCATGCCATCAAGGACAGCGAACCGCAGCTCCGATAGCTGAGCCTGCTTCCGGCGGATCTTCTCGAAGCCCACCTCCTCTGCGACCTTGCCCGAGAACTGAATCGCGCTCGCATTGGAGAGCTCAGCGGTGTATTTGTCCTGCAACGCGGCGACGAAGCTCTGCGGTGCTTCGGCGGGCCTCGTGGGCCGCACGAAGGAAGCGGCAGTCAACGACGGCGATAAACCTAGGGGTCCTCAGTAGGCCATCCTGCGAATGAGAAATGAGGAGGGTAATGGGCGGCTTACAAGTGAAGTATCGTACGCCCTTGTGTGAGCCATCGTGTTTCCCGCGAGCTGGGTCATCCCATTCTACGCCAAGCCAGCTGCCCGACGTGCCGGCGACCTCGCCAATGAATCGGATGGTGCAGACGGCCCCGTCGTAGGAACGCCGGTCCCCGATCTGGGGGGTTGTAGTCATGGCGATTTTACTCCGACGAAGTCATCTGAAGTCACAGTCAAATCGGATCTTGTCCAAATCCTGGAAGTGATATGTTTCGAGAGGGAAGGGGAATAAGGCCATGCAGCAAAATTGAGTTACAAGCGGAAGTGTTACCGCGTCACAGCGTCATAAGTCACGCTACAGAATACCTCACACACGATGAAGACTTCAACAATAGGTATCCGTATAATTCAACACAGCTCTCTGTAAATAGTTTCGCTGCAATTTACGCGCTAGATACGATAGATGGCTTTTGTTTCGAATGTACTGTATGTGCAGTAGTAGATGGAGATGCTCATAGCTTGCTCTTGGACTCTCCCACAACCTTGATCAGCGCCCGGCCATTACTCAAGCAAACCTTTCCACCAGCAACCTTGGTCACGAATCGAATTTCCTCGTAGTCGTCCTTCATCTCCCCAGCCTTCCATACAGATGTCACAAGCTTATCTCCAGGCTTGACCGGGCTTGCAAAACGTGCCTGGAATTCCTTAATGTTGGCAGGATCGCTGCCACCGAGCTTCTGCAGAAGGCCGTGGCAGGACGAGTTGAACGAGTACAGGCCGTGAATGATGGCACCGCCGAAACCCATCTTCTTGCCCGGCTCCGGGTGGGCATGGAGCGGGTTGTAGTCACCATTCAGACGGTACAGCAGCGCCGTCTGCTCGTTGGTCTGGTCTTCAAACTCGAAGTCGGGCTTCTTGCCTTGCGGCGGTGGAAAGTTCTCGGTCGCTGGGCCCTTGGGACCGCCCCAGTTGCCTTGCGCAACGTAGAAGGCGCTCCCAATGGCGCGAGAGTAAACCTCGCCCGTGCCGGCATCAACCAGATCTTGTTGGGTTTCGACGACGGTGCCGGGCCGCCCCTTGTCGTAGACGCCCAGGACCTTGCTTCGGATTTCGAACTTCTTGCCGGCGGATGTGGGTGGAAGGGGCTTCAGGAACTGGATTAGTCGCTGGCCGTCGACAACCCGTCGCGCATCGAAGTCGGGAACGCCGGGGATCTTGATGGCCTTCTGTTCGGCGTAGAAGTCGATGACCTCTGGTGTGTTCTTCTTGAAGGCTGCCATATCATGATCCAATTAGCGATTCATCCGTAGCAGACGGACAGCATCGAGGCGTGGCTTACGGAGGATGATGGGGTAGGTTGGGAAGACAGCAAAGTTCGGATCGAGTTCCTATGGTGCCATTAATGATTAGTGGAGAGGCAGGGAGTCAAGGGTGAGGCCGGCTAACATAGAGGAAGTGAAGCTCGTCAGCTGTGCAGCCTATGGTGTTGGCGAAGAGCAAGACATCCCGCTTCATCCACGAGACCTCGGTGGGAGGATACTCGAAACCAGCTCCCGGGCCACTCATTTTCACGTGTGACGCAGAGAACAAAAACAAATGGGAACAATGATGGTTGATTCAAGGGTGACACTCTTCGCGAAAAGGTACTCGTCAGACTAGATACGTACAGGTAGTCTAGAAGTTTGGAAGGGCTTCGACTTGGAGGTGGAGGAAGGAAAGCTCCCATGTTCCAACATCCGAAAGGGCCCCTCCATGTCATACCGAGGCTCAATGGCTCAATGCAACCCGAGAGGAGCGGGTGGGGCACTGGGAGCTCTCAAGGTTCGACCAGCTCCTCTCTCCAGCTCCCAAGTTCCAACGGCTTTTGACCGCCTGCTGTTCTGGGTCACTCCGTCAAGAGCGTGATCGGCCTTTTGAGCTTTTGAGTGCCGACGACCCCACCACTCCAGATTCTGCCACAATTCCTCCGCGAGACAGAAAAAAATTATTGCCGCCTGCACCCTGTCGCAATCTGTATGCCTGAAGGTGAAGGCTCCAGCTCGAAGTCACCACCCGGCAACAGGACAACAGGACAACAGGATTGTGCCTGACCACTCGAAGATTGCGCGCCCTGTGTCTTTCCTGTCCTGTGTCGTTTGACCTGCCATTTCCTCATTTCCCCTTCACCTGATCGGTCCTGCCTCCTCCAGTCGAGGTCGCGTCGATAGGTAGCCATGCCCAGCTCTACCGAACTCAGAATTGCCGAGGCAGACGAAACAAAATCTTCATCGGCAAATCAGAAAGGTGCTGCTGGATCTTCATTGGCATTTTCATCTGTATCTCAGCCCAACAACAGCGACTGGCGAAATATCCCCAGGAAGCAACGGCATCGACAGCCCGAGTTCCACGGCATCGATGGTAATTCGAAGCTCAAGCTTGCGAAACCATTCACCAAGAAAGCCCGTCGCATCATTATCAAGAAGACGGAGAAGTTGATGCGCAGGCGCGACGCACTCGACATCGCCGTCCTCACCGCAGCTGAGAAAACGAACCCGGGCCCGAATGACTGGTTGCCACGAGACAAGCTACTGCGGAGCCTCGAGCATCTGGAAAAGCGAGAGCGACGTCTCCTGAGAGTTCGCACCAACAAGCTGTCTGACCTCGAGAGACTATACAGATGGGACCCCACAGCCGACCGAGCCTATGACCATGACCTTTCCCGCAAGCTTCTTTGGAAGTTCAAGAGGAACCTTGGGCCACTCCTTGACGACTATATCAAGAACCCCCGAAATAACGACGACGACGACGACGACGACACGAGCTCCTCAGGTTCAGATTCAGAGCCCGGTGACGAAGTCGAAGAGGTGACAATGAGCGGGGACGAAGTGGTTGGCGAGGGCGGGAATAAACGAAAGAGAAACGAAGAAGAAGAAGAATCTGCGGGCCCTCTAGTGAAAAAGCCCAAGAAGAACGCCAGGAAGGAGGCCAAAAAGGAGGCCTTAGAGAAGGCTAAGGAGGCCAAAAAGGCCAAAAAAGAGGCCAGGAAGAACGATCCCCAGACCAATGACAATTAGAAGGTGACATTGGGCTCGGACATTGCTCAACAACAGCCGGATCTAGCAGATCGCATAGCCGACGACGATGATAGTGAAGGTCAGTAGTACATCAGTACTTCACGCTCATGTTCCCTGTCATCGGAGCTATAGCGCTGACTCCTTACAGAATCTACTCCGCTTCTAGCAACAGCCGAGGAGAGACGTCGGAAACGAGAAGAACTTCGACGTAAGGAAGAGATTGCTAGCAACCTTGTGGATCGTCTCGTAGACGACCGGGAACGAGAAGACCGGGAACGAGAAGAACGTCGACGTATGGACGAGATTGTTAGCAACCATATGGAAGCTGCGGATCGTCTCGTATACGACCGGCCCCCTAAATCCAGAAGAAACAGAAAAAAGCACAAAATCTATGGCGAGTCTGGCGAGGCTCCCGAGGACTATCTCATGTCTGGGGGACTGGAACCTGCCCCTCCACCCGCAATCTCACTTCCTACTAAGGCACGGAAGCCAGTTCCGATTGCAGGACCGCGTCCTCCCTCGGTTGCCGATAAACTGATACCTGCCGTCACACCAACATTCCCACCTGCATTGTCTGGGCAGGACGAGGAGGAAAAGGAGGGAAAGGAGGCTGCTCAGGAGCCTGATACTCCTTCAGACAGCCACAAGGGGTCTACATCGTCAGGAAGGTCACATAAGGTGACTCCGATTCCCGCACCGAGGCCCTGGGAAGACCACCCTGGCTTGGTCGTCAAGTTCAATGTCCACGGTCATCGTGGTTCCGGCCGTGGAAAGGATCGGTCAAGTGATTGAAATGATAATTGGTAGCCACCTGGAGCAGGGGCGGATGCCACGGGAGATATGACTGGGATGATCACCGAACTGCTTGCTTGCAACCGCTTGGCGGTGGTGCCTCCTAAGTGCAGCTTTCCTTGCTGTAGCTTTGGTCATACATGGCTTCATACCATGTGATGATTGTACCATGAGCGGCGTGCTCTTTGGAAGTTTGGAGGAGAGCTATCGTTGGTTGTACATAGTATGCCCATGCTGGATCGATACATCGTTGGTCGGTATGTCAGGCTGTTGAATAAACTCTGTAGGAACAAGTTGCCTTTCTGGGTTGATTTCACCTGTTGTCCCTAACGAAGACCGCGTGGTCTAGGTGATTATGCATAATGTCCATCCCTGCCGCTTGATGCTATATGATCATCCAGAACACCATAGGCACCTTGATATATGTAGGTGCTCGTATATCAAGACGGTAGTCAATGCTCGCCTTTTCGGTGTAGACCAGACCGACCTGTATGCAATAGTCTTGCACGGTGTCTAAACATGCCAGATATGTGCGAAGCACGTACTCGGTAACAAAAGCCATGCTGTCAAACCATAGCCAAGATCGGAGACGAGCTGCCATCGGCGAGAATTGCCCCGGGCCTCGCCAACCCCCAGACTCGCCTCGGCGGCCATCCAATGCCCAGACGATGGAAAGGTAATAGACTGCAGGTGGCAGACTGGTGGGCCCGCAGCTGGCCCGGGGCCGGGAGCCCGGTGGGTTGGATCCCGCTAGACGCCGATCTCTGCCGATGAACCGAACCATCTGACTTCTCGTGTTCACATCCTGTTTATAATTTCATCTGAGCCTCATATTGACGTTTTACTGGGCACATTCAACGTTGCTTTTGGCTAAGACTGTATGTAAGCTGCTTGTTGAATGGAAGTTTTGATTCTCCCCACTATTCACAAAAGAACGGGCGATGAGATAGCAAGATGACGGACAAGATCATCAGCGCAGAGGAAGGTATGAGAGTATTCTATCCGTGACGATCCCGCATCACATTATCGCGTGCGGTCCACGATGAGGTACATGCATAGCTAACTCAGCAACCAGTCATAAAGCACACCACGCCGGAGAGCTGCTGGGTGGTGCTGTACGGGAACGTGTACGACGTGACGTCGTTCCTGCCCTCACACCCGGGGGGTTCCAAGATCATCCTGCAGCTGGCGGGCCGCGACGCGACAGAGGAGTACGACCCGATTCACCCGCCGGGCACGCTCGAGGAGAACCTCAAGCCCGAGGCGAAGCTGGGGCGTGTGGATCCGGACACGTTGGTGCAGACTAACAACGCCGGCGCTAAGGACGAGAAGAAGAAGAAGAAGGATGGTGATGGTGGGGAGGATGGGGCAGAAGAGGAAACGCCGCCCATGGAGAGCCTCCTGAACCTCCACGAGATCGAGGAGCTCGCCAGACGCCGCATCTCGGAGCGAGCATGGGCGTACTACTACTCGAGCAGCGACGACACCTACTCCAAGAGCTTCAACAACGCCGTGTACCGCGACATCCTGCTGCGGCCGCGCGTCTTCGTCGATTGCATGCGGTGCGACAGCTCGACGACGCTACTAAACCACAAGGTCGGGGTGCCCATCTACGTGTCGCCGGCCGCCATGGCGCGGCTCGCGCATCCGGACGGCGAGGCCGGCATCGCGAGGGCGTGCGCCCGCTTCGGCGCTATGCAGATCGTTTCTAATAATGCGAGCTTGACGCCTGAGCAGATCGTGGCGGATGCGCCGCAGGGGCAGGTGTTTGGATGGCAGCTTTATGTGCAGAATGACCGTGCTAAGAGCGAGGCTATGCTGGCGCGCATCAACCAGAGTAAGCACAAGCAGCTTGTTGATTTCATTTATTCATTTCGTAGCCGTTTCGGCCAGCTTGGAAAGCGAGGATGGTGCATTGTGGCCTACGTGTGGTCTCAGACCATCTTGCTTGCTCCTGAAGATATCCCTCATGTATTTCTACTGCAAAGGCAAAATGCTGACTGAGCGTGACAGTGTCCGACCGCTTCAAGTTCATCTGCCTAACGCTCGACGCGCCCGTGCCCGGCAAGCGCGAGCTCGACGAGAAGCAGTCCTTCAAGAACGCAGTCAAAGTCGCCGCGGGCGTCGCGACGGGCAACGAATCCTCCCGCCCCGGCGGCGGCGGCGTCGGCCAGCAGCTCTTCTGGGGCACGGCCGCCGACCTGACGTGGAAGGTGACGCTGCCCTGGCTGGCGCAGCACACAAACCTGCCGATCGTGGTCAAGGGCATCCAGACGCACGAGGACGCCTATCTGGCGGCCAAGTACGCGCCGCAGGTCAAGGCGGTCATCCTGTCGAACCACGGCGGGCGCGCGCTGGACACGGCGCCGCCGGCCGTGCACACGCTGCTCGAGATCCGGCGGTACTGCCCGGAGGTCTTTGAGCGAGTCGAGGTCTGGGTCGATGGTGGTATCAAGCGCGGCACTGATGTTGTGAAGGCGTTGTGTCTGGGCGCAAAGGCCGTGGGTATTGGGCGGCCGGCTTTATTTGGGCTCGGGGCTGGGGGGCAGGCGGGCGTGGAGCGGACGCTTGAGAGTAAGTTATTCTCAAGTTATATTGCCCCTGTGTGGGTGATAGGCTCCAGATTGCTGACGGTTTTGCTCGGATAGTCTTGAAGGCCGAGACGGAAACGTGCATGCGGTTACTGGGCGTGGAGAAAGTGAGCGATTTGGGTATGAGACATGTGAGTACCACCCCCAACTGGGAGCATGCTTTGATGAAGTCGGTAACTGATGACTTCTTCTTCGTAGATAAACACGAGGAAAGTGGAGAGGGACATCTTTGATGGCGGTGCTGGCTTGGAGACGTTTGGACTTTGGGACAAGGTCAAGTCCAAGTTGTAGGAGTCTTGGATAGGCGGCTTTCTAGGTGCCATTGGTAGAGCCTGCCACAGCAAAATGGACCGATGTGATGCTGGTTGATATCAGAGGCGTATACTACATGCGAGCGCTGTATTCCATGTTCTCGTCTTCGGCTTTGCATTATATGAGTAGCGTACTTGAGGGATACATCATGATTCTCCGTTTCCAGTTTTGCACCATGCACTACAACAGCCCAACGGCAGGCTCTTGCGTAAGTTCTGTAGCGGCTGCGACTGGAGAAGACAGTGGTTTTGGTGGTATTCCAGTGGCGAGACGCGTCAGTTCACCTCCAAGCACTGCTATGCCAAACTCACACGCACCTTTGGTACGCTTGAGTATGTGTAACGGCACCTGACTCCTTAGTTAGGCCCGTATTACGCTGGTTTTTTATGTAGCAAAAAGGAAGGGAAGCTTAAATGCGAACGCAACAGGGCTGGGTTCATATGGCGGAAGTCCTGTGGGCGGAGGGTTTAACTTCCACTCATGCCAACATCATCATCGCTGCCGCTGCTTGCGCTCGTTATTATGCTGCCGGAACTATTTTTCCCGCTGCGACCAACGTGCGGAGATCGTCTCGTGGGCTTCGGGCGCTTGTGTTATTACCGTCGTATCGTCTATCTCAGCGGAAATGTCCTCGATGCGACGGACGGAGTCGCACTCGGCTTTTTAGATGCCTTCGATCCTTCATGGGCTGACTGAGCTGAGCCTCGTCCGGGCACCGCGCTAGGACCAACGGGTAACGCGGCGAGCCATGACGATTGGACAATATGCCACCTCCTGACTCTCGAGGCTCAAAAGCCGAAGGAAGAAGGAAGATGCTACGCTTATGTGCAAGCATTTCTGACAAGGGCAGGTAGTAGCAACATCCACGAAGCAACGTTGAGCCGGCTACATCGGCAGTTCCATCGAAACCGTGCGCTACCTACCTAAGCGAGAACGAGGTTTCCCCGCTATGCACTTCCCCGTATTTTGGTATTTTATGGTACTGCCCCTTTCCAGCAACCCCCTCACCCCGTTTCTCGTAGTTGTCCCGGACAAAGATAGGAATGCTCAGGATTGTGCTTTTAATTTCTCTGAATCATCCAAATTATTTCGATGTTGAACGGCGTTGAATCTAAATCTAGTTGGTTCGCTCTTCAAACGAAAACGAATGCGAATGTCATACAATGTGTTAGTAGCTCGGGCCTTGCGGCTGAATAGGAACAGGCGTGACAGGGCCCCCGTGGACGCAAGGCACACCTGCCGAATTCATCTTTGACCATGTCGTTGCGTGATCCTATCGACAGGTGTCCAGGATGGTATGTAGGTAATGGTTAGCGGTTCCACATATACCCGCAATGCTGGGAACTTTTCATAGGCTATGATAAGTTCTAGTTACGTATGTATTATTAGCATGGCAGTTACGGGCATTATATTGGATTCAGACCCATACCCTGGAACCGCTAACCAATAACGTTAGCATCCTGGACAAGTGTAAATAGTCGATACTGCGCCGTCGCAAGTGATCATGTTGAAGACTTTGAAGACTCAAGCAACAAGCCAAGTGCGCTTTCTCCGTTGTTGAATCTGCACTTTACAGCTTCTTCTCTTCCAAAGACTCGATACTGTCAGCTGCTTGAAATCTGCACAACATGACCAGAGGATTGCTTCTAGTCGCCGCCTCACTGGCAATTGTATCCGGACTGCTTGGAACGGTAGAGGCGCAAAGCAAACTGGTGTTCGCGCATTACCTGGTGAGTTCTACTGTGTATGAATTGACCGACCATCATATCTAACCCCTGTCTCGTGTAGATCGGAACGGTCGACCCTGCGACAAATCATGCGCAGCTCGACATCGACCAGGCACAAGCTGCTGGCTTCGACGCTTTCGCGCTGAACATTGGGGCACCGTCGGCGTCGTGGGCGCTCAACACGACGGACCAGCTATTCGACTATGCGGACAGCGTGGGCTTCAAGCTCTTCTTCAGCTTCGACCTCGGACAAGACGGCACCCTCGGGGACTTCGACGCCATCTACACGGAGTACTCTGATCGTGACTCGTACCTGCACTACGGAGATTCGAATTTGCCCCTGGTCTCGTCGTACAGCGGCGGATCCCTAGGTGCTTCGGCCTGGGAATCGTTCAAGACGACATACAATGTCTATCTCATCCCGAACCCCGAGGCTGACGGCAGCTACTATAGCGATCCGGCGACCTTTTGGGGGACCTGGGGCTCCGCTCTTGATGGCGTTTTCTCGTGGGAGACGGCTTGGCCGAAGCAATCTGATTCGCCTGTCAATGTTTCGGCCAGTCAGGATCAGGTCGTCAAATCGGGCGCTGATGCCGCTGGGAAGGCCTACATGATGGGTCTTTCGTCCCTGCAGTATAAGCATCTGGATGGTTCGAACTGGTACCGATCTGGCGAGGGAAATTTCGCCCAGCGTATGCAACAGATCCTCACGGTTTCACCGCAGTTCGCTGAGGTCATAACCTGGGTGAGTACCTAGTCCACCTCCCGTGTTGCTCCCCTGCTACGGCTGCCTCCGATATCCTCTCACTCGCAAGTCATGTCTGCCCAACGTCTAACATTATGTAATAGAACGACGCAGGCGAAAGCCACTACATCGGCAACACCTGGGTCGAGGCCGACATACCCGACTACGGCAACTCGGCCACGACGCCGCACTCGGGATGGCAGTCGGTCATCACCTCCTTCATCGCAGCGTTCAAGTCCGGCGCCACCTCGACAAGCAGCATGGTGCCAGCCGGCAACGCCCAGTTCGCAGGCGCCATGTGGTACCGGCCCGTGTTGACGTCGTGCGTGACCCAAAGCGGCTCTGACGGAACGCCGCCGGGCTACCAGGCTGGCGTCGACGCTGTCAACTACGCCGTCGTGCTGCCTGCCGATGCTAGCGGATACACTGTGAAGGTCTCGAGTGCCGGGACTGTCATACGGACCGACACTGTTGGTGCGGGCCTCAGCTTCAATACCGTCGCGGGAATGGTGCAGGGTGCTCAGACCTTGCAGCTGTTTAATAGCTCGGGAGATCTGGTTGCCAGTGCTTCTTCTTCTGTGGATGTTGGTGACTCGCCTGTCGATGGGTTTTGCGATTTCAACTATGAGGTTGTTGGGTTGTCTTGAGGTGAACCGGGTACTTGTCACGGTTGGCGTAAGCCGATGGAAGTGATGATACAAAAAAGTTGATTAATCCTTAGGTATCAAGGTATAGCAGTATAGCTACTACATCCGAAGCAATCTAGCCAACCCCGCCTTCCGACCACAGGACTCACTGCATGGTGGTGAAACCTCCACAATACCCCTCTATTACTGAGTGATCTTGTTCCACTCAGCTTGGGATCTGTCGTCGTGCTTGAGCGGTCACGCATGGACGTCGAAGGAGAAATCACGGTTAGTATCGCAATCGCCAATCTAATTGTACGTGACGGGGGAGGTTGCTACAGCCCAGTCGCGTCAGTGTACGTCCAATCAGCGCGATAAGGCGTCTTACCATTTCCATGGGTGATTTCATGTAGGGTAGACATAGTCAGGTCCGTCCACCGGCCCGTTCCACTAGGCGGACCTTGTCGTACCTGGAGGAAGTAATCCTGAGATCGTCAGCATCGGGGACAGAGAGCTCGGACGAAGCATAGAACGTACGACTCCATCTTCTTTCTCTGGGTCATATCTGAGGCTGACTTCTCCCATGAAGATCGACCACTTCATTCCGAATCTCGGGCCTCTGGGCGTGTCGGATGCCTGATGCCCAGGGCCGTGGTTGCCGTACATCTCGATGAGATCGACCAGCCCAAATGTGAAGCCTAGTATGACAGCGGCATGGACGGCACCACCATCTTCGACGGGACCACCATCTTCGACGGGACCAGCGTCACGCCGATTGCTCTTGCAACACTCGATCTCCAGTCGAGCGAATATCTGGGGATTTTGTCAGTAGATGGGAAAGCTGCAAGCTCGATGCCGACGGGTACATACGTGAAGGGGGACGAATGCCAAGTGCTTCTCGACTCCATGAGTTGTTCTCCGAAAACTTTCTCTCCAGACAAGGCACGGCCTCGCAGAAGACAGGAAACTCCTCTTCCATCATTTGCCGCAATCCCCCGTCGAGGTGGCGTACCGCGACTATGAGCTGGTCGTCTAGCTGTCCGTTCTCAGCCGTTAGCATTGTACCTTGCAGAAGGGGGTGAAGAGCCTGCCTACCCATTCTATCTAGATGGTCAAGGTACGAGGCAACAAGACGTTCACGTCTGGTTTGATGCCGATGATGATACTCGCATTCCAGACAATCGTGGGAACGGACATACTTATACGCACAATTACACCAGGCCAACATCTGCAGAAGGTCTTACAGTTGGTGATATGGCATTCGTCACCAACAATAGAATGGTTGGCACTTTCTTTGTTCTGGATCAGTCACCCGACTACGTCTGTGTTTCCGAGGCGCTGCTGCTAGTCAGAGAATATTGCAATGGAGTGAGTCCCGGTCCGCCGCAAGTCATCACTGACCAGATTTAACGTTTTGAACTCATACATTCACTGCTTAAGTCACACACAGTGTAACAAGTCCAGCGTTCAACCCTGTTTACCTGATTGCCTAAGATATCTATAGATCAACTCGCATCTAAACCACCCGACCGCTGATTCCAGCCTTGACCTCGCTCCCCTTTCCTGCAGCATGGTCCTCCAGGAGGGGCGTGTCACTAAACAGCGCAAAGGAATGCTCGGGCGCGTACCGAGCGCCGAAGGAGGCATTGTTGAGCAGTGAGCGGATACGTGCGACCTCGTCAGGAGTCAGCTCGACGTCTGCCGCAGAGGAGTTCTCCTCGAGGTACTTGATATTTTTCGTCCTGTATTGGGGCCAGTCAGTATCGCACCCAACATAATAAATACAGAGGAAGCATTATCAGAGACGGTTCAACATACCCAGGAATAGGAAAAATGTCATCACCCTGACCCAACAGCCACGCAAGCGTGAGCTGGCCAACCGTGCACCCCTTAACCTCGGCGATCCTCCCAAGCTCGGCCACGAGGGCCATGTTCTTCGGGAAGTTCTCCTCGTTGAAGCGCGGGTAGAACCGGCGGATGTCGTCCTCGCCGAAGCCGTCGCGGCTCTTGATCTGGCCGCTCAGCAGCCCGCGTGACAGCGGGCTGTAGGCCACGACGGCGACGCCGAGCTCGCGGCACGCCTGCAGCAGTCCGTCCTCGATCTCGGTGCTGAAGGGGCTGTACTCGACCTGCACGGCCGCGATGGGGTGCACGGCGTGGGCGCGGCGGAGCGTCGCGGCCGATACCTCGCAGAGGCCCAGGTGGCGGATCTTGCCTTGTCTTTTTGCGAAATAGGATGGGTTAGCACGGAGATGCGATCGAGCCATTATGGGGACGGGGTGGTTCAGTGCGTACTCTTTCATCTTGACCATCTCGGCCACGATGAGCTCGACCGGGGTGCTGCCGTCGAGCCGGTGCGGATACCAGAGGTCAATGTGCTCGACGCCCAGCCGCTTCAGGCTCTGCTCGCAGGCCTCGCTTACATAGACTGCGTCACCGCGGAAGCCAAAGTTACCGCCGCCCAGACGGACTGCGCCGAACTTGGTCGCGAGGAATATGTCGGAGCGCTTGCCAGATCGGGTGAACCATTTGCCTAGGACTTCCTCGGAGTCTCCCTGTGCGCATAAATCTGGTTAGCTTTCGATGCTATATGTGGGTGGACGTTTTGATCGTACGTAGAAGTCGCTCGTGTCCCAAAATGCTGCGCCGATCTTATGCGCGTGGTCCAGGACTTCGAGACTCTGCTCGTCCGGCACTGGCTTTCCGTAGCCGAGTGACAGGCCCATTGTGCCGTAGCCGATCCTGGGGACCATAGGCCCGTTCTTACCGAGTTGACGAGTTGGAATCGGAGACATGTTGGTAGGCCAAGTGTAAAGGATATAGAAGTCACTGGGAGCTCAATTGAAGATGATTGGTGGCTTTGAGTAAGATGTCTGCGTAATGCTTCGATGTTGAGGTACCTTAGAGGTAGGTGGTGCTGGTTGAGAAAGAAGGGTATCTTGGACACGAGGAGAGCGGCATCTTATGCAACATGTAGAGTGTAGCCAGCATGGGAAATGTCATTCCATAGTCCGACTCGTTGATGGAAATCCACCGAGCGTACTCCACGAGACGGCCACTGATCGCGGACATGTGGCGCGACTTGAGGCTCTGGTAGGCGTTATTTCACGCTCGACTCGGCAACGCGAATAGACACCTCCAGGGTATCGGAGTATGCACGTAGCCGTTACGTTAAGAGACGACCGCTTGTCTCATAGCAGAAGGTTTTCATCTCGTTCACACCAAAGTAACTGTGATACTATGTCAGTCCTTTCAGTACAGAGGGCATGGTGGCTTACTTACAGTGTCAGGAAGAAAAGGGGGAAGTCATCCAGGTCGTCTCCAACACCGGTTTCCAGGAACTCCTCAAATTCGAACGCAGAGACGAGCCATAGGGGCTTTTCCTTCCAGGCACGGAAAAAATCAAATGAGTTGGTGGCATTCCACAGGTGACTTGATAGTGTCCATCGAGGGACATAAGCCCACTTGTCGGACTCGGCTACGTCTTGTTAGCACCATGAGTCTGGACGGGAGCGGGCGTTTTAGCATACGGGCGATTATGCGGCCTTTTATAAGTCCCCAGAAAGACTGCAAGGAGAAAGACATCATACAGGTCCTCCTCAGACTTTCAGCAAACACCCACCGCTAAGAGACCGTCAGATAAGCAACCGATGATAAGCAGCGATATAGGGACATACCTCCCAACACTCGGGTGGCTCAGCGCGGATATCTCTTTCGGCTGAGCTGGGAAGTCCCGTTATATTGTCTCGGGCTCGGCAAAGGTCCCTGGTCCAAGATTCTAACAGTGGCATGTCGTTATCGGCCTGCTGTCCCAGGGCTATGTCTCCGTCGAACATGCGGATAGACTAGTAGAACATGAGGGCATGGACCCTCGCCAGCTTCCTCTGTGGAGTAAGGGTCGTAATGCCGGCAGTTCCTTTCAAGTGCGTGACGCTTTCATGAAGTACTCGGAGGACAGGTCCACGGTTTGACTCAGTCTGGTGCGTATATAGAAGGCATGTCGAAAAAGCGTGTAGCACCCAGCGAGGCATGTCATCCTTGTAGAGGCATCGGTGAAGGTACGAGGTGCAGTTATGCCGGGCGAAGGCCACATGGAAGTTCTTGAGTGCTATGAGGGTGAACCCGACTTTGGTCGATGGGTCTGCAAGCTGCCAGGCGGCAAAGTCATCCTAGGCATAGTTGGTTGAGAACATATCCCGAAGGGGATTACTTTAACATACGCATTCATGAGCCATCTTGGAGTAGTCCCTCCTAGTCAACGACTTCTCTGTTTGGGCTGGGGACGCTTCGGTTGGAAAGTGGTCAGACGGCCAGAGACCATCGACAAAGCCGTCCCCGGGCATATTATTCAGCAAGGGAGCAAAAGCACCATCAAGCTGGAATGCCGAGCACTGGGTCATTGGCATATTGGCTTCCAGAGATGCTGAGAAAGCGTCGGCATCCGGCACGAAAGCGGTGGGATCTGGGTTGGCGAGGTAATCTAGGCTGATGGGAGGACCTGCGGACTCTCTAGCGGTGGGCATATCACTCCGCCCCCCATAGATGCACAGGTATCTCCTTCTCGCACATCTTCCGCAAGCCGGCTGCCGCTTATCGCATCGTCACTTGCCCTTGACGCAGGTATTGCAGCTTTTCTGCCGCGATGCACCGCTGCTGGATTCCATTGGGTCGGGCTTCAGGCTTCAATGCCGTATTCGGGAGTCAGGACGCTGGTAGTGCCCCCTGGCAGGCGAGATAGGCGAGATAGTTGAGATTGACGAGGCTGTGTGACAGTGGTATTCACTTTACCGAATCACGGCTACAGTGTCTCGTGGAAATGCGGCACTGCTGAATAACAACAAGACGGCGTGCATGTGTCGGTAAGGTTGAGCTGACGGGACGGGAGGTCTATGAGGGCCGCAACTCCGCAACTCCGCCGCCCAGCTTTTGAAACTCCGCAGAGCTGAGTCCGCCATATTCGCAACTGCACCGCCGCATTGACTTCAACGTTATCACAGCCATGATGGTCACTGGCGAACAGTCATAGCTACGAGACATACTCAAATATTGCCTCCAGGTGACCTCACACAATAGCTAGGTATGCTTCACGGCACGCGAGCCGAAAACGAGACCAGTCTCTCCCATCCTTTCTGGAAAGGGTCAATTACACCATGCTGCCTCAACGCTGTATGACATCGATGCCATTACCAGCCGAGGGTTCAACGTCCAAAATCCCAATGTGGAAATGCGAAAGCGAACCAACGTGCCGCCGTCAGACAGATGCGGGACAGCAGTGTACAATTTCTGTCTCAAGCCCAACCGTCCTTAACCAGTCGGCTTAACCAGTCGGCTTAACCAGTCGGCTTAACCAGTCGGCTTAACCAGTCGGCAGCAATCCGGCGGCAGCAATCCGGCGAGAGACAATCGAGAATCACGAAGTCCTTCCTGATTCAGGATCCGATCCAGCAGTCGAGCGTCCCATATCGAACGAACCCAGTTGCTTCCCGACGGGACCCAGCAGTGGGCGTTGGGCCAGATCAAATTGGCTTGGAGGAGGCGAGCAAGCAGGTCTTCCTGCAGGCCCGCGCCCGAGACATTACGGGTCTCACGCAGGCTGTCACCATCGTCGTTGCCGTCGTCGTCGTCGTCGTCGTTCCTCGAGCTCTCTCGCCGTGAGATCGCGCTACCTCGGGTTCAGGCAACGTGGGAGTGATGGGGCGGGCACACGAGCCCGTCAGCCCACGGCCGAATGGGCGTGTACGCGGTGACACACACATACAAGCGCCCATCTCGTCTCCCCAGCTTCCCAATCATTGTCTCAGTTGGCACTCCGAGTGGCTGAAAGGCCACGCCATCTGACAGAACTGGAGTGGTGGGTGGGTCGGGGGTTTTTGCAGAACCCTGCCTGCGGTGCTCTGGCAGATTCTAGGCTCGTCGTCGTCGTCGTATTGTCGGATTGGGGACGGACCGGGAGGCCTCGCCAGCTTCTGCCCCATCGAGACGGGTACGCAGGATCGTGTGGAACTGTCTACCCGAAGACGTTGTGATGAGTCGACAGACATGCAACATGTTCGACGGACGAGAGTGGTTTTGTGACGACCATAGGCGCTCGAGCAGATGGCGCCATGTCGATGGCGTTCAGGGGTAGACGGGATGTTTAGCTTCAGTATGACCGAGAAGCAGGCAGACTCGTTCCTGAGTGCCTATAGGGGTGTATACTTGAATTCCTTTCTCTTGGACTCTTCGTGTGAATCGGGCCTGCTCGAGTATTTCGGCTGGGGCCCCTATACGATAACTGCGTTGCACCCGACTTGAACGCTGTGACTAATACGTCAAACTTTCTGGCATAACGCGTGGAGTTCCAGTCTCACCTCCATGTGAGATGTGACAGAGCTAGTCACCATGTAGCATGCTCATTCAGGGCGGTTGGTCATTCTGTCACGTACTGTACAGAGCCTCTGTGGTCTCACCTGGCTATGCAGTGACAGCTTCGCACCCCAATGCATAGGACTCTCTCGATTCCTTGATACCTGCCTGAAGACGACGATATGTCGTGATGACTGACTATGCAAGGAGCATCCCGAGACTACGGCACGGGTCAAGGATATATTGGGTTTGCGGGGGGATGGACCCGGACCTCTGGTCGTGATCTTCTTTGCAGATGCCAGCCAACCCCCCGAGCTTGGGGGCAAGATGCGGTGCAGGCCAGATTACTGATCAACGTGGCACGGTTCGTCCGATGTGCTTCTAGCTTTCACGGCGCCCGGCGGGTTGTACGCCATGAGATGCTTCCAGCACTGTCCACCGGTGTGCCTTCTCAGGTTCACGACTTCGTGTTTTTGGCGCTCATACATGCTTCTGATACGAGTAAGGAGAGACATTCGTGACGATGGAACGTGTGCTTGATGCTCTTGTAACTTGTTTATCACTACATATGTACATGCTTGAGACTCGCAGCAACGTTTCAGGAACGTGGCTGGCGCCAGTCCTGCACAAGAGATGTGTCGAAGCGGACTTTGCCGTGGAGGTCCTCGCATCGAGGCGTGTAATAAAGTGTAAAAATACCACACGATAATCTGGAGAATCCAGGGACCTCTAGCCCGGGGCAATGGGACTGTCGACACGGGTCATGCCAGTCCTGGAGATGGCTGGCGACCCGATATAGTTCTCTCGGCCATACTCCTGGGACCGAGATCGTCCCGGCTGGTACGCTTGCACATGAAGAGGAGCAAAGCTAAAATAACGAAGTTAGCTCCCGCGCTGAACGCAGGCTAGATTTTGAAGTAGAGTAGTTTTCCCCACGGCCATGAGTTGTCAAAACAGGGCCGGAACAACATACAGCAACGGCGCGCTGTTCTACTATTATGTAAAATGAAACTCTGCCACATGGACCGTCAATTAAGTTTACTCACGCAGGGTATCACGGTCATGGTCGTATTTAATGAATCTCCGCGGCTCTGGGAAGCGCGGCGGCTACAAGGTTCGTGATAGACACGGGGTACAGTAGGCCAACCACCCATCATCAGCCCAATGAGAAGTGAGAGGTTAGTCCCGTATAAAGACGGGAGGCTGACGCTTGTGCACGAGCGGTCTCCTAGGCAGCATGCACGCAAGCAGGTTGGGAATTTGGAGAAGGTCTATTTTGATCAGTCGAAGATATCGCGTGCGGTGACGCCGCGATCCTTCCATGTCCGCAGCATATGTAGGGTCGCGCCACCGTTTCCAATGTAAATAGCTCCAGGCGCTCAATCGTCTGATAAACAGCTTCGTTGCTCGGTGTCGTCTATTACGCCACACGCCTCGAATCGCGCCTCCAAGGCAGAGGTGCTGCCATCTGTACCCCTTTTATGCAAGGCTTACTTTTTCCCAATCTCTTGTCGAACGACTGTCGACAAACAGTGCATGCGTAGATGGCCAGATGAAACGTCCATAGTCAACAGTGTCGTCCGAAGTATCCCATCGGCGAGCCTTCAATGTTCAATGGGCGACCGACTTGGCATCATTGAATTAGAGTTGGGTCTTTGCGCCCCCCTTAATGGAATTATTGCCAGTCATAGTCGACACGGCTCCTCCCCGGCGCCCCGCCCCGAGCCCGGCAAGGATGACAGTGCGTCCGCCATGGACAGTAGCCTATCACGACATGATCGATAGACTTCGGTGCTGTGTGATTAGCTGATCCTCCGGTAGATAACGCATCCGCAGGAAGGCTGGTTCCAGAGGAGTAGGGGCGCAGAGGAGATGATGCGGTTAAGAGTTGGTGCCTCGTGTAATTCGGTACCAACATAGGGTATTGAAGAATGTTATCACAGTAAGCCAGATGCCGGAAGGAAGCGAGGAGTCGGCGCAATACCCCCTGCCCAATATTTCACCGAGTGTTGGTTGTACAGGCAGGTCTGGCCAGGATAGGGTCCTTTGCCTCCACCAGCCAATAGCAGGGGGGAAGCCAGCCTTCAACAGTGGAGGCACAGCCCGTCCACGGACGGGGGAGCTCGTCCATATCAGATCTGGCAAATCTGGCAATCTGGTGGCCCGTGGTGGGCGGTGATCGAATGCCAATTCCACCAGAAATCATGGGGAAGCGCCGAAACACAGGGGTGGGATCTGACTCCCGAAATGAGTTGGATGAGAGTACCACCGAGAACTTTACCACTGCGGCGCAGCTGGAGGAAACCTGGCAGTTGGGTGCCCTCTCTACTATCATCCATGTACACAGTATGCTGCTGCAGGAGAAACTCACAGGGGTCTTCTACACGGGTGGATGCGCTGGGAGGAGTGCGGAAAATCCCCCAAAAGAGGTCTGTGAACGTGGCATGCTGTCGCGCCGTTTCGACGCCGAACAGCTACCTACACACGGCTGCGTGGGATGACTGCCTCCCCCGATCTGATTTGCAGAGCCGTTCGGAGTCTCCTGTGGTGGGAGGATCACGGATGGCTTTGCGATTGGCAAGTAGGCTAATATATCAATGTACGTCAGCGGTGCAGCGCTCTCACGTCCACGTCGAGCTCGGCATCGTCCATCATCAGCAGCATCATTCCCTTTCGGCAGGGCCTTATCGGAAGGGAATGCCAAGCATGCTTATCACCATGTCGCCACAGCCCTATTACGAGTCCCTGCGACGGAAGGGTCATGTATGAAGTCGCAATCGAGCAGAAGCAAGGAGGATCAAGGCGAGTCCGATGGACAGTGGGGTGCAACGTCGTCCACGGTGGATTCTACGAGCGCGGTCCGCCCTAGGAAATCACACGCGCGGACGTGATGCTACTACACTCACATGTCTAGAAAGCGGAGAAGACGCAGGCGAAAGGTTGGCGCCTCCAACTGAGCGTGTCAGCCTGCCTGTAAGCCCGCGTGTCTCTAGAGTTCCTCGCCACGGCATAACGTGAAGGGCGGCAATAGACGCGAACCTGAAGTATTACATACCTAGGCCTACGCGCGATGAAAACATACTTATGTTATAGACCGTGGAAGAAAGATCAGCCTAGTATCCGATCAGGGTCTCTGATTCTCTGAGACAGAGTATCAGGGGATCGCAAGACGAGCCGCACACCCTATAATAGACTCGTGGTCAACGTTACAGGTGGCTTGAAGGTTTGGGTCTGTGGGCATCTCGTATGTCAGCCCCCAGATTGCATGTGGTTGGGTCAGCAGCTTCGTGCTGATCTCAGAATCACCCGTGTGTGCGATGTGACGTGCGTATGCCTGTATGCAGCGTCCTTGTTATACGGTGCATACCTATGCACACCGGCGGCGGCCCATCACTCAGCACCACCACTATCACATATATATAGTACCCCCCACACGCATGCCAGTCTGTCAGTTGGTCCCAGGCGTACCGGTACAGTACTGCCATGCAAGGCGATGGCATAGAAGCATGTGCGGCAATGCGCAACTCGTCAGCCAGCGCTACGTGGTAGCAGATGAGCTTACCTTGCCTGGTTGCGACTTACGACTGACTAGAGTGAGCGGTGGAGATGCCCAACACATGGCAGCAACGTGTTTTTCGTAGGAAAGAGATGGGATCTTTGACAAATCATAAACGTTGCGAGCTTTGCGGAAACACTAGCAGGTGCCTCGGGACCTTTTGCTATAGATGACGGGTGACAAATGACATGGACGCGCGCCGAGGCAGAGGGCAGTGAAATATAATGACCGGCGGTATTCAGACGACAACGAGGCCGTGACCCGCCGTGGCTGATGAACCCTAGTCGCACCAACGACGCATCTCATCAGAGACGGCAGTCGAGGATTTCGGGAAGCGAAACGATCGGGAACACCTCCTTCGGGAAGTCTTCAACGGGTATTACGCAGTCCTGGGATGGCTGGATGGCTGTCAACGACAGAGTTGGCGGTCGAGTTACACAGTACACCCACCCTCCAGTTCAGGGGGGCTATGTAACATGCTTCCGCGATGGCTGTCGAGATTCGACCGCCACACAGATTGGGCCTAGGTACGTCGTTAGATGGGCTGGGCAAACTAAAGGCACCCGTCTGTCTCCTGACTCGGGAGAGTTTCTCTATCTCGACTCGCACGTATCATGTCGAAGCCTCGCCGGCTACAGGGCAGCTTGATCGACGGATCTGGGTGACCGGTCGATAATATAACAGCACTGCCCGGGCAGAGGTTGCAGAGCCTCTGTTTCCACACATTACCTCCTCATCACCGGCGACGACTCTTCTCTTTATAACTGGTTGTCACACGTCCTGTAGAAGTACAGTCACATACGGTCAAGCTTATTACCACCCCCTTCAACTTTCAAAGCGCTGCCGCGGAATGCTTCCGTGAGCATCCCCGCATTATGCCCTTCGACCGCGGTTGGATGGGATTACATAGTACCAGTCTGTGCCAACCCACACAGGGTGACATCGGGCCCTGCAGGTCAAGCTCTCTCTACCAACTAGGCTCACGTGGCGGCGGGAAGATCGCACGGAAAATCCAAATCTGCAAGGCGCAGCAAATAATGTGAACTGTGACGGACAGGAGAGCCATGGCCCATGATGATAATGATAATAACAACCTGTGACTGATGACTGCAGTGAGTGGGTGGGTGACAGGTCTAGGCGATCCAGGTCCCAGGCCAGGACGATTTGCCCGTCTCTCTCATCAATCGTATCACTTTCCCAAGGGGACACCGACGGTGGATGGCATGATCCCGTAACGCAGACGTTGCTCGGGTTCAGCCTTTCGCACCGCATGTGTCCGCATCCACGCTTCCTTCGTCCGTACTTTTATCTGGTGTTGTACTTGACATGTATGCAAATGTAAATTCGCAAGCCACAGGGCAGCGTGATGGCCTTCTGGTCTGGCTCCCGAGGTCGCTTGGTTGCATCGGGTGTATTGCAACATCTCACCACCATCACTCTCTTTCGAGAGGGGCATGTCTCTGTCTCTGCCCATCCATCTGGAGGTGATCTGCCAGATGCTCGGCGGTTATTCAGCACCCCCGTCGGCAGTGCCCCGGTTCCCCAGATACCTATCGAGTGATCATTGGCCGCAACCCAATCTCACCTGCCGCCTTGTCTCTCGGTGAAGTTTCAGTGGCCAACTCCCCCCAACTTCCCAAGATTGAAGGCTGGTTGGGAGTTTGTTTTTCTGTACTAATAAAGCACCAAACCCTGCCTGCTCGTGCTTGTGCTCGTACCACGACTCTGCCGCTGATTAGCACGAGCCGCCAAATTACTCGTGCGCGTGAACAAGGACCGGCTTCGCTTGAATTGCCCGTATGTCTGTGCCTGGTCTGCCTGTCTGCCCGTCTGTGCGTGACTTGAATGCAGAGCGCCGTCACGAGGCCCACAGTCAGCCAGGAGTCTGACTTCACTTGAAGTGCCTCGATCTTGACCTGACCCGAAGTGCCTACCTGTCCTGACCCTGGCCACACGGCGCGACCGAGTCGACGTCGAGTATGAGGATTCTCCCATACTCCCATTCGCGTTGTCCCGAATCCTTCGACGTCAACCCCTACCCCAGATATCAACCTCCCTCTTCAATCGGTCCTTCCGAGCCATGATGACCATGCAACGGCTCGCAGGCAGAGGCACGTTCTTTTGCTGACCACGGATCGATCCTTAGTTAGGTAGGCTTGTAGCCAGCCTGCTGCCAACCTCCAGCGACAGACAGGTGGTTGCCAGTACGTGCTGGGCATGGTGCTGGGGCATGCCTGATCTGGCAGGATATGGTGGGGCCAGCGACGCTACTTCATTCCAAGTACTGCTACACGGCCACGATGCAGCCGATAGTCTATTGCTGAGCCCCACTGCTGTGCACATGGGAAGGGCACAGCCCGCGTTGGACCTGGTAGAAGCGTACCCGGTACGCCGCTGGTCACGCTGAGTGGTAGATAAGCATCGCCCGGATTGGCCCGTCGCCCTCGATCGCTGCCCACTGGTGTCCCACATACATAAGACTCGGCGGGTAGAGTGTACCTTTTGCAGCCGTACCCACTCGACCCCTGCTGCCTGAAGCAGCCATGTGCTAGGCCCTTTCCCAAAAGCCCGATGCACTGTCGAGACAGGCATCATGGCGCGTGGCGGCGGCGGGTCTGAGGTCAACTGGACCGTTTCCCTTGTCTTCATCCATCCATGCGTGCCATGATCCCTCCCATGGGCCATCTGGAGACTGGGGCGCTGGGCCGCTGGACAGTCCGCGCACACAGGGGAGGGGAGCCAGGGAGTCCCTCCTTCGATCCAGCTGCCAGACTGCCAGTGAGGTCGAGTTTTGAAGTTTGAACCCAGAAAACTCAAAAACCCAACGCGAGGAAGGTCTCGCCCCTGCCTCTGCCTGCCCGCCTGCCCGCCGTGTCCTCTTTCCTATCCAATCCAGACCTCCGAACTTGAACACAGAACACTCGGTCCATTTTGAGCTCCTTTTGCCATTTAGAACATGGCCCTTTGCGCGTTAGCTGCCTTGGCCTCTTTCTAGACTCAGACCGAGGTTACCTTAGGGTACTTCACCTACTACACGTAAATAGCCTACCATCGAGGTACCTCCTCTACCTGCCTACTGCACTTGTTCTGAGAAAATCAATTTGCTTCCCTTAACGTCTTCCCGCCCCCCCCGTTCGTTCTCATCCCGTCCCTCCAACCACCCAACCTATTATCTATCTCCATGTGGAATATCCGTGCTGGCGACAGTCAAACTCTGTTCCATTTACATGTCCTGTCGATACCTTAACGAGAACAACTATAGCCTGCAACACCCCGCCACATCTACACCATCACCACGACGGCTTCGCTGCTTCGTCGCCCTCTTCCTGTTCTGACCGAGTTCGAGGCTTTGATCCAGTTGCGCCCCTTCTGCAATTGGATGTCCAGCGCCAATGCTGTTCGGACCCACTGCAGGTGTCTATAATCGTTGAAAGTCGCGTTCTTGCTCTTGATCTTCCAATTCAAGCAGGAGCTGAGCAGTCCTGCGTCCGTGGCCGCGCACGTCTCGAACCCGCCTTGGTCTCGATGACCTGATTCTTCTTGCCGAGCTTATTCGATTTTTTATAACGTTGTCGTTGTTGTCGCCGTTGCCCGCAACCTGCAGTCTTAGTATCATTTTCATTCATTGAACCCGTTGCGATTGCCAGCCGATTCCACCATGGCCACTGAACAACACCGTCGCCCTGCCTCGCAGTCCAAGTTGCCTGTGGGGCTGGCAGGTGTCCTCAACGACGAGAACCGTGACTCGGCATACTACTCGAACACCTCGAGCAAGCGTAGGTGATCCCGTACATTGCCGCCCGCAACGTGTCGCTAACGGCGCCGTCTTAGACACGTCAGCAGCCTCGGGCTTTGGGATACCTTTATATCATTCTGCGCAGGACAAGACGCCCTCTCCGACCACCAATATACCAATTCCCCATGCCTTAGTATCCCCGTCGAGCCACATGAGCGTAGCATCAATGGTATCTCCTACGTCGTCCGGGATGGGGCGCTTCGATCGACCGCAGTCGCTGGAATCCGTTCATGGCATACCGTTAGGAGGGACAGCGAGCGCAGGACCCGAATCGCGGCGTGAGAGTGTGGACAGCAGGATGAATCAGAACTTCAACGACATGCGATTGAGCGGGTCGCCGTACACGAGCCAGAACCAGTCGACGACGTCGATTCAGGGAACCTTGGCGCAACAGCGAAACCCGCGCGTGGGACAGGACCACCACTCTCTCAATAGGATGTCGAATGGGTACCAGCCCAGTATGGAGCGCACTCCGGACGGTCTGCCTAAGGTCGCGAGGACGGCACCGGCCATTACTGGTCCAGCGACGAGTACTATCGCAAGAGCCGCGGAACCGACTAAGGGTCAAGCCTGGGCCTTCCCGGAGGAGGAAATACACAGAATGCCTAATGGCGGGACGTTTTTGGACTCGAGGCGAAGCAGTATTGCCGACTCGATAGCCAGCAGCCAGTTCACCACGGAGTCCCGGCTGCCGCCTGGGCAGCGGCGACTTGATGACGGCCTTGGACCAGACTACCACCGCTTGTCAACCAACTCGACCGACTTGCAGACAATCCACCACCACAGCCTGCAGCACAAGCAGCTGTCGGATATGCACAGTGAGGAATCCAGCCCGCAAGGCGGCGCTCAGCCGTATAGCAGGACACCCGAACTTCGGGTCAGCCACAAGCTTGCAGAGCGGAAAAGGCGGACAGAAATGAAAGAGCTTTTCGAGCAGCTGCGTGATTTGATGCCTCAAGAGCGTGGGTCGAAAGCGTCCAAATGGGAGATTCTTACCAAAGGTATGTTCGAGTGCAACTGACACGTGTGAAACGCATGTTGACCTTGTCATCAGCAATTGCGGAGCATCAACGACTGTCAGACAACATCAAGTCGCTGTCCGGTCACTGCCAAAACGCGCTCCAAGAGAATGAACGGTTGCGCATGGAAAACGCACAGTTGCGAGGAGGCACGCCAGCCATGCCACCGGGCCAGGGACCTGCGAGTCAGCCCCCTCAACAAGCCCCTGCAGACTCATATGCACAAGATCCCTATGGGCGAGCCCCTCGGCCAGAACTCCCGCCACTGAGAGCTTTGAGCAACAACCTTCCAAACCCACCAGACTCTATGACTGGTGTTCAATATGAAGGGCAGCGATTGAACGGCTACCGGCAAGAGCGGTATTAGTATATCGACGGTGACCGCGGTTTCTATCATTTTTCCATTTGTTCTATCAAAAACCGATGATTACAGCAGCCATGCATATACCAGACGTCTAGAGCGACTATTCGATACCCCCTAGCGTACCTGACGCGCCAGACGCGGACAACGTCTCGGCACGCAAACACCGTATAAGATACTCTACTTCCCCTATGGCTCGCGAATTCCGCGTTGTACTTTGTCGGAATAGGGCCACCGGTGTGCTTGACTAGGCGTTTGAGGAGATAAGGTTTGGCCAACTGCTGGACTGCAGCGGATGGGTATGGACTTCTATGTTCGCCACCTCGGCTATCTATTATCGATGGCGCGGGGCCGATTCGTTATGGATCAAGGGATAAAAAACAACAGGAAAGGAGAGGCACTGCAATGGTGTATTATGGTTGTGGATGGATGGCCGGCTGGAATACCCCATTGTATTGGCACAGAGCCCGGAGGGGAATGGCTCTGGCCTATTTCGCCTTCTCTTCATATTCCCGGTGTTGAGCTTTTCTGAAGCGTAGATATACCCATCGTCTTGCGGCCCGGGTGCAATATGGCACGGGCTTGTTTGGAGTACTTGAACGTGGCTGTCGACGAGAATTGTCGGTCATGTGTAGAAGAAATGGGAGGACAAAGCGTGAGAAAGGCGGAGGAGACAGGCAGCATTTTGAACGACTCGAGTAGCGATAACGTGTACGAGCAAGCGTCGAGACGCAACTCTTTGCTTTAGAAGAGAATAAATATGGTAGCGAGTCCATATACCTGCTAGCAAGCTACAGGACACTAATCGCCTGAACAAACACTTCATCTTCTCGCGTCTCTGCTGGTAGAATATGAAAATGACAAGTGAATTGTTGAAAGAGTGCTACTGCAGATATACATAAGGCACCTTGATGGGGTTGTGCCCATCCGAAAGACGTCGTATCTCAAGTGAGAACTTGAGCTGAACCTGTGTAGATGCACATTGCCCCAATATATATATATATATATTCTGATGGCGAAACCGATCTCACTGATAGGCAGCTGTTGCTAGCCGATAAGTCGTAGTCTACGATGAATCACTACAACGTCCAGTTGATGTCCTGTGGTGCTCACGATTCACGAAGCCTCCGGGTGTCAGAGCTGGAGGCTCCAGTGCCCCACCTAAGGTATATATCAAGGCTAGCCACTCTTTCGGACTAGCGCTGCTGGGGTCAACTGGCGCCTTAGCTCCAGTCTGCGCGCGCTCTAATCATCGCGCATTCGACCCTGAGCGGCCAATTTGAAATTTTCTCAAACCCGTCACCCTTTATCGCAAGTAAACCTCTCCCAAGCAATCCATACCACCTACACATTCGACCTCTCATCGGATATACATTCCCACCCCTTTCAACTAACTAGCAGTCAAGATGTAAGCTACCTCTCTATCGTCTCTACCAGACCCTGCTTCATCATCAGGACCGCCAACTGACAATTCGGGACAGGCATTCAGTCTGTCGTGCCGCCCTCCGAGCAGCATGCTCTTCGTCAAGAGCTGCTGCTGTTCCCCGGCAGCAGATCGCATCATTCGCCATGCAGGTCAGCAAGGCCAACATGCGGCCAGCCACGACCCTGCCCCTTGCTCGTTACTTCTCCCAGACCTCGCGCGTCGCTGAGGAGGCTAAGGACCAGGTGGTTGAGGATGCCGCCATCGAGTCTACCGAGGAAACCGGCTCCACCGTTAAGAGTGACACGCTGCTGGAGTCGAGCCAGACCGAGCGGGAGCGGGGCCGTGATGGACACAGCATCTTCATCAGCAACATGACTTTCGATGCTACCGATGTCCACCTGCGCGAGGCCTTCGGCAAGTATGGAGACATTACCGCCATCAACATTGGACGCGACGGCCGTGGACTGAGCAGAGGGTACGTCAACAGTATTGCAACTGCTGACCATCTCCCTTGCCACATGCTGCGCTTGGAATTTTAACAAGGATCAATGCTGATTAGACTAAAGGTTCGGCTTCATCACTTTCACCACTAAGGAGTCCGCCGACCGCGCTGTCGAAGAAGTACACAAGTCGTTCTGGCACGGCCGCCGTATCAACGTCGAGCACCGCAAGCCGTCGAGCAGCGACGGCCGTAGCGAAGCACGTGGCCAGCGACCCCAGAACACGACGCCCACGAACTCGATATACATCGGCAACATCCCTTACGAGACGTCGGACGCGGACCTGAACCGTCTATTCCGTGAGCTGGACAACGTCACGGACGTCCGCGTCGCCGTTGACCGCAACACCGGCTGGCCCCGTGGCTTCGCCCACGCCGACTTCACCGACGTCGAGAGTGCCATCAAGGGGTACGAGAAGATCTCGTCGACAGCTATTGGAGGTCGCCAACTGCGCGTCGACTACTCGCAGAGGCGTACCAGCCCTGTCGGACGACCGCGCGATTAGAGATGGCGACATGCGGTGAGGAGAGCACAGTATAAACCACTTGACGAAAGCGGTGTATGTGCGGTTGTGGGTACTTCACTTCGGGCCTGGGGCTTGTCTTAGAACTAATATAGTCCCGAGGTATAGCGAGGCGGACAGAAATGTGGAGGACGAAGCATTATATCAGCCTGGGCGGAATCTCAAGGCTGGTGGCAAGAAGGCGGCGAGGTTGAACTAGAAGACCGAACCCTTGTATATGTAGCAACGTACAACGACTGCGTGTGTAGAACAGCCATTTAATTTGGGGCCGGCGTTGACACGGAACCACGACTACCTGAATATATATCTCCACTTTCTGCTATGCGCCTGTTCATTCTTAACCAGTGATACACTGATAGAGTTGTAAGTGGGTAGCATCTTTCAAAGGGGCAGTGTCGGCGGTCGGAGGCTACCAGAATTTGCCTTCCAACGTCCCTCGGCATCGGTACCAAGTGACCTCACACTCCCCCACAATCGGCTTTGTGAATCGGTAAGGCGGTGCAGGTGGTTCGCCTTACAAACCTTGACTCTTGACATCTGATTTCCATTCATACCCTCTATGGTAATCTTTCCCACGACCAACACCAGCTTATACTCACCAGCTCTAGCCAGTCGAAGCGCTTTCATCGGACCCTACGAACCTAACCGCCCGCCCCAGTCCCCGAGTTGCTTCCAAACCACCTCGGCGTGCCTCCGTACGGTCCCCATCACACCAGTGGTGCCCAAACGTTGCTCGTGCGGGCTACAGCTTGACTGACTGCCTAGTCTGTGTGCTCCTACCAGTACTTTACTTCTTTTTTATCCCTTGCATTCATTGTTTTTCAAAATGTCGTTCCTCGGCGGGCCTGAGTGCTCGACCTCGGGCAACCCGCTCAGCCAGTTCACAAAACATACACAAGAGGACAACAGTCTACAACGGGACCGCATTCATAATGGCGGCCCTCAGGCTGGCGTGGGCGGCTTCCGCAGCGCCGGCCAACACGGTCCGCAAGATGAGGTAAGAAGAGAGACCCGTTTGGATCTAGCGACCTCCGTCGACTAACGCTCCGTCTGGCAGATGATGAACGGCTTCATGCAGCAGAACGGCCGGTTACCCGATATGCCGCTCGAAGGCATGAGCCAGGTACGAATGGACCACCCAGCGCACGGCGTCCACCTCCGAGCGAACTCGACCTCCCCGTCGTGGGCCATCGAATTCCAGCAGAACCCCCAAGCAGCCATGGAGTCGGCGTTCAAGGTTCCCCAGGGGACCGAGTTCAGCCCCGACGACTACGCAAAGTTCCAACAAATGCAAAACCAGGCGACCTCGTCACGGTCAAGTCCCATGCCGTCAGGTATGCAATACCAGCGTCCGATGATGGGGATGGGAATGGGCATGGGGATGGGCAATATGGGCATGAATTACGGTATGGGTGGCATGTACAACAACCCGATGTATCAGCCTGCGCAACAACCTATGGAAAGAGCAGACCAAGGAAAGGGGAAGGGAAAACTAGTTGAACTTGACGACCAACAATGGGAAGAGCAGTTCAAGCAACTGGAGTTGCAAGATAAAGAATTGCAGGAAGGTGACGAGGCCGCAGCGATGGAACCGGAGCTCAACAAGCTAGACGAGCAAATCCTAGAGTCGGAAACAAACGAGTTTGGAGACTTCGAGTCAATATGGAGAGGCATCCAGGCCGAGCGTGCCGCCGCTACGGAGACCGTCGACGAAGAGGAGTGGGTCGATCAGCTTGGGGGCCCCGAATGGAGTGAACACTTTGGAGATTGGAACGGTCTCGGTGCCAATAGCAGACTTATTGGTGACCCCCAAGTGGATGACTATCTCTTTGAGGAGGACAACCTCTTTGAGGACACCGCAAATCCCTTCGAGGAGGGTATGCGGATTCTAGAGGAGGGAGGCAACCTCTCACTGGCCGCGTTAGCCTTCGAGGCCGCGGCGCAAAAGAACTCTTCACATGTCGAAGCCTGGGTGCAGCTTGGCATAGCTCAGGCTCAAAACGAGAAAGAGACGGCGGCGATTCGGGCGCTCGAACAAGCCAAGAACCTCGATCCTAATAACGCCACTGCACTTATGACTCTGGCTGTCTCTTATACGAACGAAGGCTATGACAGTACAGCATACCGGACTTTGGAGCGGTGGCTATCGATCAGGTATCCTTCCATCATATCACCCGCCGACCTTTCCCCAGCAGCAGATCTGGGCTTCACCGACCGACAGCAGCTACACGACAAGGTTACCCAACTGTTCATCAACGCTGCGCGTTTGAGCCCGGACGGCGAACACATGGATCCTGATGTGCAAGTGGGCCTAGGCGTTCTCTTTTATGGTGCTGAAGAATACGACAAGGCGGTAGACTGCTTCTCGTCTGCTCTAGCATCCTCAGAGTTGGGTCTTTCCAACGAACAGAACCAAATCCACCTGCTGTGGAATCGACTTGGTGCGACGCTTGCAAACAGCGGCAAGAGCGAGGATGCTATCGCGGCGTATGAAAAAGCCCTTACGCTCCGCCCGAATTTCGTACGGGCGCGATACAACCTCGGAGTGAGCTGCATTAACATGGGATGCCACAGCGAAGCCGCGGGTCACTTGCTGGCAGCGCTTAACATGCACAAGACGGCCGAGAAGGAGGGCCGCGAGCAGGCCCGGGAGCTCCTAGGGGGCGAGGCCAGCGACGCGCAGATCGACGCCATGACAACACAGAACCGCAGCACGAACCTCTACGACACGCTGCGGCGCGTCTTCACGCAGATGGGCCGTCGCGACCTCAGCGAGCAGGTGGTCAGCGGTGTCGACCCCGACATTTTCCGGGGCGAAATCGACTTCTAGGAGAGCGCGAAGAGGAATATCGAAAGCGGCCGCTGGCTGGCCTGTCTCCGTGACGCCGAGTAGTACCTCGCGCGTGACTTCGGGGGGCGCCGCTTGCCCGAATGCGCCGGGTGGGAGAAGCTGTTCCGGAATCATCTGGCTCGCACGCGGGTGCGGGACTGTCTGCTTAGGGGTCCGATGGCGATTCGGCCTAGGGTCCTTAGGCAGTTGTGATTATGATGCAGCAGAGTTCTAGGTAGCGTACATGATGCAGTATATAGGATATCACAGCGCCAACTTGAGATATTCTCGTCACTTCTCTTCATTGTTTATTCATTAGGTGATTGGTTAACCATTTAAGTGTCTTTCCTTTGCGAGTAGGCGGTGAATTGTTGGTATTGGCATGCATAGCAGTGATAGTAGCGGCAGCCCCTATTGAAGAGGCGTCGCTTGCGGTGTCCTAACTTGCCGTACGGCCTATTGAGATTCACTTGTTAGGCTTTATAACGGCAATAACGAATGAACTCATATCACTATCTCGTGTTGGCATTGCATAACATCGTTACAAGACACCATAGGATACAACTGGATTATGACCTATCAGTTGCCCAAATTTTCACTTGTTACTTCTTCCAACACATCGTCACCGTAGCTCGATGTCTCCTGTGATAGGACTAACCTAGGTCACTGTATACCGAGTCCTTGCAAGGCCTTGATCTTCAGATAGGCTCATCATTAAGAGCAAGTCTTGCTCTGAACATTCGCTTGGGTATTGACTAAAACCATCTGGTCACTCCAGGTTGGTACCGCTACAGCGAGGATAGGCTCGTGCGCGGATCTGAATGTATCTAGACTGACACCTCTACAACCTTGCGATGCAATGGCTCTGGGAGGCGTGGTTTGCCCTATGGAGGGACTGCACCCACGATAAATACAATCAATCAATCAATGAACATTCGTTTCTTCTGACAGCAGCACATTGCTTTCACTCGCTGCCTGATGCAACATCACTCCAGTATTCGCACTTCTACGACTCTCCCAATCCAGTCCTCTTATGCGTTCTTCATCTTGCAGCCACCACCATTTCTTTATAACCACCACGCCACTTGTACATCTGCAGCTCCCACCTCTGCAGCTCCCACCTCTACCCAACAGTGCTTCGACTTTCCATGGAAAGACTCCCACGTGAATCGTCTGGACTCATTCGTCGACTCTTTATGGTACCGATCATAAGCACTAACTTAGGGATGGCCATATTCGTAGTACAGGTTCAACCACTTCGTCAGTGAGAGTTTATGGAACCAGAGCACAAACACCACTAGAGTAAGCATATCGTGACACACTGTTTCATGCCATGATGGCTGCTAAACTTGAGCCAATCGACGAAATCGTCTCTTCGATTTCGCTCACAACGAATGAGAACGAACACAGCCAGCCAGGCATAAGCCCAAGCGAGCCGGACTTTTGGTTCCTTCTAAGCGAGAGCGAAGGGTTCTAGTAAGCAAATGATGCTGTCATGCGGAGACTAGACCAATATCAGCCATGCCGCTCTTTAGCTCTGGGCGGACCGACTTTGACGGCCCCGAATACGGATACGGGAGAGTCCCGACGCCGAACACGTCGAAAAAAGGGGCTGACGATACGCATACGGCCGCTCAAATTGCCGGTGAACCACTGCCGCGGCGGTAAGAGGAGCTCGTAATACTGTCGGCGTTGAGATGGTGACCTATTAGCACATAGGAGGTTAGGAGCTTCGTGCTAGCTCTTCGGAGCCCCAAAACACCAAACACGACGTTCTAATAGCAGTGAACGCATAGCTACGGTACCCTCGCCCTTACGGAGGCTTAAACTGGCTTCGGAAGCCAGTTGTATGTATGTATGTACGGGCGGAGTTGATTGTTGCGTCCTCTTGCCCTTGAGGCCACTTGCTGACGTTAAAACACCGCACCCAACCAACCAACCAACCAATCTACCATCGCCCAGATCCATGGTCCATCATCCACCAGCCTGTGAGCTCGCTCATTTTCACCTCCGTCGTACCCGAACTCAGGGGACGATCTGTGCCACCAAGCTAGCCTCATGCCCACACCGCTTCCTCTGCTACCGGTAATACCCTCCAGCACGGGAATTTGCTACGAATGAAGGCGGCAACGCGTGAGAAGCACCAGCTTCAATGGCGCGTACAGACGAACGGATTCGGGTTCACGGCACTCCACCGAAGTTCGACTTGACTGTGCCGTACACCAAGCATGAGATTATGATGCCGTAAGATCATAGCAAAGTTTGGTTGAGGACTTAGACGACAAATGTGTCTGACGTACACGGACATCATCCATTGCTCCCGAGGAACGAGGAAGTCCAAAGACCCGAAATCCTCTTCTATATAAGACGTGGCTCGCTCGCCCATCGTCGTTCTTCCCATCTCGCCATCATCAACTGGGAAAGCCCAACAGTAAACCAAACACACACGCACACTCTTCCTCATATTGGAAACTCTCCCATCGCAACTCGTTATCCTAGACGACAGAAGCCTGCCTACCAGCAAAAATGAAGGCCTTCCAGCACCTCACTCTCCTCATCACCCTCGCCGCTGGGGGTGTGCTTGCCCTGCCCTCCGTGGCTGAGGATGTAACTGGACTCACGACCATCACCAGCGGGACCGACGTCTTCACGGGTTATAACGTTGAGAACGAGGTGAGAATTATTTCCTTCTTCTTCCTGGCACCCCCATCCTAGACAGCCAACCCCGACAAGTACAAACTGGTAGTTATGATGAAACCTTTTCAGTTTCCCGAGAACTGACTTGATAACCATCGATACGTAGTCCGGCATCGAAGCACGCTGCTCCGGAACCCGCCTCCCTAAGTCCGACTGCGACCCGGGCAAATGCCAGTGCGCTGGCAACTACGGGTGCTGGGGCTGCAACGGTGGACGCGTGCAGTGCCAGCCTGGCCCCGGCTCGGGCGTCTGCTGGACTTGATTGAGCATTCATTCATTCCTCCCCGGAATCAGGAGAGACACGATGAGCCAGCCGTTCGATGATGGCTCGTAGCGGGGAGGTCTGGGAGGAAATGGATGGTTTTCATGCATGGATTTTCGCATGCAACTCACCCCTTGTCAATCATTAGCGGCACTTCATGTTGTAGTTGTTCGTTTGGAATCGGTAGCCGTTCGATGATGATGGACTGTCCGGAGAGGTCTGGAGGGCATGGATTTTGCAACTCACCCTTGTCGATCATTAGCACATCACATTGTAACTAGTCGTTCGTTTGGAACCAGTAGCCGTTGAATTTATTCTATCAACTGCGCCTTGGATCGCGAATTTGTATGCTCAAGTGGTTGTTTTGAGCTACTTTACATTTGAGATGAACTTAAACGTAACCAAAAGCTCCAGATACTCTTGCAACCTGGGCTGGGCTGCAGCGTGCAAACTCTCCTAACTGATTAGCTTTGCCTGCTTACTTAGGTATACCCCCCGGCCCTAAGTCTCCGAGCATCCCTGTTTTACACCAAAACACCCCAACTTTACGCTATCGTAATAAATCGAGTAAAATAGATACAACTTAAATACTTATAGTACGTATGGTTAAACTTACTGGAATATTAAAATGGTTTATTTAAAAACTTTGATATCTTGAAGATAAATGTCGTAAATATTACTTTATTAAAGGTTAAATTTTCGATAAAAATAACTTTTGAAGATATTTTTTTTTTTTCAAAAATCTATCAAATAAGGTTTTTCGTCTTATGCGTATATTACGTGTTATTTAATATCATATAACTTTATTAAAACTCATACAATTTTTTAAACATTTTCAATAGCTTTATTGGAATTTAAGATTTTTAATTTTAAAGTTTACTTTTATATATCTATTTCTTACTACTTTAGTCGCTAAGAAAATAAATATTCAGAAATTAGTTACGAAAACTTCAGCATTTTCAAACATTAGTTCCTTATAATATCTCATTTCAAAAAGCCTTAGGTCTTTAGTTATAAAAGCGCAAAGGTAGGGCATTTTGGTGTAAATGCGGGGATGCTCGGAGACTTATGGCGGGTCAGTGTAGCAAAGGATTAGAAGCTTCATCATCTTGGAACCAAATCCACATAAGCTTAAAGCCTGAGGCCTAGGTAAGGGATAGCGGAAGAGATATGTTGCCTGTAATTGACTGGGCTGCAGGCCCAGACACGTGGATGGCCACACGAGGGAGGCTAATGACTGTCATGTGTATGATAAGACAACAGGAGACGGATATTCTGAGGACAGGTATCCATTCGCGACTCTTCGTCAACAATACCACGGGCGAGGTTGCTGGCAATCATGTAGTAATGCCGTTTAAAGTTGTATTTCATGCCGCCGCCGGCTTGCTGTCGCGGTGGAAACACGAGAAAGAGATACGGGGCAAATGTAGAAACAGACTGTAGGGTTCATGGTCCCCCAATAGCACATACCTTGAATAACAGCAAGCCCTGCTTCGCGACTCTCTCTCTGCTCCCGTTGCGGTCAGAGATAAAACGAAAGGTTCATATATGTAAGGACGATACCTATAACCTGCATGAATTGCGTTACTTCGGGGCATAGCTTGTTCTCTTCTATTGACCCCTTTCCCCCTAACCCCTAGCCCCTATCCCCTTTTCCCTTTCCCCTTTCCCCACAACACCCTCTTCCTTTACTTCTGTGATCAAGACACAATACAGACACCCGCTCTGGTCTCTTACCTCATTGTCGACAACCGGCCCCGTCTCGTATCGTCTCATCTCATGGAGGTAGAAAATCAGCTCGCCGTCGATGCCGCCGAACTCCCTCCCGCCCTCGGCGCCGTGGAAGAATTGCCCGCTGAGGCGGGGAGCGTGGTAGCAGGAGTAAAAAAGGAGTGATAGGTAGTCGCTGGTGCTGTATGTTCGAGGGGCGCTTGGGGGCTGTGCGGCGGGTTGGTTCCGCGGTGGAGGAGGCAAGCCATGGTGCTTTGCTACTCACTTATTGCTGCGTGGTCTGCTGCTGGCCTCCTTTGTGCGCGTTCGATCGCAGTTCTAGATAAGCATTTGAGCGCGAGGAAAGGACCAGGGCGTGTATGCCAATGGAACCGAACCCCTTTTGAGCGAGTGTTCGAGGCATGATCAGTAAAGATACCGTTTTCAGGTCTTCTACTTGGGCCATGCCGGCATGGTATGGGAGACGTGTTGTTTTACGTAGGGGTTGGTATAGTCGCACTCTATGTTCTCCTGTTCGTTGTTCCCTAAAGGTACAGGGTAGTATTGGGTGGTTAGGATGCCATTAGGTTGTTACATCAAATACCTACGCTCAAATTTGCCTTCATTCGGCTCACCAGCTTCCGTAGGAGGTAGCGAGGCGAAATTGTTTCTTCAATATGCCCACGGCCGGACGTGCGCACCACCTTTACGACCAGGGATGTAAGCAATTGCAAGTGAACCTATCTTCAATGCCTGTCAATGGCATCACGAACCCGGAACAGTCGACAGTGTCATCTCATCACGAAAGTGCAACATAGATCTACACCAAGGACATTTTCTCTTTTAGTGTGCGACTGCAGAAGCGGAGGGCTGATACTGTATTTGATCTGCCAGCAATACAAAGTAATACTAGTAATAGTATACCTTTTGCTATAGTATATGCGTCAACTTGGACGCGATGGGTATCTCGAAATCCCGATGCCAATGCACATTCATATCTCGTGTCTCATCCCTCCCTCCCCAACACCGACAGATTTTGCGACCATGATGATGACAAGTCAGCACATTTTCCTAATCGTACATGACCACCAAAGCAAAGCTCGAGCTATCATACGAGATATGCTGGCAGGCTACTTGACGCCAATGAACCCAATACCATTTCGTGCAAGGGTGACGGCCTTCCTGAGGGCCTGTTCCTCCACATCCGTCCACTTAACGGTCAGCTCATCCCAGTTGCTGCCAGGCGCGTTGAACTCCTTCTTGAACTGGGACTGCATGGCCTGGAGGCGACTCATCTCGCGAGGGTCGCCCGACCCGCTGAACACTACGAAAGCAGTGCAGGGCGGTAGATTGTCGTAGATACGCTTGATGCGCTGTGTGAAGTCCCTGACACACGTCTCGACGGACTGGTCGGGCAGGTCCGGAATCTGCAAGGAACCACTGTTTTTATTGCAGTTCCACCAGCCTTGGAATGCCTCGAGTTCACGGAAACGTGCAAAGACAAAGTCGACACCACCGGCGGGTATTTGTTCCCCGTTCGGGTCGCCCTTCACGGCACGCAAGACACCTTCCAGGACCTCCTCATCTGACTTGCAGCCAATTGGGTAGGTGGAAGCTGCACCGGCCCCCTTCATCGGATCTCCCCAGTCGATCATAGCGCTGGTCTTTCCAACACGGGCGCCGCCTGTAGCTTGGGCTCCACCATTCGCCCGGTAAGATGTTCCCGCACGGTTCAGGCGTCGGAAGAGGTTCTCGCCTTGCGACTCGTGGCTTCCCCATGCCTTACCCTTCTCGCATTTCTGCTTCATAAGATCCAAGCAAGCCTTCGCATCCTCCACCGAATCGTGTCCAGCTGCGCGGTTCTGAATTTCGCGCTTGAGAAAACGCTGGGCCAAGAATTTGAGACTATTTTTCAACGGAGGACCCCGAGCGTGTGGATATGTTAGGGCTGTGTCGACAATAAACGGGTGTGTCATCTGCAACGCCTTCAGGTCCGAATCTAAAGAATGTCCCATGAGAATAGTGCGAGGATGGAGTATCTCAAGCAGTTTAGCCTGTATATCCCTCAAGGTTGTTGTGACAGGGGCTAGCATTTCCTCTGTGATGCCTGAGAAGCGGGTGACATAGTCGATGATGGGCTTGTCGGGCTTCACAAGCTGGTCAAGGACGACAGTTCCATCCCAGCTGACAACACTGATCCTCGTTAGAGAGTACTCCTCCGGACCAGTCACACACATCTCGCAGTCAAGCGCAAGGACTTCACGCCCAGCGGTGATGCTTCCCTGTTGGATCTCTTCTTCTGGCACATCGCCATCTTCCAGGTTATCCACGTGTGTGTGGACCCAGCCTTCTTGGTCCTGGAAGTTCTTGCGCCGCTCGATCGGTATACACGCCGGATGTAACACATAACCATTCGGCTGGAAGTCTTCAGGCATGGCGAGGAACTCGGTAATTCTCGTGCGCTCGTCTTTCCAGCCTCTGGGCTCTTTCGCAGGTTGGACACCTCGCTGGTTCTTTTCCTCCTTGGTCTTTTCAGTGGGCGCCGTGAGCATGGTACCCATTGGCGACCGCATGTAGGCCTGTTTGTCGTTGCCGGGTGTTTTGACAGGCCATAGGTGGGGGAACATGTCGGCGAAGTCCTTCAATATCTCGGGAAGCTCGTCTTTCTTGAGAAGTCGGGGGTAGTAGTCATCCGGAGAGGTCAAGACGCGGGCCTTCTGCTCGGAACCGGGAGAACGGTCATTGTAAGTATCAAAGTCGACATCCTGCTTGAACATTGCTTCTTCCAGCCCGGGGACCATGATTGCGACAATCTTTCGAAATTGGGGACGATGCGCTATTGCGACCCATGCGGGCGCCACGCCTTCGGCAAAAATGTACAGAACCAGATTGCGCAGTTGTTCGAGCGTGATCTTGGATTGCAACTTCGCATTGTAGTTGAAGGTAATGGAAGGGTAGTTGGTGGAGCTGGCTGAGGGAATCTTCTTTGCCTTTTTCGCTCTTTTCGACGATCTGTCGACCGTCTGCCAGCCCTCATCATCCTCGTCGTGCGGCTTGGTGCGCTTCAGGCTGCTGGTGTCGCTCACGGTTGTGTCTGTCGAAGTCTCCTTGCTCAATTCGTTTAGTAGCTGAGGCTCGGTGCTACGCTCGGTGGTAGCCTCGACAATGGCCTCGACGGCTTCGGTCGCGTCAAAGATGGGCAACTCGGAGGCGTTGGGAATCATGGAGAATTGATCGGCGGCAAAGCCATCCGGCGACGTTGCAGTCAATTCATCGATTGCGGCGATGTCATCGACATCTTGATCATGGTCGGCGAAGGACATGATACAAGGGCCCAAGCGGGTTGGGAGTAGTTCGTAGTGGAGGATTTCTGGTGACTGAGCACATGAAGCTCGGAAGTTTGCAACAGGCTCAGGTAAGAAATGGTTACCGGTACTAAACTCGGCGGGAGGGTCTGGTGCCCCGCCGAAAGGCATGTACCCAGGTACCTACCCCTGCTGTACGGACTCTTATCGCTATCGCTATCGGCAATCTGATCCACTTGACATCAGCCTCAGGGAACCCATCCTGCCATCGTTACCAGCGCCATCCATTGCTCCCGACAAGCACGGCGAAATAGTTTCGGCATTGACAGCCGCCCATGCCCACAGCTCCTTGGTCCTCATCGCGCATTCGGTCAGCGCTCTCGCGTCCGGGTCGGCGCACGAGGCACAGCGCTTGTAATATGTTGAGCACCAGTTGGCCTGTCAAGGAGCGCTTATTGAACTCACTATAACAACCCGAGCACATGAGGCTTCTTTCGGCCGTTTTCTTCTCCAGGCCCGTTCCATGCGGTCTGTGGAGTTACCATATATCCAGATCAGTCGAATGCTTAGGCGCCAACTCAGCCGGTCTGCCGTATAGCTAAAACTAAGACGAAATCTCAACCTCCCTGGTCAGCCTCTAATCGCCATGGCGGCTACCTCGATGCGACAGGGGACACCGGCAAGCAGAACAAGCATTTGATATCAATGCCACAGTTGACCTGCGATCAAGTTGTAAAACACCACAATGCAAAGAACATGGAAGACCGTTGCGTCGGCTTTGCTCCAGCCCTGGACTCAAGGCAAGCAACCGCGAAAGGCATCGTGAACCAGTGGTAAGTGTATTGCAAAGCAGAGTCAGAAGAATGGGGGTACGGGCTGCGACTGTCTCAATCAGGGCGAAAACAGCCCCCTCTATACCCATATGGGCCGCCGCCTCCTGTCCTCTTCCATCCTCTTCCATCACTTGAGCCCTCGTTTCGGACGTCCATAGGGTCCTTGGACGCCTATTCTGAATCACTCTGACCACACTCGACCTTATAATACTTCCACGTGGGATCCCAATTCCAGCATTTTACAGTATCGTCGTCTTTGGGCGCTGTGTACGACATGCTGGTAGGGACTTTGCAGTTGTCGTCACCTTCGTCGTAGAACGTGAGACGGCAGTCGTCGAAATCGTCGAGCTCGAAGACGCCGGGCTTGCCCTTGTCGTATTGGAGCTTCTTGCAGTCTTGGCTCCGGAAGTCATGGTCGGTCCAGATGCGTTCGTCCGTATCTTTGCCTGTGCAGATATCCTCTTTATAGCTTTTCGGGCAGCGGCGCCGACGTGTCAGCAACACGCCCTGTAATGAGACGGGGGGACGTGGTGTCGAGACTCACCCGTAGATCCCCCACAGGAGCGGAAAGGGAATGGCCTGTGTCTCTGCGATGAGGAAGATTCCGAAAAGAAGCTGCAGCACCGGCGATGCGGCAGTCGAGCGGCGGAAAAGATACATTATTACTCTAGGCAACAAGCGTGCACGTTTTCGACCCTGCAAAGCTGTGTGTCGATAGTTTCTTCTCTGGCCACTTCCAGGCAGCCATGTAGCCGGGGTCTCTAAGCATTTATATGGGAAGATGGACATAGTGTACGAACGATGTGTGGGTGGATAGGCAGGGTGTAGGCTAATTTTGAGTCTATGGCCCGCTATACACATTCCTGAAGGAAGCGGTCCAACGAGACCCTGTATGTAAGGCTGAGATAAAAGCGTCCATTACACGATACGGTTCTCACGGTATCACAGATAAGGATTGGCAGGATGAGTAGTGACATGCGTTATCGAGCTAAGGGCGCGTTTGATAGGATTCCGTGGGCGCGAGGATTCGAGGGAACGGTGGCGAGCAGTTCCAAATGGGCCCGTCCACAACACGACCGAAGAACGAGCAGTAAGGGGCGTTATTCGTCCGACAGCGACGTCAATAGGCTGGACTGGGGCTTATATTAAGATATCGGTCGATTTCCGAGGCTCGCGGCCGGGCTCACCGAGGCATGCTGCCGGGCCGTCGGTCGGTCAGTGAAAACGGTTCCGGTACAGCACCATTGATGTTATTAGCAACTTCGCTGGAGCCAGCTTGTGGGGCAGCCCATGTCGATGACGCTGCGTATGTTATACCGAGTCGCAGGTTATTTATATAGCTGATGAACAGCTTGGCCGCGGGAGTCGCGAGCGGACTTTGCCCCAGTAGCAGCATAGTGACCTACCAACATCGAAAGGCTCGAAGTTGGCCGGGCTCTCCACCAAGGCAACACGATTCCGTGAGCTCACCACCACCGGCCGTAACCCTGGAAACAAGTATCTAGGCTTCAGACTCCGTGCGGCTTACAAAAAAGTAGTCGTTAATAGGCTTATGCTGAAGCGTGGCTTCAAGCGAGTAGCGGTGAACGATCGGGTCCCAAACGAGCGTCACGAACCCAGCTCGCTCGCCATGACTTCCAAAGCAAAATCGGATAGTAGCTGTATGGGTCCCAGTACGGCTGTTTCAAAGAACCGTCTTTCCTCCGGACCGTTCGGGTTTCTCATAAAAGCCGTGACAAGCGCGTGCTCCGTCTCCCGACCAGGCAGGGACTCGAGATCATCCAGCAGCTCCACTGCCTGTCGATATATCGGCCATTCCTTCGAGTGGGCTGCTGGACCATAGTGCACAACCAACGCCAGCATCACCTGGCACGTGGTGGCTTGATCCATTCTGCTCAGAGCCTGGGAGATCTTGTTCGCTAAAGGTGCCGTCGTCCCTTCGCTCGTGACATGGTCTGCTGGCGCTGTGTTGGCAAGGAGCTTGCCGATCATGAGCAGGCCTTTGACCCTCTGGGGCGCGAAGGGCATCGGGGCTCTGAAGGGGTCGCTGTTCAAGGCTAGGAAACAAGAGATGGCTAGGCTGTATTCGAAATTGCCGTTCTCGCCGAAATATACTGCAACTTCAACCAGGACCTGGTTCAACGGCTCGATGGCGTACAGCCTCGCCTTGTGAAGCTGCTCGCAAGCTCGCCAGCGTCGTCGCAGGGACTTTATCTTGTCTGTCGAGCTGAGTCCCTGTAGCGACGCAGAACAGCCCGGGTATATCTCCTCAACGTTTATTTGCAGAGATGAATCCGAATGGAGGGACTGGCCGATGGAAGGATCCCGTAGTTTCTGCAGGTCGGGAACAAGACTGAGGGAGTTCAGCTCTAGATGCGGGTATCTCTGGCAGACCTGGTAGACATCCAAATCGTCTTTGCAGCGCGGACAACTGCAGTTGAAGTGGTAGCGAATTTTTAACGCCTCCTGACGGTGTGCACGATGCAGGTTGCAGTCTGGACCTCATAATCAGCACTAAAAGATTGGTATTCATACCGTAGTGAAGTCTTACCAATATACGAGATCTCAATCTCCTCCCCTTCCTTGATCTCCCGATACGCGTGCAAAACCGCGTGACGGCCAACGAACTGGACGAAGGCGTTCGGAACACACGAATGATTGACCATGGCAAGCGCCGGGTTGAGGAACAGCCCCGTCTGCCCAATGTCCACATCCATCCGATTGAATGAGTTGACTTGTAGCTGTTGCCAGTCAGTACGAACATATCTTTCCACATCGTCTCTACCAGCCGCCTTGAACGCAGCCCACTCAAGCCCAGCCCAGCAGTCAAAACTGCACTCACCTTGTACAACACCTCAACGGCCTGCCCCAAGCTCCGCGGGCTCGCCTCCCTACCCATATAATGCAGAGCAGCCATAGCCTGCAGTTCCATATCCGTCCACGCCTTGCCCTTTCCCCCAGCGGTGCGGAACGCGTCCACATGGCCCTCCATCTCCGCCGCCGCGGCCTGCATCTCGGGCCGCAACAGGACCTGCACCAGCGCGCGCACCGGCGTCGGCAGGAAGTCGTGGCCCTCGGCCCTGACGCGCTTGAACACTTTGCACTCGCCCTTGTGCACGCGCTGCCAGTCGGCCTTCTGGCACGCGGGGCTGCAGTAGACTACCACGCGGCAGCCCGTGCAGGCGCGGAGCTTGAGGCTGGACAGGTTGGTATCGATTGCCAGGCACAGGTTGCATGTTTGGTCCAGGTGCGGACTGTCCGGGATCGCGATACTGGGGTTGCTGAAGACGGCTATGGTGGCGCCTGGGCTGAAGGCGCGCGAGGCGGTGATGCCGCGCCCGCGGGATGGGTTGTCCACTAGGGTGAGGCCTTCTGCAAGGGCGGGCATGGCGGCGCTTTGCGTTAGGAGCGCTGATTTAATCCAGTGAGAGTTAATAGCTTTCAATTATGCGGTTGGTATGCCATGTTGGTGGTTCTGTCCGTCGTGCTGCTTTTTCAATCTTGAGATGAGAAAGACGAAGTGTGGGCAGAGAAGACGGAGAGGTGGAACCGCCCGCGCTTAGATTTCTTCGTCTTCCGCTCATCCTCACGGCGAAGAAGTCATCTCCATCCTCGTTCACGCATCGATTTTGACAGCGCGTGAACCGAAGTCTATTTTGATCTCAGAATATCAAGACGTTCGTGGTCGATACATTTCCACTTACCATCTTGTCTGACAGTGGCTTTACCCAAAGTGTCCGGATCTCGTGGCACGAGACCGGCCATTGGGAGCACTGCACCTCATCTGGATATCCCAATCCCAAAGTCGCATAGATTCAACACTGAGGTAACCACTCGGTATCATGTTGAACGGCGATGCTAGTACTAGACACCGATGAAAAGGCTCAGTGCTGCAGCCTGCAGATGGATTTGACAGGGACCGGCATCATGTGAAAGATTCGCCGAGCCCTCGGATGGGCTTCTGGCCCGACGGTCCTCTCACAGCCTCTGTTTCTTATCGTATTTTCTCCTATCCCATTCTCCTACCTTATCCCAGTACATTGCTCTCGTAGTTCACTGGGTTGCATTCCCGATGAGTCGCACCTCGCACACCTCGTCTAGACCCAGGCCGTCGGGTTGCCGGACCTTCGAACGACCGGTCACTACTAGGTAGGTAGGTACACAGTCGACAATTATCAGCAACAGATGTGTCGCAAGTACTTATGAGAGCTGAGTCCCAGAGTCCCAGGCTCCCAACCAGCAATATGTCTGGACAATCAACCCCGTCACTCCCGTACCGGCTTCCTCCACAATGCCGCTAGAACTACAGCCCGCCACCGAGGCCGATGCGCGACGGTCGGTCGACATCGAGGGAGAAGCCTACGGGCCGAACCCGTTCACCCCGATCCTCTTCCCAACGCCATTAGTTCCCGGGGCCAAGGACTTCCGGGTGGCGGAGCTGGCGAAGGAGCTGCGCGAGGACAAAACGTCGCTCTGGCTCAAGGTCGTCGACACGGATCTCGAGGGCGAACAGATGATCGCCTTCGCCAAGTGGAACGTGTGCACCGAGAAGCTGGTACCGGCCCCGCCCCGGAAGTTCCCTTCGAATTGCAATGTCGAGGCGTGCGAGCTGCTCTTCGGCACCATTGCGAAGCAGCGCGTGAAACATGTGGGGGACAGGCCTCATCTCTGTAAGCTATGTCTTCGTCTCACTCACTCGCTCACTCGCCAGAGTCTCTCTCAACCTCCGCTACCGCTACCGCTACCACTTCTTGCTTGTGACCTTCACGATCCATGTCTAACAAGATTTCTACAAGGCCTGAGGTTGCTGCACACGGACCCCAAGCACCAGGGCCGAGGGGCTGGCACTATGCTGATCAAATGGGGCGTCCAAGAGGCAAAGAAACGCAACCTCCCTGCGTACCTAGAGTCTTCTCCCGACGGGCACGAGTTATACAAGAGGTGTGGTTTCCACGATGCTGAGCTAGTAGAGATTGATCTGAGCAAATGGGGAGCTACGGAAATGCACAAGACTTGGTCGATGGTCTGTGATCCGTAGACGACCCCTGGAGTTCGTTCTGGTCTGTCATTTTCTGTGTATGCTTTCTTCATGACGGGTAAACGGTTTCTAGGTAGTTCGGCAGGTATTTGGGGTAGCCATCGTTGTATGGTTCCAAGCATGGCACAAGGTGTTGTTCGTCTGCGTCAGGGCCTGCCTCCTGATTATCCAAGAGACAGTCTATATACATGGTGCGACAACAGATGAATCATCGAGAGATATGGCATGAACTTTGTTGATATTGCCATTATGTGTTTACATAAAGCAAATGCACGTGTAGGGGACATGCACAGTTCATTGCACCCGTCCTCCTGCCCACGCAACATACAGCGACCTACCTATTTAGGGGGTATATAGAGGGAAATAGCGGGGCACTCACTGGTAGGACAGCAGCGCCTACAGGAAGAAACACAGCTTCATGTTTACGGTCGCGACAATATTTCTCTCATTTCTCATCTTTAAAGTTTACCACCAACTTCTGGCACGGACACACAAGCAACTGTCGAGGTTTCACATTTACATCTACTAGACGTGTTTGCGCGCAAGAGTCAAGCGTATTGCCCTATTACTCCGGCTATAAACACCCCACCTTTCGTCATCGGCATTCCGAATCCACCACAAACCTCCAGCTGACTCAGGCCTGCCTCCCTCCATGGCAGCATCACACCTCACCATGCTATCATTCCTCTGGAAGTCGCCTCAAAACACACCTAAGATGGACGCGAAAAAATCAGATACGCCGGCGCCCCTCGCGAGCGCCTGGCAGGTGCGCGCCGAGGCCGGCGAGCCCGTGGCCGTGGTGCGCGTGCGCAACCTGCAGAGCGCCATCCCCGTCGGCCGCGACGCCTGGGGTCGCCCCAACAAACTGCAGCCCGTGTTGCTGTCGTCCGAGGTGTCGTTCGCCCAGCCCTTCGGCACCGCCTCGGCCGACGACACCGTCAACGCCGAGACCGTGCACTACGGCAGCCTGAGCAAGGCCCTGCTGGGCGGCATAGAGCTCTGGGGCCAGGGAAACAAGCCGGCCAGGACGCCCGTCGCCTCGGCCATCGTCGCGACCGGCGCCGCCGAGATGGAAAGCCCGCGCACCGCCGACGTCTTCGAGCTGCTCTGGGTCCGCATTACCGGCCGCGTCGTCGACGGGAGCCGCGTCGCCCTGCCCGTCGACCAGGTCCCGTTCCTGGACGCCACGAAGCTGCGCTCGCTGTCGCTGACCATGCACCTGCCAAAGGCGTCCCTGCTCGGCGCGGGCGTCAGCCTGACGACGACGGCGGGCTTCAAGGAGGTGCTCGAGGACAACCCGCTGCGCTCGTACTCGAGAAGTCTGCGCATCCACGGCTTGCATGTGCCGACCTTGATCGGGATCAACTCGAACGAGAGAAAAGCCAAGCAGATGGTTGTTGCCGACGTCGAGATAGACCGGTTCGACGTCGGTGACGACATTCACAGCGACCTTGAGAGGACCATTGTGGATGTAAGTCTCTCGAACCGGCTATTTCTAGCTGAAGTTTTCCATGCTGATGTCCGTCCCACAGGCAATGGAGAGCTCTTCTTTCGAGACACTGGAGGCACTGGGAACCCATGTGGCCAACAAGGTTCTGTCCGAGTTCAGAATTGGCGACAACCCAGCGCCCATGAAGGAGCGAGGCTGGCAGGTCAGAGTCTGCCTCGAGAAGCCTATCGCCGTGCCATTCGCAGAATGCCCGTCCGTTGAGATCAAGATTGGATCATAGCAGACTCTGTTCGTGTAATTCCAGCTCACATTATTTTCAAGAACAAGATGTTGAGGTTTCGTCACGAAACGGTAAGCAGCCTGACGGATTGCAGAATCTTCTACCTTGATTGAGCAGTTCTGATAGGCATAAATTAGATGACAGGTTCGGAACTGTGATGGCCCTTTGCAAATACCCACGACATTGGGAACGTTCGTTTATAGGGCGTATTCCACATTGGTTGTGGGGCCACTACCGAATCTGACCGACTCGCATTTGGTAGCCCAGAGTACTCCTTTGCCGAAGCTACACTATAATATGGCTAAAGAAAGACCTATTCACCAGTCACACAGCAGGAATACGGAAGTTGGAGGTGTCTAGTCAGCCGAGACGCCTATCCGAACATGGTTGGCTGTATAATATGTCGCTACCTCACAGAACACCCCTGTAACTAATAGACGCATGCCTCGATCTTGCTGGTCTTTTCCTCCATGGGCTTGCCGGTGTGAAGTCGTCATCTATAATGAACCACGCGTGATTTACTTTGAGCCATCACGCGACGAGCAGCCCTGGTCAGACAACCTCGAGGTTTATCTGGACATCGAATTTGAAAGGCCAACCAGTCAGTGTGCATGGTACACCCCTCAGACCAGGCCATGAGTGCGGATCGAAAAGTCGGATTCTTCGCGTAGGCAAGGCTGACTGGTTCGAAACCCGATATTCGTGGCCACGATCGAGAAGCTGACCGCAGGGCTTGGCTGTACCGTGACATACCTAGCCTGAGTTGAAGCCTGATGAAGCCCAGATGTCTGTCCCGTATCGGGCAATTGAAAGGCCTAGACAGACCATTGGGGCGCAGTGGGACTAGGAGGCCACCGCGATACGGCTCGATACGGCGTATTCGCACGCATGCATATTGCAAGGGGATGCGTCCATTGATGCTGCTCACCCAGTTGGATATCGGTGAGTCCCTTCCGAATAAGCTCGAGGCATGTTGAGGAGGCTGGACCAATACAGCTGTAATTCATTGTCACTTTGAGATTGAGCCTTGGTGCAAGCCAGCTACGTATAACACCAGATGGCCATCACTCTCGTCTCTATATTAAAGGGGTTCCCAAGTGCTTTAATCCCAGCCTTTGACTCTACCACCTCAATATCGTCGCGCACAACTCCAATAACAGCTATCATGTTCAGTCTCCGAACTCTTCTTGGTCTCTGCTCCTTAGCATCAGCCCATGCCCTATCATACAACACCTCAAAAATCCAGTGGGGGCCATGCAACGAAACCGAGCTCCCCAGCGAGTACCCCATCGAGTGCAGCAGACTTCCCGTGCCGCTGGACTACACCAGGCCGAACGCCAGCGAGACCCTCGTTCTTGAGCTTGTCAAGGTTCCCGCCACGGTCAAGCCTTCGAAAGGCAGCATCCTCCTGAACTTCGGTGGACCGGGATTGCCGGCACGGGACGACCTCGTCGGTGCTCTGGCGGACCGCCTGTTGGCGTAAGTTATTATAGTCTCGTCCCGGCAGAGCTCACGGGGTAGACAAGTCGCGTAACTGACATCAGGACTGAACGACTAGGCTAAGCGGCCGATCGTATGATCTTGTTGCGTTTGACCCACGGTAAGCATACTACGATCCATTCACAGACCTCGAAAGCGGCACCAGTATTAACAGTCGCTTGTCTGTAGCGGAACGGGAAACACCCTGCCAACGGCCTGCTTCGAGCCGGGATACGAGTCCAATGAATTTGCGAACGATCTCCTCCTCGGCAACCAGTCGGACGTGCAGTTGGGGAGACTCTGGGCACGTGGGACCACGGAGGCCGAGGCGTGCCTCGCAAGGCAAAACGAGACGGGGAGCCTGATCAGTACGGCGTTTGTTGCGAGGGACTTGATCAGCACCGTAGACGCACTTGGCGAAGACGGCATGCTGCGATACTGGGGTGAGCATTGGTGATGTGAAAAGCAATGCAGGACGAGCTACTGACGAGTCTCGCTAGGCTTTTCGTACGGCACCACGCTCGGGGCGACTGTTTCTGCCATGTTCCCGGACAGAATCCACAGGATGGTCCTTGACGGACAGCAAAACCCGCACGAGTACTACCATGCTCAAGCGTAAGTCCAAGACTCCCGGAGAGTCAACTTGGATAACTGATGAGCTCACCTACCCCGAACAGGGACTTCCAAGAATGGACAGACTCAGACAAAGTCTTCTCGGCCATATTCTCAGGCTGCGTAGCAGCACCCTCGAACTGCGCCCTGGCCACGGGCAACAACGCAACAGCAGCGGATCTCGAACACGCCGTCTGGGACCTCGTCGACACCCTCAAGTACCGGCCCCTCGCACTCGGGAGCTACATCGTGGACTACTCGGTGCTCAAGGGCCTCCTGCAGGCCAGTCTGTACGACAGCGCGGGCTGGCCGCAGCTGGCGACCTGGCTCAACCTGCTGATCACGAAGCAATACGCTGTGCTGGAGGACCTCTTAACCGCTGCGTTTCCGACGGACGAATCCACCGTCCTCGCGTCGCTTAGGACGGTTGAGGCTCTGAGGGGCATTCATTGCGGCGACAATGACGTCCGCACGGAGGGGCTGGAGGGCATGATGTCGGTTGTTGAGAGGCTCTACCGCACGAGCAGGGTCAGTGAGTTACCACTGCGGCTGGCTGCTTAGTACCAAACAACCCCCAAGCTTGCCACCGCCAACCTCTTTTCATCCCTGTAGGGGCAGTATGCTCACATCAGTAACCTCTGTAGTGGGAGACGCCGCAATCGGCAACTACTTCGCATGCGCGCAATGGCGAATCGAACCGCGAGAGCGGTACACGGGGACCTTCGACATAAAAACAAAAAACCCGGTCCTCTTCATCGGCAACACCTTCGACGGACACACGCCGCTCGCCTCGGCCAGGAACCTGAGCGCCACCTTCGAGGGGAGCGTTGTCCTCGAAGTGAACGGATACGGTGTACGTGCCAACCCTCCCCCTCTCTGCCCCCCTGGCAGTGAAGTGTTGTATTTGAATGCTGACAGACTGCTGCCATCCTCAGCACAGTTCACTGGCTGTACCTTCAGCCTGCACCATCAGGACTACGTCTGCGTACTGGCTGGACGGCACGCTGCCGAACGAGGGTGTGGTCTGCCCGTCGGATGCGCCGCTGTATTCGGACGTCACCTGGGCCGATGTCATCGCAAAGGTTTACGGGAATGATACGGGGCCGGGGCACAAGCGTACTGTTCCTGCTTCGCCAGTATCGCGAAGTCTCTTCGGTCCTGTACTTCGGCTCAGATCGGGGGAGAGCGGCTAGGCGGCCGGATCGTGAGATATTTCATCGTTCAATCTCCGCCACACCGGTGTTGAGGTCCCGGCGCCTTAGGCATGAACTTCCTGGGGGAAGAGGTAGCAAGGAACTACGCGAGGCGCAACACCTTAGCATCGCAAATGGGACCCCAACAGGCGTTGTATCTCGACAGAGCATTCAACATTCGAGTAAAAGGGTATGTACAGAGTACCGCCGTGATAGAACTCTACCAGACACCGGATCTGCATCCTCTCTCTCTCGCTCTGGCTCTGAGAAGTCATACAATGCACCCAAAACGCCTATACACCTCGCATCCTTTCCAATGATCTTTCTACCTCTCTTCCGGACCCCATATGGTACATCAGACCCGTGGCTATAAGCAAATTGGTATATCCGCAGCGTATAAGAAATAGAACCAACATACGTATTGATAATGAATATATATAGTAGAGAGAGAGCATCCTCTATGTGGAATGTGAGCCCCTGGAGCCCGGCGCGGACGAATCCCGGGCCGCCGCGGCCTCCGCAGCCTTCGCCTTGGCGGGAGCGCGGGCCGATGCACCCATCTTCTCCTGCTCCGCCTCTAAGGAGTGACCGTACGTGTGGGCCATGTCCTGATGTTCCGCAGTGCCGTGTTGTGGCACGATCCGGCTGCCGTTTGCGGTGGGAGTCTCCTGGGCCGGAGTCCAGGCCAAAAAGTCTCGTCGCACCTCGACGTAATCGTAGGCGAACTCGCCCAGCTGGTCGTCGTCCATTCCCAGCAGCTCAGCCTCCTCGGACGCGCGCAGGTGCATGCCCGGCACGAAGTCGATCAGCTTGGCGATGATGGCTGACATGACGAATGCGTACGCGCAAGTGGCCACGATGTAGGCGATTTGAATGTAGAGTTGCGCGTAGTGATGGTCGAGCCATCCACCGGGGTACACGCCATCGTTGACGCCGTCCAGTCCGATGATGTAGTTGGCTGCGAACAGTGCGTTGAAGATCAGTCCGACAATACCGCCGATGCCGTGCTCGGCGAAAACATCGAGCGAGTCGTCGATCTTGAGCAGAAACTTGACTGTGGCAGACTGTTAATTCATGTACTTGAGTGAAACGTCGGATGGTGATGACATACTTTTGGTACCGAAGTTACAGCAGACGCCAGTAACGACACCCAGAATGATGGAAGCCCAGGGCGGGATAAAACCAGACGCAGGGGTAGCTGCGACCAGTCCTGAGATAGCACCCGAACACCAGCCGACCATGGACCACTTCCTAGCGAGGCGGAAATCAAGCAGACACCAGGTCATTGCGGCAAACATGGCCGTCAGACAGGAGTTCCAGCAGGCCATGGTGGCACGGAGGTTGGCGCCGAAAGCCGAGCCACCATTGAAACCGAGCCAGCCGAACCACAGTAGAATCGTGCCGAGGGTGACGAGGGAGACGTTGTGAGGACGGAAGTTGAGCATCATCCTCTCGTGGCGTCGGCCGAGCACCCACGAGTAAGCGAGGGCGGACAGGCCCGAGCCGATCTCGACGGGGCCACCACCCGCATAGTCGAGGACACCGTAATTGAAAGCCCAGCCATTGACATTCCAGACCCAGCACGCGAGCGGGCAGTAGACGAGTGTACACCAGAAGAAGATGAAGACCATGGCCGGGAGCACGCGGCCGCGTTCGGCGACGGCCCCAATGACGAGGGCTGCGGTTACGGCGCAGAACATCATCTAGAAGAAAAGAAGGTTCCACGTCAGCACACCACCACCCACCTGCATGAACCCCACATCCACGCATAACGTATGCCCGGGCGACGTACCTGGTAAAAAGAGTAGAGCAGTTCCGGAATCAACGGAGACCCCGGCGAAGGTACGGCAAGCGTGTTCATGAGGCCGAAGTGGTGGAGGTTACCGATGAAGCCGCTGGTGCCGGTCTGGCTGAACGCCAGAGAATAACCCCAAAAATACCACTGGAATACGACAACGCTGAAAGACATCATGGTGACCCATATGAGCGAGAGGGCGGATTTCCTCCGCGATAGACCGGAATATAAGAAGGAGATGCCAGGAACCATGAGTAGGACCATACATGCTGAAATGAGGATGAATGCTTGGTCGCCCGACTGATACCATTGGTTCAGGTTCTCGGTGCCTACGTGAGTGTTTATGTGAGCAAGACTGGATCGAGCCATACTTAATCGCCGCGAACGAAAAGTAACGGTTGCTGCACTTACTGGAGTCTCCTCCGGTCTCTGGGTTGGTGCCATTGAATTCGGCGGGCGCCCCTACCCACGAATAGGACATGATGGCGGCGCGGGAGGAATGTAGGCTCAGTATGTGGAAGCCAGACCTCTGTCGTAGACCCGGAATATATTGGCAGTTTGTCGATATACGCGGCGATGGAAACTCTATCTGGGAGACAGGCGTCGGGAGAGAAACGGGCGACTCAAGTCAAAGACGCTGACGCAGGACTCGATGTTATATACCTGACCTATGGCGGACTATGGGACGTGGAGGTGGACTCGTGCTACCGCGGTACTAATAACCGAAGAACCTTAGCAGAACTGAGACTGAGTAGGACAGGGGATCTAATCCGAGTTCTGGGCAGGCCGCAAGCCACCAAGCCAATCAGACGCCGTTGGGCACTTGCCAAGATCGAGGGCCAATTGGGGGGTATCCCAAGCTCATGTTAGCTGGGTACAAGCCGATTGTGTGGTGAGAAAACCGGACCAGTGAACGGAACTGATTCCCCGTACACACATCCAACGTACATGCGCCTCCAAGCTAGATGCTACGGCGGGAGATGCGTCCTTATCAGCAGTTTCAGTTCAACTGTTCCCGCGTTACCACACACCATAGGGTAAAGGCGTAGGACGGCGGCTCTGGAGCGTTGCCTAATGCGATGACTTTCACCAATTCGAGGACCCCTATCTCGATGTTACCGCCTGATTGAAACGTCGATACCATCGTGTCGGGAGAGCCGTGTGTCGCACGAGGTGACACCCAAATGGAGCGGGACGTGGGGATGGGTTTGGATGCCGCTGTGACAGTGACAGCGGCAGTAACCAGGAAAACATAAACATGGATTAGCCCTTACTTCCACTCCATCGTGGCAGAGCACTAGCCTAACAACAGAAGAGGCTTCATCCCATATTCTCTTGAACGTGGCACTGGAGTCGCTTAGAACTCGGAGAGCGTGTCTACGAACCACTGAGAGTAGAGTAGGTATCTTCGAGGTTATGGAGCACTCGAAGTCGGTTCATCACTCGTACGGTCAGTCATTCGACCGGCGCGTGTCTCACTATTCCATTTCAATGGCCAACTCCGGCGTCGTCCCTGTGAAAGCCAGATGGTGGACCGTGGGGGTGCGCGACAATCAAGATCGAAGCTGCAAGATCCACAGGGATCCCGGCCTGCAGCCGCTGTTGTGGTGGATGAGAATCCCCTACTGTCCGATGACGCAAACTTTTTTCATGTTTCCAGAGACGCCGAGTAATGACGTGTAGAGGATTTCGTTATCTCTGGTTGCTGCTTGGCTGAAGCCATCAGGGGAACGCAGCTTCATTGTTTCTCATCAGGTGGACACCCTTCTGTCCGCATCCGATCGGGGTAAAAGGTACCTCGGAGACACCAGGCGAGGCTTGTTGTTCCGGAATGCTCCCTCGCAATCCCGAACGACCGGTCCCCTACCTAGGGCCTGGGGTCAAAGCGGAGCTCGAGCCTCGGAACGGCTCCTGGACGGCGTGGGAAGCAGTACTTGTTACAAAATCGTTTGTCAGGTGCCTGGCAAACCATTTGCAACCGCCTCTTGCGACGAATGAGGAGGCCAGATGGGCGTCCCGGATAGTCCCTATCTGCATTGGCAGGTTCGAGTCGTGCCCGAGCTAGGGAATCGAGCCGGCGCGCGCACGCTGTCGAACTGACTAGTAGGTAGACAGCCTCGCGCGGCATTGCTTGGTGCAGGCCTCGACCGTTAGATCTAGGACGCCAGGACGCGTGAGACTCACATCAATGTCGGCTGGGGTGCTCAGTGCTTGCAAGGTTCCTACATGGCATGACTGGCTGGGGGCCAATTGACCTTGACGGGCTATGCAGACTTTCGCCTGTCTGCCACTCCTGATGCTGGATTTGCTGCCATTGTAGGTACATGTAGGTTTGGAGGTTGCGTGTAGTGTTTTCGATGTTTTCGAACGGCGGCAGTTGAATGAAATTGGGCCTGCAGGGATCATCAGAGGCTAGGTAGGTATCTGCTTAGATCGAGATTACTCTAGCCAAGTAGGGGCTGTCCTCGAAGTACCGCATTAACAATTTCCGCAGCTGTATAATGGGCCTCTTGCGCTGATCGGCCTCGCTGGAGCCAGGGTCGGGGGGTCCATGATGTCAAACCTTCGATGTTGAAGCATTTCTCGATACCTATCAGAGTGTGCCTACCAAGCCCTACGTGTGCTATCACGGGCCTGTTGATAAGGAGACCGGTTGCTCCCATAGGCTGTGAGGTGTCAGGATGTCTGGAGATAGCAGTCCAGTCTGACGACACTTACCTGCCTTACCTATGTCACACGAAGCGACTTCAACAGCTGGTGCGCGGCTGAGCTGAGCACTCACTAAAAAGCTCAAAACGCCCGTCTCCCAATGGTGATGACAAGCGTCCGTCAGAAGGGGATAAACCAAAACCCAAATAAGGCGAGCGTGCCCTTCTTATCTGTGACCAATCACAGCCCTGTTGTCCACGATTTCTCATACCGTGATGAAATCGATGAAAGTGGATGTTTCTCTCCGGAGATCCAGCCATCGCCAATCTCGGGCTACCTAGTCGGCAGGTGAAGTATCTAGGTAGGTACCCATTCTGTGGTTCTCTCCAGCTGCTTTGGTTTTCTAGAAAGCTGAAGAGTGACGTCGTCACTCAATGCCTCTATCTTCACCAAGCCACCGCCAATCTATCTAATGACTTGAGATGAAATGCTTCGCCTGGTGATTGTGCATACATATGTACGCAATCAAATGACTTATAAGGGACGGTCCGTAGGGCTGAGCTCTCCGACATGTCTTGTCTCTCTTGTACGTAATAAAAAAGATTGACGCAGAGGACACGAGCACCGCCGCTCGCACTGCCGTTAGGTACCTGGCATTAACATGGATCCTTGTCGAGGAAGTTCTTCTAGAAGCCTTCGACGCGAACCCCCCGTCAGCATCCATGATCCGTCAGCCCAAACGCCCGGTAACGCCACCACTAGGTACACGATCATGGATTGGCTGCTGGTCAGCCTCCTCAGATAGGCTGCCACTGATGCCAAGTCGGATTTGAAGCTGATCACTTCAATGTTGTGTATCGCTTTTGATTCCATGTATGTACCTAATTCGTACAGTCAAACTCATGCAATGATAACGCCGCTAAATAACACCAGCTATGTGTGACGTGGGTGAGCTGAACACCCTTCCAATTTCGTTCGGTCACTCTGCAATGCAAACCGAAACTTCTGCCATTCGAGCGAGTCTTTTCGAGCCTCACCCCACCAATAATCCGCAAAGTCAAGGGGTATCATGAATTCCACCAAAAAGGAAAAGAGACCATGCTTCCGCCGCGCCGCTGCGCCTTGTAACTTTCGTCCTCAGAAGAACGACAACTCTCCCACCCCCAGATCCCCTGTTGCCAGGTTGCGATACACCTCGTAGCTCAGAATCCGAAGGTCATAGTAATGGAGCATGAGCCGGAATCGCGGCGGACCTTGTGGTTCACCGGCCATTCCCGGCTTCCGGAAGAAGGGCTTCGGTGCGATCGCTACCCCCAGCAGTGGACAGATGGGTCGTAGCTGGTCGTCCTCTTCCTGTTTGGTCGGGATGATTCTGTCGATTTTGAAGCCAGTATCGAAGGCGACATTTTCAGAACTGGGACGAGTCAAGGTGATGAGAACCACTCGCCCGCACATGGAGCCCGCCACGACAAGTGACAGCTCTGGTACATGTATCAACGTGGCCAGCCGCTCATGTGATATCCCAATCGACGGTAAAACCGCCCCCTGTGGCCGATTCTGCACCGTGACTTTATCACACATTATACCCACACCACCGTCTTCAGGACTGCGAAGTTCAATGTCCATCTCGTACGTGCGCATGATGGAGCTTCCATCTTTCAGAACGGGGCATACTAGCGAACGTCTGGTTGCACTCGGAGCAGTGCCCGGCGCGGCATCTTCTTGTAGCGCTGCATGTATGTCAACATCTTTCTTTCGACCCGCACGGCCAGTTTGTAGGAGGAGAAGGAAAGGGAACAACAAAGCTTGTTCTCGAAGAGTACGCTCAGGGGGGTGTTTTCAACGTACCTTTACCTTCCGAGTGGTTATACCATCGAGACGGGCTCGCTCCTTGATCTCCGATGTTTATGGCGAAGTGTCGCGTGTCGCCCGATCTCACCCATGGATGATCTATTGAGTTATTCTGCAAATGATAAAGGCCGTCGCTAGTATCAATCCAACGACCGATCCTATCATTTGACACGTATCTCGCATCAGATGGCTTCAGTCCAAGGCAGCCGTGGTAGTCCCTCATTGGCATAAAACTACTGTTGGGCAAAACGAGGACGCCCCAGCCCAGAGGATATCTTTACTACTGATCAGCCACATTGCGACTTTGAGTACGCGAATCCACTTACTGGGGTAGCAAATCAGGTGCGTCAGGTGCCCGGGCATGTGCACGATGTACACCTGGGATCCGTGTGTGAGGACTTTTGTACAAATTCCAGATGTCCATCAACCAGAGGGTCCCCTTGACGTCTATTGCTGCGACTTTGTCGGCCTCTCCAGCAGTGTCATCAGCGAATGCGACGTTTGGGATATTGTGCCCCAGCGATCGCGTTGCTAGGATAAGGCACCAGTTCATCTCTCGACGCCTCACCATATATTCCATTTTTTCGGCTGGTCCCTTGCCCCAATCGGCAGGTGGTTCTTCGGGCCAGAGCGTACCGTGCTCATATTTGACGAGCTCTCTGAAAAGCTCTGGGATCGGTCCCCGCGGATGTATGCATTCAAATCCTGTTATGGCGAATATAAATACCCTGACTTCGCGGGCATTGGAGCCAACGGCAATGAGGCGAGATTTCTTGTGAACTGCAAGGCCCCATGCCGACTTGCCAACATTTTCATGGAAGAAGGGTTGAGGAGATATCTCTGAGCTACCCTGTATATCGCCACTCTCAAGGCGGAGAAGCTCATGCTCAATGTGGCGGGTGTAGTAGGCGATCACATCACCGTCATCGTAGGCGAGTAGAAGGATTTCCTCCTCCCCAAAGTCGCTGATGATAAGATGGTTGACCTGATGTGGGAAATTGGCATCCACATGGCCACCCACCACGATGCCTTCGCTACTTTGTGGAGGCTTCAGAACAAGATCCGGCTTCGCTGGCAGAGCACTGGTGACACAGCTACGCGGCCGCGATATATAAATCTTGTTTCTATATGCCACGACATAGAAATTGCTGACGTGGGATAGAGCGGTGAGATTAAGCCGCCATGTGGCAATCTGCGGAGGCTCCTCGTCGTCTTCGCTATCAGATTCGTGGGCCGGAGGCTCAGGTGCTTCGTCGCTATCAGATTCGTGGGCCATTGGCTCAGGTGCTTCGTCGACATCAATGTCGTCGCCCTCGTCGCCCTCGTCGCCCTCGTCGCCCTCGTCTACAACCCAATCCACTTCAAACCAAAACCCGGCTGGGTCGTCTCCGTCTTCAAGGACTGGTCCGTACAACTGGGGGAGCAATGCCTCAGGCACAGCGTTGCCAGGGCCGTCTGTTATATCCGAGTTGTCGCTCTCATCCCCGGCGCCTGAGAATGGCTCAGTTTCGAATGGAATCTGGACTGCCTGCGGGATGTGATGCTACAGTTACGGTTAACACTTTCCGAGCCTGCCACTCCCACCGTGCGAGGGTCGTAAGGAGATGCCGAGTACTTACTCTCTCACGGCCAGTCTCGCAATAACATCTGCTCACTAGCAGCGCCCCATCGGAATTTGCGCGGTCCGCCATGACATTTCAGCAGTACGACTCGAACCTGTTAGAGAATGTCGTGCGATCTGTCAATTGATTGATGTCGGACAGGAGTTCAGAACGGCGCGGTAATTGGATTTGTACGTAAACATTGGGTCGCTGGTGATGTCAACAGCAGCAGCAGCCACGACGTCGCAGTCGAGACCCCTCATTCAACATTGAAGGTTGGATTGGGGTAGCGGCTGCTTCACGTTCATGTTGAGAGTTGACAGGCGCCTCTTTTTTTTAGTTTTGTGCAGGTGCCAGGTGGTGATGAGACAGGGGACCTTGGGACGCTAAGGCTTCATTTTAGCCCTGTATTCAGCTCCCCCAGGGCTGTAGGGCTAGCATTGTGGCAGCAAACGGTCCTGTAGCAGTTGTGCATTCCACTTCCCTTCTCACCCTGAGAGAGACCGCCGTAAGCGACAGACTCATACTATGGACGCCGCGGTGGCACAAGTATAAAAATCATGATGGGTGCGGAAAGCGAAGCATACCTCGTCTTCCTGACATGTGAGAGGTCAGGTACCTCCTACTTCACTGCTGCGGTGCCAGAATGTGCTTTCCCAAGACACACTGGTCAATATGTTTCAAGCTCACGGCAGAAAGTCCAACCTGTGAGAGCGTCTTCCCCCCGGTCAAGAGGCGAAAGATTGCGATGCAGTCAAGTTCCCTCCCATAGCCTATTGATATCTTTGATCAGTACAGAGTCAAACTCTGCGCAAATTCTTACTGGGCTACAGATGGCGCGCATACGAAAGGTCGTCACCCATGGTTCCAATCTTGCGTACCACTGGCACCAAATCTTCTCGCTTGTACTTGCTATATGCGGTACTCGTTGACCGGCTACCAAACCACATCAGCCTCACAGATGTGAAGAGGTCAGGTGCCGTATTCTCCAGCTGTTTTCAACATGGATCATCTGCACGGCGATTGGTAGACTACCTGTTCAGAGGAGACCGGTGTCGAAAGACATGCCAACCAGTGCCACCGAGGACGTTTCGAGTATCTGAATTTTAGTCTTTGGTCTTCGAATCTCATAAGAGTCGTGACGGTTAAGTAGTGAAGAGATCCCATCTCGACGACCCCTTTACTCCAAAATAGGGCTTGTCGAGAGAGTATATGGAGAGTTAGCATGAACTGATATCCAGAATGACGCCAACACAAGTATGCCAGTCTGAAAACCGACATTGGCATGGGCGGCACGATGTCATGACGAAGTCATGAGCTCGTTGGGAAGCAACCACTGCCATTCAAGCTCCAGGAAACAACCGCACTGTCGGAGTGGCACTCATTGCCTACATACCCATCTGCATTCCTCCAGACGGGGAGGCCTAACATCCTACTAGAGGCATGAATTAGGGACAAGACAACAAGCCTTCAATGTCTACAAAAGACCACGTATATATGAAAGAGCCATTAATACTTAATGGTCAACCCGTCATCCTAGATACGTATAGTCAACGACATTGGTCTCAATAAGCCCTTCGCAGCGACAATCATCTCCACCACCGCGAGCCAACGTACAAACCAACAGAAAATGTCAAAGAAAAGATCAAAGACCGAATGTAAACCAGGCGGATCGCATCTATAATCGCTAGGAATAGTGTATTCTCATACCTCAACGCCAATCATGCCTTCACTCGATCACCAACCACATCGCGAGCGAAGCCAAAAGCTCCAGTGACAGCGACATGCCGAAAGGGAAGGGGGCATTCCGCAGAACCATGAAACATCGGATAGCGTCGCTGAAGCCGCTCTGCTACCTAGGTACCTATCCACTCCGTCTGCAAGCACGTCTTGAGGGAACCATGAGCAGCGGGAACGAGGTCGCAAACGGTGGTGCTATTACCATCTCAAGTTCATAAACTTCTTCTCGGAGACATCCTCTCGATGCTTGAAGTTCACCTGCCAGCTCTTCCTCCCCCTTTCGAAGTTCTCAGCCAGTATGTTGCTATCGCAGATTCGCACACGTCAGTACCTTCGAAAAGACGTCTACCACAGACAGCATCATACCAAGAACCCACAGCCAAGGAACCCAAAGGCAGAACTCATCGACGTGACCTGACGAAGATAGCCGCTCCCTAACACGCGGGTAGGCATCCAGTCTGCTTGAGCCCTTATTACCACCTGCCTTAGAAGAAGACAGCCCATCTACCCCTGAAGTAAGTAGTCAAGCAAAGAGGGAGCCAGCCAAAGTCAGACATCTGACTGTACTCAGTACGGATCCCCAGGGCCAGAACTGGCACGCGTCCGCGAAATGATAACCATCCGGGTCCCGGCCATCGAGCCAAAGCCACACTCTTCCCTAGTCTCGTTCTCTCCCCATCTGACCGTCCATTCTTGCGAGTTCGGCATCTTCAGACTGAGTTGGATGGCCCGCCCCTGAGACCCCAAACACCATAGGTCTTGCAGAGGCAGTACGTCCAAGGGCGCACCCGGCTCGCTGGAGGTGACGCGGCAATTCTTCCAGATTCAATGTATGGCCTTGCAGGTCGTTGAGGCCCGACAGCTGACTATATGCTAAGTTGGCGTCGCATCGGGTTGGCTCGAGCAGAATGCCCTGTCAGGCTCAAGACGTCCGTCCCGGCCGTAGGTACGTTCCTTCGCGTTTCCGACAGCGGGGAAGACTTCTCGGGACGAGGGCCCGCTCGATGAGCGACGATTCTTTTTGAGGGTTGACGGTAAGGTGATGTTGGTGAGGTGCAAGACGACCACACCTCGAGAAACAGCTGAGCTCGAATCTTAAATTTTGACGCTCAATGGCCTGGACGCCTTAAGACGACTACGCGCCGGAAGTCGTGAAACTGTCTTGACCCCCGTCTGGCACCACGATTGGGTTGATGTTACGTACATCTGTCGTGGGCGGCCCGGGCAGAGTGCTGCGGTCATCGGAACGAGCTCTCTGCTTGGCGGTCATGGGACCTGCGTAGGGTGGTTTCTGTAGATGCCCAACCACTGTTGCATTGCTCTCTTTCGCAAGAAGGGTCGGTGAAGCATTTGCCACACACCTGTGACTGGCTGTGGCAGTGATCGAGATGGTGTCGAAACAGACTTCGGGACAACTGCGTCTTCCATCATTCTGCCGTCCCGCGAGCAAGGTTGTTCGGAGACCTCTGGAATGCGTTTGGGATACTCGTAGCAGGACCCTGTCGCAGACCGGTAACCATAGCGATGGGATTCGCTCGTATCTTCGTTTAATCGATCGTATTAGCCAGCAAAACCGTACGTTGATCATGGGATCCTGGCTTTCGTCCCGGTTGTCCCGTGAGCTGGGCGTATGAGGATGTCCCTGCCTCACCGGTCAGCTTTGGCGAGGCAGCCATCCACGTATCATGAAGGCTTTATTGTATGGTAAATGATTATCGCAGCGAAGCCATTGGTAGTTATCCTCGCCATAGGTGCCCAACGCTGGGATCCTGGGTCGACGTGGCATTGCGAGCCAGCTACCTCCCCAATTTGGGCGGCAACGCAACTGAACGCGGAGACGACGGCGTTTACCTATGGGGTTATAGGTATGGTCTCACAGCATACCTGCAAACCCCAAAGCAGGCATCTGCCCTTGCTTTTATGTTGTGTAAACCGGGCGGGTAGCTTGAGGAAGTAAGATTTGACCTGACGAGGACCCGTCCCGCATTCGTGGAACTGGTCGCTCTCGTGGGCAGCTGATATGGTCATGGGTGCAGCCTTCATCCTATCGTACCCCAGCCACCGGTTGGCTTGCAGAAGTCCCCAGCTTGACAGAACGCCCAATGACATATCCAGGAAGCAGCCACTGGGGAACCGTTTTGAACCCCAAGATGCTGTACCCCCAACCTGGCTGTCTTTGAAGTCTCCCTCGGGGCAGGCAAGAGTCGTGCTCGCTTTACAAGGATATCTGAAAGTGACAGGAGAAGATTCTTCATCAATTATCATCCTGCAGGCCCCTGGGGATTGTCAGTCAGCCGAAACCGAGCTGCGTGACCCTTGCCGTGTGCTTGTTCTTTGACTGCATGGAGCTCACGCCGGTAGCTGCCCATCAAGCCACAGAAGGAAGACAACCGCGTGTACATGCATGCCCGCAGCCAGGCCCGCTGCGTGTAAACAATCTCGCGGACGACGGCTTCGAAGTCCTCCAGCAAATATCCCTGGCGGAGCATGCAGAAGCAATGCACGTCGACAGTGACGTGTTTTCCCTGGGGCGGTGTCCGCAGAGAGGAGAGAGTAGCAGCCCTGAGTGCAGTCCAGATGCGCACAGTGCCCGACTTGGGATCCCATACCCCCCTCGCCGACCACCATCCCAATGCAGCTCTGCTCTGGTCCATGGTTTCGGTCTGAAGCTAGCAGGGTGGGCCTACCCTCGAACATGGCGCTGGGCCAAGCCAAGGCTTTGGAACCCATAGATTCGACGGCGGCACATTGTACATCTGATGATCTGAGCGGCTGTGAGGCTGCATTGTTGCCGGTAGAGTAGACTTGGTCGTTGCTGTGATCTGCCGAAGAATGCCTGCGGGCAGCAGCAGCCATGCTCTCTCTGCCGCCCTGGCTCGCGGTGCCAGCGGCGTGGGGCCCAGGCAATCACAGGATCATGGGAATTTGCAAATGCCCTCCTCGTCTGCACGGGCGGGCGGTAGCAGATCAGGATATGCACTTACCTAGCACAGGTCAGGACTTCCGACGTCCCGGGGCCAGCAGCGGGACGGGGGAAGGTCGAGTAGTATTGGGGGGCCGGTGGAGTACTGAGTGGATATCAAGAGCGAGTCGAGAATACTTCTTTCCTCTTCTTCAGCGAAGTTCTTGACGCGGTGTGCGCTTGTTGGCGCTGCGTCCGGTTCTCCCACATCAAGTCAGTAAGTCGGGGTCACGTATCAAGCCGATCGATCACATCTCTTCATCGGGGCCCCTCGCTGCGAGTCTCAGAAGCAATGTAAACCCGACCGCCTTTTCGATATGTTGCGTGACCCTCTCTCCTCCTTCACCAGCGAGCTGCTTTCTTCTTTGCGACACCTGTGGCTGTGGCGTGTGGGCCTGGACCTGGCGGAGAAGTTCACTGCGTTTCCACGTTCTTGAAATTGTGACAAGCACCACCTTGTTGCTCGTCTCCATCTCGATGCAGATTATCCCTTCACCCAGGAGCCCACGTGAGTGAGAGTGGACACTGGACGCTAATGAACGTGCAGGGGGGCACTGGGGTCGGTCTGGCCCTTCCTTGGCACTCCCTAGGTACCGCCTTTTCCACCAGGCAAACCTCTAATACTCCTCACGGACCACCTGCTCATTCTTCTGACCATGATTGGTTTGGCAATCCGGGGAACCTTGTCATACGCAGATCTATTGTCAACACGATAAGTATTGTAGGTGTGAATTGTCTGGCTTGGCGAACTGGTGGTCCGTAAGGAGTATTAAACGTTTGCCTAGAAAAAGCGGTATCTAGTAGGTATCTATTGATAGACCATGCCAGCGCGGATCGACCCAGCTGCGGCCCCGGCTAGCAGATATAGGCCCCGTATGGATATGATGCCCCCTGGTAACTACTAACTATCGAGTTTATACATAACAAGAAGTGATTGTCGTGTAAAGTTATATATCTATACCATTGCAGATGATTATAGATCAGAACAAGTGGTGATATATACCTATCTTTGCCTGTCGTTAGTAGGCAAAGTACTGACCTAGAAGGCGCCTAACATGTGGGAATATACCTACCTTAGGGAAGCGTGTTCGCGGTGCTTAGCAATGGACTTATGGGGTCAGCCCTTAGCGTCGCGCGAGGCTTGCTTATTTCGACATCATGCGGTGCCGTGGGTGCCGAATACACTTGGGCCTCCGTACAATAAATAGCTCGAGGGTCGAGTCATGCAACGATTCTTCACTTGCAGCTGAAGGAGAAGCAGAAGAAGAAATGGGCGTGCAGGACTGACCCATATCAGAGATGAGCCCCCGAGGGATCTGGTCTGATTCGACAGTGGCGGCTTCTTACAGTGGAGAGCAGCATGACACTATCGCAGACGCGGCATCACATACATACATGTACAGACACGTGTAGGGGCCATGGCACGATTACAGCCATCGGTACATGCAGGTCGATTGAAACGGCCAACCCCTTCTGCACCTGAATGTTAGCGCTCGTCGCCCTCTCGACTCTTCCTTCAGTGTCTTCATAAGCGTAGTCACAACAGTTCTGCGCGCGATGGTGCTGCGACAAGGTGCCAAGGTACTTTAAAATTTTATTTTTTATGATGCAGCAAGATTAATAATATGTAGGTAAGTACATGATTGTGGGGAGGGCCACCTTGTCCATGTCCGCCTCCACCGCAATCATCGATACAGCAGCCGGCACACATGCCTCAAGGGTAAAACCGTTCTTCAACTCGAGAGGGGGCTTTACAACCCTGTGCGTCCAGCATTGGCCATCGGCCAGGTCGAAAAGGCAATGAAAGGCAATTCGCGCACTCCGAAATTCATCAACTTTTGTTATTCCACCGTCCATGACCGATGCAACCCCCCTCCTGAACTTCATGGCTGGTGGACCTTCGGTGACAGTCGCGAGGATGCTGGTTTAGTTCGTGTACTTGCGAAGCGGGAACGCATCACCGGGCATGGGGTCCAGATGCCAGACCTTGCAATTGTCCGTCTCGAACGCCTCGGCCCATTCCCGTTGGAGGCCCTCTGGAATGGCCCATCCCAGCTGCGAGCTGCGCAGTCTCATGCGGACGAGGTGTCGCTTCTCCTCGGCGGCAGCCCCATCGACAAAGCCCTCACGTCGGTGGAGCACAGTGAAGTTGTTGATGAAATGCATATCACCCGCCTGGGTCTGCACCTCCAACTGAATCGCCTGCGCAATCGCCTCCACCGTGTCGAGGGCCTCATGTTGACGCTCGTTGAGCTTGGGGAGATGCTCTGGACGGGGGTGAGTAGCGTTTCCCAGCAACGGAGTGCGACCGAAGTTCATCATCAGCTTTGAGTCGTGATAGAAAAGCAACGGTCGGCACTGGAAGTGCGGCCTGACAGAAATTGATCACGATTAGCTCCATTCGGCCAAAGACGAGTCCGCAGCAAACTTACAGCGCCACGGGCCAATCAGACTTGGCAAGGGTGCGAATCATGTCGGGGCGATGGGCCGCAAGGATGTTGTATATCGTGTGGACAGGGGCCAGAATGCATCTGCCTCCAGTGGATGCAGTGCTGCGCGTCAGCCAGCTGACCACATCGCCGGCCTCCTCGTTGTGGAACGACTAGACGCGGGCGTTAGTGCAGGAACAATCAGCCACCTTGACGCCTAGAACAGATTCTCTTACGATGGCGGAGGTCGAGTGACGGTGGTGGCCCAGCTTGGCCTCAGTCGAGTTGTCGGCGATGATGTGGACTGTCTCCAGTGTCAGAATCTGCTTGTCCCAACATGCTCGCATGTGCACTTACCCAACATGTTTCCTCGATCGTCTTGGCAACCTCGCTGGTCGGCAATGTACGCCTGAACTCCCAACCAGATTATGGTGAGGTCCTCGACCGAGTAATCGTTCGGGTTGATGCCGCGAACAACACAGAAACCTTGTCCCTCGTAGATATCCCGAACGAGCTGTTCCAGCTTGGGGCCAAGAGTTGGAAGGGGGAAGTTGTCTCGGTTGACGAGGTCACCATCCAGTCCCTGGGCTGGGATACGAGTCAGCTCTGCCACACCAAGCAGACATGCAGCCGTGAACATACCGTTAAAGTGATCCTTGGCAGAACAGAGCTCAGCCTGATCTGTGTCGGTCAAGTGGCAGATGGCTTCGTGCGCCTGCTTGAAGCTGGCACCGGTCCAGACAGATTTGCCAGCAAGACTGGTCGGAAAGCCGGTCGGAACATCCAGCGAACCATTGGGGCTGAGATCTTCTCGCAGGTGATGCAGAGGTAGAGAGAGAGCCGCATCGCTCAGGCTGGAAGCCATGACAGGGCCGGCACCACGGATGTAGTCCATCTTGTCTCGAGAGATGTCAGCCGTGAGCTGTGCCGAACGAGCGGGAGACATACCTTCGTCGTGATCACAAAGGAAATGCTACTGTGTGAACCGAAGGAGTTGCAGATGCCAGAAGCGGGCCTGTATCGTTCCTAGTGATAGGATAGGGCTCAAGTATGAACCAGGCTGGAGTGACAGGATGTCGTGATGTTCAATGAGCGGAAGGTGGTGGGAGGGAAGAGAGAGAAGGAGAGGAAGGGAGAAGAGAGATATATATATATATATATATATATATCTCTATTTATTTGTGGCGAGGCGAGACTGTTTGTTTGCAGAGTCGAGCTGGAGACAGGCGCGAGAGCGTGCTTTCCTCCTAAATAGTTGATTATGTAGACAGCAAGCAGGAGCAGGAGCAGGAGCAAACCATTGCGGGAAGGGGGTACCTACGCAGCGCCTGCGTGCTGGACTAGGTACGTGTACTGCACTCGTGCTCCTGCCATTCGCATGCCATTCGGGACAAGAGGTTTGCGTGTGAAGTGCGAACTTCAGACGGGAAGCAAACACCCAGGACCACTCAGCCGTCTCCCGCCTTTCTGGCAGCAGCAAGGCAGCAGGCAGGAGGCAAGAGGCAGGCCCGAGATGGTCAATAGCCGACTGAACCTGACCGAACAGGCGCGAGAAGAAGAGATGAGGTGTGAGGTGTGAGGTGTCACGGGAGGCAGGTGGCAGGTGGAAGTGGCAGACGGTGTCAATGAGGCCCAGGTTCACCGTTCAACTGGTGACTCCTAACCCGATGTAAGACAGCAGGCATTGGGCGCCAGAAGTTCGGACGGGTTGCAATGTCGTGCACTGTAGACGGGAGATGGACATCTCGAGGCAGTAGCGCGTGGTGGATGTGATCACAACATCGAAGGTCGAAGGTCTCAGTGGGAATTAGGAAGTGGCACAAATCCGCAAGGGCCCGGCAGGCGCACCTATAGGTACGTAGACCGTTCAATGTTATTATTATATCATGATGGCAAAATTGACCCGACGAGCAAGCGCAGCACATCATGGCACATGCAACGGGGGTTTCAATGTTCCCACGCCCATTTGATGTGCGGCAGAGAAGACGGCCATCTTGAGGAAGTAACGGCCGCGTGCGCTGCGCAATACGACAGGCAGGCATCAATCATATCCCACCCGGGCAGCCAAGCGGACATGATCCACTGTCCAGGAAGGGACCCGGCAGTTACTGCAGTGCAGGTGGCCAGGCCTTTGCGGAGAACATTGGATGGATTGGAAGTCGTGGGAGGTACCCACATTGATACCCTGCGTCAAGACTCAAAAAGGGGCCCCGTCAAAAGCCTGGGTACCTATACTCCCTCCCCCACACCCCCACAAGGAGCCGCATCGGTCGTGCGTGGGAGAGAGCCAGACTGCCAGAGACGGGAGCGTTGCATCTTTGCAGACTCAAGCCCGGCTCTCACATTTATTAGGTAGCCTAGGTAGCTACTGTAGGGATGGATGGACGGATGGACGGATGGCGGATGGATAGCTGGGGCGGATGAGAATGGAATAAGTTCGACAGGCCCTGGTCACCGGTTTCAATTCTCTGCTTTCTGTCCGCTGCTCTCTGCATTTCTGCATTCTGCATTCTACGTCGCATTCTGCAGCGTCTGCAGCGTCCATCCATGATCCATCCAATGTGGCCGACTTAGCCGACCTGGTTGCGACCGGGTTGGTGGGGTCGGAGCCGGGTAGCGATCTCCAGAGCTCCCGCAGCTGTGTGAATCGTGGGCTGTTGATCCGATCGCCAACGACCTCGAGTCCCATTGGCCTGGTTGACGGGCAGCCACGCCCAATGGCCCAGTGCTAGGTATCAATACCGTACCTACACTCGTCGATGCCCATGTGCAACAGAGGTAACCTGCAGCAAAGGGGTCCAGGGGTCCAGGGGTCCGTCCGGTGGTCGGAGGCGTCCCCATCGGGAGGTTGGGCTTGTCGTTGTCTTACTTTGGGCAACCGACACACGACTCCACGACTCCACGCCCCCCGGGCGGTCCTGCTGTGGGCGGTCTATACGTGTGGCTTCACCATGGCCATTGGCCCGCGCCCTTGCGTGACGTTTCTTCGCAGAAGGGTCGGCCCGTGGCAGATGCATGGCAGATGTGTGCTGCCCAAGTCATACGCAGGCGGTGTGAAGTGCGCGCTGTGGTGTGTGGTCTGTGGTGTGTGGTCTGATCTTTTCTGATATGACAGCTACAGTACTTGGTATGAAGGACACCCGATCGACGCCTCTCCTGCAAAGCATACTTCCTATTGCAGCTCACTACTACGCATTGGCGCACAACAGCCGATACTGATTCCACCTCTCTGGGGCCGCCGTGGGCCTGGGTTCGCCTCTAGCTTGGTGCAGGTGCTTGATGCAATGCACGGGTGGTGTCCACCACACGCCAATGCCTCCCCGCCTGCGAACGCCTGCTCATCCACAAAGGCCACCTTCATTCTCGCGCCACGTCAGTTGAGGGTACCGATCCCTCAACCCGCCTGCCCCTGCCAACTCCGCATAACTCCCGCCCAAAAGCATCGTAGGAATCCGAACGCTGCAACCCAAGCCCACCCCAAGTTCAGATGGCCCCCTGCGGCACCCAGTTCTCCTCGAACAACTGACTTATATAGTAGAAGTCGTTCTCATGATCGTTACTCTGTCGCATCTTCGTCCACGAGTTCTCTGGTATCGCCGCATCAGCACTCCTGTTTTTTCATCGCTGCCACCATCATCACCATCACCACCCATTGGGCGCTCCCCATGCACCCAACAAATCCAAGCAGCACCAGGAAAGGATCGGCTGGTTAACTTACTGTGTCTTTCAACATTCGACCTCGTGAGCTTAACGAACTTTGTCTTGGTCTCGTCCAGCTCCGCCAACGTCGTCAAGTCCGAGTCCTTGCATTGCGCAGAAAACGGGTATATGCCTGCTCATCATCAGTCCTCCGAAACCCGGTACTGCTTCAATTCGGTGGCTTCTTTACCTTTGTTGCAATAGTGGAAGTATGCCAACAGAATGTTCGCGCCTGTTGGTCGTGGGCAGACGCGTTAGCCACAGCACTTTTGAGATGCAGAAGAGCAGAGCATCAGCCTGCGGGAGGTGTTGCACTCACCCATCTGGTACTCCCGAACCATGTCTTCTCTCGCAAACCGAGTCTATACACTGCGTGTCAGCTGCAGGGCCCATCTCGACGGATGTGATTGGAAGCCGGGGCATCCTCCACGTCATCCAGGAGCGGTTGACCCACGGGTAATCCATGTTTGCGAGCATAACCAGCATCGTGCTGGCACAGGAGGGCCACATTGTGCAACAGTATGAAAGTAATGAGGTAAGTCGTGTACCACGTCTGGTGTTTGTTGGCTTGGGTCATGGACTGCAGAGTCTCAAGCAAGTCTCGTCGAAGACTGGACTGGATTTGATGAATCAAGACCAGTTCGATCTGTGCGCCCATCACCGGTGGCAAGGGGATGCATCCTCGGAGAGGACTGGTCTCGTCCATGGGTTCGATGCCCAGTGTCTCCTTCCCCACGATGATGGTAGATTTAGTCGTCAGTCGAATGGCCATCCACAATTGGAGCGCCTTCCTCAAAAGGTCTCTTTCCTTCTCGTCGACCCCCGGCTCTCTCGCCGCTCTGATTGCTGCGACGTACGTTGCCGTCAGAAGTGCCTCCTTGCCCGAGAGCACATTCTTGCAACACTTGGGTAACTCTTGGTTAATGTAACTAGAATATGCCCCCTTGGCTTCATCGAGGTTCACGATGGCGTACGGCGGGATATCCGCTTCCCGCCGTTCACCGTTGTAGACCCAGTACCGCTTGAGCTTGTCCCCCTCTTGGGGTTTGAATTTGCGAACTCGAAGGCGGACCGGCTGATCCGTGTAGCCCTCAGTTACCTCAATAGTCTTGATCTCCGTCGACTCCCAATTCGAGATGTCATCTGCGATGCCTTCCACCCACCTTGCAGTCCATTCATGGCCTTTGACCTGACCAGGCTTGAAAAGTTTCACATCTGTGATCTTGTAGCGAAGGCAAGGCATCCGCCAGATTTTCACATTGGAGACCCTCTGGCAGGTCAGGCAGGTGCCGCTTTTGTTTTCAGGATTGGCCTCACACTGAGGAGAATGTCAGCCGTATTACAGTCAGCACATAGACTACGAGATCAACTTACCCGTATCCTCTGCATGCGACACCGAATGCAAGAGCCAATCCTTCTGGTTTCGGCCGTCTGTTCCCGTTCCACGTTGGTCCTGAAAGGGCCCCTTCTCGCTGGAGGAGGACGCTGGTTAGTTCGGACAATGTCGAGGTCACGGGACTGGCTAGGGATCTGGGCGCCGCCTGCCTCGGAATCCAGTATGCCTTGGGCTGCGCTATAGCATCTACTGGGTTCCTCAGGACTGTTAAGCGGCGTGGTATAGGACTGGGACCCCGTCACGTGACTGTTAGTCGAGGTTGGAGAGCTCTGTTGCATCTCTGTGCGGCCGGGGTACCTTTGGACGGGTACTGTCTCGGGATAAACCATGCCTTCGCCACTCGTGTTGGGCTGGACAGCCATTGGTCTGTCTGGTTGCAAAGCAGGATAATTTGGCATCACCGGCTGGCCGACGACAGTATCGTCGTATGTAAAAGCACCGGCTGCTTGAGAATGCATTGGTCCTGGCTGGGAGTGTGAAGACGACGGCTTGTGCTCAAACATCGGCCTTGTCTGAGCGTAGGCGTAAGGCGCCGTTGCCGGGATTCCGGCGTAACCTCGCGGGCAGTCAGTATAATCGTTGCTCATTATGCATCGGTATGTTACACACCTTGGGGCTCACATGACGTGCATGGTGAACACACGGAGATGTTGGCGAGATACTCTACGATGCGCGAGCCATCCACCCCGAATAGAGAGTTGTTTGCACCCTCAGGGCGGCGACGATGATCAGAGGCGTCGTGGCCTGAGTGTGGAGGCTTCTGGTGAGAATGCATTGGTGAGATGTCTGTGTCAAGACGTGGTCTCTTATGGGAGGCGGTATGAGTCCTGGGGGAGACCGAGGAGTGTTGCTGATAGGGGACTCTGTTAAGTTCTAGAAGCTGAGGAAACGGACATCTGAGAATGGCGGAAGCACGCTCGAGTATTTGTAACTCCTGAGAGGAGAAGTGGTCGGGAGCAGCAACGGTGGCAGATGCAGAAAATAAAGGACCCTGGGCCACCGGCACCGCAGGGGGATCCTCGTGGCCATAGGGCCGGCGTTTTTTGAGATTATGACTATTCTACTTGCAAGTCAACACATTGCACAGCGGCAACACGGATATGCAATAAGACGCCATCCCAGGTAAAGGGCCTGGCAAGAACGTGGCAGGAAGGTCTTACCATTATGCGTCACTTTAGGTGCGTATGGAAAGGGTGTGTTGGACAAAGGACCAGCAGCGCGAGACAGGGTATGTACTTGGGCTGGGCTCGACGTGTACATGAGATGGACAGCAGCAGCAGCAGCAGCAGTGCGCGCAGAGCGTTGCGCCTCGCCCACGTCGGAAGGGGGTGGGGTGAGATGATGAAGAGGCCCGGTCTCAAGGTCTCAAGGTCTCACGAGTGCCATTGCCGAAAACGAGACAGCCAGGGTCATGGAGGCGCAAATACGACGGCGTCTGGTGCTGTGCTGGGTGCTGTGCTCCGCGGCGCTGTGCTGTGCTATGCGAGGAGTCGCCCGAGTTGAGAGGACCCAAGGCGATGATGGGGCTGGATTAGCAGCAGGTGGAGGGCTAGGGAGAGAACGGGAAGCCAAGGGGAGATCAAATCATTCATGAGAAACACATGAGTCTGTGCTGCCGCCGCCGACAAGGAAAAGGGCGATGATTGGAAGGCAGAGTGCCGGGTTGCGTTGGAAGAGACTCGGTGAGGAGGTCCACAGCGGCCGTTGAGCCGGCGCCCTGACCGGTTTAAAGAGGGGTGAGTCTTCAGAGTGCCCCTTTTGTACCACGATCAGATCTTGGAACGAATGCGGCAATCAAATCAACGTAAGCTCGTGCTGACTGTAGGATTAGAATAAGGCGAATGACAGGGTCGGGAAGCAAGAGGGGAGAAGATAGGGAATGCACCAGCACCAGCAGCAAAGTAGCAGGACTTGCGCGAGTGAAGGTTAGTAGAGAGGTCCGAGTTTTTCCCTTACGCCCGCGACGGGACGACATGGTTGGCACGGCTGGCGAATGGGGGTATAACACCGGTTGTATCGATAAGATGATGATCAAGCGGGCAACATCAGAGCCATGCCACGCAGGCCACTCCACGCCATGCCATGCCATGCCATGTCAGCCCGGTACCACTCCATATTTTCAGGGCTCAGACGAGGGGGGGCAGCAAGTGGTCCGCAGCCTCATTCGGCAGGCAAACAAGCAGGCCGGATCCTCTGTTCTTCTTCCATCGCAGGACTCCACTCCACAGCGGCGGCGCAAATATAAGCAGCATCGTCAACATGTCGGCGCGGCAATACGGCGACGGACGTCGAGGCTGATGCCGTAGGAAGACAGATAGCCGGCATATCGTGTCTCTTCCATTCCACTGCGCTACTGTAGAGTGGAAAATAGGAATGGGAAATTGGCAGAGAGTACCAGGATCAGTACCTGGCGCCCCGTACCCCCCTGGCTCGTACCCCGGCCGCCCAGGTCTCACAAGCTGTCTGGACTCTGACCACTGTGACCAGGCATCTGCCCGCCTTGCACGCGTCCAGTTGTGGCCCCCAGAGCCTTGCTCCTCGAGTGGCAGACACAGATTATGGCGCCGTTGTGTCAGGCACGCTTGCTTGCCCGTGGCCCAGAGATGGATGTAGTACGGAACGGCCGATGCTGCATTGCTTTCAGGCGCATCGAGCAAATCAGGAACGCAACGGGCGGTCAAATGACCATGGTGGGTGGCAGTATCTCACGCGCGTGCAGCTGGTGGCGGCGCCGAGCTGCAGGAGGGCAAAACCAGCCACAGGAAAGGGAAAGCAAACGGTGAAGAATATGAAGATGCCACCACTCGATGACGTTGGTCCCGTCGCGGCGGGTCTGACTGCCCAGAGCTGCCAGGTGAATAATAAGTGAATCATCGGCAGGTGACTGTGTGATTGCATCGCACGACAGGACTAGTGAGTAGCACGGAAGAGCAAGTGGCCGACCGCGCTGCCCTCGTCGCCTTGAACAGCCTCCAACTGTCTAGCTTTGGGGGATGGATTTCATCCGGTAACGCGCGAGGAGCCTGTAGTGAAACGGGCCGTGCAAGCCGCCGCCCACAATTGCATGCGTGATTGAACATGACAGCCGTGCGTAATAAGGGTAGCTCATCACTGTCATCAGTGACAGTCGAATCTGACTTGTCTGCTGGAAGTCAATCTGACGAGGTAAGCAGGTGAACGCGGGCCGACTGCAGTATCCCTGCCCTGCCTCGCTGCCTCGCTGCCTCGCTGCCTCGATCTGACGGTCTATCACATACTCGATGCTCGGCGTGCGACCAGCCTACCGCCTGGTCATTGGCTGGGAGGCGTGTCCGCTTCGAGGCCTGGTGCTGACTCAAGCGCGCTCGCGTGACGCTGGTGTGCGAGGTGAGGCTCAAGAAGAAGCAGGACGGTAAGGCCGGTGAAGAGTTGCACCGCTGCTCGCGAGGCGGCCGGAGACGGTGAAGCTGCTCGTGCTGGTACTGGCGAACTGGTTCTGGAACAGGGTTTGGTTCTGGTTGACACGGTCGTGGAGTCGTTTGAGGGATTGGGGCCGTGGAAACACGTGTGGAGCTACCGTATTTACTGTGCAGATAGCTCCCGAGGGCCCCTGCTTAGCGCAAGTGGCTTTCGTGCGAGACAGTAGAGTACCAGCCGCATTTGTATGTGGCTTGATAAGAAATAAACCGATAAGAAGCTGCGTGAAGCTGCTTTCTGACCGCAAGCCACTCGCTCTGGACAGGGAGACTCGGAACGTATCTGTAGAGAAAATACGGTAGACTATTATGATCACTACACTCCACTAGGGGTACTATACTGTAGACTGTCCACTTTTACCCCTGTTTTTTTGAACAGTGGAGCTGGTCAATGTCAGGCCTCGAAATAAGCGCCAGAGATCAATCCAAGGGTTGGTTTATGCCATTTCTCTCAAAGATCGATACCTTCATAGGTCTGTGTCCAGTACCAGTTCCACTGTTCAAAAAGCAGGGGCAAGAGTGTACTCGCAGTAGCACTACTTAGTCCAGCTGTCAGACAACCCAGCGCGGGGCACTAATACTGTGTAAGGTAGACTCCTCCCAGATAAGGTAGTTCCCGCTCTGACATGTGGAGACGCGGAGTATTTCAAATGGCCTTTTTTCATTTTAGTCATGGTCATGGTCATACCGGTCCTGTTGATATATTCTCGACATCGTGTCTTCTCGGACGACAATCGCTTCTCACATGGTAAGGTACTGAGTGGCGAGACGTCCGCCGACTGTGGGCTGCGGGCTCACCTGACCGCCACTATCTCGATGAAGCCTTATATGGCGACGCCAGCGACCGGTAAGAAGACCCTGACAAACCTGACCAGCCAGCTGGTGCAGCCATCCCGGTCGTACGGCGTCGAGAGGAAGGAGGAAACCAACCACCGCCGCTGAAATTATGCATCAAACCGAACTGCCGTCCACGATGGCCCCTACTGCCCTGGACGCGAGCAACTTTGAAGGCCGTCTAGAACCCGCGGACTCTACACGCGTCGAGCGGAGCTGCACTTTGGACGGTTCGGAGCATCCCGGAAGTCAGACGGACATGCCCAGGGGGACACGGCTCGCCGTTCGAGCACCTTGGTCCTTGGCCACCAGACTATTTCTTCGTTTCGATGTTCAACTTTCCGTGCGTGTCATCCTGCGCAGCCCCTGGCTGGCAGACAGGACCATATCCCACTGAGTATACTAATAGTAATCGCATCGTCCTGTCGGCTTCATACAGGTCTGGAGTTCCTCACAACTGAACTCACGCACACGCAGCTGATTCGAATCATAGGTGCCAGGTACGGGCCGCTATGACCTTCTGGGCTTTATAGCTCCGGCGACATGGGATTCCCAGTTCGCTTTGGACTATGTACAGATTGGTACTTAATACAGGGTGGGACTGCGCTGCTTGTCGCATCGTGGCCTTCTGGCTCGCCTGACAGGCTCGGACTGCTTGCGTCCCATTCTGTCGCGAACATCTTCACCGGTCAAGGTCACCACTTACACGTCTGGGCTGCAAGATCCGGCGCATCACCGAGTCCCGCTTGTCAGGGCAAGAGGTGCAGAAAATTTCAATATGCACAGGTTTCCACCCCTCGCGAGCGAAGCCCTGCCCAGTGGGCCGCGCCCTGCCTGTCTTGCCCTCGTCATATTCGTGCGATTCGATCTGAAGATCGTTGGAGGCAAGCTTTCGATGACAGCGTGACAGCGCGGAACGCAGCCCGCCCAAGCTACAAGATTTACTCAGCCAATGAGCAAGCTACAGAACCACCTGGGTATGTCTTGCCGAGGCCATCGTCAGCAAGAGAAAGGAGAGACATGACCCCCACGTTATCCAGACGAGCATGCCGGCCACGTGGTAATGTTCCCAAGCGAGCTGAACCGATGCCGGGATTAGCCTCTTAGACACTGATGGTCGGGATGCGTACGGCATCACGAGGTAATTGGTATGGCTGGAATGAGTATGTGCCGCTATAGCCAGCGGCTTGAGGCCTTGAAGCTTGCAACCTTGATCTGTACATCTTCCAAATACAAATCCCCCCCTGCGCTGTGTTGAGCGCGGTAGTCGTCCAAGAGGACGACCGAATGGTTCCCTGGGCCTTGGCATGATAAGTCACCAACCCTCTCCTGGTTTACCAGCAATCCGGTTTGCAACGAGCGTCTGAATCCGCCACTGGTCCCGTGCGCTGCGCCGCTTTTGGACTGCATATATGAAGCTCGACCTGCGCGAACCCATACGGTTGGCAGACCCTCCACACCGGAAGGTCTTCCTATTGGATGACTTTCAAGGCAACCTCGATGACTACCACTGTCGTGGAGCCCAACCTCTGATCATGCCCGTCTTCCATGCGTTCCATGCTCGCTCCTCCACTGCCGTCCATTGCGTGCCCCCAATGCTCCTCTCGACGTTGCGGCAAATGCTTAAACTGCCTGTGCATCACTTCATTAGGACACAACGATACTACCCTCATCGGCAGCTATCCTCGTTCTTGCAGGACGGTTCGCTTTCGCGAATGAACTCCTGCCCTCATTATATCAAACCCATGCGTCTGTACGAACCCGCGTCGAGTTGGGTTGTTAAGCGGGGAATTTCCAGGTTGCAGCAAGAGCGACAGTGCCATCGGCTCCAAGAAACGGCGTGACCCCGACTGGCTGCTGGACCGGACCGCAATGTTCCCTTACGTGGGCTCTCTACTCGATGAAGTCCTCGATCGTGATTGAGTTGGGGTGTGCTGCGGCAGGGGCCCTCGCGTCACAGCGTTGCTGATTCTACTTATCCAAATACCGAGCCGACTTGCCCTACCCTGTGATGGCCGGGCATAGTACGAGTCAAGTCTTTCCTTCCGGAGCGCTTGACGGCAGCCGCCGGAAGCATCTGCGCGCGTAAGGTTCCCGGTACCGGTATATGACGATAATATCCACATAGACCGGGTTCGGTCATCTTACACCTCCGCCGACAGACGGGCTTTGCGTGCGGCCACCTTCCCGATACTCCACTACCTATCGTATACAGTGGTTTCACATGCCCTGAACTGACTGTCGTTTCTCGTGCATCTTACATAGCAATTTCGAGATTATCCGGCATGCAAGGCCGCGAGCTCACGAGGCGTCTCATTCTTTACCACCACTCGCATGCGGCCCGCGAACAGGATTCATTGAGAATTCGGGCTTCGGCTGAGCCCTAGCATTTTGCTTTTTAGCTTCCACTTCGCACAAGGGAAAAAACAAAACCCACTCGCTGCGCCGACTTGACTAAAAATGGGGGCACGTTCTAGGCTTGCAAGGGTTGGTGAAAACTCGATGATAAAGAGCTCTCGAGTCTCGTTGCTGTCTTCGAGTCTCTCCGACCAACCGAGACTCAGAAGTTACCTTTCGTGGATCAGCTTTCGCGAGAGCTGTGCAGCCTTATTAATACTGACCATCGTCAGGTCTGTATAGGGACTACGAGTGACAAAAGGACACGACACACCCGACCCTTTCGCCAACCTTTGCGGGAACAACCGTTCCGTTCTCGGCACCCCGGCGAGTCGATGATGTGCTTGGTGTGTTAGTGGTCATCTTGAAGATTAGGCAACTCGCTTGGATGCCCTCTGCACAATCGCGTATGTACAAGTTCCCTTGTCTTTAACAGCCGCAGTGGTTGGCCAGGCACATACAGATGGAAGCAGTCTCGATATTCCGTATACGCCTCGTATGCATTGCACTGTGTTGACGTTCAGAACCACTCAGAGCACTTCAGCCAACCACGACAGCACAAAATTATCTTGCCTTCCCGACCGCTGCTGCACCCATCGCATGGTGCATTTCGTGGCTGCATTCGGTCAAGCTCTCGCTTGCCCAACCGCACAAACAAAAGGACCTGACGAATGACCAAGGTCCAAATTTGCCAACATCTCCCCATATACTTGTGGCTCAGGTGACTTTCGGAACATGCACATTCAGAGATCGGGTGCCTTGGACAGTTCTGAAGCTCTGTTTGGAAGAGAGGTTCGCCAAGTTGACGCGAGACGGCCCACACTTCCACCCTCGACCGGACCTGGAAAGTGTGCAGCCCCTATTCTGGGATACTACTCTGGCTACCTACCTACCTGAGCAGGGTGTTCAATAATCAGGCTGCAGCATACTGCCTAGGCAGGGTCTACTGTAGGTGCGGTATCGCTTCCATATTGAAACCGGTCAAGAGGGTCTTACCCGCTGGGAGCAGCCGGCCAAGGAAACAGGGCAATACGTGAGCACTGTGGGCAGCCGCGCTCCCAGTGCACCGTTGAGGTCTTGGGATTGCCTGAGAGCAGCGTGGCAGCAGCGAGTCCCGGTTGTTGGGAAACTGCCAGTGCCAGGTGCCCAGGTGGAGACTTCTCGTTGGGCTACAGGCCTCTGCTAGGGCAGGCGCGTCCTTGCGTACTTACATACCCAAAAGGCAGTTGCGACTCTGGGCCCTCGTCAAGCTTAGGTCAGAAGGACGGTGAAAGCGCCAGTGAGTTTGACTGGCCCGGTCTTTCCCCAGCAGCAGCGTTTCGGCGTTTCGGCGTCTGGGCGGCGTCGGGCACAGTTCTCAATTATCGAAATCTAGCACTGCTCCGTGAAAACATCATCGTGTCGGTTCTTCACTGCGTGCTTCTAACTCGATAGCAACCTCGAGCTATGGAACTCTCCGCGAGGGCGATCGAAGAAGCGGTCCATCCCACTGCTGCTTTTTGCCCGTTCCCAGATGAGACCCGAACAGCCCATGCCCATGCCCACCAGCATACCGCCCCCCAACCATCGTGGGGAGATTCTCTCCTGAATCCCAAAAACCGCATAGACAGCCTCGCTCTACCCGACGACCCCCTATGGCGTATAGACGGCTGTGCCGGTCTCGGCACTCAATACTACACCGTGCCGCTCTTCCTCAACAATCGTCCTCCAATGCGCATGGATGTCTTCATACCAGAAAACCAGCCGGATCTCATCCGTGAGCAGCTCGACCTTGACAAAGCATTCCACACGAAGGACGCTGCGCGTCTGTCCAGACTAGCCATCACGACACACATCATCCGAACATTACGACTATGGACCTTGTCCAGTTTCCGGAGCTTAGCGGCCTTTGAACAATTATACCGAGCTGCGCCCTTTGGGTCGCGTATCGTATTCGTTACCATGTCGCTGGACATTCACCAGATCCGGGTACAAATCGGCACAAACCACAACCTTGAGCGAAAGCTACTTTCTCGTTCAAGCTTGACATCACTCTGGGGGGCAGAGTTCCCATTCCTCCAAGAGGTCGACTTCTTCGACGTCTGCGTTATTGCCGTTCTCCACGATAGCGTCTGTCTCGTCCGGATCCACGAGCAACTATTTATCTTCAAAGCCTTGGTCAGCGGAGCCAACTACCTCTATCACGAACTTAAAACGCTCTGTACCCTGGAGCCACACCATAATGTCATCGCTCGACCCATACACATCGTCAAGAAGGCGTGTAACTTCGGCGGGAAGAAAGCGGTTGTCGGTTTCACCACATTCTACCACTCCCAGGGCTCCCTCCGAGACATTCTTCCTCAACTGCGCATCGGCGGCCAACTTCGACGATCAGACCAGTTCAAATGGTCAATACAGCTGACTACAGCTCTGGAACACTTGCGTACTACCTCGGCAACATACTACCCTGACCTACGTCTCGACAACGTCGTCCTCTCGGATAAAGACGACATCGTCATGGTTGACTTCGAACAGAGAGGAGTCTGGTGTGAATTTGCGGCGCCCGAAGTCAACGCTATAGAGTACATTCGCCTGCTCGCGGCCGACGATCAAATGCCAGACGACGTGCAGACCAAGTACACAGAGATGATGAGGGAGCTTGTGCCTGAATTCGATAGCCTCCAGCTGGATCGCTACACAGACCCAGAAAAAGGCTACAACGTAACATGGATTGCCCTCAGTCCAGCAGAGCAAGAAGCCGCCGAGGTGTATATGCTAGGCAGGATGCTCTGGTGCATATTCGAAGGGGTCAGTGGACCTCAGAAGGCAGCTGTGTGGCAGTCATATCGATGGGAATCGGACCTGGAGTTCCCAGAATACGATCGGACACCAGCTGAAATGAGGGATCTCATTGACCGATGTACTAGGGGAAGAAGAGAGGGCCTGGCCAGCATCATCATCCGACAATCCAGTCGATTGGTTCTGCGGAACACCCCCACCAGCGACCAAAGCGCTGACGATGTCAGAGCAGCCGCCAAGGGCTTCTGGACATCGGAAATCGAGGTGGCTGAGAGATTCCTGGACATGAGGAGCTCGCAACGGGCGATGGGGACATGGAACGACAACTACTATGACCGGCCTACACTCAAAGAAGTTCTGACTGCTCTCGAGTCCTATCGAGGGCAACTCATGTGAAGCCCTTGAAAGAACATCTCAGGGGGTGTGGACCGGGTTCAATGACATGCTTGGGGAGGGATGTAGCCGAACGGACACTATGGCTTATGGCACATGTGGCGGCACGAGTGGCAGTATTTTCACACGGACCACACGGGGGCCTCGTACTCGATTATCAAGCGGAGACCTTCGAGCAGACCCAACCATAAGGTTGATGGCAGCTGGACTCTGAGGCGAGTGCAATGACGTGGGCAGGCAACTATATTTCAAATCCATCTGGGCAGTTACCGGCGAGGAAACGCCTCAGCACGTCTGTTCGTATATAGATTAATGGCTTGCTGCCAACATATTACTTTAGATTTGCCTGAGGAACTTACTCTTCATGCCATGACGGCTGAATGATCTCCGAGGATGGCTAATGATCTCCGAAGACGGAGCTGCGCTTCTTTTAGACGGGCATATGTTGGGAACCGGTTAGGTCTCCCAGGGTGGATTCATCCATATATAGCCTCGTCAGATCCATGGATCTCTTCCATGGATCCTCACTTTCATATTTGCAATTACACACAGTTCTTCGAACCATTATTGCTCCGTGATCGTCCTTGGAAGTGATCCATAGACTTCCAGGTTACACACACAGTTACGAATCTCTCTGGAACGTAGGATACGTACCAGGAGCTTCGCAACATGTGGTAGCATCTCATGTGGTGGGGGATGGGCGCTCAGTGGTCCTTACGAATGTGAAAACGGCTAGGTATCTACTATGAATGGCTTGCAGGTTAGGAGTGTCAAGTGCTAGATGGAAATGAAAGCATTCATCACTCGTTCTCCCACTGTCTACCTATGCTCTTGAAACATTCGGTGAGCTCTACGACACCGGCAATTGGACACTGGTATCATTAGGTATCATTAGGTATCGGCTCACCTTCGCGAACCCGTGCTTCTTTCGTGTAATGAGGAAAGAATTCACCGACCAGGCGTGTCCTCATCTAAGCTGGAGATGGTATAAATGTCTGGAGTAATCGCATATAGTGATCCATCCAATCAAGCAACCATCATCCACTCCAATCACTGGAAACGACTGCTGACATGGTAGCATCTCCAGTAGGGATACAGCCAATATCGTGGCTACTTGAGGAGTATTCGAGCATTACTTTCCGCACCATGTGACGACGCAAAACTTGGTGTTGAACGCGATCACGATGGCTCCGAATGATCCCCAGCATGCTGGCTGCGAGACTGCGCGTGAGGGCGTACCTGCTGATGGTACTGCCACTCTGAAACGCGAGAACGAAGCGCTTCAGAGGGGAATTCAGAAGATGAAGGTGATGATTGCTCGTCGGGGCAAGGCTACTAACTGATGGTGAGGCCACTGGCGAGAAGAAAGGATGGCGGGACCCTGAACGCCACGCTCCAGTGGCACGGCTACAAGTGGATTTTGCCAGAAAGGCGTCGATTTAAGGGACCAAGCAACTGGATGTGAGGGCTTTGGTGTTCAGCTCTCAGCGCGGGTCTCGAAGGGATCGGTTGGATTAATAATATTATGATGGCCAGGGTCGATCAGGTCAAGATGGATAGCGCCAGCGTTGAACGTGTCCCTTGTTGACTGTAGGTCTCTCTATATGTCACTTTAATGGTGACGACGAACGCTCATTCTAAGTCCAGGATAATAGGCGTCTTGGTGGGTATCAGACGCCATTGACAAGTCCAAGATCCCCATGTTTATACGATATGAATATCGCTGTGAGCAAGAGATGTAAGTATAGTTTGAGAAATGCGACGTCCGCGTGAGTTCTGCGTCGTACTGAAGAAGGTGTTAAGACCTGATGTAGTGTTTATCTGAGGTTAGCCATCAAGCTATGAGCCATTCAAGTTCATTCGTCGAGGGACTTGAAGAACTGCTTTGGCCTACAATGACCTATTGAACGCTCGCGTTCAGAGGGTTCCACCACGCCACGTGAATCCGCTACTAAGACTTCATCGTTTCCAACACAGCAGATGAAGAGATGGTATCAAGATCTTCATCCATTCAAGCTCTGCCGCAAGCTTGGGCGAAATGTGCAGTGGTTTGAGGTCAACGATGGGTACTGCCGCTGAAGAAATCTGAACGTACCTAGACCTCCCCATCCGTGGCTCGATCTGTTCCAACATCCAACACGGCCTGACTCACATTTCCGTCCCCCTTGCTGAATCTCTGAGTAACATCCTTCTTCAACAGCAAGAAGGAGGCCCCTTTGGCCATGTGATAGCATAACGGCCGTCAGCCAATGGTGTTCCTCAAGGGCCGTACTCCTCTCCCCCAATGGGCCATAGCAGCTGAAGGCAAGCAGGAGAGATGCCGAGTCTCCGTCTCTGCCCACACCGCCAAACGAGGACATCCCATATGTGAATTAAAAAAAGCACTTACCACGGCCCAGAGATCGTCTGGCTGAGAAGAGACCCAGCAGTCCGGCACGGCTGCAGCCCAGGGCCTCGACAAGACCTTCGTCAGTCTTTCCTACCCTGCTCACGCAGCAGAGCGTGACATGCTAAGCAGGATGCTCAGACCTCGCGCCTGTCTCAGGCTGCTGATTCGCGCACTCGCGCATATGCAGACCTGCAGCCTCGCAGAGCTTGCGACCCCCTGAGCCAGGGCCGTGACGGCCAGCTCGAAGGGGAAGCAGCCATTTGAGGCGGCCAACTGCATCGAGATAGGGGATGGATGTGGTAGTATCCGAGCGGCGCAGCGGTAAGGGTATGCCAGGCGCAGTAAGGATGAGGTGACACAAGCGGTGGGTGGACCGTGGACGGGTACCCTTCTGGAAGAAGTCTTGTGACGGCGCGGGTTCAGAACGTCCAATCGGGTGGCCATCCAAGCCTCTGGGGGTGGCAGAGCTCCTGGCCCCCGGCGTCGCTCACGATGCGCTTCGCAGCTGTTGCCTGATGACCCTCGAATACCGGCGAACAGATCCATGGCATCGATATGGTGCCATTGAGTCATCTCTGACAGACCACCTTCACGCTTGGAAGACAGTTACTAGATTGGACCTGTTAGTTGGTGGATGAGAAGAATTGGTTGCTTTGTGGTGTCTTGCGCGATATTCGATTTATCCGCATGTATAAGCCACGATATCGATCGGACATGTGCGATCTGGGGCTCTCTCCCAGAAATTCCGCTCCCACGATCACTTGACGTTGTCCCAATGCGCAAGACTGAGACATGCTCGATCGAACGGCAGGTCGGGTTTATGGGTCGCCAAGAGCGATGGAAGGCCGTGGGAGTCCTCACTTTTCCTTCTCGAAGCGTCCTCGAAGCATGGACCGAAGGGAGGGAGATGGGAGATGGGAGAAAGAAGCCTGAGCGGGTCGCGAAACGGGCCGCGCTTGGTGGGTGAGGTGGCCGCGACGAGAGCGACCTAGTTGGGGGCTTTGCGGCCTGTTCTCGCGGCCACAGACACCGTCGAACCCGCAACGGTCGCAGTGACGGCCACCGCAGACCCTTTATATGCTTGCCCGATGAGCAGACAGCGCCCTCACAGCGCCCTCCCTCGGACCCAGCGGAAGGCAGGAGGGCAACTACCCTCCTGCCCTCTGCTGGACCGCGTCTAATCGAGCCAACGGGCACGGCCGACACCGCTTATGCACCAATCACAACCCTGGCCATACCTGGTCCGGTACTGTGGCTGAAGGCCTCACCTCGCTCCACCTTCGCTCCAAAGGGATGGTTCATCGGGGGAATGACTTCAGACCATCGACTCTCCTGCAACTACAGTTCACTTTCGACGCCCATTCTGGCGTCGCTTAGCTCGGTCCCTTTCGATTTTCCGGTCATCTTATCGTCACAAGTATGAAAGTTCCCGGCAGTGTATCATTGACGGGCCTCGAATGGGGCCACTTGGTCTGCAACGGCTTCTTCCCAAATTCCCAATGGTACGGCAATATCTGCTTCGCCTTTCCCAAACATGCCTATCTGACACCTTGCACAGGCGTCTGCCTCGCCGATGACATATCATTCACCGGGAGTGCCCCTGAATGTGCAGCCCAGCTGGGTTAAGGGGCTACGGGGCCGAGTGGTTCCTCCCTTGACCGTCTCTCACCTCGACTGCTACCTACTTCGTCCGCTAGTCAATCCAACTGCGTGAAGTATGACTACTATGACCAACACGGGCAAGGCGGTCTCGATATGGGCCGCCTGTCCCATATTGTCTGGACATATGATCCTCCTCCTGTCTGCCTATATGATGTTCGTGGAACTATATAACGTTCTGCTCGTTTCCCAGCTGTGAGACACGCATCCCTCTCGACACCACCATCGTTTCACCACAAGCTACCCAATGTCTCCTCCCACTGAGCGTTTCGGTCAGCTTTCCATCGAAAGCATGTCGCCAACTACCCGCCAGCAGAGCCGCCAGCAGGATGTCGAGGACGAGTCCTATGAGACAGACAGTGACTCGGGGTTCGACTTCGACGAGGACAGTGGCATCGCTATCTTCCCTTCCAACATGAAGTACTCTTTACATGCTCTCGACTCAGGCACCAAAGAAACAGTCATCAAAGCCATGGAGCCTTCCTCCAGGCTATCACTTCGCGCCTGTCAAGCTCGAGACCAAGACTTCCTCTTCTTGATATCTGAGACGGTCGAGTACAATGTCCGGGCAGGACAATCGAATACGCAATATGCAGTTCCCAGCTGCGATTGCCAGCAGTTCGAGCGTTCTGCAGGGTTGCAACAGCCTTGCCGTCATACACTCGTGAGTAACACCTCGGCATTTCCTGATGCCTTTCATTCTTTACGGGGATTTACCTCTTCCAACGGAGTTCTACTCCGAAACACGTCTCGGTACTCCCAAACGTTCGCCAGCGTCTGCTGAAAGAGCAAATACTGACTCAAGATATTGCAGTGGCTGTGTGACCAATTCACAAGCCAGATGCGTCCGCACCAGGTTGAACCCCTTACGCTGATGTCAAACGGCTACTCGGCAGAAGCGGACAACGTGTGCAACAATATTCCTGACTTCCACTTCGACGTGCTGGCCGACAGTCTAGGATGCGACGTCAGCTTCGCTGGCCAATCAGCCCAGCCGAGCCCCCGGCGAGTCCAAACGGTCCGCGAGATCCTGGCCTCGCTGAACGAAGTCCCTGTTGAGAGGTACCGGCTTGACCTCAAGGAGCCCGACAAAGGACCTAGAGCCGTCAAAAGGGGTGACCTGGAGCAAACCATATACCGGATGCTGCTTCGCAACAAGGAGTTCTTCTCCTACTTCCTCGCCTCCATGCGGGACTACGATCTCCTGAATCCGCGGTTCCGGCGCTTCCGCGACCGCGCGGACGCAGCTTTGGCTGGGCTCGACGATTACGCGACGGACCCTTCTCGATGGACCGCCTTCGGGGCTAAAGACGTCGAGTGGTGCGCGAGGAAACTCATAGAAATCGAGGGCCAGATCAAATCCATGATCTTCGTCACCGACAGCGAGCTGCCAGACTACGACCATCGTGCGGCTGCTCGCACCCTGGTCCACATACTGAAGCAGGTCGTCCTTCGCAAGCAGGACGTTGGCCCCGAGAACACTCAGGACAATACTCGCAACCTGTACCAGAGGCTTATTGGCGGAGAGACTCGGCTCGTTGGTGGACAAGCTCGGCGGTTCGTTATCGACCTCCTAGGCGACATCCCCAACGAATGCGTCAACCACCTGGTGGACGAGCTCAACGAGATCGAGCGCATCATCCTTCAAGATGGTGCCCCTCCGTCCTACGTCGAAAGACTACGCGAGCTGATCTCCCGCCTGCGCAATTCCAAGTCAGGCTCAGCGTCCGGGTCGGGATCTAGCTCCAAAAAGCGCCCCGGGCAAGCGCCGGATCGCAGGTCGAAGCGCATGAAGTAGACAACGGCTGAAAGTCGTCAGTCTCATGCGTAAACTCAGCAAAGGGAAAGAGGTGGATCATCTAATCAGGACAGACCAGGCCGCCGTCCTCCCCAGGGAGCTGGTCCTCTGGCTGGGGATGACGGTCGGCCGTGTACGGGTTGGAACATGGTTCACTTCTACTGTTGATATTCCTACATTGTCTCTTCTCGCCTCTCATTCATTCCATACCAGTTTATTCTGTCTCTCCTTAATCGCCTTCCCATACAGCATCAGCTTTGACAGCTAGCTAGCCTTACACCTTTACAATACACCTTTTACCTCCTCATTGTCTCCTTGATCTGTCAACGACCTATAGAAAGGCAACAACCTAGAAAAACCCACGTTTTAGTTCAGCAATGACAATATGGGTTATGAGTTTTCCTCCCCAAACCACATCTTCTTGTCGACCTACACCTGCAACGTGACGATGGCAGTTCCCCGTTGCGCCGTCCGGGGTTTTCGTCTCTGTGATACATGGCCGAGATCGTGGCCGCTGCAGCGACCACCAACAGATTCCTACCTGCGGCCATATCCGAGTACCTAACCAGCTAATCAGCCTTACCTGGTCTTCCTTCGGCCCCGAGCCCACAGGAGGATAGGCTGATCTCTCCAGCTGAGCTGCAAGATGGGTCCTGTCACAAACGGAACTTTGGCCGTCTGAATGTCCCCTGACACTATTTCATCACGGCCCCAAATCACATGGCGTATCCTATTTTGGGATGGCTACCAAGCATCAGCCCCAAGACGAAAAGGAAGAGGAAGAAGAGATGACTTGGAATAGATCACAAGTTATAGAGCAGCAGGGGGACATGCAAGAGCGAAGACGGCCAGGCCCAGTCACGACCACCCTCATGCCTCAGCCGATACAATCTCACGACATCCTTCTGCAGGTGAAAACATTCTCACGACTGTCCACGAACATCGTCGAGCTGCCATGATCATGCTTCATTGATCACCAAATGCGCGACCACGCCAACGAGTTCGAGTGTACTCTGCTTTTATCGTCTAACGCCACCTATCGACCAATATCACGCAACGCGCGCGTGCTTCGCGAAGCGTTCGATAAAAGCCGTCGGTAAAGCAAGGAAAAAGCAGACCGAAGTTACTACCGCAGTGGCGTTGCATAGTACAGCACCACCATACCACACGACTGCACGCCTCACACCGCACACAGAGTGCAAGTCCCAATAAGATACCCAACCCCTTGATATCATCGACCTGGTAAACAAACATCACAACATAAGACATCGACCTCGACCTCGTCCAAGCCCACTAGCTACCCAGATATTCTTCATCACACCACTGTGCCAATGAATCGCCATGAATCGCAAGCGCAGATCTCATCAGCTGTGCGCCTCACGCTCAGCTAGCCCAGGCCCAAGGTATGGAACTTACCTAGGTTATGCAGCCACCCATATTCTGTGGGTTCCGATCCTCTTGTCCCATCCATTCGCCCCACTCGGGCAAATTTCTCACCACGCATCGTGAGCCTCAACGGCGCCCACTTTCACGTAATAAGAATGCTCATAAATCACTGAATCTTCATGGTCCGATGGTGTAGTTGGTTTATCACGTCAGTCTAACACACTGAAGGTCCCCAGTTCAAGCCTGGGTCGGATCAGTTTTTCCCCTCATTGCTTGGGGGTTAAGTTTTTCAAAAAAATTATTATCGTGGGACTCTGGTAGGTGGATAACCGACTTGTCTGCCCCGGGGCCCGAGGCCCGAGGCCCCCTCTCCCCTTGGGCTAATCCTTCTAATGCTAGGGTTTCAACTGTGCCGTTGGCGTCGGTAACCATGCAACGCGAGCCCGCGGCGAGGCCTTTCATGCTCCTTGAGAAGTATTCGCGAGATAACACAACTCGAGGCAGCAAAAGACCGCACAGATGGGCCCGTATGCTGCCGGGAGGCACGGGGATTATGTCACAGCGTCCCATCACTACTTAAGAAACGAGACACATACGTGTCTTATGAAATCATATGAGATTCTTTCGCCGTCCCATTGAAGACGGTGGCCTATTCCATGCCAACCAGATAGGTAAGTAGGTATGTCCATCACCCACCCACACTTACCGGCCACCAGTCAGTACCTTAGTAGATAGTAGATAACCAGACGCCATCGCCCGTGACCATAGAAGGCGGGTATCATCAGTAGGCCCATATCGCACGTTCGTATACCCTCAAGATATCCAAAATAAACTCGGTCGGCCACTTGCCATCGATCGTTTGTCGCCGTAGACCTATATCCAATCCAATGTCTATCATTCCCAAATATACCCCGTCGCTACGCCTTGCAAGCAATCATCTCCCCCTTTCCAAAAAATCTTCGCTATCTTCCTGTAGAGTGTACTCTATGACTCTTCATGATCCAACAATTCAAATACGAAACGCAACATTCAAGGGGCAACGCCAATATCGGACCCGCCTCGGGCCTCGACTTCGTCCCTGGCCTGCACGTTCGCGATGGCGCTCTGCAGCGCGCTGGTGAGGTCGACGTGGAACAGCGGGCGGTTGAGCCCGTGGACGACAACTCTCCTCGCATCTCCCCGCCTATGTTCGGCCGACTTGGTCTTGGAGATCGAGTTCGATGTGCTCGAACTACTCGCCTCTATCTCATCTGGGGAGTGCTCCTCGGTTCCGGCTGTGTTGTTGGGCTTCGTGTGATGCGTCGATGTCTCTTTCTCGTTAGCCTCATTTTCCGCCACCGCCGCCGGGGAGTCCGAGCCCCCGATCTCGGCGATGCTGAAGATGGACTTCCAGCGCGACTGCCCGTCGACCGGCTCGGACGGATAGCCGAAGCCGGCGGAGACCAGGGCACGTTTTGTCCATCGGTTGTTGATGCACGCAAGGTGCCAGTCCACCACGTCGGGTGCGGAATACCGGTCCAATTGGTTGCGTACGTCTATCAACTGCTGTATAGAGGTGACATCGACGTTATTCACGGAACTGAAGTCGAGGATGATCGCCTTGAGAGTTGGCAGGTCATGATCCTCATGCTGACCCTTCTTCGGACCCGGGTCGTTCCACGGTCGGTCGCCCTTCCGTGCATATGAATCCATCTTGGTCCGCCGCGAGTTGGCGAAAATGTGAGTCGTGAGGTGGTCTAGGGTGTGGCTGACGCTGGGATAGTTAAACCCCTCAGAGAAGCGATATATGAAGATACCCGGATAGGGGCTGGCGACATCAACCTCAGGGTTGGAGCCGTCGGGGTGGCCGATCGGAAGAAAAACGTTGCGTGTCGGAGGAGACAGGCTGGAATCTGAAGAGTTGAAGGTCCCATACTCGCCCATCGGGCGGTTGTCGTGGCCAATGACATGGTCACCCAGAACGGAATGCACCTTGACCCTCCCAAGGAAGCGGCCCTTAGCCTTTAGGGACCGTACAAGGAAGACGGCAAACGAGGTCGCGATTGTTGTGTAGATGCCGATTTCGATTGTCGAGAATACGGTGACGATCACGCCGATAAAGAAGATGATTGGCTCCAATGGCGACACGCGCCAGAATCTATAAACCGTGTTGGGCGGCGTAATGAGATCGCCGACAGCGTGGATGATGACGGCGGCCAAAGACGCAGAGGAGATGTAGAAGAAGACCGCCGTCAACGCATAAATAGCCAGGAGAACTATGACTGCGGTGATTAGACCAGCAAGCGGAGTTCGGACACCGGCTTTCGATTTGATAGCAGTACGACTGAAAGATCCAGTGGACGGAAAACCGCCGAGGAAGGGTCCGAGAACGTTCGTTACACCGATAGCAACCATTTCTTGTGATGGATTGATCGCGTAGTTGTTAACGCGGCCGAAGGATTTCGAGATGGCAATATGCTCTATCAGGAGGACGATGACGGTCGCCGGAATTTCGCCAACGAATGAACTTATAAGAGTGGCGTTCAGCGTCGGTACCCCAGCGTGTTGGAACCCTTGTTACATGTGAGCTTGCATCAATCAAGGAAGGGGTGTGCTCTAATGATGACTTACCTCTTGGAACAGATCCGAGAATGGCAAAAGCGGGATGCTTTCGACGGTCCTTGTTGACCAGCCAGCTGATTAGGGTATATAGCAAAATCACAAAAACCGACCTGAGAGTCGAGAGGAAGAAAAACAGCTTCTGTCGACTTGGGAACTTCTTCGCAGCAAAGGTACATGCGGAACGGATCAGGTAGAGCATTGCCAGTGTCGTAAGACCCATGGCCGCGTCCAAAGTGGTCCTGGGTAGGCCCTTTAGGGTGTTGATGATGACAAGGTATGTCGCATCTCTCGTGGAAAACCCCTTGATTCCCATCATGGTAGGGACCTGCCCTGCAGCAATACTGATAGCTGAACCGGTCATGAAGGCCGCAAGAGAGACCAGGGGAATCAGTTCCACGATCCAACCGCAGCGAACCAGACCAATGAACAGCACGATAGCGCCGCAGATGACAGCAAGAGCGGATGCAACAACCCAAGGCGTGGCCTCGTATTCGGGATGTTCGGCGATGACTTTCGATACGACACTGCCAGTGACAGTCGAAACAACGGCAACAGGCTAGCCCCTACTTAGCATCTTCACAGGAGGAAAGAGACAGGAGGGAGACGGGCAAACTTACCCCGATGGTAATATCCTTCGAAGTCGCAAAAAACCAATAGATGAGAACACCCATGAAGGAAGAATACAGTCCAAATTCGACTGGAAGCTCGGCTAGCTTGGCATATGCCATGCCCTGAGGCACCACAACTGCACCGATGGTTATGCCTGGAGACGAGAGTAAGCCTTGTGCGCAATATCAGCCGGAAGAGGGATACCAACCAGCGACTAGATCGCCAATGAGCCATTGGACATTGTAGAAGCCGATCCAAGACAGGAACGGGAACAGGGACTTGAGGTAGCGAACCACATCTTTTCCCGATGGCGCGATCTCGGCTATGAACTCCGCAGTGGTAGGCTGTTGCTCGATGAACGAGTCTGCAGTTTTTGTCGAGAAGACGGACTCTCCCCTCGTGACATGGTCGGTCTCTGGTTCCTCAAGCTTGATGCCCAGGGCTTTGGCGAGGCCATGGCCAACTTGCCTTCTGGAAGGCATCGTGACAATTTCGAAAGGTTTCCGGCGTACGGTAAGAGGAAGGAGTGAGAGGCCAGGGCTGACGGGATGCCACCTTTGTATCCTTCAAGGAGGATGGAGGCGACCTTGTAGTGACACCCTGAAGTGTGATCTCCTGGGGCTGAAGAGCGTCTGATTGGCCAGACAGGGTTGCGATATATACCCTTGTACACTGAGTACTAGTAGGAGTAGTAGAAGCAATAGTGACTGACGTGCTCAAGCCTCCAAAGATCTGGGACGCCCTGGAGCAGAGTCTAGGCGCACTGGTGGCCAACGAAGCTTGGCTTCCGACTCTTAGTTGAGAGTGTTGGTACCCATCGAGACGTGATAAGTGCGGCGTTTGATAATTTTCAAGGGGAAGCCTCGTGACACCGAGACGGGACGAGATAGGATCTCTTGTCGGCGCGGCAAGGATGAGGGTAACGTCGGTACGATGTGACCCAGCCAGCCCTACGTGAAAAGGTCGGAGAATACGGTGGTTCCGCTGTCCTCAAGTGAGGCCCTAACTATAGGTCGGGCAAGGCGTTTGATTCTCACCGTGACCGTTGGGGCCCAAATGATATGGTGTCGAAGTCGAGGCTCGGATGATAAGAGGCGCTTTGTACCGGATACGAATATATGTAGCCTGGCGGATATCGTGATACAATAGGCGTAGGAGGATCAGATGCCGTCGAGTTGGTCGTATGCTCGCTCTACGAACACGCGCTCTCGCTATCGTTCTTCAAGAAGTTGAAAGACTCGGAAATGCAGAGCTATCTGACAGGTTGGAGGAAGCAAGGAGATTCGGTATCGTAAAGTAAAGTACTTGGGTAGGTATTGCCAGGGGGTGGAATACTGGACGTCAGACGAGCATGGGGGTGAATTGATACACGTAAGAACGAGCAAGCCAATATCCCATCTCCATGGTGGTTACACTGATCTCTGGGAGCAATCCCTGTCCCTTTTGTGATCAGCGATTACATATGCGCGGGCGCCCGGATTGGTCAGGGTGAGGATGAAGTCGAATGGCGCCATCGCGCCTATGCCGTTCGTGGTATGGGTGGGCCCCATTGGCAGTGGTGAAGACGCCGCCAACGCCGCGGGGGCTTCGATGGATCTTCCATATGACATACGTAGGACATATCGTAACTAGTAAAGGTATCGTACGTAGAGAACGGGGTAGTAAGCCGAACGGCGAACGCGCGGTGCTGGAGAATTTGGCCGTTGCAGTGGGTCATTACTTCACAGGTTGGTGTCGATGAGGCGGAATGGTGGACCTCTGGAGGGCAGTTTTGGTGCGGCCCTGCCCGCCTGCTCTTCCCGCGGCTGGGTTCAGCTCTGCAAGATTCATGTGGACGGAAGTTAGCTTCGGCACGTGGGAATATCTATCTACATGTTTTGTAGGTACAATATGTTCTATGTATATCTACATGTACCCCAGAACGCAGTAGGCGAGGCGAGGCTATTGTGAGCGCTGGCATCATGACTTTGGACTTTGGCTACTAGCACAGAAGACGCCATCTCGCAACATTGTCGCGACTCTCATGGACTGTCAGGACTGTTCACTGTTCAAGCAGGTGCAGGTGTTCAAGCGGCGGGCGACCGGGCCGGGGCGGTGATGCAATTCCTGCAGATGAAGGGGCTGATCCAGATTAGGCCACGAAAGGGCACGGCCGGCCAATGACGAGGCCCGCTGTCGCGGCGATTGGTCCGAGCGTCGATGGTGTGATACGCCCTAGAGTTGATGCCATCGTCGACGACGGTCCTACTCTTCACATTGACCGTCCTTTCGGCGACTCATCCCAGCCATCCATACCGCCATCCCACAAGCCGACGCAACCACCTTTATCTCGGAACAGGACGGACTGCTTGGCAGCTCCCGAGGTCGTTCCAGAAGTTGCCGGATTTCCTCCCGTTTCCCACATCTCCGGGCTACCAAGCCTTTACCTAGGTTAGCCACCTGCCTAACCTGCTGTACTTGCCCGCTGCAGTTGGGAGGCGTCGATGGCCTAGCTACCGGCACATGGCATGGCTTTTATTATTATTATTATTATTATCCTCTGCTAGCCCCTGCACGTGGCTGCTCAGCTCGAACCTATCCAGATTTGGAGGCTTGGGTCTCGACTGTTGAACTTGCAATTGCTAGAAGAGGTCAGGATTGAGATCTCCCACCATCCGGCCCTCGCCCGGTCTTATTACTTAATACTCCATCACGTCGCTCGGCATTCACAAATGCTCGGAATATCCCCGGTTTGAAGCATTGAGTGAATGTCTCCAATCTTCTAAATTTTTATCATTACTCGGCAGCTCTTCGCTCTCTTCTTTCCCTGATGTTGATGTATAGCAAGATCTCACGTCCATTCCCACCAAGCCCCGCCAGCATAATGTCCATCAATAGACAAAAGGCGCAACGCAAGCCGTCGAACGCAGCCTGGGCACTTGGCGACACGCCATACCACAACCACAATCACAACTTACAAGGACCACCAAACTTCAATGCGTCATAACATCATCTGCTTGGTTAATCATGTCTTTCAATTCCCAGTACTCCCTGACCATGATTAGAATCTGTTGAGCTGAGGTAAAGCTATGCGCTGATCGATCAATTTCAGCTGTAGAGTGTCTGGGAGTGTGTGGGGTGTCCTCAACCTCTGTTATGACTGAAAGAGCTTCCGCTTCCGCACCTTCAAGCGTTATAAAACGTGGGGGGCCTGGATCACGACCTCAGATGCAGCCGTGGCTGAGATCGTGAGCCTCAGGAACCATTTTGACATCACGTTGCTGCCATTGCAGTGGTAGGGTCATGCCCGGTAGCCGAGAGGCGATCGATAATGTAACGCTTCTTGGAGTCAACAGTGAAATGCTATCAGTCACTTTGCTCTCTACGTTAGAGAGAAGTCGTCTGATTCCCACAATGCCCTCTGGACCTTGTATAAGGGGTGGTATACGTTGTCTAAACCAATTCGTGTATAATATCGTGGAGTGGCCCATTATGACCTGCTGATGCACTGAGAAGGGTAGTTGTCAATGTAGACAGGGTGAAATACTTGCTAATAGATCTGAACAGTATTGGGTCTCTATCAATACTCCTGCGCCGAATTTCGGTCATAAGTTGATTTGGGCCACGCCGACAACGTTACCAACACCGTCATCCTCATGGAGTCTGCGAATGCTTACAGCAACTCAATTTTCTCCACCCCAGGAGAGTCGATTTAAATACTCGTACGCACTCAAACGCACAACAACTCCTTCCTCTCTACCCTCCTTAGCAAGCTTCTTGCACCGATCTTTATACCCCTGAGTCGACTCCTTCGGGCACCAAATTTCAATCTCCTCCAAATTCATCATCTGCCCCTTCTGCACAGCGCGGAAATCCCGGGAAAGCGCGTTAAGAGCTTTCTCATGATGGTCTGTCCCCTCGGACTTCAGCGACAACTGGGTCACTGAAGAGGGTATCAAGTCGAGCACGAACGGGTCCAGGGAGTCGTCGAGGAGCCGGTGGGATGAGTTGGCCAGGGTCCCCAAGACGCCGGAGGAGTCGAGGTTACACGTTACTAGCTCCAGTGGATACTCAAGCTTCTCGAGTTTCTGGAACCTACGTAGCGACGCCCGGCCAGGGAGGACACGGCCTGGTAGTTCGTGAGTAAAGATCGAAAGTTCGACGAGATGGCTTCGTGCTTCGCGATCTACGGTGTTGATGAATGCGCATATAATTCGATGATCACGTCGAGGAGCTCGTTTGGCAGGCGTGTGAGAGCCATGGTGGCTGACCTGTCTCTGGTGGAGTGTTTCCTATTGATCAAGAACGAGGACTTGGCTGAGTGGTGGTTGAGAATGACACTTGGTTGAGGAACAATCGAGAATGATGACCCCGCGCGTTGAGCATGCCGCCCCCTTTTCAGCCTTACGGGTGGAGGCTCAAAATGGTCATCGACCCGATGGGCCTGTCAGCATGCTCCGGATATTAAAATGATCTACCCTTGATAATGATATACGTAGCAACTGAGATTAATGAGGCGATGATATGCAAGATGAGATGGCCAGTCAACACATCCGACGAACCTGCGTCGATGTTGAATATTTGTGTTGAGCATAGGTCTCTTCAAGAAACCGATGTTCTTAAGTCACTGTCCGGTGCATAGCTGTGACATGAATACGACAGAAAGGATAAAATGGCTGCTTGATCGTCCAGTCCCAAGTTCATAAAGAACGCACCGTAAAATTATGCTTTTTTGAGGGGAAATACTTGGTGTTGTTCATCTTTTGGGAATTGAACAATGAAGATGCGTTTTGGTGGAGGATGAGCTGACAAGGGGACGCGTCTAAGACGTGTAGTATTTAGACTACTACGGTTAGTTTCTGCATGGGAGGGGGGGCCATGTCCACCCGCACCCCGGCCGACCTCTTCGTTTACCATCATCACAATTAGACGATTCTGTCGCATAACCGACTGCGACCCATTAGCTTATCCCCTTTGTCTAAATCAATCATCGGCCTTGTCCAGCATCATCGCGAAAATGCCCAGTCCAACGAGGGACTCGTTCCCTTCCCTCGCACCACCCATGACCACCCAGCTGCATCCCCCACCCTCGCCGCGAACCCACCGAACACTGCGCAAGCTACAGTCTGCACACAACCTCGGCGCTGCTGCTAGGATCACCAGCCAGCCTCAATTGTCTAATCTGTCTTCCCAGCTCAGACTGCATGACATGCACTCGAGAGATGTCTCACCAACCCGGCGCCAGGCCCTCAACCGATCTCCCCAGAGGCACAGGGCCAACTCGGATGCCACTCCCCAGCACCTCCTAGGTGCCAGCTCGTCCATATCCCTCGCCAGCAAGCGAACCGCGCTCAGCAGAACTTCGGCAGCCGCGGATACCATGTCTTTGGACCGCTTGATCAGAGAGGGCCCTCCCGACGGCGATCTGGGTGGCGCTCTGGAGAGCATGCGCATCAAAGTGCTAGACCAGGGGATCAAGAGTGATAGCGACGGCATGGTATGTAGTCCCTGTCTGTCCGGGGTCGTTGCTAACATGGTCATGGGCAGTCTATGAGTCGTATATATGCCTGGCTGATATTTCTCAACGCGCCCATCCTCCCAACCGACTCATACATCAGACTCGTACACCGTGGCGCCTCGCCGGCCTATTCCAAGATCCGCAACGACACCTTCCGTACCTTGACAACCGACCCTCTCTTTCGCCGCCGTGTCAGCGAGGCTAGCCTCATCCGATTGCTCAATGCCATTGCCTGGCAGTTACACGATACGAACGAAGAGCGTCGCCCCTCCAGCAGTAGACAGTCGCTCCCTGCCAGCAGCGGTGCCAGTCCTTCCCGGAGCGACCTGTCGCAAGGGATGGCCTCTTCGCCGGCCGCTAAAAACCGCGCTCGGGCTCTTACCCTCACGACGGAAGGATCGGAAGCTAACGCGTCAGAGCCTGGAACATACGTGCAGGGCATGAACGTGTTGGCCGCGCCTCTCCTCTACGCCGCTCGAAGCGAGGCCGAAGCTTTTGCTGCATTCCAGCAGCTCGTGATCAAGGAGTGTCCAGGGTATATTAGAGGTGCAATGGACGGAGTTCATCGGGGTCTGGCACTGGTCGACAAAGCGCTGGCCATCGTGGACCCCAAGTTGAGCTTGTATTTGACCAGCAAGGGACTGACCGCTGAGATCTACGCCTTCCCTTCCGTCCTCACCCTATGCGCATGCACGCCACCTCTACCAGAGGTCTTGCGGCTCTGGGATTTCCTTTTCGCTTATGGACCGCATCTGAATATCCTCTGCATTGTCGCCCAGCTCGTCATGATGCGGAATGATTTGCTCGGCTCAACAAGGTGCGTTCACATGATACCCGATGAGACACAAACCAGTCTGATGCTGACTAATGCCAGTCCGAACAAGTTACTGCGATCCTTCCCTCCTCTGCATGCTGATCAGATCAAGCGGACCGCATTGGCTATCATCAAGATGATCCCTGATGACCTCCATGATGAGATTGTCAACCATTCTTTATAAATGGGCTTGAATCACAGCCAGGGCATCCGTCGACTATCCGGTCGTCCTCCTCGATCAGATTCCCTCAGGTTCGAACTTTGTTCAATCGCAGTTACCTGAAAACAAACTGCTTTGGAATTAACCGACGCGAGGAACAGAAAACCGGAGAGTGAAAAGGGAGTTGAACGAGTCTCTTTGGGCGCTATATCCGCAACCACGGCGGTAATGCCCATCCTTATTGGGACTTGGCTGCCATGATACATCTCTGGAATCTGTTGGCACGAGATCACACCACAAACTGATCCCATCCCAAGCCATCCAGTGAGTGCATGGGAGTCGCACTGTATTGATGTTTGTATGATTGAACGAGAAAGGAGTATCGAAGAGGACACGATATGACGAGTAGGGTGGCGAAGGAACAAAAATGGGTTTTGGTTATAGAGCATTGGGCTGGCTCACGCTACTTACGGCCGGTAATAGACACGATGTGAACGCGTCCTTACGTGTGTTTGATGCAGTCTTCAACGCGATCCGCCCTCTGCTCAACGCGTTTTAGAGTCAGACAGACACGTCCAGCTGACACCAACGGGTCTCGGGGAGCAAGGAAAGGGATGGGATGTCCGACAAAGGAGGCGCATATATAGATCGGAGGGGGCTGATTCTATTCGATATCGGGCTTCGGCTCTCCCTTTCTTGACGGGGCGGGCTGGCATGGAACTTTCGATACAGCGAGCGGACACGAGGAGGAGGCTGAAGGGGTGTATCGGATATAGACACCAGATTCCTTCGGTTCTTGAAAGGGCAGCAATGCGATTCCAATAGTGAGCCGTGTAGCCGCGCACCTGATGAAGGGATACGATACCTGTTAGACGGGCTTCGAGCAGAGTATAGAGCGAGCGACCTTGGTATATTATGTGTACGTGCGGTAAGCATGAGTAGAGGCCAATCGCGCATCCATCTTGTCTCCTTTTCCACACTCTTTCGCAAACACACTCGCTTTCTTGTTGGGTTGAGGATTCTACTCTATACGCTCGTTCTGAGTCTTCTCGTTGCCCTCTATACTCTATCTCTATACGCAGGCGCGGGCATTCTTTCGTTCTCTAGTCATCTGGATCTCCGTTCTCTGTTCTGCCGCAAAAACCCAAACCCCTACAGCATTGCAGACATATTGCCGCACGCGGGAGTCTATCCGATCGTTGCGGCCCCTGCTGAGCTATCGTAAAATACCCAGAACACCAGCCCCGTTCATCATGCTCTCCCTCGCGCTTCTGCTGGTGTTGTCGTTTGGGCGTTGCGCCCAGAATCCCGCAAAGCCCAATCCCGAACATTACGCACCAGTGGCCGTCGCATCCAACCACAAGCGGCAGGCCATGACGTGTGAGCAGACATATGGGCCCGAGACGCAGCAGTGCGGTGGTGTTACTAGCACCTTCTGCTACGACCCTAGTATTGGACAGGTACGTCGTGGGACCACCAACGATTGACTGTACAAGTGAGGCTCACAATATCAAGCAGACGTGCTGTCCTCTAGACAATGGGTTCTGCGATGAAGGCGAATACTGCGCACCTGTCGCGGGTTATTGTTGCCTCGAGGTATGTTGTCGCGAGAACCCCCACTGCGGATGGGCCGAGTCCGGCTGACCAACGTGACAGGGAGAAGATTTGCCAACATGTGCTGAAAATGCCGGATTCGTACTGCCTGGCTCCGCATCGATCTCACCCACCACGAGCGTTTCTATGTTCGATGATGCGACCACAATCGCTCCGGATCCAACCGTCAGCCCTTTCCTCAACGTACCCCCAACCTCGACAACGATGAGCATGCCTGACGGCATCCCCTCGACACTGACGACAGCACCGACGTCGACAAGAACGGCGGACTCGCCAGACACAAATAGTGACGTCGGCGTTGACAACGACAGCGCAGCCGACGCAGATGCCGCGGACGGCACAGGTATGCCAATGACCACCAGCAGCATAACGGCGCCAGCGCCAGCAGTAGCATCAAATACGACGACGCTCCCGCCCTTCGTCCAGGTCTCAGTTGCCGTGAAGGGAGATCGACTGCTGTGCAGTGCAGTCACACTGCTTGGGGTGTTCTTCACTGGGTTCTTCTAAGCAGCCAGTTTGGGTGTTGGTTTCGGCGCCAACTTTCTTTTTTGTCATTGACCATTTCAGGCGTCTCCACGAGCATGGATGGGTGCGATGGTCATTGGCTTGCCGCATGTAGCACGATAGACATTGCGTCGATGATACCTCATCTCATAATCGACAACGGCGTTCAGTGCGTGGGACAACCACCTTGCGCACGCTGGAAAGCGTTGGAGAAGAACTCTTGCATCGCCACGTAATGGTAGAGGATACCACCGAGCACAGCCAGCTGCGAATCGCGTCAGTTATGTTCTTCGAATGTGTCCCAGAGAGTTTACCCACATGCCACACGTTGTGGGCGTTACCACAATAGTCGAACACTCCAGGACACCACCTCTCTGGGATTTTGCTCGCGTAGATGAATGCCCCAATGACATATACGGAAAGCGACTTGACCAAGTTAGAGCCAGTGTAGAACTCGAAAGCCCAAGCGGGGCCTCTTGTGAGGAGAATCTGGAAGACTGGCAGAAAGCCCGTTGCACCTAACCCCACGAAGAAGGCCACTCTCAACCAAGCCATATCTTGCCCGTTGAACTTGGGATGCCATGGGAGAATAGTGCCCCCGATGCCCAGAACTGCGGTGGCAGTGATATAGATCCAACGACTGACAGGCTCGCAGTAGAAAGCCGTGTACTCGGTTGTCATGATGGATGCGGCTATTAGCAAAGATATGCCAGTATAATCGATGCAGGCGAAACGTTCCATCAACGTCTGATCAGCGACGCAGTTCATCGTGTGCCAAATTGTGCTGCAGACGAGACATTTGCAAGCAGCGAAGAAGAACACTGCCGCGATGAACATATCCATCTTGGTGTAGAGAGAGAAGTTGGCGTGAGTAGGGTAGAAGTAGAAAGCAATGGATAAGACCAGCACCAACCCGATGGCATGGGTCCAGATGTTGACCGTCTCGTTCGAGAGGTCGAACATGGAGCGGACACAGCCAAGCTTCGACTCGGAGAATCGATATCCTTTGAGGATATGCGGGTTGACCCTCCAAGGAACAGGCAGTTCGTCGTATTTCAGTAGTCCGTGATCCCTAGCTCGCATGATGGCGTACTGTATATTCTCCTCGAGGGATTCGGCCGCTCGCTTAGCCCGCTCGATTCCCTCGTCAACTACTCTGTGGGCCCGCTCGAGACCCTCGTCCACAACTCGACGGCCTTCGCCCATTATACTGCCGGCGGCCCCAGCAGCGTTCGCGTAACCTTGATCCCGGACCTTTAGGGCACGAGTCTCGAAATCGTTAAGCATGGTGTCCAGTAGGTCGATGCCGACTCGCGCCTTTTCGTTCATAGATCCGGCCGCAGCCAGGGCTTCGTGGTATCTTGTGTCCAAGGTGTCGACCATGGCCTGGAGCCTGTGACGTCCAGCACCGATGACTTCTTCCGACACATGGGAACATCGTTCTCGGACCGCTTGCAGGGTGGCGAAAGTCTTCGATATGCTCGCGTCAACATGACTGAGATCACCGTAGGATTCCAAGCTTTCCAATCGCCGCTCTAGCTCTGTCAAGAACAAATCGACCTATGTCCAGTTAGTTGACGAACATCTTTCCCCCTCCAACATCTTAGTTGCAACGGAGCGTACCCTGAGAAGTAGCCCCTCTTCGCCCTCCATGATATGGTTGACCATCGACGTTCGTCGGCGGGGTATGAAAGAAGAATGCCGTCGGCGCTGTCGGGGCGCGTGGTCACGTAGGGAAGTGCCGGAGCTTGTTGCATCAGGTGATAGAAGATCCTGCTGCGACCCGGTACAGGACATAGTAGACGAGGTAAAATCCATGGTGACCTGTGAGAGCAGCCAGCGCTGGCTGCGAATACTTGTGGGTGTCAAAATTTAGGGGTGGTCTGGGACTTTGCAAGTAGAACAAAGGTTGCTCCAGCACCTGACTCGACCAGTTGAATCGCAGGATCGCGCCACGCTGTAGATGAGAGGCTGGAACTGTAGTAAAGCACAACTCAATGCTAGTTCAGTTGAGTAGAACGATGGCAAAGAAAAAAAGGAGGCGAATGGAGGAATGGTATCTTGGTATTTCACATGTGGAGGAGATTGAGCGGCGATTGGTTGAGTCCAGTCTTGAGGATTGAAGGAAGGACCGGGAGTCAGGGACCCAACAAAACCCCAAGCTGATTACCTCATGGGCCGAAACGCGAGGAGGGGGACTTCGGAATTCAGTGACCAGGTGCGGGAATGTCTCCGACCCTTCAGTTCCAATAGTTCCCATATCATGCGAGCCGCCCCATCCTCCAAAACAGAACGAACAATTCACATTGATTCCGTCATAGCACGCTTCACGAACCTTAATCTTAATAACAGGATGTTCTAGGACCCAAGGTGACTGCATCGCACGGCAGGCCCGAGCGCAAGGTGCAACCGGTTAGTGCAATCGGTCTGATTATATAATCACCTTTAGCTGAATCTACAATGCTCCCGCACAGCTGCCGCAGTCCCCAGTAAATCCCCAAATCTCCAATCCTCAATGCGATCAATCAAAGATCAGAGCCCCTCCCTGCAAAGCCAATCACAACCCGCCAGTTGGAACCCCGCATCTCCCAGCCTCGCTTGGACGGCACCGGTGACTAGCACTACCGTCACCGTGTTGACACCAGAATCCCTGCAGCTAAGTCAGCGCTCATTGGCCACTGTAGGTACGTTCTCTTCGTCGCAACAATCGCATCGAAAGTTTGAAACGGCAAAGCTCACTTCGATGCCTCAGACACAACCCAAGAGCGCGGGCAACGAAGTATCCGAACCCGTAATTCTGACGTGTCATTCATCTCTCATTTGCCCATCTCGGCATCCTCGCTACGACAATGGCCATCGACGAAATAGTTAGCGATCCAAATCTGTCGACAGTCCTCAATGCCTCGCGCGACACCCGTTTACAGGCCCTGGGCCTCGTCGATCAGATAGCGGCGGCCGGTCCGATCGTGCACGCTCCCACCGACGCCCAGCTCGAGACGTCCAAGCAGCAGAAGCTCCTCATAACGAACCTCGCCCAGCTGCGCGGCCTCCATCGAGCTGCTTACTTCGGCGCCCGCCAGACCAAAGCCCAGACGTCCGAGGCGCGGCAGGAGGTTGACCGTCTGCATCTGCAGCTCCAGAACCTGTACTACGAGCAGCGACACTTGCAGGGAGAGATATCTGCTTGCGAGTCCTACGAGTCAGTGCCCGTTACAATCTCAAGATCTACAAGACCTACAAGAACCGAAACCCCTCAAGAATACATGCACTCAGCAACCCAACTTGCACAAGAGCTAATCAAGTTCACAAACAGCCATTCTTACCAGCAGCTGCCATTGATACCCGTCGAAGAGTTTCTCACGTTGAAGCCGGAGCATGCTGACGATGACGAGAACACCCTGATGGTCGCCAGGATTGAGCATGAGCGGAGCGAGCGCGAGGCTTTAGAGCAGAAACGTATGGAGCTACTGAAGCGGAAGCAGAAGCTCATTGCCGACAACAAGAGGAGGAAGGACGGCCTGTCAAATCTTGACAAGGAGCTTGAGAAGTTCATCGATGTGGGTGTACTCTGCAACACGTTCATGTGTTTACCAGCGCTTACACGAATGCAGTCTGCGAAACCGATTACGAAGCTTTTCGACAAGAATGTTTGATTGCACAACATGATACGTTCCCGTCGGCGTGCAACATTGCCTCTGCTATGAGCTGCGGAAGCCCAGAGCCTCCAGGGCAAACAATCTAACAATGACAGGTGAGGCAACCTCATCAGGTCCGCAGGATACATGCTTATTCCGTTACTCAGGCTCTGTTGGGATGCACCAGTGGAGAAGACGACCCGATTACCAGCTCCGGACCAGCTCCGAAATATCCATTTCTGCGCCTCCGATGCGAGGGGGAAAGATGCAGTGCCACCCGAGGGCAGCAACGGCGGGATGCCTATCTCACCTCACGTTACCGCAGAGAGACCGCAGGCAGACGGAAAGACCTTGCAGCATGCTGTTGACATGTGCCTGCCTACAGTTCTGAGGACTATTCGGAAAGGCCCCTCTACGCGATGATCTCCAAAGGAAGAGCATGGTTGATATGAGAGCACGTCTTATTAGCCAGATGATATACCCCAAGATCTGGCGTTGGCCTCTTTGTTCTGTGACTGGAGTGCGGATCTGGCAATTCATACATAGGAAATACCTTGATAGTGGTAAGCCAATTGCCGTACAAGTCAATGCGTGTTAAAGATGTGCGTATATCGGTGGTATGGTGCCCCCAAGATGAGCATGGTGATCGGCGGCTCAGCCTCGTGATGTGCCTTGGCCATAGGCTGTGTGCTGTGTGTGGATTCCGTACCGTCGCCCGTGGCTGCGACTCGCCAACTTCTCTTCACCTATTATCATGCTGCTGCGTGTGATTTATACATGATAGAAACCACGGGTGATACGCTGACTGGCCAGTTCGCAACCTGAGTCGAACACGGCCAGCTGGATTCATTTGCGTCGATCCCATGTTGGACGTTGCAACCTGCCCGTCATATCACATACGGTTTCGACATGAGACGATCTTCCATGGAGCAACCCGTTGGACGACTCGTGTGTCTTCACGGGGTGCCGATACCTTACGATCGACATTGTACCGACGGAATGCATTGTTCGCATTACTCGGGCCCGTGGCCGGCTTGCTTTGCCGTCGTTTCAAAACGACGCCAACGGCCAACTACATGATCAAGGATGAGAGCCCGAGAGAAACATCGATGTGCCAGTGAGTCGTGACCGGCCATCCCATCGACTTCGGTCGGCAAAGAGATTCCGTAGCGAGGATCACCGTCATGCCCATACATACAAGCGGTTGGAATCAGTAGTGCAGCATGAACAGGTATTTCGAGGACAGTCGACTAGGAAGCGACTTTCCAGGTCACTGCTTATTCCACACCAAAGCTCATCTCAACGGCTTGCCGTGAAACGCAGGATCGGTAATAGGTAAGCAGGAATCCTGGAATGCAACTGCTGGAGAGGTCTGAGTCAGCATATGATGGGCGCCCATTCGGTCGAAGTCTCGCGTCGTTGTCGGGTTCCTGATCCCGCCCGTGCCCCGCGAACGGCCCCTTGGCCCCCTGATTTGCCAGCAGCGACTTGAGTCGGGAATCAGGCGAATGAACGAGCCAGCAATGGGCACGTGCTGCCTACCTAGGAAAAAGAAGGCTGTCCACCAACTCCTGGCTCCTAACTCCTGAGAGAAAACACACCTGCATAGGCTGACAGGAATGTGAGCCCAGAAATCTGCAGTTGCGGTGGATCCAGATCAGGCCGTGGGGTCTGCAATTTCGAAGTGACAAATGACCAAAAGGGATGAGTCTCGCGCGACCCAATCAGCGTGGCCCGAGACTCACGGTAAAATTAGCAGCATGCCCCGTAATAAACCTGCACGGCCGGAATTTATGCTGGGTCTGGTGATCCATATTTCTCACTTGTAAGTTGTCAGGTCGTCGGCGGCCTCCTCGTAGTCTCGCGTGCGTGCGTGCGTGCCGCGTGCGACGTTCAACGTTCAACGTTCTCAAACATAAGGTACCTACATATTGGCGTCGTGTAAGACAGAGGTGCGAATCCGGACGTTACGGGCGAAGAGACCAGCAAGCCGGCAGGGTGGTTGCAGCGACGGCTGTGGTTCCATTCAGAGACTTCCCAGGCCTTGTGTTGTGTCACAGTGTCACTGTGTCAGTCAGAATAGAGGTGTGAAGATAATGCCACCTGCAAGCACACCTGCCATCACGACATTGGCGAGGGTCGGTACCGCGGGCCATGTTCAAGTTGTGAAGCCCTCAATTTCCAACAGTCTCATTCAAAGACCATCCCGCCATCCACTCCTCGCTGCTGTTGGCAAAATTGAGGAGTTGGATTTCTTATGTTATGCCGGCATGGGAGCAGTGGCTCTCATTACTCCTTTTCTCGACTGTACAGCATCGTGGCTCCGGTGGCCGCCAAGGTTGTCGACTGGATGAACGAGCACTGTGCGCCACTCGGCCCATGACCAAGCAGCTGGGACCGCGAGCGAGCGATATGCAACCTGATTTAGCAGAGATGTGATTATCTTTATATCGAAGTGCGGGTGTCCGTACAACATCGGCCGAACGTGGCAAGAGGATGTACAATCTTGGAACAGTTCGTCAGATGTCAAGAATCGTTACTGAGAGCCGCGATTGACGACGATTGTGTCCTGGCGTGGCTGCCAGGGCGATGACGAAGGCCAATACCTGAAGGAGCTTCAAAGGTCCAATTGGAAGAGCCCTATGTTAGGTAGCACGGTGGATGGTCGCGGCAGTGCCGTGGCTGTTGCCCATCTCACTGCATGCATGCATCCAGCTAGATATGCACAATCCATCAAGCGTGCGTCCAAGGCAGTGAACGTAGGTACCGACCGATCCCAAGCATGTGCCCAGCCCCGGCTTCGAGGTCGTGTAGCACGTCGCGAACGGCCGCTACGTGAGGTGACAGCCAGGTAGATGGGAGTCTAGACCTGGACGGGAGGACTGGACCAGACATTTGATGAGATGAACATTGAAAAGAGTGTGACGCCATACGGCAGCGGCCTGGGGCGGACAGCTCCTCCACGGGGTCTGGCCTTGGCACTGGGCAGCCTGGCCCGACTAATAATCGATAGCACAAGAGACGAAGGACAGATGGCGCTTCGTACCTATGGGATTGCTGGATCGCTCGCATATGCAGTCATACGCAGACGCAGATATGCGTGTGTGAGTGTGTGTGCAGGATCAAACACGGTAGCCGTCATGTAGCAGCAGCACCATGACATGCTGTCCAACAGGAGGCGTTTCTCATGAAGGAGTTGTAACTTGGTTGTCAACTGGAACAGGTGGGATGCTCAGAAATGCTGCTAAAGCTGCTAGCCAAATCGGCTTACCTGGGGTTAGGTATTAATAGAAAGCTGAGATCATGACGGCCTTGGCAGTTCTTCATCGTCAGCGCGAGGTCACACAGGTCATCCTTCGTCCTACCACTGTGGCAGTCTGCAGAGAAAACCTGCAAATGGTAACTATGCCATATCCGAATCCGAAGACTGTCGCCTTTCTATGTAGGCTGTTCTTTAGCCTTTAAGCTTTACAGGGGAAATCATCAGATGAAGATAGAGTTTCATTGTCAAAGGTCACGACAGGGACACAACCAGCCAGTGATTGCTTTCTATCTTCTGTGGTGACTCGACCTCGGTAAGAACATATACGCGCTGCAGTATAGGCATAAAATGGTCCACGGGTATTGATTGTGATAAGACCACAATAGAGTACAATGGGACAATGGAAGAGCAGGACCTTTAGGCATGATGAGTATCAGAATATTGAACATCAACCTTACCTGACTCTTACTATTAAGGTATTATTGGCGTTTTTGTGAAGATTAGTTAATGATCATCACAGGTCAGTTGATGTCAACTGCAAACAGCATATTGGTAGCTGCATACTTATGTACCTATATGTACGTAAGCGGCTTGAAGTTGCACATTCCAAGGCTGTGCCGAACATTGACATGCATGTGGCCCCTGCAGGCAAAGGACTCCAGGCTGACTGCGCCACTGCCCACTGCCCACTCCCGCCGCCCGCTGAACCCCTGTTGCTCTGCTCCAGGAGGGCGGGGAATCGCAATTTGAGCAGGCGAGGCAGGCAGGCTCTCGCAGCACTGCACTGAGAGCCAGTGAGCGCCAGTGAGCGCAGAACATGGGAACCTTCCCGTCCAGTTGTCAGGTTGTCAGAGCTACTGCGCAGATGGATCCCCAGAGCCCCTACTATTCCAAGCTTTAATTTCTCGCTGTCAGGTAATTCAAGCCAGGCTCCCCTTTTTCTAATTATTATTACTTCGTCACTCTCCTCCTAATAATACCAGCTGACCTTGCCCGCCCTGTGCTAGCTGGACTTTTCTTCCTGCTCGGCTCCCTTTCCATCCCGACATTACTAGTACTGTAGAGGTACCTAGGCACAGGTGCTGCGCAGGCTGCACCAAGGGTCAAGTTTCGCGCGTTCTGAGCCGCCAGCCCCAATCCCTCAATCCCTCCTGTCACCTTATCTTTCCTCCCAACACCACTATCGTCGGCCTCTCCTCTTCGTCTCACTCCTTCATTCCCCCTTTGCGATTCGCGTTTCTTTACCCTCGCCTCATTGACTATTCCTCGCCAACCTGCCGCCAGCCTGGCCTGACCCGTCGGAAACATCTGCACCCACGTCGTCGCCATGTCGCCTCTTTTCACTTGGGTGTCGAGGTGCGCACCGGGCTTGGGGATGCTGTTTCTCATGGCACTCGCCTACTATGCGATAAGTAGAGAAGCAGCCGCTGCGGGTTTTTTTGGCCAGAAAGACTCGTTGAGCCCGCCAGGACACGACAGCACCTCCAGCTCCGCAGAAGGAGGCGGCATCTTTACCGTCATCTTCGCCTACTATTGCCTCCTGATCCACGTCCTGGTCTCGTCCTTCCCGCTACGATCTTGCTGGTCTATATTCGACATTACGCGATGCTTAGAGAGGACCGCGCGGAGCAAGTCGCTTAGGGATTATAAGCTAACCCACCGCCGTCGTGGCTCGTCAACATCCCTCTCCAGCTCCGAGACTTTGACTTCGTCCAAGGAGTGCTCTATGGCTTCCTCGACCGCCGGGAGCGAAGCGGGCGACATCGAACACGAGTTCTCCCTGGACGGCGAGAAGGGCATCGAAAATGTTATTCACGCCATAATTATTCCCAACTACAAGGAAGAGGTGGACACTCTGAGGGAGACTCTGGACGTCTTGGCTTGCCACCCACAAGCCCGTGATACCTACGACGTACGTACCTCTCCTCCACATGCGATGCCTGCTCCTTCATCACTGCACATCTGGGTCGCCCCTTGGGAGCAGAGCATCTTGAGATCCCCAGAGGAGGTCTTTTTGGTCCTCAAAAGGCTCTGGGTAGGAACGCTACTAACGCGTCTGCAGATCTACCTGGGCATGGAATCGCGTGAACACAACGTCGAACTCAAGGCGATGAACCTGATCCAAGAATTCGTCAAGAAATTTCGCTCGATCGATTTCACCCTACACCCTTCAGATATTCCTGGCGAGGCACCTGGAAAGGGTAGCAACATGGCCTGGGCTGGGCGCAAGCTCAGTGAGAAGTATCCTGTCAGTATCCGGAAGGATGTCATCATCACGGGAATTGATGGTATGTGCCCATTCCTTTATACCTTCCCTTTTTGCAACAGTTGTTTTGCAGATAAGGGTATCGGCATTGGCTGACATCCGCCTCAAAAACATAGCCGACAGCCATTTGTCCTCCAACTACTTTGCTCTGCTCACCAGCATGCATACCGCACATCCGGAAACTGCTACCACCACCCTATATGCGGCCCCTATCATCTTTGACCGCAACGCCCACCTTGTCCCAGCTATAGTACGAGTTGCCGACATTTTATGGGCGTCTGCAGGTCTGTCGGGCCTTTACCGTGGCTCGTCTATTGCCCCTCCTACTTCCGTCTATTCTCTACCGCTCCAACTGGTCGACAGGGTCGGCGGGTGGGACTGTGACTCGGACGCCATCGGCGAGGACCTGCATATGTATATCAAGTGCTTCTTTGCCTTGAATGGAAACTTGACGGTCAGAACCATTCACAGCCCTGTTAGCCAGAGCAATGTCAAGGGTGATGGCGGTAAAGGAGTTGGGAGAATATACAACGACATGAGCGCGCGATACAAACAGGCTCTTCGACACATGTGGGGAGCATTGGACGTTGGTTTTGCTATGAGGAAATTTACTGAGCTTTGGCGCGAGCGAAAGCACACCACACGGGCCTTCCGACCACTTCACGTTACGCTGTAAGTTCTGGACATGGGTGGGCTCGCTATGGAGTATGCGGCTAATAAGACACAGCGCCAATCCCGAAGATTCATACATCCCCCAGGCTCAAATCGACATGGACCCAGAACAACAACCCGAAAGTGGTATTTATTCAGACGTCGTGACGGATACCATCAAGGACGTTGATTGGCAGCGAACCTTCCTCCTCGGCCATCGATTATTCGAGGCGCATTTCTTGCCACTCCAGATGACCTTCTTGGTTGTTACTTCAACGCTGTACATGTTGATTACGGAAGGCGGCGCTGACCCCCATAACGTGGGATGGATCTTCAAGATTTGCAACGTTCTTAGGACCGTCGGCTTCATGGAGGTCGGTTTACTCTTGTGCTTGTACGAGCGCTTCCATAAGATTTCTGCCTCCACCCGCGAAAGGGAGATGCAGGAAGCTGGTCTTGCGAAAGGCATGTGCTTCTCTCACCGCACCCTCAAGGGCAACTTTGTCGACTACATCATGGTACCCCTTGTTGCGCCGCTCTATGGTGCCGCCCCTGGCGCCCACGCCCAATTCATGCACTTCTTCACCCACGATCTGGTGTACACAGTCAGCAAGAAGGTCACTCGGCAAAGGGCAAAATCATTCATCGCAGACGTCCTTTCAGTATAGCGATTCGGCAGCTTTTGCAGTTTCTATTATTGCTTCGACCCAGCCGACAAGCCGGTCTGTCGCGATTCTTTTTCGATTCTTCCCCGATAGTTGAAGACCGACAAGCGCCCGAAGTTTGGATTTTGAAGTAGGACTCCTGCGACGAGTATGTAAATAGAGGACATGATGTTTCTGCATGGCACTGGCATTGGCATTCAAGATATGGGATAACTTTTCTGGGCTCATGGAGTTCTCGGAGCAAACTGTGGGAAGGAGGTCCTCTTCCTGTCGGCATTCGTTTATAAGGCAAGGAACGGCGAACACCAGACAACGGGTCCGGGGTGGACACGGACTTCGCTATTGCGAGAATACGCATCTGTCCGTTTGGGGGGACGGGCTAGCCCAGCGAGGACGACAATGGCGGGTTTACGACTGCGATGAACCCAAGCTAATGCGTAAAACTGGCCCGATAATATCTAATATGATGTATGTAGGAAGAGCAGGAAGGCAAAGGCCCGATGTTCGATAACGGTTGTCAGGCCGTACGCGGGCTTACAACGATCAATGATACGTCGTATTGCTCTACCTCAATGACTCTATGCCCTGCAAGAAGTGCTACGCGCATGTCGCGATTTATGTTCAGTCGAACAGAACTCTTCAGAACGAGAGACTCAACTCCTCCATACTGTATTACTGATATGTTTTAATCCCGAACGACTGCGGGAACGGTTGTGTCAAGGATGTGTGTTGTCTCTTGTGCGCGTGGCACGCGGCTTGACTCCGAGTTGTCTCGGAGCTGGGTGTAGGGAACCAACCAATCACATAACACGGTTTAACGGCTTTTGACCGCGAGGGGTCGGGGCCTTTGTCGACGAGCCTTCTCTGCCCCGAGGCGCCTCGGAGACGTTGCCAGTGTTGGGCGTACAGGGCTGTATAAGGGCTGTATAAGTATGTACACATGTCCGCCTCTTTCGAGAGAGAGGACTCCTAATATCATGACCCAAAAACACCTTGACCTTACGCTTGAATAATATCCCTTTGTCTAAGCGAACTCCCGAGTCCAGACCGCCAATATGGGCAATACCACCGAGACCACCACCGGCAACGGCAGCAGCAGCAGCAGACACGTCGTCAACGTCGGCGTCCTCATCCCGACCGAGTGCCAGGTCCTCGACGCGGCCTGCGTCGACGTGATCGGCAGCATGTCGCACGAGTACTTCTCGCGCATCCCGCAGCTCGTGCCCCAGGCCGTCATCGACGTAGCACCCTCGGTGCGCATCCACTACATCGGCGGCGTGGCCGCGGGCCAGCGTAAATACATTTTAGAGTCTCCTATCACCCCTTCTGGTCGTGTCGCAGGGGCGAATTTCCTCTTCTAGCCTGTGTCAAGAGCCCTTGCCCCCGAAACACACAATCCGACTCTTTGGGTGTGTTTAGTCAGAAAGGGGTAATTACTGATTCTAGTTTTCTAACAGCTATTTCAATGACGGCCAACCAGCACATCGTGGCCACGGACCACTTCGCCGACGCCGCCGTCGCCCCGGGGAAGCTGGATGTTGTCATCGTGCCGGGCCCGGACCCCTTTGGCGACGCGTTCCCGGCGGACGCGGTGGAGTGGCTGAGACGGCAGGGCGAGGTGGAGGGCGTGGATGTGCTGAGTGTGTGCACGGGGATCTTCCTCTGCGGCGAGGCTGGACTGCTGAGGGGGAGGACGGTGTGTGGAACGCGTGGATTTGGGGATGTTATTCGGGGCAGGGGCTTTGGAGAGAAGGAGCTCGTGGGGAATAAGGTGAGGTGGATGCAGGATGGGAACTTTTGGTCGAGTGGTGAGTTGATGCTGACCCCTTTTCCCCTTTCTTCTTTCTCCTATTTATTCATTTGTGGCTCCACGGCCTCAACACCTCCCATATGATCACCCCCTTCCCCTTCTCCTTCTCCTTCTTGCTGCCTTGCCTCCCTACCTACACTCTCACTGACACGTGCCCCCATCCAAACCCAACAGGCGGCGTGACCAATGGCAACGACCTCGTGGCGGCCTACTGCCGCGCGTCGCCCAAGCACTTCCCCAGACCCCTCGTCGAGATCGCGTGCGAGATGCTTGATGTGGGTGACCGCGACCGCGAGTACAGCAAAGGTTAGTCGTTTCGGCGTTTCATCCTAACATTAGACTGCCCTCCATTGGAATAGCTTTCGATGTGTGTGTGTTTGTGTGTGTGGCACGCGTGGCTGATACGGGTCTCTGGACGCTTTGTAGATCTTATGCAACCGAAGGACATCGAGGCCATGATGATGGCTGTTGTTGCTTAGGTAGGTGGGAAAGGAGCGAGGTGGTCGAGCAGTGCGTCTGAAGAGGGAGGTTGAGATTCAACTTGGTGGTGTTTGCTGTGGTATAAGTCATGTGGAAGTTGGGGAAGAACCGCGGTGGGATTGGGATTTTCAGCTCTACCTAGTTGCTTTGAAGAAAACTGTTATACAGCCCACCTGGTACATTTCCAGCCTTGTGCCTTTTCGAGAAGCTGATGTTTCCATGTAGTGACAACGTGCAAGGCCGTCCCTCATGTAGATACGTGTAGTTCTCTGTCGAGGGTGAAGTAGACGCCCAGTTTCTCCCAGTTTGCCAGTGAAGACATGTGGCGGAGAATGCCCATGATAGAGTTCGTCTGATCACATGCACGCAGGCAAGAACACAACACAACAGTTCAACATGAGACGATTACAGCACGCTCTTTTGACCATCACAATGGCGTTTTTGATAGTTCCGTGAGGTTGGTCCCTGGTCACAGGTGAACATGGAGCCACCACCAACAACTGAAAGACTGACCCTACCTTGACATGCACTAGGTATGCTCTATGTCGGGACGGCACACATTGTGCATGGTGGACAACACTGCACGTTTCCGCTCTCACCGAGGCGACACTGTCGCACGAAGATAGGCTGCAGCGCGGGGAAGCGTCACCTGCTCTATTTGAGCTTGGGATACGCGTCGTGTTGGGACAGCCAGCCATACATACATGATGCCACGCATATCCAGGTGAGTATAGGAGGTACATTTATACATCGTAGGTGAAGATGCAGGTGGAGAAGAGCCCCTCCAGGCTAGCTGGTTGCCCGGCCACCACTGACCTGGCGCCACGGATAAGGTCGCTGGCTGCGTTAGCGGACCCATAGTGGTCCCTTATCTGCAAAGGCGGTGGACGATTTTGGGTGTGAGCAAGTGGGGGGGTGCAGCCGCGGAATATTTTTTTTGGCGGTAGAAATTTTCGAGTTTGGCTGGGGACTGCAGCTAAGCTCTGGCACCTTTTTTTCTTCAATCCGACTCGAGCTGCATCCCATCTCGCCCACGCGAAAACTTCCACCTTCTTTTCTCGTCCCGTGAACTTGTCAAGTCGTCTTCTGCCTTGACCTGACCTTGCACATCCTGTTTCAGATCACCAACTTCCACACTCTCAGTGCTCCGCAAGCTTCACGCATTCAAGATGTCACTGCTGCCTGTCGCCCTCTATGGGCTTGAGGTTCCCACCGGGAGCCGCATGATTCCCGCGATGCAGGAAGACAGCATCCCCAATGCTGCTGTAAGTAACCACCTCTACCAGAAGCACGCAATGTCGAAGCGCTTGTATGCCAGGTTGGCCAAGTCTTTCGTCCCGCCCCCGCTATTGCAGCTTTCGTCCCAAAGAGCTCGGGAATAAGTTGCTAACATGTCTCACAGTACCGCATCACCATGGCCGCCCTCGACCCCACCGAACCCCCAGAGGCTGATGAGGACGGCAACCTCCCTAACATCCCCCGATCCACCCTAAAGCTGATCCGAAAGCGCCCTAACCTGGATGACGAGCTTGATGACGAGTATTTGGAGCGGTTGATGGCCGGCGGCTCTGACGATGACGATGAAGAGGACTCGGACGACAATGACGAACCCAACGGTGGCCCTAGTGACCCTGCCAAGTCTAAGAAGGCCAAGAAGGAGGCTGCCATGATGAAGCTCATTGCTGCTGTCAACGAAGACGAATCGGACGAGGAGATGGGCGAAGACGGCAAGCCGAATGGTGTCAAGGCTAGCAAAAAGGGCAAGGAGCCTGCCACATCCAGCGACGATGATGACGATGATAGCATCGACTCGGGTGACCTGGACGACATTGAGGAGCTTGTGATCTGCACTCTTGACACCGAGCGCGTAGGTCTTTCCTACTTCACCGCCCACCTTCCTAGTAGTTGCGCTAACGTACCCAAAGAACTACCAACAAGCACTGGACATTGTCATTGGCCCCGAGGAGGAGGTCTACTTCATCGTCAAGGGTACCCACGCGATCCACCTCACTGGCAACTACATCATTGACACCGACGACACGTCTTCAGACGAGGATGATGATGAAGAGGACTACGAATTCCCCATTGGCATGGACGGCATCGAAGAGTACGACTCTGACGACTCCGAGGCCGATGAGCTGGATGACATCAGTGACCCTCGCGTCACCGAGGTAGACTCGGAGGAGGAGGAGACACCCAAGGCGGTCGTGTCCAAGAAGGGCAAGAACAAGCGACCAGCCGAAGAAGAGGTTGATGGCCTCGATGAGATGATTGCGAAAGCCAGTGCCGGTGAGACCAAGCTCAGCAAGAAGCAGCAGAAGAAGTTGAAGAACAACAAGGGTGAGTCGGTCGAGGCCACGGCGGAAACCGCCAAGGATACCCCCACCAAGGGCGACAAGAAGGTTCAGTTTGCCAAGAACCTTGAGCAAGGCCCAACCGGATCTACTATTGCCGAGAAGGGAGCCACTCTTGGTGTGAAGCTCGTCCAAGGTGTTACTGTCGACGATCGCAAGATCGGTAGCGGACGCACCGTCAAGAAGGGTAACAAGGTGGAGGTCCGATACATCGGCAAACTCGAGAACGGCAAGGTGTTTGACTGTAAGTGCTACTTGCCCCTGGCCAGGTGAATGCATACTGACGAATCATAGCAAACAAGAAAGGCAAGCCGTTTAGCTTTTCTGCCGGTACCGGACAGGTCATCAAGGGATGGGATATCGGAGTTGTCGGCATGGCGGTAGGTGGAGAGCGTCGCTTGACCATTCCTGCCAACCTCGCCTACGGCAGCAAGTCGCAACCCGGCATTCCTGGTAACAGCACCCTGATCTTCGATGTCAAGCTGCTCGGAATCAAGTAAGTTTTGCTTTCGAGGTGGATGCGCTGGACATGCGACACACGGCCAGTGCTCTTACGTCACACCCTCTCAAGTCTGCGAAACGTTTTCCTATCTGCAGATACCACTGTTGGTTGTACTCTACCTGGGTTTTGCTGGGCTGCTCAGCTATGGGAGGGTATTTCCTTGGTACGATTCTTAATCTTGCGCTGTGAGGTCTCCGACCTGCGCGAGTCTGCGAGGATCCTGTCTCTCCCTAGACACAGGAAGCAGATGTTGACATAAGGGATGACGAGGACTGCATTGCATCAGGCGTATATAAAAAGCTGTTTACGGGGATCGGGTTCCCACCATGAAATTCGCGCTTCTGCTTTTCTTAGGTAGCTAAGATACCTCCAGATGAATCTACATTTCATCAAACACATCATCACCAGCGCAACGTTGGCTCGCCTTGTGTCTTGACTGTATCCATGCGTCAGGGCGTCAGGGCTGTGCTTACACATTGTCAGTGTACTCGCTGTTGGACGCACCTCCCTAAAACTAAAGTACGTAACACAGGAGACATGGACTTAAGATCTCTTGTTACAGGACGCACCTACTTGACTGTGTAGGCCGATGATGTGAGGGAGGTTCGTCGGAGGGAGAAGTCGCCATGCGTGGGACCGGAAAGAACAGTTGCGTGTAAGTCCACGTATCAGTTGAAACTGCATTTCCAGGGACCCCAACCTAACGTTCCTCAACTTCACATCATCTCTACTGACAGCCTTACCTCCAGTATATGAGACCGGGCCGCGACACATGCGGGGGGCCTTCTTTGAGGTATTCTTCTAGCACTGCATTCTTCTTGATTGCTACTCCCAGGTCGGCCTCCACTGGTACTAGAGTCGCCGTAATGAGGCGCAATCTGCCTCTCGTTGGCAGCATGCCAGAAATGTCGGTACACGACGAACAAGCTCCCGCGGCCTCTCAATCGACGACGGCCTTGTCATTGCCAGAGATAGGCGAACCGCCACGCAAGCAGAGACGGCAGGGATCCCGAGTCAAGTCAGCTTTGCGATCTTTGACCAACAGTCGTGGGTGGTGTGCTTCCCCTGATCACGGTTCTGATACTAATACCAGCTCAGCATCTACCGGTTCCAGTAGAGAGCCTGCTACATGGCCAGCACCATCCCCTACTATATCGCCTACGCCAAGCGGCAAGTCGTTCGGTCGACGCCGCATGTTTCGAAAGGTGAACTTGCCATTCTTTCGAAGCCCTTTCGGTGTTCCCGTCACCATCGTTCATCGGATCAAAACGAAGTCGAGACCATCCATTCCTTCTATGGACAGGGCTGCCTACTTGCATGTGCCTCTTCCAACCGTTGGCAGCAATTCGAATAGCAACGGCAACAGCAAGGGCAACAGCAAGGGCAACAGCAACGGCAACAGCAACGGCAACAGCAATGGCAACAGCAATACGAATTCGAGTGGCCCGTCGTCTGGTCGCACCAACGGTACTGGAACTACCGCCAAGACGTCACTCGACTCCAAGCGAGACGCCAAAGACAACAATTCAGGAGACAAGAGGCAGGCCAGTGTCATCCGCCGCAAAGAGCCTGAAAGAGCTTCCGCAACCGCAGACTCGAACCTCACGACTATCCAGGAAACAGCCTATGACTTGGCATCCCCCACAATCCTGACCGTCGAGAGAGCTGCAGCTGCAAAGGTATTCCTCGAGACTTACTTTGACGAGAAGCTATCCAAGCCGTCGCCGCGGTCTCTGCGTCGGCGCTATCTCGAAGGAGAGCTCTATCACAGTGATGGGCTGTCCCCCGCGGAGAAGGACATGCGACGTCGTATGTTTTACAAAAACGAGTCGGATCATCTCCGCGAGACTCGTGCGCTAGAGGTGAAGAGTATTGGTGCGGTACAGGGAAAGCACAGCCAGCTTGCTGATGGCTATGAAGTTGTCAAGATCCTTGGCAAAGGAAGTTTTGGTGTCGTTCGACTCGTTCGTGAGAAGGCGGGAGAAGGCGAATCGCAAGCCCGCAACCGGGTGTACGCCATGAAGGTGATCCGCAAATCAACCATGCTGAGAACAAGTCAAGAAGGTCACCTGCGAGCCGAGAGGGATTTTCTGGTAGCCTCTGAGGGCTCGACATGGTAAGATGACGATCCGCCAGCTGCTTCAGATAAGGGACTGATATGAAACACTTACAGGATTGTACCGCTGCTCGCGAGTTTTGAGGACGCAGCAAACCTCCACCTGGTGATGGACTACATGCCTGGTGGTGACTTCCTTGGACTCCTCATTCGAGAGAACATCCTCAATGAACCGGTGGCCAAGTTCTACATCGCCGAGATGATCCTCTGCATCGAGGAGGCGCATTCGTTGCGCTGCATCCATCGCGATATCAAGCCGGACAACTTTCTAGTATCGGCTTCCGGTCACCTGAAGATATCCGACTTTGGACTGGCGTTTGATGGTCACTGGTCACACGACACAAGTTACTATCACACCCAACGGTACAGCTTACTCTACAAGCTCGGCCTCTCGGTGGAAGGAGATGCCACTGATCGTGCCGAGGGCTTACAGGGCACGATGAAATGGGCGCAAGGAGTGACCCAGGCCATGCATAAACACGAACGTCAGCCGGTGGCGGTGGCCTCGCCCTCGACGGCACGGGACGAGCCACTCTTGAACTGGCGCAATCGATGCGGCAACCGCAGCGCCGCGCGGTCCTGCGTGGGGACAAGCCAGTACATGGCACCAGAGGTCATCCGCGAAGGCGACTACGATGCGAGATGCGACTAGTGGAGTCTCGGCGTCATCCTGTACGAGTGCCTCTACGGCCACACGCCGTTCCTGTCAGAGGAGGGCGGCCGTCAACAGACCAAGCGAAACATCGTCAACCACAAGCAGACTTTTGCCTTCCCCCCTCGTCCCGTGGTGTCGCGACGCTGTATGGATTTTGTAGCCAACCTGGTCTGCACCAAGGAAAACCGGCTATCGTCTCGGCGATACCGGTACAGGGACACGAACCCAGAACCCTCTCCCACGTCGGGCAAGATGCGTGCCCACCGCGGATATCAAGACTGGACGGGTCGCGCCGTCTATCCACACGATGCCGAGGACATCAAAGCACACAAGTGGTTTCGGGACATACCCTGGGACCAGTTGCACATGATAGCGCCACCGTTTGTCCCGCAGATCAGCAGCCTGGAAGACACGCACTACTTTGATGAAGAGGAGCCGATTTCAGACTGGTCGGAGTCCGGGTCGGACACTGATACCGAGTCGCCCGGTGAGCCCTTGGAGGCCAACCCCCTAGCCGCCGTCGCCGCCGTCGCCGCCGCAAACGCAGTTACCACACCCTCCGTGTCTCTACCCACCCAACACCCCAGCGCGACACCATCACCAGCGGTAGGAGGAACGCGCAGCAGCAACCCCCAAAAGGCAGCGGCGATGCGGGCACAGCTGGCGGCCTTCCCGCGGCACATCCGCGGCGCGATGGCGCAGTTCGTGGCGGCGCCGTACGACACGGCGCGGCTCAAGCGCATGGACCGCGAGATCGAGGCCATGGCGCCGGCAGCCGCGCAGGCGGAGCTCGCGGAGCGGGTGAAGGCGTTCGTGCGGGTGTTCGGGCGGCGCGAGCGCAAGCGCCCCCGCGACCGGCTGCTGCGCGACAGAAACACGAAGGGCCCCGTGCTCGAGGTGCGCAAGCAGACGGCGTTTCGGGGATACACGTACCGGCGCATCCGTCACGGCGGCGGCAATGGCGACTACTACTGCTACCGGGGCTTCAACTCGTCGGCGTCGGCGGACACTGCGACGGGCGGCTTGGAGGAGGAGGGGATGTTGCCCCAGTGGGGAACGGGGGACGCGTCGCGGGACCGGGACCGGGACGCGCCGGAGATGGCTGCGTATCGGGCTTTGTATCAGGGGCGGGGGAGTATGGATCGGTGAGGTTAGGTGAGACAGGTGTTGCTGGGGGAGAGATACGATGATTAGACAGGACAGGGGAAAGGGAAGGGAGTTGTGTCTGTGGTTGGCTGAATGAGAGAAAGAGAAGTGGGGATTGGGAACTAGGAGGGTAGTTTGGCTTGGGGAAGGGGGGAATAGGGAAGGGAAGAGGAAGGGGGGACTAGGGAAGAGTAGGGAGAGGAAGGGGAGAGTAGGGAAAGGAGGGAAGAGTAAGGAAATGAAATGACCGGACAGGAAAGGGGGTTGCGGTAGAAATGCTGGATTTCCAGCTGAGAAACAGTACTAGAACAGCATCGCTATACCTAATTACCTAATTGTATCGTATCAGTGGTATCATTCATCAATTTTTAATGCCCAATGCCCGATGCCCAATGCCCAATGCCCAATGCCATCATTATGTCCTGACCGTAGCTGGTGTGATAGCCACTAACTTACTCGTGACACATTATCGTCCTGTTTTGTCTTATTACTGTAATCCAACCAGCAGCTCCCGCCCAAGCTGGGTTGAAGTTGGATGTAGTTAGATATCCCGGAAATTGAACCGTCCCAGAAAGCATTATACAACATGAAGGATTATACATTAGCACCAGCACAGGTAGAGTCCCTACCACCTCTTCTCGTCGTCCTCATCCCCCATAAGCGTCATCCCGTGCGATCCGGTCGCCGTAGCCTTCGCGTTGCGTATCTCCCACTCGAACTCTGCCAGCGCCGCCCGTTCGGCCCCGCCGAAGAACAGCAGCGCGAGCAGACCGTCGACGAGTCCCGCCGCGAGACCCAGGCTGCTTAGTAGTAGGAGCGCGAAGGCGCCACCGGCCGAGAGGGGCGCGACGAACCATACGGCGACGAGGCAGGCGGGGACGACGACGGCGATCCAGGCGGCGCAGTGGGCCGCGCGCCACTTCTTCTGGGTGTGTTCGCGGTGCTGGTAGGTGTGGATTAGGGACAGGATCTCGTCGTAGGTGCCGGACGGCAGCAGGCCGTTTGCGTTTGCGCCTCCGCTTCCGTTTGTGGGTCCATCGATGGTGGCGTAGTAGGGGTCCGACGTGTAGGAGTACGAATACGAGTACGAGTTGGAGTTGGAGTTGTCATCGAAGCTACGCAGCTGGTCGTCGTAGTCGGCCCGGTCGCGGCTGTTGCGGTATTCGGACGCCGTCGGCGACTGCAGGTATGTGCCCTGCGCCATGGCGGCGCGGCGCTCGCCGATGGTGCGGATGCCTGCTTCGGTGCTGGTGAAGGAGGCGGCCGGGTGGAGGCTGTGGTCGCCGTCGAGTTCGGGGAGGTTGGGGGCTGGGGTTGTGGGATGATGGCCTCCTCCTTCGTTTGGGTTTGTGTTTACTCCGTCGGTGCCTTGTCTGTTGTCGGCGTCTCGGTCACGGTCCCGGAGATAGCGTTTCGTAGCATTGGCGCCTTTCTTGTAATAGTTCGCCGTCGGCGTGTGCAGCAGCAGCGTCGCCTCGACGGAGAAGTGGTCGCTGAGACTGCATTCCAGGTCCTCGTCCCGTGCCATGGCGCCCACACGCACATCTCTGACGACCCAGCCCGGCGGTGCCGACAGGGCCGCGCTGCGCCCGCCGCCTCCCTCGTCGGCGTCGTAGCTGCTCAGGATCTCGCTCAGCTCCGAGATCAGGGACGGGTTGCCGCCCCGCGAGAAGAAGATGTAGTCGATACGCTGGCCCTGCGCGTCGGGCGCGTCGGGACCGAGCATCGGCCGCTTGCCGCTGCGCAGCTCTTTCAAAGTGGACCGAGGCCACGACCACGTGTTGTAGGCGCTGCGGCTGGTCACGCCGTTCTCGGCTACGTTGAAGGCGGCCGTGGGGATGGGCCGGCGCCGCGAGCGCTCCACCTCGTGCTCGGCTGACCCGAGGGATGAGTCCGGGTACAGCACGCGCCAGGCGTCGCGGATAGGCGAGTGGGCGCTCAGGAGCCGGTAGGGCAGTGACAGCGGTACGTCGTTGAGGTCGCCGAGCGCGACGACGAGGTGACCTCGCTCTGTGGCGCCGCGCAGGAGCTTGGCGAGCTCCCAGGCTTGCGAGAGACGGTGGACTGTGTAGCTGTTGTTGGACGGGGCCTTTTGGTAGACTGGATGTGTCTGTTACCCGCAGTGTTAGTTGCCCGGCTGGCAGGATGTATAGGCTGGCGGCTGGGGTTGCGACTCAAGCACATACGTGTGTGTTAAAGACCTCAACGACGTCCTTCTCGCCGTCACCGTACCTGATTCTAGCGCAGGCTACCCCTTTCCCTGCGAACCAGTCGCCCCTGAAGAAGGCGGTTGGCCGGCCGTTCAGGGGAAACCGGAACATGCTGCTCTCCTCGATGGGCCATTTCGACAGGATCACTAGCCCGCTGCCGAAGGCGCCGCTGTGGTAGAACTTGCCGAACGGCAGTACGAAGCGTGTCTCTCGCCTTATGGATCGATAGTCTTCCTGCGTCCAGCACTCCTGCAGGCTTACGATGTGAGGTGAGGGCTCGCTCGTCGCCAGATAGCGGCCTATGGCCGTTAGGCGCTTGGCGCGGTGAGGGCTGAGGTGAAGCAGGCCCCAGCAGTTCAGGGTTATGATGTTGAGCTCGAGGGGCAGTTCGTCCATGGCTGTTGATTATGTGCACGCGCACTTGCAACGAGCGAACGAGTAGGTGAGTGAGTGAGCGAGTGAGTGAGCGAGTGAGTGACTGTCTCTGACTCTGACTTCAAGTTGGCAGTCTCGAGGCTGGAAGAAGACTCGAGGCTTGTCCCAACATGATATGGCGCTCACTCGGCGAAGCTGGCGAGTCCAGACGCGCATTGTTATGGCAGAGTCGCATTCGTAGTCAAATACACCGCTGCTGTGTAACTCGGCGTGAGTGTGCCAGCTCTGCATATATTGGGGAAGGATCCGATCCTTAGAATGAGCAGGCTGCTGCAGATCAGATGAGCTGTGTGTGTGTAAGGTACAGACAAGATGCCTTGAGGATGACCAGCTCGATACCTCCGGGTAGAAGGCAGTCTACGAGTGAGATAGTTTGAGAAGGGCGACCCAGCAAACTAGGTGAAGAAATAAAGAAATATAGAAATTGTCACATGCTGGATCGCTCGATCAACAGAGCAAGGCAATGTTGCGAGATCTGAAGCAGCTGCCTGTCATGGTTGGCAACAAAGTCAGGGGACATGGGGCAGGTCTGGCCTTGCGGTACAACACACAATACAGTACAGTACAACATCTGCAGACTGTAACATTGTCCGATGTTGCAGGCACGAGCCGAGGCCAGGAATGATGATCCCAAACTCCCGACTGCGTACAGAGTTGACATCCTGGTGAGATGAGAGAGGACGTCTGGGAGGGTCGTCGGCGGCCACGGTTCGTCAAACGTTTGTTCGGCTCGGATATGCAATGCAACCCCTAAGATTGCTTATAGGGGGCGCTGCATCGCCTATTGGCCCGGAACCAGCGGGCGGGCGGGCGGTGGTGGTGCATTGGTCTCAGGGGGGGCGACAGGGGGCCCACTGAAGGTACCTATGTACCAACACGGTACTTCGCAGATCGCGCTAACGGCCCCAACTGGCAATATCATCCATCTCCACTATCAAGGTCCCGGGTTTTCAGCCTTGTCGCTTTTCCAGCATCACGTTCCCAAGGCTGCGATTCCATCGCCGCATACCTCGTCAATCAACCTGAAGAAATAGCCGACGAACGAACCTCCTCTGCGATCGATGCACCGCCCATGAACGCTTCCCATACCACCTGACACGCAACCAGTCGCCATGACGGAAATGGACTCCTCTACCGCCAACACACCCCTCCCTACCCCTGCCTCGAAGCGGCGCAAACTTCACGATGACAGCGCCGACGCCACCCCACGCTACGACACCCCCGAGAAGCAGGATGAGAAGAATTCACTGCGCGTGTCCATTCGCGAGAAGACCCTAGACAGCAGCCGGTCAACGAGCCGGAGTCGAAGCCCCAATAGGCGGCGGGAAGACGATTACTACGACAGCCGCTCCGCATCCAGCTCCCGGTCCAGGTCAAGATCGCGCTCACGGTCACGCTCTCGCACTGACAGCCGGTCGCGCTCTCGAACCCGGTCGAGGTCAAGATCACAAACCCAATCACGATCGCGGTCTCGCTCTGACTCTGGCTCGCCCTCGCGTAGTCCCAGATCAGCACGAGACACAGACACGCCCTTGCTCAACGCCCACGACCGCGAACCCTCGACCCCACCCGCGCGGCAGCCGGTCAAACCGCAGTACACACCACGACTCGTACTTGCTGGTCACCAGAAGCCCATATCTCAAGCGCGCATATCGCCGGATGGCCGATGGATCGCGTCATCTTCGGCCGACGGCACCATCCGGATATGGGACGCCGTCACGGGACGGCACATGGACACGCTGGTGGGCCACATGGCGGGCGTGTCGGCCATCGCCTGGTCGCCCGACAGCAAGACGCTGGCGTCGGGGTCCGACGACAAGGCCATCCGCCTGTGGGACCGCGTGACGGGGAAGCCGACGAGGGCGAAGCCGCTGATGGGCCATCACAACTACGTTTACTGTCTTGCCTTCTCGCCCAAGGGAAACATACTGGCCAGCGGGAGCTATGACGAGGCCGTGTTCCTGTGGGATGTGAGGGCGGGGAGGCTGATGAGGAGTCTTCCGGCGCATAGTGATCCTGTCAGCGGCATCGACTTCTGCCGGGACGGGACGCTGGTGGTCAGTTGCAGCACGGATGGGTTGACGTGAGTTGCTACGACTTTACCCCAAGCCGAGACGATGTGCAACATTCCACTAACTATACGTCAGGCGAATATGGGACACGTCGACAGGCCAGTGCCTGCGCACCATGGTGCACGAGGATAACCCGCCCGTCACGTCGGTGTGCTTCGCGCCGAACGGGCGGTACGTGCTGGCCTTCAGCATGGACTCCTGTCTGCGCCTATGGGACTACGTGTCGGGCACGGTCAAGAAGACGTACCAGGGCCACCGCAACGCCGGGTTCAGCATCGGCGGCTGCTTCGGCACCGTCGACGACCGGGCCTTCATAGCGGCCGCCAGCGAGGACGGCGACGTCGTGCTGTGGGACGTGAAAACGAAGGAGGTCGTGCAGCGCATCGAGCGCGCCCACGACGGCGTCTGCTTCTGGGTCGACGTCTGTGGCGATACTATGGTCAGCGCGGGTCAGGACGGCAAGATTAAGGTGTATAGACATCGCGGCTCCGATGCCGATGTGGATGATGCGGTTGGGAAAGTCAACGGGGTCGTGGCGCCTGAGGAGGACGGTGCGGTCGCTGACGAGGACACGGCTATGGGTAATGCGGAGCTGGAACTGATGCCCAGTCAGGATGGCGACATGGTGCCTGAAACCGGAGAGTCACCTCTGAAGGATGAGGATATCAAGAAAGAGGAATGAGCCTCCTATATAAATAGCCTTGAATTCTTTAGCATCAGGAAGCAAGGAGGCCTTGGCTGACAGAGATTCGAATTCACTTTGGAAGCATCTGCAATACTAAGATGCGGCAAACATGTGTTGAGGAACCGCTCTCTCGTCCTTTACTCGCTGTCCTCTACGTGAGTACGGTACTCACAAACCTAAAATCAAACAGTCGAACAGCACGCAGCTCTCCATAGCAACCGTACAAATGTTATTCAGAATACCGTCGCTGGACAGGACTAAATCGCCTAGTGAAGTCGAGTCGGGATACCCCATGACAGCCCATCAGACCAAGAAAATGTATTTATTACCTCATGATCCGCTCCAACCCGAGCGAGCAGTCAGTTCATGCATGACAATCGAAAAATCCACCATGTCGCGCACTTCCTACCAGACAGAGAGAGATGAGGTGGAGCGTGACTTCATGCGATCGCTGATGAATCCCATCCACTTGATATATCTCTGCCCTACCCGCGCTTACATACCCGCCCTGATCATCATGATTCCCTGGATTAGACGAAAAAGACCATAGTGCATCTCGGCAAGGCATACAGTTTCATCACATGCGGTCGTCCAAGAGCCATGACCCTATGTATACACAGTCGAAGGCCTCGTGTCAGGAGCAGAGAAGGTCTATTGATTCCGTGAATTGCGGTTCGCGACCATCGTCCGGTCAGATGACGCGAATGACATTGGATTCCTATATAACACATGCCAGAGCCCAACTAGACAAACAAGCAGACTCCCGAACCCCATATACTCATTGATGAAAGCAAGCTCCTCTTGATCCCAAGAGGCGTCGACGGCCAGCAATGCAAGTATATACCATCCGCCACTATAGGTATGTGCTTGAGCGTTTCCGCCCCTTTCCGCTTCACCTGGAGGTCTTCTGTGCCTCTCAGATTGTCTCCCAGCCACCGTTGTTGATGTCCGCTTCCAGCTTTCGGCTAATGAAGCTCGGGATGCCGTGACTCAGCCACATGTTACGCACCATCGAGTCGTAGCGCCTCTGGTTCAGGTACAGCTGTCGACCATGGCGCAGCCCTATGTCCACCTCGCCGTACTTGTCGATGTAAGGCGCGTTGCTGAAGCTGCCTGACGCTCGGTGTAGGTAGAAGAGGGCGCACTTGCGGATGTTGATGAATAGTCCAACGTTGCCCTGACATCTGCACAGAGGATTTCGTTAGCCTTCGCTCAATCCCGTCCTATATAGAAAGCAATGACTTACTTGAACCGCATGTGCTGCTGTGCGCCCCCGATCCGGATCACAGGCTTGTCTGGGCCCGGCTCCTGATACTCCATGAGACAGCACATACTCTGGCCGCAGAAGATGTCACCACACATAAGACAGACGACAGCATCAGCTAGATCCTTGCCCGTCTTGGGACATCGGCGTCTGGCACATTCCTCAATAAGAGTGTCGAAATTCTTGGGCAATCCAACCAGTTCGAAGATACCAGGATGGCTAACACGTGCAGAGATGGGCAGGGTGTCGCTAACGTCCGTGCTACGATGGCCACTTGTCCAAGTGATCTGATGGCGGAGCCAGCCATCAACGATGGCTACAGTCCGCGTAGGCCAGCCATACTGGCTACTGAGAGAAGTTATTGCCGTACACATCTCGTCAAATGACGGCAGTCGGAGGGCGGCCGTGAGACGCGTGAGCTCATCGGCCTCGGGAACTGCAGAAATGTAACTGTTGAAGTCCACGCCATGATGGACATGTAGAAGTATTGCTGTCTTTCGAAGGAATACGAGCGCATACTTCTTGACAAATGAGTGCAGATTCGCTAGACCATCTAGGGCTGGCTGGTCGAAGCCGAGGTTTGGCAAATCGTTGGAAGTCTCGAGTACTTCATGGCTCATGTTCATGCCGTTCATCGTGATGTAGTGAAAGAAGTCCGCAAAGTTGTTCATTGCAAGGTCTTCGGCGTTTCGATTGTGCATGTTCTCGAGCCATTTCGAAACGGGAAGGTTTCGGGATACATGATGCACTACCTTGACTATCTCAGCAAGATAGCAGAGCCGAATTAGATGCATCGGGCCCATGTTCTGTGCGACGGACATGCCGAACATAGTCTCGCATAGGAACATGAAAGGGTCTTCATCCAGTAACGGCCGATATTCGTGGGCCCGCTGTCGACCCGTACTCGGCTCCGGCTCTTCCAGATATCGTGATATGAAGAGTTGGCAGTGTTGGCGTTCACTATCCCGACGAAACTCAGCGTCGATGCGGTTCCCTCCGCCATCTTTGACGCCCCCAATCGATATATATGACGATACCGTCTCTGACAAGATACGGAGCTGGATCAATATCTGCTCTGGAATCTTTTCAATCAGAGTCATCCCGTACTGGGCTCCGACACCCCGTTGCTGAATTTCAGCTGCAGAGATTGAGTAGCCTACCGAGCGGGCCAATGTGTCGCTTCCATGTAGCTCGTCGTCCTTGCCTTCACCTACAGGATTCGCAGTGAGTTCATTCTTGCGGAGTGTATCTCGCAAGCGCCGGTATATCATCAGCAGTTCCTGGTCACTTGATTGTGACTCCGGCGGCGCTGGCGGGGAACGAGATCGGACACTCGACCCGGGAGTAGCGATGGCAGAAAATGTCTCACTGAATGGTGTACCTGAAGATGCCGAGCGTGGAGTGCCACGTTCCCATACATTTTCCATAGCGGATTGGCCTGCAGCAGGCTTATCATGCAGGCTGTCCGGCATTCTTGTCCGCAAGTAATTGTGATATGCAGATTGTGCCTGGTTGTGTGACCCGCGTGCGCCTGCAGTGTACTGAAGCTCGTTCAGTTGTGTATCGACGAACGACGTGAAGTCGGTACCACTCTGCAAGATGCCAGGGTAGGACTCTTCCTTGCCATCCCAGGTGATGGGCAAGAATGCATTGCCAAGGGCTTTGCAAAGCGGACAGACGAATTCCAATCGGTCCAAGTTCTCCGGGTGGTGACGCGCGATCTGGTGCCCATGCCTACGAACGGTTGCCTCCATATACATGTCGAAGCAGCTGAAGTGCATAATATGGCCACAACCAACAGATATGGGCCCTGTCCGAGACAGTCGGGCGGGGAATCCTTTTCCTACTCCCTGTCTCTCCGCAAGGAACGTCTCTCCCTGCGAATTAACCTTCTCAACCACCTTTCTATTTTCGTGGGCGAGGCCGAACGGCCGGATCTCTTCAGCTGAACGATCCAAGTTTACCGGCGTGTTGGCAGCCTCTCTAACGAAATCGGGATCTTGAAGATCGGTCTGCCGTAGAATCATGCTTTCGGTGAAAAGAGCAAAGGTTCCGTACAGCCGTCCGTCATCGGTATCCTCCTGGCATAGAATGCATGTTCCCTTTGGATATTTCCAATAGTTCTTTTGCTCCTCCATCGGTTTCGTATCTTGCAAGTCATCCAACTCTTCTTCACCCCAGTCAAAGTCGCCCTGCATCTCCAGAAAGCTCTTCTGTTGTTGCTGAAACTGTGCCATGACTTTCGCTTGGCGATCCATAGCAGCCTTCTTCTTTCGCTCACGCTCTTCCTCCACATTATGAGTGCTTGCTGGAGATGCTGTGTCGATACGGTCGATGGGTATTCCTAACTGTAGGTAGGCCGTGTCGAAGTGTTGCGGGTACTTTTGCCTCATCCTCTTCAAGATCAATGCTATCTTGGGATGGCACGCCTTGAACTCCTCTCTGGTATACATGATGTCCAGGAGAGATACGATAGTCCTTGCGGCTGGAGCTTCCGTCATCATGCTGCTACGTGCGTGCGTCGTCAAGGCAATGTAAACGAAAGAACTCGTTTCAGGCAGATTCTTCTCGTCTGCTTTGTCTTCGGAAATGGCGATGAGAATGAGGTGCAGAACGACTTGCAGGAAAGTCTCTACTCTAGTGAAAGGGACCTTGGTGGTGTACTTGGGAGCTACAAGAGGATACAGCAGAGCGTAGTAGATGATCTGCCCAAACATGCCAGTGGCAGTGAAATCTGCCAGCCCCACGAAGGCACCAGACTGGATTGGGCGGAGTTGGGGCTCAAAGATGATTTCCTCGGCGGACTTTCCGGTCTTCTTGGCCATCCATTTACGGTAGGCGGCCTCCGATTCCTCTCGCTGGTTTTTATTGTAATGGGCGATATATGGATCGATGTCCTCGATGAGGTGCGGCTTGAGCTCAAAAGTGCCCACATCGGAAACACCCTCAGGAGATTTGAAGGTGGCCGCCTCATCTAGGACCTGGTTGAATTCTTCCTGTTCCGTGTGCTTCTCTGGCAGCTTGTTGGATATCTCATTGAAGGATAGTGGCCGGAAGCACAGGACGTGAGTGATATCCCGCTGCAGTGCCATGAGCTGCGTCTGATCCTCATTATCAGTGGGTATCAGGCAGGTACGATCACTCAACAAGATAATCAAGAGATGGATCATGTCCTCGACGACATCAACATGCTGAGTTTCGTCTTGGGCGGTCGACTTTATCTCAAAGAGCCCCTTCACCCATCGTTCCATGCCGAACCGATCGACGATGGATGCCAGAACGCGACTGGGATCACAAACTACCATTGCAGTCTGTAGCATGAAGATATCGCGTGCATGAGTCACATCTCGATGGAGGATGTTACGGTAAGTCCCAGCCTGGTGGCGCAGACTGATCCCGTTGCGCACCCACATGCCGGCCTTGATTTGCGCAAGCCACGTGCACACTCGAAGAGGGTAGTCGAATGCAGCCATAAGGTAGTCTTCAGAGGTATGATCTCGTCTTGGCATCACCTTGCGACCCATGGATCTCGGCTTCATTTTGAGCTCTTGTGCGGTGAAACTCAACATTGACCTGAGTTGCTGGGTCGACATGTGCTTACCGCACTCGATCAGCCACGAAAGGGTATAGTGCAGTGCATGATGGAAGCTAATTGGCTGTTCCTCCACGACAAATCTAACGACGTCGTACTTGGTAGACGATCCAGCAAATTCAAAGTCGCTAAGCGTCTTGAACCGTACTTCATCTTTGATCTCAGACTGGGTGAATCTGCCTCGCTCGGCTCCGAGGGAGTTGACGATAACAAGCTTGGCCGTCATTCGGATGGCCCTTGACAGGTAAAGTGAGTCTTGCTCGGGCAGATGCCAAAAAGAGCCCGACAACAGCCGGCAAAGTCTATTGATTTCCCGGGTCATCAGGGAGGCTCCAATCCAGCTGTCGGTCTCATACTCCACGTGCTCCCCAACTGCGCGAGTGTTTGGGCATATGCCTTGGTGTAGTTTGACCAGATCAAGAAACTGCAGCAGGTACCGCTCCTCAGATCTCATCCGCTCTTGCACGTGAGGTGAACCAAGCAGATACTTCAAGTCCATGTAGAAATGATACATGCGTCTGTTGGTAACCGAACCTTGATCAAACCCAAGAACAGCATTTGAAGCGACCTCCCAAGGATGACCAACTTGTCTGGTGGTGAGGAAGGTGTACAGAATAGCCATCAGGGTAGTGAGAAAATTCCCCCTTTCAACAACTTCCGCAGTGATGGAGGGTGTGGTCAACATCTGCAGAGAGATGTTTATAATGGAATGGTCAGGTTCCCGGTCCCCAATGAGATAGAGTTGCGCCAAAGTCGTGTACAAGGCGGCGAAACGAAGTCCCAGAATCCGTTTGAATTCAGGGATGGTGACCACGGTCGAGATATAGAGAGAACGCAAGTCATTGCGGACCTTCTTCCACATTCTTAGATCAAACAAGACTAACCAGTCCAGACGAACGCGCTGAAATACGTCTTCGAATGGATGTGAAATATCGCGTTCCATGTAGTTGGCTGGTGTTTCAACCCAGTACCGCCCTGGCTTGGGAGGGGTTGTCTTCTCTGACTTGGCCTGCCCGGGCGTCTTCGGAATCTCCAGATTAGTCTTCGCATAGACGGTTGGTGCTATCAGGGGCTCCGCAGTGTCTGAGTCTGAGGGCGTAAGATCCCTATCCCTATCCCGGGTGGCACGCCTAGGTACCGGGGGAGGGGGAGGAGGCGGCGGATATCCTGCCATTGTCGCTTCCTCCTCCTCGAGAGACGCGACGGTCGGTCCAATCCAGTCAGGTACGTGATTTACATCCTCGGTAGCTTCTGGCTGAGCATCTACCATTACCACGTCATCTTCGTCCACGGCGTCATCTTCATCATTGTCTTCTTCGCTCGAAGGGGTCTGATTACCAAACTCCATATCGTCATCGTCGTCCTCCTCATCCTCATCCTCATCATCACCATCGGAGTCTAGGAAATCAGCGAGAGTTGCTGTAGCTCCGGTCTCGGCAAGGATTCGAGCTCGCTGTATGAAGATAGTTTGGGTTCGGGCTACGATTGGGTCATAATCGATTTTCGCTTCATCCTCCAGGCCATCCTTGCCCGGGACAGCGTGTGTCCCTGGGCTACCCTTTCGCCAGGGTTTCAAGAGTTCCTCACAGACAACCTCCCTGAGAATGTTGTGGTCACTGCCAACTGAGCAACCAGCGATGTCATTCAACCACTCGATCATGGACCCGCACATTTGTTCTCGGAAAATGTCCCGTGATGAGCGAATGGTGACGGTGATTTTGATCTGTTCGAGAATGGTGGCGCATCTTAACAGCCGGTCAATACTCGTGTCATATTTCAATATGCTGCGACCGATAGAATCCGTCTCGACTGCCCTGTTGTATCCCTCCTCGAGAGTTGTGCTGCAGGCGCGGGCAACTTGGTCTTGTACTTCGTTGACGGTATGCTTCTCGTCGTTCCACAGTAGCAGAGCATACTCTTCGGGAGAATCGAGATCCCCTCCGTTGTACGTTGAGCCCAGGCGAGACATTTTCTCACCCTGTTCGATGGAAGCTTTTGTTTTGGGCTGTCGCAGCTGCTCGGGGGCGCAGGAGATGACATCACAAATGAAATCGAGGGCTCGGGAGACAGTCATGCGGATGTTGGCGGCGAGGTCGTCGGGGATTCCGGCGGCCTCCTTGCCCTTGCCTTTATGATCTTGGTCGCGTTCGCTGTGGATGGTACAGAATATGGGTGTTTTCCAGGCTTCGGGATCCCCGCAATCGCAACAGCCACTGTTTCCTGGCGAAATGCTGATCTTCACCATGTGTCCCGCATGGTCTGTGGCATCGAAGCACTTGCTGCAAAGAACGCAGGTGTCATCTGTGCTGCAGGTCCTGCAGGCGTACGAAGCCTCGCCGACGCGGAAGATGTGACCACATGCCTTGCCCCGTGCGGCTTCGGTGTACTCGGCGCCATCCAAAGCTCCCTGGGCTTCCCTCAATTGGAGTGTGCCCTTTGGTGTGAGCCGTCCGTCGGGGAAGAGCAGTCGCATATATTCGGGCTTTCCTCCGGCCATGGACCAGAAGAGGTTGTACAGGAGATCGCGACAGGCGACCTCCTCGTAGCGGTAGCCATGCTGCCTGGGCAGCTCTCTCAAGTGCTCACAGAGCTGCAGCTCTTGGGTGGACATTGACGTGTCCATTATGAGCACCGACCTGTTCCCATGTTTCGTCTCGCAGTGTACTTAGTAGTCGTGGTGCGCAGCAGGTGGAATGCTGGCGAAAGCTCGAAGGAGTAGTGTACGCTCTCGGTCTCTCGGTGGGAGGAGGGAATGGCTGTCGAGTGGGAGTGACGTATCTCGTTGGTCCCAAGTGAATACCTACGAAGGTGTCCGAGTGGAAAGTTTCCCGACATAGAAGTCTAGGACGAAGGAAGCTCTTGAAGCACCTCTGCAGGAAACGCACTATGTTCAAGTTGGCAAAGTGTCGAGGTGTCGAGATGTGGTGGTTGTTGGTTGTCTGGGCTTCTGGACAATGCCCGGGTGATGCCGTTTGATCCCCTCCACACCTGCATATAATATGGTTCCTTATCGGCGATAAGCCTGCGTCACAATGGGATGCATGGAGGCAAGTACACATCCATGATGCATGTACATTCATGTTGTGTCACTGCTCGGCTCTTTTCGCTCTCAACTTCTCGTGGCTCTCCTCGAAAGAGGCATTCGTGTGGAAGCATGTCTATCTAGTATCGGGTAGCTAGCTTTCAACTGCACGCACCTTGTCTTTCCACCATCACAGTTAGATCACCAAGCTTCTTTTCTACGAAGGGATGACCGTAGATTCTGCAGGTTCCCGCTCCTTGTGCCACTCTCAGTAGTAAATCTAGAAGTAAGCGTTCTCAAGCATAAAGGTCTTCTATACATAGGAGCTGTCCTTCACCTGCCACTCGAAAACGCTAGGGAGCATTGGCCTTCGAGGATTTGTACAAGCGATATTATGAACGATAGGGAGAGCCGGTCTGAAAAAGTTGACGGCCTTTCTGCGATCTGCTCTAATATTGTTCCGTCGGTACTGTACAGTCTCAGAGCTCAATGCCTTCTGATATTCTCAGACTGGCTCTCTAGTTGTTGGCTTCCATCGATTCCACATCCGTCGACCACTGCTTATTCCTCAGCCTCGGCGTACTTTTGTCGGATGTCCTTCCATTGTCGCTGCTTGCTTATTAGACCCAGACGAATCGCACTTCGATGGTGACCACTTACGCCCTTGTTGATGTTGTCCCAGACCTTGTTCATGCCGACGTCGTATGTCCTAAGATCCCGTTAGGAAGGGTGCTCGGCGGCGCATACGTAGCCCACGTACATCTCGAAAGCGAATGCGGATACGAAGACGACACCCAGCATCTGGAAGTTCCTTCGGAACAGAGCGCTGCAGGGGCACATGTCAGTTCGGTAGGCCTGCGGTCGGGAGAGAGATCGACTTGCTTGTATAGAGGGCTGGCCTGTTCATTGCGCGATTAGTCAGACAGCCATCAACAGCGGGCGGATGGAGGGGGATAACGTACCATGGCGAATGTGTTATAGGTGAAGATACCGCGAGAATCGAGGAGTGAGTGTGTGGTCTTGCGAGAGTGCGAACGGTTTGGTGCTGGTACAAAAGGACTGTCGAGAGAGAGCGACAGTCCAAAACTGAGGCTGGCTCAATTCGACATCCAGACAATTTGGTAAATGGCCGTTTCCGATTGGCCAAAGCTCCCACCGCAGCGCGGACCCACTTTAGCACTTTCCAGACCTTCTCCGAAAACATAGTGGGCTGTCTCTTCTTTCCCCTCTGCCCCTCAGCCTTCAGGAGTTTCGAGGCCCTGGATTCTTTGCTTGCTGCTTGCTGCTAGCAGCGTTATCGCGTGTTTAAATTACGTACAAATTTATATTCGACTAGGAGTTGCCTCTTGTTCCCCAGTTCGTCTTCTTCCACAATGCCGTCCGAACCGTCCAAAGCGGGCATCGTGACCGACGAGGGCAGCGGCCAGCGCCAGATTCCAGAATCTATGCGAGCCGATGGCACAACAAGAAAAGCCATCAAGATCCGGCCTGGATACCGGCCCCCGGAGGACGTCGAAGTCTACAAGAACCGCACCGCCGAAACCTTTCGCAACCGCGGCAAAGGCGGCATACCAGGAGCCGAGGGGCTGAAGGACCAGAAGCAAGAAGTCGCTTCAGCTGCCAGCAACAAGAACGCGAAGCGCCGGGAAGCGAGAAAGAAGGCCAAGTCTACAAACGAGACTCCCGACGGCGTCAACGCCGACGAAGCTCAACCTGCTACACCCGCTGCCGAGGAAGTCGATCCGGAAGCTGAAAGGGAGAAAAAGGCACGCAATCTGAAGAAGAAGCTGAAGCAGGCCAAGGACTTGAAGAACAAGAAGGAAGGCGGCGAGGCACTCCTGCCTGAGCAGATCGCCAAGGTTATCAAGATCAACGAGCTCGTGAGGGAGCTCGAAGCACTTGGATTGGATGCCGACGGCGAGCCGAAAGACACTGCCGCGTAAGATGTAGGCGTGACCACCGCCAAAGCAGTGCAAGAAAGTTGAGAGTCGTCGAAGAGTCTGTGGAAGCCTGCCCCTTCAGATTGATGATATCCTGATATCGCTACCATCACGACTACGGACGTAGCAACGGCGCCGACCTAGATTACTACAGACGGCTAAGTGACTATCTGGCTGGCTCTCATTGGAGCTCGTTGGGCGAAGATGGTCTAGAGGAGCTTTCAAACATAAGTACTCATCAGGAGCCAGGCAGTGACAGGGTAGGCGATCAAACCGCCTACTCTCCTACATGGCGGTGCATACAAGAGTTACTATGGACTGTTTTGTCAGCCCAGGAAGGAAAACACCGACGACACTCAACAAGGCTGAGCCTGGCCATATAAGCCACGAGTCTGTGCCAGCTCCACGAGGATGAGACGACATTGAGCAACGTGCTGCCCAGAAGCCATTCACGTGGACTGGAACGGATCAAATTGAGAAGTGTATTGAGAGCGAAGTGAGAGTTGCTGGGTTAATCACCACTGGTCACACGCCCTCCAAGTTGTTGACTGTACCGGCATTTATTCAGCGCACATGCGCAATGAAAGTGATAGTCATGTATCTGATTCATGCTCGAAGAGAGAGCTGCCAAGTCCGAATTTGGTGATCATTTAAACGGAGTAGACCATCTGAGAAGTGGTAGCAACATTGAAACAAGTGTCAAGGGTCGCTCCTGAGGCTGCACGTGGGGCGTCATAGAAATTCGGGATTCTAACGTACCAGGCTTACTTTTCTTTTGACCGGCGGCTTCTCATTAGATGCCCCGGACTTTCTGCTAGATTTCGTATTAGTCATCCGATCAGAAAACCTACGGGCACCAGTAAGACGCGGTGACGGCCAGGAAAAGTGGTTCTGCCGAATTTCGGAACATCCATCCTGGTTTGGTTGCCTGCCTTTACACGTCCGGCACGACGCGCTTCATAACCTTTTGCTTGTCCATTCCCTGAACACATACTACCAGAAGTCGCCAATTGCACTGCATTCCGTTGCGCGGATCCTTCGGTAGCTGCTATAGTATTTTACCTTTATTGACAGCGTCACAACTCCGCCGGGGTAGACCAGATGACTACCCCTGCAGAGCCCGACCAAGCATCCGATTCTGGCGACCTCGCACCCACTGATCTCAAGCGACGCGTCGTCGAGGCTCTGGACGCTCTCGCCTCGGCTAACTCAGATCTTGATGGGTTATTACAGGCAATCAAAGCTTGGTCATCATGCCGTCCGATAGGCCAGGACTGTCAGCTGGAGTGCATCTACTACGGCTTACGTCGTGGTCCGCTCAACGTCCAAGATGAAAGGGAGGAGGAGGAGCATGTCCAAGAGGAGAGTTTCAGCGGGCGAAACCTGTGTCCAGACGATAAGTTTCGGGTTAAAAGCCTCCAGCGTCTCACCACGGACCTCGGAGTCGATGTCTTCCTGGCGAACCTGCGGTTGGAAAGAACGGAAATTGGCCCGCTGGCCATGGAAGAGGTTGACTCCGACGCCGACGATAGCGAAAACGAAGATGTCGCAAATTCCACCTCGGTTGAGCTCACCTCGCTCTTCGATTGCGAGGGAACCCTCCTGGCAGATGGTCTGGAACTTGATGGAAATGACAAGATGCTGTTGGAATGTTTCGACAGAGAGGGCGCCGAGGAGGAGACAGATGGGTTCTATCAGAAGGACCAATACGTAGGTCTCCCTAATGCCAACTCTGTACTCGTGATTCACCAGTTGCAGGGATGCGATACTCAAATTGTATACTACAATACCGGGGTAAGTAAGCTATGGCAATCAACTTAGCAACCAAGTACAGACCGCGTGCCCAGTATGAACAGCAACTAGCAGCTTGCAACACGGTGCAACTTCTATAGCCATGTTGAGACTGCACGAGCGGTATTCTACTTCAAGACCGCGAGGATGTGATGCTAAACAAAATATGAGACAGGCAGTCATTATCATACCTCGCGTATCAACAGTCACATTATTGAGTAGCTCCTTCGGTTCCGGGGGTAAAAGCGACTTGAAGAGAGCAGCAAGGCTTCTCGACTCCTATGCCTCGAAATGTCTAGGGTCTGCATGCCCCAAGTCCGATCTCGAACTCTTCGGCGCTCTGTGTTTCAAGAGCGTGGAGGGGCATGATCCTGTCCCGGTAGAACTCGGTCTGAGGCTATTCCGTATTGCGCTTCAATTTCGCGACGCTGGCTTGTTCGACTTGGTGTGTGAGGAACTGAACGGTAGCACATTCACGCCGGAATTCCTCGGCTGGATCGGACAATATCTACCCGGTTCTGGCCTCTCGGCTAAGAAGCTGGAAACTCCGTATGCCCTTCTTGCCGCATTTGACCCAGATCTCTTTGGCAATGTCGCTGACTCCGACTAGGCTGTTACGGTCAATCCTTGCGTGCCGGGGCTTCAAAGCACGGTATCTAGCGATCTCAAGTTTATCTCAAAAGGGCACGTCCGCTTCGGCGGAGCTTAAAGACATATGCTCTAGTGCGTACGATCATTGTATCCAAGAGCTGAGCACCAGGCCTGCTGAACATGATGGATACGACGTTGTTGAGATGATCGCCGCTGACGCAACCTTCGACTCGCTGGATGAGAGGTAAACAGGTATAATCAAGGCCACGAGGATCGAAAGGCTAACGTGTCTTCTCAGTTTACTACTACCTTGGACTAATAACTACCTTGACAGTTTCGCATTCCTCCTTGGAATTCTGACAAAACTGTTTGAATACGCATGCCGAGAGAACCCGCTACAAGAGAGAGCACTCGATACCTACCAAGATACGGCTCAGCGCCTGATCAATGCGTTCAAGGTTGGCTTTGTCACTTCCCATGGAGACCGTTCACCAGACCGACCTGTGTACTGGCGCAAAATCCGCCCAGGTAGCCTGGCGAACTTCTTCACAGATATGCTAAACCTGAACCTTCGCCCGCTTGCGGAAGAGCTGGTCTGCAAGGTTGCGGACCAAGTTTCCAGTATTGATTCCCGAGAGCTCATACCGGTCTACCTCCCCTTTCTCGGCAGACTGCTTCATCCCCTGAACCAGACTTCGTTTGACAAATCATTCGATATTTACCAACGCCTCTTTCGGGAGCTTCTTGAACGCGTTCGGGGTGAAGGTGTGGGGTTCGACCTCTATCGAGCCCCTATCCCTGATGATATTAGCCCTGACTACGTTCAGCTCAACAAATTTCTCACGAATCGGCATCAGAAGGAATGGCGTTTCCGCGCGCCGAAATTCGATTGTGACGACCTGGTAAAAAAGCTAGAAGAGGCGAAGGCGAAGACGGACTGTGGACACCGGCTTACACATACCAGTCCCTGCTGGACGCTAGAAATATGGAAGACCTTTTCGGACTATGCCAGCGCCAAGGCTGACTCGGATAAACGTAAGTTGGAGGCAAAGAAAGCGTTGAACAGCTTCGACCAGGAGAAGATGGCTACTCTTCTTGGAGACCAATACCAACGTATCATTATGCTGGAAGGCACGTCGGATCCATTTGTTGTGCCGCCGACCGTTGAGCCAATGCCTGAATATCATTCGCCTCACGGGAAATGTCGGTATGCCGACTCGAAGAAGGCGGCGAAGCTTCAGCCCCCGCCCGCACCTGAGGGACCGATCCCTAGGACGCAACCAGCATCACGTCCTGCGCAACTCGCGCGACAACCTGCTCCCACTGGCCCTCCGCACAGCAACACTATTCTCGTCAAACCGTTCAAATCGCCGGAGGCTAATCTACCAGAGGTGTGGCTCTACTACCAGCAGCTGCACCAACAGCAATACCCCATGTCGATGCCCCTGGACCCTCAAACCTTCGAAGCACACGGACAATACCTACCCGCGAGGGCACCGGCCTTTGCCCAAATCGCAACGCGCTCATCCCCGAACCAGCCCTTCGCTCCAGCACAGGGACAGACTGTTCCGCGGTATGAAACGCCATACCCGGTGGGCCGGGCTCCTGTAAGTGGACCTGACGCGTGGAAGTCGATGTTCGAGTTGGTGCCGCAGAATGGTCAGGGTGACCAACTGGCACAGGGGCAGGACAAGCCGCCTGGGTCCGGGTCCGTGGCCCCGGCGGCGGGAGCTAAGCGGAAGCGCGTGGAACATATAGATCTGGCATGACAAGAGTGTCCGGACAATTGGTTGTATTTTATGATTGTTGCTCGATACCCTGCTACTGGGGTACTCGGCGAGCCTGGCCGGGGCGGTATCATAGAACCGGAAATTACCCCTAGAGCACACTATGAACTCGAGTCGCCACGAGTAACGTCACCGCCACTCCTATGTACCTGCTCATAAGAGCACCTATGGCATACTATAGGGACCTCAACCATCTGCCTTTCATCCTGCGACTGCAGTGCATTATGACGCTGAGCAAACGGTTCCCACCACTGCAACCTCGGCGTTTGGCCGTATACCGAGCGGCAATGAGAGAAGATGCCCTGTTCTACTACATGTCGCCCCGTAAGAGTATCAATGGCTTGAGCAGGAGTTGACGGGGCCCGCACATTACACACTCGTTCAGACACGCGCTTTTCATCCCCCCGAAATGGCTCGGGGGTACCGATCCGAGGCTCTCGCTCACGGGAAGCTTATGGGCGGTTCTAGACGAGAGGAACATGTGTTGCGACGCCTGGTTTCACGTGCTCATCGACGTCGCCTGGCGAACTAAACACAGCGTCCTGTGGGCCGCTGAGACCGAAGCCGACGCCCGGCGGACCACCGGCATGGCCTGAGCATTGAACTGCTGACGTATGTACATTAGGTTCCCGCAGCCCGCGTGCTGGTGCTGCTGGGGCGAGGAGACGAAAAGGGGGCGAAATACCCGCTCCCTGAGCACGAGCACATGCAATGGCCGACGTGAATCCAGCTTTACTTCATCTGCATTGCGTGGACCGCGATCCTGCTCGTGAGTAGCTAGTGGCTATGGACCGTGGCATCGTCACGTACTTCAGAGTTGGAAGGCAATGTCCAACCCACGTCGGCACCTGTCTCCCCCCTTGCAGCGACTGTCGAACTAGAATAATATATATTAGTCAAAAGTCGATTTCTACACTGGCTGTCACTCAACCTAGTTACGATCCCCGTAGATCATCTGCAAACATGTATCTTGAATGCGTTGTCTTTCTGTTGCTTTTTCTCATAGTCTTTGCTGCGTCCAGAAGGACGAGTTGTTAAATATCCCTGAAACACAACATGTGGACCAAGGTTTTCTCGGGTCAAGGCGTGGAGCAATAACTACACGTCCGTCACGGAAATTTGCCCGGCTGTATCTTCTTGCCGAGCCCGGAGTATTGGCTTGAAGCCACGCGGCAAGCTACACTCAACCCTCATAAGTCTCTGTGTGCGCATGTTGGTGACGATCCAGATCACCAGTGGGAAATTTTGAAATACCGGAATAAGCGCACAGGAATAAGCAGCTTTAGTCTGACACTGTTGGAACAGGCTTGAACGATCAATCATAATACTCGAGTATGGGGTCAAGGTCATGATGTTGCTGATGGTTGGATTGAGAGGAATCTAGCTGGACTCGAAGGTCTGGCCAAGTGCCCTCTCAATCCACTATATTATCTTATCTAATCATACATGTGGGTCCTGGTATAGATGGTTTGCAGTCTGGAATCGCATGGATCCAACAGACACCTTATTTTCAATGCTTATTCCAGTGTACTTATTCCAATTCGATACATGTACTGTTGTTTACTGAGATGGGTGGTGTGTGGAGACTTAATGAGCGTTCAGTGTATTGGCATGAACATGTTTGCGCCACGCTCAACTCTTGGACTCGGACTGTTCATTGGGGAGCTTCGGGAAGGACGACACTACGCATGTCAATCAGAAATCTCTCTATTAAGCATAAATCTTCCGGGGAGACCAGTCGCAAGGCTACACAATAGATGCTCTTAGGTATATAGTTAGTTGTAATACCGTCAGAGCCAGTCTCACCACTCGCATGAACAACGATTTATTTTATTATTAAGCTCTTCGACCACAAGGGAGGAGCCAAACCCAAATACCCCAAAAGAGAACAAAAAGCAGAGCCCCCGTACTACGCCCAGGAGTCGCACTCTATCCAATACGCCGAATAATCCTTGTTGAGTGGTGGTGCGAACAGTCTGATGGTGGTCCTTCTTCGCATCAACAAACCAACGTGGCCTTATAGCCCTAGTTCCTCCTCGCAGTCGCATGTGAAGATGAAGATTATGCAGTGTTGAGCGCTGAAGCGGGACAGCCCCAAAAGCGGGTGTGTCTACCAGATTTCCTAGGCAGCAGACCTCGAGTAAGGCCCGTCGCTTTCATGGCGTTCTTCGTTGACGATCTTCCTGACACGGACCGGATTCTTGGACCGCTTCAGGGCCTCCTCGAGTGCAGCTGCGACGGTAATGAATTCGGCCGAGTGCCAGTCCTCATCCCTCTCTGCATCGAAGGGAGCAAATCCATAGTCGTCACGCACAAGCTCACGCGCCTCCAACTCGGTAGACCTTGGGCTAGCGACCAGCCATAGGTCGGATAGTGCCTCCAAGGGCCTGAGCTGAGGCAAGAAAAACTGGGCTGAGGGCGTGTCACTGTTACGGTACAAGTACATTGTACCTCCACATGTACTTATACATATGGGAGGCCCACCTCTCACCTGAAGCGGCCTGCCTTCTTCCTTCTTTCTTCTTCATAGATCGTTGAATCTAGCTTTACCTATCCATCAGTCCTGATCAGTTGTACTGCAGGCCTGATCGTCACAGTCACCCGCACTTCGAGGAACTATCCGGCCGATGGATGTGATGGTGTTTGATAATCCTGCCCAACTGCAGCAGAAGGCGAGTTTGCAAATCCTTTTGGCCCAGGGGAATCGAGCCAGAAACTCGAAGGGGAGTCGAAACCTTGGAAGGTTGACGTAGAGGATATCGTTGGCCCAGTCAATATCAATTGGCCGTGTCTTACCCGCGAAATCCGCATGTTCTGGATAGTCCTCGGCAAACCGGGCGAAAGCTCTAGGACGGATCTTGAAGGCGTGGGTGAAAGCATCGTGCTCAATGTTCACCCTCTCACGTGCGCAATTGACCTCGTGAGCGACCTGCCTGGCTTCGAGGCTGATGTCGGTTCGTGGATTGGGTTTAACTGTCGTGGTATATACGAGCGGTTTGGTAGGGTCAGATTCCAATGCCGCAACCGCGTGAATAATGTGCACCCAGCCAGTGGTGAAATGGATACCTCAGATATTGAGTCGCAGCTCGGTGGGCAGTCGGTTGAAGCAGTGGAAGGTCGACAGAGTCATTGTGGTCATGTTTGATTGGAGTGACAGCCTCGGTGTTGGTTTGAGCAAGGTAGACAATTAAGGAGCGGGGTGATGAGTATCTTACAGTCCTTTTGGTGCCACTGTACCGAGGTAGGTAGGATATCAAAACTAGAAGAGAACAGCCAGAAGTTCCGAGGGGAGAGAACAACCCCTCACGCGTTTCAGGCACCCTCCAGTCCACGTGAAAGCCCCCGCACTGATATACAGGGGTCGACTACGACAGCTTTACAGAAGAAGTCATTCATACATTCTTATGTACTAAGCGTTCCTACATGCACACCTACCTGGTGGGTTGCAGAACGTACTGCGCATGAGGAAGCATCTAAGTTTACGATTAGTACAAAAGTCTTTTCGATTACTAATTTGCGCATATAAATTTGCGTTTGGCCCGTAGACAAAACATATGAACCTAAATCCATAGTTGATGATTTAACAGGACTGTGATTTGGTTTCCCCGAAGACCGAAATCCCATATATTTAAAGCTTTTAGCCTCCCTTGATTCTGATTTCCTTTTCCACGGACACACACTACACGCTACCTCTTACCTACTTTCAGGACAAATGCAAGTTCCTACTTCATTCCCACCGAAATTTGCGACATTTCAATCTATATCAACCTCGTTACGATGAAAAGCTCCCGGACGTGTCTGCGATGCTGGAAGCCGGGCTTTATTGTGACAATCAGGCCTGCAGCTGCGCTGGTCAGGGCTGATGGGTTGAAATATCTAGATTCAACGATATCTAAGGAAGAAGAGGCAAGGTCGGAAGAGAACGGGGAAGCTAGGGGTATATATGTACATAAATATGTGGAGGTATTATGTAATACCGTAACATTTATCTTGGCTTCTAAACTTTTGGTTTGCCCAATCTTTTGTTCTTCTTTATCCACGATTTATATCATGCCTTGGTTCCTCCGATGTCTACTTTAGCTGGTCTATTTCATTTCATTTTACTCCATTATGGCCATTTTCCTTTTCTTTTTAGCCCGGCCTATTTGGTTTGACGAGGAATCACCAGAGGAATACACCCATATTGTGCCGGGAACTATAGGCGAGAGGTTGTCACAGGAATTACATGTAGGATGGGATAACTAGCTCGCTCCGAGGTAAGACAGTTATGGCCTCCTTGCCGATCGTGCAAGATATCCTCCTTGGCGGGTGAGCTAATACAAGGCAGAGAATTTCGGCGACCCGAGCCGGAAGGCGGAACTTTGCGGTTACTTGGATTAACCCAAGTCGGCTTTTCCAAGCCTCCCAAACAAGCGTCCTAGTACACAGGCCCGCAGCACAGCATGGGAGGTCAGGCATTACACCCGAGGAGTCCTTACCGCGAAAAACCACGCACACCTCGCCCTCTCACCATGAGATTCAACGACTGCAGCGACGAGGAGGAGTCATATTATAGCTACGGGAGCGCCCACACGCTTGAGAAGGCCGTATGCGATCCAATGAACGCGGCGGATACGACGTCAAACGACCACGGCTCGTCGCTCGCACGAGCCGTCAACGACTACCCCAGCGGCCCTCCCTCGTAAGAGGACGACCTCCGAATACCCTCACACCAACCAGCCATATACGAACCCACATGGCGGGGGTAAAGGACACGGCATGATAACACGCGCGCCTTCGGGGTTGACTTGGGAGCTCCGGGGACATGTGGACTGTGTGCGGAATACGTAGTAGGCTACCTCTCACGCCGTTGCATTTAGAGTGTTGAGAAGTGAGTAGTGGTGAGGGTTGCGGCTGATTTGGAGGAAGCCGGAGTGGTGGTAATGGTTGTGAGCGAAAAGAATGGAAGTGCAAATACGTTACAACGAGGGCTTATTGTTGCGACCTTGGGAGCCTCGAGTAGCTGTTTGCATTATTTATTTTTGCCCTACTTTTACTCCTCTTGTTGGATGGGCGTCGCGAGATCGAGTTTAGATAGTTCCCCTGTGAGGTAGACCTGGTATAGGAGATTTCAATTCAGGATGCCACAACTCCCAGCCTTGTAGGCTTCCATACCAACACCAACGTCTGTATCGAACTAATCATGGCGTCGACGACAGGTTACGCTTTTAGCATTTTTAGTTAGAGGATTGAATTAACTATTACTGATATACGAGGTCCATATGAACGAACCGCCGCAGTCAAGATCATATATCGCCCGACAGATCGTCCACTGGGGCATGAGTATGATATCGGGGGATTCATAGGCTCTGGGGTTCTCTGTGATGGTGTAGGTCTTCTCTCATGGCGAATATGTTCCAACCGCCCGTAGTCTGTGTTGGAGGGAGCCTCAGCCGGCAACAACCCCTTATCTCGGAAGGTTCCGTTGAAGGAGACTCCTCTGCCGCCCTTGTAATAGCTTGTTGTTGTTGCTGTTGTTGTTGTTGTTGTTGTTGTTGTTGTTGTTGTCGTAGCATTTAACGCCGGGGGGACTGTCGCATAGCGGCGTCAACCAGGGGCTCCAAGAGGCCGCTCAGGCGTGCTAGGCTAGGTCTTCTATGTACATACACTGCCCATCTAGCAGGTCAAGTCTGTAAACAGCCACCACACTTAAGCGGCGGATCATACCGTGTCCCCCCTCCTCCGGGTGAGGAGAAGTATCAGCTGGGGTCCCAAATGTTCAGTTTTTAGGGGGCATCGCCAGGTTCAGTGCTCTTAGAGCTTACAGTAGGTGCCGCGGCATGTCATAATGGTTCTTACGCACGTTATGAGACATTAAAAAAGAAAGATAGAAAGATAAAGCCCCCAGATGCTATAATAGAAGGAAAGAGTGAGTATGTCCTCAGCGAGGAGGGCAGATGCTGCCATAGAAGTCGGTAGTTATGAGTAGGTCCATGTACTCCTGTGGGGTAGTCATAAGTTCGTTTAGATACTCGAGCCTGGCTCCGAGCTCCGGCCGGGATACCGGGGCCCTCTGTTGAATAGGAGCCGGAGATAGACACCGGAAGATCTCCAGTGGGGCAGAGACGCACAGGGCATCTGACCCACCAAGAAGACAGATGATCAATCTCTGCACACTGAAAAAGCAGAGCAGAACAATCAATAGAATCAATCGACATCCGTGTATTCAACACCGTCGGCCAGACCATGTACCGTGCCAAAGTCTTCCGGCAGTGGATGAAGTGCGTCGGAGTCTTGCTCCGGCCGCACGAGCAGTCGAGGACGGCGTCCTGATATTTGAACTTGACATGATACCAAGAGAAGTCGCCGTACCCTGAGCAGACAGCGAGGAAGCGGTGTAATAACGGCCTATTAAGTACCTGTAGCTCCTTGTCATAGCACAGTTCGTACTTCAGGTCCCAGTACTTGTAGTGGGCCGATAGCTTGATCTGGGCCTTGGTCCACCACATGCCGCGCGAGACTTCGAGCTTAAGTCTTGCCTCTGCTTTAATGCCGTATACTGTTGGCGTACAGTCAGAGTCGACATTAGAGAACTTAGAGCCGGCCTTAGCCAGCTTATCTGCCAGTTCATTGCCCTTAACGGCGCAGTGCCCCGGGCACCACTTGGCGTTGACATTACGGACTTCAGCCTCGGCGTGGAACTTCAGGTAGGCCCACTGGCAGGACACCGCGGCATTGCCGCGGAGCCCCCAGATCGCTCCTGTGTTGTCCACGCATACCCAGATCCGGCGCTGACTAAGCTCTGGGGGTGACTTGACCACGTGCTGAAGTCCCTTCCAGGTGTCAAATATAAGCACTGACTTGATGCCAGTGTCAATCCCATTTGCCTAGCGGCTGCATCTGACAAGTAAGAGTCTCATCGTCTCTCTAGCTCACTGGAGAATTTAATGGATACACGTCGCTAGAGCAGACCACCACCCAGCCACCCACAGGGTTCGAGTCTCCGTAGAAGCCGCGACTGGATAGAATAAGTCAGAACAAAGCCAAAGCGCAAGTCAGAACAGCATCCAGCTTTCGCACTACACTTGCCAGTGGCGGTCAGAACAGCATACAGCTTTCGCACTGCACTTGCCAGTGGCGAGCAGGCGCCCGCCCTGGTAAATCACATAGCCGTATCCGACGTGCATCCGTTCCTTCGATTCTTCTGAGAAGACCACCACGTCATGTAGTGGCAGAGCCTCAAACCAGGTCTTGAAGTCCTTGGCAGCCTGCTCCTTGTCAATACATCTGGTTGGATCGATCCTGTAGTCAGGCATGAAGCGCGTCGGCACCAGTAAGGGCCGCTGTACAGGGGGTAGCAGGCGAGCTGTTAGCTGTAATTTGGTTTTAAGGCATTAAAAGCCGCCTGCACCACGGCTCCGTATAATCGCCAGCAGTTGGATTCGCTTGACAAAGGGATGCTTCTTGTCTATAATACGTAACCTAAAATTAAACCGCCATAGCGCTGTATTAAGTGCCGCCTCTGCCATGGGGAGGCCAGCGTCCTTAAAAATGACATTGTTCAGTGTGGTCTGCCAGCACGGCAGTACCGCCCGTGCCGCCGTCATAGATCTCTGTAGGGTGTTGATATGCCATCCTATACCAGTGCTAACTTCAGGCTTGCCTGCCTGTGACTGGTTATATGGCAGTTTTTTCTGTCCGCTGTAATAGACTTCTGACCTGTATAGCGCCGTGAGGAGGACATAGGTGATCATAGCCTTCCATAGCCCGGATGCCGGGGATCCGTATTTGATGTTGGCTAGGTTTCGTATATGCCGGGATAATTGTATGATTCTTTCAGCACGTTCTTGAACATGTTGCTTGAGGGTGAATTTCTGATCAATCCAAACCCCTCGCCAGCGTAGTGCTGGCTCCTTCCCGCTACTCTTGAGTTCTTGGACAGGGTTGATAGTGAGACGGTCACTTACTACCAAAGAGGGGTTGGAGGTGCCTCAGCTTCTGGTGATATGAACCAGCTCGTACTTCTCAGGAGTAAAGATGACCTTGTTCTTATCTCCCTACTGCATGACCTGCTTAAGGTCATCTGCTAGCATCTCAATGTTCCGCTATAGTGACTTTGATACCCTGTAGAGGGAGAGATCATCGGCGTACCCAAAATGGAGCTCCGGGTCTTGTAGCAAGAGCTCTGCCAGGTACTGCATGTAGAGGACTAGGGACCACGGAGAGCCCTTGAGGGTGCCGCACTTGATGTCTTTGAAGTCCGTGGAGACATGTTCAAGCCAGACTTTAGCCCTCCGCTTTTCAAGAAAGGACTTAACCAGCTCTAGGCAGACTAAGGGCCAGCCTTACTTCCGCATACATTCTAGCAGCAGCCGGTGCACTAAAAGCGTGTTAAATGCACCCTATACGTCAACTGTAGCGAGAGAGACCTTGAGTCCCCTAACAAGTGCCGCTTTAACCTCGTGGACGAAGGACAGAACGAGGTCCATGTATGACCGTTTAGGCAGCGCGTCCCTGTGTTGGGCACTGAGGATATCTTGAGAGAGCGCCGTCCAGACCATTTGTTTTGTTAGCAGCCATTCTAGCCCCTTACCGAGGCAAGAGAGTAGTGCAATCGGCCGCCAAGATCAGACCAAAGAGCGGTCTTTTTTCCCGGCCTTAGACATCATTGACACCTCTGCATCCCGCCAGGCTGCGAGAAAGTGCCATACTTACAAGCAGAGCTCGAAAACGTTGCGCACGACGTTCTTGATGTGTTCCCAGCAGGCCTTGAGCAGCCTTACTGTGATCCCGTCTACGCTGGAGGAGGTGCTGGTAATCCCGACAGTATACTGCTCGACCTTTTCTAAAGACACCGTGGTGTCCCAGTAGAGCTTGGCTTAAGAGGGCTTCTACCCTTCCAGTGGATCATAGTTGTTGAATACAAAGATGTTGATTGATGGATGCTATTGATTGTTCTGCTCTGTGTGCAGAGATTGATCATCTGTCTTTTTGGTGGGTCAGATGCCCTGTGCGTCTCTGCCCAACTGGAGATCTTCCGGTGTCTATCTCCGGCTCCCATTCAATAATAGTCCAGGTCGTCGTGATCTGAGAAGCGTGCTAACACCTCTTCTGCCAGCACTTCAGCCTTTTCTTGAGTGGACTCAACTACCCTGTTGCCCACTTTGATCGGTAGGGACTTGAGTCGGGCACCTAGCTTATGCCAGCTGATGATCTTATACAGGTCCTTGTCAGTATACGCAGAGTCAATGATCTTCTGCCAATACTCTTGTTTGGCTTTGTGGACCATAGAAAGAAAGGTGCGATACTCCTCTATGAACTCCATCTGGTCGCTAGGCCTGGTAGCTTCTGAGGCTCTGTAAATATGGTAGGCCTCCTTGCAGTCCTTAGTCCACCAGGGGGCTCTCTTACCGTTGCCTGTGGCGGGTATGCCAACAGCGATAAGGGCCAATTGTAGCACTTCTATGAGCTTGTCTACATAATTGTCTAAGTGCTATTTGAACTTAATGTCCGTCTGGTCAGGCATAGAAGCCATTTCTGTCTGTACAAGGATAGAGAAGCGTGGCAGGTTCTCTTCCTTGACCTTGTAATGGTACTGTTCCAGCGGTTCGGTCCCCCGGCCGGGAATAGTAATTAACAGGGTGTTGTGGTTCAATCCACTGGCCAGTTCCTGGCACACCTGTCTCAATAAAAGGAATATTAATAA